TTTTTTTTGAAATTTGTGATTTTCAAAAATCAAAAAAAAATTCAAACGCAGTCGAATCAGAAATCAAAAATATTGTCTCTGAAACTAATTACAGTACTCTAAAGGTGCGATTTTTGACAGTTTTGACAACTTTGCCACGTCATAATTTGATTTTGGGCGAATTTAGGATATTTTGAACTGCCAAAGTTACTGAAAAAGTTAGTTCAGTGAGACCTTCCTTTGTCAGTATCAGATTTCAGATTCAGGGAATTCAGAAATTTTCACAGAAGGTTGAAAAATCTATAATTTTTTTTGATCGAGCTGAAGAATTTCAAAGTTCAGAAACTTAATTTCAAATTTTCAAGGTTGAATAAAAATCTCTAAATAGCCACTTTGAAATTTCTGAACAAAGCTCATTTTGAAATTTCAAAATTCTATCACCAAAACCAAAACATTTTCCAGGATCCGCGTCAACAACACAAATGGAAAGTGCAAACGTATTCCTCTCCAACATTCTGCGATCATTGCGGTTCACTTCTCTACGGTCTAATCCATCAAGGAATGAAATGTCAATCGTGCGACACAAATGTTCATCACAGATGTGTTCGAAATGTTCCAAATATGTGTGGAACTGACAACACTGAAAAACGTGGAAGAATCATGTTGGAAGCTCACATCACTAATGATCATTTGACTATCAAAGTTCTTGAGGCGAAAAACTTGATTCCAATGGATCCTAATGGACTTTCCGATCCTTATGTGAAATGCAAACTTATTCCTGATGATCCGGGATGCAAATCAAAACAAAAGACCAAGGTTTTGAGAGCAACTTTGAATCCACAATGGAATGAAACATTCACATAGTAAGTTAATCAGTTGGAAAATGATAAATAATAAAAATAATTGTAGCAAACTTCAAAGCGGAGATAAAGATCGTCGACTTTCGATTGAAGTTTGGGATTGGGATCGAACATCTAGAAATGATTTCATGGGAAGTTTGTCATTTGGAATTTCTGAACTTATGAAGGAACCAGCTGCTGGATGGTTTAAATTGTTGAATGAGGAAGAAGGAGAGTTCTATAACATCAATATTCCACCAGAATATGATGAAGATATGGAAAAAGTTCGGCAGAAATTCAACGATCATCGTATCACCAAAGGAACATCTTCCAAAGTTCAAGATTCATCATCATCATCATCAGAGAAAGTACCAAAAGCATCTCCAACTCCACAAAACGCTGCAAATCGCGATGTTATTAAGGCATCTGACTTTAATTTTTTTGACAGTTTTGGGAAAAGGATCTTTTGGAAAAGTTCTTTTGGGTGAACAAAAAACAACCAAAGCTTTGTTTGCTATCAAGGTTTTGAAGAAGGATGTTATTATTCAAGACGATGATGTTGAATGTACAATGACCGAGAAAAGAGTTTTGGCGTTGCCGGAGAAACCATCATTCTTGGTTGCTCTTCATTCATGCTTCCAAACTATGGTAAGAGGAAAGAGTTAAATTCAGATTGTGTTTTTGAAAATCAATTTCAGCCCATGAGAACATTTATAGAAGTTTTTCAGTACTGAAAAATTATTTAGAAATACTTTCCAGATATCTATACTTTATAAAAAAATTTTCATAACTCAGGACCGCCTCTACTTTGTCATGGAATTCGTCAACGGTGGAGATCTTATGTATCAAATTCAACAAGTCGGCAAATTCAAGGAGCCAGTCGCTTGCTTCTACGCTGCTGAAATCGCCGTCGGACTCTTCTTCCTCCACTCAAAAGGAATCATTTATCGCGATTTGAAATTGGATAACGTTATGTTAGAAAGAGATGGTCATATTAAAATTACCGATTTTGGAATGTGCAAAGAGAATATTTTCGGAGACGCTACAACTAAAACTTTCTGCGGAACTCCAGATTATATCGCGCCAGAGGTACAAAAATTGAGAAATTTGGGGTAGCAAAAAAAATGTTTCAGATTATTTTGTATCAACCTTATGGAAAATCAGTTGATTGGTGGGCATATGGTGTTTTGCTTTTTGAAATGCTCGCAGGTCAACCACCATTTGATGGCGAAGATGAGGATGAATTATTCACTGGTGAGAATTGAGCTTGAAATTCAAGCTCTGATGAGATGTTTTTTTTCCAGCCATAACTGAGCATAATGTGTCATACCCAAAAAGTTTATCAAAGGAAGCTGTTTCGTTGTGTAAGGGATTGTTGGTGAAAAATCCAGTCAAACGTCTTGGATGTCTTGCGGATGAGAGTAATGGACAACGTGATGTTAAGGTAAAGAAAATCTAGAAATATGATTTCAGAAATCTCTTTTTTTTTCTAGGAACACGCATTCTTCCGTAGAATTGACTGGCATAAAATTGAAACTCGTCAAGTTCAACCACCATTCAAGCCAAAATTGGTGAGTTCAAAACCTTTTTCACCATATATTTCAGTTCAGCATGATTATAGTTTTAATATTTTAACCCAGCACATTTCTTAAAGCACGATTTTATTCTAGTTAAAAACTGTTTCGTGAATTAATATATATGTATATATTTATTTCCAATACTCACCCACGCATGTTTTGATCGTTGTGATACATTTTTGCAGAAATCGGATAGATCCACCGAGAATTTCGACAACAATTTCCTGAAATTGCCCACCAAAATGACACCGACCGATTGGCAAGTGCTCGAAAATCTCAAAGGCGACGAATTCCGCGATTTCTCGTTTTTCAATCCATTTTATGATAAGCATATTGCTGAAAATGAGAATATTTAATTTTTTTTGAGAGTTTCTTTTTGCAATTTTACTGTAGTCAAATTTCTCTCTGATGAACTTTTTGGGCCAAAACAAAAAAATTCAACAAAAAAAATGTTTTAGTTGTACCTCTTCTCTCCTCCGCTTCTATCTTTTTTATTTTTGAATTTAGTTAAAAGCAGTTGAACAGTCGTGGGTGGTCCCAACTCCCATAATTAACTTGCCAACTGCTTTTTAAAATATTCCCCTCCCCATTTCTGAAATTTTCTAACTAATCCATATATATATTTTTCGTGCTTTTGTAATAAATGAAAACTAACCAAAATTGATAGAAATGTGATGTTTTTAACCATATTCGTCGTTTTCACTAACCCTTTGAAAAGGTCGTGTGAGTTAGTGTAAGTTGGATAGTGCAAAACACTCACCAGCATGAGAAACAAGATGGATTTTTGAATTATTATATTTTTTTATGTGGTCTGAGATCCCTAATTTTTGCAGAAATCCGCTGACGATGTTTCAAACTTCGATTCAGAATTTACACACGAAGTTCCGAAATTGACACCGATTGATCGACTTTTCTTGATGAATTTGGATCAAACTGAATTTGAAGGATTCTCATTTGTCAATCCTGAATATGTACAAGAATGCTAAAAATTCCAAAAAAAAAATCCAAAAAAATGTAGTGTGTCATTCAAAAACTAAACTTATACTTTTAACTTATAATACTTTTCATGCAAAAAATCCAAAAAATCTCCAGATCTCATTGTAGTTTGAATTTGAATTTTTATATTAAAAATTGATTTTACTTTTTCCCCCCTGTCTAATTGGAATGTATTTTGCTATATAATGATTTATATTTATATTTATACTGAACTTTAATGTATTGATTAATGAATAAAAAATTTGAAAATGTAACAGGTTTCAGAACTTTGATGAACAATTTTGAATCAGGACAAAAAACTTTGTCCCCCCTCTCACAGAAAATAGAGAAAGTGCGCTCTATTGCTAATGCATGCGGGAGGAAAAATCCAGGATTTTCTTTTTTTTTGTCATTGACTGCGAGTTTCCTTTTTTCTAATTTTTCTTTTTTTTTTCTTCGATCCTATGATTTTTGAAATTTAAATGCAAACAAATATTCCAAGTTCATTCACTCTTTCATCAAACTCCACACATTCCAAGATCATGAATGTATCAATGAACAAACAAAAAATCCCCCATTTCTTCTCTTTTTTTTCTGTTTCGAAAAACAAATCGAAACATTCACTGAGTTCAGTCAATTCCTCACCACAAAAACACACACAACAAAAATAAACAAAATGTGTGTTCGAGCGGCGATTTTGTCTCATTGTCCAAGCTTATGCATGTTTGAGCTAGCTAGCTGACGGGCAAAAAAAGAGCAAGAACAAAACAGTCTCTCCTCCCACCGATTTATATTATTATTATTTTTATTTTTATTCTCTGACTCTGTCTCTTGCCCTCTATCTCCGCATATGATTGTGTATGTGTGCTCAATTTTGAGCTCTCCGATAATCTGCACTGTTATATTGACTTGTCTTTTCCCTCATTGACCCGTTGTAGTAGCATAATTCCCCCCATTCTTCTTTCGTTTTGCTTTTCTCCGAATGAAAAATGATTATTTTATGACCCGTGGGAGAATTTGTTTATGATTATTATTGATATTTTGTTTGAAAAAACAAAAAATATATTAAAAAAAAAAACACAAAAAACTGTTGATTTCGAGTGAAAAGTACTTGAAAACCATGTTTGACTACTAGAAAATTGTAACATCGTTCGTTTCGTTTTGAAAAATGTTTTTTTCGAGAACCGAAAGTTCACAGATACTTGGGGAGTTTTTGTTTGATCTTGATCTTTTTTGCACGTTGATTTGTCATAGGGTTCTGGTTTTTCAGGTTTATTTGATTTCGAAAAAATTGATAGGTAGATTTCGAAAAATCGTGAATTTTAAATTTCAAAATTTTTTGTAGAGGATTTTTTTCAATTCCTTATGAATCTGAATCTGAATTGCAAAATTGGTTTTTTCTCTCAAAAAAATTTTCTCACCAAATATCCCGTTTACAATCCCATTAGAGTTTATCATAACTACCCTACTCTCAAAAAATCTCATATCGAACAATTGTAAACCATACGAAGCGTATAATTTATTCAATCTATCTATCTATCACATTATTGCCATTTTGACCATTGTAAAACACAGTTGGATATTCCTCATTTTCCCATTCTTTCAACAACTTTTTCCCCTTTTATTTTAGATGGGCAAACACGGGGAAAATCAAGAACCGCGTCAAAAATGGATCGATATTCAATTGCACACGTTTTCAAATTGGGTTAATGAACAGGTATGTTTTTTTTGAAATTTTAATCATAATTAGGAGTTAGTGTGACTTAGTTAGAAGTGACTTCTTATTTTTGTTATACTTTGATGTACTGTTTGACCTGCCAGTCATTCCCATATTTGCCTATCCACTTCTACTTTCAAAACACACACACACGCACATTTATAAGTATATATATTTATTGTAAAATCAATAAATTATTGTTTAAATAAACAAATTTAGGATAATATGGGAAAGTTTTGAAACTCAACAAAATCAATAATTTTTCAGCTTCAATCACATGTAATCAAAGATCTAACGCTGGATCTATCCGATGGTGTAAATCTCATTAGATTAGTCGAAGTTCTCCAAGGTCGCAGATATTATGGAAAAGTATATGATCATGAGCCAACTGAAATCCAAAGATTGATGAATGTTCAAATGGCATTAGATGCTTTGAGAGAAGACGGTGTGAAAACTGTAAATATTGGAAGTCATGATATCGTTGATGGAAATGAAAAATTGATACTGGGCCTTATTTGGTGTTTGGTGCAGCGATATCAAATTGCGTGTAAGACGAAAATTCCGCCAAAGAAATTGGTGATGGCTTGGATGCAGAGTGTTTTGCCAGAATTGAAGTTGACCAATTTTCGGACGAATTGGAATGATGGAGTGGCGCTGAGCGCATTGTTAGAATATTGCCAACCTGGATTATGTCCGGAATGGAGGAGTTTAGATCCGTCGAAGGAGTGAGTTTTTATTCGATTTTCTGCCAAAAAAGTATCTTTGACACCTCATATCTTTTTTACTTTGAGAGTAAAACAAAATCTGAACTTTCTCAGCGTACCAATATCTATTGAAAATTATATTTTTTATTTCGAAAATAAACATCTAGTTCTACTGTAACAAATGCTCTTTTTGAATAAAACCCCAAAACCATGAATAATATATTAGTCATTCACTCCACTTCTCTCGTCGCCCAAGTGGCGCAGCTGGTAGAGAATTAGTCTCCCAAGCGGAAGAAATCGAGAATATCAAGAGTTCGATCCCCACGGGGAAAAAATATCTTGATTTTATTTTTTTTTTGAAAATCTGGTTTCTGACTAATTTCGACCTCCTGATCAACGTGGACAACTTTATTTTTGATCTAGACGTTCCTGTGACAAGTTATCACGTGGCAAATTTTACTTTTAGGGAAAATTATATGAAAAAGTTTTACGCTTAAAAATATATATACAAATAGCCCATTTTGCAGCCTCGAAAACTGTGACCGAGCATTATTCCTCGCTGAAAAATATCTGGAAATCCCTCGAATCCTCTCCGCCGAACATTTATCATCTCCACACCTGGACGAACTCTCATGCCTCACATATCTATCATATTTCATCACAAAAGGTGCACCAGGATATCATGCGACTCTCAAAAAAGTGCACGATCTTCTACCCGATTGTGAAGTCGACGATTTGGAACATTCATGGAGTGATGGATATTTGCTATCATTATTGGTTGAAGTATGCGGTGGAAGTGTTCCTGAGTTACCTGAAATGGATTTTCGAAATTATACGAATTTCCCGGAAAATGTTGCGATTGCTTTGAATGCTGCTGCAGATATTGGAATTGGATCTCTTATTGGAGCTGATGATATTGCTGATCCCCAGGGAGAACATTTAGGTAATCAACCTATTCCATGACACGCATCGGCTCCAAATTGGTTATCAGTTTTGTTGTTTCAGGTACTATGGCGTTGGTTGCGGCGCTTTGCTCAATTCCACTGGAACGAAAGGTCAAAATGACTGATTGTTATGTCAATCAGCAGGTGAATTTGGATTTGGCGTTTTCGGATGGAAGTGAGATTAGAATGGAAGATTTGAATGTTAGAGGTATGCATGAACATTTGAAATTTGAAATCTCATCTTACACATTTTGAATAAAAAATAATTCTAAATGTTTGTCGAAAATTATTGAATTTGAAAAAAAAATTAGATCATAAAGTGATTTTGGAAAAATTGTTTGCATGAAAATGTGTATTATCAATTTCAAATCTGACTTTTAGTCACAAAAATTTCCAAAAAAAACTTTCGGAACTTTTTCTTGAAAGTTATTTAGTTAAAGCTCAAAGAGCATGTTCTAATTAGTAAAATTATTTTTAAAATTTCAAATTTCGAAAAAACAGTGAAACACCGTGTAAAATGTCTTGAAATTCTAGATGTACAGTAGTTTGTAGCTTCTCTTTTCCAATTTTTATGAAAATTTGTCAGGAGACAGAATTTTGAATTGAAATTTTGAATTTTTCGACAATTTTCAGGTGAATTTTCTGATGTTTGTACAAGTTCATTATTCTAAAATTCAAAATCCATTTAAAAATGTTCAATTTTCAACGATAAAACTCTCAATTTTTCCAGTTATCGGACCATATGGTGATGTTCTTTCAAATGAACATCTGCGACTTCGTAAAAGTCGCACAACTCACGGAGCAGTTTTATCGCTCATCCCAGAACTTCCCGGAGTACATCAGGTATTTTTTTTCCTCATTTTCGAAAAAAAAATCAAAAATCAATGTGTTCCCATCGAAAAACGCATCACATTATGAAACTTTAGCAAAAAAAATGTGAGAAAATATACAATTTGACAAAATAATTCTATAGAATTGTTCGTCTCGGCAAATATAATAATAGAAATAGAAATAGAAATAATACTGGTTCGGGAAACAAACCTGGAATTCCTTGCTTTTTTGTCATCATATTCAATTGTTGAGTTGAAAACTAACTATGAAAGTCAAGGTTAAAACCAAAATAGAGGTGAGTTTCCGGCAAAATAGATGAAAACCTTGAATTTTATTAGCAAAATGGAATCAAACCACATCAAATCGAGATTAGATTGTGAAAAAGATAGATTTCGGTTTTTCCGTTTGACAAAATTTTATTTTTTTATTTAAAAAAATGCGGCTTTATGAGTCACTATGTCAAAGGACCAACCTATTGTTCTCTTTTTTTTTTGAAAAAAAATTAATAAATAATTTTTTGGTTAGTACCAAACAAAAAACAGTAATCTCATATTGAACACTAGTTTTGTTTTTATTTTATTTTATAACATTCATTTGATGTTTGGGGTTCTCATATTTTATTGATTTTGAAGTTGATTGGGTGGTCTTGAAATAGCTGATTTTCTACTAGGATTTCAGAAACTCTGAAATAAGGTTTTGTATTTGAAATTTGGAATTATATATCTGTAGAAAAACTTACATAAGGCCACACTAAATTTTGAATCATCCTTCCAGAATTTTGATGAATGTTTTTCAGAAATATTTTCAGAAGTTTTAAGTTGGAAATATTTACGGTTGAAATTTTTTTGAATTAGATAATAAAAAAAAACTATCATAAATTCAGAATGAATTTAGATCATATTCAGGAAGTCAGAATAAGTATCAGAGTAACCTTTTTAGACTTCTTCTAACTTCCTTTAAAAATCATCATAAATTCAAAATGCATTTGAATTGAATGCAGAAATTCCGATTTAGCAAAAGAACATCATATTCAATATCATAATGAACGAGTTTTAATAAATTCAGAAAAATTTGTCAATGGTTCCTGAAATATTCTAATTATCCATAATAAAATTTAAAAAAATCTCATGCTAAAACCTGTTTTGTAAACTCTAAAGATCATTCTATTCACCAGACTTACTAATCTGTGAAAATCATGCAGATGTTCTCAAAAAGAAACTGTTACCCTAAAAAAAGTAACTTTATGGTTTTCCAATACATATTGTCCTGTTCACTTTTTCATCTACAAATTTAATTTTATTTGAAAATGTCCTTTCCAAATACAATTTCTTCTTTCTTCTTCATCATCAATTTTTCCAAGCCGTTCATTGGCGAAAAATCGCAACGAACGAACACCGCAATTGTACTACTCTTACAACACAGCCAGAATAATATCCTTTCCATCCGGTTTTCCGTGTTTCTCTCTCTCTCTGCCTCTCCAATTTCTCCAAACTCTCTCACTCATTTTTATTCAGCGTATGCATGTATATTATGGATACCTTGACCTGCCTGGGCCACGGGCGACAAAAAAAAGATAGTTCATTTATATTGTTATTGTTGTTGTTGTTTTTCGATTATTGTAGTGCAATTATTCTCCATCTTCATCATTTTTTTTCTTTTCGACCATTTAAGTGACCAGTTATTAAAAGATTCTGGATTTTGCAGACTTTTTTTTGACTTACCCAGAGAAGCTTATTGCTTGTTTTGAGGATTTTCGGAAAATTTTATAATTTTAATATTTTTTGGTTGGAACACCTAGAAGATTTTTTTTTGGTATTTTTTGAATAATGTCTCAAGGGACACGGACTTTTCTAGAAGTGTGGAGTAATATTTTTAGACCACCCAGATTTTTTTTTAAATTGATGAGACCAATTTTGAAAATATACATATTGTCGAGAAATTTAATTTTTTTTTCTCGAAAACGATTTCTTCTGAAACCTGGATGTCTCAAATATTTTAATGATTAAAATGATTTTGCAACTTGAAATAAAACTTGTTCCATTCATATTGTCTTGATTTTGTCTGAAAATAGTAGAAATTCCACAAAACACAATAAAAAACAAGTTCCCCCCTCCTTCCCCCTAAATTTTTCTTCAAAAATACCATTGAAAAACCTTGACCTTCTTGGTTCAAAATTTTTTCAAAAAAAATAAAAAATAAAATAAAAGAAGATAAACTGATTATCACGGACTGACTGACACTATCAATTTCCACCGAACCGTTTGATTGATCTAATTATGTATGCTCGAGGAAAAAAGGATTTTTTACAGGTTCGAATCTATTGTCAGGGATCGGAGCTGCCAGCGAGCCCGATTTCGCTGCAAGTTCACACGCAACAACAAACGCGCAGCACATCTCGCGCAACTTCGCAAGCATATCCGGAAAATCGTGTCAAAACCTCGACATCGACAAGTGTTGAAAGGGGAGTGGTGACGACTGAATCAGAAGTGAGCAGTTTTTTGATTTCCAACAAAAATCGGAGCATGAAAATATTTCAGGTCGACATATCACATCAATCATTTGCCAATCGTCGTTTACATATCATTAAACAATTGGAGCAGCAACACACAAATCATATTGCTCAGGTTAGAGATTTTTTGGAAGAATTGGGGGTGAATGGGTCAAGATTTTATAAAGCTAGAACTTTTTTCAAGAATTCAGGGATTTGAAAAGTTTTCTTAAATTTCATTTTAACAATTAGCAATTTTTTTTTCAAAACCACATGATTCCTCATTTAAAAAAATTAGGGGTACGGTATAAATAATGTTTTATTGGAGAATTTTATGATATTTTTATTGAAAAATATATTTTTCTTGATATTTTCTTACTATTTTTCCTATTTGAAACTTCGGATAATCCTTCAGTTTTAGCCCAGACTTTCAGCCAAATTTTAAATTTTCATAAATCGAGTTGAGACTCATTTTGTAGCTCTTGAAATTGTCTACAAAACACAGTAACATTTTATTTTCGAAATTTTCAGATCTTGGCTGAAAATCCGGGATGAAACCTAGGATCTCTGTAGGCTAAGAATATTGAAGGCTTTGAAATGATTACAGAATTTTTTTGAGTGAATCTTTGAACTTCAAAAATTTTTTAGAAAATAGGAAACACTTTCAATTTTTTGTTCTAAATCCTAAATTTGCTCCCCAAAACGCCCGGCTCACATTCAGATTTCAAATCTCCAAGTTTTTCTCTTCTCCTCATTTCACCACACATTTTTTTGTGTGTCTCAAAATATTTGCCCAACAACAACCCGAAAATAGGAAGTAGCGACCTTGAGAAAGTGACAACAAAACTGTTCGCGTATCGTTTCAAAAAACAATAAATTTTTCGTAGTTGCGATTAATAATCAATCACTACTCCCCCCATTTTTTTTCGTCATTTCCAAAAAAGAGAGAATTTGTTTCTTTTTCTCTTATTGTCAAAATTTTCAGCGCCTCAATTTTTTCAGACAAAATCTACCGCCACTTCTCAAAAAGAGGAATTTTCAAGTTCTTCGAGTCAGGTGAGTAATAAATGACTCAACATTTTTTTTGTAGATTAAAAAAAATACCTATTGAAAATGAGAAAAAATTAATTTATATTTTTTTTTGTTGGCCAAGTGCCATGTTTATTGATAAAAAAAACCACTATCAAACACAGTTGTATTATTTATATGTTTTTCATTTTTCCTAAGCCCCCTATTATTTTTTTTCGTCGTCCAAATTTTTTTTATCAAAAAAAAAATACATAAGACACTGTGTTTTTTTAAATTCATTATGTATTTAAATTTTCAGAAGACAACAAATTTGAATAATATTCCTCCACCACCACCAATTCCATCGACACTTGAAGCTTCAGCTTTCAAAGAAATGCCTTTGACTAGGTCGCCTGATGTTGGATTAGTGTCATTTTCGGGTTTGAGTGAACCATGTTCGGTTGGATCAATTGTTGAAGTTGTTGTGAGTTTTTTTTGAGAGAGAAGGTTCAGGGGAAATTTTAACTAGCTAAAAAAATTTAGAGTAAGCTCTTTGATCTACTCTAAAAAAATTTTATTTTCATTTCCAACTAAAGTTCTCACATCTCGAACAATCTGAAAATTTTCAAATTATAGAACTCGAACTCTAGTAATCCTCCCCGCAAACAAAAATATTTTTCAGATAAATGCACACGGCGACGCCGTCTCCGGCAACATTTACGTCGAAGCAGTTTCACCGTCCTCCACAGTTCACCCATGTTCAGTTCGCCACCAAAACAACTCGTATATGGCGACATTTACACCACAAGAAGTTGGTAAGTGACCCCTCTTTTTTATTATTACATATTTGCCGATTATAATCAAAGAAGACAAGAAACTTAGGCGAGCGGGGCGGCGGGAGGTCAAACACATATTTATTTGATATTTTATGACATTTGTTCGCAAATCGGTGATTGATAATTTGAATATTTACATACATGAAGGGATTTTCGGAAAAAATATAATTTTGTATAAAAATAGTGATGGGTAAAAATTGCTGATTTGACTGATGTCAGCTTTTTTTTCGGAAATGATTTTTATTTTTGAAATATCAACAAAAAATTTTCGATAAGAAGAAGGTTAGGCAAAGATCATACAAGGGTTGGGATTTTTAGAAAATCCTAACCCCTGTATAAATCGAATGGATTATTTTCTTGGAGCTGTTTCTTTGAAGTTAGTTTCACAAAAATCTTTTAACAAAATCATAAATATTTTTAAATAAATTTTCAAAAAAGAAAAAAATCTGAATCTGAAATAATTTTAAAAAAAATCTTTCTGAATTTCTGTAAACATACAAAAAATCTGATATTCAAAGTTCCATTTCACAAAAACAAAAACCCACAAACTTACGTGTTCAGGTCTTTGGCGTATTGGTATTCTTTACGATGGTGAACACATCCGAGGATCACCATTCGCCTGTCAAGTATTCGATGCTTCTCTCGTCAACGTATATGGTCTAGATGTTGGACTCGTTGGTCAAGAACTCCGATTTTCAGCCAACACAAGTCAAGCGGGTCATGGCAACCTTACTGTGAGTATTGTTTTTTGAATTGTCTTATCTTGATTATTAATCTCTCTCAGTTACCTTCAAGAACATTTTTATTATTATTATTCTTATTCATCTTTCTCATTTTCTCTAATTCTCTATCTATATGATTTTCGATGATGAGACCGATTTTTGTCCGACACATTCCTTTCATATCTTCTGCTGTCTATGTGGTCATCACCTAAATTATGAATCATGTTTTATGTTTTATTTATTTGTTGTTGATTTTCATATTCAAGAATTATTTTTTTCTAGGTTTCGGTGCAAAGACACGGACGTGAAATACCAGTGACTATTGAAGAGCAGCCGAATAAGAAAGTTCAAGTTTCGTTTGTTCCCGACGGAGCTGGACAATATACAATTCACGTGTTTTTTAACAGAATGGATATTAAAGGTTAGTGACCGACATTTTTTGGGTTTAGAAATTAACAGTCTTTCAGAATCCAGAAAATAAAAGGGTTTAGATTTTGATTAGATTTTGAACTTTTTTTTCTGGTAATCTTTTTTTGCGCCTGAAAATTTTATTTTCCCTGAACCCCTTTAAATTTCAAAAAACCCTTTATTTCCGAACAGAACTTACATTTTGAGTTCAATTAAAAAATTTATTTTCTAGATAATTGAAAATTTTGTTGAAAATATTTGGACGCTTTGAAATCTGGAAACTTTTCTAGAATTTTCGGTTTTTTTTCTTGTTGTTTCAAAGATTCGCTGAAAATTTTTAATAAGAAAAATTTCCCACACATTATTTTCATAACCATCATATCACACTCTGAGAAAATTCCCAACGCCCATATTTTCCAGGTTCACCGTTCATCCTGGATATCGCAGATGCCACATCGGTTTCAGTATACGGTGAAAATTTGCGTTCAGCTTCAGTCGCAAAATTAGCCACATTTTTGATTCATGCAGTTGGAGCAGAAACCAAAGATATCTCGGCAACAATTACAGGTTTTTTTTATTTTTTTCCTTTATCTTTGACTAACTGGAATGTTGTTTGGTCCCGTTTTAACCTAACTTACATGTGCTTTTCTTATTTTTCAAACAAAAATGCATGAAAATTCCCTCAAATATTTTTCGAAAACAAAAATTAGATCGCTAAGTGTCCATGTCTTCTCATTTCTATGTCTTTATATGTTCAATAAGTTAAGGTAGGTATATTTTAGATACATTAACTATTTGTTAAGTTCAATTTTTTCAGCCCCATCTGGAAATTCATTCCCAGCCAAAATTGTTAGCCTTGATGACGTAACATATCAAGCTGAATGGAGCCCAAAAGAACCAGGTAATTTTTATTCAAAAATTTTTTTGAAAAAAAAAAGAAACTAATTTGTTGTTTTCGGGCGTTATCATAGGCGTGCCCTGACATTTAGAAGAAAATGACGAAAATTCCCCCGCGCCTATTGAATATCTTCATCTTTTTCTTTCCCCTTTTTTTGTTTTGGTTGATTGTTGGGGTGATTTGGAATTTTTTATTTATTGCTTTGGCTTTTCAGAATTTTTTTCTGCAAAAAAAATAGTTTCAGAAAATTTCGAACCTCAAATTTTTTTGCAAATCATGAAAAATCCTCTAGACCTCCCATATTTTTTCCTAATTTTTCAATATTTTTTTGATGAAAGCTCATGAAAATCAGACCACTTACTAATAAATATTAAAAAAACTTGAAACTTCTAGAACTCAATTTTTTCTCTGAAGAAAAAAAACTAGATTACTGTAATCCCTGAAATTTGTATTTTTTGGAAAATGTAGCTTTACGAAATTCTCACTTTACTTTTTTCATTCAACTGAAAAGCTTTACTTTTCTGCTTACTTCTGAAATTTATGAAAACGATCTATATTTTTCTAATTTTGATAATGTCTGGAAGTGAGAGTGAAAGTGAGTTACTAAAGTCTTTGCTGTAAATTTGAAAAATTCGAAACATTTTTGAAAATGTTATCATCAAACTTTTGAACTTTTTTTTAAACAATAAAAATCAACTTCCTCAAAAAGTTCTTGTTTTTTTCATCTGACTACACAAAACAAAATTAATAAAATAATAAATAACTTTTTCAAAAAGTACATATGTTTTTTTGTGTCATCCAATTCAAATAAAACCTATTTGTTGATTGTGGCGAGGAAAACGAATACCTGTTTTATGTATTAGATGGCATTGAAAACAAAACAATTTTTTTTTGTTCAATTTTTTTCATATAGCATTATTAAAACTTTTATTAATATCTAGATTAGTTTCAAATTATTGTTCATTTTGATTTTATCATTTTTGATTGTGAGTAATAAAAATTCCTTAGAACCCAGTCCAATCAAAAAAAAAAAATAAAAATAAAAACAAAAACAATATTTACATTTTTTGACAATCCAATCCTCTTAGAAAAGGTACAAATCAGATAACAATCTTTCTCCAAAAAAAAGGCCAGTTGGAATCTGTACATAGATTTTTTCTCGAGATACTTTTTCCAACATTTTTTTGTGTCTCCTTTAGGTTTTTTTTATTCACATATACTATTTAATGACCTAACTAAACATATTCTTATCAGTTTTTTTGTTGTTTCTCTCACTCTAGTAACATTTTTTTTCTTTACAGGTGAACACAGTGTTGATGTGATGCTTGCCGACCAACACGTCGCCAATTCGCCGTTTCCGTGCAATGTTGGTGCGCCGGATTTGGTGCATGTCAGAAATATGCCACGACGAATTTCGCCGGCTAAATTGAACACTGATCATTCATTTGAGAGTGAGTTGTTGTTTTTTTTTTTGGGAGTTTCGGGAAAATTGTAGACAATGAGTCAGTATGATTCATTGGAAGATTGCAAACTTTTTTTTTTCTTTTGTTTGAATATTTGATTTCCGATGTTTTTTCCGGTTGCATTATTGATTTTTTGATTCATTTTTCAAATGGACCACCCAGGGTCTCAGATTTATGGCCCCGGAGATTTTCTATGAGACATAGATTTTTTCAGTTTTTTTTACGCTGAAAAAAGACCTTGTTTTCAGTTTTAGCTGAGAGAAGAGCCCAAAATCGAGAATTTTTGAGAATTCACGTTTTTAAGAGCCCGTAACTCATGTTAGAAAATATTTTATCAAAAACAGAGTACAGGAGATTTGATTTACCAAAGTCAAAGGTTTTGAAAAAAATTTTCAAATATGCAATTATATTTTCTGAGCCACAAAATGTTTTTTTTTTTTCTGAAAAATTATGGATTTTCTAACCAAAATTTTTTGACTCTGGTAAATCAAGAATTCAGTTTTTCATAAAAATCATCTCTAACATGAGTAACTGTCTCTCAAAACCACGAAATTTCAAAAATTCTCCACTTTTGGCTCATTCTTGGGCTCTTCAGAGATTTGCCCAGCAAAAACTGAGAACAGGATCTTACTCAGCGTGAAAAACTGTACAGAAACATCAGTGAAAATCTACGGGGACCATAACACACTTCCCTCGTTAGTTAATAATTCAAAACCACCCAGTTAGAACAAATTCTATGTTTCTTTACCTCTGTTTCAATTATATTAGACCACCCTGTCTACTGATCTTTATGAATGTGTGATCCAAGAAAACTTGAGAATATTTTATTTTCCACCAAAACCTTCCCACATGTCAGCAAAATGTCACTTTATAAATTAAAACAATAAATAACAAATGTTATGATTTTGTCTCCACTCGAAACCTATAAAATCTCATTGTTTTTCTCTACCCCAAGTGCTCTTACCTCTCAAAAAAAATGAAAGAAGAAAAAAAATAAAAAACATTAACAAAAATATTTCTCTGTTTCTTTTTTTCTATGCATTTTAAAAAAGAAAAGAAGCAGTCAGGATAGTCAGAGATAGAGAAAGAACCAAAACAACAATTTTCTTTCACCAAAAAATGCACTAGACAATTCTTGTACTTCTTCTAACACTTCAAATACATTTATGGAACAAGATGACTGATTTCACATATACAACCGGTTAGTTTTCAACACAAAATCTAAATTGCAAAAAAATGGCCTAGTGGCGAAAAAAAGAGAGCACTGGAATGTTTGTTTGTTTGTTTACCTTTGTACTGGTGCCGTTTTTTTTCATTCAGTTTTGTATCTTTGAGAGGCAAAAGTGGTTGAAAGCTGACTATTTGTATGATCTGCTGAATGCCGGCTTCGCTGAGTTTTTTTTTCTGTCGAGTTTGTTTAACTTGTTCGTAATGTTGGCTTGAAACAATGGTGCTGATCAATACGATTTTTGTGTTGTAAATTAATTTTTGCAAGTTTTTTTTGCTGAAATTGACTAGGGCTGATTTACGAACAGAAAAATGTTAAAAAATGTTTTTTTAAACATTTGAAAAGCTTCTGGAGTAATTTCTGATGAAAAATGACTTTCCAAAAGTTTTTGCTGATTTTTCGTAAAATAAAAATTATTTTTTATTTTGATGAAGGTAAAGTAGGGTTCTCGAAACTTATTTTCATTGAAAATTACTCCAAAAGCTTCAAAAATCTCGGTTTGTCATGGCTGAAAAACTCGAAAAAACTAATTTTTTGTTCATGAATTAGCCCTATTTTTCAAGACTCTTCAAGTTTTTCTTGAAATCCTAGGTTTTTTCTTAAAATCCTAGGTTCGTTCTCAAAATATGTTTCATCTAGGGATTTTGGATAAAATTAGCATATAGATCAAACAAATTATGATTTCTGAATAAAATTATGCATTTTCCTGCTTAGATTTTTCTAGTCTGACCTAGTTTGACCTAGTCTAGTTTGATCACTATATTTTTCTGGAATCTCGCCCATTTTTTTTCAAAATTCCTTTGTTATTTTTTTCTCCGATCAATTTTTTTCAAATTTTCCAGTCAGTTTGTTTGATTTGCCCCGTCTCTTTTTCTGTTGGTTTTTCAGATTTTCTGAAAGTGTTCCTTTATTTTTTCTCAAAACTTTGATCCATCGGAAAATTCCCACGATTCAACTTGAATCTATTTATACCTCGCACATCCATCTCAACCAAACAGAGAAAAACTACAACAAAAAAATCATATTTTTTCCCGCCAAAAAGAGTAAATAAACACAATAGCAGCACAAAGAAAAAGGCACATGAGAAGATTTTTTTATTTGTTACTCTAGTCACAGCCAAAATTTCAGTGTTTGCCAATAGTTTTCACGTCAACTTTTTGTGTCAAGTGACGATTATTGATTGATTTATTCCATTTTTTTTTCTCTTTGCAGTTGACGCAACAGCGGCTGGTTCGGGAAATTTGGAAATTATGATCAATGGCGGCCGAGTGCCATGTCGAGTTCGAGAACTCGGAAGTCGACAGTATATGGCGATTTTTACACCGACACAGGTAGGGGGGTTTTTTTTTAAATTTGAATATTCTGAATCTGAAAAATTTTCAGTCGATCACACATACCATCGAAATGCGATTCAATGGTGAACATGTTTCGGGAAGTCCGTGGAAATTAGCAGTTGAAGATCGAGGAGAAAAACGACAAGATATGGAAAAGTGAGGGTTTTTGAGAGTATTTCTGAAAAAAAACAAAGCTCTGATTCCTGAAATCGAAATTCTGTATCAAAAATTTAAAAAAAAAATACAGATTATTATTATTCTGATTAGAGACTATGTAAAAGTGAGAGAGTCTAGACAAAAATTTATTTTTTTAGGGTTTCAATTGGTTCACTGACAAATTTTGAAACTACTTTTGAAATAATTTTTATTTGATCATAATTTTTTGGGCATTCTTGGCAAGTGAACTGATGTGATTTTTTTTTCAAAAATATGTGCAGGCTTGAAAAATAATTTCAGTCAATAATATTTTTACCATTAGAGTAGAAATATTTCCCGCCAATCCTCCAATTTTTCTTCCAGAACCATGTCTTATTATTCCGAACTCTCTGGACCTGGACTAGTTCGAGCTCCCATCAACCGAACCGCACATTTCGACATCACCGGAGAAGGTCTCGAACTTTCCGACATTCAAGCAAAAGTTTTTGGACCCGACGGAAGAGAGTTCCCAATTCGAATCATTCCAAGATCTTCGGGAAAATATACGGCTGAATATACTGTTGAACAGGTATGAGATTTTGAGAGAGATCCCTTTTTTTTGAACAGTTTTTTTCATTTTCTTAAATTGACGAAACATTTTTTACACAAAAAAAACAACCACAATTTGATTTGACAAGAGAAACAAAACGAAACTGTTGGTAATTTAGGTCTTGTCTCGCGTAAAACCGGTTTTTTTCCAGTTGAAAATCGATTTTTCTAGGTCGGTGAACATCAGCTAACTGTTTGGATTGCTGGAAGAAAAGTCGATGGATCACCATTATCAGTCGCAGGTTTGGTTTGCTAATAAAAAACATGAAAATAGTATTGAAATTTGATAGGTTACGCGACAGAAAAGGTCAAACTTGAACCATTGGGAGGCGGAGTGCCGAATCAACCAGTACAGTTTTACGGTAAGTTGATTTTCGCTAACTCGCAAAAAGAGAGAGAGTGAGAGAGACGTAGAGAAAAAGTGGCAACAGCAACATACAACAAAGACTAGTTTTGTATTCCCAAAAAAGGGTGATTGTTGAATTTTTGAGCGGGAAGAATGGGTGAAAATAACCCGGACCCCAACCCAAAACCACAATACTATTCACAACTTTATGTGATTCCTGCAGTTGATGCTGTCGAAGCTGGCAAAGGACAATTGGAGATATCGGTGAATCAGGGAAGAGTGCCGAATAATGTGCAAATGCAAGGAGCTGGAAGGTGAGCGGGGTTGGAATTTTCAAGAATTTTGATTAGATTTTCTCTAACTTTATGCGCAAAACCTTGCAATTTAACAAAAATAAATCAAAAGTTTCAATTTTCGAAATATTTTTTTCGGTAAATGTTTTGTGATCAAAAAAAAGTTTGAAAAAAAATTTTAAAAAAATATTTTGGTGTCAAAATTATCGCTGTAACATGAGCAATGCGAATTTCTCCAATTTTCTTGTTGAAAATAAACCTCTAAGTTGAGATATCTCGACGACAAACTCTCGAAGACAAGTGTCAAATTGGAGCTCTTAACATGAGCAATCCATATTTAACCCCAAAAATTTTGGTTTTTCATATTTTCAAAATCAACTCCTGAATTGAATTTTAGGTGACGAAAAAAATGAATTCCGATAAATTCGCATATTTATTTTAAAAAAAGAACTTTTCATTTGTTGATGAAGTCTTGATAAGAAGTTTTCAAAATTCTAACAGCTTCTAAATTCTCATTTTTTCAGATGTCTAGTGACATTCATCCCTCAACACGCTGGCACTTATGTCATCGATGTCACATTCAATGGTGAACAAGTTCACGGTAAGTTGCCAACAAAAAAAACCAAATAGGATTACTCTCACTCTCACTTTTCTCTCCAGGTTGCCCGATAAAAGTCGAGATTCTACCAAAACAAGTGGGCCAACAAATTCACGCCAATCTCACACCAACCGCCGTTTCAACCGCAATTTCTGCAGGTTTGTACTATTTTTTTTTCATAAATTAATATACATGGTCGATGAATTTTGAATCAAATTATCGTATATACAACTAACTACATTTATAATCCAAATAATCCTTGCGTCGCTCATTTTTGTTCGCCAGGGTCGGGTTTATGCAAATAATTTTGTTTGTTAGCGAGGGGAAATGTATAAATAAATTATAGGAGGAACTTCATCAATCGCTGGAACATTTAGACAACATGATTCAAGATCACCAGCAACGTCACCAACTTATATTCAACAACATTCGAGAGATCGAAGTGAAGAATCTGCGTTGAGAAGTAGTCCAAGAGAATCCAGAAAACCATGGCAAACTGTAAGAAAAATTTCCCACAAAAATTAATCAAACCGTTTTTCTAGACCTATGCTCCAACATCAAGTCGCAACGCATTCTCCCAATCACCACATCGTGATTGGAGTGCAACCACAATCTATGATCGAGTATACGGTAGTTCTAGCGATATTGATCGGACATTGTCTCCAAGCGATCCATCTAGAAGACATAATATTCGGGAGACTACCACAGTTATTCATCGAACACCTTCACCAACTGGTTTGAGGTATGTTTGTGCAGCAGGCAGAGCAAAACGTGTGAATTAACACAATTGAACTAACAGATCGCACCAAGTCACCGAAACAATAACTCGCACCACATCACCGCCAGCATATGGAAGTGTTAGGTAAATGAAAATGAATTGAGAGCATTTTGGAGAGCTATAGGTTTCTGGGTAGAAAAAATCAACACAGCTTTCGAATAGTTTTGAAGCTCACAGATAAAATTTTCAATGCAGTTTTTAAAATAATTTAAAACTGGAGTCTGAATGTGAGCAAAAAAAATTATTCTCATTTAAAAGAGCATGTTCTAATTTGTAAAATCATCGAAGATGTTTTTCTCAAAGCTTCGCAAACATTAGTTCAAAAATTTCGAAATTCAAAAAAAACAGTGAAACACCGTGTAAAATGGCTTGAAAGTCTAGATGTACAGTAGTTGGGAGCTGTTTTTCTCCGATTTTTATGAAAATTTCTCAATGGATGTTTTTTACCAGGAGAAGAACTGAACCTTCAAAGGGCTGATTCACGAACGAAAAAATGTTTTAAAACATGTTTTTGACATCGAAATCAATTCACGAAAAGTCAAAAAATGTCGAAAAAACATTGTAGGTCAAAATTAGTTTTTTGAGTTTTTCAGCCAAAAATGATGACAAATCAAAATTTTTCAAGCTTCTAGAGTGACTTCTGATGAAAATAAGCTTCGAGAACCCTATTTTGCTTTATTTTATGATTTTTTTAGAAATTCATCAAAATTTAAAATTTTTTTATTTTACGAAAAATCAGCAAAACCTTCTGGAAAGTGAATTCCAAGGTCAATTTTAATCAAAAATTACTCCAGAAGCTTCAAAAATATTGATTTGTCATCATTTTTGGCTGAAAAACTCGAAAAACTAATTTTGACCCACAATGTTTTTACGACATTTTTTGACTTTTCGTGAACTGATCTTTCGATGTTAGAAAAACATTTTTGAACATTTTGTTCGTTCGTGAATTAGCCCTAATTAAGACTGATTCAATAGAATAAAAATATATTCGAATGTTTTTATAGAAACATTTCAAAAGTTCGCATTTTGAACAAATTTTTAAAAAACCCGATTCGATTTATTATCACAAAAAATAACTAGAGTGTTTTTCTAACTCTGTACCATTTCCACCCATTATTTTAATTCTCTGTAAACTTCTAGCTGTCCAATAATCCGTGTTTCTAGAACTCAAGAATTCGCTGAACGAATAGCTCGCTCACCATCGCCAAAAATCGGTTATGAACGAGAATTTGTGGAGAGACGAACAACAATCAGGTACTTGTACTAATTAATTGTTTTCTTTTTCACCTCCCACTTACTTTTCACTACACAACAACACAAATCAAATTGAAATAGCATTGACAAAGGAAACAATAAACGTTTTAGGTCACCATCTCCTGGTCGAACATCAAGTGTCGCACATTCACATATTAGCGAAGCTCCACTTTCACCAATTCAAGGTGTTGATGCACCATTTGACAGCAGTGATCGATTGAGAAAAGTTGAAAAAATGGATCCAGTTGGAGATGAAGAGGAAAGAGAGCGTCGAAGATGGGCTCAAGAAAAGAACAGCAAGCTCGGCTACACTGTAGCGCAATATGGTGGAGATCGAGGAACTCCAGAAAAACGATACTTTGGCGACACCCTCGAGCGACCTGTCTCACCGGAATATTCGACAGTTTATGAGAGATATGATCGACAACCACCAAAGCAAACTGATCCAAAAGTTGATGCTCATATTTCGGCGAGCTACAAGGGATATGAACCAGTTTATTCGGAGATTACCACGACGAGAACGACTACAACTACAGAGTATGAGAAGAAGCCGGAGGTGCCGAAAAGAGCGGCGACACCTGAAGGTTTTGTTGAGTCGGTGAAGGAATCGGTTAAGGATAAGAGAGGCGATTTTACAAGAACTCAATCGGAGGTTTGTCACGATTTTTAAAATTCAATTTTTTTTTCTAGAATTTCGATTTGAATTTTTGAAACATTCGAAATACTTTGAGAAAAATTCGGAAATTGAAATAACATATTTTCTAGAAAAACTGAAAATCAAATTTTGTGTTTTGAAAAAAATTTGGAATAATTTCTGAAACATTTAATCTGATGTTCATTCTTGAGCTTTATCTTCTCAACATTTTCAACGTCAAATTCCCCAATCATATTTTATTTCTTCAGAAAATCATCGAACGAGTTGATAACCCAATCCATCGCTCCGACGAAAAAGAATCAATCTACGATCTTCCACCACAAGAAAATCTCGAAAGACAGCCAGAAGTTCCACTCACCAAACTCTATCAAAAAGGAACTGCTGAAGACATCATCGACAATTCATCATATGTCAGAGGCGCTAAAATCTCGGACGAATCTGCTCCAAAAATTGCTTTGACAGACGATGAACTTCGTCGTGAAAAAGAGCATTATGTGAAATTCCACGATTCAAAGGTTAGATGTCCAGATGGTCCAGAAATTTCACTTGATGATGCTGAACTTCGCAAACAAAAGGATCATTATATCAAACATCGTGAAGAAATTGAGAATAAGATCGAGTTTCCACCAGAGGATGCTGGGGATAATAAGTTGATTTATCTTCGAACCAAAAATGATGAGACACCTTGCCCACCACCACCAACTGTTAGTGAAGAAGAGCAAGCTAGAAGACAAGCTGAATATTTGAGAGTGAAAGAGGAGGATGATAAAATTCTCATGCGACATGGATTCACCAGAAAGAATGAGTGAGTTTCTTAAAAACGTTTATTTTTATCGATTAAATTTTTTGTAGACCATCAATCGAGATTCAAGAACCAGTCACTGAACCGATCCGCGATGACGTTGTTGAAACCGCGCGTGCTCCAGAAATTGCTCTCCGACCAACTGAAGAACTTCCAGTATCACCAGTCCCATCGACAAGATCAACACCAGCCACAACTCCAAAAATGTCATTGAAATTCAAAAAAGATGGAAAGGAGCCGAAACCATTTGATTTTGGAAAAAGTAAATTTACTTGTAAACATGATGTTATTAAAAGAGGAAAAGAGGTTGAAGTCAAATTGGAAGGTTTGAAGATTGGAAAAAGAAGATCAATTGAGAGTTGTTGTTTTGCGTGAGTTTTGGGGCGGGGATTTTTTGAATTATATAATTTTTTGTGAAATTTCTAGTCCAACCAAAATGTTTCCAGCACCAGCCAACAAAACATCTAGCCCAGCTCAAAACGGCGGACCACCAGCCGAAATCGAAACCAAGGTCAAAAAATCCAGCAGCAAATACGAGATCTCCTTCAAACCCACCGATGTTGGAACTCACAAAATCTTCGCCTATGTCAACGAAATTCAACATCCACTCTCACCATTTGCCGTCAGAGTTTATGATGCTTCAGAAATCATCGTCGGAGAAATTCCACATCAATCACATTTGAATGATACTGTTGAATTTACTGTTGATGCTGGTCGAGCCGGTTTTGGAAATCTTGAAATGGCTATTAAAGATGCGGATGGTGTTATTATTCCATCACATGTTGCTCAACTTGAGAGTGGATCAGCCAAGTTTTTGGTCACTTTCACACCAGCCACCAAAGGTCCACACACAGTCAACATCACCTTCAATAAGGAAGTTCTCAAACGTAAGTTTCTGATTTTTTCTTTTGAGTTTACATAAGTCCTCCTGTTTCAGATTCACCATTCGAGGTAAATATCATTGATGCGCCACAACCTCCCCCACCACCGCCAGCAATTGTTAGCCAAGAGAACGTGATTGCTTCGCCAAGTTTGAGCAAGAAGGAGTTGAAAGAGCAAGAGAAGGAGAAAAAGAGAGAGGAAAAAGAAAGAGCCAAACGGGAGAAGGAAGAAAGAGCAACTTTGAAAAAGGAGAAAAAGGTGAGATTAATATGGGTGGTCATTGTGGGAGGTTATATCTAGAAATACTCTATAACTATTTTGACTCGCTTACAGAAAATTATGATTCAATTTTTTGTTTTTGAAATTTCTGGACAACAAAAAAAGTTTTGACGCCAAAATCTAATAAGATTTCCCTACAACATTTTTCAAAACTTTCGCTCAAATCAGACTTTTTTTTTTTGAAAACTAAAAGACTTTCAGTAACCCACAACTAAAATATTCCAGAAATTTCTAGAATCCAGATCTTTTTCAAAAGTTTTGACGCCAAAACACGCCTGACAAGACGTGTCCAAAAAAGGATACTGTACAAAAATTTTCAAATAAAAATTTTGGAATTTTTCTCTCTCGCCAAGTGTGCTCCAAAATCTAATGTTTGAAAAAATTTTTCATAAAAAATATAGTAACCCAAACTTTTTTAACAAATAGAAAAACGTAATTATTGTCAATCCGGAAGAAAAAACCCCTGTTTAAATTGCCGTTCACGTACAGTAGACTAAAAATGACATGCACATCAAACTGGTTGGCAAATAGCCAGCGGGTAAATTTTCGCAAAGTCTACAGTAGTCTTGGTTTTCTCCCGAGGTTCTTATTTTTTACACAATTTCCACCCACTTTTGCTAGAAAATCCTCATATTTTCCTTTGAACCTACCCACTTCTATCTCATCCCTTTCCCAAACTAAAATTATCTCAAGGAAATTGGTTGCCTATGCATTCATTAAAAAAAGGTATCATGTTTTTTTTGTGTAGTCTGTGATTCGATTTTTTTGGTGTGTCGTTTGGTTTCTTTTTTCTCAAAACAGAAAAACCAAAACAGTTTTCATATAAATTTATATAATATAAACCAAATGAATTTGGCCTTGACAAACAATGGTTTTGCATGTGTGTTTTTCTTTATCTCATTCTAATTTCCATTGATTTTTTCTTTCATTTTATGTCAATCCAACATTGTTTTTTTTTTCTTGCAGAACAAGTCGAGTCATCGATTCCCATCGAAGACGACCGTTTCGAAAATTCCATCTTTGTCGCGTGTCGGACAACCGTCTTCTTTGGTTGTTGAAGTTTCGGGGCATGATCAACTCGAGATCAGTGTTCTAGGTGAGTTTGCGCAATATTTTCAGATGAGCAAAAATATTTTCAGATTGATATTTTTGAAATAGAAATAAGTACTAACTATTCTAGCATGTTACTAACCAAAATTTTTTTGGATTGGTTCCAGAAAACAAAAAAAACTTCAAATTTGACCTAACTGATTTTTTCCAGACAATAAGAAAAATGAGATTGGCACTGAAATCGTAGAGATCGAACCAGGACATATGCAAATTAATTTCACACCTGCTCAAGTTGGAGATCATGAAATAGATGTTAGATATGGCGGAGTTCCAGTAACTGGATCCCCCTTCACATGTCGTGCTTATGATCCAGCCAAGATTCAAGTTGGAGCAATTCCAAAAGGAATGTTGGATAAACCAGTGTACTTCACTGTCGATGCTTCCGAAGCTGGAGTTGGAAATCTTGAAGTCGCAGTTTGTGAAGGTCGTGTTCCATCAACGGCTCATGCTTTAGGACATCATAAATATGACATCAGTTTTGTGCCCAAGGAAAATATTGATCACACAATCACAGTGAGATTCAATAATGAACCAGTCCCCGGTTCACCATTCATTTGTGAACTTGTCGCAACTACACAAGCTGTTGCATCTGGACCAGGTCTTGAAAGAATTCCAGTCGATGAGCCATCCAAAATCGAGATTCAAACTGATCGTAAAGATGTGACCCCGGATATTCGAGTTCGTGATCCACAAGCGAATTCACTTCCAGTTAACGTTACAAGAAGTAAATCTGATGAGACTTTGCATATCGCAACCTACACTCCAAAATGTGTCGGAAACCATCAAATCGATGTTTCGATTGATGGCGAACCAATTGTTGGATCGCCATTCACAGCAAAAGCATTTGATGCGAGAAAAGCTATCTTGACCCCACCACAAAGTGCAGTTGTTGATAAACCAGTCACTTTTATGATTGATGCTGCTCGCGCTGGAGCTGGAAATATGGAAATCATTGTCTCTGTCGATAATCATAATGTTCCAAATTTCGTACAAGCTGAAGGACAAGCACGATTCAAAGTATCGTTCACACCACTTGAAGCCAAACCTCACGTGATCAGCGTCAAATTCAATGGCTTCGCAATCCCCGGCTCACCGTTGGAATGCGATGTTCGAAGCGCAATTGCGACTGGTGTTGTCGCTGGAACTGCAACAACGGCTGGAATTGCTAGCGCTGTTGCTGCACACGCACATCAGAAAACTAAATCATCGGAATTGCAACAACAGCAACAGCCACAGAAAGTTGTGAACACTGTTCTTCAAAAATCGCCAGAAATCAAGGAGGTTCAAGAGAAGACTGGTCTTGCTAGAGAAATTCAATCAGCACAAGTGAGTTTAGGGCTGATTCACGAACGAAAAAAATGTTTAAAAATGTTTTTTTAACATCGAAAGATCAATTCACGAAAAAACATTGTAGGGCAAAATTAGTTTTTCGAGTTTTTCACCCAAAAATGATGACAAATCAATATTTTTCAAGCTTCTGGAGTAATTTCTGGTGAAAATAAGCTTTGAGAACCCTATTTTACTGTATTTTATGAATTTTTTCGAAATTCATCAAAATTTAAAATTTTTTTCTTTTACGAAAAATCAGCAAAACCTTCTGTAAAGTGAATTTCAAGGTCAATTTTAATCAGAAATTATTCCAGAAGCTTAAAAAATATCGATTTGTCATCATTTTTGGCTGAAAACCCCGAAAAACTAATTTTGACCTACAATGTTTTTTCGACATTTTTTGACTTTTCGTGAATTGATCTTTCGATGTTAAAAAAATTATTTAACATTTTTTCGTTCGTGAATCATGCCTTCTGGGAAAATTTTGAAAAATGTGTTCTTTGGTTAATCCTTATCAGAACTTTTTGATCTAGAATCAATAATTTTGACTCAAAATTCACATCAGTTTCAAAAAAAGTTGAGATAACTTTGATAAATAAATACTTTCAGGTTGGACAAAAACGTGGATTCACCATCGACAACATCAACAAATCGTCGGATTGTAACGTCGTGATCACCGGTATGTTTTTTGTCTCCCAAGTTTCTAATAATTTTTCTATCGGTTTTTTGGTTTTGCATTGCGGGGGTTTCTCATAGCTTTTTTGTGTCCTTGTTGGGTGTTATGTCCTCTAGTTTTGTGACTGTCTGTGAATGTTTTGTGTTCTGAAGCTCCTGATGGATCTGCGCTTCCGATCGCGTTGTCAAAATCATCAACATCTGCGTATGCTGAATTTACGCCAACTCAAAAAGGCGAGCATTTTGTGGAAATATTTGTGGATCAGGAGAAGGTTGATGAATTTGTGATGCGAGTTCGAGATGAGAGACATGTTTTGCCGATGGTTTCATTGGCCGGGCAGAAATATTCATTTGATGGTAAGTTTATTGATTTTTTTTTGTTTTTTTTTATTAATCGCTTTTTAGTTGACTCAAATGATAAGAATAAAGTGCGAGTTACGATTCGAGAACCATCCGGAAGAATGTTGCCTGTTCAAATGGAAGATCTTACCGATGGCGGAGTTCGTGTATCTTGTAGATTCAAGGAAATCGGGCCACACTCGATTGATGTTTTTGTTGATGATGAACCGATCGGTGAACGTCGAATTCAATCAGTGATTGATCCGTTGAATGGAGCACAATTGGTTTCTGAGCCCAAGCGAGAAATTGTTGGTGAAAAAACTGAATTGAAAATTCTCATTGATTCCGGTGTCGAATCTCAAGTTGAAGTGATCATCGATGGTCCTGATAGAGAATTCAATCATGTTGAGCTCAAAAAAATATCCGAAACTCTTTATTCAGCTGTTTGGACACCAAAAGTTGAGGGTGAACATGAACTATCGATTTTGGTAGCCGGCGAACAGATTCCTGGCTCACCATTTGCGATTCATGTTTTGGATCCGGCTGCAGTTCGAGTAGTCGGACTCAAAAACGCTCCAGTTGGTGTAGAACAACAATTCAGCGTTGACTACACCAATAGCGGTGCAGCCTTGGCGTCAGTTGAAGTAACTCATGGCGAACAAGCGATACCAACAACAGTGAAAAAAGTCAAACCCGGACTTTTGCTTTGCACTTTCACTCCAACTATCGATGGTCCACATCAAATTGAGGTCATTATTGATGGTGTTCCTCTAATTGGTGAGACATCGAGTTTTTTGTTGATGAAAAAAAAATCAAAAATTGTTTTTACAGATGGTCCTTATGAAGTGTTTATCAGTAAACTAGGAACAGTTCGAGCATCTGGAGATGCTCTACGAAAAGCGCAACGCGCTAGAACCGCTAGATTCGAAATCATCAATTGTGAACAGAATCGGGGAGAGCTTGATGTGATGGTTTCAGGTACCCCCCTCGGAACTTCTCGATCCCCCACTTACATGTTTTTTTGTGTTTTGCATGTTTCTCCTACTAACACGTTTTGGGAAAACTAATCTAATAATATTTCTCTGTTTCAGAAAAAATTAAATGTTTTTTTTCCAGATCCAAAAGGTGGACCGTTGCCAGTCAGATGCTATAAACAACAAGACGATAGTTATTGGGTTGAGTTCACTCCAGAACACTTGGGAACTCATACAATTGAGGTGACTTTCGGTGATGTTCCAGTTCCTGGATCACCATTCAAGACTGAAGTTGTTGACCCGAAACAGGTTGAGGTTCGAGGTCTTGGAGAGCAGATTCTTCTCAGACATGCCACAACTATTAATGGTGAGTTTGTTTTTTGAAGATCTCAACTCATCCAGGAAAATATTTTCCCTTTTAAAAATATTATTTGTTTTCAGTTGATCGACGAAACGCTGGAACTGGTGAACTTCAAGTCGAGGTCACTGATCCAAATGGAACTCAATTGAAAACCGAAGTTTTGAAATCGCCAGCTGGTGAAGATCGCATCACATTCTTGCCAAATCAAACTGGACCACACAAGATCAATGTGAAAGTTGCTGGATTCCAGATTCCCGGTTATCCACAAACAATCATTGTTAGTGAACAAGAGCGGCCTGGTGTTTATGGTGCAGCTGTTGATCAATCGATAAAGGTTAATGAGCCAGCATCATTGATTTTTGATCCGAAATCGAATCACGGTGGTTTGAAAATTCTTGTAACTGGTCCGGAAAACAACAAAGTTCATCATAACGTTATGCGACGACCAAATGGAACATCAGAAGTTGTATTTTATCCAGAAGGAGTTGGAGCATACAATGTAAGCATTGATTTCAACAATCGTCCGGTATCTGGCAGCCCATTCGAAGTGAATGTTGTTGACGCGACAAAAGTTGTTGTGAATGATTTGGATATGGATCGCGATGGAACCCTTCTTCTTCGACTCGGCCAATCGAACTCGTTCGATGTTGACGCGACGGCAGCCGGACCCGGCAAACTTCGCGCGGAAGTTCGGGATGCTGATGGTACACTGATCGGTGATGGCCCGGCTGTCGAAGATCTTGGAAAGGGCAAGTATCGTGTGCGATTTGATCCAAGACAGACTGGAAAGTGAGTTTTGTTTTTTGAGAATTTTTTGATTTTTCCAAAAAAAATATTTTCCAGATACTCAATCTATCTTTTCTGGAACGAGTTGCCAGTTGAAAGTGCCTTCCCTGTCCGTGCCAGATTCGCCAACTCCTCAAACGTTGAAGAACTCCCAACAACCTCTAGAACTATCACAACCACCACAACCACCAAAGAACAAACCTCACAACAATCCACCCAACATCATCAATCCCAACATTCTGATGATGAGATTAGTCGAGTTATGATCAGAGGAGATGGTCTCCATCGAGCTGCTCTCAAAGAACACAACGAGTTCATCGTTGATGGAAGTGACATCAATTCAGAAGGTCGAATAACAGCAACACTTCTCGGATCAAAAGCTGATATCCCAGTTAGAATACAACAACTCGGACACAATGTTTATAAAGCCACTTATACACCATTGACGAGTGGAACTTATGAATTACACGTGTTATGGAATAATCGACACGTCAAAGGTTCACCATTCAATGTTTCTGCTGACACTTCTTCACATCCAGCTGATTTGATTGGAGTTGATGCGTCTTCATTGAAGATTGGAATCATCAATGAGAACATCAAGACGGTTATTGATACTAGAAGAGCTGGACCCGGACAATTGTCGGCACATTGTATGGGACCGATGAAGCCAGCTTATTGTGAATTGTACGATCATCGCGATGGAACATATACACTTTGTGTCAGACCAGCTGAGGTTAGTTGAATTTTGAATATTAGATGATCAATCAATAATTTTCAAAAAAATTCCAGATCGGAAAGCACACATTGGTGATCAAATACAATGATGAACATGTGAAAGGAAGTCCATACTTGGTGCATGTTTCACTTCCACCAGATCCGTCAAAAGTTCGCGTTTATGGACCAGGTGTTGAGCACGGCATTTTGTCAATGTGAGTTTTGAATTTGGATTTCATCTGTTTTTTCTCTGCGTCTCTGAAATCCTGAAAATCTCTAACTGTCTGAATCTCACTTTCTCTATTTCTAGTCCTCTGTGCAACTCAGCCTTCTAATTTATCTGCGTCTCTAACCTTTACTTTAGATGTCTAACCATCTGAAGAACTCTCTGCGTCTCTAAAAATTTCTAACCGTCTAAATTCCTCTATCTTTCTATTTCTAGTCTTTTTTTCTCTCGCTGTCTGGAATTATCTGCGTCTCTTACCTTTACTATAGAGTCTAACCATCTGAGGACTCTCTGCGTCTCTAAAAATCTCTAACGTCTGAGGCCCACTTTCTCTGTTTCTCGTTCTCTCGCTGTCTAAAATTATCTGCGTCTCTAACCTTCATCATAAACGTCTAACCATCTGAACTCTCTGCCTCTCTAACAATTTCTAACCATCTGAATTCCACTATATTTCTAGTCCCCCCCTTTTTGCTCTCGATGTCTGGAATTATCTGCGTCTCTAACCACTATGAACTTGCAAATTCCAGGTTCAAATCGAACTTTGTTGTCGAAACGCGCGGCGCTGGAGCCGGTCAACTCACCGTCCGAGTGCGTGGTCCAAAAGGCGCATTCAACGTCGAAATGCAACGAGAAAAGAAGAACGAACGAACCATCCACTGCAAATACGAGCCAAAAGAGCCGGGAGACTATCAAGTCGAGGTGAAATGGCACGGTGAACACGTTCCCGGTAGCCCGTTCCTCGTCATGATTGTCGACACCGAACAAGAGCTCTCACGATTCCTTCGAGGAGAAGCGCCGTCGCCAACACCAGCCACGCCCTTCATCCCACCAGGATGGGTTGGACCACCGCCACCAATGTTCCATATGCCACCAGGCCAAAGACCTCCAGGTTTCGGCTCGCCGATTGGTGTACCAATGCTACCATATGGAGCACCCCCACCGCCAAAACATAAGGGAAGAAATCATTAGGACCACTTTTTTTTTGACAATTTTTTTCATTCATTTCTTTCAAAAAGCTCATTTTATTTTTTATTTTTTCTGGAAACTTACAGATTTTACTTATATTTTCTTTTATTATCATATACCAAATGTTATCCTGCCAATTTTATTTTTTTATTTTGCAACCAACCAAAATTGTGATTTTTTTTAATTTCATTGCTCATCTTATATATTTTTCCTTCCTGTGCTTCGTTTTTTTTTTGAAATAGCATATTTTAAGCCTTTGTCATATTATAAATGATTAGATTTTTTGCAAAAAATATGTTGTTTCACATAATAAATCTTTATTTTGAAAAAAAATTGTTTTTTTCCCCCGCCAAAGAAAAATTTTGTTGACCTTGTTATCGCTGAGAAACAACTACGGCGTAGCCATTTTGGATCGATGATAACATTTATAAATATGTTTTTATTGTTGTTTCTTTTATTTTTTTTCTATTTTTTTTCAGAAAAATGAGTGATTTGATCCTTACTGAACTTAAAAACAATGCCTTATGGATCACACTTAATCGCCATAAGAAATACAACGCCATCACCTTTAAGGTATCTATTATTTTTATATATAACTTTTCAAAAAATCAATAATTTTAGATGTTCGACACGTTGAGAGAAGTTTTATTAAATGCAGCGGAGGATGAAAAAGTTTCGTTTGTAGTTTTAACTGGCGGAGATTGTAAAATGTATTCCGCTGGGGCGGATTTCTCACCACCAGAATTTGCAGCTCAATTGTAAGGTTTCACTAGACCACCCACGAAGAAAAAATGTTTTTTTTTTCAGGGAAGCTACAGAGTCAAATATGAACGTTGGATATAAACCGTTTGTTGATGTTTTGGCAGCGTTTCCGAAACCAATTGTTGCGTTGGTAAATGGGCCGGCGGTCGGGGTTGCTGTGACGACTTTGGGATTGATGGATACGGTTATTGCTGTTGATACGGTAGGTTAGATGTTTATCCTCAATTTTCACAACAAATTCAGGCCACATTCCACATGCCATTCGCTGAATATGGCCTTTGTCCAGAAGCCATGGCTAGCAAAACATTGGTTGACACAATGGGATATCAAAAAGCTGCAGCTACAATGTTATTCAATGAGAAAATCACTGCACAAGAAGCGTTTATCGCCGGATTGGTAACCAAAGTCATCCCAGCTGCTGATTTCAAAACAGAAACTGCGAAAATCATCGAGCGATACACTAAATTATCATCACAAACTCTTTTGGTTGGAAAACGCTTGATGAGACCAGAAGGAGAAGTTGATAAGTTGCTGACTGCAAATCGAAGAGAGAAAGAAGTTTTGGATAAATGTTTCAGTTCGGAAGATGCGGTTACACGACTTTCGGCCAAATTTTCTGGTGGTTCGAAATTGTAAATTTGAATGTTTTGAAGAATGAATATTTTTTTCATGAAAAAAACTGTGTATGAAATTGAAAACATTTTTTTTAAACAAAAAGGTTTTATAGGGGTACATATTTCTGAAAACGAGAAATGAATAATTCTTCTCTGTTGAAATTTTATGAGCCTAAGCCTAAATTTCAGAGCCGCGGAGCTTTTCCAGCATTCAAAGCTTAGGCTTACAATTAGTTTAAAAAAAAGTTACTGAATTTTGGACTAATTTTTAGGAAGTTCTTTTTAATTTTTCGGTCTCTCAAAACCATTTTTTTAAACTCTTTATTCTGAAAAACCCTTTACTTTCTCTTAAACCCTTCATTTCCGAACAGAGCTATAACCTTTACGAGAAAGGTTTGTTTACGAAAAAAAAAACCACTACTACAGGGTGCGCGCGAAATATGTGTGCATGCGAGAATTTCACATACAGTGTTAGTAATATTGGCACACGTAGTGAATGTGAGTATGGATTGTTCAAAACAAGTCACAAGTATCCGAGAAACACCATTTACAAGAACTCAAGTCAATCTCTTCACTTAAAATAGAATCCGGTTTGTATGAAGTCAGAAGAGAAATTGTGAAAATGAGAAAATCCGCACGCGACTCTTCTTATTTTTCGGATAATGATTTTGACCAGTTAGAACTCGAGTTTCGTAGAAGTTATTTAAATATGATTTTGTAGGATCTCTTTAGACATCATTGGCTTACTTTATTTAAATTCATAGAGTTCATCATGCCGTTTTAAGAACAAGCAGGCCTATAACAAAATTCCTCTCGAGGAATCGGCGAAATCTGAATTCAATCTGAGAAACAAGCTCTAGAGCACTTAAAAGTCAATAATTCATCGTGATTATGACTGAATTATGATAATATGTTCATATTACTGCAGTTTGATAGAAATATTGGTTATACAAACATTACTTTCGACAATAATTGATTTTTGACTCTTTTGGGAATTTTTTTTTTGAAAACTTCACTTTTGTAGGTTGCACTAAACACCATTTTCAGAAAGTTTTGTGGAACCAGATATGGATTTCTGTTATGAACACTATCAGGGAAGGTAAAATAAAGGTTTTTTGCTGATCACTTCAAATAATAGTCAAAATTAGGACTCTGAAACAGTCTTGTGAACTTGAAAATAGCCGCGTTCATACCACACTCAATCTAAAACCATACCCCAAAGGAAATTATGCGACTTGGTCTAGGTATACAAAATCGGCTTCGGATTTTGTATTGTGATTAGTTTGGCTAATTTGAGGCCAAATCTCAGCGTGATCAGGCACGTTCTGGCTTTATTATGGCCAAAAGTTCATGCACACATATTTCGCGCGCACCCTGTAACTTCATTCCAGAACTGTTTTTCATTTTTTCCACCACGCAAAACCCCAAAAACAAAAATTACATAACCAATCCCTGACATTTCTCTCTCTTTCTCTAATCCTCTTTCCATTCATCATTAGCGACCACATTGAATAATAATCTATGAGGGGAGAGAAGAAAACGCGCCCCACTGCAGCGTCCCTGTGATGCCTTTGAACAGGGGAGAAAAGAGAGGAGAACACTTTTTGTTTTTGTTTTTTTTTGTGGGATTTCGCGTATTATTAGGGAGAGAGAGAGAGAGATTTAGTTGTTTATGATTAAAATAAGTTTTCTAGATTCCTCTAGAAAAATTTTCAAGGTTTGTCGGAAATAAAGTTATCTTATGTTTAGAACTCAAAATTTCATGGGGTTGTCTGAAATATCAGAAATTTGAGGTTTACATTACGTAAGTCCCCGATTTTGAAACTTCAGTCTAGTTTAGTTGACCTTTGCCCCTGCCCCCTCTTAATTGTAGCCTACACTTCCCAAACATCTCTGATCACCCGAAAAAAATCTACACACGCGGCGTGCACATTGTCCCCTATTTTTTGTTCGCTAGGTTAGAGAAGAGAGATAAGAAATCGACAAAAACACTTTTTTTTATCTGTCCCATTTTTCTCGTCTTGTTTTTTATACCTACCTATCTACTAAATTGTAATACATTCTTTTCAGAAAAATGTTGAGTTCAGTTGCTGCTCGCGGATTTTCGACATCTTCAGCTGTTGCTGCCAAAATCAATAATGTCACAATTATTGGCGCCGGATTGATGGGATCTGGAATTGCGCAAGTTTCAGCAAATGCAAAACTCAATGTTACTGTTGTTGATAACAATCAAAAAGCATTGGATAAAGCGACGAAGGGAATTGAAAGCAGTTTGAAGAGAGTTGCCAAGAAGAAGTTTGCTGATGATGCGGCTGCACAAGATTCATTGGTCAAATCGGTTTTGGATCGAATTACTGTTTCGACAAATGTTAGTGAAGGTGTGAAGAATGCTGATTTGGTTATTGAAGCGATTGTTGAGAATATTGATATTAAACGCAAACTTTTTGCTGAGATTGAGGGGGCTGTTAAAAGGTAATTTTATTGATTCTCAGGACCCGATATTCAGTATCTGAAACTATGCCTTCGGAAATCATCCCCTTATTTTGCAGCTCTGCCATCATCACCACCAACACATCTTCTCTAAAACTCGAAGACATCGGATTGAACCTCAAAAACAAGAAGCAATTCGGAGGACTCCATTTCTTCAATCCAGTCCCAATGATGAAATTGTTGGAAGTTGTCAGACACGCTGAAACTTCTGATGAGACTTTCAGCGATTTGATGGCCTATGGAAAAGCTATCGGAAAAACCACAGTTGCTTGCAAGGTTAGCAATTTTATAATGAAATCAAAAACCATATTTATATTTCCAGGACACTCCGGGATTCATCGTCAACCGTCTTCTCGTTCCATACATGTTTGAAGCGCTGCGCCTTTACGAACGTGGAGATGCCTCAAAAGAAGATATCGATGTTGCGATGAAACTTGGAGCTGGCTATCCGATGGGACCATTCGAACTTTGCGATTATGTTGGACTTGACACCGTCAAATTTATTATGGAGGGATGGCATCAACAATATCCAAACGATCCAACTTTCAAAACAAGCCCACTTTTGGATGGATTAGTCAAAGACGGAAGACTTGGACGTAAAGCTGGAAAAGGATTTTATGATTATTAGATGATTGATATTTATTATGGGTTGAATTGTTTTTTGTAAGATAAGAATAAACGAGTGTACTGTAAAATTGTATGTTTTTTTTTTGAATTTTAAAATTTAACGATTATTCGGTCAAAAATTTGTAGAACTGAAAGATCTTCCAAGTTCAAGATTTTAAACTTAAATTGATTGGAATTCATATATTCAGCACTGTCTTCAAATTATATTCTTTTTTTATCAACATTTTTTCGGTCAAAAATTTGTAAAGCTGGAAGTTCTTCCAAGTTTTTAAATCATTTTTCCATGATTTCAGTTTGAAATTGATTTGTTGCGCACTTATTGAGTACTGTCTTAAAGGTGGAGTCCGAGCAAAAATTAAGTTGTGCTCATTTGAAAGAGCAAATTAGTACAATTGTTGAAGGATTTCCCTGGAAGCTCCTCAAACATTGGTTAAAAAATTAAAATGTTCGAAAAAACAGTGAAACACCGTGTAAAATGGCTGTAAAAGTGTAAAAGTCCATAAGTACTGTAGCTTGGAATTAATATTTCAGAAGCTTCCAGAAAAAATCCTTCGAGAATTGTACTAATTAAAACATGCTCTTTAACAGACATTATTTGTAAGAAAGGAAATTTCCACACATAGCTCTGTACAAAATGACACATGGTGGCCAATAAATTGGGAATCGATTTTTTTTAAAAGTACCACCCTTAAAAAGTATATTCCACATAATAACTCGACCTGAAACTGATTCTCTAATTTAGGGTAACTCGGTTTATGTAAGAGGGTCGAAAACTTCAAATGGTCGTAACTAGGCTTAAACTCAATATTTTTTGATGAGTAAAAAAGCATTTTGCTCGTCTCGGTGAGCTCTTGCTTATTGAGTGAAGACCCAGAAACGAAAATCACTCTCAACTTCTATCCACAAACACCCCATTTTGAAAATCTTTTCAGAGGCTTTAGTGTACTCTCTAACCGCAAAAATAAGATTCGCCGTGATTTTTTAGGTAGGTATCGATCGAAATAAAAATTTTAAACCTTGGCCCAAGTCGAGTTTTATGGCCCTGAAAAGATTTGATCTATTGCGCGCGCACACACGCGCGCGCACATGTGTGTGTGCATGTGTGTGGGTTACTGTAGTTTTTTATTTTTTTTTATTTTTCGTCTTTTTTGTTCAAAAATTGTCAGATACTGTTTTTTGAGAAATATGAGGTTGTAAGCCAACGATTTGCAGCTAGAATTTTGACTGAAAATCGAAATTTTCAAAATTTTCAGCTGGAAAATGCTAAAAATGGGCTAAAATTTGAAAATTTTGATTTTGGTCTCAAATTTTCAGAAATGTTTAGGGCAGTTGAGAAAAACATCTGAAGTTTGAAATTTCAGCATTTTCAGCCGGATAAAGCTGAAATTGGGCTGAAAATGTGATGAAAATCAAACATTTTGATTTTGGTCTCAAATTTTCAGAAATGTTTAGGGCAGTTGAGAAAAACATCTGAAGTTTGAAATTTCAGCATTTTCAGCCGGATAAAGCTGAAATTGGGCTGAAAATGTGATGAAAATCAAACATTTTGATTTTGGTCTCAAATTTTCAGAAATGCTTAGGGTAGTTGAGAAAAACATCTGAAATTCAAAATTTCGGAATTTTCAGCATGAAAAAGCTGAAATTGGGCTGAAAATGTGATGAAAATCAAACATTTTTCAAACATTTTGATTTTTATCACAATTTTTTTGAAATGGTTAGGGAAGTTGTGAGAAGCATCTGAAAGTCAAAAATTCAAAATTTTTAGTCAGGAAAACTTGAAAACAGGCTGAAAATTGAACATTTTTAGATGGGCCTTTCACGTCCTGAAAGCGTTGCTCCATGACAGACACGCTTTCAAGATGTCGCTCCTTGACAGAATGATAGACAAGACGGGGCTCCTAGTTGAATGAGCCTTCAAGCCGCTGCGTCTTGGCAATCTGTGTCTCTTTGCAAATTGGGATCATAAGACAAGGCTAAATGTCAATGAGGTAGACAAATATTTTTCAGAACGGCTCACAAAGCGTGGCTTTTTGTTAGAGAACTTATTTTGTCTGTAAAGTAGCCACGCCTCGAGAGCGTGAATGTCAAGGTGCAAAGCCTTGAGAGCGTGAATGTCAAGGAGCAACTCACGCACTCCAGGTCTTTCTCTGACTGACATGTTCTCAAGAAGTTCCTTCACATCGAAAATTTTGTGATTGAGCTAAATATTTCAGAATCGGTTGGGGGACTTCTGAAAAAAAAATGACTTCTGAAAAGTTATAACTTTTCAGAAAAGCTGGGAATAGGTTGAAAATCGAAGTTCTTCATTTCAGTCTCAATTTCTCAGAGTAGCTAGAGTAGCTTCGAAAAAGTGTGTTTCAAAGTTTTTTTGGGTTTTCAACTAGACCAAGCTGAAAATGATCTGAAAAATAAACTATTGTGTCTTCGTAAAGCTCAGTGTCTAAACAATAACACAGAGTTTGATAAGCAAACAATTTTAGTAATTTAGGCTCTCTCGTGGCCGGCCTAGCATTTCCGGCAGTTCTTCGTATTTACCAAAAGCTTTGCTGAACCCTAAAACCCTCACTTGGGTTGTTGAACAAACGGTTTGACTCTTTTACGGACTGACCATATAGATGTGGCACTTCGATATTCACGCTCTCGAGGCGTGGCTACTTTACAGACAAAATAAGTTCTCTAACAAAAAGCCACGCTTTGTGAGCCGTTCTGAAAAATATTTGTCTACCTCATTGACATTTAGCCTTGTCTTATGATCCCAATTTGCAAAGAGACACAGATTGCCAAGACGCAGCGGCTTGAAGGCTCATTCAACTAGGAGCCCCGTCTTGTCTATCATTCTGTCAAGGAGCGACATCTTGAAAGCGTGTCTGTCATGGAGCAACGCTTTCAGGACGTGAAAGGCCCATCTAAAAATGTTCAATTTTCAGCCTGTTTTCAAGTTTTCCTGACTAAAAATTTTGAATTTTTGACTTTCAGATGCTTCTCACAACTTCCCTAACCATTTCAAAAAAATTGTGATAAAAATCAAAATGTTTGAAAAATGTTTGATTTTCATCACATTTTCAGCCCAATTTCAGCTTTTTCATGCTGAAAATTCCGAAATTTTGAATTTCAGATGTTTTTCTCAACTACCCTAAGCATTTCTGAAAATTTGAGACCAAAATCAAAATGTTTGATTTTCATCACATTTTCAGCCCAATTTCAGCTTTATCCGGCTGAAAATGCTGAAATTTCAAACTTCAGATGTTTTTCTCAACTGCCCTAAACATTTCTGAAAATTTGAGACCAAAATCAAAATGTTTGATTTTCATCACATTTTCAGCCCAATTTCAGCTTTATCCGGCTGAAAATGCTGAAATTTCAAACTTCAGATGTTTTTCTCAACTGCCCTAAACATTTCTGAAAATTTGAGACCAAAATCAAAATTTTCAAATTTTAGCCCATTTTTAGCATTTTCCAGCTGAAAATTTTGAAAATTTCGATTTTCAGTCAAAATTCTAGCTGCAAATCGTTGGCTTACAACCTCATATTTCTCAAAAAACAGTATCTGACAATTTTTGAACAAAAAAGACGAAAAATAAAAAAAAATAAAAAACTACAGTAACCCACACACATGCACACACACATGTGCGCGCGCGTGTGTGCGCGCGCAATAGATCAAATCTTTTTCAGGGCCATAAAACTCGACTTGGGCCAAGGTTTAAAATTTTTATTTCGATCGATACCTACCTAAAAAATCACGGCGAATCTTATTTTTGCGGTTAGAGAGTACACTAAAGCCTCTGAAAAGATTTTCAAAATGGGGTGTTTGTGGATAGAAGTTGAGAGTGATTTTCGTTTCTGGGTCTTCACTCAATAAGCAAGAGCTCACCGAGACGAGCAAAATGCTTTTTTACTCATCAAAAAATATTGAGTTTAAGCCTAGTTACGACCATTTGAAGTTTTCGACCCTCTTACATAAACCGAGTTACCCTAAATTAGAGAATCAGTTTCAGGTCGAGTTATTATGTGGAATATACTTTTTAAGGGTGGTACTTTTAAAAAAAATCGATTCCCAATTTATTGGCCACCATGTGTCATTTTGTACAGAGCCATTTCCAATATTAAGAATAACGTCTGTTAAAATGAGAACAACTTCATTTTTACTCGGACTCCACCTTTAAAGAAATACTATTTTTTAATAAATTCTCTATTGGTCAAAAATTTGTAAATCTGGAATGATCTTCCAGTTTCACAAATTAATTTTAAGAAATTTGAATTACTTCATACATAAATAAATAGTCCATTAATTTATTGATTAATTAAAAATAAGTAATTTAGTGTAAAATAGTTTCTCACATTCAGGAACATAAAAAAAGGTGCATATCATATTTTGGCTATTTTTTCAAAGACAGAAAGAAATAAAAAGAAAGATCATTATAACTGCAATTTATTCAACATCTTGATCGTGTTCATCAAACTCTCCTTCGTCATCAGCAGTCGCTTCTTGATATTGTTGATATTCGGAGACCAAATCGTTCATATTGCTTTCCGCTTCAGTGAACTCCATTTCGTCCATACCTTCTCCGGTGTACCAATGGAGGAAAGCTTTTCGGCGGAACATTGCTGGAAACACAAATGTTTGAGGGTATTTAGATGATCTTTGAAATAAGAAATATTTTTGATCATCCAGAATTGTTTGAAAATTTTCTAGAAATCCATAAATGTTTCAATTAATTTATTTACAGTTGCCGTGAAAATTGGAATTCCTGGTCAAAACTACAAAAAATACCTGTAAATTGTTCACTGATTCTCTTGAACAACTCCTGAATAGCAGTCGAGTTTCCAACAAAAGTCGCCGCCATTTTAACACCTCTCGGTGGAATATCACAAACCGCAGTCTTGACATTATTTGGAATCCACTCAACAAAATATGACGAGTTCTTATTTTGCACGTTCAACATTTGCTCATCAACTTCTTTCATGCTCATTCTTCCACGGAACATGGCGGCAACAGTCAAATATCTTCCGTGTCTCGGGTCACAAGCAGCCATCATATTTTTGGCGTCAAACATTTGTTGAGTGAGTTCTGGAACTGTTAGCGAGCGGTATTGTTGTGAACCGCGAGATGTTAGTGGAGCAAATCCAGGCATAAAGAAATGAAGACGTGGGAATGGAACCATATTGACAGCAAGTTTACGAAGATCAGCGTTGAGCTACAAAATTATTAACTGTGTACTTTGAAGAATTTCAAATAATCCAACCTGTCCGGGGAATCTCAAACAAGTTGTAACTCCACTCATTGTCATTGAAACCAAATGATTCAAATCTCCATAGGTTGGTGTTGTCAATTTCAAAGTTCTGAAGCAGATATCATACAACGCTTCATTGTCAATACAGAAAGTTTCATCGGTATTCTCAACAAGTTGATGAACGGAAAGTGTTGCATTGTAAGGTTCAACTACGGTGTCAGAAACTTTTGGACTTGGAACAACGGAGAAGGTCGTCATTATACGATCCGGATATTCTTCACGGATTTTTGAGATGAGCAATGTTCCCATACCTGATCCGGTACCACCACCCAATGAGTGAGTCATTTGGAAACCCTGGAAATTTTTGTTTTCAAAATTCCTATTATTATTAGTCCTGTGTATTTCTGAAAACATGTGTGTGGCGCTTCCGGAGCAACAGGTGCGTGTTAACCGGAAAGGGTGCGCGTTGAAGCGAAAGGTGTTGGTATAAGGTGGAAATATATTTTTTTTTCTAGATTTGGAAGCATTTTCAGAAAATTGATGGAATCTGGGATGTGATTTTGTAAAATAAGGTTATGATGCTTGATTTATGGATCTTTCTAATACTGACTTTTGTCTTAAAAGAATTCGGAGCTCTTTAAAAAAACTTCCAGAATTTTTGAAGCTAAATCTCACGACTACATTTAAACCTAGTTACTATAAGTGAGCTCACTCATGAGTATGAAAAATTTGGTTTTGAGAATTGGAATAATTTTGATTCTGGGCTTGGAAAGCGGAATTTGATTTTCCAGATTTTTTCCAGCACGTGTCTCATGTGTTTCCTACCAACCTGAAGACAATCGCAACTCTCCGCCTCCTTTCTAACCACATCCAAAACATTATCAACCAATTCAGCTCCTTCGGTATAATGTCCTTTCGCCCAATTGTTACCAGCTCCACTTTGCCCAAAAACAAAATTATCTGGTCTAAACAATTGTCCGAAAGGTCCAGCCCGAACTGAATCCATAGTTCCCGGCTCCAAATCCACCAAACAAGCTCTTGGCACATATTTGCCACCGCTAGCCTCATTGTAGTACACATTGATTCTCTCCAATTGAAGATCTGAATCTCCGTTGTAGGCTCCAGTTGGATCGATTCCATGTTCATCGGAAATGACTTCCCAAAACTTGGCACCAATTTGGTTACCACATTGACCGGCTTGAATGTGAACAATCTCACGCATCTTGTTTTTTTTTTCTCTGGAAATAATGCGATTGGAAGAAATCGGATTAAGAACAACAAAAAATGTATAACATTCGGAGAGAAAAAAATTCCAAGCAGCCAAAAAGAATGAAGCCGCGTGCCTGGTTGATCAATACGGATTCCATGGAAACGGTGGGCGGAGCAGGGCGAGCCAAAAATTCTTGCGAAATTGCTCAATTTGTAGGGGAAAATTGGTGAGGTGCGAATAATGTTGCGCGACACAACAGATGTTTAGCCTGTCTCAAAAAAATTATGATTCATTTTCAAAATAATACAAAATAAATAAATAAATAAATAAAGAGAAAAATAGCTGGCACCATGGAGAAAAAACCTAAATAAAATCACATTTTTTGTTAACCCTTCCAGAATCGATAGAAAAAATACATAAATAGAATACAGAATATACAACCAATGACGAAGATGAGCCAATCTTCACGAACTCGACGATCAATTACTTGAAGAGTGGAGTTGGATAAGCCGAGCTGGAAAAATAGGAAAAGTTTTGATGAAAACTTGGAAATTTTTCACAAGAAAATGTCAAAAATCGTCAGAAAATGTTGAAATTCTGAAAATCTCTTTATGTGAAATTTCAGAAATAGATCAATTTTCATTTGTACATTTAAAAAATACTGATTACGGCTCTTCAAATTATGCCGTCAACTTGAAAGCTCCCATCAAGACTTATAGGAACTTAATTTTGCCGTGGGGCTCATTTTTGAATGTGGGGACCATTTCTCACATTTTTTTTTCAAATTTTGGAGTTTCTTATTCCATAACTTTGTAATTTATATGACAGAAATTACCAAGAAATCTCAAAATTCTCCCTCCAACCCCCTGAAATTGCTTACCGCTTGTCCAACATCCAAAATTTTCCGTCTAACTCCTCTCAAATTCATATGTTGCGATCGCAAACTATCCAACACTGCCGATCCTTGATTTATCAAATCATCCAGCTGCAAATTTCAAATTTATTTAGGAAAAATTGCAAAAAAAAACACCTACATGATTATGAGAAGTGTGTAAACGATCATTCATTTGTAATTCATGATCACCGATCGATAATGCCGTATCATTTGGGCGGAATCGCTGCTTCAATAATTCATCTCTTTCACTCGCTGCTCTCCATTTATGCGTCATTTTTGTGTGAACACCTGAAACTGCCAGTTCGACGCGTTGAACATCGCTTTTCAATTGATCGACTTTCATTCGAGCCTGAAGATTTTTTGATTTTCAAAGTGAGAAAAATGAAGAAGAAAAATTACCATTTGTCGACGAGCTGGTGGTTCTCTTGATACATAATCGTCAAGGATTCGACTGTTTTCGGTGAGACCTCTGGAAATATTTAGAGCTGAATTTTCAGATAAACAAATCTTTGCAGCAGCTAGTCATAAAATTTCTAATTAGCCCAATCTTCAGAGGATAATTTCTGGAAGCTTCTCAAATATGAAATCCAAACTTCACACGGTGTTTCATTGTTTTTTTTTTTGAAATTTGAAATTTTTTAACAAAAATTAGAGAAGTTTCCAGAAAAAACAGGATTGTACTAATTAGAACATGCTCTTTCAAATTAGCATAACTTGTTTTTCATTCAGACTCCAAAAACAACGGAAAATCCATGTTTTCTCCGAATAATTCTTCAAAATCAACAATTTTTCTCAAAAGATATAGATGTGACCATATAGATGTGGCACTTCGATATTCACGCTCTCGAGGCGTGGCTACTTTACAGACAAAATAAGTTCTCTAACAAAAAGCCACGCTTTGTGAGCCGTTCTGAAAAATATTTGTCTACCTCATTGACATTTAGCCTTGTCTTATGATCCCAATTTGCAAAGAGACACAGATTGCCAAGACGCAGCGGCTTGAAGGCTCATTCAACTAGGAGCCCCGTCTTGTCTATCATTCTGTCAAGGAGCGACATCTTGAAAGCGTGTCTGTCATGGAGCAACGCTTTCAGGACGTGAAAGGCCCATCTAAAAATGTTCAATTTTCAGCCTGTTTTCAAGTTTTCCTGACTAAAAATTTTGAATTTTTGACTTTCAGATGCTTCTCACAACTTCCCTAACCATTTCAAAAAAATTGTGATAAAAATCAAAATGTTTGAAAAATGTTTGATTTTCATCACATTTTCAGCCCAATTTCAGCTTTTTCATGCTGAAAATTCCGAAATTTTGAATTTCAGATGTTTTTCTCAACTACCCTAAGCATTTCTGAAAATTTGAGACCAAAATCAAAATGTTTGATTTTCATCACATTTTCAGCCCAATTTCAGCTTTATCCGGCTGAAAATGCTGAAATTTCAAACTTCAGATGTTTTTCTCAACTGCCCTAAACATTTCTGAAAATTTGAGACCAAAATCAAAATGTTTGATTTTCATCACATTTTTCAGCCCAATTTCAGCTTTATCCGGCTGAAAATGCTGAAATTTCAAACTTCAGATGTTTTTCTCAACTGCCCTAAACATTTCTGAAAATTTGAGACCAAAATCAAAATTTTCAAATTTTAGCCCATTTTTAGCATTTTCCAGCTGAAAATTTTGAAAATTTCGATTTTCAGTCAAAATTCTAGCTGCAAATCGTTGGCTTACAACCTCATATTTCTCAAAAAACAGTATCTGACAATTTTTGAACAAAAAAGACGAAAAATAAAAAAAAATAAAAAACTACAGTAACCCACACACATGCACACACACATGTGCGCGCGCGTGTGTGCGCGCGCAATAGATCAAATCTTTTCAGGGCCATAAAACTCGACTTGGGCCAAGGTTTAAAATTTTTATTTCGATCGATACCTACCTAAAAAATCACGGCGAATCTTATTTTTGCGGTTAGAGAGTACACTAAAGCCTCTGAAAAGATTTTCAAAATGGGGTGTTTGTGGATAGAAGTTGAGAGTGATTTTCGTTTCTGGGTCTTCACTCAATAAGCAAGAGCTCACCGAGACGAGCAAAATGCTTTTTTACTCATCAAAAAATATTGAGTTTAAGCCTAGTTACGACCATTTGAAGTTTTCGACCCTCTTACATAAACCGAGTTACCCTAAATTAGAGAATCAGTTTCAGGTCGAGTTATTATGTGGAATATACTTTTTAAGGGTGGTACTTTTAAAAAAAATCGATTCCCAATTTATTGGCCACCATGTGTCATTTTGTACAGAGCCATTTCCAATATTAAGAATAACGTCTGTTAAAATGAGAACAACTTCATTTTTACTCGGACTCCACCTTTAAAGAAATACTATTTTTTAATAAATTCTCTATTGGTCAAAAATTTGTAAATCTGGAATGATCTTCCAGTTTCACAAATTAATTTTAAGAAATTTGAATTACTTCATACATAAATAAATAGTCCATTAATTTATTGATTAATTAAAAATAAGTAATTTAGTGTAAAATAGTTTCTCACATTCAGGAACATAAAAAAAGGTGCATATCATATTTTGGCTATTTTTTTCAAAGACAGAAAGAAATAAAAAAGAAAGATCATTATAACTGCAATTTATTCAACATCTTGATCGTGTTCATCAAACTCTCCTTCGTCATCAGCAGTCGCTTCTTGATATTGTTGATATTCGGAGACCAAATCGTTCATATTGCTTTCCGCTTCAGTGAACTCCATTTCGTCCATACCTTCTCCGGTGTACCAATGGAGGAAAGCTTTTCGGCGGAACATTGCTGGAAACACAAATGTTTGAGGGTATTTAGATGATCTTTGAAATAAGAAATATTTTTGATCATCCAGAATTGTTTGAAAATTTTCTAGAAATCCATAAATGTTTCAATTAATTTATTTACAGTTGCCGTGAAAATTGGAATTCCTGGTCAAAACTACAAAAAATACCTGTAAATTGTTCACTGATTCTCTTGAACAACTCCTGAATAGCAGTCGAGTTTCCAACAAAAGTCGCCGCCATTTTAACACCTCTCGGTGGAATATCACAAACCGCAGTCTTGACATTATTTGGAATCCACTCAACAAAATATGACGAGTTCTTATTTTGCACGTTCAACATTTGCTCATCAACTTCTTTCATGCTCATTCTTCCACGGAACATGGCGGCAACAGTCAAATATCTTCCGTGTCTCGGGTCACAAGCAGCCATCATATTTTTGGCGTCAAACATTTGTTGAGTGAGTTCTGGAACTGTTAGCGAGCGGTATTGTTGTGAACCGCGAGATGTTAGTGGAGCAAATCCAGGCATAAAGAAATGAAGACGTGGGAATGGAACCATATTGACAGCAAGTTTACGAAGATCAGCGTTGAGCTACAAAATTATTAACTGTGTACTTTGAAGAATTTCAAATAATCCAACCTGTCCGGGGAATCTCAAACAAGTTGTAACTCCACTCATTGTCATTGAAACCAAATGATTCAAATCTCCATAGGTTGGTGTTGTCAATTTCAAAGTTCTGAAGCAGATATCATACAACGCTTCATTGTCAATACAGAAAGTTTCATCGGTATTCTCAACAAGTTGATGAACGGAAAGTGTTGCATTGTAAGGTTCAACTACGGTGTCAGAAACTTTTGGACTTGGAACAACGGAGAAGGTCGTCATTATACGATCCGGATATTCTTCACGGATTTTTGAGATGAGCAATGTTCCCATACCTGATCCGGTACCACCACCCAATGAGTGAGTCATTTGGAAACCCTGGAAATTTTTGTTTTCAAAATTCCTATTATTATTAGTCCTGTGTATTTCTGAAAACATGTGTGTGGCGCTTCCGGAGCAACAGGTGCGTGTTAACCGGAAAGGGTGCGCGTTGAAGCGAAAGGTGTTGGTATAAGGTGGAAATATATTTTTTTCTAGATTTGGAAGCATTTTCAGAAAATTGATGGAATCTGGGATGTGATTTTGTAAAATAAGGTTATGATGCTTGATTTATGGATCTTTCTAATACTGACTTTTGTCTTAAAAGAATTCGGAGCTCTTTAAAAAAACTTCCAGAATTTTTGAAGCTAAATCTCACGACTACATTTAAACCTAGTTACTATAAGTGAGCTCACTCATGAGTATGAAAAATTTGGTTTTGAGAATTGGAATAATTTTGATTCTGGGCTTGGAAAGCGGAATTTGATTTTCCAGATTTTTTCCAGCACGTGTCTCATGTGTTTCCTACCAACCTGAAGACAATCGCAACTCTCCGCCTCCTTTCTAACCACATCCAAAACATTATCAACCAATTCAGCTCCTTCGGTATAATGTCCTTTCGCCCAATTGTTACCAGCTCCACTTTGCCCAAAAACAAAATTATCTGGTCTAAACAATTGTCCGAAAGGTCCAGCCCGAACTGAATCCATAGTTCCCGGCTCCAAATCCACCAAACAAGCTCTTGGCACATATTTGCCACCGCTAGCCTCATTGTAGTACACATTGATTCTCTCCAATTGAAGATCTGAATCTCCGTTGTAGGCTCCAGTTGGATCGATTCCATGTTCATCGGAAATGACTTCCCAAAACTTGGCACCAATTTGGTTACCACATTGACCGGCTTGAATGTGAACAATCTCACGCATCTTGTTTTTTTTCTCTGGAAATAATGCGATTGGAAGAAATCGGATTAAGAACAACAAAAAATGTATAACATTCGGAGAGAAAAAAATTCCAAGCAGCCAAAAAGAATGAAGCCGCGTGCCTGGTTGATCAATACGGATTCCATGGAAACGGTGGGCGGAGCAGGGCGAGCCAAAAATTCTTGCGAAATTGCTCAATTTGTAGGGGGGAAAATTGGTGAGGTGCGAATAATGTTGCGCGACACAACAGATGTTTAGCCTGTCTCAAAAAAATTATGATTCATTTTCAAAATAATACAAAATAAATAAATAAATAAATAAAGAGAAAAATAGCTGGCACCATGGAGAAAAAACCTAAATAAAATCACATTTTTTGTTAACCCTTCCAGAATCGATAGAAAAAATACATAAATAGAATACAGAATATACAACCAATGACGAAGATGAGCCAATCTTCACGAACTCGACGATCAATTACTTGAAGAGTGGAGTTGGATAAGCCGAGCTGGAAAAATAGGAAAAGTTTTGATGAAAACTTGGAAATTTTTCACAAGAAAATGTCAAAAATCGTCAGAAAATGTTGAAATTCTGAAAATCTCTTTATGTGAAATTTCAGAAATAGATCAATTTTCATTTGTACATTTAAAAAATACTGATTACGGCTCTTCAAATTATGCCGTCAACTTGAAAGCTCCCATCAAGACTTATAGGAACTTAATTTTGCCGTGGGGCTCATTTTTGAATGTGGGGACCATTTCTCACATTTTTTTCAAATTTTGGAGTTTCTTATTCCATAACTTTGTAATTTATATGACAGAAATTACCAAGAAATCTCAAAATTCTCCTCCAACCCCTGAAATTGCTTACCGCTTGTCCAACATCCAAAATTTTCCGTCTAACTCCTCTCAAATTCATATGTTGCGATCGCAAACTATCCAACACTGCCGATCCTTGATTTATCAAATCATCCAGCTGCAAATTTCAAATTTATTTAGGAAAAATTGCAAAAAAAACACCTACATGATTATGAGAAGTGTGTAAACGATCATTCATTTGTAATTCATGATCACCGATCGATAATGCCGTATCATTTGGGCGGAATCGCTGCTTCAATAATTCATCTCTTTCACTCGCTGCTCTCCATTTATGCGTCATTTTTGTGTGAACACCTGAAACTGCCAGTTCGACGCGTTGAACATCGCTTTTCAATTGATCGACTTTCATTCGAGCCTGAAGATTTTTTGATTTTCAAAGTGAGAAAAATGAAGAAGAAAAATTACCATTTGTCGACGAGCTGGTGGTTCTCTTGATACATAATCGTCAAGGATTCGACTGTTTTCGGTGAGACCTCTGGAAATATTTAGAGCTGAATTTTCAGATAAACAAATCTTTGCAGCAGCTAGTCATAAAATTTCTAATTAGCCCAATCTTCAGAGGATAATTTCTGGAAGCTTCTCAAATATGAAATCCAAACTTCACACGGTGTTTCATTGTTTTTTTTTTTGAAATTTGAAATTTTTTAACAAAAATTAGAGAAGTTTCCAGAAAAAACAGGATTGTACTAATTAGAACATGCTCTTTCAAATTAGCATAACTTGTTTTTCATTCAGACTCCAAAAACAACGGAAAATCCATGTTTTCTCCGAATAATTCTTCAAAATCAACAATTTTTCTCAAAAGACTTACTTCAAATCGCTATAAATATATTGCACAATAATTTGCGCGTCCTGCTCATTTTGCGCCGCTTCCAATCTTCCCAAATCAATTTGAACCTTCTGCAGCAAATCGTTTGTCTCGTAATACAATTTGTCCATGTTTCTTCTCAAGAATCTGAATTTTTTAAATTTTTAACCAAGAAAACCGCGAAAAATAATAAAAACAGTGACTTGTATTTATTTGTGTGTCAACACCACGACGAACAATTGCACAAAACTGACGTCGAATTTAGTGTTTCAAATATTTGCTTGTTTTTTTTCTTGTTGGAAAGCAATTATTTATTCTTTTTGTGTGAGTTAGTGCAAATTATTTTTCTTTTCATTATTTTTTTTGAAAGAAAAAATGTTATGTTATGTTATCATTATTGATTTTTTCCACAAATGTTTACTTTTCTCTTTCTTCTTTTTTTTTCTCTCTCTCTCCAAAACCAAACCTAACCATAAATTTTGATGAGAAAAAAGAATGAATGTGGAAAAAAGTCTGTGATGATGGAGAATGATGATCGAATTTCACTTTCTTTTTGCCCTCGCTTCATTTCATTTTAGTTTAGTTTAGTTTTCCCCGGAATTTTTCGCTTTCTTTTTTTTGCTGCTTTGAGTTTGATTGGGTATGTATGTATACTTTTCTCTTTTGGTGAAGCAAAAGACATGGTGATTGAGTATGTGAGAACAGCTTGAGAGGAGCGCACGGCTTATGGAAATTGTTTTCATTGCATTTTTTTTCTTGGTTGAGAGCACTTATTTCTTGAGAATTTTTGATCGGATTTTTCTGTTTCTATGAATATTTAGGCAGAATTTTTGAAAAAGTTTTTTTTTAAATATAATTTTAATGGAAACCTTTTTCTAGCTGCGAAATTGAATTTTTCCTTAAAATATATTCACTTCATAATATTTTTTTCGTTTACTATTTCTGCTGGAAATTGGGATAAAATCACCGCCCAAAGTTTGTTAAAAATGTTCCCATTTTTTTCTGGATTTTTTTAATTTGCACATTTTTGAGACTGAATCCAGAAACAGGCTTACAAATTTTTCTTATGCAATTTTGAAAATTATAATTTTTAAGACTTGGTTTCATTTTTGTTTATCTCAAAAAAAAATTCCTTGTCTCTCCGTGCTACCTTTCGAATTTCTCATTTTCCCGCCAAACCCACCTGCCCTTCTCACAATTTTTGTTATTCTTCTTCTACTTCCAACCCAAAAAAAATCAATAGCACCCGGATGTTCTTTTTTCCGAAAAAAAAAAACAAGTTGCAAAAAAAAACTTTGTTGTTGGCGGCCGACATGTTCGTTTTTTTTTGATGACTCACATTTTTTCGCTTCTCGCTTTTTCCCTTGTTACATTTTTTATACATTTTTTCCAGAGAATGTGGCAAAATGATAGCGAGCCACAACATCCGAGCACATCAGCTTCAGCCAGAGTATCAAATAATGTCAAACATTCGAGCACAAATAATCTTGTCAGGTCCAAATCATCGGCTTCACTTTTCAAAAGAGCTATCAGTTTACAGGTTTGTAGAATCTTTTGACTTTAATTTTTAAAAAATTTTTGGATAAAATTTTTTCAGTTTCTATCAAAGAATGCTGAAAGTGCTGTAGATCGAGAAAAAGCTGCGCACATCAAAATGCGCTACAAAGATACTGCAAAATATGTGATATGGCCAACGTGTAGACTACCTGCTGATATTTATCAAATTATTAGTTGTGGGGTGAGTTTGAAAAAGAGCCAAAAATGAGTTGTGCTCATTTGAGAGAGCATGTTCACGCCTGACGAGGCGTGTCCAAAAAGGATACTGTACAAAAAATTTCAAATAAAAATTCCCGCTCAAACCAAAATTTCGATTCGGGCGGGAAGCTAATAAAAATTTTCAACTTTTTTTTTCATTTCACTGCACATTATTTCACGAAGTGAAGTGTTCATTGATTTCCAGCGGATTTTGATGAAAATATTTTTTAAAAAATTCAAAATTTCACGCTGAACAATTTTTATTCTGAAAAAATTTTCACGCTGCACAAAAATTTTGAGACATTCTCTCGCCAAGTGTGAGCATGTTCTAATTAGCACAATAAAAAAAGGATTTTTTCTGCAAGCTTCTCAAACATTACTACTGGACAAATGGAATTTCAAGCCATTTTTCACTATTTTTTTGAGTTTCAAAATTTTTAAATTAATGTTTGAGAAGCTTCCAGAAAAAATCCTTACTGATTAGAACATGCTTTTTTCAAATGAGCATAACTTATTCTTTGCTCAGAGCTTTGAAAAGAGCTTTGTGAAAAATTTCTGTGTTTCAAAATTGTGTTGAAATTATTTGAAGTGATTTTTGGTTTTCAGGATAGAAATATTTGATTTTGTATAATTGTATTGTTATAATTCAAAAAACAATTTCTTGAATTTACAAAAGTGTTTTGATTTTTGAAAAATAAAATTAAAATCTTTCGAGTTAGTGGAACTTCAAAAGAACTTCTAATAAAAAAAAACATTTTTTTTTTCAAATTTGAGACCTGAAATTAACCCATTCTTTCAGCAAGCCGCTCCAACAATAGCCAAATCCGAACATGATCCTCGAACTGTTCTTATGCAACCCGACATCGAAGATCATCGAAGTCCATACATGCCGTGCACAATTAATCACGTCCTCCGATCAGATTCTGAAGACTCAAGTGAAGCTGAACAAGTTCTCGAAATGACACGGTTGTGATGCTAACGCCAAACACTAACATCTCGTGAAATATTTTCGTTGCTCATAACTCTTCAAATCAAATTGCCATAGTTATCTCTAGTCATCGTCTTTCTGTGATTCGATTCGAGCTTTTTTTTATGTAGAATAAATTTTATTTTTTTGTTTTTGTAAACAGGAAGAAAGAAATGTGAGCAAGAAGTGAAACACGTTTGGGGGGATTTGTTGACACAAAATTTGAAAATTTAGATTTGTTCTTTATAGCTGATTGCTGTTCGCTTTCGCAGGTTTCTTGATGGTGTATCGGTGTGTATTGTTGCCACCGCCGGGCGCCGTGCAGTTGTTATAGGCGCCACAAATGTTGGTGTCGATTTGATGGGTGTTGAAGGTTTGAGCGGCGGCGATGGATAAAGATTTTTGAACATTGTTGGACTCAACAGAGGGGAGGATTCAAGCTGAAATCATGCGGGATTGAAAATATAACATGCTATCAAAATTTTTTTTTCAAAACTGATTTAGTTTATGTATGTATGACTTATAAAGAAAACAAAATTATTGAGTTTTAACCTTTTTCGAGTTCTCCGTTGATTTTTCCGCAACCTTCTTCCGTTTGTAGATTTTCACTGGATCGACAGGAGTTTCTCCAGAGCGCGCAGCAACTTGATACCAAATCAACGAGAAGAGGAAGCAGATGCCCCAGATGATTGTGATGTACTCGGCACGGTTGTCGTAATCAGTTCCGCATACAGCGTACCATTCGAGAGGCTCGCCTGGTTCTTGCTGGAAAATTTTTTGGAGATATAATGTTTGATATTTCATCCTTTGAACACTTACCGCTTTTGGAACACCTCCAGGTACACAATGAAAATCAATATATTTCTCATCATAATCTTCCAAACAGAAATACTTTTGCTTCTGAAGCACCAAACCTGTTGGAGTTTGAACCTTTTGCGTCTCATTGCATGGTCCAATTGGTTGATGCAAACCCTCACTAATAATATTCAATGGATCCGAAACGATCACAGCAATCATAAAGAACAAATATTCAATTGCAATGGCACACGCAAGTTCATCAAACCAATATTTGTTGCCAGTTCTAGCTGCTGGATTCTTGTTTTGACGATCAGCGAGGAACACAATGATTGCGTAGAAGGCAAGGAAGAATGTGGTGGTATATTCGGAATGCACTTTGAAAATGTCGTGAAGTGGATGATAGAGCAACGCGAATTGAATTGTTCCTAACCAGAATGCTCCAGTTCCAGCGATGAAAACGCAAAGAATCTCTCTTGGTAATTTCTTCCAGTCATATTCTTTTGCAACTAAAAGATGTCTTGATCCAAGAAGAAGCCAGGTGAATGAGCAAGCAAAGGAGGCGTGGAAATAATACGAGTTCCATGGAACCCAGTTCATACGATCGTAGATGTTCGGGTCAGTATCATGCCATGTCCACCAGACAAGCTTGATTCCCATTATATCGTATGGCATATCAAGCATCACTGCGCCAAGACCTACTGCTGGACCATAAGCCCACCATGGAAGATGGAGTCTGGAAATTCAAGATGCTGGGTTTTTTTTTGTTTCTAGAAAAAATGTTACCTGCTAGCCAACACAAATGCAGTATAATCGAACATATGATAAATACCAATGAGAATGTAAAGTGGAGCACGAGCGCCGAAGAATGTCAAAATTCCCTGAGCTTGCCAGAAATTATCCATATCCGGAATCCAATAGCACAAATTCTCAACGTTCAAGGCGTGAATCAGGATACCGAACCAAACGAGAACATGTCGAGTTCCAATTCTCCACGCTGAAATAAATATAATTATTTGAAAAAAATGAAGATTCTTGAACTTACCATGAACAAAAGTGAGTGCAGCTAGAAGGAAAAATAAAAGTTCCCCAAATAAGAACGACGTATGATTCTCATAGATTTGCGATGGATCTTGATACTTGCAAATCCAATCAAACACTTGAACCATATGAAGTGCTCGTTGGCCCCAGATTTTTCTAGTCTCCGGATCCGTATCAAACGGAAGTCGTTCGAACAAATATTTATCCATTAAGTAGTCCATTACTGTAAAAATATTCAGATTTTTAAAAAACGAAAATTAGAAAAATCGAAAGGAAAAAGAGAAAGGAGAAGCTTTTAAAATTGGCGCCAAAACGAGAGAGTATGAAAATGTGAGAGAGTGCTAGAGAAAATCAATCGATGCGAAGGGCAAAATGACCATTAGCGTCGGTTTTTTGTTTGCACAAAAACTGCGATGTAAGAAATGAATATGAATATTTTTGTGTGTGATGAGTCAGATACAATAACCACGCCCATACATTGTATATTTTGGGGAAAATGGTGGGAAGGTGCCCATCGCAAAGTTTAGCAGATGTTTTGTGCGATGAATGGTGTTAGAAAGAATAATTTTTATTGGTGTTGGGTGAATAGGTGACAATATTTTGTTTGAGAAATTTTTGGAGATTAGAGAAAACAAGCAAACTTTGACACTGGGGTTTCTGAAATTCAAATATTTTTGGGCTAATTTTTAGAAAATTTGGATTATTTCTCATACAAGTTAGAAGAACTTTTGAATTTTTTTCTGAATTCCACATGAAGTTTTGAAAATAAGTCCATCTGGAAATTCAATTTTTTGAAATCCAATAAAAACATTTTAAAAAGTTAAAACAAAAAAACTGATTTTTCAGACTGCGAATAAAAAATCCTTAAGTTTTTTTTTCAACAGAAATATTTATAATCCTAAAATTTCAGGTCAAATCTTCAAATTCAAATTATTGCAACAAAATTCACAAAAAAAGTTGCCTACTGCTGGAATCGAACCAGCGTCGCCACGGCCACAACGTGGAGTACTAACCACTATACTAAGTAGGCCGAGAGAAACCAACACAAACTGCCAATATGAAGATGATGATAGTGTGTGTGTCTTGGCTGGCTGGTTGCACTTTTTTTTGGTTGCTATCAAGAAAAAGAGAAATGAGAAAGGGATTTCGAAATAATCTGACAATGATGTAAGTGTGAGAAAAGTTTTCTGGACCACCCAAGAAGAAATAAAAAATAGTTTGTCTAAATTGAACAGAATTTGTGAAACAAAACTTGGCAGACCACCCACGAAGAAAATACTGGAGAAGAAATCGATGTAAAAAATTAGGACCACCCATTGAGAAAATGTTTTAAACTTAAAATCAAAAATATAGATTTCACACAACCTTACCTGAGGACCACACAATAAGATCCGAATTCTACTAAACCTCAGTTTCTCAACTAAAAATTCATATCAAACATGATTCCTTTTCCCAAGACCAAGAAAAAAAAAACAAATTTAGTAGCAATAAAGTTCAAGATAAATTATAAAGAAAATAGATAACTCGTTTGATAACAAAAATATAAAATGCAAATGCCCAAAAAAATAAGACAAAGAATAAGGAAAATGCTCTGTGTTGTGTTGAAGAAAAGGGGTTGACTGGTTATACAAATATTTGTTGCCGGCGACCCGCCGGACCATCACAAGTAAACAAAAAAAGGAACGCAAATACATACAGAGCCTTTTATTAATGTAGAATTTATGTATTAGTAAAACAATTGTAATTAATTTTTATTAATATATCAACTCTTGAGGTAAACAATATAAAAATTAAAATTAAAAATCAATACTCTTCTCCATCATCTTCCAAATCTGCAGTATCCTTGCTGACTTCGGCATAATCTTTCTCCAAAGCCGCCAAATCATCACGAGCTTCAACAAACTCTCCTTCCTCCATCCCCTCTCCAACGAACCAATGAACAAATGCTCGTTTTGAATACATCAAATCAAATTTGTGATCAAGTCTTGCCCAAGCTTCAGCAATTGCAGTTGTATTTGATAACATACAGACAGCTCGATGAACTTTGGCTAAATCGCCGCCTTCTACAGTAACTGGAGCTTGGTAGTTGATGCCGACTTTGAAGCCAGTTGGGCACCAATCGACGAAATTGATACCGCGCTTGGCTTTGACAGATGATATTGCGGCGTTCACATCTTTTGGGACTACGTCACCACGGTATAAAAGACAGACTGCCATATATTTTCCTGAAGTTGGATCACATTTCACCATCTGATTCGCCTTTTCAAAACACATATGAGTAATATCTTGAACTGACAGGGGCTCATGATGTGCACGATCAGCAGAGATAACTGGAGCATAAGTTGCCAATGGGAAATGAATACGTGGGTAGGGCACCAAATTAGTCTGAAGTGAAAATATTTTTCAAAAACGTTTTAGAGAATAAGAATTCTATAAACCTGGAACTCGTTCAAATCAACATTTAACGCTCCATCGAATCTTAGGGAAGCTGTAATACTTGAAACAACTTGAGCAATCAATCGATTCAAATTTGAATACGAAGGTCTCTCGATGTGTAACTTCTGTCTACACAAATCATAAATCGCCTCATTGTCAACCATAAAACTACAATCCGATTGCTCCAAAGTTGTATGAGTTGTCAAAATCGAATTATAAGGTTCAACAACCGATGTAGAAACCTGGGGAGCTGGGTAAACACTAAATTCCAATTTCGATTTTTTTCCATATTCAACGGAAAGTCGTTCCATAAGAAGTGATGAGAATCCAGAACCAGTGCCACCTCCAAAACTATGGAAAACTAGGAAACCTTGAAGACCTTCACAGTTTTCACATTGCTTGCGAACTCGATCTAGGACAACATCAATAAGCTCTTTTCCAATTGTGTAATGCCCTCTAGCGTAATTATTGGCTGCATCTTCTTTACCATTGATGATTTGATCAGGATGGAATAAGTTACAGTACACACCATTTCTAATCTCATCTGGAATTAAAAAAAAAGATTCAAATTCAGATAAAGCTTTCTAACCTACCTAAAACGGTTGGCTCCAAATCAACATAAATCGCGCGAGGAACATGCTTCCCATTATTGGATTCCGAGAAAAACGCTTGAAGTGATTGTTGCTTGTTCATTTCCTCCTCCTTCAAAAATCCAGCCTCATCTAACCCATGCTCCATACAATACAACTCCCAGCAAGCATTTCCAATTTGCGAGCCAGCTTGGCCAATGTGAATTGAAACGCATTCTCTCTGAACAATCAAAATTCTTAGAAAAATTCACATCACATTTGTTTTATTTTTTATGAGTGAGTAAGCCAAGGAAATTGGATTAACAAAATTTTAAGACCAGAAAAGCACAAAATGTGAATGTGAATGTGTTTTGAAAGAGAAAACATCATTTTTTGTACTTTCTAGGAAATTTTAAATTTTTTTTCCCGAATTTTTCGGTTCCTGGAAAATCCGGAAGTGATTTTTGCCCAATTTTTGGAGACTTTTCTCACATTCAGAGTCTGACAAAAAATCTGAAAATATTTTGATTTTTTAAACTGAAAACATTTCAAAGTAAATTCCAGATAAATAAGTTTTACAACCAATTTAGTGCTGAAATTTAACTTCAAAACATTTTTCAGATTTTCCGACACAAGCCTGAATTCTTGAAAAAAATCCCTGAAAAATTATCAGACTTACCCCATCGGAAGGCATTTTTCGAGAAAAAAACCTCTGTGAAAACCAGAAACAATGTTGAAATGAATGAGGTTGCGATTTTCGAAACTGATTTCCAAAGATCTCAATCTCATTGACCGCAAAAGTTTTGTTGTCGACATTTTTTGATTTATATCTTTTCACTCAACCTTTTTTTCTTCTCCAAATCCAAACAAACCTTTTTCCAAGATATCGAAAAACTTTGCACATAGTAGGACAGCAAAAAAAATAACGAAGAGGAAACGGGGTGTTTTTTTGTATGCAACAATTATTATGAGAATGGAATTAGTCTGGCAATTAAAAAACATGGGCGAATGAAATGAAATGGAGAGACAGAGCCGATAACTTTTATGAGCATTTCATATTTTTTCAGCGAGTTCAGAAATTCGATTTTTTTTTTGAAAGTTTGTTTAAACTCAAAATTTGGTGACCTTTGAAAACGATAAGTTTTGACTTCTAGAAAGTTGTTGGCTTTTTCATTTCAAACTATTTTTTGAAAAATTTTATTTATGAAAAATATTTCTTAATAATCATGATTCCCTATTCCTCATCAACTTTAACCTTGGAAATAGAAAAATCAAAATGTTCCACCAACTTCCCAGCGGGAAAATCGCAATTTTGTTAACTGCTTGTTATGAGGAAGTTGAAAGGTGCCGACAAGAGTCGGTGTACTGAAGGTCGCGGGAGTCGCTGACTTTTTTGTTATTTTTCTCGCCGGCAAAAAAAAGTGTGAACAACTTTTTTTCGTGGCTTGTCTTTTGTATAGCTGGCCAGACAATGTATTAATCAGAAAAAACCAAACAAAAATGTCTCGCGATTGTTTTAGCTTTCTTTTTTCGAGATCTTTTTTCGTTGCGGTTGCGTTGTTTGATACAATTTTTGATCTACTCTCGTAATCCGAAACAATGATTTTTTATCCCATTATAAATATTACGATTAGTCATATTTGACATTTTGATATGGCCAGATATGTGTTTTTTTTTTCGAAAATTTCTCGCTTTGTTACATCTGCCTGATCTCCAAAATGTTTTTTTTGTTTTGTAATTTTTATCTTTCATTTTGTTTCTCACAGCCTTTTACACTGATAACCATTTCTAATAGCCGTTTCGAAGATTCAACTATAAAAATGTGAGATCACAGCATAGCCAAAAAAATAAATTTTACTAATCCTTATCCGATACTTTTTTGGATTAAAAAATATTCATCGCTTGTGGAATGTTTCCAATTTGCTCCTCTTTTTTATCTACTCATTCCTCAGCTTCTTGCTCAAATTATTTTTCTTTAGATAATGGGCCAATACCAGGAGATCGAACTAATGGCTTTATATCCAACCAAAACTATCTTGCTCTTCTTTTTGCTGTTAACAATCCAGGTGGCGTTCTTTATTTGTCAAGAAAAATCGAAAATGAGTCACGGGGTTGGGATTGTTGAGGATTATTCTGATTTGGAAATTTGGAATCCAGAACGTGATTTGAATTTTGATTTTGTTGCACCTCGTGAAAATTATGCATTTTTTGACACTATTTTAGATACTGGTGAGTTATCTGAATTCATTTTTGAAATATGAAATTCTGAAATTTCAGACACCAGTTTGAATGACTTGAATTTCGAAGAAAAGGATGGATATATTTATATGTATGGAAGTGTTGCTGGTGTACCATTGTTCAGAAGAAAGGTATGAAATTTTTTGGACTTCAAAAATCTACGTTTCTTCTTTCCAGGTTGAAAGTGATGAATGGGAAAAAGTAGAAAGCAGCTTCATCTCTGAAAACGTAAGCAAATGGCTCCTCATTTCATATTTCATAATTCAAAATATGTGAATTTTCAGGAATTCGCCTTTGACTTGGAAAACAACTTTTTCGATGATGGTGAAGAAGATGAGCTGCTGGTTTTGGTCAGAAACGATGATGACGATGAGGAAATCAACTACGAATTTGAGAGTTATTTGGACGATGATTGGGATTTTGAGTTTGACGAGAATTGGGGAGTCAAGCAGTTTTATGTGAGTCCAAAAAAATCTTGTGAACCAAAGAAAATTTTAAAGAAAATATTTTCAGTGATCTGAACAAACTCGGTGCTATTTATTGATCTTTCGACCGTGCCATTGATCTTTTCATTATTTTTCCTCGCTGCTTTAATTACAATAATAATTATTGTACATTCATTTCATTGCATTATTTAGAACTGATTCGTCAGTTTTTGTAGTTGGACAATAAATTCATTATTTGCAAAACCTGATTTTTTTAATTGTTATCAGATTGTTAAGGTTGTAAAATCAACCGAGATGACCGTAGAATCTTCTAAAGTTTTATGAGAAGTTCTTTTAGTTACCTGAAGTCCTTCCCTTGTGAAAATTTGTAAATTGCCAATTTTTGCCTAATTCTTTCCTTCCTGAAATTAAAAAAAAATGAAAAAAGAACTAGTAAAATTTAACCCTTTCACAATCCGAACAGACAAGCAAATTATCCAGAAAAATTCATTATTCATTGCGAATAACATCAATTACGGCAAGTAAAAACGGAACATAGATATAAAATACACAGACACAAAGTAGAAATAAATACATAAACCCAAAAAAAAGTCATGATAATTATAGAAGCTCAAGTAGAAATTGAGATACAAAGATATGCATTTACACATAAAGGAGAACAGACAAAAAAAATAGAATTCAGATATGAAATCAAAACGATGTTTTTCGAGGAAGCACAATTTTCTCCTGCGAAGAAGCGCGTCTTGGTTGAGCACTTTTACGGCGCGGAATAATTGGAGCCGCCGCAAGATTGTCTAATTCGATTTCAGATGGTGGAGATGGTGATTCTTTGGCAATGAGATGCTCTTCGTCGTCGTTTTGTTTGGGGACCAGTATACGCATCACAGCTGATGATTTTTTACGTGCAGAACCGTTGCTGAAAAATTATTTTTTGTGTGATTTTCTACAGGATCATTGGAATTGAACTTTTTTTCATATAACTGATAATTTTTTTAAAATTTTTTTCAAGATTTGGAATTAGAAATTGGAAAATAAAAAACGTTTTCCGAAAAATTTGCAGAAAATCTTATCGAAATTTTCAGATGAATTTTTACGAAAATTTATATTTTCCGAGCATATTTGGGAGCTTTTTTGCAAGGCTGAGACTGGAGCTCAGCTTGTTAAGATCCACGAAACCCTTCCCTAAAACTTGTGAGTTCACAAGTTTGAGAGCAAAAACCCCTAATCATAAATATCTCTGAAAATTATTCCGGATCAAAAAAAAATATCTATAAAAACATATTATCTCATTTCCTGATTCAAAATTGCTATTTGCATGTCTCATAAGAAAATCTCACGAGAAATCTTTAGAAAACTCACAATTTAAAGCTGGGTCGTTCTTGTCGTGAGATTTTCTTCGATGAATTAATATTATTAGTTGTGTTAACTAGAGTTGTTGACACGTAAGGCTGGCTCTTGTCGGCATTAATGAAAGTTGCTTGCATGACCTGAACAATTGATATTTTTTGATATAGCAAAAATGAGTGAGAAAAAATTCAATTCAATTCAATTCATCAGTCATTCTAAAGGTAGAGAGAAGTGTGAAAGTTTTTGATCAAAAGTGTGCCGGAAAAGGATAGAGGTACTATATACTTGTGATGAAGTGAAATGAAGTGAAGATTTCTCCTCTCGATTTTTTGAAGCATCCATCCATAGGTAGAAAAAAACACCAAACACCATGCACAAAAACCTTGGCCTTTCAAATATAAATCAATCAAAAAAATTTTCTGGAAGAAGTTAGAAGAACCTGTAGAAGTAAATGTATCAGAAGCGAAAAAAAGTCAAAAAATCAATCAATCACGAAAAAATTGCAAAAAAGCCTGCAAAAAATTTGTTTGACAACAATTGTCATGCCATTTCCTGGTGTGCTCAGCTTAATTGGTGTTTTTTTGGTTACCTGTGGCGATGTTGATCCGTACTTGTTTGTGATTGTCATTGTTGGATGATTGAGAAGTGGTGAATGATTGTCGGCGTCGAGGTTTAGATGGTTTTTGAGGCATGTTGGCATAAGATCGATGAATGCGGCACGGAGTTGGAGATTGAGAACTGCGTAGAGAAGAGGATTCCAGACCTGGTTAAGATTTGATTTGAAACTCAAATTCAAAAACAAATTTCTTACCGTTGATGTCATTGCAATACAATGTGTCGCAATACCAAAAATATATTCCTGATTCTTAATCAACATCGGAAGATAATCATAATCTCTCAAAATATTAAAAGTGACCGACCAAGCCCAACTACACGCAAACGCGACAACCATTCCAATCAACATTCGATTTGTTCTTTGCCGTCTTCTCACAGCAGTTCGTTGTTGTTCACTCAAACTTGTCTCCCAATTATTTCTCTCCGATTTTTGTTGTTTCTTTGCACCTTTCAATATCATACTTTGACCAATTTTCAGCGAAATTGCCGTGTAGGAGATAATGATGATGAGTAAAGGGAGGACGAGTTGTAGACACATTAGAACTGCGCCGTAGATTTTACGCTGACTTTCGTTGTCACCCCAGTCTTCTGCAAAAATTTTTGATTCTAAATATCCCTCAAATTTTTTTAAATTCAAATTTACAGTCACGCAAGATTAACCAGGAAGTTCTGACAACATTTTCATAAATTTTAAATTTAATTCCAAGCACAAAAGGTTCTGAGAACCAGGAAGCCTTCAAAAAGCAACATTTTTAAAATTGAAATTGAAATTAATTAGGTTTTGAATTCTTATTCTCAGTCACGCTATTCTAAACATAATTTTGAAATGACGTGAGCTTCAGGACTTCTGAAATATTTTTTTTAGATTTGGAAAAAATTAATAAAAATTTCGAATCTAACAGTTTAAGGTGATTCTTGAATCTTGAATTCCCTTCGTGTTTTTTCCCAAAATTTCAGCTGAAATCATCAGTCACGCGAGGTCAAAACCAATAACATTTCAATATTTTTCATCTATATATTTTCAATTTTAAAAAATCATCATCATTTTGAGTGCACACGACCTTTCATTTAATTAGTTGCAATATTTTCTCAGTGCCGGAAAAAACAGACACAAACCTGTGCAATAAAGTCCACAAAAATTCTCGAATTCGCCCAATTTTTGTTTGAAAATGATCGGCGATGAAATGGCGGCCGCAAATATGCAAATAAGCTGGAAAAAAATCCGCTTATTTTTCAATTTTTGATCACTTCGAACGAACCCCAATGACACCCATCGCTTGATAATGTGAGATTGGTTTTCGCATCGGAAATCGTATCAAAATGTATCGATCCACAGAAATTGCGGTTAATGTGAATGTTGAGAAGCATAAACTAATACCCTACAAAAAATTAATTTGTTTTTTTTTATGATTAAATGGTTCCTACCGCAATGAAGGGTGCTATCCGACAAAGAAGTTCACCAAAAATCCATTCTTTTCGAAATGCCGTGATTGGTGTGATGGTGGCTGATGTGCAACATACAACAATATCCGAGCAGGATAATGAGAGGATAAATAGATTGGGCACTGTTTGAAGTGACCTAAAACCGGTTACTGTATTTATGAAATAATAAAACGGGTTACTGTATTTATGAAATATTTAATTCTGATCAAATTCTGAATAATTTCTGATGCCTGAACTTTTATTCCGAGAGACAACAAGGCTCCAAATTCCGAAGAATTGCAGATCTTAGAACCGGGACTCGAACCAGTACCTTTCATATTTTTAGTAACAAGATCATTGATATTTTGTATGATCTACTATTGTGATAATCAAATCTGAATATTATTAGATTCTGAATAACACATTTGTTTTTCGGTTTACAGAATTCTTAGAAACCAGAAGATTGAATTTCAGGTTTCTTTTGGAATCGGGAAATTCAGAAATACTTTCACAAATAATTTAGAAAAATGGGAATGGACAAAATTAACAAAAGGATTTTCCCAGGGGTATCGGAACACATTTCAAATTTTCCAACCGTTCTCTAATATGAGCAAAGATTCCCCGCCACTCACTTATTTCTAGTAATCGCCAAAATCACACAGGTATTTCCAATGATGCCGGCAGCAATAATAAATGCATAAAGAACAGCAAAGATTACTGTAGTATACCACCTTGTCGATAAATCTTCTCGAAAAATCCAAAGCTCCGAATTCAGTGATAAACATTCTGTACTGTTTTCCATTCTGAAAAAAAAACGTTTTTTTTTCTCACAGACAAGTTAGTTTTCGATGAATGAATGAATAAGAAGTTTTTTCACATTTTTTTATTTTTGTTGTGGCTCTTGTCGAAAAAACCGGAAAGCTACTAATTAGTTTAGAATATGAATATATCTATAGAAGATATATATGAAAAAATAGAATTTTGAGGTACCGAAAGCTATGAGAGAGAAATAATTTCAGTCATTCATCTATACCCAAAAAAAAACAACAAGGATACGCTTATTACGCTAACAAAAATACTGAATAATTCAGCGATAAAGAGTAGATGCTAAAAAAAGAAAAAGGAAGAAGAAAAAACAAGACACAAAATAATTAGAATTCGATAAACTCGTTGATCAAACACAATTTTCTCATTTGTTTTTATTTTCAAAAAAAAAAATGAATGATCGTTCGGGGAGGAGTTCTATATGATCGAAAAACTGATTATGCAGATTTTTCTGACCAAACCAAAATAATAAATTTTGAATATAAATATAAATATCAATGGGGGATTAGACTAATTAGTAGTTTTATTTTGATATGATCTGGATTAGTAGAGGGGGGGGGTGGCTGAAAGTATTATTGAAGAAATTAGGGATCAGAGTTAAATTTTTAAAAAGATTTTTTGAGCTTTAAACTTGTAAGGAACTCGTGGTTCGATTAAATTTGGCAGAAGCTCAAAACGTGTACGGATTCTCGCGAAACACCCAAAACCTTCTCAAGAAAATTCCAAATGTTTCAGAAAATACCTTGAGTTTCTTTCTGACCATGTGATTTATAGACAAAAAAATAAAACGAATTTATTTTTGGTTTGAAAGATTACGATTAGTAATTCTCATCAAAATGTCTGTCTGGAAATTCAAAAAACCAACTTTGATCGCGCATAACACAGTAACCAACATGTCTAATTCAATATGCACATTTCCAATGTTTCATATATTTATTTTTAGAACTTTGAGATAGTCCAAAGAATTTTTTTTCAAAAATAACTATCTATGAGTAATATCTACCAGGTTTCAAAGAATGAATGCTCAAATTACATGCAACTGGAAAAAGGTCTAAATCTCCTAAGACTCCAAAAATCACTAATTAGAAAAAAGTAAGACAAGAAGAAACAATGAAAAGCAAGTCGAGGGCAATTGAGAACGTAAAATAAATGCAATTTCAGTGGTCTTCTCTTCTTTTTCTACCTCAGTCAATCTCAAAATCTCATGGGATTGTGTTGTTTTGTTCTCATCTTTTCGTTTTTCAAAAATTGAAGTGTTCGTTGAAATGTGAAAATAATTGTGCATTTTTTTATATATTGCTCAATGTCAGTTTTTGCGACAATTTTGGAAAAAAATAGGCCAGGCCCAATTTTTTAAAGAGTTCGGGCGCGATTAGACAATTACAATTTTCAAAAAAAAAGGTTCAATCGGGCCTGGTCCAATTCCTTTTTGGTGGCCTGCCAGGTCCGATTCAGAATGAGGATTTAGCATAAGTCCTCCTGAAGAAACACTAAAACAAACAATATTAAAAAATCTGACACAAAAAAAGCATAAATTTCGAAAGTGTTTTTCCAACCAAAACCAAACCGAATGAATTTTTAGTTAGTTTTTTTTCTGCGAATCTTTGAGCTTTTTTTGTGAATATTTATTAGAAATTTGAACGAACGAACAAAGAAAAGAATGGATGCGCGCGCGTTTTTTTCGGGGCTCGCCAAAAATATCGCATTTCATCAAGATTTTATGGGGGGTACCACAAAAAACTCAAAAAATTCTTTTTTTTCTCTTTGTTTTATTCTATGACTAATGTAGGAAGAAGAAGAAGAGAATGAATGTTTTTTGAGTTGAGTAATCTACAGTAATCCGAAGGAGGAATTTTTTTCTCGATGGAATGAATGAACAATCCATTTGCACCATGAAAAAGATGAGACTAATTTCAATGTGTTTCTTTTTTTCTTTTCGGTTTTTTGTCAGGAAAGAAAATTTTAGGTGGGCTTATTAGACACTGGATGATCTTCAGTTTTTTCTATTACGTACTAGGATGACACATAGTAATAGAAAATGTTTTCCGGGGCAAAATGACCATTTTTTTGTTGATCGGGACAACAATTTTGATTAGCCCAATTTTTAAAGGATCAAACGACCAAAGATGAAAATGATTTTTGAAATTTAAAAGAATTTTCTTTCTTTTTTTTTTCAAAAAAAGTTTATAAAAAAATTCGTACGGCTGAGATTGAGTGGGAAATTTTAAAGAAGCCTTAAAATTTCCAAAAGTTTTGACGTATTTTTGAAATCTTTGTGAGTCATATATGAATTGCATATAATTTTGCCTGAAGCAGTTTGAAAATAAAATATGAAAAAAAGATCATTGTGCAAAAATCAAGAAAGGTTTTGGAACTTAAACTAGAAAATTAGCTACATTTTCGAAAAGGAATTAAAATTCTGAGCAGCAACACTGAATTAACAAAAAAAACTTCAAGTTAATTTTGAAAGTATGATCACAGAAATAGAATTGAAGAAAAACTAATACAAAAATTATTTGAATTTTGCAATTTTCAGCGGCAAAAATCAGAAATCATTATGTAAATTCTCGAAAAGATTCAAATGAACTCTGATAAACAATTTGAAGAAGCCCTGTTTTTTTTTGAAATTGATTTATCAAACACCAAAAAAAACTGAACTTTGAGATAATTTCGATCTGCAAAATCTTGAGATCAAAATTTTTTGATCTATAGATTCCCACGACAAAAATGGAACAATACAAATCAATACTTTTTCTTTAAGCTAATCTTTGATGTGCTCAAAAATTCTTAAGAAATCTAAGAATACATATGTTTTCAAACAAAAATGTTAATTCAAAAATAGAAGACTTGAAAATGAGCCATAATGTACATGAAGTCTCAAAGATATACATAATTTATCTCCAAAAAAATTTAGGATTCTCGGATTAAAATGTCTTCCCCCTCCCTCCCCCTAATATGTACATACATGTGTATTTTATTTTTAGTTAATAAAGTGACGGCATTTTTTTCTGGAATTTTGAAGTGAAGCCAGGAAAAAAATTATTTCATAAAAATAAAAAAACAAGCGAAACTTTGAAGAAAATGTGGGCGAGAAGGAAAAAAAAGATTAGACTGACATGAAATCGAAAAGGAAAACGGGGAAATGGTAGGAAATGAAATCAAGGAATTAATCTGCTTTCGTTTTTGCACCGATTGAATTATCATTGTTATTATGACATAATTTTTTTCTTTCATTTTTTTCGAGTACTCGAAAGTGCGTCAGATTTTTTTTGTTAGGGATTAAAGATAATTCTGAAATTTGAGAATTTGAGAATTTCTTCGACGCGAGCTGATTTCTACAGCATCGCGTCTTTTTTCAAAAAGCTGTTATCAATCTGATGGAAAAAAAATAAGAAAGAAAAATATGAAGAAGGAGAGCTGGGTACAATTTTTTTTTGAAAATATATATTTTTCTTTTTTCAACAAAAAAAATAGAGAAAAGTGATGTCAAATAAATGAGTAACGGGCAATTAAATACTAGATGTTTTTTCTAACATAAGTTAAGCTAAGTTCACCAAGAAAAAACTTGAAAAAAAAGTAAGTTTGGGGTGATTCACAAACACTAAAGAATGTGAGAAAAATAAGCATTTTAGCGGTTTGCGGGGAAATTTATTTTTGAAAATGATCCGGATCTTTTTTTTTATTTTTAGAATACATTTACGTTGCTTGATACTTTGATTTTATTAAAGAGCCGAGAGTTTTCTTGGAACGTGTTTTTTTTTCAATTTGCGAAAAAGGTTTTTGAAAAGTCGCTGGAATATGATGTTTTCTGGGTTCTTGCAAAAATTACTGTGAAAAAGAATAAATAAAAAATATTTGAAATGATAGAAAATTTCCAGCCAAGTTTTTATATCAAAACCATATCACAAGATATTTTTTTCGAAAAATACAAAACATTTTTTTTGTTTTCAAACCCACGCTTTTAGTTATTTCGGATAACGTATACAAGCCAGCGTAAATATATTTATCAAGTGTTTTCAAGAAAAAAAAGTTAGCTAATGTCAAGCAAACCTGCAATTATTTATGAATTACTGAAATCAAAACTCAAAAAAATTTTTTGCTCATTTCTTGAAAAAAAACTGACATTTTCATTTTCATTTTCAGATTTGGAAACAGGAAACGGGAAACGGGAAACTTGAGTTGATCAGAAATGCAAAACAAAATCAAGAGGTTTGGTTTTTTGTTCAAAAAAAATAGAGCAAAAAATAGCAACTAACTAAATGTAAATGCAAAAAAAAAGAAAAAAAATGAAAAAAATACTGCTCTCCGCTCGACTCACACATCATTAAAGAAGAATTAAAACAACACAAATATCCAGTCAAAAAAAGGGGGAAAAAGTAAAGTGCTAGGCAAAAAAGGTCCGCCAATTGTTTGTGCTCAGGTTAATCACAAAAGGTTCCATGTTTTATGAACTCCTAACTTTTGTTTTTATTGGCGAAAAGATGGAAATTCCAAGAATGTTCAGCCAAGTGAAGCAAATTTATTTTTATTTTCATTTTCATTTTCATTTTTACAAATATGTGATATTCAAAAAACAGAAGATAGATGAATTTTCAACTTGGGTGGCCTTGGAACTCCTTTGGGAGCCAAAGTTGTTTTTTATCTATCTTGTGCTCAATTTATTTTGCATGTTCAGGAAGAAAAATGCTTTTGAGTGACATTTTTTGACAAGTTTATGACATTTTGAATATCTAATCATTTTGTTTATTTGCTGCACAAAAGTAAAATAGGTGTAATTAGGGATGCTTGAATTTCAACAGAAGAAAAATGAGTTTCTGATTTTCATTCAAAGAATTTGAAAAGGAATTGTATGAAGAAAGAAGTTCAAAAAAACAGAGAAAAATTATTGCGAGAAAAATTGTTAAGGGGAACTTTTTGCGCTGAAAAAGCTGAAGATGCTGGAAAAAATTCAGCCCAAAAAATTTCTAAAGGTTCAGAAGATTTTTTCCAGAAAAACTCCGAATTTAAAACATTATCTAAATCGAAATTTTATGCTAAAATTGCTGAAAATTAACAAAAACTGATGAATCTATTATTTTCAGAAAAAAATTCAGCCCAGAAATATTTTTAGATGCTTACACTCAATGTCAGAAAGTCTGGGGCTTTAAAATGTCTGGAAGCTTTTTTCGAATCGAAATTTTGCGCTGAAATTGCTGAAAATTAACAAAAACTGATGAATCTATTATTTTCAGCAAAAAAATTCAGCCCGGAAAAGTTTTTAGAGGTTCGGAAGGTTTTTTTCCAGAAAAACTCCAAATTTAAAACATTATCTAGATCGAAATTTTGCGCTGAAAATGCTGGAAATTTTATGATTTCATCATTTTCAGAGCCAATTTTCACCCCAGAAATATTTTTAGTGGCTTACATTCAGAATTTTGAAAAGACTAGGGCTTCAAAATGTCTGGGAGCTTTTTCAAAATCAAAATTTTGCGCTGAAAATTCTAAAATTGCTGGAAATTTTATAATTTTTATATCGGAAAGTTTTGAGGATTTTTTTTCAGAAAGTCTAGAGCTTTAAAATGTCTGGAAGCTTTTTCAAAATCGAAATTTTGTGCTGAAAATGCCTCTCATGAAACAAAGCAAAACATTCTTCAAAAAGTAAAATTAGGCCAATTTGTGTGTTTTGGAGTGAGGAAGAAAAACTAAATAAAATAGAGAAAAAAATTGGTTGTTGAGGTTTTATTTGAGATTGTGATTAAAGATTGTTTGGTTCGTTCCTCCTAGAAATAAATAAAAAATAATGACTAAAAATACACATATTTGAATTGAAATAAAAAAAATGAAAATAAAAAAAAATAATTTCTGATGTGGGGGTCGTAAACAAGGCCAGAAGCAAAATTATATTAGTCGGAAAAAAATTGGTGATGAACTTCAACGTCTTTTTTATACGTGGGTGTTTTTTGAATAGGGTAATTTTGAATTGAAATTTTATTTCTGTCAAATTGAGAGAAATGAGATTGAAAAAGCAAAGTTTCTTTTTTCATCGAATACACACGATAAATTCAATTTTCACTTTGAAACAACACGAGAAAAAATCTGGCAAAGCTTAAAATTATGTATATATGTATAGATATATTATTTGCTAATCTTCCTAATTCCATCAGGAAATACTTCCGTTGGTCTATGCTACTCACTTATCCACACACATTTTTTTTCTTACATCAGACATTTTTGAAGGTCACCTGAAAATCCGGAAGTTGTTTGTAGTCAACAAGGAAAAACTGAGAAAATACCAACCGAACAACAAAGTCTAATCCAGACAGACTACACGGAAATAATTCTCATAGACCACCCGGGGTTTATTTTCAATTTTTTGATTATGGCTGGAAAATAACTGGGTGGTTTTGTGAAGAGAGTTAGCGCATCTCAGAAATCCACCCAGAAAATGAATTGCTAAATTTACAAAAAATAATGTTCTTGAAATAAACTTTCATAAAATACCTATGATAATATTATTTTTATAATTTCCTACTGTAGTCTACAATTCCCTTCTTCGCTACAAAATCTAATCAATTCGTAACCAAAAAAACAAGTGCAAAAAATTCTGGATTTTTCTCACATCACGCAAAAATAAAAAAAGATTTTTGATTTTTTTGGGGGGAGCGAATATGAGTGAACAAAATGATCTCATAACTTCGAAGTACACTATTTGGCTGAAGAGAAAAAAAATAAAATTTATGATGAAATGAAATTTTATGGGATTTTATACCTTTTTTCTAGATTGAAGTTGAGTGAATTGTATAGTTTTTCAGTTTGGTTCAAAACACACCTGATTTTTGATGTTCAAAAAATTTTGGAATTGGGAAAACCCCCAAGATCCCTACTTGTGGTCTCTACATTTTCCTTCAAAAAAAGAGTACACTTTTCCAGACTTAAAATTAGCTATGAGTTAGTTAGCTACATGTTTTTCTTGTGAACTCGCAATTAACAATCAGAACGATCAAAAATCTTGTTTTCCGTTGAAATAACTCGATCAAAATTTTTTGTTGAATATATCACGCTATCAAAGATAATCAGATTTTTTCAAAGTTTTAGGGGATTTGTTTAATATTTTTTTATTTCGTCAAACTATATTTTTCAGGATTATTTATGAGAGAAATCGAAAAATAGAAATTATGAAATTTTGAAATTCATAATTTATATATGAAAATCTATACAGCTAACCTGAAATTAGCAGAAAAAAATTTGATTTGCAATGCCAGTATTTTTCAATTCAGAAAAGTTCCAAAAAAATATGCCTAGACAACTTGGTCATGAGAAAAAGATGAAACTTGCGCTCCAAAAAAATTTAATAATGATCAGAATTTTTCTTTGGAGAAAAAAGAAAAAAAATGTTCAGAAACCAAACTCGAAATTGAAAATTTCAAAGAAAATTTTGGTAGAGTGCTTTAAAGTTTTATCATGTGAAATAATTTTGAGAATATTAATTCAGATCAGTTTAATAGATATTATAAAAAATATTCCGAATCACATTTTCAGATGTTCGATTAATGATTTCTCAAAAATTCAAAATCCCAAAAAAAATGTTTTCTCAAAAAAAAATCAAAAATGCATCCTTTGAACTTTTCCCAATTAACAGCCAATTTGCTCCTAACAAACCTACGAACCTAAAAATCCCTGTCACCTCTCAAAATTAGCCTAACTTCAACCGCCTACTCAAAAAAAACCTTATGTACATACAACCTTTACTCTTCGTCATTCTGAAAAATTTTGTTTCAACGAAAACGCATTCAAGGAAAAAGAAAAAAGTAGAAGTAAAACAAATACTAAATCAAAAATGCACAGCCAAACCAACAAAAAATGTTGCGAAGAGAACTGAACTGATTAAAAATTCCCCCAAAACTTACTTTTGCCCAAATTTTCGGCCAATCATTGTCAAATTTATCATTGTTGTTTTTTGAGCTGCGAATATAATATGTATGATAAATTTCTTGAACACGTCGAAGATGAGACACAATTGAGATTGGATAATCCTCCGCAAAGAAAAATGTTTGGAAGTTTTTTTTTCTGCTTCAATGTAGGTATTGTTTTTCGGATTCTTTTGGCACCGGTAGAATCTGAAAAATACATACATATGGAATTATTATTTATGAAAAAAAAACCAAAAAATCATGTATAAACAAATGAAGAAGATTTGGAGATCAAGAAAAATGCGGAAAAAGTTTGGATGAATGATTTTTGATGACATGTTTAATTGAAAATGAAAAACGAAGCAACGAAAAAAAGAAAACGAAAAGCTGGGGTAAACAAAAGATCTGCTGGATGATGATGATGAGGATGATGGGGAAGGGTTCATTTGGAAGGGTGAAAGTGCACAATTTATTTTTGGAATTTGATTTTTGTGCAACGTTAATTAATTAAATGGCTCGGAATGTAACAAAAATCGATATCTGGGCTATAATATACAAAGATGATTTTGTTCGGTAGAGCGCGGTTGTTATTTGAACTATATAATCAATTTCATTTCAATAAAGGTTGCCTAGCCTAGTCTACAGTACTTGACACAGTTTTGGAGATGTTTTTTTTTTTGAAAAAAGAAAATCGTGTTTTTGTTTTTTTTTTCTCATTGTTTGAAAAATCACTAGGAATGCATAGTTTTTTTTGAAAAAAAAAGCGAAATTTTTAAAAATATCCAGAAAACATTGTGGGTGGTCCTACAAAATCGTTTTTGTTTTTTTCAGAATTCAACTACTTTGTAGTTTACACTGTAGTTTGAGAATGAAAAAAATCAGATTAAAACAAAGTGGGTGGTCCAAAATTTTCTACAGTAATATTTTCTATATTTTCTCGTGGATTGTTTTTCTAGACTATCAAAAAATAAAGAAGCCAAAAATATATAAAGAAACTTTAAGAAAAAAAAACAGATGAAAAATTATGGTTTTTGGTCGAAAAAGCATGGAAAGTTTTCCCTCTATAATAAAAATAAGATTATTTTCTTATATATATTTTTCATGATGAAAAAATAAAGTTTTTTTCTTCCAGCCGAAGCTGAAAAAACTGAGTGAATAAAAAAGTTCAGGAAAACTGGCTTTTTTGTGGGCGTGGCTAGGAGAAGAGCTTTTTTTCTTGATTCTTGAAATATTTCTGGGAAACGTTTGTGGTCCAAAAATAGAACTTACAGTACTTTTTGGGAAAATAATCCTAGAGAAATTGAGTAACAGATATTCCAGAAAAAAAACTGGAGAAAAGTGAACAACAAAAAACTCATAAAAGTTTTGCTCATTCATTTTTCATATTTATTTTTGCTGGTCTCAAAAAAATAGGCAAAAATTTATTAGGTCAATAACAATAATGTGAAAACTTGTTAGGCTGAAAAAAATTCTCGCAAAATAGAGAGAAAAAAAAATATGCTTGGCTTGCTTTTTGATGCTTATTTTCACACGGAAGAAGGAAAATCAAGGATGTTTCAGAAAAAAAAGAAAAAAGAAATAGATGAAAAAATAATGATGTTAGAATAATTAATTCGAAAATAAATAAATAAACTTGAACTTGATTGCAAAAATTAAAACACACCTTGGAAAAAAGGAGAAGAACTAACATGTTTCTGTACAGTTTTTCACGCTAAAAAAGATCCTATTTTCAGTTTTTTGAAAATCGACTCTCTGAAGAGTCCAAAAATGAGCCAAAAGTTAAGAATTTTGAGAGCCCATAACTCATTTTAGAAAAGATCTTATCAGTAACTGAGTACAGGGCAATTCTCAGGAGGGTCGATTTACCAATTCCTAAGGTTTTGGCAAAATTTTCTAAACATATAGCACGTGGCCAACCCGCTTTTTTGTCGGCACTGCGTTTATAGACCCCAGGAGGTCTCACAGCGATTTTTCAACCAAAATGTTTGAAACCCTGTTCTAGAACAACGTGAAAATTCGAATCACCACGAGCAGCAAAAAAACAATGATGTAATTCAAAAATAAAAATAAATGAAACCTGAACTTGATTAAAAAAATATATAAACACACACATTGAAAAAAGAAGAGCAACTTGCAAAAGTGTATGAGCAAAAAAAAATAAAACGGAGCAAAAAAAGTCGATTTACAAATGAGCCAAATCTAGATTAAACAAGAAGAAAATAGACGAAGAAAAAGGTTTTTTTTCTTCTCCGAGATATTCTCGAAATGACAACTTTTTGGAACTTTTTTTGATTGACAAATTTCGACAATTCATGAATTTTTGTGTTTTTTTTGCTGGCAAGCCAGAGCTACAGTAGGTCCCTAACCCAAAATTAAATACATACATTTTTCAACAAAAACGCCGCTAACCAATAATTTGTCACTAAGAAGAGGAAGATAAATTAGCACCTTTCGGAAAAATCTTCGTCGCCGTTTTTTTTCAAAAACAACAGAAAAAAATTTTGGAGAACCAAAAACTAGAGTACTTTTGGCTTCTTGGGTGGTCTAATTGAGAGGATGATACTTGAGATATGTGTTCAGAAATTCAGATGTCTGCGTTGGTGATTTTCGGGAGTAGGAAGAGTACTGTAGGTTGATTTTTTGGAGAAAAGGAAAGAACAATGAAAAGACACCCACTCGAAAACTTTGAAACTTGTGAATTTTTGAGAATTCGAAGAGTGGGTTATTTTTATTTTGAAAGTTGATTTTTTTTTGAACTCGAGACAGATTTTGATTTTCAGAAATCACTGTAAAATATGGAATTAGCTTAAATTCTGTGGCTATATATTTTCAACTTGATATACTTCCAGAAGATCCGAAAATCAAAAAAGATGTTCTGGAGCCTAATTTTTAAAAGCTACAATTCAATCAGAAATTTTTATATTTGAAAATTCGACTCCGAAACACATTTTTCGATTTTCAGAGATCATGGGATTAGATTTCAAAAAAAAAAACAATTCATTTTCAACCTGACGCATTTCCAGAAATCCAGCAAGTTTTTCTGGATGTTTGATGTTTCAGAAAATTCCGGATAGGAAAATTAGTTAATTACTTAAGAGTTCTCTGAATTTGTGTTGTGGACAGAATTCCAAACCACCAAGGGATTTTTAGACTACACTCTAGTTCTTCCAAAATCAAGAAAATCTTCATTAATTCTTTGAATTCTTCTTTGCAATTCGAAAGATCAAAAATGACTTTTTAGCTCGCGATGAAAACAAAAAGTAATTTATCTTTTTTTTTTCTCTATTCTCATTTTTCTCATAAAAACATTGAAATTTTGTGAAAATTGTGCAAAACTATTGATCTTTGATTAAAAAATGAATGAAAGACTGCAAAGAAGAATGAAATTGGAAGTGGAAGAGGAATTGTTTGCCACTGTTCAATTGAACCTAAAAGGATTAGAAGGGTGCGTGGCGGCGGTGAAGAAAACGGAAGAAAAATTGTCATGACATGACATTAGAGAAAATTGGATTTGAAAGACAGTAAGTAAGTGAGAAGAAATTTGATTCACTAGATTAGGCTTTTTTTGGGGTTCTGGTATTTTTCTATTTTTAGAAGAAATTAGGGGTTTTCGAATTGGGCTTCTTTGTCCTATTAAACAAATTTTCGATATAAAATTTAGAGTGATAATTTAAATCTGAGTTCCAGAATTTTCGAATTGAATCAGAGGAACACATATTGACTCTGTTTGGAAGTAAAGGGGTTTTCAGAAAATAAAGGTTTTTTTTAACGAAAAGGTTTTAGGGGGTACATTTATCTGAAAAAATAAAAAAATTCTCCTCTGTTGAAATTTTACTAAGCCTAAGCCTAAAAACTTTCAGCCTAATTTAAGCCTAATTTTTTCCCAGAAAAACCTATTATTTTCTCTGAAACCTTTTATTTCCGAACTGGGCCCACATTTCTTGGCGCAATCAGTTATGAAATTCTAGACACATATTAGAGCATATTTTAAATTCTGAGCCAAACAGTCTCAAAAAATTCTTCAGTTTCTCCGGTCCTTTTTTAAATCAGAACTGGCTATTTTTCATGGGCCAAAACTACAACTAAAAATATGATTACTAGGTTCAAACTCCTTCCTAACTCTCAAATAAAAACATATATTTCAAAAAAATCCATAAAAATGCCATTACGTAACCCCACCATTTATAGTAGTTAATTTGAGCAAAAAAAAAATAATAATAATAGGCATCAGAAAATGAAAAAAAAGGAAAAACGGGGTGAAAGAAAAAAAAAGTGGACGGAAAAAATATATGTGACATTTTTCGTGTTTTTGAGAAAAAGTACAGAAAATTTTTGGCCAAGCTTCTTTTGACCTGTTTTTTTTCGAAATGCTTTGTTAAAGAAGAAGAAAAGCTTTTGGGAATTTCAAAATCTGGATGTTACAAAAATTGTAGTTCGGATTTTTCTGGTAAAAATCAAACTACAAAATTCACTTTGTGTTTCGATGTTTTGCTTTTTTGATTCTCACACTCTAAAATTGTTTGATTTATCAATTCATACAGATCACATGAATCTCAAAATTATAGGTTAGCCTGATATTCGATAAATGTCAAACGCCAATTATTGAACCGAATTCTGAATTACTAGTTATCCTAATTTGAAAACCTAAAAATAAAAAAGAGGCTAGGCTTCATAGATTCAGAACTAATGTAAATTTCCAAACTTTCATATGAGGATATATAAAAAACTAGACAATTCGTCATTTTTATCGCAATTAACTAAAATAAAGTTGGATAAAGTTAATTAGGATGAAAAATTTTCAGAAATCGTTTTGAAAGATACAAAAATAATAAAACATAAATGTCTAGAATCTAAATCATACACTCTTCCACAATCTGAAAGTTTTCTAAATTGCCAATGAGTTAGCGTAAGTACCCTATTTTAATAGGGTACTTACGCTAACTCATATTTAAAAATATTGAAAGTGGGATTAGAACCGATCAAATTTAAGGCAAAGGTTAGAGAACCCATTTTTGATATACCAAATTTTTTTTGAAAAACATGGCTTTGGGGTAATAAATTACAGAAAACATAATTTCTTGAGTAGCAAAAATCTACTACGATATCAGAAAACAATCCCAGTAAAAAAACGCAAAAACATGTTGAAACCACATAATTTTTGTCACCACCCTGTAATTTTCTTGGAACATTCACCAACTCAAAAAAACCCGAATACAAAGAGAAAAAGAAAAGAAAACAGGAAATTATAGTATCCTCGATGGAAAGAATATAAATTCATTTTTCATTTTATTCCAAGAATAAAAACATCCAGAAATATTGTACTTTCTCTCTTTTTTTCGCCTCCTCAAAAAAATATTTCTCCCCCATTCTTTGGACGAAAATATGAAATTTTGGCGATTTTTTTTCTTAAATAAAAGAAAAAGAACTTTGAGAGTGTGAAACTGACGCCAAGACATTTTTCGAAGAACACGTTAATAATACATGAAACATCCACCCTTTTTTTCTTTTTTTTTTTGCTGCATGTTTTCTCAAAAAGTTCTGTGATTCTTTTTTTTTTTGAGAAAAAACCGAGGTCGCTAATTTTTTCTCCTGTTTGAACAGATGTTATGAAGAACACAACATGAAGAAAACCACACACACACAAGGAGAAGAAGAAGAAGAGATAGGCAGCGAGAGAGCGAGAAAGTGTATAACAAACATTGCTGTTCCTCTCGTCGCCCTTATAGCTCAGTGGCAGAGCGTTGGTCTTGTAAACCAAAGGTCCGTAGTTCAATCCTGCGTGAGGGCAAGATTTTTTTCATTTTTTTTTGAAAGCTTTGGGATTTTCAATATGAAAATTATACATGTTTATTTAGGAAAGTACACTTTGTCTGGAAATTTTCAGGAACTTGATGAAAATAATATTCTTTCTAGAAAAAAAGAAGTGAAAATTGAAAATACTTTGAACGAAAAACTCTAAAACCTTTTCCTTGAAATTCAAACAAAAGAAAAGTTGCCAAAATCTTGACAATTAAAAAATCCAAGCAAAAAATGTTCAAAAATCTCAACGATCAAATCTCAATTTTTTCTCCAAAGCAAAAATATTTAATAATACTACGTGAAGAATTAATTAGTCAACGATCATTCTAATTTTTACACACACACACAAAGTTACAAGAAATGGCTATATTTAATGTAACTCTCGAAAAAAATCACAAGACGAAAATAAATGAGAACAAGCTGAAATGGGAGAAAATTATTTTTACGAACTTTTCGCGTTTTCCTATAATAAATCGTCTAAACGGGGCAAAAATAAATAACACTTTCTTTTTTCCATGTGAGTGAGTGACACAGATTTTCGGGCATTTCGAAAATTGTATTAGTCCGCGAAAAAAGTTTGTGATTTCAAGCGAGACAAATTTCCTTGAAAAATTTCTGTTTTGTTTTCCTCAGAGAATGAAATTTTTGTTGAGAAAAATACGATTAAACTTTTGCAAAATATAAAAATGTAAACAAGTTTTATTTTTGAAATATGTTTTTTTTTCTGGAAAAAAAAAACGAAAGAAAGAGTTACAAGAAAAGTTTTCGAAAAAAATGAGTAAAAATGAAACGTCAGGTTTCCGGTCTCAAAAATTTCTCGATCTTTATTCAAGAAAAATAAAATTATTTGAACCGTGAAACCTGTGTGTGTGTGTATTTTTATTTCTACTAGAAAAATCCTATTTTTTTCCTTCCTTTTTTATATAATTTGTTCATTTTATTTCCTTTATTCTTGAAATTGAGAGAACAAAGATTCTGGAAAAATAGATTTTTTTGAAATTTTCTATAAATTATTCATATTTGGATTTATTTATGAAACGAAAAACGAGGAGGATTTTTGAAATATATGCAAAACGGAATGGACTAAAAATCAACTTGAGAGCGACTGATTTTGACATGGGGAATAATAGGAAGTCGATTTTCAAAGATTCAAAATTTTGAAAACTATATTTGCGGAAAAGCTCAAACAGAATAATCCATCAGAAACATCTGGAAATGTTTTCGAAAAACTTCCAGAAGTTTCTGAACTGAAAAAAAAACTAGATTTCTAAGATCAAAAACATGGAACTTTTTTCTGAAAAAAAGATAGAATGAAAGTCAAAATTCAAAATTTTAAAAATCTGCTGATTAATTATGAGTTTTAATTAATAATCTACAAAAATAGAACCGCGGACCACCCATACTCAAAAAAAAAACAAATCTCTAAAAAACCGTAAATTTCTGAGAAAACTCAAAGAGAAAGAAGCAAAGAAGAAAAAAACAAGCCAATTAAAAAACGGAAATATTCAAATAAGATTAGTGAAAAATAACAAGAGGAACGACAAAAAACAAAAAATTTTCATTTTTCCCAAAACTCGAAAAACGCGAGTTTTTTTTGTTGTCCATCCAAAGTGACAAAAAAACGATAATTGAATTTTCGTCACTAACGAAGATTTTTTGTTCATTTCTTCGTTTTTTGCTTTGAGGGTGGAGCAAATGAAGGAAGGAAAGGAGAAAAAATGTTGCGATTTATTATAGAATAATATTATTATTAGAAAAAAAATCTAGGAATATATTAGAAAAATAGATAGGAAAAACGTTTATGAATAATGAATTTTTATTGGATACATTTACGTAAGCGAGGATTTTTGATGAAATCTAGGGCATTTTGAATACGAGAATGTAATTTCAGCTTTTCACATAATTTTTCTGACTTAAAACAAGTCCGGAAAAACCTAAGAGCTACAAATCTGAAAAGAGCCTAACGAAAAAAAAAGAACATCAAAAAGTTTTGTAAGCTTTTCACTACCAAAAAAATGACAAGGTCTGTTCTCCAAAAAAAAATCTGAATCTGAAAATCAAATGCAGAAAAGATAGACTTTTTGAATAATTCATTCTGTTTTGATTCTTTCATCTCAACAATTATAATATTGAAGCACCAACAAATAAATTGGGCGCCAAAAACAACAACTCGTTGTTGTTTTTTTTTCTTTTTCAGTCAGATCTTCTTTAGACTTTGATGTTTTTTTCTTCAGGGGTAAACGCACTTTGAACGTGTGTTGAATTTTTTATTTTTAACCCAAAAAAATCAATTTGAACTTTAAAAGAGAGAAAAACGTGAATAAAAAATCAGATTTCTTATGGAAAAATATTTGTTCGAGGGAAAATCAGATGTTTTAGGAGAGCAGAATTTTTTCTAGGCCACCAATGATGAAAGCAGACAATATTATTTGTCTTATCTTCCCTACAGTACTTCTCACATCAAGAGGAAAAGAGTCGCTAAGTCCGGAAGTATTTTTATGGATGGAGATTTTCCACATCGTGTCAGAACAGGATTTCTCGGAGTCGCAGACAACCACTTTTGTTTAGAAATTCGCTGCGAGACCTTAACGCATTAAAGGGCGATGCCGATCTAGATAAATGATCAGACCAGTTTTTGGTCATTTTCAATATGAAAATCAAAATATGTGTTTGTAGAGTTAATTTTTTATTATTTCTCATTATTTTAGCTCTAGAATGCGCTTTTGATAAACTAAAATAGTTGAGTCAAGTTACGAACATTTGAAATTGAGAAAAAAATTTTAGTCCAAAAACTTTAGACCCCCCAGAACTAGAAATATATTAGTATACAAAATCCCTTTTTAGTATAGAAATCCCCAAAAAATGTTGAAAGACTCACTTTACCTCCAGTTTTCCTCGTTTGTGAGAATCATTCAACTCCAAATTCGCTTCATAGATTGTTTCGATATTTCCATCATTTTGCTGACGTTTTTCCTGTAAATTAGAAATGATTCAAGTATTTTAAACGGAAGAAAAATTCAAGAAATTACATTTTTTCATTAAATTACTTTTTAAGCACCCAAACTTGTGTTACTTGTACTAGGAAAAAATATAAATACACATTTCACAACAAGTTTCATTCAAATTCATGGAAAACAACAAAAAATATGTGAATGAAACATTTTTGCAAAACAAAAACAAGAAAACAAAAGTAAACATGAAAGTGCGCCCCATTGATAAAAATTGCATGTCCCGCACTCTTCCAAAAATGTATTTGTTTTGTTGTTGCCTTTTTACATTATCAGACTAAAAGTAAAATCTTCCTCTACATATTTGTTCCTTTTTTGTTGGAATAACCCCTCAATGTTTTTTCTTCATATATGAAACCAAAGGATGTCCTTCTAAATGTACATAGGAAATATGGATAACACCTGCAACTTTTTTCTTCAACAAAAAAATGATTAAAAAAAAAGAAAATGTGGTTTGGGTGATACTCAACAGATGTGAAGATTTTTTCACACAGTTTTTTTCTCGGAACTGTTAAGAATGTCTTCTGAATCTGATGGTTATTTAGAATTTTTGTCCAAACCAATTTCTCAAGTTGGAAGTTTGGTTTTAGATTGGAATCGGAATATTGTCTATGCTACAGAAGGAATGGGATTGAAATACTTTTCGATACAAACTTCTAGAGGTTGGTTGAAAAATCTTTTTTTTTTCGTGAAGAATATGTATTTTTGCAGGCGATATGGTTGAATATAAAGTTGTTGATGTAAATCAAGAATATATGAAAGATTTGGGAGTGAAATTCGATACAATTGGAGATTTGATAAATGCAATTATAACATGATTATTATTGATTCTGAATGAAAAAATTTTGAATTAGATATTGAGATGATTTGAAGGGAATATTGAAGGGAAAACATCATTATTTAGGAAATTTCCAGCAGACAAAGACTTTGAAGTTTAAAACTAACATTCGAGGGTCCAACTCGGCTCAAAAGGACGATTATAGGATAGGTTGACCTATCACTTTTCAAAATTTCAATGTTGTCGAACCCAGACTCTGGGTCCCAGAGGTTCTGTAAAGCCTGAGCTCTTACAGGGGAACTTTTTCAAGTTTCCCTCTAGAACTTTAATGTTGGGATTTTTGACCAAAATCGCATCTTCTCAGAGCTCTAACTTGCTCCAAAATTATTTTTATCAAAATCTATAGTACAGCGTTGTTCAGGAGCGTATTTAGGTTGTCTGGGATGTCGAATTCAGAATTCCGAAGTAGCGTGATTTTTGCCACGGTATAACTCATGTTAGGAGTTCAGAAACACAGTTTTTGACTGTGGAATTGTGATCAGCTGGTTAAAAACTTCTAGGAAACATATATTTTATTACAAAGTAGAGGAAAAGTTGAAAAGGTTCTTTTGTCACAATGATGATCTTCAATTTTTTTGATCCGTGATCTGAAAATTTCTAGATCCCAAAAAGTTTTTCACGTTTTTCTTTCAAGTCATCATCCTCTTCATCTTCAAAATAATTCCAAAAAACTTTTTTTCCGAAAAATTGTACCTGAAAAATAATCCGAGCCCTACTACAAGTTTTCCCCCCATTTTCTCGCTCTCTATCCTTATTCTTTCATAACATCTGTATATCCCACGTGTTTACGATAATACAAATTTTGTCGAAAACATCCGAATTTTTCTCCACGCCTGTAGAACAGCTGTACGCGCAAAATTTTTGGTTCATATTATTTTCATTCTTCCTTACTCTCTACCCCTTCGAATCTTGTCTACAAAAAACGGTTTTTGAAATGACAGACGGAGATAAGCCAACTTATTTCCCGATCGAATATGTCACCTATGTGTACCTTGTTCAAAGTGATAGAGGTAAGGTTTTGAAATGAGATTTTGAGAGATCTGGAAAAAATTAATTCTTGCCGACATTTCGATGCGCGGAAAGATTTCTGATTTTTCCCCATTGTGTTTTTTTTACAGATCCAAATTGTTTTGATATCATCAAAATGCGAACAACTGATAGACTTGACGATCCAAACATTGAAGATTTTTTGGCAGTCACCAGAGAGGTCGTTCCATACGCTCCTATGGATTTCGACAAATTTATTGCGGGTAAGGTTGCTGAACTTCCTCAAAATGTAGTTCTAGACTAATAAGAAAATAACATTTCAAAATCTTCCGAATTTTGTAGCCTCCAAACCCCCAATTTTTCAGGAACCGGCGAAGAGAATTGGTGCATTCCAGTTGCAGGGACCGAACAAATGATCACTGATGTGATGACACATTTGCAAGCAAATTTCTGGAACTGGCCAGCGCCCCAACAACCGGCTGAATCAGCTGAATCAGTTGAGAACAATGACACAGCTTGAACTTTTTTATTGTTCTCCATCTAAATGTCTTCATTTCCCCTAAATTTTTTCTATTGAATTTTCTCCACCCTGTCTTTAAAAAAACAATAGAATTTTCTTGTATATATAATTTTTCTCTTTCCTGTAATGTTAAACTTTTTCGAAATGAAGACAATGTTAATATTCGTTGTTGGTTTCTCAATCTTCTTCCAACTTGGAACATCGGAAGAAGCTTCCACTAATTCAACAATTGCTCCACCTTCGGTGCCTTGTCCAACTACAATAACACCAGAAGATGCGAGAAAACATCTGAAAACTGCATATGATTTTATGGTGTATTTTTATGATCAATGCGATAACCAAAATTATCTTCTTTCGAGTAATTTCTTTCAAAATGACAATGGAACTATAACGAAAAGAGGTTTGTTGAAAACATCTGGGGTTGAGATGAAACTCGGATTGTTTTCGTTAAATTGGAAAAAAAAGTTTTGAGAATTGATTTTTTGAAAAATGTAATTTTTTCTAACAAATGTTCTAGAGTGAAGGAGAATTAGTTATTTTAAAAATGGAGAAAAATATTCCGGATATTGAAAACAGAAAATTCGGAATTTTTTAAAGAGTCTTCAAACTTTAAACTTCATTGTTAGATTGGTTGTAAAACTTATCGATTTATTTGAATCAATTTCAATTCAAAAGTTTGTATCCTGGTTAAAAAAAAGTCATTGACAATTTTTTACAAAATCAGAATTGTTAGATGTAAAGTTCCTAAGCCAATGTAATGTATTTGAGATACTCTATTCTCTTATGTGTTGTATGACAAGATGCAGTTCTTACTGTAGACAAGACTAGACAGTAAAGTCTTTATTATGAAAGAAAGAATAAGAATTAGTTTCAGTTCCGTAGAACCTCTTGGCTCTCCTCAACTCTCCAGATTACTCTAGTCGGTCTTCTTTTATACACAGGCATAATAGATGGCACAAATAGATAACCCAGATGACGTTGCACGTTCACGTGTATATCATAATCATTTCTATACACAACATTAGAGAAACATAGCTTCAAATTACTGTGGGCTTTCAAGCCATTTTACACGGTGTTTCACTGTTTTTTCGAATGATTTAGAAGCTTCCAGAAAAAATCATTTGAGGATTCTATTAATTAGAACATGCTCCCCCACCTTTAAATCTGAAATTTTTGGAAAAATTCAGGCTTCTTTGATTATCCGATTCTAAATGGTTATATTTCAAAAATAAAAATCATCATTTTGAGAACAGACATTCTCATATTTCCCAAGTCTCCCATATTTTCCAGAGGACTATATAACCAGTCTCAAAGAAAAGGTCAACATCAACCGCTATCACTTCAAAGACATCACAATATACCCCGAATCCATTGAAGTCAAGTACTGGAAAGTCTTCAATTTCACAATTATCCATCAAAAAACCCAATTCTGGGATATCATCACTGAAGGCGGACATTATGTTATAGACAAAATTTATCTTGTTCCGGAGACAAAAAAACAATAATTTGTTTGTTTTCTGTGCTAATGCTTTTTGTAATAAATGAAGAAGAAAAAAAAAAGAAAACATGAATCACAAATTCTGTACAAAACATTTTTTAGTCATTCATTTTAGCAGCAATTTTTTGTTCAGTATAAAAAGGCTGTCTGATTGTTAGAATCAGAACATCAGTTACAATTTTCAAAATGAAATTCCTAGTTCTTCTTTCAATTGTCTATCTCGCAAATTGTGACACAGTCACCACAACCATAGCCTCAACAGCATCAACATCAACTACTGTAACTGTGCCATCAACAACCACACCACAAAATGTGGCAGCTCCAAATGAAGCTGCAGTGTTTTTGACAAGATTCTATGCCGCTTTGAATATTCAAGATTATTCAGTGATTAATCAAGCTTTCACAGCAATCATTGCTGGACAAACGTATACCAGAGGTAATTTAATTAAGAATATGAGAACAAAAATCTTAAATTCGTTTTTTTTTTCAGACAAATACATCTATGCTCTTCAAGTTCTTCAATCACAAAACCCAGCAGTCTTCAATAATCCAGAAATAAATGCCAGCAACTACAATGCCGTCAAAACCGCGAACAATCTTGTTATTAGTTATACAAATGGAGAAAAATGGACTGTTGAAGGAGCAACTTTGATTAAATTGGAGAGTCAATAGACTAATTATGCCAATAATAATTATTTTTATTAATTATTGAATAAATTGTTAGTTGATTGAGCGTTTTTTGCAATCAGGATGGTACTAGATTTGGCTACAGTGTAGTACTGAACTTCATCACATTTTTATTTTAGAAATGTTATCACAATTTTCAACGGGTTTTCAAAGAATTCTCAAAATTTTGTAGCCATTTTCTGTAGTTCCCTAAAAATTATGTATTAAAAATAATTCCAATATTTTTGAAAATGCGTTTATTCCTGAACAATTTCCAATATACAACATACATAATAAAAATAGAATTATTTTATTTTTGGAGCATTTCTTTCTTTTGCGACAGCACTGAAAAACCCACAGTTTTACTCAAAGAAAATCATAAATAACTTACATTCCCCAATAATAAAAGAATACGATGAGAATTACAGTGAGAACCAAAGCCAAATAATATGTGATTGAGAAATCCAAGCTAGCTTTTTCTGGTTTCATGGTGAATTCTGATCCACTCAATTTTGTTGTGGGAAGTTGATCAACGATTGAAATCAGAAAAATCGAAAAGATTATGATTTTTGGAAAGAGCATGATTTGTAGGTAGCAGAACAAAATTCAAAACTGAATTCAAATGCTGTTGCCATTGAAACCTATTTTTTACACTATAATTATCCGGATTTTATCGAATTTTGCTCGGGGAAAGAAATAATGTGCAACAAAAACCCAAATTTTGGACACTATAATTATCAGCGGGATATTTATCTTCTCTAACTCTATTGAAATAATTAATTAGAGTATAGATCTTGACTATACTGAAGTTCAAAAGATCATAGATAATTTATTTATTCAAAATATTAAAATAAAAATAATTATTATATAATTAAAAAGAAAATTAAAACATTTCCATAGGAATAGGAATAGGAATTACATGAATATATGCAAAATTGTATAAAATATTTCCTGTTGATAAATCTGCCGTTTCAATAAACTGTGACAACTGTTGGTTGAACCGCAGCATTATGTTTTTTGGTCATTTTTCTGGAAAAATGTATCTTAAAATTAGAGTTAATTTTGAATTCCAAAAAAAAATTATAGTTAAACCTTATGTTGAAACTTTGTACTTTGTACATTCGAATTTGATCGCTACGATTACAAGTAGGATAGATTATCATGTTGTTTTAATGGAAATTCAGGAGTACAAATTAGTCACTGGAATTTATGTTACATCTGTGAAATTACTAGAGAGCTTGTACTTTTATGTGAATTTCACAAGAAAAAAGGAGCTGAAAACTGTCCTGAAAAAGTTTTTTAAATTTTAAAAAATCTGACTGCACCTTTCTAGAAATTATTTCTGAATTTGTGTTAAAGTTAAATTCGAATTGGAATTTGAAACTTCAAAAGAACATCACAAAAAAATCAGTGTTTTTTAAACAGATTCAAGGCTGAGATGGGACCTCAAGCTCGGCCCGGCCGGCCCCAAGAACATGCCTGATGATAATTTTTTTTGTTTCCATTTTTACGGTTTTAAAAACCGTAAAAATCCCGTAAAATTCGTAAAATTTTGTTACTCAACCTTTTCACTGAAAAACAGCAAATTTTTTTTTCGAAATTTGGGATTTGGTAACTTATCGTAACTCAAGCATAATTTTAACAGTATCCTCTCCATATCCATCAAAAAATTAATTAATTAGGATTAAATCAAAATTTTCTTTAAAAAATGTTGTGTTTTTTTTGAAGTTTCAATTTGATTCTGTCAAAATTCACCATATTTACGATTTTTTGAGCCGTAAAACCGTAAAATGGATCTTACAGTGAAATTCCGTAAAAACCGTAACACGTAAACGAAAAAATTCCCAGGTCTGAATTGAACCCCTAAAAAATTTTTTTTGAGAATATTACGAATATTTTTTGGTCCTTTTCATAATATTAGATTTTTTGCTCTTTTTTCAAAAAAAAATTCCTTATTTTTTCACTGATCTGAGTACTTGAAACTCACCGGAGACAGTCGAAAACACCGCATACTTCCAGCAGAAAATAAGCAAAAACGCTGACCAACACAAACGTCAAACAATATAGAAAAATGCGAGTGCCCAATGGTTCATTCTCGAATAATGTTTCCGTCGCCGCCTCTTGACAACAAACACACGTTGAAAGTAGCAAAACAAGTGTGACTTTTCGCGAAAGCATTTTATTCTTTGCCAAAGAAGACTTCGAACCAAACTATGAGAATGAAAATGTGAAATAATAAATTTATATATATAATATATATATATTAATCAGCAAATTTTTGCCATCGAAAGATTTTTAGTGTACTGGCTACAATTAGTGAGTCACAAGGGTATAACATTCCGAGTATTATTCCATTCAAGTTGTTTTGATGAAAAACCAACTAGCAGCTAGGTGAAAGTCATCATTTATTGTTTTTGAATGAATTTTTGGAAATGGCATGTGATAATATAGGTTCAGAAGATCAATGTGAGATTGTTTTTATGATACTGATTATGAGGACTTTCAAGGATCTCTTTCAAAATAAGTGAAAAATAATGCATTTTTTATCAATGTGATTGAAAATCGCGGAGCCTGATTGAATGTTGGAGAAAAAACATATTTTCTAATGAATCTGGATTTTAAAAACCAGAAAATTCGGAAAACCTGGAAAATTTTTTGAATTTTGAATTTCAGCTTTGAATTAGTAGTTTTCCTGGAATTTAGGAATTTTTAAAATAACTGTTTTAGTTCCAAAAATCAAAATTTTTAAAAAATTTAAAAATATTTTTTCGAAACTTCAGATTTTTTGGAAAACCCGGAAAAACCTTCCATAATTTCTTTATGAATAATTTATTCAAAACTTCAATAGAATAAAAAATGTTGCAAACAATCTTGATATATTAATTATATTGGGTGATAATTATTTGGGAACTCCTGGGGAATTTTAAAGAGGTTACAAAAAAAACAGGAGAAAAAATGAATTTGAGGGCTACGTAAAGAAAATCCTGGAAGATTTGCCGAGAGTCAAAATTGAAGAGAGGTTCTATGTATTAAAAAAAAATTATGGGCGCATACAAATAAAAAATAAAAAATTATGAAATAAATAACAAAGATTACATTAAAAAACAACATAGAACATCTCCAGGAGAAGAATCAGGCGACCGTGGGACCATCAGGAGCCGGAGGATTCGTTGACGTTCTAGTGATTGTAGTTTGATTAGATGGATCTTCAATTGAATCTTGGAACGTCGTACAGCTGAAATTTTTTTTTATTTTTATTTTTTTTTTAATTTCAATAAAAAAGGAAACTTACCAATAATACTTGGTGAATGCGAATATTCCAAATATGATGGCAAACAATCCACCAACAATTCCTACGCAGATACCAATCAAGGTTAATATTTTGCCAACATTTGTGGTGGAATCTTTAGTTGTTTGAGTTGTTGTTTGAAACAGTTCATCTTGACTTGTTGCACAGTTGACAAGAAGCAAGACGAAGAGCAATTTTTGGAAAATCATTTTTCACGCGATCTGTAAATTTGAAAAATAATAGGAACACCTTTGCTCAAAATTTGGAAATACTAATGAATCACATTTAGAGGTGGAGCACCCGTGATATTTTGATGGAAAAAATATTATTATTTTTTGTATTTTGAGTTCAAATAATTGTATTTAAAATACATTTACTTAACGAGCTGTGTGGTCGGGGGGAGAATCTAGATATATTTAGACTAGCAGAGATAAGGATTACGGTAGTTACGTATCAATGAAGAGGTGGGGGGGGGTTGAACATAAAAACAATTTTGCAACTGAATATTACTTTGGAATTCAGGAAGTTTTTGAAATGAAACAATACAATTGGCGATAAAAAAGTTTCTGAATTTTATAGAATGTTTTTAAAATCACGAAAAGAGAAAAAGTTTTGACAAGGCTCAAAAAAGTAACATAAAAACTGAAGAGGCACAGCTTGACTCCGCCCTTTTCTTGGTTTTTTTTGAATTGATACATGATTGTTTTCAATGTTCTGATTTGAAATCAATAATCAATAATATGCATTTTTTTAAGATCTAACCTAATCTTGTGGGCGGAGCCTAAATATGACGTGTACATATTTTCTAAAGTGAAAATGTAAAACAAAGAAAATTTGAAACACAACCTTTTTCCAGGTTCAAAATTCGTTTTTCTGAATGTGAGAACCAAAAAAAAGAGTTTTTTATTTGCAAATGTCAAATGATGATTTTGGATGACTCAAAAATATCCATTCTTCAGATTTTTAATTAAATCTCGAGTCTGATTAAAGTCATCAAAATTATTCGTACAAGTTACACTACGTAAACCACAATTCTGGAAAAAACATTAATGATTCCGGATTTTTTGAATTCAACAGATTTCAGTTAAACCTGAAAATTGTGGGCGGAGTCAAGGTCTCGGCCCAAAAAAAACTAAGTGATTTTCCAGTTTTAATTTCGAAAAGGTGTGAAGTTGTGTATTGAAAAATTGTTTCACCACATTTTTAAAGGCGCATGAGGGGTCTCGCAACAATCTATGCCTAAAATAGCTCTGAAAAATAAAGTGGGATCATAAAAATACTCGGAAAATGAATCTACAAGAAGGTTTAATGCTCTGCGAAAAAAATACATTTGGCTGGATTCTAAAAAAACTGCGCCACTACCAGTTCTCATTGATAAATCAAAAAAATATTGCTTCAAAGTTTGAAAACGGAAACATCGAGTACATAAATGATTTTTTTGCAGTTTTTTTGTCATCAAAAAAGTCACACGATGATGATTTGATTATTTTTGCCATTTCAAACTAAATGCAGCTTTCAATCATCTTTCAAGTTCAAATTCAAAAATGATCTCTATTTTTTTTTGCATTCACATCACAGTTTTTGGAAAAAATGTATTTATTCAGTCACAAGAAGATCAAAAAAGAAATTAAAAGATAAATTATCTTAAAGTCAAATCCATTTGACTTGGTTGTTCTTGAAGTTCGATATCTCCACCATTTTCCATTTGATCATCCAATTCGTCATCGGTGAAGAATCGTGAGAACTTAAAGTCTTGACGATTGCGGAAGAAGCTGATGCAGCAGAATACCATGAGCAAGATCATCATTAGAGCCACAGCAATAGCCAAAATAATTACGAAGATTAAGAGGAAATTGATGTGGTTTCCCATAAAGTTTCCAGACTTTTCCAAATTCAAATCCATCTGGAAGAATTTCAAATATGGCTTCAACATGAGTAAAGTTCAGCGCAGTAAGAATATATAAAGTGCGAATGTGGAAAAGGGGGCGAATAAGTTATTTTGTAGCAGATTATAAGAACAAAATCTCACTATACGAACTACAATACGGGAAAAAGAGCAAGCTAACCTTCATCTGGTATGAGTTTGCACATGTAGAAGTTAACGAAAAGGTCCGGAAAGTGATTTTTAGTAGTAATATTTTCAAGATCTCCACATTTTTGACGACTTTTCTCAGATACTGACTGACAAAAAACCTGAATTTTCAAAAATTTTGATTTTTCGAACTGAAAACATCTCAAACAGTTACTAAACCAATAGGCAAATTTGAGGTAAAGATATGTTTTACACTCAATTTAGTGCTGAAATTTAAAGATTGAAGAATTTTCCGGAATGTATGGTTTTTAAAATCCGGAACTCTGTAACCCGCAATATCTACTTGTCAAGATTTCGATTTTTCCAGGTTTTTTCTGAAAATTTGAACTTGAAAACTTGAGAAAAAAGAAATCTGTACCAGGAATGGCTTTAGAATTCTGGCCGTTCTGTGTGCTGCCTGTAAAATATTAGATTAGTGATAACAAAAAATATTTATTAATTTTCGAAAAATCAACCGCAAGTTCAACAAATTTCAATATGAAGGTGAGAGTCTCTTTTGTTTTCGACAAGATCGGAGACTGCAGAATATTGTTAATAAAAACAACAAGACAGCCATTGAAATAATTAGAAAAATAAAAAAGTATGACCAGAAACATTCGATTTGTTGATTGCAATAATTAGATCGGAAATACATCTGAAAAAAAAACTGACTTGAAGTTGTCGAATTTTCCAGAAGAAAAAACCACTACAAAATCAAGAAATGACAGTTTAGTTTTGTAAAAACATAGACATTCATTCATTCATTCACAAAAATAGAAAAACAACGCTACAAAAATTTCACCGAATGAAAATACAAAATAATATCATGTGTTGTTTATCGGTGATTAATGAAATCGCATGATCGCACGCAAGAAAATGTTTTTTGTAGCGGATTTTGAAAACAATTTTCTTCTTCTTTTTACTAGTTTTTGCTTCTTTGACGCACGTTGAGATATCTCGTGGGATACTGTAGGAAATTGTGAATACACACGTTTGATGGTGAAATTCAGAGATCGGATGGGATTCGCTGGTAGTAAAAAATATTTGTTAAAAACTCACAAATTTCGAAGTTCTTCTAACTTCATAACAACCAAGTGATTTTTAAAAAGTTTGTTTGTGATTCTAGATTCTAGAATGTTTTTCTAAATTTCAGAATGATGAAAATAAACTCGAACCCCTTTTCGAAATCCAGGCTCAAAATTGATTATAAGGGTAAATGATGTGAGCATACTACATAAAATTACAAGCCGAAATTTTTTCCACAAACCAATTTTCAAGGCAAAATTTTTCAAACATTTCAAATGCGTGACAGTTTTAAACAATTTCAGGGCAAAATTTTCATTTTTCAGATTTCTGATGTGATCAAAATTCTTGGAAATGTTTTGAGGAAAAAGGCTGCAAACTGCAACTTGATTTTTGTCCAGAATTTTTTATTTTGCCGCAGATCCCTCTTTCAGAAACCCTGAAAACATTTTTTTTCTTGAAACTAAAATTCAATACGCTCAGGTTTTAAGATAAAACGTTTTATTTTATTCAAAAAAAATCAGAAATCAATATTTTCCATTTCAATTAGAAGTTTAGGGGAATATTTGTGAACAAAAAAAAATAGTTTTTCAAAATCAATCAGTATTTGGGCATGTTAGATTGGAATGGGATGATTGGTTCGATAACATATCCAGCTTCGAGATAATATTTGCATCGTTCATCCAACAATGCGCGATCGTCGCAAACCAAGATGTATTTGAAGCAGATGATTTCCAAACAATAATAGAAGAGTTGTAAAGCGCGAAGGGCGAGTATGAAAAACAAGATGACACCAATGATAATGAATGAGAGAGTGAGAGCTGCCAAATGTGGTGGAAGCATTGTCTGGAAAATCTTGTTAATTTTATCAGTATATGTATAAAAAATGAAGAGAGAGAAAGTGAAATGAGAAATCGTATATAAGGAGAAGAAATTTCGAAAATCTGAATTTGTGCAAGCGAGCCGACGTAGATAGAATACAAATGTTTAAAGGGCAGATTGACTGCTCATATTTTGCACGAAAATGGGCGTTTCTAGAAGCATTTTGGTAGGATTGCTGACGTAAATGATATTTATCACGTGGCATATTTGAAAATCGATTATGAGAGCGTGGTGGAACCGACATCAATTAATCGATCAGGCGAAATATTTACCAACAACTGAACATTCATCCAGGGTAAAATTGGGAAGCATACCTGATTTTTCCACGAGTCATTTTTTGAACGAAAAGTTTTTTCTATGAATTTGATTGTAATTCTTGTTATTAACATCCTTTGAGAACCATTCATGCAAAAAAAGAGATTCAATAAGTTTTTTTTGAAAAATTGATCGATGACGTCATCACGCAGACCGTATCACAAAAAATTTCTCAAAATTTCGGTGATTTTCATGTGATTCACGTGATTTGATTGATTTCCACGTAAATCACGTGATTCCTTGCAAATGAAGGCTTGGTTCTTTTTTTAACACTGTTAAAAAAACAAGAAAGTTCTTCCAGATATGAAGTTATTGAGAAAAAGTCATGTCTCCAAACTGAAATTTCTATTTGGAGACGGTCATGTCTATAATTATGCAAAAAAAGAGATTCGATAAGTTTTTTGAAAAATTGATCGATTACGTCATCCATCGCAAAATTAGAATTCGTTCCTGATTTTACCACGAGTCATTTTTTGATCAAAAAACTTGAAATTTTCAATGAATTTTTTATATTTTCATCTGATTTGAAATTCATAATATTTACATAAGAATCGAACAACTTGGGAGTATGGGAATACAAAAATTAATGTGAAAGAAAAATCGAGATTGGATTCTTTTGAATTCGAGAAAATTTATGTGAGCTGAAGCTCAAGTCAGAATTCGAAAAAAATGGGAAAAACTGGGGTGATCTTTTGATCTTCAAGATTGGATTCTTGAGCTCCAATTGCTAGATTCTTCTCTAGAATTCGAAACTTCTGCCGCCTTCTCTGGATCCAGTTCGTCCTTGTGGTAAAGTTTTTCTTTTGCCTGAAAAATTATATTTTGGGATCTCCTCATTTGAATTTCCGGAGCTTATTTTTTTGTGTTTATTGTTCTCTTCAGAAGATAATTTTTGATAAGAGTATTTCAAAATACCTTCATAAATTATTCAATTCCTTTTAAAAATCTGTTTTCAAAATTTGTGAAAAAAGGTTCGACTAAACATTTTTGAAAAGCGCGAGAAATTAGCGAAAGAATCATGTACATAATTCATATTTTTCAAAATAAAATATGAGAATTTCAGAAAATATTGATATTTTTCTCAAATTTCAAAATTCATGACGTATTCTATTTTTCAGCACCAACCTCAAACTTTTTTCTACCTGCTTCAAATCCCAGAAGACATAATTAACGAGAGAGAAATTGCTTTGTATGACATATCATTTCAAGCTTTTTATCTAGATATATATTCCAAAAATTTTCTTTTTTTTTTCGAAAAAATTCTCGACAAAAATCAAATGCTTGACGATGTTCTGGAAGTTATTATTCCACATAACCCTTTTGCAAACCTTCTTATTCTCGGTTTCTGTTGGATTATTTTGATTTTGCAACTTTTGGTTATTCTTTTGCTGGTTAGAGAGATATTTGAAATATTTCCCACAAGCAAGTGAGTTTTTTTTTGGTTTTAAAAAATTAAAAAATACAATTAGAAACATTTTTGCAGCACTCTAGTTATTTTTGAAGATCAAGAAATAATGGAAATCTAGGAGGAGTAATGACTCTTGTTTTTTTGTATTTTTAATCCTAAATTTGTACTTTAACTGACGATGTGACACCTCAAAAAGTATTTCATTTATTTATTTATTCATTCAAATTTGCAAAATCATGACAAATCTTTTTGATATAGTCGACAACTTTCTAGAATTGGCAGAGCAAAACTACTGGAAATCTAGACTTTTAAGCCATTTTACACGGTGTTTCAATGTTCTTTCAAACTATGAAATTTTTAAACTAATGTTTGAGAAGCTTCCAGAAAAAATCCCCGTTAATGAAAATGATAGTTGCCCCCGCTTGTTTTTTTGAATCTGAAAATTTCGAAATAACATTCAGCTCCCAAGCATTCAAATTGTGTTTTTAATCCTTTTTACACTACAAAACCACAAAACCCCCATTCCATTCTTTATACTTTCCACGTTATGGCAGCAATCACAGATTTTCTTGAAAAACACATTGAAACAATAGTAACACATTCAAAATTTTGGAATATTATCATCATTTTTATTTGTTTCCTCACACTTTTCTTACTTATTATTCATCACATCGGTTGCACATACATGCTTATTGATCTACTTTGCGTTGAGTAAGTTAAGCTAACTTCAAGGTAACCCCAATATTTTTTTATTTCCAGATGTTGTTTGTTTTGGGACGATGAAGATCTTCTCGAACGTCAATTAGATCTTCGTGCAATCGAGGAAGCATTAGATCGAGATGATACTGTACAAAGTTTTCAACCAATAATTTCAATATAAATGAATTTATTTTTTATTAAAAGTTGTTTTCAAACAGAAATAAATGTTGCGTTTTTCTAAAAAAAATTAGTTTTCAAAAATAAATCAATTAATTCGCATCACGTGTGTACAATCAGTTCTCCTCTTCTTCCTCCTCTTCAACGTCATCAAACTCGCGCATCAAAATGATCATATGAGTCATGATATGGTTGAGACGAACATATTCGAGAAGTTCAGCGTAGACATTGAAGATAATCTGAAAATGGTTTTTATTTTAAAACCTGAAATAGAATTTAGAAAACATACATCGAAGAAGTGAACAGAGTTAGTTCTGAAAACTCTATCCATTGTTGCAAGATGATTTTGAAGACGTTCAAGAGAGTTTCCCATATCGAGATAATTATCGAGTTCTGGGTATTGACGCTGGAAAATAGGGGGCTTACAAAATTATTTTCGTAGATTCTTGATTCATCTCAAATCAGAAGCAAGGCCTGAAAACTCACAAGGAATCGGATATATCTCTGAAATCCACGCCGAAGAAATCGATATCTGTGCATTTGAACAGGAGAGAAGTCAGAAATACTCATTCTCCTGGATAGAAAAGTAATGCGAATGAAAATGAATTTTCAGAAAAATAAGTAAAATGTACTTTTTTCCCCCAGAAAAAAAAAAAGTTTTTGTAGGCAGATTCTAGAAAATCAATTTTTATTCTCCTACTATACACTTCACTATACACTTTACAAGAGAAATTTTTTCAAATATGAGCAATAACATCGGAAATTTTAAAATCTAATTTCATTGTAGCTATTTTGTCAGCTCTTGTTGGACCAATATTGACAATGTAGATTGGCTTGTTTTGCAGATTTGCCTGGAAAAAACATGATTTTTTTGAAAAAAAAATTGAAAATACCTGATGAACAAATCGATAACTAGACATAACTGAAAGAGATGATCCAAGGACTAGAATCGCATCACATTCATCAACTTTTTCATGGCAAAAATCAACGATTGTTCGAGGCACAAAATCACCAAAGAATACCACATCAGTTTTGATGATTCCTGAACATTCCGGACAATTGCAGACGACAAATTCCTGGAAAAAGGCTTCTTGGCATTCTCAGTTTGTTTTTAAGATGAAAAATCAATTTCAGTCTGACATGATATTTTTTCTACGGTTGGTAAAATGGATTGGTTTTTAGGAGAAGATCATATGAAAAATCTAAAGGGTTAAGGTTTTGAAAGTTTATAAATCTCTAAAAAAGATTTGAAAAAAAAAATGTTAATTGGAATCTCACTGATCCTAAATGTAAGCTTTACATAAGTTCTAGATTCATTTGATAGATTTGTAAAACTGGAAGACCTTCCAGATTTACAAATTTTTGAACGAAAAAAAATTTGCTCAAAAAAATATAATTTTCTTTAGACAGTACTCAATAATTGCTCAACAAATGAATTTCAATCATTTTAAGCCTAAAATCTTGATATTTGGTTCGAAAATGATGGATTTGTAAAACTGGAAGACCTTCCAGATTTACAAATTTTTGACGAAAAAAAAGTTGCTCAAAAAAATATAATGTTCTTTAGACAGTACTCAATAAATGCTCAACAAATGAATTTCAATCATTTTAAGCCTAAAATCTTGAAATTTGGTTCGAAAATGATGGATTTGTAAAACTGGAAGACCTTCCAGATTTACAAATTTTTGACGAAAAAAAGTTGCTCAAAAAAATATAATTTTCTTTAGACAGTACTCAATAATTGCTCAACAAATGAATTTCAATCATTTTAAGCCTAAAATCTTGAAATTTGGTTCGAAAATGATGGATTTGTAAAACTGGAAGACCTTCCAGATTTACAAATTTTTGACGAAAAAAGTTGCTCAAAAAAATATAATATTTTCTTTAGACAGTACTCAATAATTGCTCAACAAATGAATTTCAATCATTTTAAGCCTAAAATCTTGAAATTTGGTTCGAAAATGATGGATTTGTAAAACTGGAAGACCTTCCAGATTTACAAATTTTTGACGAAAAAAAAAAGTTGATCAAAAAAATATAATATTTTCTTTAGACAGTACTCAATAATTGCTCAACAAATGAATTTCAATCATTTTAAGCCTAAAATCTTGAAATTTGGTTCGAAAATGATGGATTTGTAAAACTGGAAGACCTTCCAGATTTACAAATTTTTGACGAAAAAAAGTTGATCAAAAAAATATAATATTTTCTTTAGACAGTACTCAATAATTGCTCAACAAATGAATTTCAATCATTTTAAGCCTAAAATCTTGAAATTTGGTTAGAAAATGATGCATTTGTAAAACTGGAAGACCTTCCAGATTTACAAATTTTTGACGAAAAAAAAGTTGCTCAAAAAAATATAATGTTCTTTAGACAGTACTCAATAATTGCTCAACAAATGAATTTCAATCATTTTAAGCCTAAAATCTTGAAATTTGGTTAGAAAATGATGCATTTGTAAAACTGGAAGACCTTCCAGATTTACAAATTTTTGACGAAAAAAGTTGATCAAAAAAATATAATATTTTCTTTAGACAGTACTCAATAATTGCTCAACAAATGAATTTCAATCATTTTAAGCCTAAAATCTTGAAATTTGGTTCGAAAATGATGGATTTGTAAAACTGGAAGACCTTCCAGATTTACAAATTTTTGACGAAAAAAAGTTGATCAAAAAAATATAATATTTTCTTTAGACAGTACTCAATAATTGCTCAACAAATGAATTTCAATCATTTTAAGCCTAAAATCTTGAAATTTGGTTAGAAAATGATGCATTTGTAAAACTGGAAGACCTTCCAGATTTACAAATTTTTGACGAAAAAAAGTTGCTCAAAAAAATATAATTTTCTTTAGACAGTACTCAATAATTGCTCAACAAATGAATTTCAATCATTTTAAGCCTAAAATCTTGAAATTTGGTTAGAAAATGATGCATTTGTAAAACTGGAAGACCTTCCAGATTTACAAATTTTTGAACGAAAAAATTTGCTCAAAAAAATATAATGTTCTTTAGACAGTACTCAATAAATGCTCAACAAATGAATTTCAATCATTTTAAGCCTAAAATCTTGAAATTTGGTTCGAAAATGATGGATTTGTAAAACTGGAAGACCTTCCAGATTTACAAATTTTTGACGAAAAAAAGTTGCTCAAAAAAATATAATTTTCTTTAGACAGTACTCAATAATTGCTCAACAAATGAATTTCAATCATTTTAAGCCTAAAATCTTGAAATTTGGTTCGAAAATGATGGATTTGTAAAACTGGAAGACCTTCCAGATTTACAAATTTTTGACGAAAAAAAGTTGCTCAAAAAAATATAATATTTTCTTTAGACAGTACTCAATAATTGCTCAACAAATGAATTTCAATCATTTTAAGCCTAAAATCTTGAAATTTGGTTCGAAAATGATGGATTTGTAAAACTGGAAGACCTTCCAGATTTACAAATTTTTGACGAAAAAAAGTTGCTCAAAAAAATATAATATTTTCTTTAGACAGTACTCAATAATTGCTCAACAAATGAATTTCAATCATTTTAAGCCTAAAATCTTGAAATTTGGTTCGAAAATGATGGATTTGTAAAACTGGAAGACCTTCCAGATTTACAAATTTTTGACGAAAAAAGTTGCTCAAAAAAATATAATATTTTCTTTAGACAGTACTCAATAATTGCTCAACAAATGAATTTCAATCATTTTAAGCCTAAAATCTTGAAATTTGGTTCGAAAATGATGGATTTGTAAAACTGGAAGACCTTCCAGATTTACAAATTTTTGACGAAAAAAAGTTGATCAAAAAAATATAATATTTTCTTTAGACAGTACTCAATAATTGCTCAACAAATGAATTTCAATCATTTTAAGCCTAAAATCTTGAAATTTGGTTCGAAAATGATGGATTTGTAAAACTGGAAGACCTTCCAGATTTACAAATTTTTGACGAAAAAAAAGTTGATCAAAAAAATATAATATTTTCTTTAGACAGTACTCAATAATTGCTCAACAAATGAATTTCAATCATTTTAAGCCTAAAATCTTGAAATTTGGTTAGAAAATGATGGATTTGTAAAACTGGAAGACCTTCCAGATTTACAAATTTTTGACGAAAAAAAAAAGTTGCTCAAAAAAATATAATATTTTCTTTAGACAGTACTCAATAATTGCTCAACAAATGAATTTCAATCATTTTAAGCCTAAAATCTTGAAATTTGGTTCGAAAATGATGGATTTGTAAAACTGGAAGACCTTCCAGATTTACAAATTTTTGACGAAAAAAAGTTGATCAAAAAAATATAATATTTTCTTTAGACAGTACTCAATAATTGCTCAACAAATGAATTTCAATCATTTTAAGCCTAAAATCTTGAAATTTGGTTAGAAAATGATGCATTTGTAAAACTGGAAGACCTTCCAGATTTACAAATTTTTGACGAAAAAAAAGTTGCTCAAAAAAATATAATATTTTCTTTAGACAGTACTCAATAATTGCTCAACAAATGAATTTCAATCATTTTAAGCCTAAAATCTTGAAATTTGGTTCGAAAATGATGGATTTGTAAAACTGGAAGACCTTCCAGATTTACAAATTTTTGACGAAAAAAAGTTGATCAAAAAAATATAATATTTTCTTTAGACAGTACTCAATAATTGCTCAACAAATGAATTTCAATCATTTTAAGCCTAAAATCTTGAAATTTGGTTCGAAAATGATGGATTTGTAAAACTGGAAGACCTTCCAGATTTACAAATTTTTGACGAAAAAAGTTGATCAAAAAAATATAATATTTTCTTTAGACAGTACTCAATAATTGCTCAACAAATGAATTTCAATCATTTTAAGCCTAAAATCTTGAAATTTGGTTAGAAAATGATGGATTTGTAAAACTGGAAGACCTTCCAGATTTACAAATTTTTGACGAAAAAAGTTGATCAAAAAAATATAATATTTTCTTTAGACAGTACTCAATAATTGCTCAACAAATGAATTTCAATCATTTTAAGCCTAAAATCTTGAAATTTGGTTAGAAAATGATGGATTTGTAAAACTGGAAGACCTTCCAGATTTACAAATTTTTGACGAAAAAAAAGTTGCTCAAAAAAATATAATTTTCTTTAGACAGTACTCAATAATTGCTCAACAAATGAATTTCAATCATTTTAAGCCTAAAATCTTGAAATTTGGTTAGAAAATGATGCATTTGTAAAACTGGAAGACCTTCCAGATTTACAAATTTTTGAACGAAAAAAAATTTGCTCAAAAAAATATAATGTTCTTTAGACAGTACTCAATAAATGCTCAACAAATGAATTTCAATCATTTTAAGCCTAAAATCTTGAAATTTGGTTCGAAAATGATGGATTTGTAAAACTGGAAGACCTTCCAGATTTACAAATTTTTGACGAAAAAAGTTGCTCAAAAATATAATTTTCTTTAGACAGTACTCAATAATTGCTCAACAAATGAATTTCAATCATTTTAAGCCTAAAATCTTGAAATTTGGTTCGAAAATGATGGATTTGTAAAACTGGAAGACCTTCCAGATTTACAAATTTTTGACGAAAAAAAAGTTGCTCAAAAAAATATAATATTTTCTTTAGACAGTACTCAATAATTGCTCAACAAATGAATTTCAATCATTTTAAGCCTAAAATCTTGAAATTTGGTTCGAAAATGATGGATTTGTAAAACTGGAAGACCTTCCAGATTTACAAATTTTTGACGAAAAAAAGTTGATCAAAAAAATATAATATTTTCTTTAGACAGTACTCAATAATTGCTCAACAAATGAATTTCAATCATTTTAAGCCTAAAATCTTGAAATTTGGTTCGAAAATGATGGATTTGTAAAACTGGAAGACCTTCCAGATTTACAAATTTTTGACGAAAAAAAGTTGATCAAAAAAATATAATATTTTCTTTAGACAGTACTCAATAATTGCTCAACAAATGAATTTCAATCATTTTAAGCCTAAAATCTTGAAATTTGGTTAGAAAATGATGCATTTGTAAAACTGGAAGACCTTCCAGATTTACAAATTTTTGACGAAAAAAAAGTTGCTCAAAAAAATATAATGTTCTTTAGACAGTACTCAATAATTGCTCAACAAATGAATTTCAATCATTTTAAGCCTAAAATCTTGAAATTTGGTTAGAAAATGATGCATTTGTAAAACTGGAAGACCTTCCAGATTTACAAATTTTTGACGAAAAAAAAGTTGATCAAAAAAATATAATATTTTCTTTAGACAGTACTCAGTAATTGCTCAACAAATGAATTTCAATCATTTTAAGCCTAAAATCTTGAAATTTGGTTCGAAAATGATGGATTTGTAAAACTGGAAGACCTTCCAGATTTACAAATTTTTGACGAAAAAAGTTGATCAAAAAAATATAATATTTTCTTTAGACAGTACTCAATAATTGCTCAACAAATGAATTTCAATCATTTTAAGCCTAAAATCTTGAAATTTGGTTAGAAAATGATGCATTTGTAAAACTGGAAGACCTTCCAGATTTACAAATTTTTGACGAAAAAAAGTTGCTCAAAAAAATATAATATTTTCTTTAGACAGTACTCAATAATTGCTCAACAAATGAATTTCAATCATTTTAAGCCTAAAATCTTGAAATTTGGTTCGAAAATGATGGATTTGTAAAACTGGAAGACCTTCCAGATTTACAAATTTTTGACGAAAAAAAGTTGATCAAAAAAATATAATATTTTCTTTAGACAGTACTCAATAATTGCTCAACAAATGAATTTCAATCATTTTAAGCCTAAAATCTTGAAATTTGGTTAGAAAATGATGGATTTGTAAAACTGGAAGACCTTCCAGATTTACAAATTTTTGACGAAAAAAAAAGTTGCTCAAAAAAATATAATTTTCTTTAGACAGTACTCAATAATTGCTCAACAAATGAATTTCAATCATTTTAAGCCTAAAATCTTGAAATTTGGTTAGAAAATGATGCATTTGTAAAACTGGAAGACCTTCCAGATTTACAAATTTTTGAACGAAAAAAAATTTGCTCAAAAAATATAATGTTCTTTAGACAGTACTCAATAAATGCTCAACAAATGAATTTCAATCATTTTAAGCCTAAAATCTTGAAATTTGGTTCGAAAATGATGGATTTGTAAAACTGGAAGACCTTCCAGATTTACAAATTTTTGACGAAAAAAAGTTGATCAAAAAAATATAATATTTTCTTTAGACAGTACTCAATAATTGCTCAACAAATGAATTTCAATCATTTTAAGCCTAAAATCTTGAAATTTGGTTAGAAAATGATGGATTTGTAAAACTGGAAGACCTTCCAGATTTACAAATTTTTGACGAAAAAAAGTTGCTCAAAAAAATATAATTTTCTTTAGACAGTACTCAATAATTGCTCAACAAATGAATTTCAATCATTTTAAGCCTAAAATCTTGAAATTTGGTTAGAAAATGATGCATTTGTAAAACTGGAAGACCTTCCAGATTTACAAATTTTTGAACGAAAAAAAATTTGCTCAAAAAAATATAATGTTCTTTAGACAGTACTCAATAAATGCTCAACAAATGAATTTCAATCATTTTAAGCCTAAAATCTTGAAATTTGGTTCGAAGATGATGGATTTGTAAAACTGGAAGACCTTCCAGATTTACAAATTTTTGACGAAAAAAAAGTTGATCAAAAAAATATAATTTTCTTTGGAGAGTACTCAATAAATGCTCAACAAATGAATTTCAATCATTTTAAGCCTAAAATATTGAAATTTGGTTCGAAATTGATGGATTTGTAAAACTGGAAGACCTTCCAGATTTACAAATTTTTGAACGAAAAAAAATTTGCTCAAAAAAATATAATTTTTTTTAGACAGTACTCAATAAATGCTCAACAAATGAATTTCAATCATTTTAAGCCTAAAATCATAAAATTTGGCTCGATGTTTATGGATTTGTAAAACTGGAAGACCTTCCAGATTTACAAATTTTTCAACGAAAAAAAAGTTGGCAATTTCTGAAATTTTGAGAGCCCAGAACTTGGCGCAGAGGGAAACTAACATTTTTAAGGTTCCTTTTATGACCCCAGAAGCCATGGACAAAATTTCATCAAGGTTTGAAGTGTTGAGTAAAAAAGATTTTCTTGTTAGTCAGAGTTCCCAATTTTTCCACCATTGTGAATTTGAGCTTCATGAACTCCCGTAAAGCACAAAGCTCTGTTATTTTACGAGCTTTTATTTACCATTCTGATCAATATTTGTGTTTGTTAACCCCGGCGCTATCTTTACAGCCACCGTATCACAAACCAAGAATACAACAACATTTTTGAAGTTATGATGTCAGGTGTTCAAAAATTCTTTACAAACGCCTCTTCAACAAAAAATTACCCACTTTCTCCGCTCCTGCTTCAATCATCACATCTCCATCTGGCGCCATCTCTCCAGGATTCGTATATTTCTCCATAAATTGTGCATTTTTCTCCAACATTCTTTTCTGCAAATCGTCTCGATGCTCCACATAATCACATTCCATACATCGCACATAACTTCCAGAACCGTGCAATTCTGTGACCATTTTTGAGCCGGCTCTATGTAAAAGAACTTTGATGAAAATAAATAATAAAATTAAAAAAAAACTCACTTTAGGTGTAACCCATCAACATTTTGAGTGATCAACCATGTAAATCTATCTGATAATTCCCAATTCGCTACCTCGTAGTGATTTGAATTGCATTTTGCTTGACTGAAATTTGGCCAAGCCAAAAAATTTCGAGCCCAATATCGTTGCCTAACATCAGCCGATTTCATAAAATTGCTATGAATTATTGGCCGATGATTTGATCTTGCATAGAGTCCAACACCTTCCGATCGATAATCCGGGATCCCTAAAACCTCTTTATTTTTTTTTTGCCAAAAATACAAAAAAACATGTTTTCTATTCAATTCAATCAAAATACCTACCGGATTCTGTTGAAATGCCTGCTCCTGTGATTACCAGCAATTTTTCATGATTTCCAAGTTGATTAGCAAACTTCTTCACCAATTGTTTGTTAACTATACCCGATTTCGGCACAAATTTCGACATTTCTCAACATGTGTCGCAGTAAAAATGCCACAAAATTGTCGTCAAATGTTGTGTGCGGTGTGTTCACCACAGGGACTCAACTAGAAGAAAAGGGGGAAACGCGCCCCGCTGCATCTATGTTTGTCTGGCGTCTCCACGAGTGGCTCTTATCTCTCTCTTTTTTTTTTTTTGAAATTGCGATGTTGTATGAGAAGTGAGCTAAAAAATCAGGAAAAATGGATTTAGAAGCATTGGAAAATAACATGGTTTTGGTTTACAGAGTTTCAAGAAAATATTGAACTAAAAAATCGATTTCTTCCAGAAATATGTAAATTTGAAAAATGGAACCAACCTCTACACTTTTTTAATCTTTCATATTTTTCTCTTCTTATCAAATATTGTTCATTACCCAAACATTGATCTTTGGCTAGAGTCTAGTCTGATCAATTAAGGTTCACAAGATTCCTGAATTATTTGAAAATGTGGTCTCTGCAAACATAATATGGTGTATGATCCACTTTCTGTTTAAAAAGGTTGCTTTCTTGAGTAGCTCATATCATTTTTTGTTGTTGGAAAAATGTGTTCCAAAGGAAAATTTACAGAAAATGTTATTATTGAAAACTATGTTGCTGTGGTGACTGGTGCTAATATTGGAATCGGTTTTGAAGTTGCTAAAGAATTTAATTTGAGAAAAGCAAAGGTGAGAATTATATGTATTCCTAATGCAAAGTCAAGATTTTAGGTATACATGATATGTCGAAGTGAGAAAAATGCAGATGCCGCAATAGTTCAACTGGAAAATCTTGGCTGCGATTCGTCGCGTCTTCATTTTATTCAATGCGATTTCACAAGTTTTAAAAGTGTCAAAAATGCAGCAAATGAATTACTTGGACTTGAAAATCATATTGATATCTTGGTTAACAATGCGGCTGTTTTGATGCCAAAATTTGAGTTGACAGAAGATGGATTTGAAAAAACATGGCAGACCAATTATTTGGGACCATTTTTGTTCACCGAAATTTTGTTGCCAGCGATCAATAAATCAGAGAATGGCGGAAGAATTGTAAATGTCTCTTCAATTGCTCATGATAGGGTTGATATATTAGACTTTGACCAAATTAATAATGAAAATCAATTTGGTGAATGGAAAACTTATGGAGAAAGTAAAGTAGCAAATGTGAGTTTCTCTAGAACACTAAATTCATCAAACCCAATTCTTACATTTAGATTCTTCATGCTCGCCAACTCACTCGCCGTCTCCACGAATCTAAATCCTCTGTCACTATCAATTCTCTTCATCCAGGAATTGTGAACACCGATTTATTGCGTAATACAGTTTTTGCGAAACCAGGTGTTATCGCAATATCCCGATTTTTGGCCAATATTTTTTTGAAATCTCCACTTGATGGAGCTCAAACAGTTTTATATTTGGCATTGAGTGAAAAAGTTGAAGGAGTTTCGGGAAAGTATTTTATGTGAGTCAGGCAGGAGAAATCAAGTTTTTCAAGTATTGAACAGGATTTTTCCAGAGATTGCAAACTTGCTAAAGAATCCAAACTTGCATTGAACGATCAAATCAGTGAGGATCTGTATAATTACAGTATGGAAAAAGTTTCGAAATTTTTATAAATAATTCGTTTTATTTTCGTATGCACAAAAACTCAGCAAAACACCGCGTGAAATTTCAGTAAATTGTCTCTGTGAGCACAAACACCACAGGGACAGAAATAGAAGAAAAGGGGGAAATGCGCTCTGTTGCATCTGTGCTCGTCTGGCGTCTCCACGAGTGGCTCTTATATTTCTCTTTTCTCTTTTTGAATGAGGAAAAAAGTTTTGAAAATCGGAATTCTAGAAGAAATAGATAGCGGAATGAAATAAGAATTGGAAAATCAAATAATATTGATTGACTGATTTTTTATAAAATCTTTTTGCAATTACTTAAAAGTACAAATTAACAAAAATATCGTAAATTGAAATGAAAATTCATTTTTGAAAATTTTCAAATCTTCGATTGTTTTTTTTTGGATATAAAAACGTCGCCACCGTAAAAAGTTTCAAGAGCTACCAAAACATTTTATTTCAAAAACCAGGGACCATAAAATCAAACATTTGAGTTATTATAAATATTCAATTGTTTTCGACTTTGGATAACTTGATTAATTCGATCCATAGCAATTCGCAAAATGTTCACTTCTTGATGAAGTTGGCCAGTTGAAATATATGAACCATTACACTGGAAGAAAAATAGTTTGACACTTTAATGTTTTCTGAAACGCTGAAAATAACTGGAATTATGAGCTCCAAAACAGCTCGAAATCTCGAAAAAAAGAGCCCTGAATTTGGAGCCTTATAAAAACTCATCAACTTTTCAGCAGGTTTCGAAACAACTCACAAGTACACCAGCATGTTGTGGCACATCAATGAATTTTTGAGTCAAAAACAATGCTGTATTCAAAACATCCGAATACATATCTTTCTCAAATTGACGAACTTGTGGTAACTCTTCAAACACCTGATACAAAACTTTCATTTTTTCTCTGCATTTTTTTCTGAAAATATTGAATTTGAACCTGTCAGAATTCAAAAAAAAACTCACACAAATAATTGGGAGTTGTGGTGGCATCGAAAAAGAACAGAATGTATATTTTATTAGAAATTTTCAACCAGAAAAAAGACAAATGGGGTAATGGATTTGGATTTCGAAGCTCATAAAGCTCATACAAAGTGAGTACAAAGTTGTTTAAAAAAAACAACAAAAAAATCTTGAACCTTTTATAATGATATATTATCACGATATGTACGTGTGTGGAGAAAAAAATTGAATCGACAAGTGCTCCAAAAATAAAATAAAATAAATATAATCACAGGTTTTGAAAAAAAAATCATTGGAAGACATGACGTCTTCAACGATTCCCTAGAGCTCTGAGATATTGAGCTACATCAATGAGAAGTTCACGGTACAGTCGAACATGTGCTTCAAAATATTGACGATAAAGTCGCTGAAAAATATGCATTTTTCAAAACGTTTTTCAGACAGTGCTTTTGATACCCGGGAGTGAGCAAGAGCAACTTGAAGTTCATAGTAGACATACATATCATTTGACCAATCGAGAAAACGGAAAGATAATTCATTAGCTCGGACAAAAAAGTCGTGAGGACCAATGGCTGCGATCGTGTTCTGAATATGACGGATTCAAATTATAGCCGATAGATTCATCAAAACTCACCAAGTGTTCACAGTAGAGTGGAACTTGTGACAAAAGATCGGCTAGGTGCTCCAGCTGAAACACAAAATTGATTTTCAAAACTACGCCAATTTTATTTTACACCTGCTCAAGACCACCCACATTTTAAAGCTAGAAAATTATTATCTGACTTCACTCATTACTTATTCAAATTCCAATTACATATTATGTTTAGATTAAGATTATTATTATGAAAAATAAAATGTTAGAGTACTAGGTTTAGTTTTCTCAAAGCGTCAAATTTTTGTGTTTTTTCCAGATAAAAATTATTTTTATTCAATTTCAAAAATAATTTCTCCTTTTGAAAAAAAAAACAAATAAAAAATGATCGAATTTTCATGTGTTTTTTCTTTTTTGTTTTGAAATAGTGTTTCAAACCCCATATTTATTATGCTTTACGTTAGCAAAAATTTCTTATTTCAAACCAACCTCCATATGAGCATCATCATCAAGTTGAACCTCGTCAGCCATTTCTAGAAAAAATACAATTTTTTCCCCCAAGAAGTTAGGTGAACTAATAGTCAAAACGAAAAAAATAAAATAGTAATAATGAATAAAATGGAAAAAGCTTTTTAGTTATGTATGTAGGTGAATAATTTTTATCATTGTTTGTGCACCAAATCTCCCCTCCTAATTATATGCTTCTTTTTTTCTACCTTTTCTCCTTTTATTATAATTGGACTTACTCACAAATGTTTTATTGATTGTTCTGAAATGTATACCTGTTTTGTTTTATTTTTTGGATTCTAGCGGAATTTTTCTGAATCTTTTATGGTAGATCAAAAATATTTTTCTCTAACATAAATCTTTTACTCTTCTCTTACAATTTCGTATATAAGATTTTGTATCAGATCTCAAAAAATTATCTGCGCTTAACAAATCAGCAGAATTCAGATTTTCAGGCAGAACTGAGTGAAATGCATACACTGCTATTGAAACTGTGGAGTCCGATCAATATTTTGCAAGCGGTGAGTTTTTTTTTAAATCTTGACTGAACCTAGGGTATCTGATGAGCTTAGTGCATTAATGATTTTAACCCACTCTAGTTAGCTTTAGATTCTTGGTTAAGCCTGAATTTCAGTATGAAATTTATGACGTCATAGCTAAAAATAAAAATTTTATCTCGTAAAGTCCATAATAACACAATCATAATTTTCTTATTCGTCATTTTTACAGTATTCCAAAATTTATTAAACCCTATAATTTTCCCTCCATTTCAAACTATAAACACGTCCATTTCTGACATCAAAAAAACACTGATTGTTAACATAAATTTTTTTTTATGACAATTTTATTTTTCTGCAGAACGAGTTGCAATATTACATCGGAAAGTGCATGTACATTTTGGAGGTTTTGGTTTACTATGGACTTTTTATGTCGGAAATTGATTTTATTCGAGTTTCCAGCCATGTCAGAAATTTGATCCGACGATTTCAAAACATCAGAAATCAACATCAGTATCTGGTATTTTTTTTAAAAAAAGTATAAATTGAATATGAGTAATAGAATTGATTTTTTTTTTCAGAGCGAAGTTCATTATTTGAAACAAGATATGAATTATTTGTGGTGTCAATTCTTCAATCCTAACCTTGTTCGTTAATGAATAAAGTTTTTTTTCTCTGAACGTTTCAAAAATCACATCCGCATTTTTCTCGCCTCACGGTAACCAAGATATTTCACACCTCAATGATTTCGGAGTCATTTTTTCTCGAAGAGATTTCCTCACTTCTTTTTTTTCTTTCTCAAAAAAACAACATGATGTTGGTGAAATTTGATCGTCCAAGTCGAAGTGCGCGTGATGAATCGAAGCCGAAAATAATGATAACAAAATCCAACTCGGAAAATGATTTGATGAGAAAAATTAGTGGAGCTAGTTTGAGAAGTTTGGCAGCGAAGCCAATGTTGAAAGAGGTTGGTTGGTTTGATGGAGTTTGATCGAATGATTTTGCTTGGGATATTTATAATTTTGAAAATTGAATCAGACAATATTTCTAGTCTAGGCAAGTTCTAGTCTGGTTAAATTGCGTTTTGATGTCGTAGATTTTCTCACATTTCATTTTGAAACCCAATTTCCAAAAAAAATGTTCCAGGTCAAAGAGCTCCCATCCGACGAAGAAAATATGGATGAAGATACACCAGAAATGACTTTTTTAGATTCCGAAGTTACGAATGATGATGATGACTTAGAGACAGAAATCCCGGATGTCGAAGAAATAGGAAATGACTTTTTTGAAGCTGGACCTGAACTTGACAAAGAAATTGAAGGTTCTGATGAACTGGAACCAGAAATATTAGCGGTAGAGGAGAAAAAACAAGCAGAAGATCCTGGGTTTCTTGTTGAAGATCAGGATGTTGGAGGTTCTTTGATTGTCGAAGATGAAAAAATTCATGAATCCAAAGTTACCTCAACTCCAGATGAAAAAGAGGAAATTCATGAGATTCCCTATCAACAAGGAAATGAAGAACAAGTATCTCTAGACCTTGAACTTGAGCAAAAGTCCGAAAGTGGTTCTGACCAAGGATCTGAGAAATTTGAAATTCCCAAATCTCGTCGGCAAATTGTTCTGAACAAGTTCCGAAAAGCTGTGATTGCCATAATCCGTCAAAATGCTGGATATTCATTAGAAGGTAACACATTTTTTTGTTGAAAAAGCAGAATTTATTTGATTAAATTATTTTCGAAGCATGAATAAATAAATAAATAAAAATGTAAGCGTGTAATTAATTATAGTAAGTTAGATAATTAGCAAGAAGCAGTGCAAGAAAGAGAGAGAGAAAGAAAGAGTTGCTTAACGGCGTGGCGAGAAGATGTCTTCTGGAGTGTGTGGAAGTTCAGTCTTCCAGCAGAAGAAGTGTTTCCAGAAGCTTTGACGAACTTCCGAGCGCGAGATGAAGCTGACCGATGGTCGATAGTGACTCTGAAAATAAATCAATATTTAGAGAATTGTCAGTAGATCAAAAGGGTATTACATTTTGACCTACCAAGCTTCTGACCGCCGCACAATTCCAGCTACTTGGTCTTGGCGAATCACTTGGTCTAGTGATGGTGCTGATTTTTTTGTCATCATTAGTTGCAGCCATTTTTTTTGTTTTGTTTTCAAGTCTAGAAAAAAAAATAATTGATAAAAAAAGAGTGCAGGTACGAAACATATATGCATAACAACAAATCTAATTTGTAAGCTACTACTATTATTTTTTTTAGAAATATTCTGTGAGAAATGAAAAGGCTACAGTATACTAGAGAAAAATTTGAGGGTTCAGAAAATCTAGAAAAACTGAAAAATGACACTGAGCAAGCAAAATCCGCGAATAAAGGAAACCTGTAATTTATTTATTCTTTTATAGGCATCGAGAAAAAATTAAAATCTTCTTGTAGCGAGAAGAATAGAAAAAAATTATACCTTTGTTCGCAAGAAATATGACATTTGTTTGGTTTCGAAAATTGCGGGGATGAAATTGGAAAATTGAAAACAAAGTCCAATAAATCTTGCGAATTTTTTTGATATATGTATCGGACCGGGCCCGATTTTTGAGGATTTCTGAGTCAAGATGATTTGGAACCGGGAAGGAATCGATCTGATTTTTCGAAAAATATTTTTTTCAGATTCTCTCATCGCACAAGATGATCCGGATACAGTAGTCACATTATTACCGACTAGCAAAAACAAAATCGATATATTTGTCACAAGTTTTTAAGGTAAAAATATCAAAACACACAAAAAAGTGCACAGAGAAAGATAGAAAAAGAATTATTTCCCGCCAAGCTTAGTTAGAAAAAACTAATATATGTTATTGCATATATTTTTTTTAATAGTTGAGAAGGTAATGAAATTTGCAGTACGCCGTGAAATCAACAATCATAAGTCATCGAAAAGAAAAAACGAGTGGCGATCCCTGGGACGATTTTTTCTACAAAGTTTATGATCCTGAAAGACCGCAACGAGATATGAATATGAGACGAAGTGGAAGTGCTAATATTAAATTGAATTTAAATCACGGCGAGTTAGAAAAAAAAATAATTATTTGAAAAAAAGGGAAAGTAGACGGGGAAAGTAGAAATAATGACAAAAATTAGAATGATATCAAGAATTCAAGTTATTTTTAGATGTCGAAAGGAAATTATCGCTTAACACTTTGGATAAAGATGTCAAAGATAAACTTGGTCCGCATGTAGGTTTTTTTGAGTTTTTAGGTTTCCAAAAAAAATGTGAAGAAAATCCTACACGTCACTTTCCAGGATAAACAGTTATTTTTTCCAGAAAAAATCTTTCGTGACTGAAAACCGAGAAAAAATAGAGTTTGAAGAGTGAAAACAAAAATTTATGTGAATTTTGTACTCCAGCCCTGCGTACAAAATGGTTTCAGAAATACAATTTTGTGTTTATGAAATCAGTATTCTTTCTTTTATTTTTTTGTGGAAGGGGAACGGGGAAAGTAGAGCGGGGATTTAGAAGATAGAAATTTAAAGTTGGGGAATTTTAGGAACCTTCAGAAAACCTGGGAGAAGTATTTAAGAGTCATTATTTGTAAGAAGGGAAATTTCTAGAATACGCTCTGCACAGAAAATTTCATGGTCTTCAAATGGGGCCAAACTTTTTTTTTGAGTTAGTTATATGGCCGACATGAAAGATTGAGCAATATTACTTCGAAAAAAAATTCGCCATCTGGGTTGCGGGGTCAAAAAGGGGGTGCATAACTTATGTTAAAACTGTATGGATATGTAACTCAGCTTAAACTCCATATTTTTTGACGATCAAAAAAGCGTTTTGCTCGTCTTTTTGCGCTCTTGCTCCGTGTAAAAACCCCCAATAACGTAGATCAATTTTTAGAAAAGTTGCAAAAAGTAGGGTCTCAAAAATGGTCATTTTCACCATTTCAGCCTCAAAAGCGCGACGAACTTTGTCATTTAAACGATTCTACGAGGTTTTTTACCCCTAGGCGCAAAATATGAGAAAAATTAATGGTAGCCCTCGGGGTCGTCCAGGGCTCAGACCAACAAAAAATCACAAATTTTTTGTGTTGATTTTAGTGAAATTTTTGAATATTCTGAGAAATCAGCATTTTTTGGTCAGAATGACAGTGTTTTGACATTTTTCAACAAAAAAGAGCATATTTGACATTGAATTCGACACTAATATCGCAATTTTATTGATTAATAAAATCATCCTGATCATTCCAGTATGACCATCTCATAATAATTAAAATGATTCAAATTTGCTTATATTATTGTTGAATTGTGTCGAAAACACCACGGAAAGAGTTTTTCAACACCATTTCATAACATTTCAACTTAACTTTTATATTTTTGCTCGATGTGGACATGACTGGAATTCCGAAGTTTGTCCTGATCTTTGATTTTGGTCATCTAAGACATCAAAATCAACTGTTATTCGTTTTTTTTTTTAAACTAATTTCGAATAATATGACACTCATTCCAACAGTTGCGGATAATAAAGTTAGTCCACCTTTGGATGTTTCCCACAGTTTACTGAAGTTTTAGCAAGACCATCGGAATCCATCCAGATTTACGAGTTTTGACTTTCTATGGAAATATATTTTTCAATATTTATTTTCATGCGCTCAGATGAACATATTCAACGCTTTTTCTCAAATTTCAGTTCATTTGAACAATTTTTCTTAAATTGATACATTACTGGATTTCCGATGTTTGTCTTGATCTCTGATTCTAGACCATCAAGGACATCACGATTTTATTTGTAATGTCAGATTGCTTTTAAGACGAGTTAAAATGAATGAGAAATCAAAAAAATTATTCAAATTGACATTGGGAACATATCTCTACGGTATAAGAAGTAACATCTTATTTAAACGAGTCCCCTGATATAAGATCAGTGAGGAGATCCTCTTTCAGATCATTGTGGACTAACTTTATTTTCTGCAACTGTTGGAATGAGTGTCATATTATTCGAAATTAGTTAAAAAAATAATAAAAAACAAATAACAGTTGATTTTGATGTCTTAGATGACCAAAATCAAAGATCAGGACAAACATCGGAATTCCAGTCATGTCCACATCGAGAAAAAATATAAAAGTTGAGTTGAAATGTTATGAAATAGTGTTGAAAAACTCTTTCCGTGGTGTTTTCGACACAATTCAACAATAATATAAGCAAATTTGAATCATTTTAATTATTATGAGATGGTCATACTGGAATGATCAGGATGATTTTATTAATCAATAAAATTGCGATATTAGTGTCGAATTCAATGTCAAATATGCTCTTTTTTGTTGAAAAATGTCAAAACACTGTCATTCTGACCAAAAAATGCTGATTTCTCAGAATATTCAAAAATTTCACTAAAATCAACATAAAAAATTTGTGATTTTTTGTTGGTCTGAGCCCTGGACGACCCCGAGGGCTACCATTAATTTTTCTCATATTTTGCGCCTAGGGGTAAAAAACCTCGTAGAATCGTTTAAATGACAAAGTTCGTCGCGCTTTTGAGGCTGAAATGGTGAAAATGACCATTTTTGAGACCCTACTTTTTGCAACTTTTCTAAAAATTGATCTACGTTATTGGGGGTTTTTACACGGAGCAAGAGCGCAAAAAGACGAGCAAAACGCTTTTTTGATCGTCAAAAAATATGGAGTTTAAGCTGAGTTACATATCCATACAGTTTTAACATAAGTTATGCACCCCCCTTTTTGACCCCCCGCAACCCAGATGGCGAATTTTTTTTCGAAGTAATATTGCTCAATCTTTCATGTCGGCCATATAACTAACTCAAAAAAAAAGTTTGGCCCCATTTGAAGACCATGAAATTTTTTCTGTGCAGGCCATTTTCCTTTTTTACAAAAAACGACTCTTAATATTGAGATTTTATAGAAATTTAAATTTGGAACCCTATTCCAGTTTTTTTAATGATAATTTTCTGAAACTTTAGAAAAACCCTTGGAAATTTAGAAAAAGTATTGCATTTTTGTAAAAATCAAAATTTTTATCAGACAATCAAAATACAAAATTTGAAGTTCTGAAATATATAAAAACAATTATTCACATGAAAAACTTTTTAAATTTATTTTTGATGATTTTGAAAACATAACTTATTTTTTCAAAAACAAATTATTTGGATGATCAAAGTTTTCCAAAAAATATAATAAAACCACAAAAAAATCTTCAATATATAGTATAAAAACTACAAAAAAATCTCGTTTTATATTATATTTTTCATGAAGCGTACAAGTTCAAGTGGACCATCAGATCGAAGTCGAAAAGCAATCTCAAATTTGAATCGTTTGTCAGCAAATCTAACAAAACGAACCAAGGAACTTATTGAAAAAGGTAACAAAAAATCTGTGTGCAATTTATATAATTTTTTCTAATTTCCGTGTAAACCGCACTTTTTTTATACTTACATATGATGTTTTTTGAATGAACAAAAGGAAGTTTTCAGGAAAAGAAAAACCGCAAAATTATCAAACATTGCCAAGGCTTCCTGCAAAAACAGAGAGGCATTTAACCAGAGGAAGATTTCGAGTTGAAAAGGTGACCAAAAATCTGAAAATTTTTCTCAATTCTATTTTTATAGGTGCATCATTCCCCGGATGGCAGATCCACCTTAAGTCGATTGTTTTATCTCCCAATGATCCCATCAAAATCCACAGATTTTCAATGAATTTATTTTTAAATTTTAAATTAACACTGAATAGAAAATTAAAATGAAAATGAAGCTTTAGAAGTTCAGGCAAGTGAAAAGAAAAGCATTTTTGATGGTCCGTAGATTTTTTTTTGATAAAATAAAAATAAGTTAGGCGAAATTGTGTGTGGCAACTTTTCCAACATTTGTTCCAGCTCCATATTCCGATTTATAGCTTGAATCATTTTTCTTGGCTTCGTTGTCAACTTTTCCTTGATTGAATCTGGCGATCAAATCGGAAACGCGTTCTGGAACAATAGAGGTTTCAAGATTTGATAAAAGAGAAGAGATAAATTTACTTTTTGGAACATTTTCAGTGTCGATATTGTTGTTTTTCTTGCTCTCGATTTGTTCATCCTCATCTTTTGGTGGCCATGGAATTCCTCCAAGTTTCTGAAAAATTTCGAACTTTTTCTGAGAATTGATTTGTTTTCAACTAACCTTGGCATTCAAAACAGTCGGACTTGGTGTCCGATTCTCATCAACCGGTGCAACCTTTTGCACCTTCACTACCTGCGGCTCCGGAGTTGGCTCACGAATTGGCTCCGGTTCTGGCTCAGCCTCTTCCTCAACTTGCTCTTCCTCATCGACAACTTCTTCAGCAACATTTTGCTCCTCAAAATCCTCTTCAGCTTCCTCGACTTCAGGCTCAACTTGTTTCTCCTCATCAAACTCTTCGATTTGACTTTCTTGCAAGACTTCAGTCGGTGGAACGATCTCGTAATCAAGTTCTTTGACTTCGTCTTGAACGATTGGAGCGGTTGAGTCTTCCATGGTTTCTGGAAAAAAAATTTTTTTGGTGGGAAAATGAATTTGACAGAGAATCTGAATCAGAAAAATCTATACTTTTCGCAGAAGAAGAATATTTCGAAGAGGAATAATCCCCATATTTTGAGGTATAACTCGAATATGGATTAGTACTCGAATCATAAGATCTTGGAGTATAAGTCGAAGATGTTGTGGAAGATCTAGTAGATGGTGTTCTTCGGGAACCACTCAAATAGCTAGACGAACTATAATCTCCCCGATCATAGCGGGAAGACGGAGTATAGGAGGACGTGTACCTCGACATTTAGTTTTTCACAGAAATGCCGACCAACCGGAAAGGAAAACAAAATGGGAAGGGCTGGCAGGAAAATGAATCATCCCTATTGTTTTTCTATTAGAAAGAAAAATGGAAAAAAAAAGAAAAAATATAATTTTGATTGAGTCACATGTTAGCGGAAACAAAAAATGTTTGACGAATTTTTCCAGAAATGGCGAAATTTTCATATTTATACTTGTTAGGGTGCAAACAACACTTGAGACAATTATTTTGCGCGGCTCAAATTTCAGAATATGAATTTTTCATTAACTATACGGATTAGATTATGCCCTGAAGTACACATTGAAACAGAAATGAGTGGAACAGCAAAAAAAGGTCCCGACATTATCTATTCCCACTGTAAAACTGATAACAACGGGTCAAACAAAAACAAAAATAATTTGTGTTTTATACCAGTCAGCCTCCCACAATTTATGTATGACTCACAGGAGTATGAAAAAAAGAAAAGGTTTTTTATTTGGGAACCGAAATTTTTTTTTTTTGAAAAATGAATGAGAATCATTTGAAATGCACGGATTTTCATGTGAGAAAAAAGAAAGTGAAAATAAAAAAAAAAGATATTTCACAATACATTTTTCTCTCCAAAAAAAGAAAAAAAACAAAACGAACCAAATTGTGAGTCAGAATATCTAGGCGATGACCAAAGATTAAGATTTTGAAATAGGTTTTGCATCTTTGTTTCAGACAAATAAATTCTAGAGGATTTGAAATTTGAATGAAGGTGTGATAAAATTGTTGTTTTTATACATGGTGATGAGATACGGTTTGAACGATTTCATAATTTGTTTTGATATGGGGAAACTATAGTATATTTTGTTTCTGATACCGGAAGAAAAATGGGATGATTTTTCAAGATCAAAAATTAATTTAACTTGTTTTTAAAGTGAGAAATATAGAAATTTATTAAAAGTTTGCAATTGAAGAAAAAATATTCAAGAACAGTAATTTTTTCCGAACTTCAAAATTCGAAAAACAAAAGGTAGTAAGGTTGTTTGAATCATAAAAGACCTTAAGAAGCACTAAAAAATTTTGAAACCCGAATTGAGAAAAAAAATAAGTTGTGCTCATTTGAAAGAGCGTGTTCTAATTAGTGAAAAGATTTTTTCTAATTAAACAATTTCAAAGTTTGAAAAAACAGTGTAAAATGGCTTGAAAGTATAGATGTCCAGAAGTTTAGCGCTGAATTTCTCTTAAAATTCCAATTCGGACCTTCAAAAAGTGGTCAAATTCAGAAGTTTCCAGTAGGACCTAGAAAACAAGAACTTACAAAATAAAAAATATTTCAAAAATTTCAAGAAAAAAGTTCCCCAATTTTTTTTCAGTTTCTCAAAACAAATTGTTGTTTTTTCATTTTGCCTCACAATTTTCTCCATTTCACTATAAAAACAAGAAGAATAAGGAGATGAAGAACAAAAGGGAAAAATAATTGTAACTATGTTGTTTATAAAGAATACTGTCCGGTTGGATCGAATGGTGCCAAATAGGCGATTAAGTCTCTTCTTCTGGGTGGATAGAAATAAGAAGAAGAAAAAGAAGAACGCAACAAAAGGAAAAGGAAAAGAAAAATATGAATAAAAAGAGAGACCACCCAGACAGCCGGCTGTCTTGGTGGTCAAGAATAACGTGGTGGTGGGAAATAGATACATTTGGAAAAAGCGAACAACGCATGCACTTTACATATTTGCCGACAATTTGCATTTGAGCTAGCTATGTTTAGCAACAAGCAAAAAAGGAGAAAAGGTTTCCCCCCTTCTTCTACATAAACCCCCCGAGCATCCTATGGTTAAACATTGTGTTTTTTGCCGGAAAACAAGAAAACAGAAAATTATTTGGATAGATAGACAAGGCTGGAATGGAAGAAATTATATTTAATTATAATTGTGGAGATCGATGAAGAATGAGGAGAAATGATTGGGAAACGAATATATGAAGAAAAAATGGCTTTTGGTGTTTGGAGAATTTTTAATTAGGTAGATGGAACTTAAAAGCCTTTAGGCCGGAAAATCCTCATGTACTGAATTTTTTATCTGGAAAACTTGAAGGGGATTTTGAATGAGCTTAAGCTCAAAACATTTAGACTGATACCCAAAAACCCTCCAAGTTCAAGTGAATTTTTAATCTGGAAAGGGAAGTTCAAAAAGTCGTGAACTCAAAATAATTTTTTTTCTAGTGAAATTTTCGATTGCGAAATTTTTATTTCAAATTAATCTATGTTTCTCGAAAATATAAATGTATTGCGAAAAAATTTCAAAACTCACAAATTCAAAAATTTTCCGATTTCAATTCAACAAATCAAAATTGAACATCTGTCCCCAATTAAAATTTGTTGAATTTCTCCTAATTAATCTAATTGTCAAAAAATTTTGCAAATTAAGAATGGATTTTAAACTTAAATATATGTATCCAAAAAAAAAATTAATTTCAACTCTCTATTGAAAAAGAAAAATTCCCAAAAACACACAATAAATATGGCTAATTTCACCTCTCATAAAATTAATTATTAATAATGCTTATTCAAACAAAAAAATAATATTTTTCCCGCCAAAAATTATTGAAAAATAATAAAAAACACTTTCATACAATCCAAACAACAGTAAAAAGTAATATGTCCTTGAAAATCACCGACCACACCAAAAACCCCCACACATTTTATGGATGGATACAATAATTTTGGTTTTTCGTGATAAAATCAATTTCATTTTTCAAATCAAACAATTAAAGGAACATGGAAATGGTGAGGCGAGAAATGGAAAACGAGTAAAATGAAAATGAAGAAGGAGAAGAAGCAATTTAGACCATCTGTCACTTGAATAAAATGGCAAAATGAGGAGAAATTCTGGCATATTTTGTTGTGCGCGTGATGTTTTCTTCGATTCCTTTTAAGAAATGAGATAGATGAATGTTGTTGTCAAAAAAGGCACAAAGAATCATCATAATTATTATATATGTATTGTCATTCCGAAAATAAAAGAACCCCCGTTTGAATTGGCGCTCACGTACAGTAGACTAAAAATGACGTGACACATGCATATCAAACTGGTTGGCAAATAGCCAACGTGTAAATTTCGCATTTTATTTTTCAAATAGACTCCAAAATTTCGCGAAGTCTACTGTAGTCTTGGTGTCCTAGGCCATTTCGGTTCTCTTCCAAGGTTCTTTTTTTTCGGAAGGACAATATCTGATTTTAATGAGATGAGCAAACAATTTCTTATTGTTGTGCCACATTTTTGGAAACAATTTCTGAATGAAAATAAAAAACTCTAAGATGAAAAGTTTTTGATATTGTTCTGGATTTTTAATTTTTAGTCATTTTCATAATTCTTGATTTCAACAAAATTACAAATTCAGTTTCTGAGAATATAAGCATACATGATCTTAAAAATTGAGAAAACTTGAAACTCCTTATATCCACAGTTTTTTCTAAAAATATCAATCAAACATTTTTAATTTTTACTGGCTTTCTCTAGCAGTTTTTGGTCCCAATGTTTCAGAACCTCATTTCGTTTCGAAAGAAAAAAAACAGTTGATTTTTCAAACAGCTGGTGATTTTCAGATGAAACCTTGTGTCAGAAAATTTCAGCACAAAAAAAATGATTTATTGAGTTCAAACAAAATCAAAAATTAAGTTTTTGAGAGTATAAATTGACACATGTCTGTTCCTCTTTCTCTAAAAACGGAGCAAACTTGGCATATCCTTTTACAAAATCTTCTCCACATTCTTTCTTCCACAAATCAATCATACATCCATCTTTACCCCAAACCGATTGACAAGGCGATTCAGGGTTTGTGTTTGTGATTTTTCTGTACCTATACTTGTCGCTTGTGAGCGCAGGGTTAATGCTTATACCATATTTACTATACCAACAAGATTCATCTTCCAAATTCTCCCAAGATTTTCGATGTTGCTGTTTATATTCACACGAATGAAAGTCAATTTCCAAAAAATGCAATGCTTCAACAATGTTTTTCGTGAATGCATCTTTATCATCATCCACTTTTTTGTTGATTTTCGAAACTTCGTTGACACAATTTTTGAGAAAAACTTTAGCGGGTTCAAGTTTTTCAGCAGTTCTTGGATTTTCTTCAAACAGTGCTTTCACAGCAATTCCATGCGCTTTGTCAAAACATTTAAGTGGATTATGGGTTTCGTTTTGTCCAATATAGTCTTCAAGATAACCAATTTCTGATGAAGGATCCTGTTTGACAGATAATTCTTTTGGAATAATATTATATTTATCCGAATATTCATCAAAACAATTTTGTTGATCTATAACATCAAAAGATCCAAATTTGAAAATATTTTCAACCAAATCTTCTCCACATTCTTTCTTCCACAAATCAATCATACATCCATTTGTTCCAAATCCGCATTGACATTTTGCATTGTCTTCGAAAGAAAGTATTTGGCTACTATTCCAACAAGATTTATCCTCCAAATTGTCCCAAAATGTTCGAGTTTCAAATTTTTTTCGGCACAAAAAATAGTCAACATTGTAAAACTTGAAATATTCAAAGATGATGTCAATAAGCGAAAATTCAACTTCATTCACTTTTTTATTTCTCCTCCCAATATCTAAAACACAATTCCTGATGAACGATTTACTATTATTGATTTGTTCAGTAGTCAATGGAGTGTTTCGGCAATACAATCCACCAATAGCTTTCTCCGCTTTGTCTGCACATCCGAGTGGATCCTCATTTCCTTCGCCATAGTTTTTTAACGAACGAAGTTCTGATAGATAATCAAATTTAGCAGAAAATACTAAAGGAAATAGGAAAAAAATTAGAAACTTCATTTTGTTCTAAAAATGAAAGATAGGTTAACTTTTATATGCATTTTTGAACAGCTGTTCAAGACTCAACCCTGTGACCTCGATTTTCAGCACAAAAAAATGATTTATTAGAAACTTAAACATCAAATTTAAGAGCATACAAATCGACACATTTCTCTTGACCTTTCTTTATAAATGGCATAAGATTGCGCATTCCTTTAACAACTTCTTCGTCACATTCTTTTCTCCATACGTCAATCATACATCCATCTTTTCCCCACAGTTTTTCGCAATCTTTCGATGACCGTCTGCTATTTTCATAACAAGCTTTATCCTCCAAATTATTCCACTGGTAATTTTTTTTATTCAAAAATTTTTCATGGCATGGATTTCCGTGAATTTTGAGAAATTTGTATGTTTCAAAGATTCTTTCATTCAAAGCATCTTTAACTTCATCCACTTTTTTGTTGTTCTTCGCAATATTTTCAATACAATCTCTTATAATGATTTCAGCTTTATCGACTTGTTCAGCAGTTATTGGTGTGATTGTGTTTCCCCGTGGTGTCCTTGCAGCTGTCTCCGCCTTGTCGAGACATTCTTGTGGATCTTTGCTTCTATCGATATTTCTATAATCGTCTCGTACTTCATAGTCTTCTATAGAACCAATGTTCGGTGGAATTGAAGTAATGCTGACGGAAAATACAACAGGAACTAGAAAAATAATCAGAAACTTCATTTTTCTCTGAAATGCTGCTTACGCTGGCTGGCTTTTATATGCATTTTTTGAGCATCTGTCAATTTTCAGTGACCTCGTATCATTGGGAATTTCAGCAGAAAAAACAAAATGATTTATTGAGTTCACTTGATCAGAAGTTTTATGTATCAATCACGTTTATAAGAAAAAAATTTTTGTTCAAAAAAAAATATTTATGAAAAATTTAATACAAAAACGGGAAGATACGATTGAGGGGAAAAATTTGGTTGGGAATGTTTTCTTCTGGATTATTCACTTGAGCTGAAGCTCAAGTTAGAAAGAAGAATTTTGAAAAAAAATTGGGAACGTTGGTTTGGAAAAAGGGAATACGGGTACAAAAATTGTTCAAAAATATAATTTTACAAAAATATAAAAGACATTTTTATGGATTTTAGGAGTTTTCAGAAGAAATGGTTAGGAGAGACAAAGTGATTTGATTATCTGCGAGAGCTTCTGTCTCTTCTTGAGCTCGAGCTGCTGCTCGATCCTCCTCCAGAAGTCGAGTTCGAGTGATGAGATCTCGAGTTGGATCTTGAAGACTGAGTGCGGTCTTCAGTGTAAGAGCTTGTCGATTTTTTCTGGAAAAATACACGATTTTTGGGCTCACATGAAATTTTTCACATGTTTATTGAACAAACCTCGAGACTCTGAATGTAAGATGAAAAGTTTTTGATATTTAATTTTAATTTTAAAATGATTTCTCGCAGTTTTTCGTTCGGTTCCCAATGTTTCAGAACTTCATTTTGTTTCGAAAGAAAAAAATGGTTGATTTTTCAAAGAGCTGTTGATTTTCAGATGAAACTGAAAGATAGGTTAACTTTTATATGCATTTTTGAACAGCTGTTCAAGACTCAAACTTGTGACCTCGATTTTCAGCACAAAAAAAATGATTTATTAGAAACTTAAACATCAAATTTAAGAGCATACAAATCGACACATTTCTCTTGACCTTTCTTCATAAATGGCATAAGATTGCGCAATCCTTTAACAACTTCTTCGTCACATTCTTTTCTCCACAAATCAATCATACATCCATCTTTTCCCCACTCTTTTTCGCAATCTTTTGATGACCGTCTGCTATTTTCATAACAAGCTTTATCCTCCAAATTATTCCACTGGTATTTTTTTCGATTCGAAAATTTTGCATGGCATGGAACCTCGTGAACTTTGAGAAATTTGAATGTTTCAAAGAGTTTTTCATTCAAAGTATCTTTCACTTCATCCACTTTTTTGTTGTTCTTCGCAATATTTTCAATGCAATCCTTTATGATAATTTCAGCCTTATCGACTTGTTCAGCAGTTATTGGTTTGATTGTGTTTTCCGGTGTTGTCCTTACAGCTATCTCAGCCTTGTCGAAACATTCTTGTGGATCTTTGCTTCTATCCATAAGCCTATAATCGTTTAGTACTTCATAGTCTTCTATAGAACCAATGTTCGGTGGAGATGAAGTAATGCCGACTGAAAATAGAACAGGAACTAGAAAAATGATCAGAAACTTCATTTTTCTCTGAAATGCTGCTTACTCTGACTGGCTTTTATATGCATTTTTTGAACATCTGTCGATTTCGTATCATTGGGAATTTCAGCAGAAAAAAACAAAATGATTTATTGAGTTCAAACTTGATCAGCAGTTATATGTATAAATCACGTTTTTGAGAAAAAAAAATGTTTTGTTCAAAAAGCTACAATTTTTTTTCAAAAAAAAAATTATGAATTATGTAATACAAAAACGGGAAGATACGGTTGAGGGGAAAAATGATTGGGAATGTTTTCTTCTGAATTATTCACTTGAGCTGAAGCTCAAGTTAGAAAGAAGAATTTTGAAAAAAAATTGGAAACGTTGGTTTGGAAAAAAGGGAAGATACGGGTTAAAAATTTTCCAAAAATATAATTTAAAAAAAGGAATTTTTTTGGATTTTCGGAGGTTTTGAGAAGCGGCAAAGTGATTTGATTATCTGCGAGAGCTTCTTCTCGAGCTCGAGCTGCTGCACGATCCTCCTCCAGAAGTCGACTTCGAGTGATGAGATATCGAGTTGGATCTTGAAGACTGAGTGCGGTCTTCAGTGTAAGAGCTTGTCAATTTTTTCTGGAAAAATACACGATTTTTGGGCTCACATGAAATTTTTCACTTGTTTATTGAACAAACCTCGAGACTCTGAATGTAAGATGAAACGTTTTTGATATTTAATTTTAAATTTAAAATGATTTCTCGCAGTTTTTCGTTCGGTTCCCAATGTTTCAGAACTTCATTTTGTTTCAAAAAGAAAAAATAGTTGATTGTTCAAACAGCTATTGATTTTCAGATGAAACTGAAAGATAGGTTAACTTTTATATGCATTTTTGAACAGCTGTTCAAGACTCAACCCTGTGACCTCGATTTTCAGCACAAAAAAATGATTTATTAGAAACTTAAACATCAAATTTATGAGAATACAAATCGACACATTTCTCATGACCTTTCTTCATAAATGGCATAAGTTTGCGCATTCCTTTAACAACTTCTTCGTCACATTCTTTTCTCCACAAATCAATCATACATCCATCTTTTCCCCACTCTTTTTCGCAATCTTTTGATGACATTCTGCTACTTTCATAACAAGCTTTATCCTCCAAATTATTCCACTGGTATTTTTTTCGATTCGAAAATTTTTCAAAGCATGGATTTCCGTGAACTTTGATAAATTTGTATGTTTCAAATATTTTTTCATTCAAAGCATCTTTCACTTCATCCACTTTTTTGTTGTTCTTCGCAATATTTTCAATACAATCCTTTATAGCAATTTCAGCCTTATCGACTTGTTCAGCAGTTATTGGTTTGATTGAGTTTTCCGGTGTTGTTCTTGCAGCGCTCTCCGCCTTGTCGAAACATTCTACTGGATCTCTGTTTCTATCGGTAATTCTATAATCGTTTAGTACTTTGTAGTCTTCTATAGAACCAATTTCCGAACCAATATCCGTTGGAATGTCAGTAATGCCGACGGAAAATACAACAGGAACTAGAAAAATAATCAGAAACTTCATTTTTCTCTGAAATTCTGCTTACGCTGGCTGGCTTTTATATGCATTTTTGAGCATCTGTCGATTTCGTATCATTGAGAATTTGAGCAAAAAAAATGATTTATTGAGTTCAAACTTGATTGATGTATAAATCACGTTTTTAAGAAAAAAAGTTTTGTTCAAAAAGCTACAATTTTTTTTCAAAAAAAAAATATTTATGAAAAAAGTAATACAAAAACGGGAAGATACGGTTGAGGGGGAAAAATTGGTTGGGAATGTTTTCTTCTGGATTATTCACTTGAGCTGAAGCTCAAGTTAGAAAGAAGAATTTTGAAAAAAAAATGGGAACGTTGGTTTGGAAAAAGGGAAGATATGGGTACAAAAATTTTACAAAAATATAAAAGACATTTTTTTGGATTATTTGGATTTTACAGGAGAAATGGTCCGGTTTTAAGGAGAGGCGAGGCAAAGTGAAGGAATTATCTGCGAGAGCTTCTGTCTCTTCTCGAGCTCGAGCTGCTGCTCGATCCTCCTCCAGACGTCGAGTTGGAGTGATGAGATCTCGAGTTGGATCTTGACGAGGATGACTGTGTGCGGTCTTCCGCGTATGAGCTTGTCGATTTTTTCTGGAAAAATACACGATTTTTGGGATCACATGAAATTCATTGAACAAACCTCAACACTTCTACGACGATTTGCCTCCTTCTCGAGCTCATCTGCGTGGTGCAATGCTTCTTTTTGCTGAAAAATTTTCTTGTTAGAAAAAAATTATGTATCTGAATAGGAAAAACTTACCACATTTGTGAGTACTTTCTTGTTGGACGACATTTTTGTGGTGAGTTGGGGTTTGGGTAATCTGAAATATAGGATTTATGTTATTTGACTGGGCTGGGGTTGAAGTTCAGGAAAAAAAAGAAATTTTGTCAAATAATTTTCAAAATCTGACAAGAAATCAGAGGGAAGATATGGCTTCTTGGGGTCAATAACAATGTTGGACAAATGTGGCTCCGAGGGGAGGGTAGCTCAAGGGTTCTCGAAGATACTAGTCAACAAGGAAGGTGTGTGACCAGCCCCCGGATATTTTCAAAGACACATACAGATGTTTATCACGCCCGGAGAGACGTGTTCAAAAACGATACTGGACTTTGATTTTCAGCGGATTTTTATGAAAATATTCAAAAAAATTCAAAATTTCACGCTGCACAACTTTTATTCTGAAAAAAATTTTCACGCTGCACAAAAATTTTGGGACACTCTCTCACCAAGTGTGATGTTTATGTACAGTTATTTACGCTGAGCCTAAAAATGAGCCAAAAGTGGAGAATTTTTGAAATTTCGTAGTTTTGAGAGCCTATAACTCATGTTAAAGATGATTTTTATGAAAAACTGAATGTATCACGTTGTTCAGGAGGTTCGATTCACCAAAGTCACTAATTTTTGATTTGTAAATCCATACTTTTTCAGAAAAAAAAATTTTGTGTCTCACATTCAGAAAATAGGCTCACATTTGAAAATTTTTGGAAAATTTTTTCCAAACCTTTTGACTTTGGTAAATCAATATTTCTGAACATCGTCCTATACTCTGTTTTTGATAAAATATTATCTAACATGAGTTAAGGGCTGTCAAAAATGCGATTATCAGAAAATTCTCAACTTTTGGGCTCTTTAGAGAGTCGCTCAGAAAAAACTGAAAACGGGATTTCTCTCAGCGTGAAAAACTGTACAGAAACATTTATGTATGACTCATTGAAAATCTCCGGGGACTGGTCATACACAGAATGAATCTGACTTCTTAACTGATGAGATTGTCTCAAGGGTGATTAGGTTCAAAGGGGTTATCTATGGAATATCTGAAAGAGGGAATTATTGAATGATTGGCTGAAATTGTGAGTTGGGAGCAGTTTGAAGAGAGAAATACTAGAAGAGAAAATGTTTCAGAATGAAAATCTTGGATTTTCCTAGCTCTTTTATGCCCTCCATTTGTTTTTATCACGCCCCTTTTCTGAACACGCCCATATTCTAGAACGATTTATTTCATCATCCATAAAAATATCACGCAGGCACAGATTTTGTGTAATAAAACCATAAAACGAGCAATGTTTTTGATTGAAAAAACAACAAAACGCATAGATATCAATGATTCATCGAGTGATTTCGTAATCAAGAACCATTAGAACCAATATTAAAATTCATAAGCTTCGCTTTTTTTCTAGCAAAACCAAGTTAACATATTTATTCAACCCATAAAAATCAAAATAATTCTTAAAACTCTGTTAAAACACATGCCGGATTGTCATAACATCCCGAAATTCTGCGCCCATTTTTGATCTCTCTGAAATCCATATTCTGCCTCGGAAAATTTAGAAGAATCTTACATTTTCTCAATATTAATTGATCCTCGATGACGGAAATGATCGATAATACAAACCACCAAAATAATAACAATGCTCAAAATTATGAAGACAATTGTGGCACCAGCTGGAAAATAAAAATTTTGAAACTCACATAATTTTTTTTTGAAAAAAGTGAACCTATAATTAATGATAGTTTTGGTGTAGTCTTTGGAAAACATTCCATCATCACTTGATAACAACTTTTCAAACGATCTTTGCAACTCATTCTTCGGTTGAAAATTCGATGAGCACAGGCGTACTGAAAATCAATTTGATTGAAATTTCGATATGGAATGCCTACCGTATGATTGAACCAAAAGCTCTCAATATCCCGCAAACAATCAATATTCGTTTCATTTAGTAGAAGTCTTCTAGGAAGAGGAAGCTCACATGTTGCGCTCATAGGAACACAATTCACAAATTTACCGAAAAGCATACGTTTCTCCACATATCCCTGCAACAAATTACACTTTAGAACCTCAGAAACTTTTCAAATTCTGTACCTCAATGTAGCAATAATTGTAATTTTCTTTATGTGCAATTCCTGCGATTCTTCTAGCAGTGGTTTCTAGTGGGAAAATAAACAATAGAAAAACCAACATGTTTTTTGCAGATGATTCATAATTTTTTTGGTTTATATAATGTGATATAATTGAATCAAACATCAGATTTTATGGAATTGGTTTTATTTATGAGACAATTAGCAAGGGCTCTGGTATTGAATGTGAGAAGAAAGAGACTACATATGTACATAGAAAAAATTTAGATCGCCCTCTCATTAAAATCCCGTAAGGTGAAATTTATTTAGAAATGTTCATTTCTCCCGGTTACGTGAAATTCTGATAAATATATATTTATCAAAAATTCTTCATTTCTTACCTACACGTGTGGTGTAGGCGGGGAGAGCTCTGCCTTCCAATCAGGCCAGCCTCCTTCTTTTGTGGATTCGAGCCCCACTCGGAAAAAATTTTTCCCTATATCGAGTAATGCAGATTTTCGGAAATTTTGTTCCTTTCTCCCCAAAATTGCGAAAATTCGACATTCCAACGCGGCAAAAAAGAAAAAACAAGATGGAGAAGAAAAACCTTAATAAAAAGAGAAAATCGAGAAAATATCATACGTGACCCATGAATGAAAAAGGCTGATTCTTCAGATGCTATTGGCATTGTTCAAGAATTCCAAATTCCTAACGGACCAAGAATGTTATTTAAGTATTCAATACGAAAAAAAGATTGAAGAAGTTTTTTTTCGAAAAATTTATCGATGACGTTATCCATGGCAAAATTAGGAAGCCTTCCAGATTTTGCCATGAGTTATTTTTTGATCAAAAAACTTGAAATTTTTCATGAATTCAATTGTAATTCGTTTGTTTAACATCTTTCGAGTACATTAAATTCAAAAAAATAATTAACAAAGTTTTTTTTCGAAAGTTTTTTCAAAAAAAAAATCGGCCCGAGATTTTTCAAAAAAAAAAGTTACAGATTTGCAATAATCCAAAAATGTAAAAAAAAATCGGCCCGAGATTTTTCAAAAAAAAAAATGTAAAAAAAAAATCGGCCCGAGATTTTTCAAAAAAAAAGTTACAGAATTGGAATAATCCAAAAAATGTTTTAAAAAAATCGGCCCGAGTTTTTTCAAAAAAAAATCGAAAAAAAAAAAAAAAATTTATCGATGACGTCATCCATGGCAAAATTAGGAAGCCTTCCAGATTTTGCCATGAGTCATTTTTTTATCAAAAAACTTGAAATTTTGAATGAATTCAATTGTAATTCGTTTGTTTAACATCTTTCGAGTACATTAAATTCAAAAAAATAATTAACAAAGTTTTTTTTCGAAAGTTTTTTCAAAAAAAAAATCGGCCCGAGATTTTTCAAAAAAAAAAGTTTACAGATTTGCAATAATCCAAAAAATGTAAAAAAAAATCGGCCCGAGTTTTTCAAGAAAAATCCGCCCGAGTTTTTTTGAAAAAAAAATCGGCCCGAGATTTTTCAAAAAAAAAAGTTACAGATTTGGAATAATCCAAAAATGTAAAAAAAAAATCGGCCCGAGTTTTTCAAGAAAAACCGCCCGAGTTTTTTTGAAAAAAAATCGGCCCGAGATTTTTCAAAAAAAAAAGTTACAGATTTGGAATAATCCAAAAATGTAAAAAAAAAAATCGGCCCGAGTTTTTCAAGAAAAATCCGCCCGAGTTTTTTTGAAAAAAAAATCGGCCCGAGATTTTTCAAAAAAAAAAGTTACAGATTTGGAATAATCCAAAAATGTAAAAAAAAAATCGGCCCGAGTTTTTCAAGAAAAACCGCCCGAGTTTTTTTGAAAAAAAAAATCGGCCCGAGATTTTTCAAAAAAAAAAGTTACAGATTTGGAATAATCCAAAAATGTAAAAAAAAAATCGGCCCGAGTTTTTCAAGAAAAATCGCCCGAGTTTTTTTGAAAAAAAAATCGGCCCGAGATTTTTCAAAAAAAAAAGTTACAGATTTGGAATAATCCAAAAATGTGAAAAAAAAATCGGCCCGAGTTTTTCAAGAAAAATCCGCCCGAGTTTTTTTGAAAAAAAAATCGGCCCGAGATTTTACAAAAAAAAACGGCCCGAGTTTTTCAAAAAAAAATTTACAGATTTGGAATAATCCAAAAATGAAAAAAAAATCGGCCCAAGTTTTTCAAAAAAAAAATCGGCCCGAGATTTTTCAAAAAAAAAAATCGGCCCGAAATTTTTCAAAAAAAAAGTTACAGATTTGGAATAATCCAAAAATGTAAAAAAAAATCGGCCCGAGTTTTTCAAAAAAATCGGCCCGAGTTTTTTCAAAAAAAAAATCGGCCCGAGATTTTTCAAAAAAAAATCGGCCCGAGATTTTTCAAAAAAATCAGCCCAAGATTTTTCAAAAAAAAATCGGCCCGAGTTTTTCAAAAAAAAAATCGGCCCGAGATTTTTCAAAAAAAATCGGCCCGAGATTTTTCAAAAAAAAAATCAGCCCAAGATTTTTCAAAAAAAAAGTTACAGATTTGGAATAATCCAAAAATGTAAAAAAAATCGGCCCGAGTTTTTCAAAAAAAAATCGGCCCGAGATTTTTCAAAAAAATCGGCCCGAGATTTTTCAAAAAAAATCAGCCCAAGATTTTTCAAAAAAAAAATCGGCCCGAGTTTTTCAAAAAAAAATCGGCCCGAGATTTTTCAAAAAAAAAATCGGCCCGAGATTTTTCAAAAAAATCAGCCCAAGATTTTTCAAAAAAAAAAATCGGCCCGCTATTTTTCAAAAAAAAGTTACAGATTTGGAATAATCCAAAAATGTTAAAAAAAAATCGGCCCGAGATTTTTCAAAAAAAAAAGTTACAGATTTGCAATAATCCAAAAATGTAAAAAAAAATCGGCCCGCTATTTTTCAAAAAAAAAAGTTACAGATTTGGAATAATCCAAAAATGTTAAAAAAAAATCGGCCCGAGATTTTTCAAAAAAAAAAGTTACAGATTTGCAATAATCCAAAAATGTAAAAAAAAATCGGCCCGAGTTTTTCAAGAAAAAAGTTACAGATTTGGAATAATCCAAAAATGTTTTTAAAAAATCGGCCCGAGTTTTTTCAAAAAAATCGAAAAAAAAAAAAAAATTTATCGATGACGTCATCCATGGCAAAATTAGGAAGCCTTCCAGATTTTGCCATGAGTCATTTTTTTATCAAAAAACTTGAAATTTTGAATGAATTCAATTGTAATTCGTTTGTTTAACATCTTTCGAGTACATTAAATTCAAAAAAATAATTAAATAAGTTTTTTTTTCGAAAGTTTTTTCAAAAAAAAAAATCGGCCCGAGATTTTTCAAAAAAAAAGTTACAGATTTGGAATAATCCAAAAATGTAAAAAAAATCGGCCCGAGTTTTTCAAGAAAAATCCGCCCGAGTTTTTTGAAAAAAAAATCGGCCCGAGTTTTTCAAAAAAAAATCGGCCCGAGTTTTTTCAAAAAAAAAATCGGCCCGCTATTTTTCAAAAAAAAAGTTACAGATTTGGAATAATCCAAAAATGTAAAAAAAAATCGGCCCGAGTTTTTCAAAAAAAAAAGTTACAGATTTGGAATAATCCAAAAATGTAAAAAAAAATCGGCCCGAATTTTTCAAAAAAAAGTTACAGATTTGGAATAATCCAAAAATGTAAAAAAAAAAATCGGCCCGAGTTTTTCAAGAAAAATCCGCCCGAGTTTTTTTGAAAAAAAATCGGCCCGAGATTTTTCAAAAAAAAAATCGGCCCGAGATTTTTCAAAAAAATCAGCCCAAGATTTTTCAAAAAAAAAATCGGCCCGAGTTTTTCAAAAAAAAAAATCGGCCCGAGTTTTTTCAAAAAAAAAATCGGCCCGCTATTTTTCAAAAAAAGTTACAGATTTGGAATAATCCAAAAATGTAAAAAAAAAAAATCGGCCCGAGTTTTTCAAAAAAAAGTTACAGATTTGGAATAATCCAAAAATGTAAAAAAAAATCGGCCCGAATTTTTCAAAAAAAAAGTTACAGATTTGGAATAATCCAAAAATGTAAAAAAAAAATCGGCCCGCTATTTTTCAAAAAAGTTACAGATTTGGAATAATCCAAAAATGTAAAAAAAATCGGCCCGAGTTTTTCAAAAAAAGTTACAGATTTGGAATAATCCAAAAATGTAAAAAAAAAATCGGCCCGAATTTTTCAAAAAAAAAAGTTACAGATTTGGAATAATCCAAAAAATGTTTTTAAAAAATCGGCCCGAGTTTTTTCAAAAAAATCGGCCCGAGATTTAAAAAAAAAAAAGTTACAGAACGAAAAAAAGATTGAAGAAGTTTTTTTTCGAAAAATTTATCGATGACTTGATCCATGGCAAAATTAGGAAGCCTTCCTGATTTTGCCACGAATCATTTTTTGACAAAAAAATTTGAAATTTTCTATAAATTTGATTGTGAGTCAATGTTCTGTGGACATTAATCACAGAAAAAAGTGAAACGGAAATAAATGAGAAGACTGTTACGCCTGGGGGCTAACAGCCCCTAGTCAGATTTTTATTGCTGAAAATATAAAGCGTAGCGTGTCGAGACCATTTCTGGAAAATCATCTGTGCCTTTATTGGATCGAAATACGGATCTCTGTTAGTTTTTTCGCTAAATGGGTCTCAACACGATGAGCCGGACACTGTAGGAGCTGGTTTCCACACAAAGCAAAAAAAATGTCTCTAGCCGCTTCAGGAGTCGGCTCAAAAAAAAGCGGCTATTCAAATTGAGAATTTTACGGGTCAAATTCTCCATTTTTTAAAGGGGATATTTATAGAAGTTAAAATTTTTAATCTTTATTCGGTAATATCATAAAAATCATATTAAAATACATAACAAGAAAAAAATAAATATGTATATCATTGAAAATAAAATACAGTGAAAAAAGTAATTTTGTGTACGGTTTCATTCGAATAAATGGGATGAAGAAGGTTCATTGTAAAGCATCCTTGAAATAAACAAAAATCTCTTGGGTTTGGAGATGTAGCCCTTCTTCAACATCCATGATAACCGCTTGGCAATACTGTAACAAGACTGTTCAGTTTTGAGTTAACAGTAAATTTTCACTCACGCTTTAATTGAGATTTCCGTCAGCGTCGCAAAACGTGTCCAAATTTCGACCGTTTGTTTTTTCACAGCGTCCAATTCCATTCTTGCTACTTTACAGCGTCCCAAATATATTCGTTTGGATTGTTTTCAATGACGTTGATTTGACGAGACAAGAACGTTCTCTGCAAGAAGAGCGTTCGGTGTCCCGTCCGACTAAGCTGCCACATCATCTACTTCTTCAACTTCCGTGATAACAGCTTGCTAATACTGTAAAAAGAACGTTCAGTTTTGAATTAACAGTAAATTTTTCACTCACGCTTTAGTTGAGATTTCCTTCAGCGTCGCAAAACGTGTCCAAATTTTCAGCGATTGTTTTTTCAAACCGTCAAATTCCATTCTTGCTACTTTATAGCGTCCCAAATATATTCGATTCGATTTTTTTCAATGACATTAATCTGACGGGACAAAAACGCTCTCTGTATGGAGAGCGTTCGGTGTCCCGTCCGACTAAGCTGCCACATCATCTACTTCTTCAAAATCCGTGATAACAGCTCGGCAATAATTTTACTGTAAGAGAGAATGTTAAGTTTTGAATTAACAGTAAATTTTTCACTCACTCTTTATTTGAGATTTCCGTCAGCGTGGCAAAACGTGTCCAAATTTCCAGGGATTGATTTTTTCAAAGCGTCAAATACCATTCTTGCCACTTTATAGCGTCCAAAATATATTCGTTTGGATTGTTTTCAATGACATTAATCTGACGGGACAAAAACGCTCTCTGTAAGGAGAGCGTTTGGTGTCCCGTCCGGCTGAGCTGCCACATCATCTACTTCTTCAACATCGGTGATAAAAGCTTGGCAAAACTGTAAGAAGAATATTCAGTTTTGAGTTCACAGTAAATTTTTCACTCACGCTTTCTCAATGACATTAATCTGACGGGACAAGAACGCTCTCTGTAAAGAGAGCGTTCGATGTCCCGTCCGGCCGAGCTGCATCCAACCTATCTTTTTCCTCATATCCGCCTTTCCCGCAAAGTCGTGTCGAATTAGGGGACATTTTCCATACCAACCAAACAATCGAAAACAATGTTGATTGAATTGTGTTGGCAAATTTCAATGACGTTGATTTGACGGGACAAAAACGCTCTCTGTAAGGAGAGCGTTCGGTGTCCCGTCCGGCTGAGTTTCATACTCCTCATCTACTTCTTCAACATCCGTAATAATAGCTCGGCAATAATTTTACTGTAAGAAGAATGTTCAGTTTTGAATTGACAGTAAATTTTTTACTCACTCTTTAATTGAGAGTTCCGTCGGCGTGGCAAAACGTGCCCAAATTTCCAGGGATTGATTTTTTCAAAGCGTCAAATTCCATGCTTGCTACTTTATAGCGTCCCGAATATATACGATTCGATTTTTTTCAAAGACGTTGATTTGACGAGACAAGAACGCTCTCTGCAAGGAGAGCGTTCGGTGTCCCGTCCGACTAAGCTGCCACATCATCTACTTCTTCAACTTCCGTGATAACATCTTGGCATAACTGTAAGAAGAATATTCAATTTTGAGTTAACAGTCAATTTTTCACTCACGCTTTCTCAGTGACATTAATGTGACGGGACAAAAACGCTCTCTGTAAGGAGAGCGTTCGATGTCCCGTCCGGCCGAGCTGCATCCACTCCATCAACTTTCTCATATCCGCCTTCCAGGAGGTATATTCAATACCATCCAAACAATTGAAATCCATTTCTTTCCCCATCCATAATGTTTGTTGAATGTGATGATCATTTTCATTGACATTATTCTGACGGGACAAGAACGCTCTCTGTGAGAAGAGCGTTCGGTGTCCCGACATTCTTTTCGTAGTGGATCTCTGAAAAAAACACGATATACATAGGAAAACATTGTATGAAAAAAAGAAAATCAGAGAAGTTATAAATCTGCATCATGATAGACAAAATTTTGAAGAATAAATAGCAGCAAAAATTTCAGAAAATTTCAGATTTCAAAAAAAAAAAAGATAAGCAATTAAAACTCAATCAACATTAACAAAAAATACTAATCTCCCAGCATTTATCGATTAAAATACCACTTTGGCGTCCTTTTCCTCCTCCTACCTTTTTTTGTTTTTTAGTTCAAAGATCAAAGATGATAGACTATATTATAGCCGGCGGGTCATGTTGATAAATAGGAAGGGATGAGAAGACATGTGTATGAATACATTACCGACAAAAAAGATACGAAAATGTATGTTTTTGAGCTTTTGTTGTCTGGAAATTTTTCTACCAACAATAAATATTTGTTAGACAGAAAAAAAATTCTTCGAATTTTTGAATTTAATCCTGTAAATTTTTCGCAACTAACAATCCCATTCATATTTTAAATATTTATTTGACGACAAATTTTTGTTTGAAAAATTGAATCAACAAAATTACTTTTCATTTATTTCAAATCCAAGAACGCACTTGCCACACTCACAGCCAACTTGGGAAACTCTAAAATAACTAATTTTTCTCATAGAATATATGATTTGTTTTCTGAAACTCACGAATTTGAGATATGTTGTGGCTCGATAAGCTTCTCTATCCAATCTACCATTTATCAAACAGAAATACCAAAATTGTGGATTGACGCCCTGTGAAAATAGTACATTAAAATATGAATCAAAAAAATTAACTAACATCATATCTCAAAAAAAAGCGCACGAATTGTTCGGTGGCTTCAAGCGTTCCATCTTCGATATAAAATAGTTGTTCCTGAAAATTTTTAGATTGTGAACATTTTTGTAGAACTATTGAGGTTTTTTTCCCAAAATTTTCATGAAAATCAACAAACCTCTTCGTGTTGAGCGTTCGCAGAAGCAGAAGAAGATGATTGGTTGTTGTCACCCATAATGCAATTTTTTCTAGTTCAATTTCAAAACTGAAAAAAAATATCTAAATTTAATTTTTTTTAAAGAAACCAGAAAAGTCAAATAAAAAGAAAACGAAAAAAAGGTCCTCCTTACCACATTGTTTATGCACGCCGCATCATTACAGTACACCTCTGAGCCATAGAGCACATTTTCTTTATCCCATTTTTGTGGATATTTTATTTATTGGTTTGGCAAGTTTCCAGAAACAATTGAAAAAAATTAAACAAAATACGGTATGAATTTTATTTAACAAAAAAATAGAATTTCAAACAATTCGGTTTCCTTGTGGTGTCTTTTGAATAAATGAAATTGTGACAAACGCAACAAATGGGAATATTGCAGTTATCATAAAAAGATAAGTGAATCCAATCATTTTGAGAAAGAATTGAGAGATACCAGAAAGAACTAATCCACTGATAGTCTGAAATATTTACAGAAATTTTTGTAAGATATTCTGAAAAATCTTACCGATGCTAACGTCAAAATTCCATAATTCTTCGCTTGATGTTTAGTTCCAAAACATTTGACAATTGCATTAATGAAAAGAGCTCGAGTTGCAGCCAAACAGATAAATGTTACACATAACCATATCAAATATACATATTTCGCCAATTCGACTGTATTTTTACCAAAATCAAAATATTTATCCAATTGAACGAAAGGCATTGTTATAATGAATAATGTCGCAACCCAAGTTGAGATTGAAAAAGCTGTTTGAAAACTTGTTCGATCTGTTAGAATTCCCCAACAAATTCTTGCGATTGCATTTGCTATTGAAGAAATTGAAAATGCCATTGCAATAAAGAAATCGTCTTGGATGAAACTTTCAGCATAAACCTAGACAAAATTGGTTACTGTAGAAAAAAAAATAATGGAATTACCTTATACAAATTCCAATACATGTTGGCATAAAATGAGCTACAAAAACAGGTGAGAAATAAACAATAAAATGTTGATGATTTTAGCATTTCTAATGAGGTTAATTGGGGAGGAACATCTTCTGAATTTTCTGAAAACAAGTTTCAAAAATTTCGAATTTTTTTGCAAAATTTACCATTGAAGGGATTGTTCCCATCTTCTGAATCATTTTCATCTGTCAAAGATTCATTAGATGCAGATCTCTGAAATCATAAAACTCTCTAGGTGAATTAAGCCTCAACAAATTCCATTTGAAACTCACTCTAAATGGTGGATCGCAAACAACAATCAACGCAATTAGTTGCATTATTCCATAAATTATTGCCAATTTTATAAATACACCAGGAACTCTTTCAAGTAATTCAGCTTCTTCGAAATATCTTTAAAATATTGATTTTTGTTTTTGGAACTACATAGTTTTTCAATCAGAAAAAACATTACCCTTCCTCTATTGGCGCTAAATTTTTGGGATTCACAAGCCATGTTTGTATTGGAGCAAAAATTGATGATGAGAGACCAAATCCAGCGGAAACAATTCCAGAAACTATTCCAACTTTCTCAGGTGCCCACTGAAAATTTCAAAAGGGTTTAGATTTTTTTTTCAAAAAAAAAAAGAGTTCACATTAATTGCGGCTGATACTGAAGACACATATGCAATCCCATTTCCAATTCCAAAAATGATACCGTAAGACACGAAAAATGCAAAAAATGAATGTTGAATTGTATATGCTGATAAAGCAACACTCAGACTGAAAAATATTCAGATTCCATTTTTAAAAAAATCAAGAAGTAAACTAACGTTACTAGAAAACACCCAATAAATGCTGATATTCTTGGGCCAAATTTAGTCGAAGTAATACCACCAATAAGCATCGAAAATGGAAAAGAACCCTGAAACGTTGGAATCCACATCATATCTTCTGATCGAATATTTGGATCAGTATGATTTCGCATATAAGAAGCCATGTATGGCAACATATTTCCAAATGTGATAAATGTTCCAAGTGTTAGATGAATTAGAATTGCACCGCATAAAATAACACATAATTGATAAAATGGTTTAAGTTTATAAATTGCATTTGCTATAGGATCACCAGAACTTTTTTTGCAGCACAAAATCATTGCTGAAAAGAGTTATTTGGAATTTATTAAACCCGAAATGTTTTTTTTTTGAAAATTTATTCAATTTGAGTAGAAGAAGGTTAGACATTCAAAAACCAGTCAAAAATTGTTTAAGATAAATAAAAGTTCATCTTATATTAATGTTATTTCATAAATTTTCTCGGGGTTTCGAAAGACTTTATTTCCACAACAATTTCATCAGATATCATTTCGTAAAACAACACACAAATAATTTATTTATCATGTTGTTCATTCAAAAAAATAAATTTTAACTTCAGTTAACAGGATTATCAAGTCTATTTCGAACAAATTGAAAAACTGGAGTTGTGAATGCACTCATCATCGCAAATCGATAATGTTTGACGATCAAAATAACAGGAAATGGATCAAGTGCTGGAAATAATGCTATAGTTACGCTGACAAGAACGCTAGCTTTTCCAATATTAATTGATAAAACTGTGGAAACAAATATAATAGAAACTGGAATATGCATTAAAATAACAGGAATCAATGTTTGAGTAATCAATGCGTATAGAAGTTGGTGTTGAAGACCATTGAAAGTTTGAGATAAATTTCTGGTTGTTCTAACATATTGCTCAATTTTCAAAAAACATAGTATTCCTGAAGCCAAAATTGTTAAAATTGATACCACTATTATCAATAACAAAATTATGATGCCAAACAAATTTTTCTCGTTAAGTTTTTCACAGCCATCTGTTGTTACCCGATATAAATACGAGCCAATATAAGTTATGTTTTCTAATTTTGAATCAAAATCAACAAGAATATCATTCCGAACAACATCATCAATCTGTTCATTGGGGTGCATAGTGAAATATGTGACTGTTCCCCATGAAATACCACAAATAAGTGGGCCACACATCCAAAGAAGAAGTCGACAATCATTAAATGATTTTAAGAATATGGATCTGAATAATTATCAATTATTAGATTTTTTCAAAATAAGTTCAGATATACCCTGAAACAACAAAATATCTATAGATGAATTGAACTGCAAAAAACGCCATAAATGAGCCAAAAAAGGCAGCCCAAATACAAATTAACAAAATATAAATTTCTTTTTTGAAGAAATAATTTTCAATACGAATGAAAACCAAAAAAATCGAATTGTGAGAGAAAACAAGAGGTTCGAGGAAACCATCAATAATTGAATAAGATATTTCAAAAACTGCAATATAAATCATCAAGTATTTATAAGATCCAATTTGTTTTGGTGAATTTTTGTATACCAGCCAGATGAGTAACATATTTGCGACGATAGATATAAACACTGAAACCTCTTGCAATCCACTTATTATTTTTAAAAGTGGTTTCATTTTTAACTTATTTTTGAGTTGATTTACCTAGAATGATTATGAAAAGTACACGATATTGAAAAACAGGAAACGTCCTACAGTAATTGAATTGTGGTGGGTAGGCTATTTTTGTTCTGAAGATCACAAAAACAAACCAAAATTTATTGTACAATTTTTCACAAAAATAACCACAAACAATTAACAAAAATTTAAAAAAAATCACCGACTAAACTAAATTGATCTATAGATAGTGACAGATCGAAGATCGTAGATCATTTCGTTTCGATTCTCGCTGGATCTTTGAGCAGCTGCAGATGAGTTTTGAGCATCAACCAAAGTGTTGACCTAAATGGAAATATTATTTTCATTAATTGATTTTTTCACTAACAAAATACTGTGTTGTTCCATGAATTGTCTTCCGGAAGTTTCCCGATTTCTTCAGATGTTTTTTGCCTGACTTTTCAGCAATGACCATTTTTTGAACAAAGTCCAAATTGTATATCTGAAATTAATCAATTTATTTTTGAAATTGTTCGAAAAAAATTGCCAAAATTAAAGCCAAACACAAAATTTTCAAAAAAAATCATGTTATATTTTTTTTAGAGTTCAAGAGTGGCTCTCAAAGCGAGTTCTAGACAATCAGTAAGGAAAACTCACCTTCAAAATTTTTGTTTTGTGGCTCTTCGCTGAATCTGAGAAGCGTTTCGGCGTAGCAAATCGATCAGCGGTTCCGCCCTAAAAAATTAAGCTTATATTAATTTCAAAATATTTTTTTAAACTCACCATTATTTTTTCCTGCAAAGCATTTCGTAGCTCGGCAGCAATATTTCTTTGCTCTTCATTCATTTTGTCAACGAATTTCGTGGATTCCTTCATTCTTTTCAGAGTGTTGGTGAGCACATTTCGCGCCATTGTTAGATTTCGATGCGGAGGCATCGTGGGTGGTCTCTGTTGAAAAAAATAAATCTAACTTTGAAAGGAAGATATTAAATTTAGTACAAAACAATCCTAGAAGTTAGAGTATCTTCTAAACAGTAAACCTGTGTGGGAAATTTTCTAGGAACGTCAAAAGCTAACTTACCGGAAATGTGTATTGATTGTCCGAATATTCAGGTGCATTCCACATTTTTTGCTGTTCACAAACTCAAATATGCGTGTTTCAAAATAAAGTTTGGCAATTTATCAAAACACATCTGGCAGCGAGAGAACGAAAAAAGACATTGAAAAAACACAAAGCTTTTTCTTTTCTCTTTGTTTTCTGTTTTTGTTATTCCGAAACTCTCTGTTTTTCTAATGGTGACTAAATTTTGCACTTTTCCGAATCCGAAATCACTTTTATTTTATTAACAAAAAATGTACATACAGGAAGGAATTATACAGGGTTGAAAGATTATTCAAGTCTTGAAATTGGTATCCTGTGATATCTCACATGTTTGCCACGTGTTTTTTCTATCAAAAATCGTCGAATATAAGAGCTCACAATAAAATGTTGAATTATCAAATAAGCAATTCCAAACAACGCTCTTTTTCCAAAATATGGATTGATTGCTGCGGTAACATAAAACATCAAATGACTCAAGTTGATCAAAAGAATACATCCAGCAAAAAGAAAAATACTTGGCTGATTGCCAAAACGAATTTGTGTGTAGGTTGAGATTAAAATTGTTGTCATCCATGCAACATTACTTGAGAAGAATATCCAAGTTGGGATTGGATATGCATAATTTGGTGTGATTTGGAAATTAAACCAAATGATGAATAAATAAATAAAATGACAGAAGGCTAATTTTTCGAATTTTGATGGATTTTCATTGATCATATTGTCAGCAGCGATAAATTCAAGAACCTGTTGAATTCTAATTTTTAGAAGATGTTTTGATTTAAACACTCACCTTCTTTTGCGCATAAAACCCAGCAATAAACAAAACATTGAAAGTCACCAGTCTCAAACAATTGATCAAATAATTATCACCAATTTCACTATCTAATTCCAATCGTGCAGTAAACCAATAATGATTCAAATCAAATACAGGATACGTCCACCAAAACCATGGTTTCGTTGGTCCCATCGTGTAATGTATGATTTTGGGCTCAACTAAAAACCGTCCCCCATTCAAATAATACATTCCAATATCGTAATTGAAAGCAGCGGATAATCTTGACATTTTATCATTTTCACATCTTCTTGTTAAATTATATTCATTGAACATTCCTGAATATTTAAGATCGGAGAAATATGTATTCAGGAATCCTTGATCACCGCCATCGTAAGAAATCATTGATTGAACATGCTTTTCCATATCTTTGAAAACCTGGGAATTTGAAATTTTGAACCGATTGGAAAAAAATTGAATAATTATTTAAAATGTCATCATCACATCAGAATTTAAAATTTTCCAAAAATATTTAAAACTTGTTTCAAGATGAATCAAAATGTAAACTTCAGAGATTTTCAGAGATTCATAGAAAGCTATTTGGAATATTTTTCTTTTTTTTCAATTGTTATCCGAAAACTTTCACAAGGAAACCTTTTTTATCTCATGGTCCATGGACAGCTTTTGGGACCATAAGAACACCCTAAAAATTTCAGTCTCCCAATGGACCTCTGAGCCAAGTTCTGGGCTCTCAAAAGTACAAAAAAGGCCTAAAAATGGTCATAAAAGTCATCATAGCTCCATTTCAAAAATTTTTTTGGGAGAAATGAAGTTTCAGATATTGATCAGCATAGTCGATTACCTAAAAGTACATCAATAAAAAACTTTATTTCGAAAAATTTTGAAGTTTTTTATTTTTGAGCTGAAAATACATGAAAATTCATATGTGCCCCTGCTCATTCTTTTTTTCAAAATCAAAAATTTTTCTGAAAATTCGATTTATTGATGCTTTTTGGGTAAATCGACCACGCTGATCATCATCTGCTACTCAGTTTTTCATAAAATTGATCGAGAATTGAGTTATGACGTGTTTTATGAGCCAATTTTGGCAATTTTTGAACTTTTGAGAGCCCAGAACTTGGCCCAGAGGTCCATTAGGAGACTAAAATTTTTAGGGTGTTCTTATGGTCCCAAAAGCTGTCCATGGACCAAATTTCATCATGATTTGAAGTGTTGAGTAAAAAAGGTTTCCTTGTCAGAAACTTTTCCAAAAGTAATTATATTCCTAACACCTTTAACCCTAAAACCGGAATACTGAACACTGGTCACAAATCAATAAAATCAATATTTGCAATTCTCCTAGATATCAAAAAGTTCCCGAGCACTTTTGCATTGTCAGACTGGTTTCACTCTGATCTTCAACCCTTCCAACTTATTTTTTCAACACTTGTAAACATTTTTTTGAACTTACCTCAATATTAGGTTTCAATACAAATACTCCCGAATTAAACATGTCAGAGTGTCTAAAAGAAGCGCAAAAATCTCCACAATGAAAAATGCTTGAAATATTCTCCAATGGCAAAACATCAAGATCTAAATGAGCAATCACATCAAATTCAGTCATTTGCCAAAGTCGGATTTTTGTGTACTGAAATTGACAGGGGTTTTGAAAGAAAAAATTGTGCACTCACCTGATATTTTCTAGCTCGATGAGTTTTCAAATAAGGGGTATCAATTTTGAGATCATGTTGAATTTGAACCCCTTGATTTTGAAGTGCTGAGATCGAATCATTATTGATATCCTGTGTAACTATGATTATATAAGGAATCGAGTCATTCAACATTTTCAAACGATGAGCTACAAAAAAAAATATATATATGTTTTTTAACCAAACAAAACATTTTACTTACCCAAAACCTGAGCTGGCAGCAGAAAATCATTTGAAGATAACACCGAAACATAAGCGAATTTTTCAGAATTCACAAAACCCGTGAAAATGATTGAAAAAACTATACATTTTGTCCAAAACATTCTGAAAAAAGGAAATTATATGGAAACACTTCAGGTTGTCATGACGTTCTCGTTTTTGAACAAAAAAAATGGATGAAGCTGATGTTGCCTCTTTTCTTTGCATAATATATGCACTTTTGTTGGGGAATTTTCTGAGAAAATCAATTGAAAAAGAAAAAAAAATTTCGTTTTTGAACAAAAACCACAAAAATTATCGCATAAAATACATATTTCATGGTCAGAAATCACAGAGGAAAAAAATTATTCTTTAAAAAAATATGTTAGGAGAGGATCTCCCAACTTCAAAACAGAAAATTTGAGACGTAAAACAAACTACGCGCAACACGAAAACTACAGTACACAATGAATGAATTGATCGTTGGTTGGTTGAGTCATGTTTGACGAGTTTGGGTGAGCAATGAAAAGCTTAAGGAAACAAGGACAACATGGTCAATTTTTGAACTTTTTTCTATTTCGCTTCTGATTTTTTGATGTTGGCAAATAAACTATTACGGGGGTGTCTTCAGAAAACTTTTGATTGGTAATTTGATCAGATATTTGGACAAAATTATGGCAAAATTATGGATTTTCCGAATAGGTTAATTTGAAAAAAAAAAATCGTTTTTGAAAACTTGGTTTCTGACAGAAAATCAAGGAAAAAAAAGGAAAAATGAGGAAATTGTGCCATTTTTTCAGATTCTTTTTTCTTCTTCACAGCGTCCATAATGTTCAGCGATAAGAGCAAATAATATTGTCATGTGTACATGTTTTATGTGCTTTGTGGTTGAAAACCGCAAGTTTTTTCTAGATCGTAAAATAATATAATTCAATTGGGATTCAGCAAACTTTCCCACCTGGGCAAAGATTTTTTTAGAAGCTGTACATTTGTTTTTCTGATGAAAAAGTGTGATTAAGGCATTTTTTTAAAATAAAATAAATAAAAAAACAAATTCAGATCTCTAACAAAAAATTAAATTAAAAACAGGAAATACATACATTTCAAAAAAAAATTAAAAATTTTTATATTTTGAATTTGGTTTCGGATTTCTTTTAAAAAAAATTACAAAAAAAAATTTTTCCCCAATCACTTGATAAAAATAAAAAAATAAATAATGATTACTCAAATATTAAAAAAAGTGTGAAGCTTAACAAACTTCACTTTGAGCAATGAAACACATTTTATTTTCTTAAATGTTTTATCGAAGAAAAAATATCACACAAAATCGGAATAATTGAACATTTCCGTGGTTTGTGGTGGTTACAAAAGATAACAAAATCTATAAAGCTATTAATGTCAGTGATCGTGATGTTTTTGGCTTGTACTTTTACGTGGGGAATGAAATCGAGAAACAAAATATAGGTTATGAAATGTTAAAATTTTTAAAAAACAGTCAGAAAATCCTCCAAAATTCTAAATTTTGAAGAGAACCCTATTTTTCGCAGCTAAGCTGACGTGAGAAAAAAATATTTCTTTTAAAAAAGTTACGCCTGGGAGTACAAATTGTGAAGTTTATTAAGACATAGATTATATAAGAAAAAATAACTTCAAAACTGGAAATCTCGTTAATATGAAAAAATTAATGTACCTATGAAATATTTCATAGTTTGTTTTTCAATAAAATCTGGAAGCTGATCCTATATCATCAAGTGTAATTCAAAGCTTCATCTAATCATTTAAACATATTAATTTATAAACAACTTTCCTTTAACATCAATAGTAATTATGAATAAAAAACTTTACCCAATATTTCTCAATGAAGCTCAAATCTCACTTGTTAGTTTCGTCCCTTAACTTACATCAGAAAATGGAAATTGTGGATTTTTTAGGATCCCTGCATTCTGTGACAGTTGTCTCTGAGAAAAATAAGAAGATTAAAAAATGTAGCAAATCACCCCATTAATAACATTTTCTGTGCTGAAAAAACCAGAAAAATTATTCAGTTCGAAAAAAAAAACGTTCAATCAATAAAACCATATATATCCCCCTCTCTCTCTAACCCTCTCTCAATTTCCCACACTCTCTCATCTACCCTGCAAAAAAACAACAAAATAAACACGCTAAACAACGCGCACGCGGAGTATTGTTGTTTTTCTTTTATTTTTTTTTGCAGGACATTTTTATTTTTTGTTTTTTTTTCAGCGCAGAAAAAGTTATTAATGTGGACATTTTTTAATTTTCTAATTTTTTTCAGAGACAACCGTCACAGAATTCAGCGATACCATAAAATCCACAATTGTCATTTTCTGATGTAAGTTTAAGAATAGGCGAAAATTTTGAGAAAAAGAATGTAGAAGTTTCAGGCTTCTGAAGAGGAAAATGTTGCGTTTGGACAGAACATTCAAAGATATCAACAACTTCCTACGGAAAGGGCCAGTCAAGTTAGTTTATTTTGAGGTTTGGAGGGAGGAAAAAAACTAACAAGTGAGATTTGAGCTTCATTGAGAAATATTGGGTAAAATTTTTAACTCATAATTACTATTGATGTTAAAAGAAAGTTTTTCATAATTTAATATGTTTAAATGATTAGATGAAGCTTTGAATTACACTTGATGGTATAGGATCAGCTTCCAGATTTTATTGAAAAACATTTTTCTGAAGCTGTGATTTTTTTTCAGAAATCCAAAAATCTCGAAAACACTTTTCAATGGAACTCGGATCACACCTGACACGTGTAAAAAGTTATTTCAGATAATTTTTCATAGTTTGTCTGTTCCCTGAATATATGTACTTTCTTCAAATATGTGTGATCTCTCTTCCAAAACTGAAACTCAATTTTTTCTCATTGATCTCTCCTTCAAATTTTCTGTCCTTTTCCAAAACCTCTCAAAACTTATCACCAGTAGTAAATAGTAGATAACTTGTTCACAACTCACCAAAAAATTCACTCAAGTGTCTTTCTTGATCTATCGAAGAACATAACAAAAAAAACGAACTATGTTTGACTTACTCAAGAGATGACCACTTGAAACCGTTTTCTTATGATGAGCTCTGCTAATTACGATATCAGTTCAGTTTGAATCTGTCTTTCTGTGTCTGTCTCTATTCAAGTGGTTTTTCTTTCTTTCATTACAGTCTTTGACTGTTTTCTTTCTCTGTTTCTTTTTTGTTCGAAAAAAATGAAATGAACAGTAAAAAGAAGGATGGATACTTATACTTTTGCGCAATCCTCCTACTCAAAAATGAGCAGCAAAAAAAGAAGATAAATCTCTCTTTTGATTTGAGACACAGTTTTGCACCTTTCAGTTTTGGTTTTTGTAACAGATAGGTTGCAAAAAGTTTTGTAGATATCAAAATGTGATACCAGTTGACTCTTGTGTACAAATAGTTAGTGAGTTTTTGAGTTTTAAAATAGGATTTTTCAAATTTATCATAAGTTTCTGAGCTTTGGTTCAGTCAATTTTTAATTTTTGTTGGAAAATTTTCATCTTCGCAACTTTTTTTTTCAATTTAAATAGATTTGGAGTCATATAAAGTTTCTGTCTCAAAAATCCACTTGTAAATATTTAGAAATTCAAAAAAAAATTCTGAAATCAAAGTGGCAAAATTTCAAAATTTAAATTTTCGCGCCAAATATCCAGTGCCAAAAAGATGAAACCCGGAAAACAGAAAATCAGAAAATTATTTTTTTTTTGAATTCCAGCACCAAACTGGCTGTGAAGCTCATTTTCAGTAACTATTTGAGACCTTTTCAGTTCCAAAAATTGAAAAAATTTAGAAAACTTTAGAAAATTTGAATTTGTGTCAGGCTCTGACATTGACATAGGGATTTTCTGGGCACATTTTCCGAAAATCCGGGAAATTCGGTAAATTTCCAGTTGGATGAGCAAAATTTCAGAATTCAAATTTTCGCCTCAAAAGCCACGTGGCAAGTTTCTAGACCTACCTTCTCTCAAAAGTTTATCTGAAAATCATTCCTCTTCCCATTCCCTAAAAATGTTTCAAATTTCTCCGCGCAAAAATGTCGCCCTACCCAATTCACCCATTAATTCAAATGGACAACAGCTATCGGATATGCATAGTCGAATTAATTTCAAAAAGAGTTCATATTAATGAGACATGGTCAAGTGGTTGTTTTTGGCAAGCTCTTGAACAACATAGATTTCAACATAGATACATATATATATTACAATTTCCCCCCTCACTCACATCCTACAGATTTGATTATATTCATTTTATTTTATTTTATTATTTGCATGTTCATATACGAGAGCACGTAGTGACACGAATTTTCCAACTTGACACCAGAGTATAAAAAAATGCTTGGACAAAAAAGTTAATCTAGTTGACACTTTTTTTCTTGATGTAAACAAATTTTTCATAGGAGGTCATTTTTGTTGCCATAAGAATTTTGAGCTTGAGATTTTGATTCGGCTTACTGTAGGGATTTTTTCAGATTGTGTGTTTTTCAAACAAAGCTGATGAAAGTCAATTGTTTCTTGCAGAATTTGTGTAGTTTGATCTGAGTGTTTTGAAAAAATCTCTAGTTTGACCCAGAAAATTATGTAGTTTGATCTGCTTTTTGCTTTGAAAAATCTCTAGTTTGACCCAGAAAATTGTGTAGTTTGACCCAAATTTTCTCTCAAGTAAATTGTTTCTTCATAAAATGGTCGTAGAAATTAGGCTGTGAGCCACAAAAGTCAACTGAAAATGTTTTTCGTAAAATTCAGAATCACGATTTTAAGATTTTGCACAGAGTTACAGAGAGTACTGTAACTCAAAATTAAATTCGAGAATACAGAAACTTTCCAGATTATTTTCACAAAATTACATCAAAGGTTTTATCTGTCCTACTTCCTAAATCTTCCCAATGAGTAATAAAAAAAACCTCTGACGCAAATCGAAATTAGTTTTTGATCCATCCAAAACTCATCATTTTATCAACCCACCCCAAATTCTCGCAACATTATTTTATTTTTTTTTATTTTATCTCTGCTCTTTTCTACCCAAACCAGTCTTTCCATGACAAACGAACACTTGAGTGGGGATGAACGAAAAAATGATGAGCGACATATAATTTCAGTGTTCCGTTTCTCTTTGTTCAGCACCTCTCTAATTCCACTTTGCCTCGAGAAAAATAGGTAGATTTGAGGGGTGAGGGTTAAATTAGCATACGAATGAGTGAAATTGTTGTTTACCACGGCAATTTTGTTCACAATCTTCCGGTTTAGAAATAATGCATAATTAAAGGTTACCTCTCTGTGGCTCCCCTCTCTTTTTTCTTATTCAAAAATCCGAGTTAACTCCAGATGGTTGAACGTCTTAAGTATTCATATGGTTTCAATTGCTTTATATTATTCTTGGCAAAGTTAATGTACTGACTCAAGTATTTTATAATCTATTTACTCTTTCACATTGTATTTACAAAAGAGTTAATGTCTTCAATCAAAAACGACCAGCGACACATTTTCGAGTCGATCGGTTCGCTTTTAATTCTTTTTATTTCCAATTTTCTATTGAATTCCTTTTGTACATACATAATAATTCTCAACAATTACTATTATTATTGTAACTTTTTTTCTGTTTTCAAAAGAATAGAAACCGTCTATTATTATTTTCATTATTAATGGTAATAATGAACAAACATGGATAATAAATAGGTCAGTCAGCCTTTGTCGGATTACTGTACTTACTTATTTATTGTGCGCGAAACCCCCTCTCTCTCTCATGAAAAATGAAACATTATTTTGCTGCGATGATGAAAATTCGCACATTTTTTAGAAATTTGATATGCTTTTTTGTCGCATTTTTGAAATGAAATGGAAATTTTTTATTTTTCTCAGAGAAGATCTTTCACTTCTTCTGAGAAAGTTCAAAGGTTTGGAGACCACCCACATATTTCTTGGGAGTTTCCATTTTTCAATGACTAATTCAGTTTTTTTTGGTAACCGCCTTTTGTAAATTTTTAAAAGACTAAAGGTCTTTTGACTCAAATCTTTTGGTAGAATTTTAGAATTTTGAAGTTTCCAAGCCAGATTTGAAAACTGATGCATTGTTGCGTCACAGTTTTCAAGAGCGTTTTCAAAAAAATTTTTGTTACTGGTCAGTTTTCCAATGTAGCTAGCAAAAATCAAAAGACAACCCAGTTGATTTTCAAATTTCAAAAGCGCGCCCTGAAATTATCTGAAAACCCTTCAGGTTTTTCTCTGTTTCAGAAATCCACAATACGCTTTTGTAAATTTTTTTTTCTGCAAGCTTGCAAGCTTTTATTTAAATTTTACGGACCACCCAATTTTTCCCTTGCCAGAAAATCCCCAACAGACCTCCACCCATTTTAATAAACATATTAGTTTTCTTGACCACTCGACTCTTCTTTTCAGAATACCTAATGTCTCCTTCTTCCTAAAAACGTCAACACTAATTACTCTCCTTTCTCCTTATTATTATATTAGCTCATTGTGAGTAAGTGTTACCAGATTTTCTCCTCCGTATTTACAAATAATAATAGTTGAAAATAACACATTCATTCGTAACAAGATTGTAAACATGCACACGACAAACAGTCGCAAAATTTCAGCCAATTAATGTAGTCACATTGTATAACTTTTGGGCAAGTTTTTGTTTATTTTTGCATATTGAGAGGCAACTGGCAGATAAATATATATATAATTTTTAATACCAGATGATCCAAGGTGTCTGCTGCTCATAGGTTTTAGATTTCATTCGCCCAATTTTTCGTGCAAAACGAAAAGAAAAAGTATAGGAACACTTTGCTTTTTGTGTTCTCTTATCTATACTTTTGTTAAACCTATTAATGTTTCTTCAAAGATACCCTTTTATGTTGAAATATTCCTTTTTGTTTCAACATCCCCCTCAAAACCCATAATTATCTTGTTCTTTTTGAAAATCCAAAGTTGCATTAAAATAATTATATTTCATCCGACTTTCATTTCTAATTATTCTCCCTACCCTTTATTTTCCTGAATTTTGTTTCATTTTATTCTTATCTCTCTCAAAAATTAATGACGTCTTAGCAACTCCCTACTCTCGTCAAGACAAAAAAAAGAAATCATTTTTTTCAGAACCTTTCAAAAAGTTCTTTGGTTGGCTAACTGACGGTAATTTCCATTATTTAGTTGAGTTTTACCACAACGAGAGAATACATTTTCGATTCAAGAAAATCCCACAATATTTTTTATAATTAATTAATTAATCAATCAATCAATAAAGCCGGCTACCAAAAACAACTTCAAACATGAATTTTTACGCTATTGTCTTATTTGCATTTTTTGTTATTTCGATCGAAACGGTGAGTTTAAAAAAATTCTGAATGTGAATATTTTTCAAAATAAAATCAAAAAAAATTTTGCAGAGACGGTGCACAACAGGAAAACTATACAACAGGGTAAGTAATATAGTTCTGAAATTATTTCAAATTTCATTTTCAGCTCAATTTTTCGACACGTTGTTTGACTGCTGAAGAGTGCGATGCGCTTCCGATTTGTGAAGTCAATTCGGTTAGCTCAGAATGTTGTTGTACACAAGATGAGTGCATTTTTTCGCGATCCAGGCGTCATTTGAGCACGTGAGTTGCAAGATTTACCAAAAAAAACATTTTTTCAAAAAAAAATTCCAGAAAATCATTTTAACATTTTTTAGGATTTCTATTCCAAAAATTTTAGTAAAATTATCCATTCCAGCGAATCTGACACTGACAACGATGAAGAAGCCACATCGACTGAAGCCGCTGCCAGCAGCAGCACCGAAGAATCGCAGGAGGAGGAGACAACGACTGAAATTGCGACCACCACATCGAAATCCAACAAGAAGAGCAAGGCCACTACAGCAGCGCCAACAACCACCACACCAAAATCGACCACCAAGAAAGCCAAAAAACCAGCGACCACCACCACCACAACTGCTAAGCCAGTAGAAAAGAAGGCGAAAAAAACGACCGCTAAGGCGACCACCCAAAAAACTACCACAACTACCAGTGCTGAAGAGGAGAGTGAAGAAGAGACAACAACAACATCAGCTGAAGTTTCGACTAGCTCGGAGACTGAAAGTGAAAACACATCTACTGAAGCATCTAGTGAAGAGACAACTACAACTGAAGTTCCAACAACTACCAAGAAATCAAAGAAGACCAAGGCTACTACTACAACTGAAGCAACTACAACTTCAGCTGAAGCTTCTTCATCTTCAGAATCAACATCACAAGAGGAAGAAACAACAGCAGGATCACAAGAAACATCTACCGCTTCATCAACATCTGAATCATCCGAATCATCTGAAGAAACTACAACCGCTGAATCTTCAACTTCAGAGGAAAAACAATCGACTGAAGAAGAATCGTCATCATCTTCATCATCGTCTTCTTCATCTTCTTCTTCATCTTCAGAAACCACGGAAACCGAAAAATCAGGCGAATCAACCACGACTGAAACTGCAACAACTGGATCATCACTTTTCAAAGAACAACTTGATTCAAGTGAAGATGATGGAGAAGTTGGAGCCGATTCGGCATTCTTTACAGAGCCAAAGGATTTGGACAAATCGACCACTATGGCGGTTAGAAGACATGTGAGTTAGGGAGGAAAAATTCTAAACCACAGAAAAAAAATTCCAGAAGAGCAAACAAACCAAATCAGGCTTCAATTTCTGGCCATTGGTCATCGCTGGATTCTTGTTCTCCGGATTGGTCGGAGCTGGTGTCTACATGTACAATCGAAGGTACGTTTTTTTTTTGAAATTTTTCCGTCGCTTCTAACTAATCTCACGCTTTTTTATGTGAATCGATTTTTCAGAAAAGATATCTGGGATAATTTCTTCGGGTTTGTCTTTTTTCACAACTTACATACCTATGTCGAATGCTACAGTACCCTGTGATGCTTTAAAAAAACCTAACCTTTTGAAAACTAAAAAAAAATTATGAGAAAATTAAGTCAAAATTTTCAGAAACGAACAAGGACAAGCGCTTCCAACAAAAGCTGAAGACAAAGAACTCACCACATTTGCTCCATTGCTCGAAAACCAACAACAACAAATCCCAGTTGAAGAAGATGGTTCTGCTGAAAAACCCGAATAATGTCTGCCACACAACATTTTTTGCATTCATTTTTTAATAAAACAATAGGCTATTTTTCTGCTGCAATTCACTTTGAATGGTCTCGACACAAAACCCTTGCTCTTTTTTTCTTACTTCCAATTATTATAGAAAAACAACACAAAAAAACCACTTTTCTTTTAATAACATACTTGTACTTGCTTGTTTTCATTTTTCTATTCTTACATTAAAATTCCTTAACGTCATATGCTTTGATTTGTAAACTTACATTAATTAATAAATTCAACAATAATAATCCTCAACCTAGTCTTTTTTGCATCCATCGACGTTTCGTTTTTTTTTCAAGTTGTATGTGACCTTCATCTCTCTAATTTTTCTTAATTTTTGCGAAAAAAAACTACTTCTATTTGAAAATAAACATTTTTCTTTCACAGATTTGATGCTGTTTTTGAAAAAAATATTTTGAAATGTAGGAAAAGTTTAGGTGGTTTCAGAAATTTAAAATTTTTTGATGAAGTACGCAAAACCTACTTTTTAGATGCAATTTTTCTGTATTTACTGCGAAAAACTGCGATTCGATAATTTTTAATTTTATTTTCTATAAAATAATTTTATTGAAAGTTCATGATCCAAAATACAAAAAAATATTTTCAAATTTATTGAACATGTTTTCTAAAAAAAAAAATAAAAATAACTTTTCTGAAGCCTGTTCATTTGAGTCCTATAACAAAATTTTTCAAACTTTTTCAGACACAAAATATTTTGTCGCTGTCAGTTTTCAGCTTCTGAAAAATTCATTTTGTGTGAAGTTATTTTTAGAATTAATTTTAAGAATTACCAGAAAAACCTGTCAAAAACGTTTAAGTTTCATTTTCAACTTAAACAGGTTTTTTTTTTCAAAAGTCACACGTGAATATTTTTACACGTTTTCTCACGTCTGATTTTTTAAAAATGTGTTCCACCTACATATTTCTGAGGTTCTGTGTGAATTATATTCAAAAAAATAGGCCATGATTTTCTCCAAAAAACCTTTTTCAAAAAAAAAAACAATTTTTTTCTTCAATAAACCAAATTTTTCAAAAAATAAACCTCTGAACTGGACAACATATGTATGTACAAGTGTCAACCTTTTTTTTCCTTTTCCATACAAGTGGAAAAAATAAACAAAAACCCGATTGTTGTTGTTGTTGTTTTTCGATCCGCGCTTCTCCTCCATTTCGTCCTACTTTTTCTCACATGAATCAGTTACTTCATTCATTTTTTTTCCAAACCACTTTTTCATGTGTTTTTTTCTCGTATTGGTCACTCACTCAACAACAAACAACATTATTCCGGTCATTAACTCAAATCTTCTACCATTGACTAATGAGCCTCTCATCTCATCTCACATTTCAATTTCAATTCCAAAATTAATTTGAAGAGCGGGAGGAGAGAAGAGGAAAATTTTTTGTTGTTAGGGAAAGAGGATGAGGAGAAATTAGAGTAATTTTCAGGATGAATAAGCCGGATGTTCGGAATTTATTCATTTATATGTGTGGTGTGTACTTTTATATGTATACATCCCATATTTGTTGAATTTTTGATCTTGTTCACATTTTTTTGGAAAAAAAAATGTTGAAGGGTGCATATTTTGTATTCCCAATGGGAGAATCATTCAAAAAATTTTTTGAAGTGAAGAAACTTTCATTTTGAGATTTTTTGAAGAGAAATTTAGAAAACTTTCAAAAATTTTGTGTGGCGAAAGTTTTTTTTTACAAAATTATCAAAAAAAATTATTTTTGAAAACATAGCTTCTAAAAAACTAGAAAATTCTTCTCTTAATTTTAAAAATCAAGTTTGGCTGTACAAATTTCAAAATTGTTTTTCTCAAATCTTCCCGCAAAAAATTTCCGAAGTCCAGTTCAATTAGAATTCCCACAAGACCTTCGAATGAGATCCAACTAAAAAATTGCTGACCACTCTTCTCCACAAAAAATAAACAAACAAGCTTGAATTTTGTTGTTCTGCTAGCGGATATCTATGTACAATGTTATTCTATATTTTTCCATTATTTATTTATTCAATTTTTTCTCATTTATCTCAATTTTATTTTATTTAAATCTTTTCCATTTCAAATTGACACTTTTGTTATTGTTGACACGGGTTGTTGTGTATATAAATATATATTTTATTTTTCATCTGTGTACAAACATGCCCGCATTTTTTTCGCATATAATTTCACTTTTACACACGCGCAAATTACTCAATTTCTGTTTGTTTACCAACAAATTCCATATTTTTTTCATTCACTTCAGATTGGCAGGCACGATTTTCAAGTTGATTCTTATTTTTTGATCTACATGAACAAATCGGTATGGATTTTGAGGTGAGCTATTTTTCATGTTGCCATGGTTTGTGTTTTTGAAAAAATAATATTTTCGAAGACGTTTTTTTTCTTTTCCTTTTTTCATAGAAAAATGAAATAGCTAATAACGAAAACAAAAATTTAATTGTGAGAAAATGACACATTTTCGGGGTTTGGAAATTGTATTTTTGGAACGTTTTGTCTTGGATTTTTTAATAACTGTAGAAGAATTTTTATGATTAAGATTAAAAATTAGTTTTGAATTTATTAATTTTGAAAAAAGAAATTGATGATTTTCAAAAAAAAAAAATATTTTTTGCAGAAATTTGCATATTGCGTAGAAGCTATAAAATTCTTAAAGATTTTTTTCCAAAAGCTTTTCATGTTTTTTCCTTTCAGAAAATTTTTTCCATACATTTTTTGTATTCAAAAAGAAAAATTACAAATGCTGGATTTTTCAGGAAATTGAATTTGTTCTAGAAAAAGGAAGTGTTCCAACATTTTCCGGAAATTCACTTTTTGTGATCCATATACTTTTCAGAGCTCACAGCGTGCTCAATTTTTCAACAACCCAAGAAAAAAACAAATGTTTACATATAGTATTACTCCGAAATTCTCACGTGATTCCAAAATTTTTGTTTCAAACCAAAAAAACCAAACAAAAATCTCAAATTTCATTGTTGTTTTTTATGTTTTTCTCAAGAAAAAAGCGGAAAACAACATTGATTTTTTATTTTATTTCTTTTTTTTTTGCTCAAATTTTATTCTATCATACAAATCAGCAATAAATAATAGAAATGCTCAAAGATTACTGTATTTAAAACCTTTTGAAAAAACATCTTGGTTGCATGCAAAAAAAGAATATTGATCCAAAAAGGTCCGCTCTGGGCTCTTCTGTGTCTTTCTTTTTTCCCCTCGTCTTTTTTTCTTGTTCACATCAACTGGACGCTAAAAAACTCGTTAACTATTTATTTACAACTTTTTTCTCCCCAAACGAAACTAATACAAACTCTTCTTTTTTGTGCTCATCTTTCCTGGAAAAGAATTTTTTTCATTTTAAACCTACTGTTTGTTTCAAAAGCTAAAATGTTTGTTATAAATTATTTATCAAGTTGCTTACCCTCGAATAATTTTTTATTTTATTCTGTGAAAAAAAAAGTTTCAAAGAAGCTTTTAATTATTTCTCGTGGGAATTTTTTCGAAAACGAAAATAAAGGAAAGGAAATTTTTCTGAAATCATGAGATTGGGATTAAATATGACGAAAATTGTTTAGATGAACTTGGAAATTTTTTTTCCAGAAACGCCAGAGAATCTCAGATTTTCCCGTTCAAACCCCCAAGTTTTCTCAAATCATAGAACAAAAAACTTTAATTGTACCGTAGGATAAGTTGTTTGTTTCGCGTTTGAGAAAAATTAATTTATAGTTATATGATATTTCTAGAAAAAAATGATGTGATTTTGTTGAACTTAGTGAGCCCAAAATTGGGTCCAGTGATTTATTGAAAAAAATTCCGAAAACTACGAGAAGTTCTAACAAAGTTTGAGAAGGTTCTATAAAGATTCCAGTTTCAGAATCAGAACAAATGTTCAAAATTCTTTCATCCAACACGTTTGTTTTTCCCAAACCTCAAAATAATCCAGATTATTTCCACGCAAAAATTCCAAAATAAAAATTCCAAAATATTTTCTCCTCCAGGATTATCCACCCCTCAATTCTCCAAAATCACAATATGATTTCCGATTTTCCTCTTGATCCAAAGTTCTCGATTCCACATTTGTCTTTTCTTGTTGTTGTCCACAAGCCGCTGCCGCCGCCCATTTCAGACCTCTTTTTCTCTGTCGCGCACACAAAAAGCTCTCTCTGTCAAGCCAAAAAAAGGAGGAGAAATAAACATCTGAAGACAAAGATTATACTTACTTTCTCTTTTTTTTCATACATATACTTGTGGAGAATTTTTTTTTTCATTATTTCTCGGAGAAAATGTCTTCTTCACTAGTGAGTTTTTGAAATGACACACCCTAAAAATTTGTTTATTCAAAAATGAAACAGATTTTTTGCACATTCAAAAATTTATGTATATATATATAAAATATATATATAATTTTTGAAATTTGAGCTTCATGGATAAATTTTACGATTATTTTGAATGTTTCGAGGTAAAAAAGGCCCTCCAGATCTCTACTAGATCTCTGTACAGTAGGTAATCTAAAAATTTTCAGATCTTCGACATGGTTGATCATCCGGATTCGCAAGATGAGCTTCTAACAGCTCAAAAACCAAGTGAGTCTGAAACCCAGGGATCCCAGGAAAAAATGAAGAAGAAACGTCACAAAAAATCTCTCAACAGGTGTTCGCTTTTCATTCCCAGCACATTTCATTTCATTCCTCCTATCATTTTGCAATGAGTGAGATTCCTAGAGTTATTATAACTAAAAAACCCAGATATTTTGTATCAACAACTGTGGAAACCTATAATTTTTCAACAATCACCCCAACTCGTTATATAAATGGAACTTTATCTTGGGATTTTTCAGACGTGGTTTTTCATAATGAGATGATTGCGTTGATTGTTTTGGGAAGCTTGTTTGCTATTGGAATTGTGGCGTATTTGATCGCTCGTTCAATGATCTACATTAAAAAGGTATTTTTAAGAGACGCAAAGAAGGCTTTGCAGCTAGAAAGGCTTTTTAACTAGGTACGGCGGCTTGAGATCCTCTCTGATAAGGGGAAGAGCCTAGAGAGAGGCATTTTGGCTAAGCGCAACAACTTGAGAGTAAATTCGGCTAGGTAAGGCGTCTTGAGAAACGCTCTGGCAAGAAGCCGCGCCTAGAGAAGCACTCTGACTAGGCACGCCGCCTAGAGACACTGTGCGCCTAGAAATCGCAAAAAAATGTTTCCAGGAGAAGGCGCAAGAACGTTTGCCAATCAACAACTTTGGACAAATTCATCTCCCATAATTCTCCCGAAAATATTTCAAATCTATCTACGTATATTCCCCCTGTCTAATTGTAAAACCCTGTGTAATATTTCTAATTAAATTATGTGTAGTTTACGGTTTTCTCCCCTATTTTTCAGAAAAATCTATAACCCCGACGGATCTCATCATATTTTTCCCCCGTAATTTAAAAAAATGTTGGTTTTTTTCTTTTTCATTAGTGTGAAACTTGAATTAAATAAACATTTTGTTAACTAGAAATTGTTTTTTTAATTTTCTCACCGATCAAAGTTTTTTCCCGAAGTAAGTACGAAGTTTGCCTGAAGCGATTATGACGAGAATGCTTATTCAGGCTGAAGATCACTCGGAAGTTTCAATAATCATGTATCTTCAAATTCCAAAGACCACCCAGAACTTGAATTTTCCATGAAAATAATTTGTCTAGACCTCTCAAATTATTCTACAAAAAAACTAATTAGTTTAGCAAGTCAATTTCAGCATGTCTATTTTCAGACCTATTTTTTTCTTCGAGAATTTTCAAAAATCGGTTTGTATTCAAGAATTTTTCATAGAACAATAAAGTTTCAAAGAGCTGCATGTCACATACATTTCTTGCGAATTTTCCAGACCTCCCAGAAACAATTTGACGATGAAACAACATTGCTCTAGGCGTGTTTGAACTGCGAAAAGTACAAAAATCGCCCAAGGCGGAATAAAAAAGTTGAATGAGTTATTGATCAAAGACCACCCACATAGTGTAATTTAGCCGAACATGAATAAGACCAAAGATTTATTAAAATTTACAATTATTATTATTATTATCATCACCCAAACATTTTTTCTAGCACTCTTGAGTTTCCATTTCTCCATCATCATTTGTTCTAACTCGAACATCCTTCCCACCAATTTTATAATCACAACCAGACCAGCCTTCTTCATCCGATCTCTCTTCTTCTCTATTATTTCTAGAAGTCTCTCTTGAAGACGAGGTTTTCTGATATCCTCCAATACATCCATTCTCAATCAATACAGTTTCTTCACCAGCATCATCGACCCGCGAAGCATCATCAAACAATTCGCAACTCTTCTTATCCGACACAAAAACTGAACCTTGACACTGTTTGTTACTCAAACAATGCTTCAAACATTCAGTGATTGATTTTGCTGATTTTTCAGCAATTTTTGATTCGGCTCTCAAGGTTTTTTGGACGTGGAGAATGAAGATTTCATCTTTTTGACATTTTGATAGTGAATCTGTAAAGAAGATGGTTTATAAAAAAGAAGATTGAAAAAAAAACAACCTGGAAGACAGAATTTTTCAGCATAGATAACTTTTTCGTTCTCAAGAAGTCGGCCAGTTCCATGTGGTTCAGCGAGGATTGAATAGAGCTCGCATTTTCGATCAGCTGGGAAGTAGTTTAAGGATTTGCAATCAATGTGAACGCTGTCAGGACCCTGAAAATACAGAATTTTCAGACAAAAACAGAATCTGAAACATTTCCCAGAAAAAAAATCGTAAATTGTTTCTGCCAGAATCTTCACCCACCTTATTCTCCCCACAATATTTGGCACAATCTCCTTGCTCAACATCATTATACACTTTCACATCTCCTCCGCCGCTTATCGGCATAACAATCTCGTTTCCGATAACAACGTAGTAGCCACTAGAGGTTTCACATTTCAATGGAGCAACAATGTCTGCAATTTTCATATGAAACTGTTTACATTAGAAAAAATCCAAACCTTTGAGATTTTCACGTTTTTCAGAAGAGGTGGCAGCCATTGGAACAAGATTGTCTTCTCCACGAAGTTTTGAGCGCAGAACTTCATCCATATTTTCCATTCGCATACTGAAATGTTTTTGAATTACTAATTTTGAATTACATTTCAGAAACATACATTGGAGCACTTAATGCTCGAGTTTTTTGCATAAATTGATCTACATTTATAGAATCTGTTTTGGCAATGGAACTTTTCAGGGATGCCTTATTTGAATTCAATTTCACAAAATTCGGATTCAAAGATCCACTCGCCAATGGCCCTCCGCAATCCTTGGTATCAGAAGTTCTATAGAAAATATCGATTCCAATAATTGGATGAATTACAGCTGGAACTTTGTGGCCATCATTATCATACAATTTGCATAATTGTTTTTGAACTTCATATGTGAACGCTTTACAGATTGATGTCTGAAATTTATTATAATTTACACCTTTTGTAGGTGAACTTATGTAACTTACACCCTGTGGTCCATTTCCAGCAGCCATAATACAATGTTGAGAGCACATTGAGAGAGCTGTTTTACGATATTCTGCTATTGGGGCATAGTTTCCTATTGATCGACGGGTTACACGTTTGAAGCATTGATGATCTAAAAAATTTTTTCTAGAACTTCGAAGTTGGACGAAATTGCAGTTTATCCAAAAAATAAATGTTCATTAAATACTTCTAAAACTGTTTTCTGAAACCAACTTTCGAGGATTTTTTTTCACAAAATTTTCTGCGAAATTTTCTTTTCACAAAATTTTCTGCAACATACAGTATTCTATTTTTTCTGATAAGTGACCTAGATTCAAAAGTGTCTTATCTTTGAACTTTCAAAAAAGATCAGAGATAAAGATAACATTTTCCGGATACTGTAGTTTTTGATGATTAAAAAATCAATAATAAAATTTCGTAAAAACTTCTGAAGACTTGAATCAAAGAAAAACATAGAAAATCAATTTGTCACTGTTTGAGAAAAACTTCATTTTGTTTTATTTTTGGGGCTTGACTTGTGAATTTTAAGATTTTTATTCATTCTATGAAAATCTTAAAATTACTCTTCTTGATTTATTTTTCAAAACTCACAATTATCGGCATCAACCAATAAAATAAAAACTGCCAAAGCAATCCATAAACCTCGAAACATTCTCGAAAAAGAAATATTAGCAACAATAAATATCGAGAAAGTGGATCAAATTAGGATCAGAGAGTGAAAATGGAACACACACAGGTGAGAGAAGCACTAGATAAGAAACTCTCTCCTTTCATTTTCAATATTTTTTTCGTCTTGCGACATTTTGAGATGAAAATGAAACGAGATTTGATTCGATTTATCAATCATTAATTTCATTTTATATACAAATACAAACATGGATAAACGGAGATTTAGCATTCTTCCATTTGTAAATCTTCATCACAATCATCATTGCATTCGCGTTGTCGAACGCGCATTCGGCGACCTTTTGATCCATATTGACAAAGTGACCATTCTTCCCAGGATGATTCGGAGGGTGTGACTGCAAAAGAAACATTTTATGATACATCTTTGTGATCTTCTTGATCTTCTATTGATTTTAGTAAACAAGAAGAACTGATTTCGGATATAGATAGAGAATGAGGGAATATTGAATCTACAGAACTCAAGAACTTAGCAAAAGTCCAGAAATATTTTGAATTTCAATCGAAATTTTCAGTTTTTCATTTATATTTTCAAAAAAAAAAGTTCAAAATCCAAATTCTAGTGGTTTTTTCTCAAAGATTTGAAACTCCAAACGACACTTTGCAAAAACCCCCCAGGAAAACTCACAAGTGGTCGTAGTCTCCAATCGACTTGAAGTATGACACCCATTCTCGATAACCATAGTCTGCTCCGAGCCTTTACTCAAAACCACCTCATTTTTCGATGGTGACACTGAATGCAAAACACACATTCCAGTTTTATATGTTATTGCCTAAAAAATGAAAATATATTTTTCAAGAAAAAAATGATTTAGCACCTCGCAACTTCTATTATCTATACATTCAGCTAGACAAGCAACCTTTGAGTTGAGGCCAGGGATATGCGAAATCACATCAGATGTGATTTGTTTTTGCAAGTAGACTGGATAGAGAGTTTCTAATGGGCAATCGCGTTTTGCTGAAAAACTTGGAATTCTTGTGAAAAAAGTCAAAAGAGTCAAAAGAACTCACCTTTCACACAAAACTTATCTGCAAAAACATGTTGTCCACCAATTTCTAATTGAGCCCATGTTTTTTGCTCACGATTTTGTTTCCCATACATTTCACAAATCTCCTCATTAGGCTCGTAATTCAGAGAATAGCAAGGTACGTTTTCACCGATTGCGTTCTACAAAAACATGTTTCAACCAAAAATGAAATAACATTTACGAGAGCAGTACAGTTTTTCACGATGAGAAAAATCCTGTTTTCAGTTTTTGCTGAGAAACTCTCTGAAGAGCCCAAAAATGAGCCGAAAGTTGAGAATTTTTGAAATTTCGTGGTTTTGAGAGTCCATAACTCATGTTAGAGATGATTTTCATTGAAAAATTGAATGCATTATGTTGTTCAAAAGGGTCGATTTACCAAAGTCACAAATTTTTTTTTAAATCCATACTTTTTTTCAGAAAATGGCTCAGGCCCATTTGAAAATTTTTGGAAAATTTTGTCTAAACTTTTGAACTTGGTAAACCAACCCTCCTGAACATCGCTCAGTGCTCCGTGTTTTATAAAAGATTTTCTAACATGAGTGACGGGCTCTCAAAAACGCGCAAACTCTTGACTTTTGGCTCACTTTGGGCTCTTCAGAGAGTCGTCCAGCAAAAACTGAAAACGGGAAATTTCTCAGCGTTAAAAACGGTACGGAAACATGTGTTTCTCATTGACAAAACACAGGGTGTAATTTACTACCCAAAAGTTCTAGGCTTCAAAACTTTCAATAAACTTTCTGGTAGATCAAAAATATTTTTCTCTAAATATCTCATTTTTGCGTTGAATTTCATCGCTTTTCGTCCAACCCCTAAAATTGTGTCAGGTCTCAAAAAAAAGCGCGAAAACTTTTGGATAGTGAATTATACTTTGTGCGAAATCTCCCCGTTTGAAAAACTCACTCGATTCTGATTACAATACATAAGACAACTCTGCCTATCAACACCATTCAATCTTTGTGGAAGTTGTTTTGTTGATAAAAGTGCACTATACACCAAGAAATATTGCAAAGTTTCACCCTTTGAACATTCTGCAATAAAAAATGTGTGTGTATGTGTGTGTGTGTTCTTTTTACTAGAGGGCAAAGAGAGAGAAAAAGAAAGAAAAACTAGATGAGATGCAAACACACACACACACAATTTCAATGCCATGTGTCACGGTTTCTCTCGGCCTACTTAGTATAGTGGTTAGTACTCCACGTTGTGGCCGTGGCGACGCTGGTTCGATTCCAGCAGTAGGCAACTTTTTTTTGAAAAAAAAAAACTCACTATACGCATGAGTTGGATTTTTAAAAGTGGCCAAACTTTTTGGAACACTTGAAACTGTGGTTGTAGCAAATTCATAAATATTCTCCTCTTCTTCTAATTGTTGTTGGAGAAGATTCTCAAATTCACTTTCAGATGGGATTGGAGAATTTGGGAATGCGAAAATTTCAAAATTCGGTTTTTGCTTGTAGCCTCGAACTGGTTGGATTGGATCTTGACAGGGGCCTTCCCAGCTTGATCGAATGTAGAATTCGTGATCTTCTAGGTAGACAACTTCAGCGCCTGGAAAGAATTTTTTCGCTGATTTTTTTTGACTAAAACTCTACCATTATAAGTTCCATCGTGCCCGTAGAGTTGACAAGTATTGAATTTCCTATGAAAAACCACCGAAACACATCCATCACCCTTCTTTGCTGATTCATAAATACAATAGTTCAAACAATCACCAGCAGTGACGTGAAAAAGTTCCGCAACAGGATCAGAATTTGAAATTGCATGACTTGAATGAACATTGAAACATTGTACTTAAAAGAAAAATTCGGTCATCAATTATGTAGAAAAAAAACTTACAAGATGATTGAACTTCAATTACCGTGAAAATCGATAATATAAAAAAGAAGACAACATTTTTTAACATGTTTTTTGCTGGTGTGATGCGACAAAAAATCGGATAAATCAGGAATCAAAACAATAATAGTATGAAAAATAATAAATAATAATTCGATCGCTGACCCATTTACATTAGGAAATCTCTCTTTATTATTATTATTTTCATTATTGCTGCGAAAAATATGAATAATTTTTGGAATCTCTTTATTATTGCTGACAAAAAATGTGAAACTTACATTAGAAATATGTATATATATTTTGTAGATTTTCAGAAAAAAGAATCAATCACAAATCAATTTTTTCGAATTCTATCACATAAAATCTGTTGTGAGTGTTACAAGAAATACAAAGACTAGAAATGAAAGAAAATACATGATAGAAAAATATGTGTGTTTTCTTTTTTGGAAAGGGGCAAATTGGGTATTTTGAGCAAGTTTGTAGAGTAACAAGACAAATATAATTGATGTGAGGTGATTTTATAATAAATTTGTATGTGGTTTGTATGTAGTTGAAATAAATTTTACATATCTAAATGGTTACGCAAACAATACATATCGTAGACAAAACGGCCTACTGTAGGACGATGTAGATTTGTATTGTATGTTTTGTAGACTTCGGTATCTTTGAGCGTTTTGAGATCAGCACGAATTGATTTATCTTTGATGGTGCTGGAAATTTGAATATAATGATGCGAATTTGTATTTTTTCAATTTCATTTTTTCAAAATTTTTCAGTCATTTATGTTCTGAGCTCTCAAAGGTTCGAAAATTTCCAGAATGAAAGTCATCATGAATTTTCAGCCGAAAAATAAAAATTCCCACATTTTTTGAATAACAATTTTTCATTGATGTACTTTTAGTAAATCCACTATGCTGATCAAAATTAATTTCTCCCAAAAATTATTTTGAAAATGAGTTTTTGAGAGCTCAAAACTTGGCTACAAGGTCGATTGAGAAAAAAAATGAAAATCGGAGCAGTTTTCCCATCCCAAAAGCTTGGTAGTCTCAAAATTTCATCAAGTTTTAAGGTTTTTTTGAATCCACAAACCCCAAAAACCTCACCATTGAGCAATGAAAAACGTCATATCATTTGAAAAGTGATCAGCTCTCAATAATGGAGGATCGCCAAGAACCACAAGTTGAACTTGTTGAAAAAGTGGTGAATTCGTAAATCCCTGATAGGGATATGCTCCATTTGCCACTTCAACCATCGATAATCCCAGGCTCCATACATCGGATTTAATGTCATATCCATCGCCGTCTGGTCGGATTCGTTCGGGCTGAAAATGCACATTGAGAAGTTTTTGCTCGATAAAATCACTTACCGCCATATAAGGTCGACATCCAGCATCGACTGATTGGGCCACCGAATTTTGAAGATATCCACAGATTCCGAAATCGCAGAGTTTGATGAATCCGTTTCGATCGAGAAGAATATTTGAAGGCTTGATGTCTCGATGGATTATCCGATGTTCAGTTTTCAAATGTTCCAATGCGTTGATAGTCTAGAATAAAAGGTTCAGGATAACATCCCCAAGCTTCCCTCCAATTCAAAAATCAAAATCAACTCACCGCCACAGCGACAGATCCTAAACAAGCTTCCTGAAATGGACTTTGAGCCACATTATGACTGATCAAATACAATTTGTCAAGTGAAAGATCCATCAATTCCATACACATAAAAGCATCGGCTTGATAAAAAGTGATTCCGAAAAATTTGACAATTTCATCACAGTTGCTCGCATTTTTACACGTTTCCACTTCTTTTTTGAATCTTTGCATAGTTTTGGCAGATGAGGGATCAGTCATATTGTGCAAGATTCGTATTCGCTACAAAAATTTGTTTTTTTTTTTGGTAAATTTCTAAAAACACTTTTTCTCTTTATTTTCCCATGGCATTATCCACAAAACAAAAAACGCCGTTCTTTTTGTCTGTGTCCCATGAAAAAACATTTCGCAATCGCATTTTATTTTCGCCCAACACTCACTTTAACCGCCATTTCTTTTTCCTGTCGGCGAAAAAATCATTTTTCTAACAATTCCAAACTTTCCGTGGCCCAATGCTTCAACATCCTTCAATGAGTTATAATTCAAATCGTAAGTTGTCGGGTCGTCAGGAAATACTATTTTGTTTGCAACGTGGCTCTCTACGAAAGATCTGAAAATTTTACAATAGTGTTTATTTTGGAAATTCACATGTAACAATTTCTCTGATTTTTACAAATTTCATTTTTGTCCTATTTTAAGCTTTTCAAAAACTATGGTATTTTGTAAATGAAAAAAGATATTTCAGAAAATGTAGGATCAAACGAGCAAAAAACTTTCGGAACATTTTTTTCTGTTATTTTTTTTTCAATTTCTAGTCAATCTAAAGTTTTGAGTTCCATTTTTTGTGAGATTTCAATTTCAGATATTTTTCTCATAACATTTTCTCAAAATCCTAACCAAAAATCATAGTGTAATTGATTATCCGAAAAACTTCCCGCGATTTTAAAATCAATGAAATTCACCGCAAAAAGTAAGAGAAATTTTTGATCTACCAAAAAAAAAAAGTTTTGAGAAGTTTGAGCTTCATCCGAAAATTATTTTATGTTTGAAATAGTTTCAGAAAATATAAAAGTGTTCCACAAAATATTGTTTTTTATCTTCAAACTTGAAATTGTGTTTTCTTTTCGTAAATCAATCGATATCTCTTCCAACGTGGAATACCCCCAACTTTTGTATAATTTCTTGCAAGACATTTCTCAAACCCTAAATTTTCAGAAAAAAAACTCACAAACTAGTGATATTACTTGATCTTGTTGGTTGTTGTGATCCATCGTCGGATATTGGACCAATGGAAAACCGACTCAGCCCATTCGGCCGGGCAATCTGAAAAAAAAAACAACTAGCAATTTTTTTCTCATTTCAGAAAACCTACACTTCTATACCCATCGGGCATAACTCAGTCTGATCGAAGCTGAGCTCCCCAAATTCCACGCTCCCCCTGGAAAGAAAAACTTGATTTGCTTATTCAAAAAAAAAAGACGCAAAAAGCGGCAATAAATAAGAATGAGTCACCTACAACTCACTCACTAGTCAGTGCATGAAAAGAAAGAAGAGGATGAAAAAAGAAGCTGGCAAACGAGTATTACGAAATAATTTTTGAGGCCTGGGGGTGACAGCAAAAAGTAAAAAATTGTATTTATAAATGAAGAAGAATAAGAAGATGAATGTAAATTTTCTCGATGAAGTTACACCTGATTTGACGAAGTTTTGCACATTTTGTGACGTCATTTTTTTTTGGCATCCAAGGACAGGCAGCAACAATAAACAATGCAAAAAGTGAGAGGTTTGATGAGATCAAGCGTTGTTATGAGAGACGCTAGAGAAAGAAAGAGAAATAGGTGTCGATCGATATATTGGTAAAATGCAAGGCTTGCATTTTTTGATTTTTTTGATAGTTTTTTTGGTTGCTGTATAATATTCATTAGGAAATACATAAATATGAATTGGATTTCGAAATATTTTTTTTGTTTTGAAAAAAAAAATTATTTTTGAGGCTTCACTTGTTTCATCGCTCAAGGCAATTTTCATATTAAAAATGAAAATTTGAAGATCAAAATTGTGCAGCCTTGAATTTTTTGATAGAAAATTTGCTCTGTGTGAAAAATTGTTTTCTAAAATCGCTGAAAATAAATTTGCGTGAAAAAGTACCAAAATTTTGTTTTTTTTTCTGGAAGCTTTTAAAATATTCTTTCAAAATTCCAACGTTCGAAAAAACAGTGAAACACCGTGTAAAATATACAGAAATTTGAAGCTCTGTAAATTTTTTCACTCTTGTTCAAAAAAAAAAACACAAAAAAGGTAAAATACTGTGTGAAAGCCATTTTTTTTCATTTGCAAGATTTCGAAACGAAAAAAAACAATCTGTTTGTTGTGAGACCACAAATTTTCCTAATTAGATGCGCCTTTAATTAAAGTACACCTGATTGTGAGGTTCCAGAAAGTTTTAGTAATCAATGAAAAAAACAATTTTTTTGTTATAATATACGTGCACGTTAGGAACAGGTGCAATTCTCTTAACAGATGCAATTTATTTATTAAATAATAATAATTATGAATTAAAAAAAATCAATCAATAAAAAACACAAACTACAAAAAAAATCGATCAAATTTGTGAAATCAACTCCGGTAAATCACCCAATTCATCATTTTCAACATTTTTCTCCTGAATATATTGTTTCCCCTTATGTTTATTTTTCTTATTCTTGTTCTTCTTATTTTTCGCCGCCTCTTTGATTGCCAATTTTTCATCTTTCATCAAAAATCGTTGATTCAACGCGTCTTTCGCTTCAGGAACCCGTTCCAAAACATTCACAAAATTCTTCTGGAATGTTTTTAATGTTTGCAAAACATAATTCATCAAATTCTTGGTTTGATTTGATAAATAATGTCCTGGTCCAAATAAATAATCCATAATTCGATGAGCTTCAATCAAATATCTTGCGGCCTCTTTGCCATTTCCCAACTCATCGTGAAGTTGACCCATTTGTCTGGAAAACATTGTTTTTTTTTCAGATCAGATTTTCAGACTTACAAAAAATGCATCGCTTTTGAAGGATGAGCATATCTATAAACATATCTGACAAAAGGTTCACATTTTGCGTGAAGATCTAGAGATGCAATTGCTCTTTCACGTCGAGTCATTGATGCTCGTTGAACCAACGGAATCATGGCCTGGAAAATTTTGAGATGAAATCTTGAATTTCAGATTCATTGGGGTAAACTTACAGCAATTAATTGACAGAAATATGAATTGGACATTGGCAGCACTCTTTCATAACTGATCAATGCTCCTTGGTAGATTTTCAGCAGTTCCATTGTATCAGTCTGAAATTTTTTTCTAGTTTGATGGAGCAGTTTTGTTGATAAAAATTTGTAGAAAATTTTGGAAGATTTTCGTTCTCTTGGGAGCAGACAATTTGAAAACAAAATCACCTTTGAAATGTATTTTTTTAATTTTGAAGATCTAAAATCTCACCGAAACATCAGTCGCTCCATCCAAAGTCTGTCGAATAGTTCTCATTCCCTCCAATGCAAAATACACATATTCTCGATCAAGTGTTGTTTGACAACGCGAACAAATAATTTCCAAAGTTTCCTGATTCGCATACGCTTCTGGGCCATGGATTTTAATTGTGTTACGGAATTCACTGCCGTTTATACAAGTCGGACAAATGACTGATGTTAGCCAATTATCTGCTGGATCATCACATCTTTCACAATGACATTCAAAGTACCAGGTTTCTTTGAGCATGTGACGACGTTGGATTTTGCAGCTGGAAAATGTTTGGGCTGATGATCTAATATTTTAAAAAACTTACGGTGGAAGTTCAATATAAGTATAATGTGTTTTTTCAACATCTTCCAAATCAACATTATCGTGAAGTGCTCTCAACGATGCTACAGTACCATTACAGCTATAAATCTGCAACAAAAAAAAACGTTCGAAATTTTTTTTAAGAAAACAAAAACACTTACCGCATTTGGACGACATGAGTGATCATATCGACAGAGATCGAGATATAAACCTTTGCCAATTTCAATCAAATAATCAGGATTCGAAATACTGTGACGATTAATAAAGTTTCTTGAATGAAGTTGGAATACGATATCTTTATCGATTTTTCCCAAAAATTCCTCGATCGCGTTGTAAATTCCTGAAATCGTTGATTTTTATTTAAAAAAAAAATTAAAAAAAAAACTTACGATCAAAATTTCTGACCGCATTCACATCATTCTTCATTTCTTCACAATGATGCCAAATCTCCATCACACTTCTTGAACTCTCGCGATTTTTATAAAAATCTGCGATTTTTTTGTCGACTCCATTTTGGATATCAAGATATCTTCCGACAATTCGAAGCAACATTCGTTCTTCGATTTTGAGTTCTGGGAATTTTTGGAGAGCTGGACATTCGTATTTGTGATCAAAAGAGCCGGCCGATTCGCATTCGGATGTGCAGAATTTGGCAATGTTGCAGGTTTTACAAGTTCTGGAATTTGATTCTCATCCTAACTTATCCTAACTCCAAAATGTTTCAAACTCACACTTCAACTTCTTTCTTCAAACACGTCCAACAATAAGTTTCCTTCATCGTATCAAGCAACGAATAAGCAAACGGATAAAACTGTTTGCTTTTTGGCTTCGAGCCAATTTTCTCAATTCCAATGAATTCCAAAGGTGCATCTCCAGAAGTCATTATCCACCCAAAACCAAAAAAAATAAAATAAAATAAAAATTAGACGATTTTCAAGTATGTATGTATAGTAGAAGAAAGAAGAAGAAGAAGCAGAAGGAAAAGAAGATGTGTGTACTACGGGAACGGGAATAAATGATGGGAAATAGTGTGGTGAAGAGGAGAGACAAGCGGGGAAGGCGAGAGAGAGGGGGGAGATGAAGCTTCGGTGAGCCAATGTGTATTTGCCCTTGCTTTCGTTTTTGCTATGATGTGTAATATATTAGCGAGCCGGATTTTCAAGCTTGTGAGCACTGGAGGACATTGGGGAAAATTGGCGGGAAAATAGGAATTTTTAAAAGGTAAAGTCCGAGAAAAAATAAAGCTGTGCTCATTTGAAAGAGCATGTTTTAATTAGTAAATTTTTCGAAGGATTTTTTCTGGAAGATTCTCAAACATTGGTTAAAAAATTAAAAAATTTGAAATACCGTATAAAATGGCTGTAAAAATGTAAAAGTCCATAAGTACTGTAGCTTGGATTTAATTTTTGAGAAGCTTCTAGAAAAAATCCTTCGAGGATTGTGCTAATTATAATTAGAACATGCTTTTTCTAATGAGCACAACTTAATTTTTGTTCGGACTCCACCTTTAAGAAAATGTTCGCACAATCTTTTAGCACATTTTTTCAAAGCAATCATTCAGTTTTCTCTAAAAACATCTAAAACTGCAAAACATATGAAAGTGTTCTCCACAAAATTGGAGCAAAATTAGCTTCAATTATCGATTTTTTTTGTGCCAAAATCAAAGATCTTACAGTAACCATGAAAAAAAAAGTGCAAAGATTTTAATCGTGTCTGAAAAATATGCGTATTCTCCCTCTCATCTTCTGAAAATATCATTTTTCAGAAACTATGTATCCAAAAATAAATGTTATATGAGAAAGAAGAATATCGTGAGCACACTAATTATAAAAAATATATTTTCAAAAATAAATAATTGGATCTATGCAGATATTATTTTGTAATAAAATGTAACAGAATATTCAACGGAATTGATTTAAAATTAATTTTCAAAAAATCTAATTTTTGTCTAGACTCTCTTAATGTTACATAGTCTATAATCGAAAATATTCTCTGCTTTCAGTTTTTCCAAATTGAAAAAAATATGAATTTTCGTTACATAGTACTACAAATTATTAATAAAACAAGTTCCAAATTATCCTCACAAAAAAAAAACAGAAAAAAAAACAAAAAGTGTTCCGCAATGAATCATATTTACACAAATATTCCTTTGTTTTTGTACATACATACATACAAAAAAAATCGATTTTTGTTGCTTCAAAAAATCTTATCTCCCATCTTTCAGCTTTTATGTTTTCTCATCTCCTCATTCATTCATTCATCCAAAAAAAACCTCAAATTTCTATTGCCAATGCAACAAAAAAAATACATGTCCCTGTGAAAAAATGAGAAGAGAGGAGAGAAAGTGCGCTCCATTGAGACATGGTCTCGTCGCGCGTCCCTTTCATTTATTCTTCGTTGGTTTTTTTCAACTATATTATTTTTTTATTTCTTTGTTTTTTTTCGTGTGAAAAAAGAGCATTTTTGCTCATTTTTAATGGATTTTTTTGCAGGTTTCAAAATTGAGCTCCACGCAATGCGCAGTAATACAATCGACTCAGGTATGTTGATTTTTCTTGGATTTTTTGAAAATTTCAAGAGTTTTTTTGAAAAACAAATAAACTCGTTAATTAAAAAGGTAGAGGAAACGGTTATCAATCAGATTTTGAAAAAAAAAATCAATATTTTTTTTTCAACCGATATAACGAAAAATTGTAGAACAATGAGACAAAGGTTATTACACATTGAAGAAAATTAAAACATTTTTAGAGTCGTCGCCACCTCGAAGAAACACAAGAATGTCGTCTTCAGGTGCTTCCGAATCGGAATTGGATACTTGCGATGAAAATGTTGGATTGTTAGGCACACGAACGGCACGAAAAAAGAAGCCATATACCAAGAGAAATGAGCAAACACCTTCACTTCACAGGTTGGTTTGAGATTTTCAAATTTTTTTTTTGAAGAGAAAGATGAAACCAAGTTCTTCAAGTTCATAAAAACTCTGAAAATGTTCATCCTGGAAAAGCTGAAAATAAAATGTTTCCAGACCTTTGTCGAATATCAATGATGAAGGAGATGTTGATTATGATCACGACAATTTTGATCCACGCGATAATTATTCGAGCGATGAGGATATTTTGAACTCTGGTGAGTCTTTTTTTTTTGAAAAGGGGAAGATTATGAAATTTTTTGTTTATTTGGACAAAAAACTTCAAAATTGTGAAATGTTGGTTGGATTTTCATGCTTGAATAGCTGAAACTGAAATTATGATTTGAAAGATAGGACTCAAAATTTTCAAAATATTTATTGAATTTTTCACCAGAAATTTCGAACCTAAAGTTCCGGAAAACTTCTTGAATATGAGCAGAATAATTTTTAAAATTCCAGAAAAATCTTGATTCACCAAAAAAATTCTCTCTGGAAATCGCTAGTTTACGATATGAATTTTTTCAAATTGAAAATTTTATCAAGTTTTTTTTACAAAGATTTAGCTTTGGATTTCTTTTTAAAACTTTTTTAATAGAGCCATAATTTTTCAAAAATTTCACAAAATCCTTTTGTTTTTTTAAAGAATTTGATAGTTCTGGAAAACGTCATTTAAATTTTATTTTAAAAAAAATTGAAACCGGAAAAATATGAATCATTTTCCGGAAATGCTAATTTATTTTCCAATTTCAAGAAAAAAACTTTGAAATTTCACTACTTCCAGGTCCTGACGCGTATGGTTCAACAGTCGGCGCAACAATTTCACTCAAATACAATGAAGCCTGCCGCGCCATTCACAACAATCATTTTCCCGAACGAATTGTTCAAGGCTCCAGTGGCAGTTATTTTGTCAAAAACATCCATGACGTATGAAAAAAAACCAAAATTCCCAACCCCAAAAAACACTTCTTTGTTTTTTTCAGGAAATAATTGCGGTTTTCAAACCAAAAAACGAGGAGCCCTATGGATCTCTCAATCCCAAATGGCTCAAATGGATTCACCGTGTATTTTTGCCGTGCTGCTTTGGACGAAGTTGTTTGCCGCCAAATCAAGTGAGTTTCTTTTTTGGACAGGAATTTTATTCATTCATACATAAAAACAGAATAATATAGGGGGAATGAGAAGTAAAAATGTGGAAAAAAATGGAAAAATTTACTAGGAATGAATCGGGCAGTAGATTTCGGGATATAGCAAAAAATATAGCAAGAAGCAAAAAAAACATGGGTTAAATAGGACATATTAAAGAAACATGGAAGAAGCTACATATAAGCGTTTAAAGATCATCGCGGTTAGGCGCAAGAACATCGTAACGTGATCCACCTTGCGAAGTTTGTGATGTTTGCATTGGATCAGAGTTCGATGGAATTTCAACAAGAGATGGGTCACGAGGTTCGCTAGCTCGTGAAATGTTATCACCAGCGCGACCAAATGATGAGTCACGACCATTTCCACCGCCATAAATTGAATCACGAATTGATCCGCCATATACTGATCCTACAAATTTTTAGACAAAGGTTAGACAGACAAAGGTTCTTGGATAAGTGAGAAGTTTCTGGTTTTTTTTCGAAAATTAATTAGAGGTTAGATGATGGGACATGGATAGTTTTTGAATCGCCTTCTTGACTATCAAAAGTTTGGTCATGAGTTATAGTTTCTGTTTCGGTCTCTGATTCTCTATGTAAAACCTCGCGGCTCTTACTACGATGCACACGAATCACTGGCATTTGTTGATTAATTCTAGTAATTGACGGGGGATATGTTTTAATGGTAACGTCCATACCGGTATCATCGAGATTTGTTGTTGTTGAGACGACTGGTCGGCGATAACTGCTGCCAGCGTCGACCGCACTTCGGAAATCGGAAATGTGCGGACGATGGGTGGGTGTTGATGTGCCCAATGGTGGCGTCAATGGGTTGGAGGCGAATGTGGAACGAGGGTAGAAGCTGAAAATTATTGATTTTCAGATTTTCAAAGTCACTCTTCTTTTTAGTTAATCAGGATAGCTAGGTTAATACCCACCCAACAGATCGACTTCCACCATGTAGAATATTCTCAATATTATTGTCACCGTAGCTGCTTCTGCTGATACCAAGAACATTTGAGCCAAGTCGGCCAATATCTTGGACCATTGAACGATCAACGTATTCTCTTTAAAAAAAATCATTCGTGTTAAAATGGGTAACTACACTCTAGTTAACAATTTTTTTCAAGATCGACTAACTAACCTTCTGCGCCTGCGTTCACCGTCGAGTTGATCGCGCAAAATTGCGATTTGATCTTCAAGTTGCTTGATGCGATTGCGATGAGTGCGCTCGCGATTCTCGATGACTTTTTCGATTTGCGATTTTTCTTGACGCATTCGAACGAGTTGACGTTCTTGCTCTTCACGTTGTTTGTTGGTGAGCTCCAAGATTCGGTTGCCATTCTCCATCTCGAGTTGGGCGATCTGAAGAATCATTTAGATGTTTGAAACCCAAGAATCAAAAAAAAACAATACCTGTTGTTGAAGCTGCGCACAATTTTTGTAGAGCTCTTTGTTTTCGCGCTCCATAGCATTCAATGATTTTTCAATCGCCTCACGTTGCAAGGCGGTTTCTCGAATAGCAGCATCAGTGCGACGTTTGTCATTCTCAAGAATCTCGATTTTCTTGAGAAGCGTCGATTTCTCCTTCTTCCAACCATCCGCAACTTGCACATTATTTCTCTTATCATTTTCCAATTGACTCAAACGTCTCTTGATATCCTCCAATTCTTTGAGAGCAACACGCTTCTCATTCTTGGCTCCTTCGAGTTGAGCACGAAGATCGGTTTCGGTGGTGCGTTGAGTGTTGACAACTTTTTCAACCGAGAGAAGGCGGTCTTCGAGACGATTCTTCTCCGAGTTGGCATCTTGAAGTTGTCTTTGAAGCTCGGCGACACGATTATTGACGTCATGAACGCGTTGTTTGTAATCACGAACTTCACCGCGAACATTCAACAATTCATTTTCAAGTTGTTGTTTGCGAGTATTCGTAGCACTCAATTCATTTTGCGCATTTGTGAGTTGATCTTTAAGAAGACTATACTCATGGCTAGTCTTGCTTTGAGCATCAATTGTCTTTCGAAGCTCATTCTCAATACTCTCTGCTTTTCCCAAATCTCTTCTCAATTTATCTGCATCATCCTTCATGTCTTGAACCTTGGTGTCACTCAAACGAAGAGCACCATCAAGTTCCTTGATCTTCTCGGTGAGTGTAGCTCGTTCACTTTCAAATGCAGCAATTTGAATCTGGAGTTTGTTGGTGTCGGAGTCAGTTTCTCGAACTTTTGTCTCCAATTGGAAGCGGCTAACATCCCATTGCTCTTCCTTATCACGAAGCGACCGAACATCAGCGTGAGCATTATCCAAATCAGTTCTCAAGTTTTTGAGTTGCTCCTAAAAATTTTGAAATTATTGATAAGAATTTTGTGATATCAGTGAAAAACTCACATTCAAATGTCTCAATTGAGCTTCCTTTCCACGAGCCTGAAGTTCAGCGGCAACCATCTTTGACTTCATCTGTCTTCTCTCTTCATCGCGTTGTTTCAAAGCCTCTTCTTGTGAACGCAATAATGTTTTAGCCGAAGCCAATCTGGTTTCAAGAGCTCTCTTATCCTCCTCAGCATCTTGCAAATTGTCTTCAATGTTGCGATATCTCGTTTCTTTTTGGGTGTTTGTAGTGGTTGTTTCGGTTGTCTTCTTCTTCAAACGGAGCAAAGTTTCACGAAGCTCATTTCGTTCAACTTCCAATCTCTCGATCTTATTGAGAAGTGATTGAAGTGTGCCTTCCAAGTGTGTAACATCGAATTTGTCGTTGATGTTGACGGTTGTTGTTCCATCGATGTTATTGATCACACGGCCACCGGCTGGAATCAAATTATTTTCTAAACCAACAACCTGTAGAAAAAAACTTACCAGTTTGTGAACCCTGTCTTGCGCCACTGCCAGTATAGTCAACGGATGGTGGGAAGGGTACGGAACGAGGATAAGCGACATCACCGGCGGCGTTGTTATCGCCGTCGGTCGCGTCACCGCGACCTATTTCGATTTCTCGACCGAAATTAGATCCGCCTGGTCCTCCTGTGATTCCGGCGCCACTTGCCGCACCACCGCCAACGTTTGACGGGTCGTAGGCACCGCGTTGAGCTGCAGCTCCGCCTCCCAAAACACTTGGACCACCAGCTCCACCACCTCCGCCGATGATATTGATATCGGTTTGATGGTAACCGCCTCCTGGTCCAACACCACTTCCATAACCATCGGCTCCGGCTGCACCAGCTTGACCAGGTCCATATTGACCAGCTCCGCCGCCAATTCCACTGTCACCATAAAGTCCACCAGCTGCACCGCCTGCTGCTCCGGATCCTCCAACTCCGCCAGCGCCTTGCAAACCACTTCCAACTCCATATCCACCATCCACATAGGTGTGCAAATTGATGACTCGATTGGCGGATGCTTGGAATCTTCTCAAAGCGTCGGCGAGAATGTCTCTCTCAGAATCAGCCTTAATATAGTCTTGTTGGAGCCCAGCTAAACGTTGTTCAGTGCTATCAAGACGAGATGTCAAATCGTTCAACTCATATTTACGCGATTCCAATTCTTGAAGAGCATTCAAACGTCCATCTTCAGAAACGCGATGCGCGTGTGCCAAATCATCAATTGTCGATTGATATTCGTCGGATTTTCGTTGAATTTGATCATTGCCAAACTTCAACTCTTGCGAAAGTTTTTGCAATTCTGTACGAAGTGCAGTTCTTTCCGAATCAGATGAGATCAATTTGTCATTGGTGTCTTGTAATTCATTGCGCAATTTTGTCAATTTCGTATCGAATTGTGTCGAAAGTTGATTGAGATGTTCGGCTTGTTTCGTCTTCTCACGGAACGCATTTTGAAGACGTTCACGGTCAGTCTTTGCATGATTCAAGGCATTCTTCAAATCTTTGATAGCATCTTCAGCAGACTTCAGACGATTTTTGAAGCGAGTCAAATCGGCATCCAAGTTAGTGTTGGTGCTCTTGAGAATATCATTTTCACGAAGAGCAGCATCTAAGTCACTTCTCCATTTATTGGAGTCACTTTGAAGTTGACTGTATTGCTCTTCAAGTGATCGCAGGCGATTTTGAGCACTCTCCAAATCCATCTCTTTTTGCACCAAATTTCCTTTAGTATCTGACAATTCATCTTCAAGACGACGAATTTGTGAAGTGAGATCTCTGATCTTTCCAGTTTGATCATTCACAGTTTTGGTGAGATGATCGATTCGATCATTTGCAGCCTGCAATTGAGCCTTCAATCCAGTGTTATTCGTCTCAAGAGCTTTGGCTTCCGAGCGAATTGTGTAGGAATCAGTCTTCCACTTTTGAATCTCCTTATCAGCTTCGGTTCTGAAATCATCCCATTCATCACGAATCTTCTGGTTTTGACCATAGAGACTATTTATCTTCTCATCATAATCTCTCTTCTCTCTTTCGAGCTCATTTTCGCGGTTGAGTGAATCAGCCAATTGTTTTTCGAGATTGTTGATTTTGTCGCGAAGATCATCTTCAACAGTCTTCAAATGCTCAACAGCTTTTCCATATTGTTCTTTTTCATCGTCCAAATCGCTGAGATGTTTGTCGTGCATTGAACTGATGTCATTCTTAAGCTTGTCGATTTCTGAAGCATGTTTTCTCTTCAATTCAGTGATATCATTCTCTTGTTTATCGTTTCCACGACCAATTTGAGAAAGTTCATCTTCCAGTTCGCGAATTCTACGCTCCAAATCATCTTTTTCATTTTCAAGGCGCTCGAGTTCACGCTTCCAGCGATCATTGATTTCCTGAAAATAATTATGATTTCTGTACAATCAAAAAAAATATATAATTCTTACTCTGATCTTGTGCTCGGCGAGTTCATCATCGTGATATCTATCAAGAATATTGCGCTCAATGCGATCAATACGCTCCTTGGCGTCAAGACCATCTCGACCATCTCGACCATCTCTTCCGCGTGAACCATCGCGTCCATATCCTCCTGGACCATATGTAGAACCATCCCGTCCGTCTCTTCCGCGAGATCCATCGCGACCATAATCAGTTCCGCCTGCTGCACCTCCGGTTCCAGTGCCGCTTCGATCTCCGCCACGTCCACTATTAATATTGATGTTGACGTCACCGCCGCTTGTTGGAATGTAGATCTCATCGCCATCTGCTCCACGAATCGATCCGGTTCCGCCACGAGCACCGTCTCCGGCAAGACTTCCATCACCTGATCGAACATCTTCCGCGCTTGGAATAAGGATTTCACTTCCTGGAGCGCCGCGAGATCTTGTAGAATCTCCCCAAAGAACTGCGATCACCATAAGCTCCACCATCTCGGTTGCTTGGATCTGCAGAACGTCCGCCAGTGGAACTTCCATCTCTGCCAGCAGCTCCGTCGCGACCATATCCAGATCCATCCCTTCCATCTCTGCCATATCCAGCGCCAGTTCCTGAACCAGTAGTTCCAGTCGCATCTCTTCCATCTCTTCCATCTCGCCCAACAAGAGGAGTTGAACTTGTGTTATCTCTTGAAAGTCTTCCCGATCTTCCAAGATTGTTCAATCGATCCTTGAGATCACGAATATCATTTTCGAGCTTCTTGATATTATCATTTGAATGTTTCAAATCTTGCTTGGTATCTTCCAATTCTTTTCCAAGAAGATTTGCACGCGACATATGTTGACTTGCCGCATCTTTCGCGCGAGCTTCCTTCGCCGCAATTTCCTTATTCTCATTGCGCAATTTTTCCAACTCAATTTCCAATTTTCTAATCGTCTCTTTCAATTGTTGAACATCGCCATCAAGTTTCAATTTTTGACTGGAAAAAACTTCTGATTTTAATATCTGAATCTGCGAAAAAAAACTCACTTCAAGATCTCTTGTTTCTCCTTCTGCAATTTGATATTGAGATCATTCAACTTTTCAACTTCCCCATTTCTGGTGTGAAGTTCATTTTCCAATTGGGTGATTTTTCCTTGATGTCCCTTGATGGTTGTATCAAGTTCATCATTATGTCTGCGCAAAAGATTGACTTGACTCTCATTATCACTAATTGCCTGCTTCAATTTGTCAAGCTCCTCATTGTTACGAACACCGTTCTTCTCAAGATCTTGACGGGATTTGATCTCTGATTCCAATTTGTGTCGAATATCAAACAAGTGACGAGCATGCTCATCTTTTTGTTTTCTGTAAAAAAAAATATTTTTTTTATTCAAAAAAAAAATAAAATAAAACTCACTGATAATCATCTCTTTGAATCTTGATCTCCTTCAATTGTTGTTCAGCCAAATGTGCTGCCTTTTGAGCATGCTCAAGCTCGCTGACAAGTTTTTCATTGTCACTGTGAAGACGATCATATTTGTCGCGAAGATCATCGAGATCCTTCTGGATGTTTCGACGCATGTCATCAGAATAGCGAAGTTGTGTCTCTTTCTCTTCAATTCTTCGTTGAACATTGCTGAACTCATTTTCCAAATCACGATATTTGTCTTTGAGTGGGTTGACTTCAGATTTCAATCGATTGTTTTCACGAAGCAATGTCTCAATTCGTCTGTTCAACTCATCAATTCGAAGTTTATAATCTTCTTGAATTGAATTTGCTTGCTCATCCATCTCATCTCTCAATTTCTGCGCATCATCAGTTGACGATTTTTGGAATTGAGCCTGAATCTTAGCCAACTCGTCTTCCAAAAATTTGCGAGCCTTGTCAGCGGCAATTCGTTCCGCTTCAGAAGATCTGAGTTTGTCTTCTGTGCGTCGAGAATTTCTCTCAGTCTCATCCAAAGTCTTTTGAATGTTATTGATCTCTCTCTTGGCATCAGCGAGTTGTTTGTCGAGACGACGACGAGCTTCATCAGCATTCTCGAACTTGTTCATAAATTCTTTGACTTGACTTTCAGCAATCTTCAATTTTCTTTCCAATTGTTGAATATCATTGTCCTTATTACGAATCGTATTTCGAACAGCACGAAGAGCTTCAGCTGGTGGCAATTGATTCTTTCCAGGTGACAAAGATCTAGTCCTCTTTGACACATCCGAAGATTTATCGATATCTTGAGCCATTTCATGCAATTTTTTCAACGCACTATTCGCCTCATTCATCTTCTCCTTATTTCTACGAAGTTCCGCTTCCAATTCAGCGATTTTTCTCTGCGCCTCATCACCTTTCGATTCCAATTCAATATTTCTCTCGATTGACTCTTCATATTTCTTCATCAATTCCTTTTGCAATTCAGCATCACCTTCAGAAGCACCACCTCCACGAATTCGCCGGATTTCTTCAAGAAGTTCAGCACTTGATGCTCCTGGAGCATTTCCATTTGCAGCCATTCGACGAACTGTTTCAATAAGAACCTTCTCATAATTATTTGTAGTATTGTTCACACTTCCAGCATCATCGTAAAGTCCCAAAAGTCCTCCCAAACCAGCTGATCCGCCAGCTGCAGCAGCTTGAAGACCCTGCAAAAAGAATTAAATATTTATGAGATTTTTGAGTGTGTCTCTCACCTCGCCAGCAGTAATATTGACGTTTCTTGAAATGTTGTGCACATTTCTCAAAGCGCGAGTGAATTCCGATTTCTGACGATCAAGATCTTCTTCGGTTTGCGATTTGAGGTCAGCGAATTGTTTGCGAACTCGTTGAAGTTCAGTCCACAAATCCATCATCTTCCTTTGCTCATCAGACAAGTATTGCGCAAGATTCTAGAAAAAAATGAATAAAATTTTGGTAAGGGTTCTAGAAAACTTACTCTCTCACGATTGACATAGGTCTTCTCCTTATCTTTTGAGTCATTGGCATATCTTTCAAATTCTCTGCGAAGTCTATCGTTCTCATCTTCAAGAGCAATATTTTTCTGTCGCTCATTTTCCCATTGCATACGATACTCATCAGCCCGTCGTCTCTCCTCATCTACTCTAGCAATCATCTCATAATTTGCGTTCGGATCACCAGCCAAATTCACACCAGTCGAAGTTCCCCCACCATATCTTTCAACACCGGATCCCCCATATCCACCGCCGTAAGCTGCACCGCTAGCTCCCCCAAGACCTCCGGCACTGTAAAGCCCGGCTGGACCTCCGCCAGATCCTGTCAAAACGTTGACAGTTGTGAGACCACCAGCTCCGCCACCGCCGAGCAAAGTCTCACGTTTTCCACGTGCTGGACTCCACAATTCGACATTATGGTTGGTGCTGAAAATTATAGATTTTTTTTTGTTTCACTTCAAGATGAGCTAACTCACATATAGGTATTTCCCGGATCATAATTGTCAAACAAATAAACATTTGGCCCGGACTCATCGATGATTCGACTGCGAGCTCCAACCATACGACCTTCCAATTCAGCAATATGTTTACGGTATTCCAAAACTTTGTTTTGAAGTGCAGCCATCATTTCGCTGTATTCACGTTGTTGTTCGACATTGTTATCGATTCTTTGACGGAACTTGTTCAAGTCATCCTAGAAAATTTGGAATTTTATGGAGCTCTTATAAATTAGTAGCCTCATAAAATCTTAATTGAAAAGTTTCCGGAATTTTCTAATTTTTGAACTTCAAAGTTTAGATTTTGATTTTTTTCAAGTCCTAATCAATAAAATTCTACCTTTCCCCCTTTGCAAATCTCACCTGAGTTCGATCCAATCTGGCAACAGATGTTCCTCTCGCCGAATTGTCAATCTCGAGTAGAAGATCGTCATCAAACGATGATGTATTATGATAGTTGTTCTCGCCCGACGTATCCCTGGAGTACTCATCCCTTAATAATTGAACACTCTGCCAATTTGCATGCAAAACACCGCAACTTAGCTTGTTTGAATTAGTTTTTTCTGGTTTAGTCACTATCTATCCAAACTCATTCATTTATTGTTAGACCGGGTCAGTCAAATTTTTTTTTTTAATCTACATGTTTCAAGTTTAATAATAGGCGAGATGAGTTGCGATTGTTTTTTCATTGGAACTTACCCAATCTCATCAAAACTCTCCTCATCCCTCCGTTTCATATGAATTGTGTATTGGACGGTTTTTGATTTGTCCGTACCACTAAATTTAAATTGGAAAGAAGTGATGATGAAATTTACACTTTCCCGTTACAAAGATGAGACAAAATATTGGACGGCGGGGTACAAAAATGAGGTGTTTTTGGGACCAAGAAGCTATTTTTAACGGTTTTTAAAGAGAAGATTGAAATTTTGTAATAATTTCTTAAATTTCCAATAGTTTCTCTATACTATTATTACAAAATTTCAACCTGCAGCCTCAAAAATTCCAAAAAATATTTTTGATCTATTTTTTGTGTGAAAAAAAGCAGACTTCAGCTCATGCATACACTCACAAAGGGAAACTTTTGTTTTTCTCCGAAAAAAAATTTTTCTCGAAAATACACTGACTCACCAGTAGAATTCGCCGTAATTCGAGCGAGAGCCTGGGCTTTCAGGAGTCGGCTCTTTTGGCTCATTGGAGGGTATGGTTATGGTGCCACCTCCGCCACCATCGGTACTTCGAGTATCGTCATGATCATCCATTTTGCTCTTATCTGAATCAGAAATCAATAATAATTATTATTCAACTATCTAGCCTAAAGAGAGCGAGGTATACGGTATAAATAGAATTTTGAATTACTAAAAAAAATACATATATGAATAGGAACCTTTTTTGGAAGAGCGTCGCTTTTTCTTTTGACGTTCTAGACAAACTTGAGCTTCGGATGGTGTCAATGGTCGTACTGAAACACGTCCAGAAATATGTGTCCACTTGCCAGGTACAATAGATTCTGCACGAACTGTTGGCGAACAAGATCGACTTGTTGTCGAGCTATTCGATGCGGTTGAAAGTTGTGGTGCGCCACCAACGCCACTAGACTGCGGTCGTTTTGGTGGCGGTGAGATTGGTGAAAGTGTTCGTAGCGCTTGCGACGGCGGATCGCGCAATAACTCTTCGGGTAGCGATTCGCTAACAACTAGTTGACGTCCAGTTGAACTGCTATTCACGCCACAACTGAAGAACATCCAAAGAGCACCATCAGCATGCTGCAACTTATTCTCTATCTTGCAAAGAATTCCCCCAGTTTGTGTGCCCTCTTCCGCGCGAACCCACCAATATTTAAAATTTCAACAAAAAAAATAGAATAGGTTAGCTTGAAGAAGTGAGCACAACAACAACAATAAGAAAAAAAGCGAAGAAAAAGATGGGCTGTGAGTAAAAACGTATCAAATTACCAACAAAATCATTCTTGTTTCACGATGTGTGTATTATAGGAAAAGAAAAAGGTGAATAGCCGGGGCATTTTTCGAAAAACATCGAGTTGCCATGGGTTACCGGAAAAATTGAGCACAACACTACATATTACTATTATTTTTCTGTTGAAATGCACAAAAAAAATAGGAAAATCTGATGTAGATGTATCGAATTTCAAACTGAATAAATATGGGCAATTATGCGATGCGACTCTCTCTAAATTCAATTTACACCACACTATTATTAGAGAGGGTGGGAGGAAATCAGGGTGGCCTCCGGAAAAAAGACTAGGTGGTCTTGGAAAAACTTGGAAGGTTTCCAGATCAGAAAATCTAGGTGGTCTGATTTTTCCCAGCTCTCTAAAAAATCCAAAAGCTCCCAAAAACACCCCGGGTGGTCCATCCTCAATTGCTCTAATTAATTGAATATTAAAATAATTTTTTTCTTGAAATACGAGCCTTTTGTGGCGTCCTCTTCCAAGAAAAAAATGAGGCAAATAAAAAAATGGAGACGTGCAACCACCCAAACAAGCGAAGAAAAAAATGTGGCGGCCAAAAGAGCCAAGCTACCCCAGAGCAAAAAAGCAGGCACACACACACATTTCGAGATGGCTCTTTTTCTTTTTCTCGGTATGTGTGTGTACGTGTATTCGAAACAAACAAGTAAACAACTAGACTAAAGGCTGCTTCAGAGGCAATGGGCAGAAATGGACATGCGCCGCCCCATTTTTTTTTCTTCTTCTTTGAGTGAAGCTAGCCTATCGATTTGCGCGAAAAAAAACAGCAGTATGTAGCCGGGGGAAAAGGGGCAGTGCGGAATAACAAAATGTGTCGTCCTCATCTCATCTCACACAGCTCAAAATGGAAAAGGCTTGGTGTCTTCTTTTTTTCCTGGTTCCTCTTAACGAGTAAATGGCTCCGGGTTGGGAAGAGTTTCAAGAGTGTGCAATGAGAACAATGAATATAATTAGGCACTGAAGTGGAGCTGGGAAAATTGTTGGTTCTTTTTTTGGAGGAGCCAAATACTGAGACCACCCAGAGAGAAATATGGATGGAGTTGGGATTTTCAGACCACCCGTGGTGAAAAATTGAGTGCCGCACCTTTTTGCGAAATTTTGATTTTTGATCTACATATGAACTGATTTAGAGTAACTCGGGAGGTTTAGAAGCTTACCCAGGATACGTACCAAATCAAATCACAATATCGAATTAGAGATTACCAGAAAAAAATCACAGGATTTTTTTTGATATCAAAAAAGAATTTGGAAAATTTTTGAACCACCAAAAATGTGTACAATAATTTCCCAGGCTCTATTATATTATTTTCCCCCCAAAATTCATGTAAAAATGTTTTTTTTGTTGTTTATTGTAAATGTATCAAACAAAGCGGATGCCAACAAAAAAAAATTATTCAACATTCATTTTTTTTTGTCAACGAAAAAAACCTATGGGTGACCGCCTCTTTTTTGCGAATCGATAAAAACAACAAAAACGAGCTGCAAAATGTTGGCTCACAACAAAACAACATCAAGCGAGCAAGCGTGCGCAATTTTGTTTGTGCTCCCAGAAATTTTTGGAGCGCCGAGGGGACACCAACCAACAAAAAAATGAGGCTCTAGCGGGTGATATATGACTTTTTTAGTGGTGCTCCGCGGAAGAGTTCTTTTCTGACCCGAGGCTTACCGAGAATTTGGAATATTAGAAGAACTTTTTCTTTTCTATAGATTTCTATTAGAGATGAAGAAAATGTGGGGCTGAAAATGGAGCACAATTTTGTTTGTCTGCTTCTTTTCGCATGTGATGTGATGTCTCTCTATGTGTTCGTTCGGTTTTTCGCTCCTTTTAGAGCTGTTCTTTTTCTATGTGGAGGAACGTTTTTTTTAAGAAGATGGAGAAGAATAAGAACAAGGCTGGAGGAGAATGTAATTTGTTTTGTTTCAAAATGTTGAGTGTTTTTTTTTGAAGTGAATGTGAAGCTAGAGCGCAAAAATTTGAGGGTACTGTAGGGCTGAGAGGCTTGCTCAAAATATTAAAAATGTTCTGGAGTTTCAGAATTCTTTTGAAAATTTTAAATCAAAATTTGATGGTAATCTGTAAAGAATTCAAAAAAAAAATTTCAGAATGATTTTTATAGAACAATCACAGATCTGAAGCTTAATATCAAAAAAATCAAGATCACCCAAAATAGAAAAAAATCATAATCGATTTTCAAAAATTCTGAACTTCCCAAAGGCTACTGTAGAACCAGAAAACGCACTTCAAAAAATGTAGCTACTATACAACTATAAAATGAACTCAACGGGGGGCTCCGAATTTTAGGCTCACAAAAATGGATTTCTGAATTACTATGAGATCGCTAAGTTCCAGAAAATATGCGAATTATGAAAGAAGGACCATTTTTATTAGAAATTTCGAAAATTCTGAACTTTCCAAAGGTTACGGTAACTAAAAAACCTCAAAATTATAGCTATACAACTATAAAATTGGCTCCAAATTCTAAAAAATTCATCCCTGAAATTCTTCACACCTCAAGAAATGTTTGGATTCAAAATTTGAACAGATCTTCTTCCGCTTTCCGAACAAAAACCAAACAAAATGTGCAAAACAAAAACTAAACACATTTGTTTTTTGCTGCACATTTTTCGAACTCTAAACATCATCACAAAGCGAGCAAAAAAGCAGATTAATCGTATCGTAAACGAGAAAATTTAACCCCGACGGAAAGGAGGAATTCAATTATAAGTGGAAGAAAAAATGAAGGTCGACACATAATTGTCTTTTTTACTGCCTGATGAATTGCTGCTCTGACGATGAGAGCAAGAAAAATGGAGGGAAAATGGAAGCTAATTCAGAATCACAGTCTTTTCCATTTTTTTTTTGGAAAATGAATGAATAAACAAACAAACAAACAAATATGGAAATATTCAATAGAAGGAAAAAAAAGAGGGCAACATAATAGCTATTACCGGTTTTTCTCTGGCATAGAGAGGGTCTACTGCTGAAAAGAAACAATAATTATTATGTATCTGCCCCGTGGCCCTAGTCTATTCAAATATTAATAAAAGTGGCCTTGAAAGAAGCGGAAAAATGTTGCGAAAAAAAAATTTTTGAAACAAAACTACAAAATTCTATAATATTTCAGGGCTATCTTTCGGAAGTTGGCGCAAGTTTGGTGGATGAAAAATTGGGTTTGAATATTGTGCCACCAACTGGGGTCGTCGAATTGGCGGCACCTACGTTTTATTATGATCGATTGGATCGAGCGAAAGCGCGGACTAAAGAGCGGATTCAATCGAGGTATCCGAATATTGGAAGACGGTTTCATCGAATTGGATTGCCCGAAAAGGTTTGTAAATAGGGGTATCATATGAGGAAGAAGTTGTGTAATCTTACGGATTTTTTAGCCATTTTATTTTAAGATATTTTTATGATAGGGGAAAAGTGAAAGGGTAGATTGATTCATGGTTTTTTGATAGATTAGGAATGAAACAACAATGATTTGGAACATTTTCAGAGAGAAAAGAAATCTAAAATTGTTTGAAAGGTTTATGATTTTTTTTCGAAAGTTTGAAGTTTTCATAAAATAATTTCAAAATTTAAAAAAAATGATCTCCTAAATTAAAAAATCAATATGTTTTCACGGAAATCGAACATTATTTGAAAAGTTCTCTGAAAATCAGAAAAAATCTGTAAAATTTATTTATCAAAGAATTTTTTCACAAACTAACTTCATCGATTTTTTTTTAGAAAATTTGAACTTTTCATTATTTCTGGAACTTACATTTTTTCAGTTTTCATAAAATAATTTCAAAATTATAAAAAAAGACTGATCTCCTAAATTAAAAAATCAAAATGTTTTCACGGAAATCGAGAATTATTTGAAAAGTTTTCTGAAAATCAGAAAAAATCTGTGAAATTTAATTATCAAAGAATTTTTTCACAAATTAACTTCATCAATATTTGAACTTTTCATAATTTCTGGAACTTCAAATTTTTTTCAATTTTCAGACAATTATTTCAAAGTTCCACAAAAAAATTCTGATCTCCGAGTTAAATTTTTGTCATCAAAAATTTATCAACTCACCTTAAAAAATAGTTAGTCTGTGTCTTTCCACTCTATTTTTAGATATCTAAAAATAAAATCATAGTATACATATATAGTATAGTATATTCTCAAAACCCTAGAATAAAAACAAAAACAAAACCGCCTTCTCAACAAAAAAACCTCATGAATTTTATTTTTCAACATATATTTCTTAACGTAAAAAATGAAAATAAAAAAGACTGTTTTTGTGTGTTCCAAAAGAGATGAAATCAAAATCTAACCTAGCGTAAAAAATATTTTTGTATTGCCAAAATAAAAGCAAAAAAACGAGAAGCAAAACAACAACAATAACAATAAAAAACATCTTGTTGTCGATTAGAATCGAAATTTATTTTATTCTGCCCTTTCTCAAGAGATTTATTGTATTTTAATGATAAGTGGAACGAATGACTTTAGTGACTTTAGTAGTTACTAGGAGACAAAAATATGTTTTTTTTTCTTGCAGAAAACATTTTCAGATAGGGGGGAGGGAAATTGAGGTGCCAGTTTGTGCTTTTTCTGCGCAGCTCATATGTAGGCGAGCAAAAAAACTCGTCAACAAAAATAAACATATTTTAACGGAGAACGAAATGAATCAAATCAAGATAAAAATTCATGAACATCTGGTCTTTTAGTTGACATGGCTCAAGAACCCAAAAGGAAAATGAGATGAATTGTTAATAGTTTCCCATTAGTCGAGTCAAGGAAAATGGGGGAAGAATTGGAAAAAAAAAGGATCGGGGGAGCATGCCAAAATTAAAATTAAAAATAAATTGTAGACTGGAAGCTTTCAATTGTTTGTCAAAGGATATCAAGACGCTGGACATTGGTTGCGAACTTGGTCGACGCAACCGGAGACTGCGCCACCGCCAGTCACTCAACGACAATTTCAGTTGCTTTTTGAGAAATTGGTCGCTTTGGATTATATTATCAGAAATACAGGTGAGAGATTGGAGTTTTTTTTGGAAATTTTTGGAAACAAAAAATATTGCTCACATTCAGAATTTAGAATTGGGAAAACAAAAAACAATTCAGAATTTTGGAACTTTCTGGATTTTTCTCTCATTTTCAAAAATTTTGTTTTGAAGGATTTTCTCAAATATTAATCTGAATTTTTTAACTGTACTAGAACGTCAGAGACATAGGATACCGAAAACTGGTCTAGAAATCCGAAAAAAAATGCTATACATCCAAAGGTCTAAATTTTTGATCATCAATTTTTGGGATGAAAATTCCGAAAAATTTGAAACCCAGTGAAAATTCGTTAATTTTCAAGTTAAAGGAACTTTTTGAGGTTTCATAATTTTTAGAATTTTCAAAAATTTGACATAAAAGAAGGATTTTCTCAAATATTAATCTCAATTTTTGAGTTGTAAACTAGAGGCCTAGAAATCCGAGAAAAATGCTAGGCATTCAAAATTTTTATTATCAATTTTTCTAAGATTCAAATTCTGAGGCTGGCATAAAATTTCTAAAAAAAATGCTAAGCTCCAATTTTCTAAAAGATCCTAGACTGAAAATTCATTAATTTTCAAGTTTCAAATATTTGTTCTAGAATTCTAGCTTTTCTCAAATTTCAGAATTTTTTCACGGTCATTTTTTTCTACAAAAAATTTGTAGTTTTAACTTGATACAAACCAAAAAAAAGTACCAATTTCTAGATCGTGGAAACGACAACTGGTTGATCAAATATACCCAAGCCGATGTAATCGACCGTGCACCAATTCATCAAAACGATATTCCATGTGACCCAGCAAACGCAAAAAATGCGGTAGGTCTAATTTTCTCTACACTATACCGTATACCTCTTTCTCACAATCCCAAATTTAATATTTTAAAGGTACCTGGCGATGACGAGAAGCTGATTGATTTGGTCGACTCGGTGACAATATCCGATGAATGTGTGATTCCAGATGGTGAGTATGAGGATTTCAATGGTCTTTGATGTTGGGGTCGTTGATGTCGGCCGGTATCGACTCCTGAATCGCTGCTCATAAATGAGTAGGCGCGATCGCGCTCCTCAACAGGAGGATCGCTCATTTTTGAGACGAGATTTTTCTGAAAACAAAAAAGATTTTTGTGCGACCACCTAATCAATCTGGTCAAGAAAAGATGAAAAATTGGGAACACGGGAAAAAAGAGAGCCCGCCGGCTGTTACCAACAAAAACAAAAAATAACTAGTAGAAGTGAAAACACATATGAGACGAAAAACAAGACCCGTGGGAGACGGCAGACACTGCTGAAAAGTTCGTCGCCCCTTCGGGCAACGCGCCTCCTCCTCCTTCTCCCAAATGGGTAAACAAGCTCTCTCTCTCTCTATATGATGTGTTTTGTTTTTTGAGAATTTTGAAAAAACAACATACTGTATTCAGCTGTTGTTGTTGATTTTTTTCTGATTGAATGATTTGAGCCAGTTTTGGATCGGGAAATGAGAATTGAAGAAGTGAGATGGGAATTTTCAAGGTTTTTGGGGAAATTATAGGGTTACAATGTGTAACTTACACACTTGAAGGTCTTGGAAGAATTTATTTTTGAAAAAAAAATCAAATGGGAATTTGATTTTTTTTCAGGAGCATGGAAAATTTTCTGCAAAATTTTCCAGAATCTGAATATTTTTTTAGAACTGTAGCAAATTTTGGATCTACTCAAAATTCGATGTAGTCTGAGCAAAAAATAAATTGTGATCATTTGAAAAATCATAGTACCTCGGAGGATTTTTTTCTGGAAGTTTCAAATCCAAACTACTATACCTATGGATTTGCAAGCCAATTTACACGGTGTTTTACTGTTGAACTAATTTTTGAGGAGCTTCTAGAAAAAAATCCTTTACTAATTGCTCTTTCAAATGAGCATAACTTATTTTTTGCTCAGACTCCACCTTTAAAATTTTCAAAAATATCATTGAAAATCTTTTTTTTTGAATTTAATTTGAAATTTTGTCCTCTGAAAATTCAAAAATCTGAAATTCCTCAACAAAATCCCTATATTTCCAGATGAGCACGCAAATTTCGATCCAGCTCCAACTGAAGTCGAATGGGCTGATGTCTCAATTCCAACCGTCGAAATTGCAGCCATCGACAATGGCTTAGCCTTCCCATTCAAACATCCAGATGAATGGAGAGCTTGTGAGTTTTTTTCTCTCGAAAAATGAATTAATCAAATTTTTATCAGTGAGGTCAATTGAGTCATTTTGTTTTTTCCAAAAAAACTGATAATCATTTATTTATTATGTCAACAATTTATTGTCGACATGAAATTTGACACCACCGAACAAGAGGAACATTTTGAAAAACACATCAAAACAACAACTTTTTTTCATCTGCCAGTCTCATTTTCCTATAGTAAACAAAAAACATTGGGTGTTTCATTTTATTTTCAAAACATGCCAATCATCTATTTCTCTCATCTCGGAAAAAATCACAGGGAAAAGAAAGATTGTTTCAAACAAAATTCAAATATGTTCTCAAATTTCAGTTTAATTTTTCGATACACAAAACTGGAACGTGAAAAAAGTTTTTGTTTTGTATGTATGTAAACAAAAATTTACAACACGTATTTTGATTTATTTTTTTTTCTCCCAAAAAAAGATTGGAATGTTGATGGGTACTGTTATCAACTGTGTTTATTTTTTTCTTCCAAAAAATATCACTGTTTTTTTTTTCGGGGCGAAACAGAAACAGTGAGAAAAATAATAATCCAATAACAATATTAATCCGTTTTGGGAAAAATAATAATAATAATAATAATCTGCGTATTTTGTTTTGGTCATTTTTTGGTTTCGGTCAGCAGAAAAAACCAGGGAAAGCAATATTTTTTTCACTGAATGAAGGAAGGGGGTTTTTAGAACACCCTGGAATCTTACTGGGTGGTCTTAGAGGTTAGACCACCCATGGTGTTTTGAGAAGTAGATGAAGCTCAAGGAGATTCTGGGTGGTCCTGGAGGTTCGGTAAAATGTTGAGGATTTAGATGAACGTTTTTGTTTCATTTTCCAAGTGATTTTGAAACAGTATGGGTGGTCTATCCATGAAAAATTCAAGGACCACCCTAGAAGTCGGAAAATCCCTATTCTTACATTCTACAACACCAAAAAAAAGACCACCCAAGAAGTTTTCTTTATCTCGTTTTTCCAGACGGTCTGTACATTTTCATTTTGAATTTCAAAATTCCAAATTCTCACTTTCACCTTCTTTTTTTTAAATCGAAAAACCCCACACTATCAATCAGAAAAGTGTGAAATTGAAACATGTTCTATCAAACAGGTTCAAAGAACACTTGCAAAAGCCAACCCAAAAAAAGTAATGTGCTTGTTTTTCACTTGGCGCCCGTCGTGTACTGTATGCACTTTTTGACAAATACTAAACGAAAAAAAAACATCTGGGAACAAAACATTGTTTTTTTCATCGTTCTCTCTTTTTTTTTGAATGAATGAATGAATGGCAATAACAAAATACAAAGTTGACTGGCGGCAGGCAGGGGTTTCCCAAAACAAATAAATTTGAAAATAAAAAACAGATTGTTCTATTTTTGAGTCGCAACATTTTTTTTGCAGATCCATTTGGTTGGGCGCTTTTACCGCAAGCACGAATCCCATTCTCACAAGAAACTGTTGATCTACTTTTGCCCAAATTGGATGACACCAAATTTGTTCGTGAACTTTGTGAAGATTTACGATTGGTCTTCAAAAATGACAAGGGTTTCGACAAGAAGATTTTTGAGAAACAAATGTCGGTGATGCGAGGACAGATATTCAATTTAAGAGAGGCGTTGATGAAAAAGAAGAGTCCTTATGAATTGATTCAGGTGAGGCGAGAGGGACACACTGTGTTTACAGGTTGAAGTGCGAAGAAACAAATGATCATAAAATTTGTTGTTGATTGTTTTGAAGAACGTTTTATGATCATGATCGTTATTGGGTTTTGTTTGATTTAAAAAACTTGAAACTGAAAAAAAAGGTGAAACTTGGGATATTTTGATTTTTAAACAAAGTTTGGGACCGAAAAAAAGTTCGGATAGAATTTTGAAACTTGGTTAAAAATTCATTTGAATTCAGAATTTTTGTTCAAAACCTAATTAGCCTGAAAAATAAAAAAATTGATTAAACTTGATTTTGCAAAATGTGATCTACAGTAATACCACAGTAGTCGAAGAGATTTAAAATGTTTTGGACTAATTCCTAGCAGTATTTTTAAAAATAAAAATCAACCACTTTCTTATTTTATCATTGAATGACTCTACAGTATTTCGAGAAATTTTGGAATTTTTCGGAATTTTTAGCTGAAAATTTTCATTTCCAAAAAAATTGTGATTCTCAAAAAATGTAACTTTTATGAATATCATGAAAAAATTTCATTTTAATGTTTTCCCCGACTCTTCCGATTTTGAACTTTATTTTTCAAATCACAGAATTTTATTTTTGCAAAAATTCTACAAAACTTCAGAACCCCCTTCTATTCACATTACAAACTTGATCTTCTCTTCTCCTCTGTTCTTATTTTTTTCTGATCTTTTTTTCCATTTTCATTACATCAAAAAAAAAGCCCGCGCTAATGAACCCATCCCGGAACTTTTACTTTCTTCTTTTTCCATCTTACAAAACAACAAAATGTTTTTTTTCCAGATGCCTCCTCAATTAATGGTCGAAGTGAAGCAAAAGAAAAAACGATCAAAGAGATTGAGAAATTTGGAATATGAAGAAGCGCTAACCTATGATTGTAAGCAAATTTCCAAAAAAAAACATGTCAAGTATTCTCAAATTTTCAGCTGATTCTGTATTGAACTCTTCATCAGAGCAACAACCTCGCACCACTCAAGCTACTCCAATTCAAGATCAACCTGGACCATCAACTTCCACATCACCACCCGAAGTCGCAAGCTCGCCAACATCTCGCGGCTCAAAATCGTGGCAAGAAACATATCAGCAAAAAGTTCAAACTACGGCACCATTCTTTAGATGGTGGTGATGTCTCTTCTCTCAAAATTATTAACCCCGGTGTTTCTAACACGGTGTTCTGAGCTTTATATATATATTGTTTATTTTCTATATTGTAATCCTTCCCTTTCATCATATCTTTGTAGAAAAATAATGTAAAATAAAATGACTAACACGGTATTTCATGACTCTCTCTCTCTCCACAATGATTTTCCATTTTTTTTTTCTGGTTGTAAATTATCTCCGTTTTCTTTTCTCGATTCGTTTTTGTTGTGTTGTGTTGTGACATAAAGAGTTTTCTGTAGAAAAAAAGTTTCAAAATCACACAGACCTCAAAAATAGTCATAAAATATTGTATCAATTATATTTTGTGCTACCGTAATCTAGAAGCAATCAAATTATTTTTATCACATAAAAAATGATGGGACAATAAAAATTATACAAATTGGACCATTATCAATAAGAAAATAAATACAGTAATCCTAGGAGTTACATAAAATTATGCAAATTGGGCCAATATATTTTATAGCTACCGTAATCTCAATTAATTTATCAAAAGCAATACGATAAAAATGATGGGAGCATGAAAATTATTACAGTAACCTTTTTATTTTGATCTAGATTCTAGAAGTTTGAAATCCAATTTTCCATATCTATCAAATCTTGAATTGAAAATCCAGGTGAACCTATGATAATTCAAACTCAAAAAGGCTGATTTGCGAACGAAAAAATGTTAAAAATGATTTTGAAAGATCAATCCACGAAAATTCAAAAAAATGTCAAAAAAAAATTGTAGGTCAAAATTAATTTTTCAGCCAAAAAAAAAATGACAAATCGAGATTTTTGAAGCTTCTGAGATAGGTTCTGATGAAAATAAGCTTCGAACTTTTTCAAATTTTATGAAAAATTCGTCAAAAGCTTCAAAAATCTCAATTTGTCATCATTTTTGGCTGAAACACTCGGAAAACTATTTTTGATCTACAATTTTTGACATTTTGTTAATTGTTAAAAAACATTTTTCAACATTTTTTTCATCCGTGAATCAGCCCTGAAATAATCTTACCAATCAAAACATATTTTTGCTGAAAAATTTTCATCCAGAATTCCAGATTTCCAGCAACTTCTGTTTTGTTTTTTTACATCAACAAGTTCCAGAAAAATCTCTTATATTTTTCAAAAAGCATCAAATTTCAAAACATATTTTCCATCTCTCCTTCGTTTTTTCGTTCAAAATAAAATCAAGAATCTATTTTTCCAATCATTCACTTTCAAAAATGATGGCGACGAATGTTTATACGATATAATTAGGTAATGAGAACAGATAAAAATTGATAAAAAGATGGATGGATTAGGGTCAAAAGATATCCAAGGACACGCCAAAAAAATCTCTTGTTGTTTTCTTATGCTGACGTGGCGTAACCTTGTTAGTTAGATAGTTAAAAAGTTTTGTTTATAAATGAAATGTGTAATAAGTGAAAGAGAAATCGTGGAAGTTTCGGGAAGAAAAATTGGGTTATTTAAACTGCCTACCAATTTATTATTTTATTGTTATTTTCTTATTTTAGCTTGGATGGAGAAAGTTTTGTTTACAACATAAACTATACGAATGTTTATTTTTATTCTGTCTTGGTTTTTTTTGCTGACTAAAGTGCAAATGATTTTTGCAGCATCTGGTATGATGTGGCGCTTTTTTTTGAGGTTTAATTAATTAAATGTGAGTGTGAGATTGAGATGGCCTAGTTTTTCAGAAAATAAAAACTAATTTAAGAATCGAACACTTTGAAATTGAAAAAAAATATGAAACTTGGAAAAAGTCAAAAATGTTTCAGTATTCTCAGATTGAGATTTGAAACCTTTTTTTTGGAAAAGTTAGCTCTTCTTCTAAATTGGTTCAAGTTGTTCTTCCTGGCTCAACACACCCGGTTTTTTCTCAAAAAACTTTTGAAAGCTGTTTGATCATCCGATTCGTCGGAATTCCGTGTCAGTAGAAATTTATGAATCTTGTACTTGACTCAAAATACAGGTTTTCCCATTCCTGAAGTTCGTTCAAGATTCTGATCTTCAGGCTTCAGATTTGTTCGAGATTCTGATCTTTAGGCTTCAGATTTGTTCAAGAATCTGATCTTCAGGTTTGAATAAGTTTTGGAAACATCTTTCACAACAATACTTTTCCACGTTTCAAGAACATTCTATTTCAAATTCAAAATCTTCAATTCGAACTTTCACAATTTTCCACCAAGGCTTCATTTTTTCTAGAACTCGTATCAGTTTTCGAAACCCTCTACCCCTGGATCGTAAAATTTCGAATTTTCCAGAAATCATATGTACATTCCCCTTGATATAATCCATCTTTTCATTAGTACACATCTTCTCGAAACTTCTTCCTTCTCCTCTTTTCTCATCTCCGACACCAGATTGATTGTACACGTGGACGAACGCAATTCGAAGACGACGCACACACAGAGAGACACTCTTGGGTCATTCACCATCCTCTCTCTCTCCACATCTTGCATACTATTTCGCATATAGTTTGGGTCCAACACAACGCACAACAAAAAGTGTCTGCCGCTATGCCGAAATAGTAAGAGATGGAAAAGAAAAACGAGGACAACAGCCGCTAGTGACCCCCCTATTTCTCCTATTCATTCTTTCCATCTTCTTCATTCCTTCTTCTTCTCATCCCGTTGACCATTTTCGAAACTGTCAAATCATTATTCTTATTATTATTATAATTTTCATTAATAATAATAATAATATTTAACCCAATTGAGAACTTTAGAAAAAAGAAAAAGAGATAGGTTTGTGTGTATGTGTGTGCAAAGTGTCAATAGAAAATGTTTTGTGAGTGACAGTTCTGTGGCGCGGCCAACCGTCAACTTTTTTCCCCCCACAATTTGCCTTCATATATTTATGGTGTCTTCTTCTCTTCACAGATTCTCTTTTTTTTTGTACTTCTGAAAAATTCTTCATAGATATTTTTGCAGTTAGACCATGAGAAGTGCCTTAGTGATCATCGCGTTGGTTGGCGTTTGTTTGGCGTCGCACCATTCAGCGGATCCATCAAAGGATTCGGAACACATCAAGGGAAAAGAGCACGATGCGAAATATGATCATGATCAATTTTTGGGCAAGGATACTGCGGCCGAGTTTGACGAATTGACACCAGAGAAATCCAAGGAGAAATTAGCGTGAGTTGAAGATCTTGTAAAGGTTTTGAGATCTTGCGGTTCAAAAAGAAGTACCGCATTATCAGATCATTGAACACTCAATTCGATCAGATAGATTTTGTATACAGTAGAATCGTGAGGCCAAGTGATTCAAATGAATCAGTACAGTTTTCTGAGCTTCAGATTTTTACTCACACAAAACGTTTAAAATTTTCTTGATCAAATAGTTTTTTTTTGCAGTTTAGGTACTGTATTTCAGGTTATGATTAATTTTCAAACAGTAACCAGAACTCACAGATTTTTTGAGCCTGGCTCAGAGTTTCCTAATTTTCTAATAAAATCTGGTTATGCATCCAGAACAGTAAATCGATTCTGAATTCTTTTTAGATCAACTCAAAAAACTTTCCCCCGATTTCCTTTCTAACTCTCATAAATCCAATATTTTCCAGTAAACTCGTTCCAAAAATGGACTCGAACACTGACGGATTTGTTGAAGAAAACGAGTTGAAAGATCACATCAACTTTATGCAAAAACGTTACGTCAACAACGATGTTGAGAGAACCTGGAAGAACTACAAAGCGGAAAAGATTGTCGATGGCAAAATCAAATGGGCCGATTACCGCGAAATGGTCTACGGATCAGCCGACGGTGCTGGACAAGAAATCTCACCAGAATACAAGAAAATGATTGCTAGAGATGAGAAACGTTGGGCTGTCGCTGATTACGATTCGAATGGCGCTTTGGATCGAACTGAATATGGATGTTTCATGCATCCAGAAGATTGCGATCATATGAGAGACATCGTTGTCGCTGAAACCGTTGATGATATCGACAAGAACAAGGATGGAGTTGTTGATTTGGAAGAATACATCGGTGATATGTACAGACCAGAAGATTATCCAGAATTGAACGGAAAGGAACCAGATTGGGTTCAATCGGAACGCGAAATGTTCAAGGAGCACAGAGATAAGGATGGTGATGGAAAATTGAACCAAGAAGAAATGCGCGATTGGATTATGCCAGTCGGTTTCGATCACGCTGAAGCTGAAGCTCGTCACTTGGTTGGAATTGCTGATGATAACAAAGATGGAAAACTCTCCCTTGAAGAGATTGTTGCCCATTATGATACTTTCGTCGGATCGCAAGCCACCGATTATGGAGAGCAACTTCAAAAACACGATCCAGCTGAGCTCTAAACATCCTGTCCTTTTTGATGGGCGCAACTTAAACTACAATGAAAATAATAATAATAATAATGTATGACTGGTCATTTTCTCTCTATTTTTTATATTCTCACATCACAATTACATGTATTACATAAATGAACTTACAATAAATTATTATTTGAAAATCTTGAAATTCACAAATTCAAAATTCAGAAGAATTATAAAACATATAGAAGGATAAGGAGAGGAGATATCGGCAGATTTATTGACCTGATTGATTTTACTTTCATTACAGACATGAACATCTTTTTGCCTGCGTTTCTTTGCATTTTTGTCTCTGTCCTCTTTTGCGCAACAACCCCGCGGCCTAGTTAACGCGACAAATTTTTCGTCATACTTTCAATTGAATTAATTTTGCGAATTGTATAAGAGGGGAACGCAAAGGCGCTATGCGATTTTTTGTGATATTTGCGATTATTGATTGGTTTTGGATTGGTTATGTTGGAGGATTTGATGTGCCGTGTTCACGTGAGTTTTTGGGTTTTTGGAACTTCAAAATTTGATCTGCCTGAAAAACGATCATAGTTTTTCAGTAATAAATTTCTGATTGCTTCAAAAAATAGGGTATCTTTGGGATTATGAACTTCAAATAACTGTTATTACATGAGAAGATCTTGAAATTTCATATCAGTTCTTCAAAATTTCAGCACAAAATCTAGAATTTTTCTGAATTTTTTTCTCTTAATATGGACACAAAGGGACAAACATGAATTTTAAAATTTCACAATTAAAATACTTTTAATTATATTTTTCCAAAAAAAAAGACACATTTCTCGATTTTCACAGAAATCTAGTTTCAATTTCAATTTTCAGAAAAACTAATCGGCAGCGATTGTGCGTTTGATGAAGAATGTTATGGTATGAATTCAGTATGTCGAAACAATCGATGTACTTGTCCAACAAATTTCGAAGAATTCGATATAGATGAGCGAACAACAATTTGTCGATTAGGTTCGTTTTTTTTCATTAGCTTCATTACAAAAATATAATGAGTCATCAAGCTAATTTGGAACCAGTTTAGCACCTGCCAAGATAGGAGATTCATGCCAAAGAGATTGTAAACCGCCGTTGTTATGTCGTGATGGAAAATGCGAATGTTGGGGTGGAAGTATTGTTGATGGCAAATGTGTTGTTCGTGAGTAAATGGTTTGAGTGGGAAAAGTGAATTTAATCCCGTTTGAAAAATTTGGAACTCTAGATTTTTTGAATTGGCAGAAAACAATAAAAGAACGTTTAAAAATTGGATTTTTTTCTAAATTTTGAACGAGAATTTATGAAAATTTATGTAAAAAAAATTGTGAACGTGTTTCTAAAAAAATAAATATTTTCCAGAAATTTCAAAATTTCAGATTCTTTTGAAGTTCAAAAAAAATTATTTCTGCATTTTTCCCTCTAACAATTGTTATGTATTTCAAAAGAATTTGAAATTTTCATTTTGAAAATCGCAGTTCAAAAATTTTGAGAAAGTTTTCAGTGTTACGACATTTTCAGATCGCTAAAACCTAGTATTTAATTTTAAGTGTGAAATATTAAACTTGAATCTGACTCAATTTAAAAAAATTGAGAAAAAAACGTGTTAAAACAAATAGAAAACGTGTTTAAAAAATTAATAGTTCAGAAATTTTAAAATGTTAGATTCTTTTTGAAGTCCAAAAAATATCTGTCACTCTGTATTTTTTAAATACAGAGTGACAGAAATTCAAAAATCTTCAAAGAAATCCCAAAAAAAAATCAATATTTTCAGCCTGCCCCGCTGGTCAACAACTCTATGGTGTAGAATGCACCAGAGTTGCACACTATATGCAACCGTGTGAAAAAGACAGTCAGTAAGTAAAACTTTTTCAAAGTCAAAACAAAACACTTTTTTATTTTCACATAAAATTATTCCAGATGCGTAGATCCATTCAATTCCTGTATCGCTGGAACTTGTCAATGTGCTCCAGGAACAACAAGAGATACAACTCGAGGATTTTGTTATGCTGGTTAGTTCCCTCAAATCTCGCTAATCCTTTTTCTTTGTCGAACAATGTCACAAAATATTTGATTAATTACAATTTAATTCGAGTCAACCAAATGACACAAAAAGGAGAGAGAACGAGCGAGAGAAAAATTAGCATAAATTGCCCGATTTTGTTGCAGTTTGTCCAGACGGCATGCATCCACGTCAAACGTGTCGGCGTCTTTTCATCAACGATATCGACATGCTTGAAAACGCGGCGAACACAGACAGTTGTCCGTTGGGTTATCGATGTGTGACGTATGGTAGTCCCTATGTGGGACATTGTTGTCGTTTGAGATGTCCATATGGTGAGCCGGATTTGAGCCAATCTTGCGATGCTGGAGCATCGCCTGATGCCAAATGTCGGCCACTTACACACTTTTGTTTCACGATTACTGAACCAGGGTGGGTTTTTGGATTTTTCAAATGTTTCTCGGAAAAATGTTATTGAACATTCAGAAAATAAATCACAATTTTCAGATTTTTTTTTCGTAAGAATTATATATGTTTTGAAAAACAGTGTTTGAAAATAAATTTTCATAGAACTGTTTTGAATCCTGAAAATATTTTAATTTTTTCTGGATACACGTGGGTTTTGGAATTTAATTTAAAAATAATATTAATTTTTTTGTTTGGTTTTTTTCTAAATCGAATCTGAAAAAAGCACTTCGAATGTTTTTCCAGAAGTTTTTTCAGAATTTTCAAATTTCGAAAGTTTTTTGAATCTTTAAAAGAAATCTGTGTCGAAAATCAAGCACAAAACGCAATATTTTGATTTTCTGGAAGTTGACTTTTTCCAAATTCTCTAGAGAGTTATCTATTTTCAGATTCTCAAGAATCAAAAGTTCAAGTATTTTTTGAAAAACATTGCTTAACTTTATTTAATTTTTATACTTTTCATTATCTAATTAAATATTCTTCTAGCCATTCTGTTTCAGATGGAAATCTTCTCTCTGCTGTCCTCGACCATGTCGGGATCCCACTCCACTCTACGTGAATGGCCAGTGTTTATCGATTGCTCATCGTGGAGATCCGTGTCAAATTGATCAACAATGTGAAGGTGGAATCACAATGTCTTGTGCACTTGGAACCTGTCAATGCAAGTTAGGATATCATGAGGTTTGACTTTTTCAGGCTTCTTAAGATCCATAGGCTTAGGCTTTTTAGTGGAACCCATTTAAAACCCCAGCATAAGAGAGAAAAAATCCGTTTTTTGAAATTGGAAACCCCTGATTTCGCAACATTTTATTTCAACACCCTGTACTTAACCCTCTAAACAATCCAATTTTTCCCAATCCAATTATTTTTTTTTCCTTTGTTCAGAACAATGATGATCGTTTCCCCACCTGCACCAAAGATTGTACTTTGGAAGAAGTTGCGAGTACCGACAGATGTTTAGCAAAGGTTTGCCATTTTTTTTGTTGGAAAATCTTATCTATTCAAAAAAAAATTTTTTTTCAAGGTCCAACTTGGTCACAGATGTTATTCAAATAAACAATGTCCCGGTTTTGCTGAATGCCGATTTGGAACATGTCAATGTTTGTGTGGATATAAAAAAGTGAAGGTAAAAGGGGGAAAATGTGCATTTTTTAGTAGTGGAGAAAAAAGAGCTGATTTGAAATTCATGAAGGGTGTTCGCTGCAGGTTGATGAATGCTTAGAAAATCAAGGAGATCAAATGAAAAGAAATGGGAAAGGCTAAGGTTTTCAGACAAGACATGTAAATTAAGAGAATATTTGCATTCGTTTCAGTGAGAGATCAAAATCGAGCACGGTGTTTCACAGTTTTTAAAAACTTTGAACTTGTTTTAGTAATGTTGGAAATTGTTTATACCTGAATAAATTTAGCATAAGTCTTCCCGAACCCCTCAAATTTTTGAAAAAATATCTTTATTCCCTTTTTCTTCTTACAAAATTTTTTTCATTTTTTTAGATGTGGAATATTTCGAAATCCCCATATCAAATAAAAAAAAAACAATGAATTTAATTTGAAAATTGTTTTTCTGACTCATATTATTTTTCATCAACCAAAAAAAAATCCCATATTATTTTTTTCAGGATAACTTGCTGGGATTACGATGCACAAATCCCGATGATCCGCTCAGCTTATCAACAATCTTAGACGGCGTCGGACAATTCTTCGGAAATCGTCGCGGTTCAACAAAAAAATGAGAGAACAACTAACAACTTCAGAAACTTTGTAATTCTCGGGTTCACTTTTCTGTAAATAAAATAAAAAATAAAATATTTTTGAACTTCTAAAATTTATGTGAATCTTTATTATTGCAATCTCAGAATGTTGCGAGAAGAGAAATATTTCATTTTTTTTGGTTGATTTTCGGGTATGTGTCAAAGTGACTTCTCATACAATTAAAAGCAAAAAACAACCAAACACAAAATTTGAACAAACATTATCAAAACAATATCCCTAGAAGATGAAAAACTGAAACCTATCAAATTATTATCATTATCATTATTATGCCTAGAGGGGGTGAAAGAAAACTACTACCGGGGTAGTATTTTAGGAACAAGGAAAATAACAACAAAAACAAAAAGAAATATGAATCAATTAGTCTCTGGGAGGAGATATGGTGAAGATACGAAGCCTAATTTTGAGGGCGAATTTTTACAAATAAATTGAAATAAGAAAGCACAGTGACAGAGAAAATGAAAAATTATGCAAAAAGAAAAGAAATCTTTTGTTTGAGCTTGGAGATGACAAGGATTTTATAAAAAAAAAGAAGAAGATGAAGAAAAGAATAGAGGAAAATAAACGGGGTGAAGAAATACACACAGTGTTTAGAAGCATTTGCGGTGAACAATTGATGGGCCGGACTCGTCGTATTCTTGCTTGGAGATCCACATTTGTTGGAAGGTTGAGAGGGAAGCCAAGATTGATCCTCCGATCCAGACGGAGTATTTACGCTCTGGTGGGGCGATGATCTTGATCTTCATGGTGGATGGGGCGAGGGCGGTGATTTCCTTTTGCATACGATCGGCGATTCCTGGGTACATGGTGGTACCTCCGGAGAGGACGGTGTTGGCGTACAAGTCCTTACGGATGTCAATGTCGCACTTCATGATGGAGTTGTATGAAGTCTCGTGGATTCCAGCTGATTCCATACCCAAGAATGATGGCTGAAAAGAAACAGATTGTCATGGAATATTTCCTTGGGAAAGCTTCAAAAGGCTTCTGAGGTCTAGGGCCTTTAGAAGCTTCCAAAAGGCCGCAGAATCCTCTAGAAGATTTCAAAAGCTTGGAAGTCTTCCGATGACCTCGGATGCTTTCGAAAAGTCTCAGAAACCTTGAATCAAAACTCACTTGGAAGAGGGCTTCTGGACAACGGAAACGTTCGTTTCCGACGGTGATGACTTGTCCGTCAGGAAGTTCGTACGATTTCTCGAGCGATGATGATGAAGCGGCGGTGGCCATTTCTTGTTCGAAGTCAAGAGCAACATAGCAGAGTTTCTCCTTGATGTCACGAACGATTTCTCTTTCGGCGGTGGTGGTGAATGAGTAACCACGTTCGGTCAAGATCTTCATCAAGTAATCGGTCAAGTCACGTCCGGCCAAATCGAGACGGAGGATGGCGTGTGGAAGAGCGTATCCTTCGTAGATTGGAACGGTGTGGGTGACACCATCTCCGGAATCGAGAACAACTCCGGTGGTACGTCCGGAAGCGTAAAGCGAGAGGACGGCTTGGATGGCGACGTACATGGCTGGGGTGTTGAAGGTCTCGAACATGATTTGAGTCATCTTTTCTCTGTTAGCCTTTGGGTTAAGTGGGGCTTCAGTGAGGAGGACTGGATGCTCTTCTGGAGCAACACGGAGCTCATTGTAGAAGGTGTGATGCCAGATCTTCTCCATATCATCCCAGTTGGTGACGATACCGTGCTCAATTGGGTATTTCAAGGTGAGGATACCTCTCTTGGATTGAGCCTCGTCTCCGACGTACGAGTCTTTTTGTCCCATACCAACCATGACTCCTTGATGTCTTGGGCGTCCGACAATTGATGGGAAGACGGCACGTGGAGCGTCATCTCCGGCGAAACCGGCCTAAAATTTTTTTTAATTATTATTCCTTTGGTTTGGTATGGATCAAAGTTTTGAAACTGTGTTTTTTTAGTGCAAAAGGCTATTGACATTGCGGCCGGCGAGCACGAGAGCAAAACAAACAGATCTTTGCTTCACGCTTCGCTTCATATCACAGCCCCGAAATTCTCATTTTTCCCGAGAATAACATAACATATGAATAATAATATGAAAAGGTCACACACCGGCTATCAATCACCACCTCACAGAATTTCGAGGGTCGACCTTGACTTTGTTGGGGGTGGCTGGTCAAAACGAGGACATATCTATCACCTCATAATTTCAAGAAGATGGAAAATGGTTGTTCTACATAATTCGTGTTTTTTTTTCTACATCTTCTTGTTGAAATGAAAAGAGAGGCAAAATAACAAGTGTTCTTGTTGTCTGCGCAAGGCTATGTACAAAAATGGATGGATGAAATTAGATAATTGAGGGAGATGTCGAAAATTATGGTTAATGGGAATTATGTCCGGTATTTCTAATTCTATTCCTACATATTCCTATTCTTAAATAAAAAAATGTTTCTCTTAGAATTAGAATCAAGGAATTTTGGGATTTGGGCTAACTCACTTTGCACATTCCGGATCCATTGTCAACTACAAGAGCGGCTACCTCGTCGTCACACATTTTGAAACGATCTGAAATGAAAATATATTGAGTTAGGAGACCTTTTTAAAAAAAAATATCAAAAAGCCAAAGAGAGAGTCCCAAAAAAAGTGGCCCAAAAGAAAAAAATACGAAAATAAATGTGTGTATGTGTGCTGCACAATAGTGATGGTGCCTCCCCTCTCCACTCTCTTTTTATACCAGGGCACGCTACGCGACCGCTGCGCACTACTGCCATTGGACAGTTACCGCCATCTTCTGACTCCGCCCACTTTTCCTCCTCCTCTTTTTCCTCTATGTGTGTGTGTTTTTTGGGATGAAAAAGAAGAAGAGGGGTATGAAGAAAGAGGCGTCCTTGTTGTGTTGGCGCGGCGCCAAGATTTTTTTGGCGCCAAAAAGGGGTGGCTTGGGCTTGGGAAAAGCAGGAACAGATTGGGAACTATGACACTTCGGGAAGGCAGTAGAATAGGAAAGAAAAAAGGAGAAGAGATTAGGGGGGTCGTGCGCAAATAGATTGAAAATTTGCATAATGTCAGTTTGAATTAGGATCGAAGATCCGATCAAGAAGAATATGGAAAGAAAAGGAAAAATATATATACTACATATACCATGCGTACTATATGTATATGAAAAAAATGAATATATTCAAATTTTTTTAGGCGGGGAGAGAGAGAGGGACAAGATGAGTCACAGGTTTTTATGTGTTTTTTCTGGCGTCCCTTGCGAGTGTGTGTGTGTGAAAATGTTGTGTCCTTCTTCTTCTTCTTCCCCTAACTAATTGTGTTCTGTCCTTTTCCGAGTCTTGAACAAATCCGGTATCCGATTTCAATAGGTTTTTTTGCCGCAGCAGAATTCTCCTTCCAATAAATTTTTTGGTTGAGAAAAAAAATTGTGTTGAAAAAAAAGAAGAGAAGATAAAAATTCCCGGGAAAAAGTGGCACACTGGTTGATTATTACACAAAAAAACGTTTTTGCCAATGAATGAATGACTACACACATTGCGTGGGGGATTTTTGTTGCGGAGCACACGGAGCAGCAACAGAAGTGGGAGAGAACGACGCAGCAGGGGAAAAAAAGAAAAGACACAACACAACAGTTGATCAAAATAAATTTAGTTGGCAGGATGAAATGGATGAGCAAAGATTTTGGAATGGCTTGGATTTGAGGGGTTCGAAATATGATTAGGGAAGGCATTTTGGAAGTTTTGAGAGTTTCAGGTTTTTTTTTGAGAAATCCAAATATTCTGAAGTTTCAGAGTTTCTGAAATTCAATATCGAAAGCTGGAAAAATATTTCGAATCATTGGTAGGTTTTCTAGGAATTTCAGAATTTTTTTCATTCAGGAAAATTTTCAAAAATGAAAAATTCCTGAGAATTTTCATATGCTTCTGGATTTTCTAGAAAACCTTGTGTTAATTTTTTTCTAAATAATTTCCAATAAAAATTCCACTGCTTCCCACTTTTTTCCAGAACTCCTCAACTTATCTTTATGTATTTATCCATTCTATTTCTTTTAATAAATCCCAACAATCCGTGCAAATTTTATTTGCACAAACTTCAATTCCCAATTATTTTCTTGCTAGATGTAAGAAAAAAAACGTTCTAAAATTGTATGTTTTTGTTTCTCTCTCTCTCTTTCTAAAAATATAATCATTTCGAAATTCGAAGAAACATGAATCATTATGAGAAACAAAAAATAATAACATTTTTTGTTTTGTTTCGGAACGCCGGGAAGCGCACATTTCTTAGAACCAGCGCTTTTTTATTTTGTTTCAAATTGAAATAAAATAAAATAAAGTTTCCGGAAATAAAACATGTGGAGGAACGCGGCAAGACAAAAAACAAAAAAAAACAGGGGGGGGGATAATTGTTTGGGTTAACCTTGATAGATATCTTTTTGTTTTATCCCACCAACCCATATTTACATATCTAAAGGGGGGGGGGCAAGAAATGATGTCATAAGTACACCCTGGTGCTTGGTGATATAGACAGTTGAGTCATCAACATAATGTAGCAGGTGCTAAATGTCAGTAGACATTTTTTGGTTTGGTTTGGGCAAGAAGGGCGCGCGCGCGCGAACGCTGGACTGATTGATTTTTGAAGGAATGGTGTGGGGGGAGTAAGGAATATTGCGAAATCGGGGAACAATTATGGAGGGGGGGATTGGGTAATTTTTGGGAACAATTTACAATCCTTGACAAATCTGAAAATTGAAATAGTTTTTTTTAAAACTCAATTTCAGATTTAACTTGAACTGTTCGTAGCTTATTCGATTTTCCGGAAATTTCATCCGAAAAAGTGATTTTTAGTAGTAATATCTTCAAGATCACCCAATTTTTTGAGACTTTTCTCACAGTCTGACAAAAAATCTGAATATTTTTAAAATTTTGATTTTTAGAACTGAAAACATCGTAATCGGTAAATAGACAAATTCCAGGTAGAACAACCAATTTAGTGCTGAAATTCAAAATTTTAAGACTTAAATTTAAAGATTTATCCAGATTTTCCTAATTTTCCGGGCTCATATTCCTTGAATTCAAGGGTATTTAGGCTATGTTAGTTTTCCACTTAAATTTGAGCCTTTAATTAAATCTAGTCTTAGAATCAGACCTTAAAATCAGGCTGATAGATTTTTTGTGATTTTTTCTAGCTCACTAGAAACACTAGAAAAATTTCCCAGATCGAACACCATTATCAAAATTCACTTTTTTTCTCATCACAAAAATGCTCTCTCGTGTGGGAGCAGCAGAAGCAGCAAAGCTAAGCTAAGCAAAAGCTCTCAAGAGCAAGCACACAACAAATTCCACGCCGTTCATCTCTTCTCTTTTTTTTTTGTTTCTTTATCTTTTATTAAAGCTCGGTCTGTTGCTCGTAGGAGGAGAAGGAAAAGTAGTGGCAATTCGCAGAAATAATCATCATCGGGTTGAGATTTTATTGTTTGTCGAGTGTAAGTGTAATGCTACGGGAGCCTCAGCGAAGAAGATCGAGGAGAAGAAGATGAAGAAGAAAAAATGGATGGATAGGCGAGGGAGGATGCTCTTTTGTAGTAAATGTATATAGATTTTGATATATATATATTCGTAACGTATTTATCCATTATTGAAAAAAGATGAAGAAGAGTCGAGTTGTAAAATGGTCTTCTTCCACTTTGCTTTTTCAAGGGGGGGGGGGTCATTTATCATTTTTGACGATGATGAAGATGAAGATGATAATAATAATAATAATAGTAATAATAACAGGAATCGGTTAGGTTGAGAAGAAACGAGAAGGGGGGGGGTGTGATAATTATCTTGATCAAGATAGTTTTCTGCATCGGATATACTCTTCTTTTTTTGACCCGTTTATGGGTGAATAGTTTGGGAATAGGTACAAAGATTTGATGAGAAGAGGGGGGGGGGACGATTTTTGAAAATTATGGAATGAAAGATGTGGGGAGAATCTGGATTCTGGATTGATTTTGAATTATTTTACATAAATCTTCTCTAGGAATTTTTACGTTTCCGCTTTAAGGTTTTACGGTTCGAAAAATCGCAAAATAATTCGTTAAAAAACTTTTTGAGAGAATAACTTGAAGCAAAAAAAACACAAATTTTTTTGAATAAAGCTAATCAATTAAATTCTAATTAATTTATTTTTGAACGGATATGAAGAATAATATTGTTAAAATTATGTTGGAGTTACGGTAAGTTTTCAATTTTTATATACATTTTTTGATATTTTCAGTGAAAAATTTGAGGAAAAAATTTTTACGAATTTTAGGTTTTCTAGAACCGTAAAACCTTTTCAGGTCGACGAAAGATAACTAAAAATTCAAAGTTTTGTTCTGAAACTTTTTTTTCCAAAAAAAAAACATCTCGATTTATCTTGCTACCTGAAACAAAATTCTGAGCAGCCAAAAATTCATGAATAAGTTCCTCAAACTTTCTATTCTCATTTCTATAGAGATTCTATTTTCAAAGATCAAGTGACTCTTGAAACTCTATGAAAAATTCAAATGATTTTGTGTTCCTCGATCTTTTTTCGTATCGAAATTGTTTTCCTGGAATTTGGGGATCGAAATCTCATTTCTCCTTTATGTTGAAAAATTTCAAGTCACAAACCATGAAAAAATCACAATTCCAAAGATCATACAAAATCAGGGTCAAAACATCATAACCCAACTTCAACGACTCTCGCAAAAAAACCCGCTTGCTTTTCCTTATAACCTTCAGAATGATGATTTTGATGCGTGTTTTTTTCCCACCTAATCCACCTATTTTCTTTCTAGAAAACAATTGTCTAAAACAAAAAGTGAAATCGTTATTTTGATTTTACCTCTAATCGCATAATTGTTCAAGAAGCATTATTTATGTGTATTTCTTTCGAAAATTGTTTAGATGGATTGAAAATAGAAATGAAATGAATGAAAAACGGAAAACTGAGACGGGAAAGATTTTTGGGGGGTTTTAGACCAAAATATTTTTTGATGTAAGGGAAAATATTGAAAATAAAATAAAAAAGTACTCGCAGTTTCGCTTTGGAAATTTTTCAAATAATGACAACTAAAATTATAGATTTGATTTGTTGGGAAAGATTAAGAAAAACGATTATTGGAAAATTATATTACATAAGAAACCCTTAATAATTTGTTATTTTGAAATAAACAATGGGAGAGAGAGAGATCAAAAAATTGTGGATTGTTGGTGAAGTTTCTTGACACTCATTGTTCGACGATGATGTTGAACACATCCGAAGGAAAGAAGATCGCGGAAGCATCTTCGGAAATCACCGTTGTACATTGTGTAGATTATTGGATTCAGCACCTGGAATTTAAGAATGTGAGGGGTTTTTTTTTCAGAACTTTTTTTCTCAGAAACTGCAAAGGAGCGAATCGAAAACAGCTCCTGATCGTTAGAACCTCCACCAAACTCACCGAGTTCGAATAGCCCAACCAAAGAAAAAATTCATTGGTAACTCGATACACTTTTGTTCCAGTCACATTTTTCGACAAAAACACTTCCACCACATACATGATGAAAAATGGCATCCAGCAAATAATGAATCCTGAAATTTTTTTTGATTTTGTCAGGAATTCAGGAGAATTTGCATACCCAAAACAACGATTCCAATAGTTTTGAGCGCTTTTCGTTCTCTCAAGTACACCATTTTTTCTTTTGATCCTCGAACAGCTTTGCCAGGTCCATTGATTTGATAATGTTCGTGAGCCTGGAATTTTTTCACTGATTTATGATTCAATGAGTTGAGCTCACCTTTTGCAACAAATTACTTGGTTGAAGTCTTGCATTAGCTTGTTTAGCTCGCTTGCTCAAAGAAGGCGCCAATCCAACTTCGGTATTTTTCCGAATTGGTGTATCTGTCGAATTTGCAAGATCAGCCAATGAGTGACATTCGCGCTCCATTGAATTTCTTGATTCACGCTGATTTCCGTTTGGTGGAGAGTTCAATGATGTTGTGATCTGAAATGTTTTTTTTTTAAAAGAACTGGATTGATAATTCTTACGTTATCCACATTTTTTCCTTCCAAACTGTCTCCATTCGGCGGCGAATCTTCGAATTCTGTTGAATCGCATCGATCGGTTGCAGGTCGCAGCAAGTTTTCACCACGGCTAAAAATATTTTTTTTTGGAAAAGAGTTCCAAAATTCCCAGTTGTTTTCAGAACTTCTATGATGTTCTTAAATCCCCCGTGGAAATTTTAAATTTTCATATAAAATGAAATGAGTCTAATGAAAAACAAAAAATAATTCATTATGTCTGCTGTCTCAAAAATTTTCCAATGTGCCAGTCTAATAGGCTCTCAAATCACAAATTTCACAATGATTTGTCTGATTGCATTTATTCCAAAAAGCAATACAATCGGAGATTATCGATATTTGATGTTAGTTTTCTCAAACTTCAATATCATTTTTTCATGGATCGAAGGATTTGTTCAACCACAAATTTATTCCACAGAATCTTCTTTCATTATTTTCACAAATCAGAAATCTATCAAAATCAATAGAGAGCTAGGCTTGCATTTGGTTATTCTATATTGCTCTGCGTGTGTGTTAAGCATAGCTATTCTTGCTACACACTTCTTCTATAGATTTATTGTTGTTTGTAAGCCCCATTTATATCCTCATATTTCGAAAAACAGTCACATTTTTCTATATTTTCCATCACTAATGATAACCATTTTCTATTATTTGGTAATCTACTTTGGAATGAGGCAAAATGATGTGAAAGATAAGATTTTGAAGTGAGTTGCATTTTTTTTAGTTTCAGAAATATGTGATTTCAGAAAGATTTCCAATCAGAACATATCAAAAGTCTCCTACGTGTCTTCTGTATTTTGGACAAAAACTGAAAATTTGATAGTCTGGAATTATATCGATCTTATCAGTGCTATTGCATGCTTCACAATTTTGGTAGGGATTTTATTATTTCTAACTAAAAATTTTTTCTCTAACTAATTTCTAGATCATTTGTTTTCTGGTCTGCCTCTCGTTCAAACATGCAATATTTGCACAAATTCAAAAACTTCAAAAAATAAGAAGTCGACGTATTCAAGGTCTTGATATTCAACTTCTCTATGCTCTCATTTTCCAAACAATCACACCATTTTTATTGGTGTATGCACCAATTGGCGCGTTATTGATTTGTCCAATGATTGGATTTGATTTGGGAGAGTATTCTGATTTGGTTACATTGGCAACGTTCATTTATCCAATGTTGGAGCCGATTTTTGCCATTGTTTTGGTTAAGGATTTCAGAATTCGAATTTTTGGATTCTGATTTTATATTTTTTCAAAGTTTTCCGATAAATTCAGTTGCTTCTCACCTCGCATACTCAATAGGCCTAACCGAATAATTGACTCTTCCACAATTGTGATTCACTTGAACACGAGTTCTCGAAGAATGCGGTGTGCTAGATGTTCGCAGGTTATTCCGATGATTTTTCTGCTGTGTTTTGGCCAATCGATTGCTGAGACGACATGTTCCGACAGATTGTCTCATAAGCGCTTCACGTTCAGAAGCTACCCGGAAAATTTTGAAATACACGAAGAGCATGACCTAGAATTTTTTTCGGTTTTTAAAAATAAAAATAAAAAAAAAAAGATAAATAGACTAGGGAACTTACAAAAAGCGGCAAGTAGAAACTACCCAATGCACTGTAAATCCTATAATACACAGATGGCGAATAGGCACATTGGCCATTCCAAGTGACACGCTGAAAAATGGGAAAAAATTGTGTTTTGATTTTTTTTATGAAGGAGAAATTGAAGTGGAAATAATTTGTGTCATGATTTGGAAAATGGAAACTCTAAAAAAATTTGATTTCAAAATTAATAAAATTTAGAAATCTGAAAGTTCAATGTTGATACAGTAACCTCTACAGTAATCCAAATTCAAACTTACATCATCAAAAAGTTTCCAATCAGGAATAAATAGAGGTGGACTGCATACGATGCACGACAACATCCAGACCGCTGACAGTAATCCTGCCGCCATTTTTTTCGATCTACAAAAATATACATTCCCCTTTCAGAACTAAAAGTTCATTCGTTTTTCTCTTTATTTATTCTTTCTCATTTTTTCAGCCAAAATACACAAAAAGAATTGCGATTTGGTAGTGTATTCAGGCGTAACATTAGGTCCATCCGCTTCATCTGCCTGATTTTTTCAGGGAAACAAAAATGTTTGTTGTTATAACAAAGCTTGCGCGTTTTTTTTACCTTGTTCTTGGATATTTGAGTGGTGATGTTATGGCGAAATATCGATCGAGACTAATGACACATAGGTTGAGAATGCTGGCGGTGCATAGAAGAACATCGGAAGTTGCCCAGATTTGGCAGAGGAATTGACCTATAAATAACAATGGAGTTTTTGTTTTTGCGTGGGGAGAGAGGTTTGGAAAAATGGTTGCTGATGTAGATCTTCAGGATTCAAAAAAGGCACAAAGTTCTGACTACTGTAGTTCTCAAAATTCTATAAAATTGCCATAACATTTAATTTTTTTTCAATTTGAATTTGACCGATTTTTGAACTCTAATTATTGTTGAGTAACCCGGAACGAACATTGAAAAATTAAATTATTCCAGAAAATTGAAATGTCAAATTAGTCACTCCCAAAAGTCATTCAGATTAGATGAAAATGCACATTTTAAACTCACCTAAAGGCCATTGATGTCCGTGTAACAAATCTAACAATGACATTGGCATAACCACAAGTCCTACCAATAAATCAGCGGTGGCCAGTGATGTCAGCAGTATATTGGTGAAGGTTCGCATTCGTTTATAAACACATACTGATAAAACAACCAAAATGTTGCCGAAAATTGTTAACAATATTAACATCACCTGGAAATATTATTGATTTTTTTAGAATCTCAAAATATGTTTTGATTCTTCAAGAACTCACCAAAAACAGTGCAATAAAAACATCGGGCACATCGAGACATAATTTCTGTGGTCCTCTGGTGTCAATATCGCCAAATATGATTGGTGTTGTTGTACTTGGCGGTGAGCCCAAATTGACAGCCGTCAGACTGTTGTTGGTGTGAAAAATGGAGGTTGGAGATGTGGACGTAATTTTGGATTGGTCGGGTAACGTTGATGACAACAGTGAGCCACCTAACGTTGTCTGAAATTATGGAAATTGAATTTGAATTTGAATTTTTAAATTTTAATTGTGGGAACTTTTGGATTTTGGAAGGGAAGCGTTTTGTTATGCAAATTATTATTATTAGGATGATAGGGTTTTCCAAGTTTTAATTTTTTGATTTCATGGATTTTGGTAATCAAAAATCATGAAATTATTGAATTATGGAATTATTCTAAAAAAAACGATGCAATCGTTTAAAATTATAAAAATTTCAGATCCATGAAAATCAGCTCCAACAAAAAAACATGAAAAAACTGGGTGCAAACAATTTTCTATTTCAAAAAATAACATTTTCGAAAATCTTTCCACTCCACTCAAAACACAACGCAACTCGAAAAAAAATCGAAAAAAATGTGTCATTTTAGTTAGGTTCAACAATTATAAATATATTGAAAAAAAGAACAAAAAGCAGAATTTCTTTCTTATTTTTCTTCATAATAAGAAGAAGAAGAAAAAATGTGACTCAAAATCATCTATACAAATTATTGAAAATGTTGCGAATTCGAGTTAAAAATAGCTGACACAAATTTGTCATCGGATTAGCTGACAAGTTCTTTTTCGTGTATGATTGATTTTCAAAATAAATTTTTAAAAAATATTTTTGAAGTTTTCAGATTTTACACGTTTTCGCTGATCAATGTTCAAGAAATTTTGGGTTTTTGCAAAAAAAAAAGAAAAGAAACTAAATAAATTAGCATTTGACGGGTGACGTACATGTGTGGGTAGATCAAAAAAAATTTTTGGTGAACTTTTTAGCGGATGAAAAAGAATATTTTTTAGGAGGATCATACCAGTCTTAAAAGCATTTTAATGTGATGTTTTACTTAAGACCACCCAATAAAACCTTATAGTTTGTGTGCGCAAACAGCAAAAAAGAATGTGGTGAAACCTAAGCCTACGCATATTATAATATGTTCCAAGAGTTCAGTGCCAATCAAGAAAATTTTAATTGGGTCTAGAGAAAACTGCACAAACAACCCAGCTTGCTCCAACAAAAAACTTTGCTCTACGATTTTTTTTCTCATTTCCAGGGAAAAACATTTTGTTTCAACAAAAAAAGGAAAAAAAAAAAGAAAAATTGGGATTTACCCACCCAAGAACCCTTGAACTTTTTGCACTTTTTTAGTGCACAAAAATTAGGCAGAGAAACTTTTGAAGATTGGAAAAGTTTTTTTTTCGGGAAATCAAGTGGACTTGAGGTAGATTGAGAGGGAGAAAGTCATCAGAAATACATACTAATAAAACCTGAAAATATTTCCTTTTTGAATCAACTTCCGGTTGTTAGATCAGAAATGAGAAAGATTGTTTTTTTCTGTTGACGATGAATGAGATTTGAGGAAAAAATTGGGAGAATTTGGAAATCAAAAAAAAATTCACAAAATTTTATCATTTTTTTTCTGGAATTGTTTCACAATCATTTTTTGGTGAATTGGTTATTCTGAAAAATTCAGAAACAATTTTTTTGATCAAAAAATAATCGGGATTTTTTGAAAATAAAAATAAGATTTTTTGAATGTGAAAAATTGATTGATGAATATATTTTTCAAAAATATATAGAAGTTCGAAAAAAAATCAGAAAACTATTATTATAGGTATTTTATAATAAAAAAAAACATATTTTTCGTATGCAGAAAAAAAATATACAGTTTAATTTTATTTTTAATCACAAAATATTCTTCTGTATAAGGTTTTTATTTGAAAACTGAAAACGAATATTTCAAAATCATGAGATCTATATTTTCATTCAAACTCAAAAGATACAAGAACTCCACATTTTGCACCAAATTCTCAAAATTTTCAGAAAATCTAACAGAATCGAGAAAATTCCCAATAATTTTTATACAAATCAATTATCAGAAAATTCAATTTCCAACCAAAAGCTCAACTATAAATTCCAAAAAAAAAAAGAGAATAATCGAGTGTATAATAAATTCACTCACCTGTATATAAATAACAACACTCCAAGCCATAGTAGTAATTTCAATAATATACGAAGGCTCGTATTTTTCGGTTGTTATTATTATTATAAAAATATTTATCAAAAAAATTGGCTCGGTCAGTATGTTTGAAATGAAAAGATCCATGCATCGGGGTTCATATCACACCAGGATTTCAGTGTGAAAAATATCGAATTCCAGACGGATGTTGCTTTAAAAGGTGTGTAATTTTGAAAAGGAGATGCAAAAAAAAAACACAGAAACGGAGAAAAGGAAGGAAATAAAGCAAAAAAGGCATCAGAAAATGAGAGGAGCAAAAATAACAGATTAGCAGCTTCGAATGAAGAAGAAGGCGAAGAAGAAACGGAAAGGGTGTGTTCTTTTTTCCATTTCTTTTTTGCTTTCTTTTTTTTCGTTTCGCTTGCTTTCAACCGACACCGCAACACTTTTCCAGCTATTCATTCCGCCCGTTAGGAAAGGGCGGAGTCCCCCGTTTGTCCGACACCGCCCCGAATAAAGCAACACATGAAAAGAGAGGCAGAGAGGGCCCCCTACAACCCATTATACGCATTTTTCACGCTTCTGTGGAGACAGTTGGAGATTGAAAGAGAGAGCAAAGTGAGAGATGGTAGAATTAGACGATCAGAGATTGATAGAGATGGAGAGAATTGGTAGATCAAATGGGTTTTGAAGATTTTTTTCAAAATTCAAAATAACTGTTCAAAGAATTTGAGTGAACTATTTTGGTTTTAAAGAGGTTTGGTGAATTTCGCGAGTTCAGAGAAACTCGAAAAAAATTCTCCCTGAATAAAAATTCGAGTTCAAATTTTTCGAACTTGATAACTCCTTGCAAAATATACTAGAACTAGAGCTATTTATATATTTAAAATATTTCCAAAAGCAGCTGATCTACACATTTTTTGTTGAAAATATCAAATTTTTTGAGCTAGAGATGTTTTGAGTTCTGATTTTTTGCTCTCAGAAAACTTTATCAATCAGAAAAAAACATATTCTCTGGTTCAGAAGCCCTATGAATACATTGAACTCTGACTATATGCATATTCTCCTCAAAGATCAGGTGGACATAGAATTGTAAATGGGATGACTCGGAATTCAAAATTTTAGTTTTCATATTATTCTATAATTTTTTTCATCGCACTAAACGTGTACATGTTAGCAGAGATCTTTCAATTTTTCCGGAAATGAATATAATCGCACTTTTTGAAAGAGACACGATTTTCAGGAGGAAGATGGAATTTTCTGTTGATACTACGTATAAAAGATGTCTGGGGAACCCTCAAGTGTTCTTTTTTATATGAATTTTTTCATGAAGCAATCCATGAACCTCAAAAGTTCGTTGGAGAAATAAGATACTTCTGTTTTGAGTATTTTTTTTTGAAAAAAAATTCTGAAAAATATTCATTTAGCAAATAAAATTTCAAGATGGTCCACAGAAGATTTTGGAACTTTTGTTGAAATTTTTGATTTTTTGAGTTCATATTATCGATTGATTTTGGAAAATGAATAAATATCTCCTTCAAAGTGGAGCTGTTTTTTTCAGATAATCAAAATTGAAAATTTGAGCTTTTACTGTAATATGAAATTTTGAAAACGTCACTCTTAAAACGAAGAACCCCGCAACAAATTTTTTTTTGCGGAAACATTCACCCACTCAAAATGTAAACGTATGTATTCCATTAAAAAACGAGGAGACAAATTGGTCGATGTCTTGTCAAATTCATTAATCTCCTTCTTGAATACATTGAACAACACCCGCCTTCCTCTTTTTTTCTTCCTTCCAAAAAAAATCAAAAAATAAACTAACCCCCATCAAAGATGTCGTCGTCGTCGTTGATGATGATGTTGTCGGAAAATTCTGAAAAAAATTTGAATCTTGTAGCTAAATTTAAACTTGAAATTGTTTAGGTAACGGAAATTGATTCGGAAATTGGAATATGTATGTATGTCTACAGTAGTTATCCAGGAAAAAAATTAGGGAGGGAGAATTTTTTAATAAAAAGAATAAAAAAAGGGATTTATTTTTGGACATGATTAGAGAAACTTCCGGAGAATTTTTTCAGAATATAAATTGCATTTTTTCGATTTTCCGGGTTGAAAAAATAGATCGCTTATTGAAAAAATATTTTTTGGTGCTATAACTCACATTCAGAATTTCAAGAATCAAAAAATATCTTGGTTTTCAGATTTCATCTGGGACTAAAAATTTCAAGACATTAAAAAGTTTCTAAAATTTCTAGATTTTCAGATTTCATCTGGGACTAAAAATTTCAAGACATTAAGAAGTTTCTAAAATTTCTAGATTTTCAGATTTCGGAGTTTCTGGAAACATAAAGAAGCTTCTAGAAATTAAATTTGAGAGTTTTGAAAAATTGAAGTTCTGAAACTGGGGGCTCAAAATTTCAAGAATTTAAAAAGTTTTTTAAGTTTCTAGATTTTCAGATTTCGGATTTTCTAGAGACACAAATGAACTTCGGGAGTTTAAATTTGAAAGTTCTGAAAAATTCTGAAATGGGCTGAGGCTCAGAATTTCAGATTTCAGTGTTTCAGCCTAAAAAACCCTTTAACACTGAGTTCTGAAAAAATCTCAAATTCGAGATTCAGAATTCAGAATTCCAAAATTGATTAGTGCATAATAATATTTCCCAAAAATAAACAAACAAGATGGAAGAACTCAAAAGAGAGATAGAGATATAGAGAGAGCGAGAAGCAAAAAAAAAATCACAAATTGGATTACAAAACTTTCTTTTGAAGACGAAAAAGGATCGGGGTGCGGATGAATGGATGAATGAATGAAAAGACGACGACAACGACGACATGACACTCTATCCATGTTATATTTGAGAGAAGAAGCACAGCAAAAATGGGCAAATTTGGCACCCTCCGTTTTTTATGCTTGTGTTTTTTTGTGTAGCTTGGATGGCTTGCTTGTCCGACACGGACTCAGATTTTTGAGCTTCCTAATAGAGTGCATCAAATGTGAGAAAACATATCGTGGGGCGAGAGAAGAGGGGATGATGATGATGATGAACATTTATCTTTTATGTCAGAGGAACGTGAAAAAAAATGGATAACACATATTTTTTGCACTTTGGGAGATCTTTGTTTTGACAGTGTGGATTTTAGAAAAGTAGATCTGAATGGATTAATTTTAGGAATTTTGAATCTCGTTTGTTCAGAATTTATTGATGAGCGGGAAAAATATTCAGGCTCTGATAAAAAGTTCAAAGCTTCTCAAATGATTGAGAAAATAATTGAAAATCTGGGTTGTTTCAAATAAAACCACCAGACGTCCTTTAAGAGTATTCTGATACTGAGCTAGAAATTCAATAAGTTCAGAGATTCAGAAAATCAATAATTTCAGATTTTTCACAGTGTTTCCGAATCAGGGAGAATTCAATTTCTTGAATCTCCGTGTATTTCAAAAAAATCGGAAATTAAAGGTTTGGGTTGTTCCGGAAATCCAAAAAAAAATATTGGGAAATTGCAAAAAATAGAAAATGATCGGTTCAAACAAAACATAAGATTCAATTTTTCCCCGAAACTTGGAAATTGTTTTAGGTAGATCTAAAATATCTGGATAAAATTTTCCAGCAAAAACTAGAATATATCAGAAGCCATTTTTGCAGGATCTTCCAGATTACCAGAATTCGTTTTTAGAAAATCGGATTTCTCAGAAATTTCTTTTTTTTTTTTGTAATAAAAAAGTGATGTTGACAAAAGATTATGGAATTTTTCTGATGAGGTTCGAACTTTTATACATAAAAAATGTACAAAAAAATGAATGAAAAAAGAAAAACCCACACACATTTCAGTAATCAAAATAACTAATATAAATGAGAAAAAACTGGGGAAGAGTTGCAAGAAAAGCGAAGGAAAAAAAAGAGTCCATTTCATTTATTAATTTTTTTCGGAACGCAAAAATATATAGAAAAAAAATGAGGAAAATGAGAAATGAGACAAAGTGAAAAGGGATTTGATAATTATGGATTTGGATATTTTTTTTGGATTATCTATAATATCTGCAAAGTCTATATTTATGAAGGAAAAAAAAGAAAAGAAAAATATATACATAATAATTTGTATATATAATTAAGAAAGTTGAATAATATTTCCTTTTTCTTTGGAATCCTCCGGAAGACTCTCTAATGCATGATAATCTATCTTTTTTGACACAAAAATAAAATAAAATAAAATAAAATTGAAAAGTGGATATCACTTTATTGATGCAGTGTAATATTTGATATGTTTTATGGGGCCAATGAAGCTACAGTACCCTGGTCAAAGTACAGGGATTAGAAAAAAAAATAATTTTTTTATTAATTAGAATTATAAAGATAGATAATATATAGTAATCCCAGTCAGCAACAACATCAAAAATCAAAAGAAAAACGCAAAAAGGATGTGTTTTATCTATCTGTGTATGTCAGTAACCTAATCCGTCCGGAACGGGCTCAACAAGAAGAAGAAGAAGAAGAAAACGAAAAAAGTCAAGAAAATTTAGCTCTTTTCTTTCTTGTGACTATCTTTTTTTGGATAGGATAGGAGAATAAACGATGTTGTATTTACTTATTTATTTTTTTTTGTCTTTGCTTGTTGTGAAGAGTAGTAATCGACACAAAAACAAAACAACTCTGCTTTTGCTTTGCTGGAAAAGTATTTAGTTTAGAAACTGCTAGGGATAATTTTGATGGAATTTACAGGAAAATTTCAGATTCTGCTGAAAATTTCACTTTAGACCTGAAGAGCCTGTTTTTTCACAAAAAATTTATGATCTACAACAAAATTTTTGAAAAAAAATATCTAGATATTTTCAACGAGTACTGTAATTCTCAAGTTTTGAAATTCAGCTTTTTGGAATAATTTTCTGTAGGCTTGAAGTATGATATAAAAAATTTTCCTATTGCAATTTGAAGAATTTTCAGAACACTTTTAGAAGTACGAAATTCCATGGGAAAGTATAAAGAGCTCAATTTTTGATCTGCCTGGGAATTTTTTTTTTCAAATTCAAACGCAATCATAAAAAAGAGAAACGAAATAATATTTTTTATTGACGAAAAAATGTGTTAGATCTTTTGATCCAAAAACAACTCAAGATGAAATCAAAAATTAATCTTAAACATGCTATTATCAATATTTTTCCAAACAAAAACTCGAATCTCAAACATTACTCGATTCCTAACAAAAAACAAAAAAAAACCCAACTCGGAGACAAAAAAAAAGAAAGTTTTCTGGTCACTCTGACTTGACATGTTTCACACATACTTTTTTTGGGAGCAAGAGGTGTCTGTGCACAAATTTTGACATTAATTTTTAAACAGCTCAACTTTTTGGTTGTGTGTGTATTGTGTGATTCAGAATTGTGACGAAACAAAATTAAAATCGGGACAAACAAGAAGGGGAAAAGAGACGAAACGAAACGATTTTGTAATCGGGGAAGGAGGTATTTAATGATGATGGTGAAGGCAAAAGGATGAAAAAAAGAAGAAGAAGAAAAACTAAATTCAAAACAACGAAGTAAAAGGGTTTTTTCTCTTTTTTTTGCTGCTCCTTGTTTCAATTTATTTATTTTACTTTTAAGAAAGATAGATAGCAAAAGCAAAAGCAAAATGAATAGGGTTTGAGGGTGGATATTATGGGGGAAGGAAGGGCAAATTAGTTTATAAATGAATTTAGTGAGATTTTGTGTGGGAAGTTCCGGGGTTGAAGATCTTGTTCTCTGGACCGGAAATACTAAGGTCCCATTCAAAAATATAAATTTCTAACAACGGAAAATCAGAGTTTCTGAATTTCTCTGAGCCATTCGGATAAATATCAAAAATATGTTTTTCAGATTGAACATTCAAAAGCTAAAATTCTAATGAGAAACTTTTTTTTTTTAATTTAAAAATGATTCTATTACAATCCTGAACCTCAAAAGTGTTAGGGCCAAAAGAAGCGAAAAAACAAACCTAAAATCAAAAATTCACAAAAAAACGCTAGTTCATTTATGAACTTTTGCATTGAATAAAAAAACAACCTAAAACACGTACTATTGTTTTTCATGACCTCAAATACCATTAATAAAATGAATTTCAGTCTGAAATTCAGACTCTGAATGTCAACAATTATTTTTGAAATTCGAAAAAAAAAATCAGAACAAGAACAAAAAAATTTTTTTTTTTCAAAAAAATTGAGAAATAATTTTTCTCCTCTCTCACTTTTTTTTCCTCTTTTCTCTCCAGCACGCAAAAATGTATCAAACATTTGCCTTTCCTCTCTCAACCTCCGTTGTGGTCTAGTGGTTAGGATTTATGGCTCTCACCCATAAGGCCGGGGTTCGATTCCCCGCAACGGAATAATTTTTTTTATTTTTTTTTTTTGAAAATGAATGGAAATAAATGGGAATTCAAGAGAAGATTGAGGCAATGTCTAAAATTATGCCTGAATTTTTTAAACTTGAAAGCTTTAAAATCAGTTTTAAAACTTCCGAGCAAAAAATAAAAATTCGGAAAAAAAACAGATTAATAAGGGCTTCAGAAAAAATCAGGAAGGAAAAAAACCGAGCTCAAAAAAAAGAGAAAAGATTCTCTCTAGCAATAATTAGTGGTTGTGCAAAAATGGCATCTGATTGTGTGTTTATCGTGAACAAAAAAAGATACAATTCAAAACACAGTGATTTTTGAGTGAGAAGGCGACGCCGGAAGACTCTCTCTCTCCGAAAATCAGAAAATGGCAACTTTTTGAAACAGTTGAGTGAGAAAATAGGGATTAGTACGTGCTTCCGGGAGAAAATGAATATTAATATGTAGAGAAGAAAAAAGTTTGCAGAGCTTACATATAAGAGGAATTTACATATTCATAAAAGAAAACACAAAAGACAAGCCACTTGATACTTTTTTTGGTGCTCCTAGAAAAAATTTTGTGTTTTGAGCAAAGAGCAAGAGCAAACCAAAAAAATTATGTTTTTGTTTTATTTTCTATTGTATTGAGGGCAATAATTGACTTTTTTTTCGAAAAAAAAACGGAAAAACTAAATAAAGGAGAGGGAAAATAGGAACGGACTAACTAAGTTGGGTAATTATGTATAGGATATATTTTTTCTGCCTTTTTAGTTTTGTTTGGTGGGAAAGTTCAGTATGAGAACTTGGAATTGGAAGAAAAAGTTCAAAACTTCAAACAAACAAGTTACATAAAAGTCAATTTGAATTATAGGTTGTAAATGTCAGTCAGGAAAGAATGAGATTTTAATTTTAGGTTTTTTTACTTTTAGTTAAGAAAACTTGAACAAAATCACTTGAAGGTATAGATTTTCAGATTAAAAAACTTGGATTCAATAAAATTTGATGCAAAAGAAAAAAAATAAAAAAACAATCGTTTGAAAATAAAAAAAATGCCGCGATTGTGTGAACGCAGTGTCACGCGGAATCTCGTTGTTTTACTTTTATTTTTTTTTTGGTTTGTGGAAAGCAAGAAACCTAAAGGAACCGAATAAAAAAAAAAGAAAAATCTAGCAAATTTATTGGGATCGAGTGCACCTGGCGACTATTTTCAGAATTTTTTCAAAAAAAAATTTGTTCACGATGTTGTGAATCACTAAACATTTCCCACTATTAATAATCAAATGAAAATTAGCAATACCAGGAAAATATTATAAAAATCTTCTAATCCCTTATAATACGCTTTCTGATTTATTTTTTGTTTCAGTCCAGAAATATATATGTACATATGTATTCAAAAAAAAAATTCAATCAGTCTGAAATATTTCTGGTTGCTCAAAAAAATATACATAAATTCATGAGTAGTCCTTTAATAAAATTAAAAACATTTCGAGCACATATGGAGCAAGAAGAATATGAAAAAAAGAAAAAGAAACACATGTATAAGGTTTCTTCGTTGTCTATTATTTACATATATCAACAATTCGCGCCTCCATATTTTTTAGGCTTCTTGGTTTCTTGGAAAACGAGGCGAGGGAGATGAAATGAAGTAGCATTTTTCGAAGAAATATTGAAGAAGAAAAAAAAATAACCTGCACACGTCTTTGGGGAATATTTTTTGAAGATGATGATGATTCGTTTTCATAGGTTCGGTTGGAAGAGAGGAGGAGATAAATGAGATTTCAATAACAACAAAAAACACACGAGGATAGACTATTTTGGATGTCTGGTAGACGGAAGATGAGAAATACGTTTATACAAAAGTTCAGAATGTTTTTTGTTTCTTATGGATTTTCTAGAACGTTCCTGGGCCTAGCTTGTGCTTGATTTCAGCAAATCACAGTAGCGAGCACCGGGTATTGAACCCATGACTCTGAGATAAACATCAGGCAACACTACCACTGAGCTACCATTCATCATTTTGTTAAAGTGGTCCAAACTTCTAATTTTTTCAAGTTTCAAAATTTCTGGATTCTGACAAAAAAAACTAATTCTAGAAAAAGTGAACACGTATTCAAAAAAAAAGTTCTCGTGACTAGAAAATCTTGTGAGTACCATAAACATTTTTTTTTCAGAAACATTGCGTGATTTTTAGACATTCTTGAAAAAAAAAATGAAAATGTTTTTCAGTTTCTTTTGAATCCAAAGTACTGCTCTCCCGAAAATATCTAGGTAACCTTCGAAAAAAATCAGAATTCCCAAGACAATCCGATTTTTCTAATCATTTCCACCCATCTTTCCTGCCGATGTCTCCTTTTTTTCTTACTAGAAAAAAATCCAAATAAAATATCTCAATTTTCACAAGACTAGGGATTTATGTAGCGGTAAATTTGAGAAAATGGAAATTTGAGCGAATCTAGAAAAAACTATATCAAAATACGATGTTTCATCTTTCCAATTAGTTGTTTTTTGAAAGGGTCAAACATTGCTCATGTTAATAAATAAATAAGGGAAAAAATATACAAGAAGAAAAAAAAGTAAAATGTCAGTCAGTTTTTGGTAATTTAAAAACGAGTCACGAAAAAACTACAAATTTTCTTGAACAAGGAAAATATTTGGAGTGAAACAAAGTTTATTTTATTTTATTTTATTTGTAAAAAAAGTTGCTTTTTTTCAAACGCGGAACAATTGAACAAAAAAACGAAGACTGAAGATTTATTGACGGGTTTCGGAAAAATGGATGCAAAAAAAAAGACTTTTGAACTTTGCGCTGGATAATTTGCATAGTTTAAAGAAAAAAGCAATTTTCAATGTCTGAAGGGGAGAAATCTGCTAGAAATTTTTGCTGGTCCGAATCCTGCTGCATTTTCTGAGATGTTTTAATTTTTCAGAAAAAAATGAAAGCTTTGGAAAATTTCAGATTCTGACTGAAACCATTTGAAGAATTGAATCAAGATATAGATCTTATTTCAATTCCAAATTCCCCTACAGTAAACAAAAAAAAACACTACTGTGATTTGTACTATTCTCCAATCTCCTCATTTTTCTTACTCACTCATCCACGATCTTTATTTTGTCCACAGACACACATACACAATTAGCATAGTTCAGTAAACACTAATTATTTTCTTTTCATTCATTATTTTCTTTCCTTACATTAAAGATAGCATCATTTTTTCCAAAAGCAAACAAAAGAAGGACGTTGGAAGAGTTGGGAAGTTTCAAGAATCAAAAATGGAATCGAAATAGAATAAAAATAAAACAATTGAATTCTATTCTGGATAGAAAAAGCAACGAGAAAAAACTAATTACCAGGCTCTTTTAACATAGAACACTTTACATTTAATTGTTTTAGAAGAGAAAGGTTTTCTAATTTGAATGATTAGAAAAATAAAATCAGAGAAAATTTTGATTTGCTTCTGATGCAAGCAAATGATCGGATTCAAAAGGATTAGACTATAAGATGAGAATAAAAAATTGCTCAGATCATTTTTACGAATTAAAAATAGCATTTTTTGTCATCGAAAAGCTTGGAAACATAAAAGGTATTTTTGAAAAAAAAAAATGATTATCAACCAGCTTAAAAATAAACTCTTTCAGAAATTGTTTCTGATCTAATTAATTTGGCATTTATCTAGGAAGCACATATCGGATTAGCAGAGTTACAATAAGTTTTTGTTCTGAAATTAGAATTTTTCCTATGTTTAAAAAGATTAGTAAATTAATGTGCTATGGTCAAATTTAATCCAATCAAAACTTTTTTTCTTCTCTAATATCACGTTTCAGATGTAGAGAAACGTAGGATGACGTTGGAAAATCGCAACATTGATGGGATTTTGAGAATGTTAAAAATAACAACATGATTTCTGGAAATTGGAAGTTGCTTTTTTTGAATATGGAAAATTAGAATTGAAGAAAAATGATTTTTAAAGATAAAAACGCACAAAAACTGTTGTACAGTAACGGAAAAAAGGATTTTTTTCGCTAATTATGCACGAAAAATATTGTTTTACGTTTCTGTATTATTCAACAGATCAAACCTGTAAATCTTTAACCAAAAATCAATAAATTGTCCAACTTCAAAAGATCTTTTCTAATGGGATTGAATTTTAAAAAATTGAATTTCGGTATTCTTGCCACTTGATACCAATTTTACCAGCTAATTCCTCGTTCTCCCCGGCATATCCGAACCCGGAAAATGTATGCAATTCCAATATTCGCCCACCAGCGTACCTGATCATAAACATAAAAATTTCTTATCGCATTCTCTTCCAATTGTTTTTTTGCGTCTATTGCAACAGCGATTAGAAGCGAAGCATCCAACAATGATTCATTTTTTCTCAAATTCCAATTGAATTTATCACTATTCTTTTGGAACAAAAACTGTAGATCAAAAATAAATTATTATTTTTTTCATTATACATAAATACAATAATTTCCTCCAAATTCCATTTACCCAACATTTTTCTGCGCTGATGTTAACAATTGATAACCATATGCAAATTAAGTATTGAACAAATAAACACACCAACATTCCTTCCAATACGAATAAGAAAAAGAAAAGTGTGGTGAGAGATTGGTAGTTGTAAAAGAGACGCAGACTTCCCGGGAGATGTCTGCGTCTCTCATCTCTCAATCTTTCCCTCTCATTCTCCTTCTTTTGCTAAAAAGAACACTTTTTTTTTTCGTTGACTTGTTGAGTTGTCGTTTTGTTTTGGTTTTTTCTTACAATTCAATTTTTGAAAATAATTTTGTATTATATTTTTATTTTTTTTTCAACACTAAAATCAAAACATTTTTTCAGTCATAGAAAAAAGAAACAAATTGTTACACCATGATTTTTTCGCGACGAAAACAAGCGGCTGGCTCGATTGAAGGAACTCAGGGAAAATATGTGAAACGTGAAACACCACCTTCAGTTCCCTCGTTATCCGGTGAGATTTTTGTTTGTTGTCGGAAAATTTGAATTTTTTTCTTTTTCTGAAAAGAAAATCGGTTTTCAGTGGCAATTTTTCATTATGTTAGTTTTTTTTCAACACATCTGTTGTTATTTATCTCGATTTTCTGCAGAAAAAATAACAGAAAGTGTTGGAAATTTTGTGTGATATTTTTAGCTTTTCTGAAAGTAGATCGAAACTTTTTTGAGAGACTCTGACTCAATAATATTTTTTTGAAGATTAAAAATTTCCAGAGCAACTTTTTACCTTTCAAATGTTTATAGTTTGCACAAGAAATAGTGTGTGAAACGAGAGATTTAGACATCAGATTGAAAAATATATTTTTTTTATCCCTATAAAATACGCCATTAATTTTCCACCTCCGGAAACTATTATTCTTTTTTTTTCAAAAACCTCTAATCAAGTTTCCTCTTCCTAATTTCTTATCAAGTTAACATGTTTTAATGTTCATTGGCCAAGATCAAAAAATCAAATCGCGAATTTTTTAGCAACAACAGTTAGCCGAACTCGACGAAGTCCTGTTGCCGCATCAACATTCATATTATCATCAGTGCCCCCGCCGCCAACATCAACACCGCCGCCAGAAAGAGCATCTTCAGAATCAATTGTGATTTATCATTCAACACCAGCGCTAGATTTGAATCAACAACAAATCTCTTCAAGTCAACATCCGTTGGAAAATAATAATACAAGTCAAGATCGAGATATGAATCATTTTCAAGAAGATGACGAGGAAATTGACGAATATAATGTGACAGATATTCATTTCCAAGATAGTTCCAAGGAAACGCATCTTGATCGACTTCCGTCAAGATCGACGGTTAGTGAAAATGATGTTTATAATGAGACAAATGATGAGCCATCGACCAGTTTTGGAGTCAGGAATAATAATGTTTTGAGCTCGAGGAGTTTTAACCGGTTAGTTCAGGGGGATTTTTGGTTTCTAATAATTCCAGTAATTTTTTTTCACACTCTACATTTAAAAAGTCATAATTCCAGATAAATTTTAGAAATTTGTAATTTTCAAAAAAAAAATTTGAAAAAAAAACTTGCCGAAAAAAGTTTGTGACCAGAGATTTTCAATGAGACACACATTTTTCTGTACAGTTTTTCAGTTTTTGCTGAGCGACTCTTCAAAGAGCACAAAAGGAGCCAAACGTGGCGAATTTTTGAAATTTTGTGGCTTTGAGAGCCCAAAACTCATGGATTTTTATGAAAAACTGAAGACCAAAGTCACAATTTTTTTGGGAAATTATGTCAGAACTATTGACTTTGGTAAATCAACCCTTCTGAACATAATTCTGTACTCTGTTTTTGATGAAATATTTTTTAACATGAGTTACGGGCTCCCAAAAACGCGGAAAATTCTCAACATTTGGCTCTTCAGAGAGTCGCTCAGCAAACGGGATTTTTTCTCAGCGTGAAAACTGTACAAAAAAACGTGTGTCTTATTGAAAATCTCTGAAGATTCAGATTTTTTTTTGAAATTTCTTACTTTCAAAGTTTTGTTAAATTCAAAATGTCTAGATTTTTGAAAAAAAATCTCAAATTTTTCCAGAGGTGCCTTTCGCTACGTGCCTCGTAAATCGCTCACCGCCTCCTACTCCATCGGCAACGTCGAGCAAGGCCTCCGCGATCTCAGCATCCGCGAATCTGGTCTCGCCTCTCCCGCCCAACCTCGCTTCCAATCCCTTCAAACGCTCCCAAGCGAACACGTGATGACAATTCAACAATACCGCAGTTCTTACGGTGACCTGGATGGCTCTGAAGAATTGCCTCTTCCTGAAAATTGGGCCATCGAATTTACCACCGAGAATCAACGATATTATGTGGATCATGCGAATCGTCGAACTCATTGGGTGCATCCATTAGTGCACGAAAGTCTTCGAGCTGGTTGGAAGAAAATTTATGACCCAACTAATGGTGTTTATTATTATAAGTGAGTGTTTTATTGGGGGTGTGTGGGCTGAAATGACGTTATTTTTTTGCAGCGAACAACACAAAACAATGCAATATGAACATCCAGGAATTGCAAATCCAATATTTCGAACAGAATCAGTGAACGTGGCGAGCAGATCTTTGATTGATCTCAATGCCAATTTACATATTATTGAGGAGAAGGAACTTCCACCATGGTTACTGATGTATGCACAATCCGATTCATCGTTGGATCATTTGTTGGAGGTTGGTGTTTTCGTTCAGGATTTTGAGGATTGAAAGAAAATCTTGAGAAATATCCGTTAGGGCTGATTCACGAACGAAAAAAATGGTAAACAATGTTTTTGTAACATCGAAAGATCAATTCACGAAAAAAAACATTGTAGGTCAAAATCAGTTGTTCGAGTTTTTCAACCAAAAATGATGACAAATCAATATTTTTCAAGCTTCTGGAGTAATTTCTGATGAAAATAAGCTTCGAGAACCCTGTTTTGATTTATTTTATGAATTTTTTTTGAAATTCATCAAAATTTAAATTTTTTTATTTTACGAAAAATCAGCAAAAACTTCTGAAAGTAAATTTCAAGGTCAATTTTAATCAGAAATTACTCCAGAAGCTTAAAAAATATTGTTTTATCATCATTTTTGGCTGAAAAACTCGAAAAACTAATTTTGGCCTGAAATGTTTTGTTTTTTCGACATTTTTTTACTTTACGTGAATTGATCTTTCGATGTTAAAAAAACATTTTTAAACATTTTTTTGTTCGCGAATCAGCCCTTTTGAAAATGGCCCTTCAACAGTTTCTGATACTTGTTCTCATCATCAGATAGAAATTCTGAAAAAAAATTAAATTTCTGAAGCCCCCCTTCTCACTTCCGACGGGGGAACATCAAACAAAAGTTCAAGACCAAAATAACCCTCATCATTCAATTTCTGCATGAAAATTAATGAGAGCAAATATTTTACATTAATTATTGGATCTTTATCCCAGCACAGCCATCTCATCTAATAATAACTCCTCATTTTTTTCTCCAATAATAATTTTGTTCCTTGTTTCAGTGGGATTTGTTCAACATTGACCAACTCTCCGAATATGATCATCTAATGCTCAAATTATATAAACAAGAAGTCATTGAAATTGTCAAAAAATATGAGAAAATGAGGAATACATTGAATCGTGAAATCCATCGACGAGATGTTTCAAGACCACCACCGCCAAGAAGTCATATTCATTTTTAGATCAATTTTTCTCGTTCTCATTAATTATTGCCATAAATAACTTTATTCCATTTTACACCTGGTGTCCTTTGAAAGTCCTTTACCATTTATTTTTTTTCCAGGTACAATTGTCGATTCTGAAAACAGCCGGCTTTTCAAAAAAGGAAAACAAAACAAGATTTTTGAACAATATAAAAAAGGCGTGGCTTAATGAATAGAGGGTGGATGTGGAAGTGTGGAACATCTCATTTTTTTGCTCATTATTTATTTTTGATTTTTTTCGAAAATGGAGTATTTGCATTGGTTTGTAGAACTGAGGTGTACGGTAGTTTAGACCTTTAAAGATTTTTAGGTGTAGGGAGTAAATTCTGTAGACCTAGTTAAAATTAGGCCTATTACTGTGGGCTCTAGGAGTTAGCTCTTTTTTAGGCACAAAAAGAAAACTTTGACCATGAAAATGTCTCGATTTGTCTTTTAACAAAATTTTGTTAGACCTCAAATTGGGTTACAACATATTTTTAGGTCAGAAACATTGTTGCGAACTCGAAAAGTTGCTTGTTTTTTGTCCTCTAAATCTCTGGAAATTGAAAAAAATTCTGGTTAGACGCTATGTTGCTCCAAATTTTTTTTAGAAAAAAAAAATGGGGAAATGCTTTTTATAAATTCTGATGAATCTAGTGTGTTTGGCCAAGAAAATTATTGTATTTTGAACCTAAATTTTTCTTATCTCTAAAATCTCCCTTAACAAAACTATCCCTAATCCTATCTTATCAAAAATTTTTCAAACAATAAAAATTCTCCGAATTCTGGCATTCATATTTTTCAGACCAGAATTCCAAGAAGTACACTGTCTGATTTTTTCTCAAACTGAAATTCTAGAAATCTGAAAGTGCAGGGATTAAATTTACTCACAATAATAATAATAATAAAAACAAGTGTGGTCTTTGAAAAATTGTTTTTCCTAGAATTTCATTAGTTCTATCAAAAATCATAGCATGTGAATAATTCATGAGTAAAGAAAAAGTTGGCGGGTAAAAATTCATAAAAATCTAGTAGAAAGAGTGCGGAGGTTTTATAATACATTTTTGGTTGATTTTATTAGTTCCGCATTCCAGCAGGGTTCCATTTTATTATAAAAATATCCAGACAGAGATGAAAATGTTGCATATATTCTTGTCTCGACAAAATCTGATGATCCTAAAATTTCCTCAATTATTTATCTTTGCGCAAGAATAAAATAAGCCTAATTTTTTCTCTGGCAGACACTCACACACAAAAATATATAATTTTCGTTTTTTCAACTAATTCTAGGTGCTATTTCTTTTTCCTCGTTTACCGCAATTTTATTTTTAACACACATGTAAGCCTTTTTTCCCCCGGTTTGCAACAATTGGAAAATCCCTGTTTTTTGATTGGTGTTAGTAGTGTTAGGAAACCAATTTCGCTTTTTTTCATTTTATTCTGACTGAAAATACGAAGACGGGGAAAAAAAGAAAACATTTATTTAATCCTTCTGCTTTTGACCCAACCATCATCACAAATGAGTTTCTCCATCTCTCTTCAATTTAATTTAATTTCAATTTATTTTTTTTTATTCATTTTTGGTTTCTCAAAGATTTTTGGTTGCGCTGGAGAGATTCTAGTTTTTTCATTGGCTATTGAATTCGGACACCTAAAAACCTTTATTTTCTGTTTATTTTTGAAGTACCGGATTGGAATTTCAGAATTTCTATCTGAAAAATGTCGATTTCGAAAAAACCAGAATTCTGCGATTTTTCAGTTTTAATTCTGAAGGTTCAATTTGCCCAAAAAAACTTCAGAGAGACAAAAAATCATTCCGAAATGTCAGCCAAACCAAACATAAAATTATCCATCCATCCCCAATTTTCTCACTAACATGAATACATGTGTAGTTAGTTTATTACATATTTATCACTACTCTCGTGGTTGCGAAACATTTTTGTGCAAATTTAATTTTTTGGCACGAAATTTATGACATCAAAAATCTTGGGTTCTGGAATTTTTGAGAGATACGTGGGAACGATTTTCTTTTAGTAGATGATGCACAATTTTTTGTTAGTAAACTTTTTTTTAACTACAGTACCCTAGACATTGATTTAAAGTTCTTCTAAACTTTCAAAAATGTCAAGCTTTCAAAATTGAAGGGTTCGATCTCATTCCAGACGAATTTTTCTTTCTTTTCTAATTAATTTCAAAAATGAAAATAGAATCTTCATTTCCAGCCAGAAATTTCAGAATTTCTAATGTTTCCTGCAATCCAAAAATTCATGTCAAAAGACATTTCAAAATAACAAAAAAGTCTGGAATGCAATATTATTTTTGTCTGCATGAAATGCAGTTGGGTTCTGAAAATTTAAAGTTAATGTGTGTTTTGGATTTTGAACAAAGTCTAAATTGATTCTAAAAATGCGGGGAAACATGGTCTATGATTAGTGCAAGTACTAATTTGGAACTATGTATTTTTAAATAAATTTTCTAGACTTTCAAAATTGTTTTTGTGTGTTAACAAAACTGGTTTGTAGAATTTTGAACAAATAGAAATTTGCATATTTTTAAAAGTACAATTTGAAAAAAAATCAAATTTTGCTCCATTTGTTGCCTAGAACACCTTGTAACTAGGAAAAACCAATTAAAATCATATAATTCAGTTTTAAGAGGTTTCATTTTTTCTGTTTTCCCTCACAACTCAACCCATTTTCAAACAGTTGAAAATTCTAGTTTCCCACGCTAAACCGATCTTTGGATTATGCCGCAATTTACACATCTCGTTTTCAGTTTTGTTTTTCTCAACCTAAACAAACTCTTTGACCTTTTTCTCTTAACATCGAAAAAATAAAAGAAGAGCAAAAAATGTCATTGCAACAAATCGAATTCCTTTATTTTTTTTTCAAAAAAAACTGATGTGAGAATAAAGTTTTTTGAACTCGAAATAAACATTTTTCAATATCCGGATTATGAAAAACCTATATCCGCTTTTGTTTTGAAATTAATTCTATTTGTGATTTTATTTTTATTTTTAACACCCACTTTTTTTTGACTATAATTTTGTTGTGTTCACAAAATGAAATCATATGATTTTTGTCTTTTTTTGAAAAGTCCTGATTTTTTTTTCACTCATTTTTTTAAATTCAAGAACCTACTTCTGTGATTCCCCTTCAAACTTCAGCAAATCTGTCTGTTGCTCTTGGCGAGTCGCATTTTTCCTTCCCTATTTATAGATCCTCATTAAATGATGAGCCAACACAACAACAAAATATAGCTTATTTACACTTAAAAGGGTGAACTAATTATACCTCGTCAAAAAATTGACTTTTCCTGGAAAAAGTCAGAAGCAAGCAAGAAGGCAAGCAAAAAAAGAAGTTTTTCTCGTCATAAACACTTCAATTTTCGTCGGCATTTCTTGGACATTTTATATATACATATATTCATATTTTCCCCCCGTTTTTTTACCTCACATCAGTTACAATTTTTGGCTCACTTATGTATGTATTTTTTATTTTGTCTTCATTGAGAAAAATTAGGAGAAAGGTCGAAAAACGCGCTTTTTGAATGAAATTAGCTCGGGAAATTGTTGGTGTTCGAGAAATTTTTGGCAGGTGTTTTTTGAGTTGACGTTTTTGAGTTCTGTAATTTGATTTGTCTGAACATGATTTTTTGAAAAAGTTTTTTGAAATGAAAATGTATAAAATGTACAGTGGCGTGCATTAGTGATGCATATTTGTGTTTTTTAGGTGTAGGAAGGGTGAAAATAGTCAGAATGTGGTGAAATTTGGCAAGAATATGTAAATCAGTCCTAAAAATGATCTCTAATCGAAATATGACTGATTTTGATATTTTGCCACGTGGAAGTTATATGACGTGCAAAATGATGAAAATCGCATTTTTCTCAATTTTTGCAAAAATAACTTCAATTTCTTTTTTTGTTCAATTTTCGTTAGTTTTTGAGTTAGACACTATATTTTAGCTCAGTTCAGTTATTTTGGTCCAACAAACCAAGTGTTCTGATAGAAATTGAGTTCTATAGTAACCTCCTGAAAAGTACCCCTTCACTGAAGCATGTCATCGTTTTTGGCCATGGCTGAAGGGGTGAAAAATAGGTAGTTAGATTGATATTATGGACTCAAATGTTGTCAAACATCATCAAAAACATGTTTTGAAAGTTTCTCCTGGCACGGAACTACCAATCCCGAATTATGCTGGGACAAATGAAAAATCTTGATTTTCTACTTTCCGAATAAATCGAAGTTCATGATTGATTTTTCTTATTAAGAGGTTTTTCATCGGTATTTTTTTGCGAATTTAACCCGATGGACCACTTTGCATCAAAATTAATCCTAATGAACCCATTTATCCGTGAAAAATATCATTTTATTGAATGGTTTTCAACGGTTTTTTGGAAATATCAATATGAAAATTTGTCTGAATATTAGTTTCGGCATAATTTTTTTTGTTATCATCCCAAATCGGCTGGAATATGTTCAAAATTCGTTTTGGAAGCTTTTTTCATGATTTCCTTGCGTTTCCTATTTAAATTTTTCGAAAAACAGTGTTTTAGTGTCGTCTGGTTTTCATTCGACCGAGTTAATTGAGCGTTATCGATTGATAACATCACCAATTTATGAGATAAGCTGGAAATTGATAATAATCTATGACAACTTTGATTCAGATATATCAAAAGAACATATTCAGCTCATTGAAACCCACTTTCAAACTTCTCTCAATAATGTATGCATAAAAATTAAGAAATTTGTTAGACAGAAATTTTAACATTTTTTACATATTCTCTAATAAATTGGAACAAGTTAATCAATTTTCATATGAAACTTTTCAAATAAGTTTTTGATGATGTTTGACAACATTTGAGTCCATAATATCAATCTAACTACCTATTTTTCACCCCTTCAGCCATGGCCAAAAACGATGACATGCTTCAGTGAAGGGGTACTTTTCAGGAGGTTACTATAGAACTCAATTTCTATCAGAACACTTGGTTTGTTGGACCAAAATAACTGAACTGAGCTAAAATATAGTGTCTAACTCAAAAACTAACGAAAATTGAACAAAAAAAGAAATTGAAGTTATTTTTGCAAAAATTGAGAAAAATGCGATTTTCATCATTTTGCACGTCATATAACTTCCACGTGGAAAAATATCAAAATCAGTCATATTTCGATTAGAGATCATTTTTAGGACTGATTTACATATTCTTGCCAAATTTCACCACATTCTGACTATTTTCACCCTTCCTACACCTAAAAAACACAAATATGCATCACTAATGCACGCCACTGTAAGATTTCGAGCTATAAGCTAATTGTGGGAAAGTAAAAACTGTGGGAAAATTTATTGAAATAGAAACTCATATAATTGGACAAAAACCGAAATATTATAGATTTTTTCAATTTTGATATAAATCCGGATAGAAATTTGTATATCAAATAATTTTAAGACAAATTTATTGAAAAGATTTCAAAAAAAAATAGCTTAGATTCTTTCCGATCAATTTTTCCCAGACAAAATAATTCAACAAAAAATCCAGAGATTTTTCAATTTCGAAAGTCCAAAACTTAAAAAATTCAGTCTACTTCCATTCCATGAAAACCTATTCATCTAATTTTAACATAAGTACGATGGCCAGCTGAAAATGCACAATTTCCACATGTTCATTCATTTTTCCATCTATATATACATACCTTCAGAATCTACGGTAGCATAAACTTATCGATCCAAAACAACAATAATTAATTATTGAACTCTTAACAACAGAAAAATAAAAAGTATAATTACCTCAATCCAACTTTTTTCGCAACATTTTTCTCTTTTTCTCACGCAGTTTTAATATTCACTACTTCATCAAAAATCATCCCCGTGTTTTTTTTTCGCTTCAAGAAAGAACGAACGAATATTCATTTTAGGCCACGCCCACTTTTATATGCACTTATTTCTTTTTCTTCTTCTTCTTATTTCCTGCTCATTTTCATTTCAACAAACAAAATTCGAACGTCTTTACCAAGTATTGAGCTTTGTTTATTAGTTTTTTTTTTCATTTCAGGACCAAACTGGTCTGAAAACACGCAGATGACAGATGCCAACTACACAGTCAATGCTGAATTATGTCAACTCTACAGTCAATGTGCCAACTACACAGTCAATTCCACAATCAGCTATGAAGTGTGCGAAATCTACAATGAATGTGTCAACGCTACAATCAATGACAACTCAACAATCTGTCACATCTACCAACAATGTACCAAGACAACCCTACAGACAATTCTATCCGCATCCTATATTATAATAGTATTCATCGTGCCTTTAGCTGGAATTGCGCTGAACAGTTATGTTCTCTCCAAGCTTATTAAATTGGCGCAAAAATCGGTGGTCAGATTTGAAACCACTTCAGGACTACCACTTGCTGCAATGTCGGTATGTGTTAATTTCTCTCAAAAAAAAAATTTCACAAAAAAACTTCAGATTGGAGATTCGATAACTCTATTCTCATTGCTCTCCCAAGCACTTTTACATTACATTCCGAAGACTTATATTCCATTATTTTGGCTTCATATGTTTTGCAAGGTACGGTAGATTTATGGGATACAGTAGGCAAAAAAAGAAGATGAGCTGACGTGAGCTAATGGATTTTTTATGGGGTAGATTTATGAGATTTTTGAGATGGAAATGGAATCGAGGGGGGAAGGAGGAGAAGAGTGGTACTGTAATTTAGAGAAAATTGGCCAACATTTCGTGTCGAGACCAAAATTAAAGGAACATGTGCATATTTATACTCAAAAAATACCGTAAATTCACAATTCAAAGAAATATAATCATATTTATATTCAAAAATACAGTAACCCTCAATTTTAAAGTAATATAGCCTTAATTATACTCAAAAATGCCGAAATTTCACACTCCAAATGAACATAATTATTTTTATTATCAAAAATACAGTAACCCTCAATTTTAAAGGAACATAGCCTTATTTATATTCAAAAATACCGAAATTTCGTATTGATATATTTCAATTTTGATAAAAAAAATTTGGTATACTCTCAGAGAAGGTCTGGCTTGAACGGCGCGGTTCGCGAAACCCAGAAATCTGCCAATCCGCGGCTGACACAAGAACTTTAGCGAAACGTCCGCGAAATTATACTCCGCTGTTAGCGAAACGTCCGCGCAATCCACTCTCGAAATATAAAAATGCTTCACTACCCCTGATAATTATCAGAAGTTAGTATTCACTTGTAGTTCCAACGCGGCCTCGATCCCAATCCTGTCGTTTTGTAGTCATCCATCTTCCTCGCTGCGCTATCCTCGTTGTCGCGTACGCGATACAATTTATCCTTTTTATACCCTCCCTCTCGAGTCCATCCGCGGATCCGCGAAAAACGCAAAAATCAAATTTCCAAGTCAAAAAATTTCGCGGAATGCGCGAAATTAGACTCTCATTGGCTGAAGTTTCGCTGTCCGCGAAATTTTTCGCGGAATCCGCGTAATGATTTTCACCCAAAAATCGGTGAAAAATCGTCCGCGGACCGCGCCGTTCAAGCCATACTTTCTCTGAGCTGTAGTCAAATCAGAAAACGTTTCAAACTTTTTTTTTCTAGTCATAATCAAATTATTTACCAATTTATCCCGCGTCAACAACCAAAACTGAATCATTTTCTAGTATGATCTAATAAATTTTCGTCAACTTCCTGCTCTCCCAAATTTCCGGGTCTTGCTGAAAAACTTTGGAAAAAAAAATGATTATGGGGTAACTTTTGCAATTTCAATACAAAACTTTACAGAGTGGACTTTATATGATTTATACGACATCGGCGTTTTCGGTTTGGTGTTGGTTTGTTCTGTCGGTTTTGCGATACACCGCCGTGTTTCATCCTATCAGGTATCGAACGATTTGGAGACAACCGAGGAATGCATTGAAGTGAGTAGCTTTAGAAATATTGGACCACCCACGAAGCCAGAAGCTTTTTTTTTCAGAGTAATTGTTCTTGCAATCTGTATCGCTGAATCTTACATTCTATTCATCGTTGAATATGATGACGACGGATATTGCAATGAAAATCTGCACTTTAGAACAGGAAGATACTCGAAAGTTGTTCATATCTCGGACATTTTTCTGTTTTACGCAATCCCATCGATGCTAAGAACTGTTCTAGATTTCATCGTCTTGTTACATTGTTATTCACCATTCACTATTGATAGTCTTGATAGGATTATTGTTGATCGAAGATATGCAATCAGTGGTCCGACAAAACGATTCTCGCAAACTGGAGAATTGGAGAGCTTGGAGAGTAAGAATGTGGCGTTGGCTTTGTCAGTGGCGGTCACAGCGCAGGTTTGGAACTTTTTTTTGGGAGGGGTTTATTTTGAGCCTACATTTTTCGTCGTTTTATTTCGCAATAATCTTGTGAACCAATTATCTCAAAATATTTCCGGAATATCTGAAATTCAGATAATTATGTTGGCTTTGACAAATTACAAGAATACTTCTGAAGTTTCTTGAAAATTTCTGTAATGTTTTCCAGAAAAAAAAATTTCAGCTAATTAAATTAGCCTGAAATTTTGAGGACTTCACAAAATTCTAACGTCATTTTCTCTTTTTTTTTGTAAACAACTTTTTCACAAGTCAGGGGTCACTGAGAATTTTCGTCTAAAAATAAAGAACAGCCTCTGCTCTCTGCTCAGTAAGTGATGGTCATGATTTTCACACGACAAATCCGCTCGTGTAAAAAAAAACTTTGAAAAATGGCAACTTGTTTTCAGGGAAATCTCAAAAATCGTTCGACTTTCCCAAAAAAGAAAACAGCAATGGTGATGAGATCGATCGGGATTTCGGTTTTGAATTTGTTGTTGAATCTTCCATCACTGATTGTTCGTTCTTGGGCTACGATAGATATGGATAGTTTTGAAAAATCTGGGTGGATGGCTATTGAGCGTGAGTTTTCTTTTTCAGGTTGCCGAGCTTGATCCCCCTTTTAAATCATTGTGATCAGCTCTTCAAGATCTATTATTTAAAAAAAAAAAAAAAAAGAAAAATCAATGTTCCAGCTGTTTGCCAAGTGCTCTACTTTTCCCAATTCGCTTGCAACGCATTCTACTTGGCAACTTCAATCTACGAAACAAGTGGATCACCAAGAAGCACAGTAATCTCCTCTAGTAGTAATAGACATGTTTCACGGTGTATTTCAGAGGAAGAAACGTAGTAAAATTATTTGGACAACCTAAACGTTTCTGATCTCTCTCATTTCATTTGTTTTTGGGTAACTTTATCTCTCACGGTGTTTCATTTGCTTTTTTATTTTTTTTGTTTTATTGAATCATTTACATACATACATTTGTGTGAAATTGCCATTGCTTCCGGTAAAAAGCTTCATTTGTCAAAAGATATTTTTGTTTGAATAAATTATTCGACAATTTTTCATTTATTAGACGTGTCGTGTAGATTAACATTTTTATTTTTGTCTTATGAATATTCATAGTTTGTTCCAAGTTTCGGTCGCTTTCCTTTAGTTGATTGAGAATCGAGAAATGTATGTGTTGATGAAAGATTTTACAGATCGCTTCAAGCTTCTTGCCACAAAACTAATCACAGTTGCTACTGCTCCTACCAACAATTCAATCAATAAACCTTTCAATTTTGAAAATTGTTTATGAAAAACCGGAAGGAACAAAAAATCGAGTGAGAGCAAAAAACAATTGAATACATAATTACTAGAAAATTATACGAGATTTGAGTGAATAATGTCGGAATTTCGAATAATGTCGGAATTTCTAATTTTTGGAGTATGAAGGAACTTTGGTCCAGGAAGTAAAAAGTAGATTATTAAAAATGAAAGAATATTAATTTTATGGAGCAAGGAAAGGGGTTTGATTATGCGCAGAACATTTTTTTCGAGGATTTTAGTTTGATGAGGGATGTTCAGGAGGTTCTAAATTTTTTCGAAGCGTCCAATTTCAATATAAAATGAGATTTTTTTTCAGAAAAAATTGAATTCTTCACGTTTTCGAGATTTCTGAATTTCATAAAAATCTATTGAATTTCATTCAATTTCATGAAAAACCTTTGAACTTACAAGCCAAATTGTCACAAAAAACGGAAATTCACTTTAAAGCAAACAAAAGATTTGTATAAAACACTTGGCTGCAAAAAATGTGAGGTCTTGTTTAGGCTGCGGTTTTCTGACTGATCCTAATTGGGCTTGGGATAGTTTTTCAAAAAAAAAATTTTTAGTCAACACTTTTCCAGTTTGATCTACGAGAAAATCTTGGGATTTTTTCTGAAATTGTCTCTGACTTACTCGCCGAAAAATTAAAAATTTTGAGTTGGGAGCGTAAGGTTTGTTACGAAAGCATTGTTACAAAAAAAATGAATTATTGATTTTTTCAAAACCTAATTTTAAACTTTTATTAGATTTGATAAATTCAAGTGGAAGAGTTTTTAGTAGTCGCGATGATTGATTTTTAATTTTGATGGAATTTGTTATTAGATTTTTTTAAAATGACAGACAATAAATATTTTTCAAAAATCTATTTCAATTCAAAACACATTCGAAATATCATGTCGAATCCCCAAATATGTTTTTATTTTTCTCATATTTTCCCCGTTCATATTATTATTCAGTACAACTACAAATTTTGTCTTCCTAATCTCATCGAGAAAAAAACTACAGAAATCTGACAAATATTGTCGTCGTCAAAGTCTAGAGCAAAACAATTAGAAACCCTTGTGCACTTTTTTTTTCTTCGTCGAACTCTGGATTAATTTGCAAAATTTTAATTCCTTGAAAGCTTCAACAAAAAAGAAGAACGTTCGTGTGGATAGATGGAATTAAAAGGTCTTTTGTTCAGGCAAAAAGGAAACGAACAATTTTTGGGTGACATGTTGAGATACATGATATTTTGGCAGAGGAAATATGAACTTTTGAAAGTGATGTTCAAAATGTCGGGAATATTTTTGGAAAATAATTGACATGATTCTGGATTTGGACTTTGAACTTTATGAATCATATTCCAACTTTTTTCACTCCTATTACAAAAAATATCGATTTTTAGGTTCTTGAAGATTTTTTTTTAATTGAAGAATTATGAAGGGACATGACTTTTTTTAAACAAAGTTTAAACGCATGTTCTGAAACTTTGAAAGAATTATTCATAAACTTCTAAAAACTCACAACTTTGAAGATATTGGCCAAGGAAAAAAAACTATTTTTGAGATAATTTAAATTCGTCACATTAAAACTTTAAAAAATGTATGAAATTCACGAATATTGAATTCCAATTATTTTTTGCACAAGAAATTATATGAGTTTCAATTTTTTAGATTGTGTAGACTTCAGATCTGATTGTGAGAAAAGTCTGAGCTTCGTATGTGCTCCGTAAGTAGAACTTTTTTCACTTCGAGAACCCTTTCGATTAATTTTGGTGTTCAAGACAAGATTTTCAGTTAGCCTCAGACTTGTGTGAATTTCAGAAAACTATTTATGAACCTCTGAAATTGTGCTCTCATTCCAAACCACATATTTTCCCCGTGGAACCCCCCGATGACCCCTCTAGATTCAAAACTCTCCAATTGGTTTTTCTCATTGCTCTTCTCCTCTTATATTCTATTTCAGTCAGTCAAGCCGCGTTCATCAGAATCGTATCCAATTTCATTTATCCATTCATGAGAGACAACTAGGCGAAAACTTTGTGAGCCAAAAATGAATGAAAACTCAAAAAGCAAGCAATTTTTTTTTCATTCGTGAATGAGAAATGCAAATTTATTGGGCCCTGGGATTGAATTTCGTTGCTTCTGCCCTTTTTTGTGGCGGTGGTGAAGGTTCTCGTTTTTCTTATGTACATATATAAATATAAATATAAATATAAATACACTTGATATTTGAAAAATTGAGCTTGTTTATTTTATTTGGATATGAGTTTTTCAGGCTTGGAAATGGAAAAAATAGAATAATCTTATTTCGAGGAAAAAAGTAATAAACAGCTGGATTTTAGGCAGGGAGGCAGGTGATTCGTGATTTTCAGATGTTTTATTTTCAGAGAAAAGTAAATGACAAACAAAAAAATCTGGGAATTGGAAAAAGTATTTTCAGAGCTTGCAGGATGGTTCTAGTTTTGAATCTGGAAAAATTACCAGAAGCCAAAAACTTCGATATGACTAAAAATAGCCTTAAAAGGACTTTCCAATAAATTCATCCAATGCTCAAAAAACAGATAATCCTAGAAATTAAGTAGTTTATCTGAACTGTTTAGGATTCCATGAAAATCAAGTGATTATTTCAAAATTTCTCAAATTTTTAGTTTTGAAGTCCAAAAAAAATTTCAGAATTTTATATAAAGTTTTGTTTTCAAAAAAAAAATATAGAAAATTTGCAGAGACCTGTCAAAATCTGACGTTTTTATCTTTTTCGTTCTCTTTTTTTGCAAACCTTCGACTTTCAAAATTTGCTGAACCCTTTCTCCCTACAAATCCTATGTATTCTATAAATAATCCTCTCAAAATTGAATAAAAAGTCCAAAAGCTCTCCTACTCTCCTCTCCAATTCCCATGGGATTCCAAACTTTTTGCGATCTTGCTGGTTGTCCAAAAATTTGCTTTTTTACTTTGCGAACACAACACAACTAACAATAATCCTCCTTTTTCGTGTTTGCCTCAGTCGTCCGAAAAAAAGTGGGGCGGGGCTCACATATTCAGTCTTCCTTTTTCTTCTTCGTTTTTTTTTTCTTTGCGTTTTTCCGTGCCGCCTCTACTTTTCTACAAATGATCGGGATTGCTGATCTATAGAAACACCAACCATGCTCATTTATTTTCTATTATTCCTGTTACACCTTATTCTTGTCTATGCTGGCCAAATTCCTGTTCACCCAATATTTTCACCATGCAATTTTCCATCGCCAATCAAAGATCCCACAGTGGTAAGTCTTGGAATTCTTAAATTAGATCTGAAAATTCTATAGATAACAAAATTTCATAAATATTTTCAATTTTTTGATGAAAAAGGTTTCCTTGACTCGTCGTCCTGAACAACAAGAAAAAAAATGAAATAATTTATTTTTGCTGTTGACAAAAGAAGCGAAAAATGTAATTTGGCGCAAGCAAAAAAGGCAAAAAATGTGCCCGTCGAATTACCTTTTTCTCCTTTTTTTCGAACAACAAAAAAGAGCAAAATCTCATTTGTGACATAACATAACAAAAGGAAAATTACGTTTTTTCCCCTTTTCTTTCTTTTTTCCCCCCATATTTTTCGGCTATCCGTAAAAAAAGTGCATTTTCACCTCTTTTGCAGGCAGATTTATGTATGTATTCCAATGGAGCTACCCCGGAAAAGTGATTATATTTTTCCGCATAGTTAGGTTCTTACTGTAGCTAGTTTTGAGCAAAATAATCAGGAAGTTGGGAAAAAAGTTGGAAGACTAAAACAAGAAAAAAGTTTTTATTATGAGTAGTTTTTGGGAAGAGAGACAAAAAACCAATTTTGACAAAAGTTTATTGCTTTTTTCGGCGAAAATGCATGACTCAAAAGTTACGACGGGTTTATGTGAGATAGGATTACTGTAGTTGGGGACCAGAGATGCTCTAAGAAGAGCCCAGAAGCCTACTGAACATCCAACTAGAAACAAATTCTGACGTGGCACTTTTTTTTTCATTTTTTCTAGACCAAAAACCTTTTTCCTAGTGACCAACATGTTTGTTTTTGCTGAAACAACTTGCCCCGAAGACAAATTTTTTCGTTTTCCAAGTATCTAATGATGATTTCATCCCATTGGGGATTAGTTTCTGTCCAAAAAAGTTTGGGTTGTCTATTTTTTCGAAGAGGATTATTTCGAGATTTACTTGATGGATGTTTTGGAAAGGGCTTCAATGGGTGGTCGATTTTGGAAATTATGAAAAATCGTGTGTATTTTTCTAGTTTATACATACATAAATCCATGAATAATAAATTTCTTGTCTCGGAATAAACAAGGAAACAGCGCGAGCGCAACGAATTGAATATTTATAAACTCTGTCCGTGTCACCTCCTCCTGACTTTTGTGCGTTGCTGAAAAAACGCGCGGCGAAACCACTACTACTACTAATATTCACAACAATTTTTTCATGCATATACATATGAAGAGGAGCACAAAAAAAACGGAGAGCACTCCACTCAAACATAAAATTCGGAGAAGCATGAATACATATGAGAAGAGAAGGACTCATCTTTTAAAGATTCATCAAAACAAGCAAAAAAAACAATACATTTATGGATATTTTTTTCAAAGTGTTTATTTTTTTTTTTTGATGGGAAAATTTGGAACATTTTGGATAGGAGGTCTTTTGATAGTACTGTAGATTTAGTTTTTTGATCGGAAATTTGACAATCCTTGAATTTTAAAGAAAAATTTAGAGGATTTTTTCCAACGAGAATTGAATTAAAAACACGTCTATTTACGTTTTACCCAAATTTTTAAAAACATTTTTTTAATTTCAAGAAAAATTTTTTTCCGCTGGTAAAAAACTGACGAGGAAAGGGTGTGACCCGGAGGTTTTCAATAAGACACACATGTTTCTGTACAGTTTTTCACGCTGAGAAAAATCCTGTTTTCAGTTTTTGCTGAACAACTCTCTAAACAGCCCCAGAATTACCTAAAAGTGGAGACTTTTTGAAATTTTGTGGTTTTAAGAGCACATAACTCATGTTAGAGATGAATTTTATGAAATCACGTGGTTCAGGAGGGTCGATTTACCAAAGTCACAAATTTTTGGTCAGTAAATTCATACTTTTTCTGAAAAAAATTGTGTGGTTCACATTCAGAAAATAGGTACATTTGAAATTTTTTTTCAAAACTTTTGATTTTGGTAAAACAACCCATCTGAAAATCACCCTGCACTCTATTTTAAATTAAAAAATATTTTCTAACATGAGTTACAGGCTCTCAAAAGCGCGAGATTTTCAGAAAATTCTTAACTTTTGGCTCATTTCCGTTGAATTTCATAGATTCTATTTTAACCTACAAAATATTTGTGTCAAGTATTCAGTACACAACAGTCTGTGAAAATACCACGTCAAAAAAATACTTTTCCTCTAAACCATCTCATTTCTGAAACTCAATTCTTCATCCAATCCATTTTCCAGCACAAAACAGTTTGCCATACAATACCCCGATTGCCTTTCGTTTGTGATTTACACCACCAACTAGCCTATACCAATACTCACGCAATTGAAAAAGCATACTCAAGGTAATTTCATTTCATTTTCATTTTTCCCCAATCCTATAAAAAAAGAAGAATAATTGTTCAGATATAAATCAGTCTTCACTGAGGGCAATACATCCACATTGGCTGTAATTATAGGTGAGCCAGAGAAAAAACACCACTTCAATTCTTTTTTCAAAAATTCCAGGGAAGTAGAGTAGAGTACCAGCAAAAATTGAATAAAACTATAATTAACTCAATCACACCCGTTTTCGGCGAGATAAGTAACAAACTCAATTTGAGCGCACATTTTTTGCTGCCTAATGAGTTTTGTGTGGACTTTTCTAGTTGCGTTTTGAGGCTAGATTTTTGATTAAAGTGGAGTTGAGAGGAGAGGGACTTATAGAAATTTGGCAGAAAAAAAAACCCAAATTGAAATTACTGTATATGCCTTTGAAATCAAGATTTGATGATAAAAAATATGTTTTCTAGTAGATTTTTACCCGCCGCTGAACCCAATTCCATTGTCAAAAGATTGGAAAAGTTTGGGACTTTAGGATGTTATAACTAGATTCTTAAGCTCCCAAAATTTTTCAAAAATTTCTAATTTTTACACGGTATGACTCATATTAGAAGTTGAGATTTGCAGTTTTTTACAGAAGAATCATGATTAGAATTAAAAATTTTGATTACAGGCACGCCTGACGGGACGTGTCCAAAAAGCATACTGTACAAAAATTTTCAAGTAAAAATTCCCGCCCAAACCAAAATTTCGATTCGGGCGGGAAGCTAATAAAATTTTTAAAATTTTTTTTCATTTCATTGCACATTTTTTTCACGAAAAAGTGAAGTGTTCATTGATTTTCAGAGGATTTTGATGAAAATATAATTTTTATTCTGAAAAAAATTTAACGCTGCACACAAATTTTGGGACACTCTCTCGCCAAGTGTGATTACAGGTCAAGGTACTATTCAAAAGTTATCCTAAATTTTGGTTGGACATTTTTTGTACTTTTAAAAATTGTGGAGTCCTGAATTTTTGAAAATTTTCAGAATTCGAAAAAATCTGAAACTTTTTTTGCAGTAAAACAACTCGAACAACCCGTTGAAGCAAATGATGTGATGACCAAACGAGAATACGCTTGCCTTTTCGATACAACATGTCAACAAATTGATGGTGATGTGATTACCGGAATGGCTGGAAATGTTCGAATGTTTTTGAAAGTCAGTTTTCTCAAAAATTCCATAGATATTTTATTTGTCTAATTCATCACTAAAAAAAAGACACACACGTTAAAAACAGGAACACATTTTTATCAATAATTCATTAGAGTTTTTTTGCTCCTTGTTCAGAATTAATGAGATGTTTGTTGTTTTCTTTTTGTGTGTGTATGGAAAGGAGCAAAAAAAACGAAAGCGGAAAAATAATGTAATATAATGAAATAGTAATAATAAATAATCGGGAAAAATAGGAACGGAAGACTGAACAAAACCCATTAAGCAGACAGCAAAATAGAGCGGGAAAAATTGGGTGTTTTTTTGCAGAGCTTGTTGATTTTGTACCAAAAGGAAAGGATTTTGGTACGAGACTTGGCACAATTAGAAAAATATTTTTGATCTACCAGAAAAATCTGGCGAAATTATACACTAAAAATTTTATGAGGCGGGAAATTTTGAATTTTTTCAAAAATAGCTTTATGTGAATTTCTGCTCAGTTGAAACATTGTGAAAAACCGTACTACTTTCTTAGATCTTGAACTGTGTGAATTGAACACTAAAAAAAATAGAGACGATTTCGAATGGCCCCTGAAGCTTTCTAAAGCCTTCGAATGGCTCCTAAAGCCTTCTGTAGCCCCTTGAAAAAGCTTTTCAGAATCTGAAATTTCATGGTTTAAAAATAATTTTACAATTTTCTCCGTGTGAAAATAAAGATTCCGAAAATCTTTTAATTTTATTCAAACACCACAGAACTGAAATTTTTCCAAAATATATTTTCCTTCGCACAAAAAAATTTTGCAGGTTTACGCATGGAAAGTTTTTGAGCGATGGTTTCGTCATAGTCCACCAGAAGAATGTGGGAAAGCAAATTTACTCGCGGTAATTTTCACCAAACTCTCCTCCAGACTCTCATAAATCTTTCCATTTTCAGTTATTGGTTCTTGATGGCGTTGTAAATGATGCGCGAAAAATTCCCTATGTTCGATTGCACGCTCCAACAAAAGAATTCACTGACAACTTGTCAAATATTCAAGCTGAAGTCACAAATGCATTGTTACAAGGTAGGGTTGAATAAATTCCGAACTTTATGTGCGTGTTCTGATGTTCTTGTTCAGGTTGGCCATTAGCAAAAAGTTGTGGAAGATTTGGTCGATGATCTCGGGTATGCGTTGAAAGAATATTATGAATTGAAAGGAGAAGTCAGGGACCATTCAGTGCCAGTGTACGTTTTTTGTTGAAACATTTTCTGTGCTCATCGCCAATAATTTTTCAGCTGGGCTCGAAACTTATTCCTCGTCTGTCTTGCTCTTGTCGTCACTGCTCTTTTCGTTGAATGGTATGTTGTTCGACGGAAAATTGGTGTGCAGAAATCCGGATCGATCAAAATCGCATCCGGAAAATCAAAAACACATCTCATGTTTTAAACAATCAGGGATAGAAGTTAGCTCCATTTTTCGGGTTTTTTGTATATTGAAATGAATGTGTATAGAAAATAAATATTTGTATTTTTTTTCTGAAAATGAAAAAGGTTATAGAAAATTTCAGATCATGTTTCCCTAGACCAAAATGTGATCTTTTCATATTCTTAAATATCATTCAAACATATCATTAACAATTTTTTTTTTCAAAATTATATTCCTTTTTTGTCCAAAGCAGGTGTAATTTCAGAAATATCAATAAGTTTTTCTTCCCGTTTTTTTTTTGAAAAAATCAAAACTCACATAATCATGAATGATGATATTCTCATCGGATTTTTTGACTTGTTTGAATTGTTTTATCGGATTCTCTCTTCAAATTTTGGTTATCACGGGATGTTGGAAAATTTCTTCAATGCGAACTCATTTCGGATATCTTATAATCAATGAAAGTTTTCTTGAAGCTCTTGTATGTTTTCTAACATTTATATTCTTCTTTTTTGGCGTGATTTTCAAACTGTCTTGGATTCTCCAAATATCTTCAGTTTTCGCAACTTTTATGGCACTTTTATTACCAGTTGCGATATATTCGAATCTCCTTTTGGCTCTGAATCGTCTATTTTCAATTTTGTTACCATTTCAATATTCAAGAATTTTCAAACATCTTTGGTATTATATTCTGTTTGGTTGGATTTTCCCAGTTTTTCCGGGGGTTTATGCAATTGTTGTCAGTGAGTTTGAATCAAAAAAATGTTTTTTTTTTTCAAAAATTGGAATTTATTTCAGAAGAATGCAGTTATTTTTTCGATTTTTATGGATGGATATTTCGAAATGTTACAACTGATAAATGCAATGATGCTTTGCTAAATTTCATAATTTACTCCCAAACAATCCTAGCTCTTCTATATTTTGTAGCTGATTTGTTGACACTAATTTTCTTGATATATTATCACTCAAATTCAAATTTCTCAAACTCAAACCGCACACGTGACACAAAATTTGCAATTCAAATTTTATTACAAGGACTTATCACAATATTGTTTAGCACTTGGTATGGAAAAGGCTATAAATTGATATCTGGAATTAGCCTGGACTGGAGAATCTATTGGACTTCTACATTTTCAGCGAATTTGATTCATATTATATTTCCAATTATTATTATTTTTGTGAACGCTGATTTTCGAAAATGGATTTTTACTTCGAATCGAATTTCTACACAGGTGGAAATACATAGTATGCCTAGTGGTTTGAAATAATTGTTTCTGTAAAAAAAATTGATGAAGAGTAAAAAAATGAAACCATATTCATTTTCTATCATTTATTGGTAAAATTTAAAAAAAACAAGATAAACAGTATGTTATGGGTTATTGATTTTTTTTTTGGTTTTTTGGAATATTTTAGAAATAGTTTAACACAAAAAAAGAGGAGAATAAATATTTTTTTTTTCAAAGCATGAGCTCGACAAAAATTTTTTAATTGAGGTACTATTGAAGTTTTGAAACTGCTAGAATCAACTTCTGTTTACTATCAAAATTAAAATGAAGTTTTGAATTGAATTGAGAAAAGTGTATTGGGGGAATGTATTAACGCCATCTCCAAGATTCATCCGGCCAATAACGCTTCGACATCTGCCGGAAAAATCCATGATGTTCAGTTCCAATGCTTCCATATGACATACAACTCTAAAATTCCAGAAATTCAAATTTGCAAAATTTTCAAAAAAACTAACTTTCTCGTTCTCTCTTCTTGGTCGCGCATCAATTTGACTTTTGAAATATTCTTGAAAAGTTTCGACTTTGTTACTTGCAATTGTTCGATCATCGTCAGTCAGTTTTATGCATCTCGTTTGAAGATTGTTTGTCTTTTCGAGAAAATGTTCGGTTAACCGATCGGAATATTCAACACTTCCATCGATTCTGAACCAAACAAATCAATTTCAAGTTCAAACAATATAAAAAACTTACGATAGCAGAAACTCGACTTGATCATTCAGCTGAATAGCATCCACAATCTCACAAAACTTTTCTTCGCTCATCGGCACTTTGACAATCGTAAGTTCTTCTAACTTTGGCATCAGTTTTATATATTCTATCACATCATTTAGTGCAATGTCCCAGACAGTGAATTTCGAAACATTTTTGAAAAATCCAGCAGGATGGGTGAGATTTTGTAGGATGGTTGATGATTCATAGGTGACTTGTTCTGGACTCATCCATCGTGTTTGTAATTCTCCTTCCATAGGAAACTAAAAATTTATTGATTTTTTGAGACAAAAAGTCTAAAGATCAGAAGCCTTCTCTAAAGAATCGACTCAACTCTTTAAACTTACCACAAATAGGAAAGGCTCAGAAACACAGATCTCTGGCATCACAATTGACATCAAACTCTCGTATGGAACCACATGATATTTGTCATTGATTATCGTCACATCGTCTTCATCAAACTTGCTGAACGTTGTTTTTTTTCATTTTTTTTTGAAAAAAATAACTCACTGTGTTCTGCAATATGGTATTGAAAAATCGCGTAATGAAGGCGAAACATATTGCATGTCGAATATCTCTTTCGTTGTAAGATATTCGAAAATTTTGTCGATAATCTTGATTGGCATCGTATCAATATAGTTGATTCCATCGTTCACTAATTTGTAATCATCAGCGTTTTCACGGCGAATGAAGTCTTCGACACTTTCCACACGTTCGTCGTCGAAAAGAGCTAAATCCATTTTGAGCGTGAGCTGTTGAACTTTTGCAAATGCAAATGAGGCCAAGCTTGATAAATCTGAAAAAAATAGTGAGGTGATATTTTATAGGTGAATAAAATAAAATTAGAAAATCGATTGACAAACGTGGATTCAGAGTTATTATTTTTGACGACTTTAAAGTTGTAAAATTATTGAAAACTCTAAAATATTTTGAAAAAAAAACATTTTATGATCAAAAAAATGAGGTCGATTAACAGAAGAAGCATGGTTTTAGACCCACAATTTCCAGTTCTGTATCAAATTTTTTAAATTGAAATTTGTGCCAAAAATTAGGCTACTGATAATCTTCAAAGCTTTGAAAATTTTGAATGATTTTTTGTCGAGTGTATTACGAAATATTCCAAATTTTCGATATTTTGTATTTTATAGTTTTTGTAGCCTAATTTTTCTTATTAATTTCCACCTATAATTCTCACAATTAATTCTGAAAATAAATTCTACAAAATTCGATAAAACATCAAAAAACATGTTTGTCTCGCGATTTTTCAGAGACCTGCCACAATTTTAAGTGAGACCGAAATTGGAAGATAACAATTTTTGACCTACGCCGGAAATTTCGGGAAAAAATAACAGTGAAACCGATGATAAGGTTTTCTTGAGATATTTTTAGAAGTTTTCGAGAGAAAAAAATACTTATACTTCAGAAAACGCTCAAATAGGAAAAATGAGGACGCCAAATATAATATAAGAACACCATATTCTCTCTCGCAAGACAAAAAAAGAAGGGTGAGACGGGTGCAATTAGAATGTGAGACACAGGTCAAATGCCCCCTTGCACATTGATTGAGTTGAGTTGGTGTCTCTTTTGGTGGGTGGGTGCGAGAGAGTGTATTTGCGCAGATGCGTAGAGAAAAAAGACCCTTTGATAATAAGAGAAGGTGTCAAGGACAGAGGTTTATCTTTGTGGATAGGAATATTTGATTTTGCGTTTGAGATAATGGGGTAGAAATGCACATGAGTATGTGAATATTAATATAAATAATATTTTTCATTGAAAATAGAATATATAAATGAAAAAATTTGATTAGAGACAACATGAAAATTAAGCGATTTGAGACGGATTTTACTTTATGGAATACAATTTTTTCAAATTTTTTATTAGGTACAGAAGTTGATTTTGAAAAACAATATTATTGGGTTTTTTTTTTGTTTCCAATTAAATTTTTCTGAAATTCTATCTTTTCACAAACAGTTTTTATCAAAAAAAAAATTCATTTTTTCCGTTTACTATGAAGAATAATCAATTTTTGGTTTCACACTTTCAAAACACAGATTTTCCGACTATCATAAATCTTCTGATAAAAGGAGAGGTTTGAAAATGTTATTATTTTTTTTGAACAGTTCTTCCTTCATAATCAAAATGTTCCTTGGTGGTCTCTAATTTTTCATCCCATGACCGAAATACGTCTCGAAAAGGTCACACGGAATTCCGGTTTCGACCGAAAAAAAAAAACTCAAAAAAAAAAACGGTATTTTGTTTATCAATTCGATCAATCAAACCAGTAATTTTTTTGGAGTTCGGTTACACAAAACATTTTTCACCCACCATAAATCATTATTGCAATTTTTTCTCGTCCATCCTTCCGTCCTATCATCTTTAAATTCCAGAACATTTCAAGTTTTCATTCTCTTTTCCATTTATTTCTTCTCTCGATTTTTGACTTTCGCTGATTTAATCGATGCCAACTTCTACTAATCTTCCTAATCAAAAATCCCTCGATCTACCTGAAGATTATTCGAGCTCTGATTCCGATTCTTCACCAGATAAAGATTCAAGCAACGGCTCAACAACAACAACATCATCAAATTCTGATTCAAGCACTGATTATGATTCGGAATCCAGTGTAGATAGAAAGAAAAAGGAGAAAGCTGAATCGGAAATTCATCGAGTGGTCAAGAAAAAAAGAAGTCAAAAGAAAAAACAAGAGAAGCATGATGAACTGAAAAGACGAAAAAAAATGGCAAAAACTGGACAAAGACCATCTTTCGATAAGAACAAGGATTATAATGAAGATTTGATGAAAATGGATGACTCGAAAAATTATAATCAAGAGGATATTGAGCAATTGGTTAAGAAACAGTTGGAAACTTTGGAAAAAAATGTTGAAGGTATCTCAGGAAATTTTGGGCAACGATTTAGCAAGTTGCTGCCCTCTCGCAACTTGCTATCTCCTTGCTGCATTTTTAGCGACTCGCGCGATTCTTGCTGGATCCATTTTTATTGAGATGGATAGTGGGCGGAGCATTTCTTTTGAAAGCATGTCAATAGGCAAAACTCATTTTTTGTCGGGCAGAAAATAATTATAAATTGATCCCGAGGACATCTCCACAAGTTATTGAAGGGTATTTTTATTGCTATGGCATTATAATGCTACAGTACCACCAATAACTAAATTAATTTTGATCTCGACAAACTTTGTCTTTCATAATAAAAAAAAGAATGAACCTCTAATTTTTTCTCGAAATTTGTTCGGCGACTTGCTGTTTTCTTGCCGTTTACGAAAAAAAAAATTTCGCTTGCTATAATAGGCGATTCCGCGGCAAACTAGTGTCCGAACCGCATGTTTTAGCAAGCAGAATCGCGCATTCTGGTCAGCAAAATTGCGAAAAATCTCCTGAGATGAAATTGCGAAAAATTTACGAAACTACATATTATTTCAGACCAAAAACCTGAAGAAGATCAAATAACTTTTGACTGCACTCCAATGATTTTAAATCATCAACTTTACGAAATGATGAAGTCTGTGGAGCAAATATCCTCTGAAGAATCTGAAGTTGAAGCACCTCAAAATCAAGAAGCCTTCGAGAAGATTGATGTTGAAAAATCACCTGATTCTTCCGATTATGAAAAAGTGGATAAAAACCATGTTTCGAATGAGCAGACTCCTCAAACCGTTTGCGAATCCAAAAATGAAGAATCTACTCTTGGATGTCCATCATTGCCTCAGATTACTGTGTCCCCTCCTCTTCAAGAATCAACCACCCAACCAGTTATCAAAAGTTCAGTGCCATCAAATATTGATCCGAAATTGATTTATGACTGCACGGGATATACAGTTCAAGATGTTTTGGTGAATAATTCTGAACCAAGGAAAATCTGGGAGCTCTCTGAAAATACACTAAAAGCCAGTTTTTATCATTTGCATCATCTGAACAAATCAATTTTGGATTGTGAAAAAGAAATGGAATTGATTGATAAGAAGTTTAAGGATAACGATGAACTTTTGGCAATTTTTAGAAAAGATTATTTGACAAATAAGAGCAATCTGAGGGGTCAATACCATTCTCTAGGTGAAATTGACAAAACAAATCTGTGTGAAATCCCGGAAAACTATTCGAATTTTGGCAAAACTTTTGCCAAAGTTTGGAAAATCGCAGCGGAATCTGATAGAATTCAACTTTACCACCTGAATCAATGCATTTCAAAGGATCAAACATTTCTAATCCCTGAGAACCACAATTCACCTGCTCCACATAAGTTCATTCTCGCTAAACACAAGCGTGAATTGCTGAAAAGTTTGGCAAAGCTGAAAATTCTCATTCACACTATTCAAATGGACAATGAATTTTTGATAAAAGATGTTATTGAAATTCAACCTATCGATCATCTTAATGCTGAAATTGATGTTTTCGAAGATATTGAGAATTCTTTTTCTGAAAAAGAAGAAGAAGTAGAACGAGAAGAAAGTGACGATGAAGAAACATATGTTCTTCGAGACTACAATGTAACACCACCATCAATCGATAGTCTACCAGTGGAAGTGCAAGAAAATTTGCGACTCTTGAACTCAAGTGCAAATTCTGATTTTCCATCGATGACAATTCTCATTGAACAACCGGTGAGTTCGATTTTTCCTGACATTTTAACATTTCTTAAAAAAACAAAACATGTTTTAGCCAATCTCTGTGTTCAAAAAAATCGGGCTGAGTATAGTGGAAATGGTGGATCTTCGTGAAAATTGTCGAATCTTTGAAACAGAAGGATTCTGTGATGCTGCTCCAATCTTCATCCCATTTATCACGATTTTCCAGGTGAATTTTTAATTCATGAAGATTATTGTGTTTATCTCATACATATTTTCTAGATTATTTTGTTCCAAGCCTACAACGCTCACAATGTTCTCCACAACAAACCTCCCGTGTGGCACAATCAACTTTTCGCCGTCTCAAATATGGATGCAATCAACTTGGCATCCAATTTATACTCACAATGTTTGTTTGGAATACCGCTTGAAGTTGCGTTTGGCACCACAAGAATTGCGATTTTATACGCGGTCGCATCGATATTTCCGCTCATCACATATTTCGGATTCTCACCACATAGTGTGACACCTGGTGGATTGGCGCTTTATGCGTTGGTTTTTCTTCAAGTCGCTTTTCTTTTGAAGGTTAGTTTTTGGGGCTAGAAAATATTCTAGTAGGAAATTTTCTTTAGAAAATGTAATTTTTCTGTATGAGGTTTTCAGAACCGCAAAAAATCAAAAAAATTTCAGCATTGGAAACGAGCTGCCTGCAATTATCTACAAGTTGTTGTGATTCTCCTCTGCATCATTGTTGATTTCAACTTTAAAACAGCTACCAAATCGCTCTTCGCCGCAAAAATTCATTCTGCTATAACTGGACTCTTCTTCGGACTATTCTACATACATTTTCCAAGAGTTTGTTTCCGCAAAAAAAATTTAAAAATCAAATTGTGTTTTTTTTTCTAGACAATGAATCATCGCTGGATAAATGCTCGTTTTGTCTGCTGCGTTTTTTATTTCATGTACATGTTATGGATTGTACAAGTTTGTGCTGTTGGAATGAGAAAAGAATCTGGAGCATTCTAAATGTGATAATAATTCTAAATTCTATTAATTGTGATAAGTATGTATTTAGTTGTGATAAAATCTGTGATTTTTGTGAAACTTTCATCTTCGTGATTTCAAAAAGCAGCTGAAATTCGGAGAACAAATTTTCATCAAGTATCTCATAAATCACTAAAATCACAATCAGTTCCAGTTACATCACGCAGTTTTTCTTCCTTGAACAATTTCCAATCATCTTCACTACAAAGATCAATAATTGTTTGTCGCACACAATTTTCTTTTCCAAAATAATTCTTGCAATAATCTTTGCCCTACAATCAATCCAAAAATTTTTCAAAAAAAAAAAACAATTCTCAAAATCTCACCGATTCAATTTTATCATTCAGATAGCTTGAATAGCATTCATTTTCCGATTCGCTCAACTTATCTGCACATTCTTCGAATTCTCCATGGGTAAACACTGCGTGGCGACACATTTTGATAACATTTGGAATTCGGGGACCAACTGTTGTGCAATTTGTATTATTAACAATGTCCTGGGAAAATTTATAATGGTTTTTTCTGTGTTATAGAGGAAACTAACTTCAAACATTTTGCAAGGTTCCACTTTAAAAGCGCCAAACATTGTTGAAAAAATTGATAATTGAACTGCAGTCATCCCCTGAAAATCAAAATTATAATTCTTGAGAGAAACTCTATCTTAAAAACCAACCGTTTCAATTTCTTTTTTCGACTCATCAGAACAATTTGCAACTATTTCTGGCTCTGGACTGACAGTCACAGAATTATCGATTGATAATTCCGATAGACTAAATTTAAACAATAGGAAAAAACAAACGAGGAAGTTCATTTTTATGAATGAAAAGACTAACCAATCATTATTTTTTGGACTTTGCAGAGGATTATTATATATTCATTTTGAAACAGTGCAAAAATAAAAAAAAATAATTCATTTATTATCGTCTACCACAACGAAAAAGGTATCGACAAAACGCGGAAAATGAAAAATTGTGAAATGTTGTTTTGACAAAAAATGTTTTGGAGCCAATGTTGTCAAAGGCGAAATTCTCGTCGTGTGTGAGATTATTTCTATGCGGAACGATAACCGGCGGGCCAAAAATTGCCTTGCAACGATTTGATATGTGTTTTACTGATTCCAAGTCGAGTTTTCCTATCTCTAAACGAGCACGTTGTGGGAGTTCCTGTAAAATTAATTTAGTTTTGAAGTTATTCCTCATTTTTTTTTTCATTTTTGTTTAAATATTTTCAAGTTTTCTCAAAAAAGCGCAGCGAAAATTAGCACAATTTTCAACGTCTAAGCTTCTTAGATTTTAGACTATTTATATTTCAAGTTCAAACTACAAACATTGGTAGATCAGAAAAAATCTAATTGAAAATTTTTTTCATATAAAATGACTCATATTAAAAACACCGCTTGGTCTTTTATTGAATTTAGCTAATGACCCGAGAAAAAGACATGACAGGGTCAATTTATTCTTTTGCTGTCTGTCTCTCCTATTTTCCCATGCTATTTAGTTCTCTCTAGAAATGTTCTTTTGATTTTTGAAAAAAAACAAACCTTTTGGTTTCCATCCCATTGACAAAGATTGTCACTTGTCAAAAAATGCACGAGTCCTTCCAAGGATTTTGGTTTCTTTGTTTGACTTCCTGGATATTTGTTTTTACCATAGAACAAGTTTCGCACTTTCAATCCATGACATCTCGTCAGATAAGCATCAATGATGTTTTTTTGTCACTTTGATTTGTCTATTCAATCTGAAAAAAAATCGCTATTAACTTTTATGATTGAATAATGAAAAAAAAACCTACTTCAAGTTGAATTTTTTCTGATCATTGATTTGGATTGCTTCCATAACCGCAATAGCTTCCACCTCCTCAATTTTTGTGTTCATGATTTCCAAAGTATTCAATTTCGGCATCATTCGAATATATTTGCAGATGTTCTCAATGTTTTTCGAATCGAATGAAAATTCCTCAATTTGTTGTAGGAACTCGGGAAGATGATCAACTTTTTCGAAAATGTCGGATTTCCAATAGAAAAGGCGCTTAGTTGCCATGAAATGTAGAAAGCGTTTTCCTCTCAATTTTTTTCTTTTCAAAATTGCTTGATCGGAATAATGGAGTTTCTGGAAAATATTATTGGTAACTTTGGAAATGAATCTGTAATTCAAAATTTTGAGCTAGAAAAAATTATTTTCTTGGAATTGAAATTGTTTTTTTGGTTCACAGGTCTATTCCGACCCTTAAAACATCTTGCTCCTGGGAAATCGTCAAAACTTACGCAATATTTATTTTTCACAATGCACACCGATTTATGATCTATTTTGCTGAAAAACAAAAATTAAAAAATTAATTTTTTTTTTTGAAAAAAAAAAAAAAAAAAAAACTCACAATGTGTTTAACCGATGCACATATGATTCCATTTTTGAATTGATTTGACTCAACTTCATCACTCGATTTTCTGGCAAATGACCCCGAATCACATCCAAAACATGAGGAGGTAAAGTGTCAAGCATTATTATTACCCTATTAGAATCAAGAATATCGATTAAAAGTACATATACATATGCACTAAAAGAAGTGTTTGCGAAAACGTAGAGAAAAAGGAGAGAAAGGACTAATTTATTGGGAAGGAAAGGAAGAAAAAGGCGAGAGGGGGAGATTATTATTATTATTATTTGGCAGGCAGGGACCATCTGCTATTTTATATGTGTGGAAACCAGGTTAATTATGAAAAGATTAGAAGAAATAAGGAGAATCAGAAAGGTATACAACTTTTGTATTTGTTTTTGTTGTGTTACATCAAAAAATGTGCCAAGTTTTGGGAATCAATTTTGCTGGCTGACAAAAAAAAATCATTTTTCCAGATGAATAGTTTTTTTCATGCTGTGATTTATTTTTGGAATAAAAATTGAAAAAATGGTATCAAAGAACAAGGAATTTTGAGCAAGACTGCTCTAAAGATTCTGTATTAAAATTTCTAATTTTTTTCAGCAGAAAATTATTTTTTTGGTAAAATATCTCCTAATCTGGTATATAAAACCAAAAAAAACTCAAATTTAGCAAGAGCTCCGGAAAAAAAATGTCTTTCTGTTTTACTATTACATTATCCCCCACCAAAAAGAGCCGCCACAATGAGCTCTCGGAGTACTTATTAAAATTTAATATCGCGGCGTTCTTTTTAATTTTTTTTGCCAGCGAAACGAAATCATTTTGATTATAAAATTCAGGGAATTTCGCAAGCTTAAAAACAAATCATTTTTCAAAATGATAAAATGTCTCATAAATTATTTTGTGCCTATATGTAAAACACAAAATCAATTTGCTCTAACATAAAATTGCTGCGAAGTGGATTTGGAAGTGCAAATTTAATTTTATATGGGGTAATGATAACCTAGAAATGATAGGTTACCATGGATATTCATAAGAAGTGATTGAATTAAAATTTGGAATTTCACCACAAGGTTGGAATAAAATTTGATTGCCTGGCTTGAAAATAACGAAATTTATAGGCCAGGATCTGCAAGAATTAAATAAAAATCGATAATTTGTTTCGTATACAGTTAGCAGCTCATACAACAGCAACACAACATGTTTATTTCAAAATTAACAGGTTCAACAATTTGTTCACTAATTGTGAATCAATCTTTCTTGGTATCATCGGCATCCTCGCTGCTCTCTTGCGATCCAGATGACGTTGCTCTGAAAAAATACGAATTCTGTTTGAATTCTTCTGGAATATATTCAACAAAAAACCTACTCATCATCCAATTTTGCTTTTTTCTCGTTTCCATCTCCAACTTCCTCGTCATCTTGTTGATTTTCTCGTTTACCAACCATTCGATCGACTGAAATTAAAAAATGATTGAATTTATGTTATTGAAATTATTGATTGGCTTACGCAAGTTATCCAAATCTTTTTTGAAGACGATGATTTTCAGCAATTGCATCGTTCAATTTTCTTCGCAACGACTTGATTTTCTGTAAAATGTTTATCATTTTCAAAAGCAATTTTTCGAAAGTACATATTTAATATTTTGAAACCTTAAGTTCAGAAAAATTGTTTGGAAATTCCGAAAAATCAAATTCACCTGAAATTGTTTTTGAAATTTAAAAAAGTTGTTGAAATTTCCCGAAATTCGTGGATTTTTTTGAAACATTGAAATTTTGTAAAAATAAAAATTCCAAATTACCTCCACTGATGTTTCCTCCTGTGGATCTTGCTCCTCAACTTCACCAGTCTCAACAACTTCAGTTTCAGCCTCAACCGGCGGCTTCTCTTCTTTCACCTCCTCCGAGCGAGGAGGCTCCATGCTGTTATCTTCTGGTTTTTCCAGTTGATCGTTTTTGTCTTGATCCATTTTGTTTTTGTTCGCTACCCAGTCTGGAAAAATGTGCGAGAAATAAAAAAAAACATTTTTTTGTTTCAGGGAAAATTCACAATGATGCAATTAAACTAAATAAGGGCTAGCAACTACAAAAATGCGCCAATTTCATTTATCCTGGCGCGAATTTGTGGGTAAACAGTTTAGGAGAAGCTAACGAAGCATCTAGAAACATTGAGAGAAAAAAGGAGAAGGGATAGAACCCGCCCCCGAAATCGCGCGCGCTAATAAATCTACCGTAGGTTTGACAAGCTGGTTTGCTCTTTCTCTTTTACCGAACCATATTTCATTTTTGAGCCTATCCTTTCTTTGAAATAAGAAAACAGTGTGTGAAAATGACAAATGTTTGAATAAGAAACAAAAAGTTTTCTGGACCAGATGTGGTTTTGCGAAAGGTTTGGTACAAAAAACAATAAATCATTCAACAAAAAATCAAAAAATCAATGTAGCCTAGAATTTGTTCAGGTCTGTTTTTCAAAATCAATTTTTTCTTGATATCTGGAAAAAATTTCTGAAAATCTGTTAAAATTTCGAAAAAAAATTTCAATCAATATGATTTATTATCTTTCAATATGAAAATATACAAAAAACCTTCGAAATCATTAAAAACATGGAAAAGTTCTGAAGTTAACAAAACCATCAAGATATCGGAAATCTACTGTTCTAAGCATTCGTTCCAGATATGCATTCAACAGATTCTGCTCACGATCGTAAAACGAGACTTGTGGTATATTGATAAGTTCATCAGCGACATCGGTTGGTTTGACAATATGCACTTTTTTGTTGATTTTTAGTTTAGCAAACAGTTGGTTGATTTTTGGTAATTCATTAACTTTACAATTTGTTGGCAATGGTAAAACATAGGAGTGAGCCGAATTTCGTTTCTCCAAAATTTTCCGAAGATTTTCATAATAGCTTTCGCAATTCTTGGTTTCTACAAATAGCAAGAGATCGGAATATCGTTTATCCTTGATTTTTCCGATTACTTGATCGATATCTCCTTCTTGAGCATAAAACACTTTCACATCAGCCGGAGTCATAATACCAGCATTTTTGAATCTTGGAGCAATAATAATTCGTTTCGCTTCTTTGATTTCCAATTTTTCGAGATGTTCTCTGGCTTGCTGGAGAAACAGTTCAGCAGCTTTCTTCCATGTTGGAAAACGTTTCACATGACTCAACATCTCTTTACAGCTACTGCTGAATGTGACAATCGCTTTTGCTTTATCAAAAAAATCTGGTTGTGTTGATTTTGCAAATTTCAAACATTCTTCGCGAGAAAATGTTTTCTTCAATCTTTCAGCTTGAAAAATTCCAGCTGCGATTTTTGGCGAAATGACTATGAAGCCTTGGTTCTTCCAACTCATTAATACACTGCATCTTCTTGCACAGCCACATGAATCTGGGCTGGAATAATTGCAAATTAAAAATTTTCGAAACACAAAAAAACTCACTCGACTGGACCAGTTTTACTCTTCTTTAAAGAATTGATTTCGGCACTTTTCAATTCCAGTTCGCATTTCAATTGTCCAATCTGCAAAGATCAATTTCTTTATTCACAATTTTTAAAAGTTTTTAAAAATAGTTTTTAAAAATCAATCACCGTTCCCCATGCTTTTGATAAATTCTCCTTCAATTCATCAATCTCCGATTGAATTTTCTCATTTTCTCTCTCAACTTCAGATTTTTGTTGTTGTTTTCTTTGGGCTACCATTTTTATCACATTTTCTCGTTCTATTTGTAATTCAGCAACTCTGGCACGAAGTTCTTTTCTATATGTTTCTTCTGAGACATGAGCAACTTGAGCGAGCAATGTCTTCATTTTCAGATCTTCAGCGCTCATTTCGCTTTCGCATTGTTGTGGATTCTGTAGAGTATTTTTTTCAGCCATGTCTGAAAAATTATGACAAAAAAAAAAAGAATTAATATATTTAATGAAAATAATTATTGTGGATGAATTTTCAAACCACTCAAATAACATCAAGATAAAAAGCACGAGCGTTTATTTTTGTAACATATTTTATTTCATAAAATGATTTTTTTTTAAAGAAAATATCGATAAATGATTATGTTTGTTTGGTTGATCGAGAATATGCAAATCTGAAAAAAAAACAATTGACTGCAATTCAGAATTGTCTGAAAAACCTCTATTTCTTGAATCAAAATTTCTTTTTGTCATTACTGTAGTGTAGATACAGAATTCCTGAAAAAGATTAATCCTTTTTGATTTAATTGAATATTGGAATAAAAATTCTGAAAAACTCACCCTATATTCCATTTTTCTGATAAAAAGTCTATATCAATAACACCAGATTTGATTGATTTCCAACTGTTTGCAAGCTTTTTCTTGTAATTATTGTTCAGAATATTACTGTAGTTTAGATACGGTATTTCTAAAAAATTTTAAACAAAATTTAAAAAAATAGAAATTCATGAAAAACCAACCTCACATTATCAATTTTGATATAAAGCCCACTTGACAGCAACTTTTCATTACAAAAATAGCATATTACTGTAGTTCAAATACAATTTTTCACATCACATCATAAAAAATAATAAGAAAATTTTAGGAGAAAGGTTAAAGGAGCAGCCGGGTGCGAGGAAAGGAGGAGGAAAAGAAAGGGGAAACTACGCACTGGCGCCAAGAAATAGTGAAAATCGATAATTTAATTCGAACATTTTTTAGGTTTGATTTTTTTTGAATAATTTAGGATTTAGAAATCAAAAGAAAGCAACTTTTTTTGTAAGTTTAGTGCACTTTGCGCAACCAGATGTGCTTCTGTAACCTAATACTTTTTAGGATCAACTGTAATGTCTACACATCATTAATTATGTGATCATAATTAGGAGGAGTGTTTTTGGTGAGTTTTTTTTGATTAAGGAGTAACTTTTTTACTGGATGTACATATTTTTCAGATTTCTCCTCAAACATCGTGCCGAAAATGTCTAGCCAATTAGCATAATGATATTCTGATTATAAATACATAAATACGGTATGTTTTTATCAATTTATTTTTTGCGTAGAACAATTCAGACACACTTTCAGATTCGAATGAGCTTCTAGATAATTGGCGACCATTACGAAAATCTTCGATCTATCTAGTAAGTTGTTAATGTTAATTTTTTCTGACAAAAACCGGAGTACAAACCTGAGTTGATGAAGTAATGCATTATAACAGTTGCCCCTTTTTTGTAATTTCAGTGCACTTTGGGTTTGTAACAAGATGATTTTTGTAACAGGATCTTTTTTGGATCAACGAGCTCTATTTTTCCGGATAAAAGTAATCCATTTTGCTTCTTATCCAGAAGATTTTTTTTCTTCAAACCAGAAGCCTGTGCTCATTTTCGCTTCTGAACAGAAATATGTGCTCTTTTTTGATTCAGAGCATAAATATGTGAACTATTTTGCTTTTCTATAAAATCCTGTGCTCTTTTTTGATTCTGAAGCTAAACAAGTGCTCATTTTTGCTTCAGGGCAGAAATTTTGATCATTTTTGATTCTAAAGCAACAATATTTGCTCTTTTTTGCTTCAGATGCAAAACGAGTGCTCATTTTTGCTTCTGAACAGAAATTTTGATCTCTTTTGATTCTAAAGCAAAACAATGTGCTCTTTTTTGCTTCTGATTAGAAATATGTGATCTATTTTGCTTTTAACCAAAAGGGTGTGCTCTTTTTTGCTTCTTGACATAAGCCTGTGCTCCTTTTCGCTTCAGAATCAGAAAAAAGTGTTCATTTTTGCTTCTGAACAGACTTATGTGCTCTTTTTTGGTTCAGGACAGAAATTGTGATACTTTTCGATTCTCAAGCAAATGTGTGTGCTCTTTTTTGCTTTAGAATCAGAACAAGTGCTCATTCTTGCTTCAGGGCAGAAACGTTGATCTCTTTTGCTTCTGATTAGAAATATGTGATCTATTTTGCTTTTAACCAAAAGGGTGTGCTTTTTTTTGATTTTAAATCAGAACAAGTGCTCATATTTGCTTCAGAGCTGAAACGTTGGTCTTTTTTGATTCTGAAGCAAAACAATGTGCTCATTTTTGCTTCTGAACAGAGATTTGTGCTTTTTTTGCTTCACGGCAAAAAGTTTGATCCCTTTTGATTCCCAACCAAACATCTCAATTCACAAATACATACATTTTCCAGCACATGAATAATGTAATACTACAGTACTTTTGCACAAAATCATCAATACATACAATCTTTGGAGAAAAAAGCCGATGAAAATATATGAAGTGAGTTTTTTCTCTGACAATGAAATTTTAAATATCGTCAATAAATTTGGAAATTTAGCCTCACAAAAATCGTTTTTTTTAGAATTTAATTACTGTATCTACACTACAGTACTTTTGCACAAATTGGTTATGAACAGAATCGAAAATGTTGCATGAATGGTGCTGTTTGGATCTCACCAATAAAAAAGCTACCACCGGTGGTGAGAAAATTTTTCTCAAACCTCAATTATCGATCGATTATTTTTTCAAGCATTGTTTCCAAGTAGTAACACTTTTTTTTATTCAGATAAATGCTGTTCATGCGACGAGTTCAATAAACTACACAAAAGAGCCGCAAGCTCTTCATGGTGTACAATCGTTAAAAGTACAGGGTGGAGTATCATTTTTGTCTTCAAATCTTATAGCCAACAACCCCGAAAAACCAACTTTCGAAAACTTCATTGTTTTGAACGCTTCTGACGAACGAATTTCTGAACGCCGCTTGAGTTCTTTGTATAAACAGTTCAATGGATTGAGAAAAGTAAGATTTCATTAAATTTAAACAATACTCCTTTTTGCTTTAGAATCAGAACAAGTGCTTTTTTTTGCTTCTGATCAGAAATTTTGATCTTTTTTAATTCTGAACAGAAATATGTGAACGATTTTGCTTTTCAACAAAAGAGTGTGATCTTTTTTGATTTTGGAGCAAGAAAATATGCTCTTCTTCGATTTTGAAGAAAAACAATTTGATATTTTTTGCTTCAGGGCAGAAACGTTGATCTCTTTTGATTCTGAAGCAAAGTTGTGTGCTCTTTTTTGGTTCAGAATCAGAACAAGTGCTCATATTTGCTTCAGAACAGAGATATGTGCTCATTTTTGCTTCAGAATCAGAACAAGTGCTCATTTTTGTTTCAGAATCGAAACAAGTGCTCATTTTTGCTTCTGAAGAGAGATATGTGCTCTTTTTTGCTTCAGAATCAAAATAAGTGCTCATTTTTGCTTCGAAATCAAAACAAGTGCTCTTTTTTGCTTCCCAACCAAACATCTCAATTCACACATACATATATTTTTCAGAATTTAATTACTGTATCTACACTACAGTACTTTTGCACAAATTTATCAATACAATCTTTCGAACAGAACAAGAGAAATCCGAATATTATTAACAGAACTGAGCCGGTGAAAATATATGAAGTGAGTTTTTTAGAGTTCCCAAAAATTTGAAAATTTAGCATTACAAAAATATTTTTTGTTTCAGAATTTGATTACTGTATCTACACTACAGTACTATTTTCACAACCATTGTATGACGGGAGCCGCATACCGAATATTATTATCAGAACTGAGCCAATTGGGTTTGCATTGATGTATTCAGAACACGAAATCGAGAATGAGTCATACCAAAATTTTATGCAGTAAGTTTTTAATCGTTCATCATTATCAACTCCTTAATTTTTTTTTTCCAGAAATCTACTGTATTTAAACTACAGTTATTTTTAAGTCGATACAAAAAATTCTGAAGCTTTGAGTCGTTTCAATATTTTTAATTATATTTTTATAATTTCTTGTTTTTTTTTAAAATAAAATCTTTGCTGAAAATGTCCCTGCTTTAAATTATTTTGTCACCTGCGTCTCTCTCTCTCTCTCTCTCAAAACACATGCACACACTTTTTTCTCTGCGTCTCCACAAATATGCCACAATCCACAGACCCGTTTCATTGTCGGTTGCTTAGGAAACGTAACAGATTGCGAGAAAATGAGAGATTTGGTTTTAACCCAGTTACTCAAGGTAATTCGGAGTTCCGACCTTTCGAAAGAGAGTGTCGACTAACTTGAATTTTTGGATTCTAGCTTCATCGGGGTATCCGGTGTGGCAAAAATTGGGATTTTTGAAGTTGGAAAGTGTTATGCAGAAAAAAATTCCCAAAAAGCACAATTTGAGAAAGTTTTAATCAATTAAAAAAAACAATAATTGCTGGATGAATATTTATTTGCAGTCAAATTAGACAACAACTTTTGAAACTCTTCTGTGCGAGAGTTTGCGTTGAACAACAGCCGATCTGGCTGGGCATGGACAATAAGCGGCGTCAGATCCAGGTTGTCCTGGTTGACCGTCTGGCCCTGGTGTTCCTGGTTGTCCAGCAGATCCTGGTTGTCCATCAGCTCCAGCTGGTCCAGCTGGTCCTTGTTCTCCAGGTCCTCCAGCATTTCCAGGTTGTCCATCAGCTCCTGCTGGTCCAGCTGGTCCGGCTGGCCCTGCTGGTCCTGGAAGTCCAGTAGATCTTTGTCCATCTTGTCCCTTTTGTCCTGGTTGTCCCGGTGCTCCCGGTGCTCCTGGTTGTCCAGCATCTCCTGAAGGTCCTGGTGGCCCAGCTGGCCCTGGTGATCCTCCGTTTCCTGGTGCTCCTGGTTGCCCGCCCGGTCCAGCTGGTCCCGGTGAACCTGGTTGTCCGGCTGGTCCTGGCTCTCCAGCTGGGCATTGAATGCAAGCGCTATCACCGGTCGAGACTGCGATTGCGATTCCATCGACTCCTGGTTTACCTGGCTCTCCTGGATGCCCGTCATCTCCACGATCTCCTGGTTGTCCGGGTGGTCCTGGTGGCCCAGCTGGGCAGCCACTAGCACGAGCTCCACAGTTACATTGAGAAGCTTGTCTCTTAGCACGCCCGAACAAAATATCAGATGAGACTCTTGTTTTTTGAACCATTCCATGCCAAGCTCCCTTTTCATTCATCTGAAAAATATTTTTTATAGGAAAATACGTGGAAAAAAATTTCAATATTAAAAACACCAACCTTAAACTCATCAAGAGTATCCATAGTTTCATCATAGAAATTATTAATGTCATTAAAAATATATCCAACTGTAAAGATACAGGCAATTACAGCCAATCCGCTGCCAAAACTGGCAATTGTTACCAATGTTTTTGCTGACATGTTTGCTGCTAATCTCTTCTCACCTATCTCTTTTATAGGTTTGCATCTTATAAAGTTTTATTGTAAAAATGAGAAAAAGATTGCTGTAATACGGAAATTTACAGCTTAAAAAAAAACCTTATCAGAAGACACAACCTCATAAAAAATATGTTCTTTTATGAAAAATGTCCCTGTTATAAAATATTTTATCACCTGCGTCTCAAAACACATGCACACACAGTCATGTTGCTCTGCGTCTCCACAAATGTGCCATAATCCACAGACCCGTTTCATTGTCGGTTGCTTAGGAAACAGCTTGCTTGCGAGAAAATGAGAGATTTGGTTTTAACCCAGTTACTCAAGGTAATTCGGAGTTCCGACCTTTCGAAAGAGAGTGTCGACTAACTTGAATTTTTGGATTCTAGCTTCATCGGGGTATCCGGTGTGGCAAAAATTGGGAATTTTGAAGTTGGAAAAAAAGAAGATTTTGTAAATTTATATCCTATAAAGGGTTGTTGAATGTGAAGCAGATATAAGAAACAAAAAAAAAACAATATTCATATAAGATTCATAAAATTTATATTTGTAAACTTTATGGCAAAAATCACATCAGGAAAATCTTAAAAACACAAATGGAAAGAATCTAATTCATAATTATTTTGTGGAAAACTTTTCAACTTCAACAAGTTCTTTGAGAGTACTCTGAACTTCCAATGCAAACTTTTCCAACTCCTCATATTCTTGTTGAATTACATTTGCTGTAGTTTCCGATTCTCTAAAATGAGAAAAACTTTGAATCTTCTCGATTTCTGTCTTCTTGTCAATTTCCGAATACCGCGCAAAGGTTTGAATTTCATTAAGGATTCTACAAATTTCCTTATAATGTTGCTTCCAAGTTCCACTGATTTTGAAAATTCGGGCATACGATTTTTTGACTATATAAGAATTCGTGTGAAACAAACGAGCCAATTTTTCTCTACACTTTTCCATTTTTTCTCGTTTTTTCAAATCTTTTTTGTATTCCTCGATTTCCGAGCGTTGCGTGACAGTTAGTTCCTGTAAAATCAGATGGCTTTAATGAAAACTCAAGCCCAAAAAGGCCCAGTCTGGAAGCCTGCGATTACTAACCTCTTTCATCATCATCTCTATATATTTTTCAACTGTTCCATTTTCAGTGTTGTTCTCATAAACCATCAAAAAATCACGAAAACGTTCTTCATCATAATCTTTGGAAATTGCTTCTTGCTGCTTTCTCATTGCAAAATTGTCCAAAACTCTCCAGCCAGATATATCCACTTTATTCATCCTGGAAAACGATTTATGATAAACAACATTTCTTGGAGTCATTTCTTACTTGAGATTCTCATCAAAAATCAACTCCAAGATGGCTTCTTTTTTCAAAAGCTCGTGAGTGTTATTGATCTTTGATAAAATAATTGCCCGTACTGCCTTGATTTCATCAAATCGATTAACTTCCGCATTGCAAGCTTTGTCGAGGTTTTTGTGAATCTCCATAAAATCGCTCTCAACAGAATCAACTTCTATCTCATATTCTGAAATGTTTAGTTTTATTTGAAACACTGAAAATATTCATGTGTGCTAACAAAAAATACTCACTTTTCAAATATTTTTCCGATCCTTCTCTCATTTCCATGATCAAATTCACAGCATCTTGAAGTAAATCATTGGTTATTTTTCGTTTCCGATATTCATCAAAAAAGCGTGTTGCTGAAGAATTAGGAAGCAATTTGTCCAATAATTCCCGTTGTTCTGAAAATATTTTTTTTTCATTTTTTTTTAATTAAAAAAATGCTCATCTTACCTTTTGATACATTCCATAGCAAAGTATCGTGATAGCTAATCATACCCGTCTGAAAAAAAAAAGAATCTGAAAAATCTGAAAAAAAAATCTATAACGTCTTTCTGGTGGCACGAAATTTTGAAAAATGATTCATAAAATTATAGGAGATAAATGTTTTGATAATATGAAATTTAATGGGGAAAAATTTGATCGATATACCAAAAAAAAAGTTTTTTTTTCTTTTTTTTCTTTTTTTTTCTTTTTTTTTTGTTGTTTTTTATTTTTAATTTATAAATTGCTCACTTTCAGAGAACAAAAATCCAGAAATATTCAGATTGAACATCATTCTGAATCGCCTTTTCCCAATCTTGTAGCTCCATGATCTTGAAATCGACTCCTCGGTTTTCTAAAAATGAATAATTTTATAAGAAAATTTCATCAACCATTGAAAATTCAAATTTCTATGCTCTTTTTTTCCGATTTCATGCTCTAATTGTAATTCTGAACTCCAGTTTCTAATAAAAAATGGTCACATCGAGATTCCTGTTTGTATCAATCACCAGAGCATCTTAAAAATTGCCAAGAGCTCCATTAAATTTAGAAAAGGCACATCATCTGTAGAGGATAGAAATCAGAAGAATAGTACCCAGCGTTCACCATGATTTCGAAATACTAAAGGAGCAGGTGTCAACAAGAATTAGAGAAAAAGAGGAAAGGGGTGCTACGCACGACGCCTCATGCCTACAAAACATACATATTCAATTTTTTGGGTTCTAATTTTCTTTGTCCTAAAATTTGCTGAATTAATTTTCTGGCCACAAAATCACCAGACATTTTTTAGGGTAAGTGTACTTAAGATGACCAGATGTGTCTTTCTATGTAACCTAATATTTTTAGGATCAACCTCTGCTGCTAAATTATATTATATTATATACCCCAACAAAAATGTGTTATTTTCGACGGTTTTTGTTTTTTGGTGAGTTTTATTTTCATTATTTGAAAGAAAATGGCAAAACTGTTACAGGTTACTTCAATAAATTTAAAAATGTGAAGTGCAAATTTTGAGCTACATATTTTCATGAAATTTATACCTGTGAGTTCAATTTTCAAAATGATTTGCAAGGATAATTTTTTTCAGGAACAATTACTGTATCTAAATTACAGTACTTATTTCAATTAATTTTTATACAACTCGTCTCAGCTACAACAGAAGTCATTGGCAGATTGATTGGAAAGATAATTCAGAAAACAACATCGGATTGTAAAGGAACATCAAGAACTGGGAAGGATGCAATTAATGTGGAACATCACGGCAGAGGGTGATTTCGAATACAATATATTTTGTTTAAACGATGAACTCATTTCAGAAATCCAAAACTTCAAATAAAAAAGGAAGAAAAGGATTACTGTATCTACATTACAGTACTTATTTCAATAAATTTCACAAATGTTGATCTCTTGAAGCTTCGGAAGGCTAACACCCGAATTTGATTGCCAAGTCAGGACAAAATTCAATCCATGTGGAACTTCAGATTGAAGGTATATTTTCAATGTTCATTACAGAAATTACTCTGAAACTGCAATATTTTAGAAACATATTTGACCCAACAAGACAATGAAAAACTCAAATATGAATTCGGAAATATTGTTGGAACTTCGCATCAAACCGAGAAAGCAGTAACGAATAACGTCTATAAAAATGAGCAAAGGTTAGTTTTTTATCAATTTTTTCTTGGATAACACATAACCATTGTGGTTTTTTTCCAACATAAAAACGAATTTCACCCTGTCAAAAACATTCTGGGTCAACCAATTCATTTTGCAGATATAGTTACTGTATCTACACTACAGTACTATCAACATACAACTGTCAATTTATCGAAATCATGGATTTCATCCAGAACTTTTTCGTTTTGTGTATGAGTGAAATAAGATTTTTTCAAAATTTTTGAATAGAATAAATTTTTATCGATAATTTACTGTTTTTTTTTGTTTCAGAATGATATTATAGTCGAAAATTAGAATAAAAAATGTATGAATTTCAGAAAATTTCGAAACTTCTGAAGTTATAGCTCGATACTTTGATGACCTTGAAGCTAAGTGAATTTAAATTAAACATTGCAGATGTTTTTTCCTGATTTTCAGAGCACGTTGCGGTGCATTTTTTTGATGTAAAAATTTAGTGAACTGGTTACACCTTACCTTCAAAATTGTATTCCAAGTAGCAAAAACTAATGAAATGTTCCATAATTTTGACTATCATCCAATATAAATTGTTCAACTTTACCACATTTTCCTAAATTTTCAAGATTCACCAAGATAATCAAAATATTCACAAAAATAAAATATTTATTAGTTGAAAACGTATCAAAACAAAGATCGAGGTCTTTTGAAAAATAACTTCGAGTGCGGTTGATCTCTTCCTCGGATTTACTCGAATTCGTTACGTGGCGCGTCGCAAATGGATTAATGGTGCTGCCCATTCGGTTCGGTGCAATATCTGCATGGTTTTGATTTGCATTTCGTATGCTTATTGTTAGGTAGGCAACATATCAAACATCGGTTCATTTTCTTCAAGTCCATTTCCCTTTGATAAGGGTTGCTGACCCTTCAGCACTCATCCGAAAAATGCTTTTCTCTACTGGTTTACTCCTGTTCTTCCGCCTACTATTTGGATTGTTTAGTATATATAATTGAGTTACTCATATTATTGAGTTTTGTAATGGTCGAAAAACATATCAAAATAACACGCCCATGTAAATCCTAGTGATGTTGAGATCTGCTCAATTTAAATTCATTGTAGAAGTACTGTAATTTAGATACAGTAATGACCTGAAAAATAATTGTCAAGATATTATATTTTTTGAAAAATAAAAGAACTAACCTTTTTCCAAAATAATTTTCATGAAAAAATTTCAATCATCATAAAATTGTTGTCAATTTCCATATTTTGCATGGCCACATTTCAGCATATATTCAACATTAATTTATTGTAGAAGTACTGTAGTTTAGATACAGTAATTTCCTGGAAAAATATCAATAATATAATTGAGATAGGAAAGTAGACAAAATGACAAAATTCAAAAAAAGAAAAAAAGTTTAGAAAAAAATCAAATTTATTGATTTTTTTTTGGTGGCGCCCATTTCGTCGCACCACCACTCCTATAACAAACAATGTTCCTTTAATATTCTTTTTCTCTGTGTTTGTTGCATTCGAAAGTTTTCTACTTCTGATTAATAAAAAATGGCCTAAATTCTGTTAAGCTGGTAAGTTGAAAAAATCTTTTAAAAAAATTTTAACTTTGTTTTTTAGGCTTGTGAATCGCGCTGGAATTCCAAGAAAATGAAATGAAAAAACAATAAGGTAGGTTTCTTTTTTTCTTTTTTGAAATAACATTATTTTTTTCAGATATGATTACTGTATTTAAACTACAGTACTTTTCAATATACAACTATTATTTCGAAATTTTTTAATACCAATAAAGACCAATGCAACGAAGCTACATGAGCCCACATTGTCAGAAGTTCTCAATATCGAAAAAAAAAACATTTTGGCATCAACTTTCTTCAAAATTGTTCAAGGTATAGTTTTCTATTCTTACAGTTGAATACAATTTCAGTTAATTTTTCCAGATTCGATTACTGTATCTACACTACAGTACTCTCAACATACAACAATCAATTCATCGAAATCATGGATTTTATTTTATCAGAATTTTTTCATTTTGTGTATGAGTGAAATAAGATTTTTTCAAAATTTTTTGAAGAGAATAAATTTTTATCGATAATTAGAGTCAAAGTTGGAATAAAAACAAGAGAATGATTTCAGAATATTTCAAGAAAATCTGAAGAAAAATGGACGTGGGAAATGGTGGAAATTTGTGGTCCACGCTTTTCTATAAGTTGAGAGAAAAAAATCCTAGAAATACTTAAAAAGATCCCTAAATTTGTGAGTGTTTTTTGTTGAAAACATAGAAGCTCCGCGAGCTCATAAATCACCAATTGTAAATCTTTTTGGTAGCCTTGAAGAACAAAGACGTTTTTGTTTATTCTTTCGGGTGTCACTACCATATGGATTTTTTTCACCAAGAAGATTTACAATCAGATTTGTTTAGTTTTTATGATTATAAAAAAATCTGGTTTTTAGGGTTCAATTTTTTTTTAAATGCCGAGCCATTATGTTTCAAAACCTTGAGCATTTTGTTGAAAAATACCATTTCTGCAACTTTGAGAACTCGGTACACATATTTTCGAAAAAAAATTTATTGCCAAAAATCCATATAATAATTATAAAACTTGATCTTTTCTGCTTCAGTGAAATGAGCAGACTATGATACTTCGAAAACCATGGTGAATATTTCTGTAATGTAGATACAGTAATTGTTGTGTGGAACCATTATTGATCTTCGCTGATTTGATCACAATGTTTTTCTGAATTAAAAAATGATTAACAAAATAAAATTGAAATGAAAAACAGACTGACCTTTCAATTTAAACTGAGAGATCACGCCAGGCCAGTTCTCAGCAAATGAATACTTTCTTTAATTTGTTTCACTATCGAATATTTCTGTAAAAAAAATTGGGTTCGAAATCTATAAAAATTAACATTGATTTTTTGATTTCATTATAAATTCAGAAAAAAATAAAAAACTGACCAATGTTAAAGTAAAAGTTTTTTCTGATTTCCAGTGAACTTGAAAATTGAAAAGAATTCCTGTAATGTAGATACAGTCAATGTAGATCAGATATATTTCGCTTTTTCCTCACACTTCTAATAGGCAACTTCCTTGATTCTGCAAAAAATTGAATTTTATCTAGAATTTTTTATTTAGAATTTTTGTGAGTGGGAACATCCCAAAATTTTACAGTAATCTACCGTTTTAGTTAATCAACGTGAAAAAAAACAAACCTTTCTATGAAACCAACATCCAAAGCCATATAAATAATAAATTTTTTCGATTGAAATATGAAATTACTGTAGTTTAGATACAGTTAAACCTGAAAAACAATTGATAAATTCTTTGAAAATTTTAGGAGAAAGGAACAATCAATACAGTAGTCAAAGAAATGTTGCAAGACCCCTGGGAAAAGAGGGAAAAGGGAAGATGTGAGGCACACAGAAGCAGCAAAAAAAATCGAAAAAATCAATACTTTTATTTTTTTTTGTGTTGAGTTGAAGACGTTATTTTCTTGTGAGTAAGTACGTAAAAACCTCAAAGAACGTTTTTTTTTTCAATTTTCAAAGTTAAATTTTTCAGAATCATGATTTTGAACCGGAAATCAAAATAATTTTCCCGCGACATGAAAATCAATTCGAATGACAGAAAAATATATCAATTTCGAAATTTTGAGGATGAAAAACCACGATTTTTCAAAAATAAAAAATTGTTTTATTTTTATAAATACATCAAAGAAGCGAGACTGCAATCAGCGATTTCTTTTTTCCTAAATATCCACATCCAATGCAGGTTTCACAGTGTAGTTCATTTTGAAACCCCGTAATGTTTTTGATGAAATTGGCGGATAAGTTTTCTTGACACGGAATAATATTTTGACTGGCCCTTCAATATCACGAATAGGTTCAACATCACTCATTCTTCCACACATTTCTTTTATGATTTTTTTACTTTTCATCTCAATCACTTTCACCTCATCCTCATAGTGACAACTTTCAATAAGAAAATCGTGAATTTCAATATGGACCAAAAAATCGATCGGAGCATCAATAATATATTCACAAATTTGATCTTCATTGGGATAACCATTTGGATAATTTGGGGATGTTATAATTCCTTGATTGGAAGTATGAACTGCTCCACATTTTGCTTCCCATTCGATTTCAAAACCTCTGCCTTCTGTTTGATTATCGGAATTGAAATTTAATAAAAGTCTTGGAGATTCAAACTCATAATTAAAATTGGATGAATTCGCATTTCCGCAACGTATTTGGTCAACTTCATTGTCCGATTTTTCTTTTGTAATTTCTGTTATTGTCAAATTGTCTTTTATGCAGTTTTCTGATGGTTCAATATCGAAATATTTAAAATGAAGATTGATATGATAACCAGTTGGAACTTGAATATCCCAGCGACAATTTTGATTAGCTAAATAATCAATGCCTCCAAAATTTGGTGATTTGATAACCCCAAACATGGCTTTTTCATGAAAATTGCAATCTAAAATATTTTACATGAAAAATTCCAGATTCAAAAAATTCAACATACCATCATTATCATTCACAATCTTATATTCAAGTTTCCAGCCAGTTTTCTCAATTTTCTCATTTGTTATCCAATTCAAAGTGACGAATCTACTCTTTGATGTGATAGTTTCGAAAATGTCTGGTAATTCATCAAAAGTATCGCAATATATATGAATTGGATTGATGTGTCCTTCGTGACCTTCTCCAATTTCAAGTCTGTCATTTGTGCAATTTGTTTCGATGTCCATTTCGAGTATTTGGATCTAAAACAGGTTTGGGGTTTCATGAAAATTTTTTTTAAATAAATAAATTTTAAAAAAAAATTACCTTGATTTGTTGATTTGGTTCTGCTTCAATTAACCACTGACATCTGGAATTCGACAAATATTGGCCATAATTTGGGCTAGAAATGGTTCCATTTTTCGAATTTCTAATATACCCTCCACATTTTTGAAATTCGACTGAAACAGTGAATTGTGTGAACTCTTCGTTGAAATAATAGTTTTTCCTTGTCGCAACAAAGTCAATTATCTCATTTATGGTAGTAAAATCCGTTTGATTTGCTCTGACTGATCTATCGCAAATTTCTTCGTCAATGTGAATTGGGTCGAATGCTGAAATGTGTTTGCAGCAAGCGAAGATTTCAAGATTACCTACATTTCAGTCTGATTTGTTGACTTGCAAAGATACAACTGCGCATGAAATTTTCTGAATCGTGACCGGGTATATCGATTTTTATATTTGTTGAATAGTAATCTTCAGGTCTTTTGAAAACCATGTGACAAACATCTGAAAAAACATTTAGGTATGTATGAAAAATGAAAACAAATGAACAAACCTTGGAATAGAACAGAATCATTGGAATTATGAAATACAAAAGTTTGATTTTGATTTATTAATTTAGAACAATCATCAGTACTTGGAACCTCAAAATAATTATTTTTTCTCTTTAAAAATCTTTCATAAAACTCACTTTTTCATAATGAATAATGAATGGTGAATAAAATGATGATATATTTTTGAACGTCTTGTCACCCAAAAATTGTCTTGTTAAAAAGTCGTCATAACTAATTGCACTAATATCAGTAGCACTAACCATTTCCAGAGAATTCTCACAGAAATGAATATAATTGTTCATGTTTCCAAAATTATGAATCTGAAAATTTTGTTTCGAGATACATAAATTATGTTTTGAAAAAATGAAGAATTACCTTGATGTCTCTAAAACATAATTGTTCACTGGATATCAAAAAATTTGTTTGATCTGTGAATTCTAGTCTCAAATGATATTTGAAACCAATTCCAGCATTCAAATTCCATTGGCATTTCAGATGTGGCAGAATTTTTCCTGGGAACCCAGGAAGAGTTATCTGCCCCGAAGAATTTTCAATCTTCCCACCGCATTCTAAAAAATAGATAGAATGTTTGAAAAAAAAACAAATCAAGACTCACGATTATCAGATAATTTGAGAAGAATTTTGAATTTTTCCACTGTTTCGAAATCAAATTCAGGTGAAGTTATGTTGAAAATTATTGAAATTTCCGGTGAACTACTTCGCATAAAGTCTCCTGATGTTGTTGAAGAAAGAGTTTCATTTTTATCGGTGATTGAGAGTGATGAATGTTTGCTGATTGTGTAATGCTCAATTCTGAAAATTTTAGATTAATTCCAAAGAGAATTCTAAAAAAAATTGTATTTTTTTCAAATTTTCAAACCTACTTGTACAAAATCAAATGAGAATTCAATCCTCGAATTGTCCAATTACAACTAATCGGCCATTCATTTTTTTTAAATTTTGGCAATTTCAAAACTTCTGTCACATTTTCATTTTCACCAACATAAATCAAACCACCACATTTAGCGAGTTCAATTTTTGCAACAAATTTATGCGTTGGTATATCTTGTGATGTTCTCAATCTCATATAAAGAAAATTTTCCGTTGAAAGAATTGTTGATGGCGGGAAATGTTCGATAAATCTTCCGATTTTTGGTGAATTTGAACTATAGCCATCATGGATTTCTATAAAGTTTTCGTTCCTAAAGAAATCATGATTTTCTGAATTTCACAATGAAGCAATAAACCCACCTTTCACTATATGAATTCAAATCGAAATCTTCAAAAGACAACATAAGTTTATGACCATTTGGTGCTTCAAAATGATACTCGCATTCCATAGAAATTGGCATATCATGTGGATACTCTGGTGAATAAATCAAAAATGTTGAATGATATTCGTCAACTCGATAATTTTGAGATGGACAATAACCAACATATTCCCCAAACACAATTTTGAAACTATTCTGTTGATCTTTTTCAGTATTGAATTCTACCCAGAACCTTCCATGTTTTGCAATAAATGTCAATTTTTCAGGATCATAATCTTGCAGTTTTCCACAAAAAACTCCTTCTTCATGAGGCTGCATTGAATTTTTGTTTTCAAAAAAATAATCAAAAACTTACCACCACTCTTAAAGAGTTACTTCTATCGCATGTTTGATTTTTCACAATATTCAATTCGGTTATTTCAACTCGCGCATGACGATAGCTCAAGAATTGTATCATCCAGAAGCATCGTTTGTCTACGTGCACATTTGGTGGGTTTATAATGGTGTGCTCGACATAATTACCAGTTGGAATACGTATATATTTTCCACATTCTTAAAAATTTTGATTTACAAACATTCAATAATTTCTTTGAGAACTAACCAATACGATATTTCAATTTGAAATTTGAAGAAATATTCGTTCTTCTGAATTTGATAAGAACATCTCCATAGGGCTCTATTTCCTCTACAGTACTATTGCAGCCATTGAAACTATGCTCTTGGAAAGGTGTATCGGAATAAAAGCTGAGAAGTTTTTGGGTGCTTCTTTTCAAATATTTTATGAAGCTCAAAACTCACAATTTTTCATAATAAAATTCGATAAAATCTGTTGTGCAATTTGTGAAATTTCTTTCAGTGAATTGAATGACCAACTTCATATGCTCTGGAACTTTCATATTCCACAAACAATTCACATTTTCATCAGATAAATTAGGACTCTCAAGATTTTGCCATTCCCAAGTTGCTTCTAGATTTGTTTCTCCACAATTACTCCATCTCATTTCTAAAATCTTTAGATCCTCAAATAGTTCATAAGGTTCCCAAGTAATTCTGAAATCATCGCCAAACTTGATCTTTGCTGATATCACCGTTTCTGGGTATGGTAGATATATCGTACCATCTGTTGCCACATTGTGATGCTTCATATTTGCTGATGGATAGTCTGAATATTTTATCCATGAGTCTGGGGATAAATACAAGTCACTGATATGAAGTTTGATCCCATTCTGAAATTGAATACACATACTCAAAACCAAGGATCTCTACTTGTCTTCCACTCACTTTTCCAGCTGGATCTCCAATCATAAAAATGAACGGGCGGGTTAACGGATAATCCACAGGAACTAAAACTCTAGATTCCGTCAGTCCTCCTGGATACTTTTCAAAGGATCCCACAATTTTTCCAACATCAGCTTCAGATTGTGGTCGATATCTAATGCGAATATATAATGCTTCACTAATGAATTGTTTTTCATCACTTCCGAATTTACACTGTCGTGACAATAATTTTCCAGATGAATTTGTCTCTCGAACTTCTAGATATGATTCTTTACAACGTGGAGATTCTGGTAAGATGTATTCACTGAAAATTAAAAAATATTCACTGAAAATGAAACATATAAGGTTTCAGAATTTACTCTATTTCAAAAATTGCATGACTTCCTGGAGTTGCTTTGATTGTCCATTCACAATCCTCTTTTTCATAATTGAACTTGTGATTTATATGACTATTTCTCCGAGTTATCACACCACCGCATTCTATAAACTAATTTTATTGAAAAGTAGTTATGGAAAATATATATATATATGTTTTTACCTCCCATATTTTTTCCATATTTGAAATGAACTCGGATGATAGCATCAGTTGATAATTCCACGGTGATACCGTTTGACTCAAAGTGTTTAGTAGGTAATGATATCAAAGCTCCAAACCATAGCGCTCCTGAATCTTGATATTTCGAAATTTTTCCAACCGAGCGCGAGTGTTCTGTGGATGTTAGAAAATCGATTTTTTCAAATGCAAAATTCACATTTGATCCATCTGAAGAAATTGAACTTACAAATTAGTTTTATGTAATTCTTCAATTACCATTTTCACGATTCAAAATATGAAAAACACATGAAGTTTGACCATCGCCAACCATTTTGAAACTCATTTCTTGTTCTTCTTCAATTGCATAATAATTGGTTCCACAAACACTTTGCAAGCTCATTTCAAAAGCATTCTGTAAAATAATTCAATATTTTTTTCCAGCAGGTTTTTTTTTCAGTGCTTGCCTGGTCTTTGGGGATTGCCTCATCTCCAAAATACCTGATCTGCGTTTCGTTTTCATGAATTTCAAAAGCTTGAGATACATTTCCAATGAAATTATTTTCAACATCTTCGGATCTGTAAAAAGTTCTCTTCGAAATTCAAAAAAAATAATTTAGCCTAACCGTCCTCTGAAAATATTCAGTGTTCCAAAATTTTGTTTCTCAAGGTTGACTGCAAAATGATTTCCTTCATCAGTTGTGAAAAGCCAGTTGCAAGCTGGATAATTCGAGGAATTAAGAATGTATGTGTTGTTGTGGCTCACTGAAAAAAACTTGGATTCAAAAACAAAGAAAATTTTAACCTGGCTTACGATCAATGACTTTACTGCAAGCATCTGTGGATTCAATAAAATCAAAACTGGCACTGAAATATGTTTTAGTTCCACTTTTAAAATTTGCTCTCTCCAAAGAAATGCGAATGAACATTTCATTAATCTCCGATATAACTTCTTTCCCATCCTTTGAATTGTCACAAACCATATTTTGAGGTGTGTGAGAAATATTAGATTTGCCCATAAAAACCGCGATTCCTCTGAAAGTTTCATCATTTTTATATTGACATTGATGATTTCCTCGCATATCGAATGAATTGATTCTCAATTTTATTTGTTTTCCAACCGGTGCTTTGATTCGGTATTGACATTCGAAATAGTTATAAGCATTATCAATATCTGTACTCGATATTTCAATAATTCTAGGAGAATTATATTCATCAACACAGCCAACGAATTTCCAACTTAATGAGAAACGATTACTAGGGAAAGAATCTGTGGAAAAATAAGCAATTTGCAGAATATTGTGATGACTTGTGAATCGAAGTGGATTTTCTGTGCCACAATGTGTTCTGTTCGCCGACCCATCAGTGATCTAAAAATATTTGAAACAAAAATGTTCTAACAAGTTTCCGACCTGCAGAAATTCATAACCTTCACATTTTCCAAAACCATTTCGCTGAATTTCAAAATCATGGAAAATCACATCAATTTTATTGCCAATTGGAGCTTTTATGGTCCAACTACAAGATGCTCCTTGATAATTTCGATTTGGATAACCGGGAGATTGAATATAGCCAGACATTTCTGTTAGTTCGATATTTTTGCAAATTGTTGTCCACAAAACCATGAACCCAGCTGAATAATAGCCCTCCTCTTCAACATAGTGAACAATCAATTCATCAGTTTCAAAAACGAATTTTGTTTTATTTATTGGCATTTCACAGAATCGCTCGAGAACATTGTGATGTTTATCGGAGATCTGTGGAAAAAATAATGGGCCTATGGAAAATAATATTTTGTAATAAAAAAAACATATTTTTCGTATGCAGAAAAACGTCGAAAAAACAAATTGTATAGTTTATTATTTTTGAGTAGAGACAATGTGTTATTGAGAGAGTGCAGACAGACAAATTAGGTTTTTGTATTTTTTTTGCAAAAAATCAATTTATCTGTCTGCTCTCTCTCAATTTTACCTTGTCTCTCACAAGGGTAAAAAGGATACGCGTTTTCCTATCGGCAACAGCTTGTAGATCAAAAATTTTTGCGAGTTTAGAAATCACAAATTTTTAGAATTATTCTAAAATAGTGTCTGAAACTCAACAATTTTGATTTTGTAGTAACTTGATAACAACAAAATGATTTTTGAAAACCGAATTTGTATGAAAATCTTGAAATTTTTAAACTTTTTGTGAGTTTCAGACTTACATTATTTTTTGATCTACACATAAAAAGCGTGCGGAGCCTTGCCATTTAGGCTCAACCCTTTTCTGCATAGGCCCATAATGAACTACGATTTAGAAAAACTATAAACTTACCTCTAATCGATTCGAATTTTCGTCGCAAGCCCTCTCTGACAAATGAAGTTGAGACAACTCGATTTCAATCAAATTCCCCTGTGCCACCGCAATTTTCCATTCACAATCAGTAAAATGCGTACTAAATCCAGGATAATATGGTGATGCGAGTGCACCACTTATTGAATTCACAGTTTTTCCACAACCTGGTCGTATTTTATAGGAAATATTGAAAAATGAATCATGCAATCTAAATTGTGATTCAATAACTGCGTTATGTGAAGATGATGTGAATACAGTCAATGGGCTATAATCGGTTAAGCCTGTGTATTCATGAAGAGGAATTCCACCGGGTTCCATGCCATCCCAGATTTCCACTAATTCCTCATTTTGAGATATTTGCATTGATTCAACTTTGAAAATAATTCGATTTCCAGGTGGTACAGAAATGTGATACAAGCATTTGATAAAGAATCCTTTTGCAAATATCACTCCTGATGGTTCGGTAAATGTTTCGTCACATGATGTTTTTTTCGATACCTTCTCAAACCTGAAAATGTTAGTTTTGGTTAATAAAAAATTCTCTAAAAATTTCTTACTTTATATTAGCAAGACTTTCTCCAAAATTGATATGTTTGATCATCATTTTTGACTTTTTTCCGAATAATTTTGGAGGTTTCATGCCGTCACAGAAAACACCAAGTGATTCACCATCAATGTCAACTGACGTATCAAATTCGAACACTTCGATTCTACTACCACCACCACATGTTTTTCCTTCAGAATATTCCATATAGGTTAAATCAAATCTAAGCTTGATTCTTTCGGACTTTTTATTCGAAAATAAACAATAACTAATCGTTGAATTTGAAGTAAGATATGAATTAACAATTCTCAAATCATCCATATAAATATGGTTGCAATCTGTAAGAAAAGATAATTATTATATCATTTCTTCATTTAATCAATTTACCATGTTTAATAATATCATATTCAAATGATATTCCTTTAAAAAGTGGATTTCCATCACTGGTAACAATGATAGTCAATCTTCCAGATTTGAATGATATACTTTTACCAATTAGAATTTCACCCAAATCATTTGCACAAATATCATATTGACGAATGTCATCTTCATCTCGAAAATCAATAATTGGTTCATAGTCTATTTCATTTTTTGAATCATTACAGTGCTTGTACAATTCCGGAAAACGAATATCGATAAATCTGAAAATTACGAGACATGGGAACTACTTTTAACAAAAAATTAATGGGCCTATGCAGAATAGTGTTTTGTAATAAAAAACATAAAAAACATATTTTTCCTATACAGAAAAAAGTCGAAAAAACCAAAATATACAGTTTACTATTTTTGAGTAGAGACAATGTGAAATTGAGAGAAGGCAGACAGACAAATTGATTTTTCGCACAAAAAATACAAAAAAAAACTGTCTGCACTCTCTCATTTTCACATTGTCTCTACTCAAAAATAGTGAACTGTATATTTTTTTTTCGACTTTTTTCTGCATAGGAAAAATATGTTTTTTTTAATGTTTTTTATTACAAAATATTATTCTGCATGGGCCCATAAACTAACTTAATGGCAATATATGTTTTCGGAACGGCATACATTAGGTAAGTGCATTTTCCTGCTTTTCCTCCATCTGGATAGTTCCAACTTTGTACTACACCATGATATCCATCCAAAAATGTCCAACATATAACCTCAAATTTGATTTCAAAACCACGATGTTGATTAGAATCATCAGAAACAAAATGTATAGTAGGTTCACTGCCAAATATCGCACTACTGTTAGTCTGGATTGTTTCACATTCATCAGTGTGAGGCATTCTATTTTTCACAGAAAATGCAAAGTGATCTGATAAACATTCTTCTTCAGGAATATCATAATATAGAACATTAAATCTTGTCATTATTCCATGGGTCGGATTTCCATCATATTCGATACTCCAATAACAATTGATATTTGGTGGATAGTTTCCATAGTCAAAGTTTGGAGATTTGATAATACCACCAAATGTTATACTTTTATCACTGGTGAAAGTTTCTCCACATGAGTTTGGCGAATCAATAAACTTGTAGACTAATGAAAATCCACTGATCTTACTCAATTTCTCAGAGAAAGGCGACATCTCACTGTCGAATAAAATTGTCATATAAGAACCACTTGATCGATAGACATAACTTTGTTCAATATTGGAGCAATGTTCTCCTATTGTTTTTTCTTGATAAAATCCATCATATATTTCCAAGCAATTCTGTTCACAAATTGAATTGTTTCCGGAATGCATTTTCAAATTTGGAACTGTCAATTCAATTATTTTATCGTGTGGTGCTCGAATCATCCACAAGCAAGAGATGTTTTGAGTGTTTTCCGGGACAAATAGATTTCCACTTGGTTGAGTTCGAGTTGAACCGCATTCTAGAAACATCACTTTTTTCTTGTTATATTTTCAATCTCAAAATGAATTAATTACCTCTTTTCACAAACTCATAACTAATTTTATAAGATCCAGATTTTCCTCTAAATTCCAACATTGCTTGTGAATTTGCAATTGTGATTGGTTGGTTTAATTTTGGGGCCTGAAAGTGCAAAGTTATTTAGATTCTAGATATTTTCACTCACAAAGTGCCCACCGAAATCACTGCAAAATATTGCAAATACTTGATGATGCTGGTCAGGACCATTATAAAACTAGAACAACAAATTTGAGACACTTTTTTGAATAAATGTTTCAATAAAACTTACAGTTAACTTTGAAGGAGAATCCACACATTTCTTACTTTCACTTCCATCATTTTTAATCTCAAATTCTATAAATGTAATACGAATCAAATAATCTTGTGAATCTTTGGCAAAATATGATCTATGAACTTTTGTTTGATTCGAATATTTAAAACTCATTTCAGAATATCCGGAATCATCTGTAAAATGAGATTCGTTTTCTTTTTCAGAAATTTCACATTTATCCCCATAAAATCCAACATCACAAATGCAAACACGTGTGTGATCTTCTCGAATTTTGCAAACACCGTTTTTACAAGGATTTGAAACACAAGGAGATCCCTGAAATAATACAAATATGTTTTTTAAATTTTTTTTTGTAAAAAAAGTAATTTACCATCTCACAACGATCACCAATAAAATCTTTCTTGCAAATACATTTATGTCCATCGTTTGTTGGCTGAAATTATTTTTTTTCTAGAAATTCAGTTCGAGAAACTGTTCACTTACCAAACAGGTTCCACCATTAACACATTTATCATAATCACAAAATATTGGATGAGGTAAACATTCTCTCAATGTCTCATCGTAGATCTGATTTTCTGGACAAAGACATTCATATTGAGAATTCAATAAATGATCATTTGGCACACATTTCGATTCCATAGGACAGTTATTCCAAGAGCAAGGATCATTCTTTGTGCAGCGCTTTTGACCATTTCCCGAGTACCCAAAAGGACATTCACCACACTCGTAGGAACCTTCAAGATTTGTGCAGCTTGCGTGAGTTGCACAAGGATATGGATTTTCTTTGCATTCATCAATATCTTTGCAGCGGCCACCGATCACTGAAAATTATTTGAATTTGAAAAACAAGGGATTTTTATTTGAAATATTGCATTTTTTGGAAAAAAAACATAAATAACTCTTATACACCAACTTTTTTGTGTGCACACACAATACATTTTATTTGACGCGCATTCGTATATTTGCGTACAATAAAATAGTCAAAATTTTTGTTTTTTTCATTTTTGTGTAGAACAAAATATCAAAAAATAGGAAAAAAAAATTTTCTATTTTTTTTTTCGACTTGAATCAAAATTTACTCACTCTTGTAGCCTTTCGGACAACCATTACACTGAAAAGAACCATCAAGATTCAAACATTGAACTCCAGTCCCACAAGGATTATTCTCACATTCATCAATATCAACACATGTCGGATTAGTTTTCTCATCAATCACTTGAAATCCAGGATCACATTTACAACTATAAGGATTTGTTGAAATACAATGCCCATGAGGTCCACATAATTTAGTAGATTGTGAACAAACCGATTGTTCGAATTGACAAAAAGGTCCGTGAAATCCTTTTTTACATTCACATTTATATCCATTCTTTGTGTTTATACAACTTCCACCATTTTTACATTCCAAATCAGTTCCATTGATAAATAAACATTCATCAATATCATCTCCACAATTTTTACCCTGAATAATTTTTTTCTGGAAATAGGGAATTTATTACTTACCGTGTAATATTTCGAACAAAGACATTGATATTGGTCACCAATTTTGGGGATACAAGTTCCACCATTCAAACACACATTTTTTTCTGTGCATGGATTTTGAATTATTGTTTTTCCGATTTCACTGAAAATTGTTCAAAGTCAGAACTTTGTAAACCTTCCCCACCTGATTTTATTTTTCAACGTTTGCAACTCTCTTCCCTCACTATCTAAATCACTCAGATTATATTTCTTCACTTCTCTAATCTTTTTTTTTATTGAATATTGCTGAAAAACATTTTTTTCCCAAAAAAAAAACATTTTCCTATTTTAACATACATCAATCTCATTTGCTGTGTCTATCACTGATTCCGCCTGACTTTTTAATTTCAAGAGTTGCTTCTTTAAATAAATCAATTCATCTGCTGCAGTAGAATAACTGGATATTGTTATTGTGTAGTTTTCTTGTGACGGTAGTTGTTTTAAATCTGCATCATTTATAAAAACACTTCCTTTTCCAAACGTAGAGAATGTTATGTTTTTATCTTCTTGCACTTGGAATGTTATTGCACCGTTGTGAATTGATATGTCAGTTCTACAAAATTTGTTCGAATTCAAATAATAAAAAAAACAAGCTCAAACTCACCGATTCGTCTCATCTTCGCATAGAATTTTCAAAATCAAGAAGCTAAAATAAATAAAATTCATCCTGAACGTTCAAAACTGTACAGAATGAATTGTTTATGTTTTATTTCCAGCACAAAAATGTTTATATTTTGTGAAGTTATGTAATTTGAGAAATTCATACCGTATTTGGAAAATTACAACAAAAAAGTTGTTGCATTCTGAAAAATCTTTTTATGTTACATTAATAAAAAAAGGTACTTTCATAATATGTAGAATGTTAATAATCCCATAACAATGAAAAAAAAATTCACAATTTAAAACAGTCATTGTGGAATTTATCACTTTTCAATTGGTGAACCACGTCATGTTTTGAATTGGGATACACCATTAGATCGAAATCGATTTCAGCTTTGTGAAGTTTTTCAATGAGAATTGCGCTATTTTGAAAATGTACATTATCATCAGCCATTCCGTGAAGAAGTAACAATCGTGTTGTTCTAAAATTCTCCAAATTATCAGTCAAATCCACATATTCACTTGCTGTTGCATTTCCCATGTAACGACGAGTATATATGTTACCTGGGAAAAATTGAGAGTTTTCAAAAATTAAAAATTTAAATGATATTACTAACTATGATAAAGAAAATTGGTGACGGGTGCACCAGCAATCGCGCATTTGAAGAAACCCTTTGGAGCTAATTCTGCGACGGCAAGTGCCATGAATCCTCCATATGACCAACCGGCCACTAACACTCGATTCTTATCTAATATATCTGAATATTTGTTCAAAACGTGTTGAATAACTGTTAATTGATCTTGAGCATCAACTATTCCAAGTTTACCATAACTTGCTGATCGATATTTCCATCCACGTCTTCCCGATCCTCTTCCGTCGATGAATAGTTTGGCAAATTTATTATATTCGACACCATCTTCAATTACAGATTCTGGTCCGCCATAAACAGAAACATAGAGTGGAACTCGGTGGCTTGAATTGTGATGAGGTAAAATCAATTTGTATAGACCTTCAAAATCATTTTCAAGTGCGACTTTTCCATTGCGTACAAATTCATGCGAACTTATTTCCCTACAATAATCATCACATTCCGATAACTCGTGCGGCTCTATTTTCAAACTCAATTTATTTCTGATATATGGATTTCTTGAGAAAGCTTCAATATCACTGAAATTTTGAACATTTGAGTTAATTTTGAAATTGTTGCATACTCACATTATATTTGGAGCAAACATACTGATCCGTTCAACATCATAGGGTTTCATCATCTCAAATTTCGGTTCAAAATTAGTCTGAAAACTGCATTGATCGTTGAATTTTTTCTGGAACAAACCTCATTTAACGAAATGCTAGCAATTTGTTGATAAGAATTGTTCTCTTTTTTGAAATAAAGTGGCAACAATAGATAAAGTCGATTTTCCCATATTAGTGAAAAAGTTGCGCTTAAACTTATAAACTGTTTTTCTGCGTATTCATAATCCAAATGTATCTGACACTTTGCTGTTTCACATTCACATGTTACCACGATAATTTCGTTCCAATAATAATTGGTGTATACAATCAGAAGTTTGCTTTTATCGTTAACAGTGATTTGGCTTATGTCATATATAAAATAATTTGTGCCACTAAAATTTTTTTTTAAAAACTTCTATTGAGTAACACTTACTTTTTGTATCGAGTGTGATCGAAGTCGATGTGTTTCACTGATTTTGTCTTGGTATTCCAGACAGAAACTTGGAATGGTGGAAAATTATCGAGTGTTTTGAAATAGCGTTGTTCAACGATCTCAGGATAAGGCTTTCGATTTCCGTATCTGGAGAAAAAAAGATATTGGAAATGCAACAAAATATGATCATTTTGTGAAACAGAACCGATAAAATTGTTTATCATCACTTTGAATCCAAAAATTTCGAAAAAAATATTACCGATTCCAGGAAACTGTTTTCACTAGTCGTGTATCGACAGATATATAAGCAAGATAGTTTGCATTACCAAACCACCAATAACCCTCGTGATACGGATTGAATAACTCTGAAACTCCTTGTTCGAAATAATCTGGTTGGGTTGGATCAACTTCAACCACTGGAGACTTTTCGCTCAACTTGTAAAATAATCGTCCATTTTGAACGAACGCCTGATAGGAAATAGTGAATTTCGATTTTTTGTTGGCTTACACTTACTTCTTCGCCGTTATATTTCAAAGCATCCAATGTTGTTGCACTGACAGCAAAAAGTGATAAAAGTAATAATATATTCATAATACATATTATGGCTATTCAAGTTCCAATTATTTTTATACCAAATTTTTCCAATTGTTTAATCATTATTCTAAATTTGAATTCGTTGCTTATTGTTTATGAAAATGTATTATTGTGTTTTTTTTCATGGAAATTGATGATTTTTTTTACATTCCAGGCATGAAAAAAAACCAAATTTCTTAAGAAATAATTTGAAACAAACTAGCTAGAAGAAACTTTAAATTGAAATTTTTCACTGAAAATACTTTTTGTTGGGATTTTTTTTTAGAAAATGTTAACTTTCGATCAAATCAAAAATTGGAAGAAGCCGAGAAGAGGAATTTGGAAAAAAAATTGAAGACTTTGGTGGGGAACTTTGCTGAAACCTTATCAAATGAAGATGCATGTGCAAAAATTCAAAAAAAATGAGAAAAAATAATTTTGCTTTATTTTTATTTTCTCGATAGAACAATCGACTAGTCACAACGTATTTTTTTTTGTTTGCGCATAATTTTTTGAACAAACCTCTTCACCTTTCTGATTTTTTCACTGATACTTCAGTATTCTGTGGTGATGCACTGACAACTAAAGTTAAAATAACTTTAGAACATTTTCTTAATGTATCATTTCTTCAATATTGATCTTCCTTAAAAATTTTTTTTTTGATAAAACGAACATTGAAAAAAAGAACCAATTCGAAAACAACACTTTATTCTCTTTTTTATATTTTTGGTGGATATTGATATGAATAAAGACAATCTCTTATAAAAGTACTTTGTTTCAATTTGCTATCAGCATGATGGCTCGAATTAGGATAAACCATTAAATCAAAATCAATTTTAGCCTTGTGAAGTTTTTCAATCAAAATTGCACTGTTTTGAAAATGTACATTATCATCAGCCATTCCATGAAGAAGTAAAAGTCTTGTTGTTCTGAAGTTTTCCAAATTATCCGTCACATCCAAATATTTGTTTATTGTTGCATTTCCCATAAATGTCAATGTATAGTGATTATCTGAAAAATCAAAAATATAATTGAAAAATTTTGAGTGCTTACTTACAATAATACATATAATTTGTCACCGGCGCACCAGAAATAGCACATTTGAAAAATCCTTTCGGAGCTTGTTCAGTCATTGCAAGTGCCATAAAACCACCATAAGACCATCCTGACACCAAAACTCTATTTTCATCTAATATATCTGCATATTTTCTCAAAATATATTGAATGACCGTGATTTGATCTTGAGCATCAATAGTTCCAAGTTTGCCAAATTGTGCAGATCGATATTTCCATCCCCGTCTTTCAATTCCTCTTCCATCGATGTGTAGTCTAACAAATTGATTATATCCTGTTGAATAGTCCCTCATCCTTTCATCATTATCATAATCACTCATCATCACTGCAATACTTCCAGGTCCACCATAAACATCAACGAATAGTGGTACTTTTCTGTGTGTTAAATTTTTTGGGAAATATATTTTATAAAGTCCTTCATAACCATTTCCAAGTGAAACATTGCCATATTGCAAAAACTCATCCGTAATTAGTTGTTGACACACCACACATTTTGGTTTCTCATTTGAACCTATTTCCATTTCTAAAGTATCATTGACAAACGGACTTCTTGAAAAAGCAAAGAATGATCTGAAAAAATAATGTAATCAAAATATGACAGAATTTTCATATCTCACATGGTGCTATTATCATAAATTTCGAATTCCAAAACGTCATACGGTTCTTTCATCTCAAATCTAGGTTCAGATGAGGTCTGAAAAAGGTAATTATTTCAAAATCAAATATGAAAACATACCACATTGACTGGATAACTCGCAATTTGATTGTATGAATTATTTTCCTTTTCAAAATTTAAAGGCAACAATAAAAACAGTCGGTTTTGATGTATTTGCATTGGCTTATGTAACCTATTGATATAACGTTTATATTCATATTTGTATTCAAACAGTTTTTCACACTCCGTTGTTTCAAAATCGCAAGATATTAAAACACGTTCATTCCAATATTTGGTTGTAAGATGAAGTAGAAGTTTTTGCTTGTTTTCCAATTTGATAACATGTCCTTCGGACACAAAATAAGATGTACCACTAAAAAATTAATAGAAATAATTATTTCGAATAAGAAAATTACTTGTTATATTTGAATTTTTCAAAATCGACCCGTTGCACTTTTTTGCTTTTTGAGTTCCAAATCGAAATTTCATACGGAGGAAAATCTTTGAAAGTTTTCCAATAATGTTGTTGAATTATATCAGGGTATGGTTGTTTATCTTTGTAGCTGAAAGAGTAATAATACAATACGACACAAAACATTGAACTTACATATTCCAAGAGACCGTTTCTGCTGATCGCATATCAATAGAAACATATGCTAGAAAGTTGGAATTTTCTGACCACCAATAACCATCGCCACCCGCATCACTTCCCAAACATAGCATTCCTTGGAAAAAATGTTTTTCCTCGAGAGAATCAATTTCTACAGGATCCGAAGTCTGATTTTCTTTGAAAAACAATCGATGATTTATAACAATTGCCTAAAATGTGTGATGTGTTATCCTCGATGTTCCCTCAACTCACTTCTACATATTGCTCATCGCCATCTTCTCCCGAAATTCCAATAATAAAAGTCAAAAAAATCAACAAAATATGCATATTGTGTCATTTTCACCAAATCAACGAAATCATTTATAGGAAAAAAATGATGATTCATTATTATTGATATGGACCTTTTTGTTAGGATTCTATTATTTTGATGATTGAACTTTCCATCTATTGTTTGCAAATAATTTCAGATTTCATGAACACTTTTCTTACAAAAATAGGAATTCAGTGATGATTTTAAATTCTGATGTTTTTGATTAAAAATTGAAGTTTTTTTAGGAAGTGTAGTTTAGTCGAAATATCATAATGTTTGATGATTATCAATAGACAGCCAAGTTAATAAAACATTTTTGCATATAATATTCCTGATTTGCTTTTTGCAATTTTTTTCGATGGGACAAAGGTTGTCCGATGAACTAGGACTTCCGGTATACGTTTTTTCCTTTTTTTTCTGAATTTTTTAAAATCAAAAAATCTAATATTTTTTCGTTTTGTTGTAATCTTTTTTAATAAATGTTTCCCCATTTCGCCGCCACTTTACAGTTTTGTGCACTTTTTATTTCATATCATGAATCATTCTTGAACGCCCGTGTTGCCATTCTATGATTAAATCACTATTTTTTTAACTGTATCTAAACTACAGTAATCAAATATCAGAAATGATTGTTTTCAATTCGATGGATTTATTTTCTAGTAAATGTAGGAGTAATCACGAATGAAAAGATGTAAAAAAAAGATTGAAAGCCCAAAAAACATGATCGAAAAACACTACACCGACGAATGCTAAAAATCGTAACTCCTTACCAACGGGAAATTGATCTGATCCGGCCGAACAACGAACATTCGCAAATTGAAACCTTGCCGATATGCAATTCAAAGTGAAATATCGGAGCCTTTTTTTTCATGAACAAGCCAAAAACTTTCAAGTGAGTTTTTTCTCAAAATCAGTGCAAAAATCACTACATATATATTCCAGAACATGACTACTGTATCTAAACCACAGTACTCTTGCTTCAAATATTATTTTCTCCCACGATTACAGTTTTACGAAATACCGTAATTCCACTAACTGGTGAGAAAGAATGATTTTCAATGCAAACAACAATAGCAATTTTACAGACTGTTAACGTTGTCAACAATTTAAGCATCAACAGTTTCAAAAAGTTTCAAGTGAGTTTTGGTTTCATATTTCCTAAAAAAATATATTCTATTCTAGAAAATCTTCACTGTATCTAAACTACAGGACTCTGGCTTCAAATGTTATTTTTTTCATACAAATTCATTTTAAGAAGTTTATCTGCATAGGTTCAATGGTAATAAAAATAAAAATAAGTTGATAAAATTTGAGAATTCAGAATTTCAATTTAAAAAAATCACATCTTCAATAAATAAACTCTTCTACAAGTTATTGCAATTCCACGTGATTCTATATGCAGATTGAACTTTGTCATTCCAGAAAAATTCAAATCTCAAATATCGACTGAATTCACTCTTATTCAAAAGGATTTCGCTTTCTTTTTTCTGAAAAATCCAATTTTTTTTTCGAAAAAAAACAATAGTTTCTATACTCACAAAGCATCCTTCAGGGAAAGTTCTCGAATCGTCTTGTTTTTTATTGTCGATATATTTGTCGATTTTAAGATTGGTAGCTAAAAATTATTGTTTTTTTGGGTTACTGTAGCTGATGAAAATATCACTTACCATCTTTACAAAAATCGTAGTCAAGATAAGTCTCACGTTTGATTTTAAATTCACAATCTAGTGATTTTGGTGGTTCAATAATAAAGCTGAAAAAAATTTATTTTTTAAAGTTTTTTTGTTGAAAAAATTCACTCACATATGCTTTTCCGGATTTTTTGGCAAATATTGATTGCTCAATACTCCACTCAATTCATGATTTCTAGCATATTCGGTTGTATTTCCAGTCTCTTTGATCACTGAATAATAACTCAGATCGAATCCCAAACCTTCAGCGATTTTTTTGATTTTCAAAACCATCTGAAATTTGAATAGGGATTTGGAGAACTAGTTATTTCTCTAAAAAAAATCTTACATCTACAGTAGCTCCACCATTTGTAAAAACGGGTCTATAATTTGAATCTCCTGCAAATTGCGTACTATTTTTGCCCTCTTCATTGAATTCAATCATTTTCTCACTGTCACCTAGAACAGTTTCAAAAATAATCAATAATTTTGAAGTGTCTTTTGGTGATGTGGAGTTTTCCAATTTTGTGGTACATATTTTTGATGTATTGTAAGCATGTGGGAAATTTGGATTTGTTAAACGACCTGATGGAAAATCGACAAGATTGATGGTTCGGTTGCATTCTGAAGAGGAGAACAATTATTATTGATTTTTTGAACTGTATTCTTCTTACGGAAAAATCCAACATATGAAAATTCAATTCCAAATCCGGCATCTTCAAATCTCTCAAAATGAACAGTAATTTGAATTTGTTGTCTATTCGAAATCAAAGGCGGTATTTTATCAGATGCGCAGAACTTGTAGTTATGACGATTTTTGTTTCTCTCAAAACATTTTCTATCAGCACATTCGGAAAATGGTTCAGCATCATGGATTTCAATATAGTTTTTTTCACAATTTGCACGAATTTGATGTTTGGAAAATTTGACCATGATTTGCTCGTGATATGTGGTAATAACATATAGACATTTTTTCGAGTTTTTGAGTTTTTTATAGTCAAGTTTTAAGGTTTTTTGTGTTTCGTATAGTTCCAAAGAACCACCACATTCAGCTGAAATGAGAATATAATTTAGACTTGGTTTTTTTTCTAAACCTATAATAAGAAAAGCTTCTTCTTACCTTTTTCAGCAATATATGATATATTGAGTCCTACGCCATCTCCACCATTTTTCGAATTAAATTGCACAATAGCATTACTTGATAGCACAATATCATATGGTAATTTCAAACCTCCACAAACATTTTCCAGAATCTTGAAAGAGCTTTCAATCATGTGTCCTTCCAAAATTGTGAGTCGATCGATATCACAATTTTCTGACTGTTTCATATCCATCGAATTTATCCGAATTCGAAGTTGTTGACCTTGATAAGCACTAATTTCCCAATTACAGTGTAAATCTGATGAATATCCAATACCCGTGGAAGATTTCGGTGGAGTCAGAGTTTTCCAATTATTTTCTTCGGCTAGTTCTGCAAATCCACAATGGGGTGTTGATAAAATTGCTAATTCTACTATTGAGTTTTTCGCATATTCTTCAGACACATAATTATAAACTGTTTTTATGGTAAGATCATTACTGTATACAATGAAATGATCGTTTCGGAATCTGAAAATTGATAAAAATTTATTCTTGAACTTTCTAAAAAACTCACCGCTTAACATCTCCACATATATTTCCCATATAAACAGAAGCCCTACTGTCGAATTTGACATAATCTTTATTGCATTCTGGAGCAGTATAGAATTTTTCGTAATAAACCACAAGATCACGACCAGGAGTTGTTGTGATATTCCAGTTACATTCGAAATGATGTTTTCCAATATTTGGTCGTTTGATTAATGTAGACAAGGTTGTGTTTTCAGAGAGATGAATGTTTTTGTTGCAGTCTAATGTTGGAAAAATCTCTTCTAGTCTTTCAAAAAAAAATAAAATAAAACTCACCAAGTTTTTTGTAAGATTGGACTTGGAATGTCATTGCACCGTTGTGAACTGATATGTCAGTTCTACAAAATGTTTTCAACTCTAAATTTAAATAAAAAATAAGTTCAAACCTACCGATTTGTCTCATCTTCACATAGAATTTTCAAAATAAAGAAGCTAAAATAAATAAAATGCATCCTTAACGTTCAAAAATGTACAGAATGAATTGTTTATGTTATTTCCAGCATAAAAATGTTTATATTTTGTGAAGTTATGTAATTTGAGAAATTCATACAGTATTTGGAAAATTACAAAAAAAAGTCTGGAGAATCTTTTTCTGTACCTCTTACAATCTGTACCTCTTACAATATGATATTTATATGACAGTTCAATGTTTATTTTTATGTATAAAAACATGTGAGAGACGAGTTCCTGGAGGCAGAAACGCCAAGACAATTATCGGTAAAAATTGCTTGTTTCATTGAAAATACTCCATGGCCCTGATTTGGATAAACCATCAAATCAAAATCAATTCTAGCCTTGTGAAGTTTTTCAATCAAAATTGCGCTATTCTGAAAATGGACATTATTATCTGCCAATCCATGAAGAAGTAGAAGTCTTGTTGTTTTGAAATTCTCCAAATTATCGGTCAAATCAATATATTCGCTCGATGTTGCATTTCCCATATATCGCAGAGTATAGTCGTTATCTGGAAAATTGTACATTTGGAGGGTTTATCAGAAGCGGTAATCTTGAAAAAATAAAAAATAGAAGTTTTTTCATATTAAAATCAAACAATTTTCATACTCACCACCATAATAAATAAAATTTGTCACAGGTGCACCAGAAACTGCACACTTGAACAACCCTTTTGGAGCTTGTTCAGTCATCGCAAGTGCCATAAAACCACCATACGACCATCCTGACACCAAAACTCTATTCTTGTCTAATATATCCGAATATTTTTTCAAAACATATTGAATGACCGTGATTTGATCTTGAGCATCAACAGTTCCGAGTTTTCCGAATTGTGCAGATCGATATTTCCATCCTCTTCTTCCAGTTCCTCTACCATCAATGTATAACTTTGCTATTTGATTTTCACATGTTTCATATTTTCTATACCACTCTCCTTCATCTTCCTCCTTCATTTCCACTTTCAAATCTTCTGGTCCACCATAAACATACACAAATAATGGAATTTTTCTGTGTGTTACATTTTTTGGAAAATGGATTTTATAAATTCCTTCATAATCATTGCCAAGAGAAACTTTACCAAATTGCAGAAAATCATCGGTGATAAGTGTTGGGCATTTCACACATGTAGGTTTTTCATTTGAACCTAATTTCATTTTTAATGTATCCCCGATGAAAGGACTTCTCGAATACGCATACAAAGTTCTGAAAAATAATTCAATCTGAAATTTAAAGAATATAATTATATCTTACATCGTGTTATTATCATGAATTTCGAAATGCACGACGTCATACGGTTCTCTCATTTCAAATCTTGGTTCAGAAGATGTCTAGAAAAAAATGAATAAAGTTCATACATATATGAAAGATAAAACAAACTTCATTGATTGGATAACTCGCGATTTGGTTATAGGAATTCTCTTCTTCTATAAAATCCAAAGGCAACAATAAATACAGTCGATTCTTATATATTTTCATTGCATTATTCCTATCACTAATATAACGTTTATAATCATATTTGTATTCAAAAAGTTTTTCACATTCTGTAGTTTCGAAATCGCAAGATACCAAAATATGTTCATTCCGATATTTGTTTGTAAGATGAAGCAAAAGTTTCTGTTTGTTTTCTAATTTGATAACATTTGTTCTGAATACAGAATAAGCAACACCACTAAAAAACAAAGTTTTAAATTAAGCTTTTCAAGTTTCGAAGTTACTTGTTATATTGGTATTTTTTCAAATCGATTCTTCTCACTTCTTTAGATGTTGGGTTCCAAATTGATATTTCAAACGGAGGAGGTTCTTCAAATGGTTTCCAATATTGTTGTTCAACAAAATCCGGGTATGCCTGTTTATCTTTATAGCTGAAATAATAATTATAAAAAATGAACAGGAAAGTATCAACTCACATATTCCAAGACATTGTTTTCACTGCTTCCATATTGATTGAAATGTAAGCAAGATAGTTGAAATTTTCTGACCACCAATAACCATTTTTGATATAATCAACTCCCAAATATAGCGATCCTTGGTAAAAATATTTTCCCTGGGAAGCATCAATTGCTACAGGATCCGATGTCTGATTTTCTTTGAAAAACAATCGATGATTTATAACAAGTACCTGAATTTTTCGGATGTTTTTAGTATCCTTAATTTCAACAACTAACTTCGACTTTTTGTTTTTCTGATGTTCCATCATTGTCTCCCAAAATTCCAACAATAAAAGTTAGAAGAAGTAACAAAATATTCATATTGTGTTATTTTCATCAAATCAACCACATTATTTATAGGGAAAAATGATGATTCACTATTATTATGAACTTTTTCTTCAAGTTCTATTATTTCAAAAATAATAGAATATATGTATTGTTCAAAAAAATTTAGAATTTGGAAGCGAAGTTTACAGTACAGCTAAATGTATTGACCATCTGAATCATATTTCTATCAAGAAAAAGTTAGAGAATCTCTTCATATTTCATTATGTTTGATGATTATCAAAGACAATATGATTGCCGAATGAAAAAAAAACATTTTTTTTTGATGGGACAAAGATTTTCCGATGATCTAGGACTTCCGGTATACGTTTTTTCATTTTTTTTTCTGAATTATTTATTTTAATAAAAAATCTAATATTTTTTTGTAATCTTTTTTAATAAATGTTCCTCTTTCCCCATTTCGCCGCCACTTTACAGTTTTCCGTTTTTTTATTTCACATCATGAATCATTCCGCATTGCCATTTTTTCACTGAATCGCTACTTTTTGAACTGTATCTAAAGTACAGTAATCGAATATCAGAAATGATTGTTTTCAATTCGGTGGATCCATTTACTAGTAGATGTTGGACTAATCAGCAATGAAAAGATGAAAAAAAAGCAGATGACACAGGATCGCTCTATGAAAAAAGAGTTTAAAAAATATTTTCATGAACAAGCCAAAAACTTTCAAGTGAGTTTTTTCTCAAAATCAGTTCGAAAATCACAACATATATTTCAGAACATCAATACTGTATCTAAACTACAGTACTCTTGCTTCAAATATTATTTTCTCCCACGATTACAATTTTACGAACTACCGTAATTCCACTAACTGGTGAGAAAGCATGTTTTTTTAATGCAACAACAATAGCAATTTTACAGACTGCTAACGTTATCAACAATTTGAGCATCAACAGTTTCAAAAAGTTTCAAGTGAGTTTAGGTTTCACATTTCGATCACAAAAAAAATAAAAATAAAATATTGTCTATTCTAGAAAATCTGCACTGTATCTAAACTACAGGACTCTGGCTTCAAATATTATTTTTGCTTACAAATTCATTTTGGGACATTTATCTGCATAAGCCAAATGGTAATAAAAATAAAAATAAGTTGATAAAAGTTGAGAATTAAAAATTTCAATAAACACATCTTCAATAAATAAACTCATCTACAAGTTATTGCAATTCCAAGTGATTCTATATGCAGATTGAACTTTTTCATTCCAGAAAAATTCAAATCTCAAATATCGACTGAACTCACTCTTATTCAAAAGGATTACGCTTTCTTTTTTCTGAAAATCCATTTTTTTTTTCGAAAAAAAACAATAGTTTCTAGACTCACAAAGCATCCTTCAGGGAAAGTTCTCGAATCGTCGTGTTTTTTATTGTCGATATATTTGTCGATTTTAAGATTGGTAGCTAAAAATTATTGTTTTTTCGGGTTACTGTAGATAAGGAAAATATCATTTACCGTCTTTACAAAAATCGTAGTCAAGATACGTCTCACGTTTGATTTTAAATTCACAATCTAGTGATTTTGGTGGTTCAATAATAAAGCTGAAAAAATGTGTGTTTTTTGAAGTTTTTTGTTGAAAAAATTCACTCACATATGTTTTTCCGGATTTTTTGGCAAATATTGATTGCTCAATACTCCACTCAATTCATGATTTCTAGCATATTCAGTTGTATTTTCGGTCTCTTTGATCACTGAATAGTAACTGAGATCGAATCCCAAACCTTCAGCGATTTTTTTGATTTTCAAAACCATCTGAAATTTGAACAGAGATTTGGAGAAGTTAGAGACTAGAAAAAATCTTACATCTACAGTAGCTCCACCATTTGTAAAAACAGGTCTATAATTTGAATCTCCTGCAAACTGCGTACTATTTTTGCCTTCTTCATTGAATTCAATCATTTTCTCACTGTCCCCTAGTACAGTTTCAAAAATAATCAATAATTTCGAAGTGTCTTGTGGTGATGTGGAGTTTTCCAATTTTGTAGTGCATATTTTTGATGTATTGTAAGCATGTGGGAAATTTGGATTTGTTAAACGACCTGATGGAAAATCGATAAGATTGATGGTCCGGTTACATTCTGAAAGAGAGAAAATTTATTGATTTTTTGAATTGTATTCTACTTACGGAAAAATCCAGAATATGAAAATTCAATTCCAAATCCGGCATCTTCAATCTTCTCTAAATGAACAGTAATTTGAATTTGTTGTCTATTCGAAATCAAAGGCGGTATTTTATCCGATGCGCAAAACTTGTAGTTATGACGATTTTTGTTTCTCTCAAAACATGTTCTATCGGCACATTGGGAAAATGGTTCAGCATCATGGATTTCAATATAGTTTTTTTCACAATTTGCACGAATTTGATGTTTGGAAAATTTGACCAGGATTTGCTCGTAATATGTGGTAATAACATATAGACATTTTTTCGAGTTTTTGAGTTTTTTATAGTCAAGTTTTAAGGTTTTTTGTGTTTCGTATAATTCCAAAGAACCACCACATTCAGCTGAAATGAGAATTTGGTTTAGATCATTCAAGTCTCCCTGGCGTTACCTTTTTCAGCAATATATGATATATTGAGTCCTACCCCATCTCCACCATTTTTCGAATTAAATTGCACAATAGCATTACTTGATAGCACAATATCATATGGCAATTTCAAACCTCCACAAACATTTTCCAGAATCTTGAAAGAGCTTTCAATCATATGTCCTTCCAAAATTGTGAGTCGATCAATATCACAATTTTCTGACTGTTTCATATCCATCGAATTTATCCGAATTCGAAGTTGTTGACCTTGATAAGCACTAATTTCCCAATCACAGTGTAAATTTGATGAATATCCAATACCGGTAGACGATTTTGGTGGAGTAATTGTTTTCCAATTATTTTCTTCGGCTAGTTCTGCAAATCCACAATGGGGTGTTGATAAAATCGCTAATTCTACTATTGATTTTTTCGCATATTCTTCAGATACATAATTATAAACTGTTTTTATGGTGAGATCATTACTGTATACAATGAAATGATCGTTTCGGAATCTGAAATATTATAAAAATTTATTCTTGAACTTTCTGAAAAACTCACCGCTTAACATCTCCACATATATTTCCCATATAAACTGAAGCCCTACTGTCAAATTTGACATAATCTTTATTGCATTCTGGAGCAGTATAGAATTTTTCATAATAAACCACAAGATCACGACCAGGAGTTGTTGTGATATTCCAGTTACATTCGAAATGATGTTTTCCAATATTTGGTCGTTTGATTAATGTAGACAAGGTTGTGTTTTCAGAGAGATGGATGTTTTTGTTGCAGTCTAATGTTGGAAAAATCTCTTCTAGTCTTTCAAAAAAAAAATAAATAATAATACTCACCAAGTTTTTTATAAGACAATTTAAAACCTCTTGAAAATGAATAGCTCTTATTCTCAAGTATAATTTTAACAGGACCTTTAACAATTGCATGATTATTCTCAAATGTATTTTGTGAATTACACATTCTTCCACTGTGAAAATTGTCAGCAAATATTTGCACACTTTCCGAGCAAAAATTTGTTTCCTCATACATGTCGTTCAATGGATCATTAAAATCAGGATAATGCATCATTCCAAATTGACCTCTTGATCGATAACTATATGTCATCATAAGATCAAAGTCATCAAAATTTAGTTCGATTAACTCATCCGACTTGATTTCATAATAACAATTATCCGTATTCACATTTTTTGATAAATCTGGATAATTTGGAGATGTGATAATTCCTTCATCACCTTCAAAAACTCCGCCGCAAACTGCTCTCCATTCCAAATGAAAACCTCTTCCATTATTTTCACCATCAGATTTGAAAGAGATTTTGAGATTTCTCGTTTTTGAATTGAAATCAACTGGATTTTCATGTCCACAAATCGGTGGATTCGATTGATCTTTGTTGGCAAATTGTTGAGTGATGTATAATCCATCTTTTTCACATTTATCCGATTTTTCAATGTCGAAAAATGTATAGTGAAGTCGTACATAATAGCCAACTGGAACATGGATAAACCAATCACAATTTTGATTAGATTGGTAGTCGGATACACCATAGTTGTTAGTGTGAATTACTCCACTCATTCCTTTTGCAGAGAAACCACATACTGTAAATTGATTGGGAAATATTGCATTTTTAATGATCAAGGTTCCTTAAAATTCCATTATCCTCACCATCATTTTCATTAACAAATTCATATTCCAATTTCCATGTAGTTTCTCGATTCCCATCTGATTTTTCTTTACCATCCGCAGTCTTATCAAGTTTCCAAACAATTGTCAAAAATCTGCTCTTCGATGTGATAATTTTGAAATGCTCTTCATCGATATTCATATCATCACAATATTTATGAATTACATTCAAGTGGAATTCTTTTCCTGAAAAAAAACATAAATATTTTTTTTTAAATATGCGTCAAACCTTCTCCGATAGTTAATTCTCCATAAGTTCCACAATCAATATTTGATACAGTAATCTGAACAAATTGTCCAACCGGGGCTTCAAAAATCCATTGACATGGTCCGGCTTTTGGATTGGAGATTTGTGAGTACATGGGTTCTGTGATATAACCACCACATTCTGAAAATTATTTTCATATTGAGCAGACGGGTTCTGACTCACTTAAAAAACTAATTGAGAGTTCTATTTCGAAATTGTTATAATTTGGACTTCCGATAAGTAAATCTAAATTTTCATTGTTGAAGAGCATAACATTATTGTTGTTTTCTCTAAATGTAGATTTACAATAGAGAGATTCAAAAGATGGAGCTGAAAATAAAGCATTTTGTGTGCAAAAAACTTTCGAAATTCACTCACTTCTAACAATCAAATGCGCCATTGTCTTCTTACACCAATTCCACTGCATTGAATCTTCAAACCGTGTAAAATTCACCAAAATTGTTGGGAATTCTTCAGATTTTGGAATTGATAAATGACAAAATCTACCAAAATTAACAGTGGAGTTCGTGCCGAATTTCCATGACGAGTCTTCAGTGACCAAATAAGTGCAACTACTATTAAATGTATCTCTTGGAATCTGAAAATTTCTTGATTTCTTGAAGTTCTGAATATAAGAAAATAACTAACCTGTTCATAAATAATTCTGAATCTTGCATAATAATCAAATAAAGGAGAATAACCGTTAGATCCAATCAAACTCCGTGTGAAATGATCATCATAAAGAATTTTGAAAGAATCTGTAGAAGAAATGAAAGAGGTCTTATTTTCACAGAAAATTGTTTGACTTGAGGAAGCTTCATCGACATAATCAATAATCTGAAAACAGAATTTTCAACAGAAAAAATTTAACAACGAGAGGTTTTCAAACCTGCAAATCCTTATAACAATTTTCAGAAGAGAAAATATTTGTTCTTTTATCATCGAAAAATTCCAAATCGAGTTTCCAAACATTTCCGGGATCACTTTTGAAATTCCATTCACAATTTAAATGCGGCAGTATTTTTTCATTATGATGTGGAAATTTGATTGAACCAGAATGTTTTGTGATTTTTTCACCACAAGCTGAAAAATTTTTGTTTATGGATGAGAATTGATCGATTTATTTATTGATTTACCGTCAACGCTTAGTCGGAATTTGATAATGAATGCAGGGTGTTTTGGCTTCTGAAAAATGAAATTTTAGAATCTACATTCTCCTGAAACTCACCGCTGTTGTATTTCTACTATTAAAAACAACATTGATTTTACTCGAAACAGCCAGGAAATTATCATAAGGACCTTTTGTATCCAAACATCCAGATCCATTATAATGTGTATTACCACGTGATGAGATAACAATATTATTATTTTGACAAAATTCATCATTCGGTAAAGATTCAATTCTGTAATTTTACATATTTTTGAGAAAATAAATATTCTCGAAATCTCACTTGAAAGCGACCAAACGTTGATTTGGACTTCTAATAACCCATTCGCATTCTGTTCCCGGCTCAAAATTCGTCGGAGACATCAATTTCAATTCTTCTTTTTCATTATTTTTTGATAAACTCAAAGTTCCACCACATTTTGCAACTTCAAACATAGCCATAAATCTAGGACTTTTCGAATCTTTACCAGTATGCAATCTCATAAACATGAAATTTCCAGTTGAAAAAATACTTGATGGTAATTCTTTTCCACTATAAGTTCCAAGAATTTTCGATCTTTCAGATGGTCCATCTCGAACTTGAATATAATCCGAAAATTCTTTATCGACTTTTTCTTCCATTTCAAATTCTTTAAAAGTTAGCATAACTCGATGACCATTTGGAGCAGAAATAATGTAGGCGCAAGAAGAAGATGGTGGAATATATTTTGGATATTCTGGGGACCATATTCCACGTGGATGGTCTTCTGTTATATGAATAATATCTCCAGGACATTCTGTTGCGGCTTCTTTGATTGTTAAATTGAATCCAAGATTTTCCTGGTTTTCAGAGAAATATTTGATTTTTATTTTGTTGAAAGATGTTATAAATGATATTTTATTGTCATTTGAAACTTGTTCGCAATATGTTTTATTGATCGTGAAATCGTCAAACTGTAAAAATAGTATTTTTGAATATCGTCGTTGTGAAAACTCACCATCAAATAATTATCTCCTTCACAAATCTCCATTTGCAAATTTTCAATTGTCACATTAATCTTCCGATTTTTCGAAGACCCCAAGTTCCACTCACAGTTCACATTATCTTCATCATTTCTCCAAGGTGGACTTGAAATTGAATATTCATAACTACCGTCAGGAGAAGAAATATCAGCGGAATTTACGCCACATTCTGAGGTGAGTAAAGTTTTGAAATCAGAATTCATTTAAAAAATTTTCAAACTCACTCAATCGATACAAAAGTTTGAAACCTTTCAAAGGTTTGTCATTTTCAGTTGTTCGTTCCGCATGAAAATGGATAGCTACGTTTTTATTTTGATCATAGGTATAGGTTTTACTAAGATCCCGTGAGTAACACAACGTTTCCTTTGGCCATCTGGAATTCCAAATGTTTATTTTTTTCAAATACGACTCAAAACTCACTCTTGACCTGCATAAATTTTCACCCAATCAAACCAGCATTGCAATGTGCTAAACATATCCAAATATTCAAATTTCATTTCAATTTGTGAAAACGAAAATTGAGATGGTTGAATTTTCCATTGACATTCTTCATCAGTAATAATACCAGTGGTTTGATTTGGTGGTAGTGGATTTGTGAATGATTGCCAGTCCCAAGTTGGTGTCAGATCTTCACCACAATGATATTTCTCAGTTTCTCTAGGCATATCCCAGTGAATATAGCGACGTGAACATGACCATTCAAATTTGAAATCATCTTTTGGTTTCATAAAGACTTCGATATTCATTTTTTCCACTTGGAATTCGAATTTTTCGTTTCCCGGGAAACCAGTTAGTATTTTTCCGTCAGCAATTTCAGATTCCGAATCATCATCTAATTGAGAGAGTTTGATATACGAACCGTGTGATAAAACAACATCGAAAGTCTTGATTTCGAAATGGCGCTGCAATTTTATGTATATTCAAAAAATATTTTGTTTTTTTTTTAATCAGAAAATTTCAGGGAAATCCCTGTCAAAAACTCACCCCGCAGGAAATCTGCCAACTAAACTTCTGCGGACTCTCAATAACTGGTGGTAGCAAAATCCTTGAATCCGTTTCTCCACCAGGTATTTTACTCATTTCCAAATCTATTGAATACTTTTTAATATTCATTGTATCATGTGTATACTTGAATCGAATATATAAACTTGTTGCTTCAAATGTTTCTTTAAAATTAGGTTCACATTTTCGATACCGTAATTTTCCAATACTGCTTGTCTCTCTGATTTCGATAAATGAATCAGTACAATGAGGTGAATTTGGAAAATTTTCAGAGCTGCAAAAAAACTTGAAAAGAGAAGAAGGTGAAAAAAAAAACTTACGAGATAGTTAGAGACACGGTATTTCCCAGTGTGTTATTCAAAATCCAAACACATTCTTTTGAATGATCCAAAGTGTAAGTGAAGAATGAGTACTCTCTTGTCATTGGACGATTGCAGTCTGAAATATGTTGAAAACATTTCATTTTTTTTCCCAATGCCTACCAAGCTGTGAATTTCGATATCTTATAATTGCTTTTGTCCTTGTTCTAATATTTATCGCTCTAATAAAAACATATCGAAAAGCTTGAAAATGAATAACATGTTTTAATGATTTTGAAGACAGGCTCATATATTTCCCATCAACCTCCAAGCTAAATTTATCATCAAAGTTGCCAATCAACGAATTGTTTGCGACTTCTTCAATAACTTCAAGACTTCCGAAAACACCATTATCTGAAATTATAAGATCAATAAATATTAAAAATGTTTTTTGATTACCTCCCCACTGTGATACACCAATCATACATGTCTCATTTTCAACTAAATCAAGGTGAATAGTTTTCTCTTCACTCTCAGCATAAGTCATTGTCCCACAAATTTGTTCAACTTTCAAAACAAAACCAGCTTCTTGTTTGTGCCCATCATTCTCTTTCCAGTCTGCACCTTCAAATATTACTTTGGTTACATCGTGAGAAAGTATATCATCTGATACATCGCAACGTTGTGATCTAAACAAATTAGGTCAAAACAAACATTTTTGGACGTCACAAATCGGTAAAAATGAATTTCACAAAAGTCTCACCGCTTATATTTAGAAGAAATTGTCAATTTTCCTGTCATATAATCCTTATCACAATGATGGTTTTCAGTCGCAAATGGTCGTGTAAAATTCAAAATTTTCAGCTTGACATTATAACCATCAGCTGGTTTTAATAACCATTCACTTCTTATAGATGAATCATAAATATTTGGATAGTTTTGACTCATTATGGTATGATGCGGTTGAGTAGATACTGCAAAAAAAAATGTTTTCAGTTAAAATTTTTTACTTGTTTTTTAAGCAACTCACAATCAATAACTTCTCCATTACGATCATCACTGGTTTTCTCTTTGATCACAATTGAAGCATTCAAAAACACTTGTTGATTATATTTGAAAGAATTTCGATTCATCAAAACTTGAATAAACCCTTCATTTGTATGTAGATCATATTCTGTTTGACTAGTGACCGCGCAAGGGTGATATTTTGGATGTCCAGAAGAATTTGATGAGCCCAAGAATATCTTGACCCCTGTGAAAGTGTCCTGGGGTAAATTTATGCAGTTTTCGTTATGTTTCACATCAAATGAGTCGATCAATACTGTTATTCGTTGATTGGGATTTGCTTTGATATGATATTGACATTCAAATCTTTCATATTCATCATCAATGTCATTTCGTAGCACGAGAATTCTTTTTGATGTATAAATTTCTTCAACACATCCCAAAGCTTCATAATGCAGCATAAATTTATTTGATTGTTTTAATGCAGATTGGTAAGAAATTCGCATTTGATTATGTCTCGATATTACTTCTCGTGGGACGAATAAATCACAATATTTATGAATTTTTGAAGTTTGAGTAAACCCTTGTGATGTTTCAATTGTAGCATTCATAAAATGCACTTCATCAATTTTCAAAAAATTATCAACGCATTCTTCAGATTCCGTATCAATCCGATCAACATCAAACTTCACAAACGAAACTCGAATACGATTTCCCATTGGAACTTTGATATTCCAACTACAATCTTGTTCCTCATATGATTCCTCATCTTCAAAACCAGGAGATTGAATAACTCCATGTGATTTTGATATTTCGATATTCTTGCAATATGTTGTATATTCAATGTAGAATCCACTCACTTTTTGATTCAATTTGGGATCTTGAATATATTTGATATCAATGTGGTTGGTTTCCGAAATTATTGATGGCATTTTGGATGTTCGATGACAGAATAAACCATGCGTTTTGCGTTTCAGATCAATGTTTTCAGTTATCTAGAGATTATTAGAATGTTAATGTTACTCATAATTTTCCCACTCAACAAACCTCAAGACTATTTGCAACACCAGATTCACATTTCTCATCTGGATATCCACTTAGCTCATCAACACTTATAATAGTGAAATTAATCTTGTTACCCCTTGAAACTCCAATTCTCCAATCACATTTTACTTCGCGATTTTCTTTTCGAGGATACTGCGGAGCTGCAACTATTCCTTGATATGCTTCAAGTGTACTTCCACATCCAGCCATAACAGTATACAGAAGCCAATATGAAATATTTTCCGGATCCGTTGTTTTAAAATGGATCGTGGCTTCATTTGAAAATAATCGATAATACTCAATGTTCCTCTTTCTTTTTTCATTGCAAAGATCAAATGAATTGTTGGAATTTGAACCTTCAATCACTTCGAAACTCGATGTTGAACAAGGAATGTTCATTTTACGAATGCCCAAAACAATCTTTTGACCATGATCAACTGCAATTTTATAGGTACATTCTTTCTCTAAACCTGTTCTTAGAATTAATCCGCGTTCTCGATGATATGTTCTATTACATGTCGAAGTATATTCCAGTGTTTCAACTCTGTAATTGATGGCTGGTCAATCAAAAAAAATCAATCAATATTCAAAACTCATCGCTTACCTCCCTTTGAATCCTCTTTTCAAAACATTTGAAGTTGAAAACTCAAACGACAAATATTTTGTTAAAACAATCAAGGGTGATGGTATAATTGTATTACCACAAAGTGTTATATAATTTTCCAGCTTTTCAGTTCCTGCAAGACTTCTCTTAATAGTCAGATTTCCATGTTCACAAGAATACGGTAGATCGAAATCATCAAATGTGATCAGGTAAGTCACAAAATTTCGGGAACTTTTTGGAACAACGATAAATTTGCAGTAAATAAATGCTGGATAATTATCTGGATATAAGGGACTTTGGAAATTGTTATCGATAAGTCCTCCGCATTCTGAAAAACGAAATTTTTTTTACGTGAAAAAGATAATTTTTGATATGTATTGAAAATTACTAGTTTCAGATCGATAAAACTTGAAAGCAACTCCTTTAAATTTATCGCTTCCATCACTAACAACTTTGATTCGGAATTTTTCATGAGATTGAACTTGAATTAATGTGTTTTCTTGGAATGTCTCATTTTTACAAGTGTATCGAATTGGGGCTTTGCCATAAGCAAATGTTTCAATTTCAACATAATTCTTGGGATTTTCATCGTTACAATCAGTGTTCATAAGAATCGATGTGAATCTGAAAAAAATACAATTTTTCGGAAACCTTTTTTTTCAAAAAAAAAAACCAATTAACTTACAAAACATTAGTGATATGAAGCATATGTGTTTTGATAATATAAACACAAGTTTCAGCTTGCATTTTCCTTCCAAAATTCCATGTTTCAAAAGTTCCATTTCCATCAAAAGTTTTCTGACATAAAACATCATATCGTAATCGAAAACCTTTTTCCTTGAACAGTTTTATTTGTTCGAAATTCCAAATTGACTTTTGAACTTTCAACAACTAGAACCTCGTTTTCTTTTTTCTGACATAATTCTTGATAGAATTTTTTGCGATCTTCAGTGAAAATTTGCAATTTATCAGTGAAACAATGAATAGCTTTAGTGGTTCGTGGTGATTGATAAGATCCTTCATCGTGGACAATACTATGCAATTGAACTACTTCAGATCCATAAATTGTTTCGATTTCAGATGGAATATCAAGATATTCAATAGTTAATTGAATCTCAACATCAGTTCGTTTCAAATCCAAATCTCCTCCAATGATTTTCCAATCACATTCAGAATTTGGCGGATATAAACTTCCAAAATTTGGTGATTCAATATATCCAAACCATCCAGTTTGTTTTTGATTCTCAATTATCGCTCCACAAGAATAGTCTTTTTCTTGTTGTTTGAAAATATATTTCATTGTAAATCCTCCAGTTTTTTCATGAAATTCTGAAGACAATGCAGAGAATGAAACAGTCAAATATGGTCCAGTAGATGTGAATTTTTGAACAACTGTTGAATTTTTGCAAATTTCTGCGATTGTAGCATCGAATGAATTTGCTATTCCGTCGTGGATTTCCAGTTTATTGTCTTCGCATTTTGAAGAATCCATGAAAATTTTTGGAACTGTGATTTCGATCACATTGTTGATTGGAGCAGAAATGAACCATTCACAAATAATATCTTTTTTGTAGCCAGGCACCAAAAGATGTCCTGGTTTTTGAGTACGATAGCCGCATTCTGAAACAATTATTGATTGATTTTTTTAAAGAAACATTTTGATATTATAAAACGATGCCTAACCGCAAAAAATAAAATAGTAATTTAGCAGAGCAATAAGGAGGAGGAGGAGGAGAGAGAGAGAGAGAAAAAAAGGGAGTGAGTGAGAGAAAGAGAGATAAATATTTCCCATAGTATAGCATAACATTGGAGAGAGCGCAGACAACACAAGTTTGTTTTTTGAAAAAAAATACAAATAACTAATTTGCTGTATGTCTTCACTCAATTTCACTTTGTCTCTGATCAAAAGTAATTTTTTTAATATTTTGTTTTTCGAGCGTTTTTCTTTTTTTTTTTAATTTTGTTTTCATTACATTTTTTCACAAATCTGAAAAGATTCGAAATTTTGTAAAAATCTAAATAATTTCTGGTTTCATTTCCAAAAACTTTTCACTCACCACTTGGAACAACCACATAATTTCCCCAAAAAACGCCTTCATATCCCTCATATTTCATAAGAGCATGAGTTGTGGTGAATGTTATATTTTGTCCAATTGTTGGCCCCTAGAAGTCTACTGTAATAATTTCTTCAGTAAGAGCTGAAAAACTCACATCTGGCGGTTCTCCACACCAATTTTTCATTAATGGATAATTCTCATTTGGTCCATCGTACAACTGAACAAAAAATGAGTATCATTTCACAACAAAAAAACTTACAAGAATTCTTGAAGACGCTTCATGACATCCAGTAGAATTTTGAGTAAAGCCAGAAAACGAGTCAAAATTGATTTTTAATACCGTATTTGGTTGATCTATGTGGAAATACATGTTTTTGATGAGATAAACTCCTTTTTGATTGACTTGGTGTTCAAAAAGTCCGGATAATTCGGTGAAATGTTCATCGTAATCAGTTTCATGATTTTCGCATGATTCGCCGTAGAAATAATTGTTACATTTACAATGTGGAATATTTTCTCGCAAAACACACTGTCCATTTTTGCAATTAACAGAAGCACATGGAGAAAGCTTTGATTAAAAATGGTAATTTAATTTTGAAATTAAAAAAAATCTTCATTCTTACCGTTTCACAATTCTCTCCCGAATAATTCTCATCACAATAACATTTGTAATTTGTTTCATTCAACACGGCACATTTTCCGTGTTTTGAACAAGTCTCTGAACTACATATCTCATCTTTGACACAAAATCCTCCCCCATCTATTCCATTTTCACAAATGCAATCATATCCATCATTTGTCATTGAATGAATATTTTCAACGCAAAGAAGGTTCAAATCACAAGGGCGTGAGTCACAAGGATTGATTTTTTCACATTTTGTTTTGGAATCTCCAGAAGTTCCAGGCGGGCAAGAGTCACATTCATAGGATCCGGGTAAGTTACGACAAGTCACACCTTCGAAACAGGCATTTGTTTTTTCACATTCATTTATATCAATACATCCATCGTCACCCACTGAAAAAGGTTAGGCTTAGATTTGCCTTAGGTTAAGCTTGAACCTTACTTCTATATCCCTTCGGACACCCAAAACATTGATAAGATCCATCCAAATTATTACAATGAACTCCTGGCAAACAGGGATTTGTGAGACATTCATTAACATCAACACAAAATGGATTGTTCAAATCTGATGATTTTTGAAAACCTGGATGACAATGACAATCATATTTTGTATCCTGATCAATACAAGTTCCATGGGGACCACAAAGATTGTGAGATTTGGAACAGGTAGACATTGAAAATTCGCATTTTGGGCCGTGAAAATTGGATAGGCATTTGCATCTGGATATTTTACAGGATAGAATAAAATGTTTTTTTTTAACTCACTCAAATCCTCCAATTGTATTCACACAGGTTCCATTATTTTCACACTGTTCTCTTTCCAAGCATTCATCAACATCATCTTCACAAAAATAACCCTAAAATGATATTTTTTTGCTGAAACTGTTCTGTTTTCTGAAAATTCACCGCATATTGTGGTGGGCAAAGACACAAAGCTTCAGCTCCACTTCTTGGAATACAAGTTCCTCCATTGATACATTCGTCAGAAGTACACTGATTTTTAAATAAATCTACATTCAGAGTTCTGAAAAATTTGTTTATTTTTGTGAGGTCGAGGTTATTTTCAATCGATTTCCCAGTTGATCTAATAAAACCTACAACAATCGGTTTTCCAGAATCTTCAACAAGCCATAATTTTTCTCTGATAATTTGCTATAATTTTTCTTGAAATTTCCAAATTGTTCAAGCTTTTTGGTGATTTCAAAATGCTGTAATTTTCTTTTTTTTTTAATTTTAATTTCTTTTCACAAAAATCTAGTACCGTATTTTTGATAGAATAAGCTCTTCTTTCCAAATGGTATTTTGTTAGGTAAGCAATAATATTGAAGTGTTGCTGGTTCGCATGAGCCAATTCAGTCAAATTTTGCGCTTTCTTACTGTAGATCAAAAAATCAGCCTGCAAAAATCATTACAGCAACATTTTTTAAAAATTTTTTCTCACATAATGTGTCAAACTATCGGATAGGTTATTATTGAAATACACCTTTCCATTTTCAAAATTCAAAAAAGTGATATTTTTATTGAAACCAGCGTGAAAAATCACATTTCTATCCAAAGTCATAAGACGTGCTCTGTAATTTTGAAATCAAAAATCTAAAATGTTGGCAATTCTAACTGACCGTGTCTCAAAGTCATCTGAAAATCGAACTTTTTCCTCTCCAGCTATGAAAAAGAATAAAAATGAATGTAAAATAATTCGGAAAACTATCCGAGGCTTCATTTTCCGTCAACACTAAACGGTTTATTAGTTTTCGATGGGAAGTGATATTGTTTACATTTGCACTTTTTTGTTGAATGTTTATGTTAATGGTTGCAAATTACAGTTTTGTGTTGGAAATGACTACAGTTCTTGGGAGAGCAATTGAAAGACTCCGATAATTGTTTATTCAAGGTCTGGCCCAAACAAATGAAGTTTGATCTACAGTATTCTGGAAAACAGTCAACAATTTTTGAAACCTTACACTAAAAATATACAAAAAAAAATAATATTCTGTATTCTTCAAAAAAAATCGAATTCCAATCCCCTTTGCAATTTTTATTGAATAAAAAACCCATCAAAAAATCATTCCAAGCCCAAATTCTCATTATTATGTTTTGTAGTAGAAGCATCTTTACCAAATAAAACACATTGTTTTTTGTTAGTTTGCATCATCGGAGAATCTGCACTACACCCAAAAAGTTGTGCAAAATCTGGAATTTGAACAACTACCGCATTAACTCGAATATTTTGTGGAGAATGTTGACCGTCTCCGGAAGATATTGGCTGAAAGAAAAGACTTTGCTATATATTTTTTTCAAATAAAAACACGCACCTGACACCATCCTGTGGAATACGCGTAGAAAAACAATTTTTCAGGAGATATTGCATCTACAATTTTCTGGGAGTTTGATCGTCTTTTCTGTTTTTGTTTGAATAAATCATAGGTCAGTTGCAAACCGACCAAATCGGATCCATTGTCATCAAACGTCGTTTCTGTTATTTCACAACTACCCTAGAAAACTTATGTATCTTTAGGAATCTTTGTCGTATTTTCTCACCTCTTGGAATTTATCACAAGAATTTTTGAATTGGTCTTGGACGCATTCTTTCGTAACATTTGAGAACATCAAATCTGAATTGTCATATATGTCCCGATCGCTGACAATAATTGAATGTCCAAATTCATGTCCAAGGAGAGACGATCCAACAAAGCCCATCTGAAAATAATTACAAATGAGATTTTTCAAAATAAACTACTACTTACAAATTCTGCATCATTCTCAACTTCTTTTGCAGTATAGTAAAAATTTTCTCCAAACACAAGTTTATATCCAGTGTTTCCGCCGTTATTCCCATCACGAATAATTGATTTGAATCTATATTTTGTCAGTTCTCTATCAAGAATGCAAATGATATTGTTTATAGATTCACTAGTTTTCAAAGAATTCAAACATTTTTTGAAATGTTTTGCAGCTTTTTCCAAATTGTTCTCACTTATTTCAAGATAATTTTCAAATTCATCCAAAAAATGAATATCTTTTGCAAGTTTCTCATAAACGTTTATTTTATGAGCATTTTTGATCCATGGAGTTTCCTGTAAGAATAAATTGAAAACTTTCAGATGATCTTCTATTCTTACCTCTATCAAATTTACTGCATGTTTTCTAATGTCTTCAAGAGTCCCGTTTAGTCGAGAGATTGCTGTTTTTCCCTCATTTGTTAACCATTTGTAAGCTTTTGCTTGATGTAAAGTGATATAATTTACTTTTCTCATTTGTGTTATAACCTGAATGATAATTTAATTAAAGAATATTGAATTTCTCACGAACATCTGAAGAAATATCTCTGCTGATGATTTCTAGGCATTTTCTGAAAATCTTCGAGTTTCCCTTGACTTTATCGAAACATTTCACGGCATTCACTGAATAATCTCTGAATACTTTTCCAAGTTTTGCAAGATATTTTGAGACTTGGTTTTTTGATAATCCCTGGAACTCTTTTAGAGTCTGGCTTTGAAAATCTGTCAGAATTTCTGCAACTGGTGTCTCGAGAATACTTTGAAATGCGTTGACATCTTCATTTTGGCTAGTGTAATTCGAACTTTCAAAAAGTTCTTTAACTACATTTTCAAAAATTGTGTCGATATCTTGTTTGTTGTCTTTTCTACAAGCATGACGGAAGAAATCATCACATGGTAAAACATTTTCATCAATCGAGCTGAAAATATTGCCTTCTCGAAATGATATATTCGTCTTACTTACTTTCTTAAAAACTCTGAAAACACATTTTGAGCCAAAGAATTGGACAAAACAATGATGAATATTGAAATGAAAAATATAAACTTCATTTTTTTTGTGTTTCAAAAATTTCAAAGTTTATTTTTATACCATTTTGAAACAATAGAAACAAATTGCAAGAATTCATTTTTTCGAAAAAAAAATGAATAAGATAAATTTCAATGTGACCAGGGAAGAATGTGATGACGAAAAAGTTTATTGAAATACATTTTTTGAGTTTTGAAACAATGTATTTGACCAAAAAATGATTGGAAAATGTAGTTAAAACTCACAATTAATTATTTCACAAAAAAGGTCACAAATCTTTATCTAAATGTTCAACAAAACATTCACAAAATTAAAATTACTTCCATATCGGTCCATATAATTCCGAATATTTTGATCTCCAAACTCTTCTTGTTTTTGGTTGATGTTTTGGTCGCAAAAATACATTTTCTAGTTTATTCTGATTTATACATCCATCCTTTTGCAAAATTTCAGGATTTCTGAAATTAGAAAATAAGTTTGAGCTAAATTTTTATGTGAATGTACCTTTGATATTCTGTACGTGAAAACCACGAAAACGCAGAGACGTGGAATAAGAATTGCAAGAGCAAAAATAATAGTTTATTCATCTGAAAAACTAAAATTTAAAGGTGAAGTTTGAGATAAGTTATGCTCATTTGGAAAAAAATTGAAAAATTTACAAAAATATGAAGCTTCAAAATTAAAATGAAATGAAATCTGAATCTGTCAACCCAAAAGGGTGGGTTGAACAAAATTTGCATTTTAATTTATTTTTCGTCAAAAACGGCTTGTCTAGAAAAACACCCAATTTTAAATTAAACACCTATCAATCATTTTTTGTTGAAAATCTGGAAATGAGAAACGTTATGAAATTACGTGACAAAATTTTTATTATCATAAAACATTCAACTTCTGATTTTTGAAAAATTTGCGATGAAGTTCAAATTGACTTTCTGGATAGATGCCTCCCACATAGTGCCCAGCGTTTTTGAAAACCAATAAATCCAGATTTTTATATGATGTATATTTTCCAATTATTTCTTGATCGTTTTTTGTGATTAACCCATTTCCAATTTCCTTTAAAAATAAAATGAAACATATTCTTTTGAACTTGGAAAGAAAAAACTTACCTCAATTCCTAATCTGTCCACAATTTTTTGTCCTGCCGAAAAAGGACAAACCATATCCATATCTCCAAAATATAACACAATTTTAATATTATTTTTCAGCATTTTTTTGATATATTCGTCCATTTCAATTTCTAGATTAAAGTAGTGTAAACGTTGACACCTTTTCCATATTCCAGCTTCTTCAGGAATTCTTAATATTTTTCTCGTATCATTTCGATTCAAATAATCTTCGCATTTCAAACCCGATTTAAAGGAACATGAATTTGGCCTCCTGTTTTCAGATGATTGTTCACATTTTCGATTTATTTGATAAATATCCATCTCAGGGTGATAAAGAAAATTCGCATAACTTCTAAGACCATTACATTTTTCACCAACTAAATTGCACTTCTCCAAATTATTATTACAGCATTGTTCAAGAAAACTTCGGTAAACATTTTCATCAATAATCCCATGTGAATAACTGTATTCTAAACGTGATTTTATATTCAGCTTTTCGCTTAAGAGCGGGCCACTAAGAGCAATTCCCTGAAAACAATGTTTTTTTTTCAAAATTTTCTGAAGAATCTTTTCACCTTCAAATTTATTTTGGAATCCTTTTGATGATCAATAATATGTCCAGCCAACATCGGAACATAGATTCCAGCATAAGAAACTCCTGTCAAAAAAACGTCATGATTTCTGAACTTCGGATACTCCTGAAAAAATTTTTCACATTTTTTAAAAAAATAGTTTCTGAAACAAAACCAACTTCAAAAAACATTTCGACAGCGTTATAATTATCTTCAGCCGTCATATAATCAATATCTGGATCGGAATCATCAGTAGAATATGAAAAGCCGACTGGACTTGGAGATTCGATATATACAACTGATCCAAGTTTTGTTAAAGAATATTCATTTTTGCTTAATTCTTGTCCCATCGAATCTACATTAATGGGACCATTGAAAAATAATCCAGTTAGGCTGGAACATCCAGGACCTCCATTGAACCAAAATATCAAGGGATCGGTTGTCACATTGTTTTCCGATTCAGCTAGCCTAAATTTTTCAAAAATTAGTGTTAAAAAAAAGAAAAAAACTAACCAATAAAACATTCTCTTAGAATTTGTCACATTAAAAAATCCTGCAAACTGTCTTGAATCAAATGTGAAGTTCTGGCCGGGTAACTTGAAAATTTCATGGCTAGAAACTTCTAGTAAAAATAATAAAGCAAATTTTAGCAGCATAGCATATAAAATGAAAAATCAAGAGTCAACTGTTCAATTTTTTCAGAAAAAAAATGGACTCTTGAAACATGTGGTGTTTCTCACATAAGAAGAAATAATTTATTTTTCTAATTTTTTCAATTATCTTCAGTTTCATATTCTGAATTATCACATATCCATTCAATACGATGTGTAGGTTGAGCATTATCATTCCACAAAAATTCAAATTTCAAATAGCGACTCTTCTCACTTTTTTCGAGAGATATAGAACTTCTAGTCTGCTGAAAAAATTGAAATTATTTTCCACAAAAAAATAGACTCAGACTCACCGGACAATTTTCAGGATATTTTTTCATAAATGAACTTTGAAGTTTGTTATCAATATATTTTTGAATTATAAGATTTGTGGCTGAAAAAAGTTATGATAACTCTGAAAAAAAAAGAATGAACTCACAATTCCTACAAACTTCATAATTCAGGAATGTGTCTGGGATGATTTCAAATTTACAATTGTGATTTTTTGGTGGCTCAATTGTGAAGCTGAAAAAATTCAAATATATTTTAATTCTACCCTAAAACTTACACATGTTTCTCCGGAACTCTGGGAAAATCTTGATTATTCAAAACTCCACTCAAATCATGATTTCTAGCATATTCAACAACACTTTCATTTTCATGAATCACAGAATAATAGCTCACTTCATAACCCAATCCTTCAGCAATCTTTTCCGTTCTCAAAATCATCTGAAATATTTTAATTTAGAGTGTTTTCTTTCAAAAAAAATATTCAACTCACATCTACTGTAGCTCCACCTTTTGTAAAAATCGGTTTCTTATTCAAATCTCCTGCAAACTGTTGAGTATTATTAACCTCCTCTTCATTAAATTCAATCATGTTTTTACTATCTCCCAAAAGTTTTTCGAAAATAATCAATAATTTTGGTGTGTAACGAGGCCATGAAGAATTTTCGAATTTTGTTGTGCAGATTTTTGATGAATTGTAAGAATGCGGGTAGTTTGGACTTGTTAAACGGCCTGATGGAAAATCGACAAGATTGATGGTTTGGTTACAATCTGAAAATGATTTTTTTTTGTTGAAAATCTTATCCATCTAGAAAAAAATACCATTCAAATTTTGATATTCCAAATGCACACTTGTATTTGGTTTATTCTCAAATTCCACAAGGATTTGAATTTGTCTCCGATTTGAAACAATCATTGGAATTTTATCCTTTCCACAAAATTTCATCATATGTCGATTTCGTATTCTCTCAAGACAATCAGCTGTCAAACATCCAGCCCTTGGCGACGCATCCTGAATTTCCACATAATTCTTCTCGCAGTTTAATGGAATGTTGAATTTGGTGAATTTTATTAATACTTGTGAATCGCCTTGAGATAAAAACATGTATCGACATTTTTTCGGTTTTTGGAGGTGCGGTTCGGCGTGGATAGACATTGGGCGAGGTTTCACACCGTCAGGTAGGAGGATACCACCGCATTCCACTGAAAAAAAATCGATTTTTATGTCAGACTCTATCTTTAACATCCTAATAATCTAAAAATTCACCTTCTTCTTGTTTGTAAGAAATATTGAATCCACTTCCACTGCCACCATTTTCAGATTTGAAAATCAATGTTGCCACAAAATATGTGGTGATGATTTCATATGGTAAAACCAAATCTTTACAAACATTTTTTGTTATTATTTTTCCCATCGACATCCCTCCATCAACAATTGTGAGTCGATCAGACTTGCAATTTTTCGATTTATCATCCATCGAATTGATACGAAGATGAATTTGATGACCAGCCGCACCCAAGATTTTCAATTCACAATGGAGATTGGCTGGATATCCGATTTCGGTTGATGTGTTTGGAAGAGTGAATGATTTCCAATTTTTCGTTGGGTTGAAATCAACGCGACAAGATGGTGTGGAAGTTATCAAAAGTTGCACAGCACCGTTTTTCAGGTACTCATCATTGATGTAGTTATATACCATTTTAATGTTGAGAGAACTTTCAGGAACCAAGAAATCACGCAAGAAAAATCTACAAAAAAATTTTATTTGCTAAAAATTTTCAAAATTCTGAAACCTACTGCTTCTTATTTCCACACACAGAATGTCCATTTCGAGAAGTTTCAAAACGAACATAATCCTTTAAACATTCTGGCGCAGTATTGAATTTTTGATAGCGAACAACGAGACGACGGTTTGGAGTTGTTGTGATATTCCAAAGACATTCGAAATGATGAAGCCCGACTTTTGGTCGTTCAATTAATTTTATCAATTGTGTTGATTCAGAAAGATGAATGTTTTGGTTGCAATCTGAAGTTTTATGAGAACTTTTTTATTTAAATAAAAGTCTTACCAATTTTCTTATACGATAATTTAAATCCTCTTCCACGTCTGAAATTTGAAGTAGACAAACTTATAGTAAGTGGACCTTTCATCATCGTAACATCTTTGGTAATTTGTGTTTTCTCACAAATTTTTTTTATTATGTTAAAATTCGCAGAAATTATTGTTATGCATGCTGGATGATAAGATATTCTTTCTAACAAAGGATATTGAAGCTGAAATCCTCCGTTAAATCCTCCACGATATCCTCCACGATATCCTCCACGATAGCCTCTAGTCATTCGATATTCTTGTGATGGAAAATCAAAATCATCAAAATTAATTTCGATTAATCCATCAACATTAATTTCATATTTACAATTGGTGTGACGTGGTAAAGATGGATAATTTGGAGATGTCACAACTCCTTCATTTTCTTCAAAAACCTCGCCACAAATCGCATTCCAGCTCAAATGAAAACCTCTTCCACTATTTTCAGCATCTGACTTAAACGTCACTTTAATATTTCTATTTTTCGACTCAAAATCTGCTGGTATTTCATGGCCACAAATCGCGGGATTCGCTTCTTCGCGATTTCCAAATTCTTGTGTGATATATAATCCATCTTTTGCGCATTTTTTCGATTCTTCAATATCGAAAAATGTGTAGTGCAGTTTCATATGATGACCAACTGGAGCTCGAATAAACCATTCGCATTTTTGATCGGGTAGGTATTCAGAAACACTGTAGTTTCTTGTGTGAATCACACCGGATGAACCCTTTGAAACATATCCACAAACTGAAATCAATCAGGGAAGTGGTGTAAATCCCATGAAAAAAACCCACCATCATTTTCATTCACAAATTCATATTCCAGTTCCCATTCGGTCAATTTTTCAAATTTCTGAACATCTTTCATATTCCAAATCATCGTCAAAAATCTGCTTTTCGATAATATCACTTTAATCGTATTTTCAAATTTCTCAAAAACATTTTCACAATAATTATGAATCACATTTGGCTCCAATTCATTCCCTTCTGCAATTGTTAATTGTCCCGAACTTCCACAAACCAATTTTGAGATTGTGAGTTGGATAGTTTGTCCAACTGGAGCTTCAAGAAGCCACCGGCAAGGTCCCGAAGATGGATTGGAGAATTGAGCATACATAGGATCTTTGATATGACCACCACATTCTGAAAAATATGTGGTTTTTGGGAGAAAATTTCAATATTCAAAAAAAACCTAGGAAACGAATATCCAGTATCAAATTCAAATCTTCTGGATTAGGAGTTCCAATATAAATGTCAATTTTTTCATTGTTGAACAAAAACTCCTTTGATTCACTTGGACAAATCAATTTTTCCATTGATCTCGCTGAAAAAATCGAAATTTTTTCGTTTTTCAAAGACCTGACTAACTCGATAAAATCATATGTGTTTGGCTTTTCTGACAAACATTTCCACTTTGCGCTTTGAAATTTGATATTTTTACAGAAACAGTTGATCCAGCTTTTGGAATTGCCAGATGGCAGAATTCGATGATTTTCGTGCGATTCTCTTCTAGATCTCTATCAAAATTCAGTGTGGAATTGGAAGTTATTGAATAACTGCAGGAATTAAACTCTTCCCGAGGAACCTTCTCATATTCAAGTTCAAATGGTGCATATGGAATTTGACCGGAAGGATATTCTCCAAGACCAATAAGTTTTCGAGTGTAAGAATCATCAAGTACAATTTTCAAAGTATCAATGTTTGAAACAAAGGCAGAATGTCCACGACAGATATTAGATTGACCAATAGAATAATCCTTTTCGTAGTTGAAAAACTGAAAATTCACATAAATTATGATAATAAACTTTAAAAATTCCAACCGTTAGATCTTTGAAGCAACCGTCATTATTATAATTTTTCTCTCGATCATTTTTGAAATAAAAATTAACACTCCAAATAAAACCAGGATCTGCTTTGAAATTCCAAACGCAGTGTAATTGTGGATAAGATTGCGGTAAATAATGAGGAATAGTTAGAAATCCCGAAGAATCAGTGATCAATCCACCACATTCTAAAAAAATAAATAATAAAATTATCATTGTTCGTGTCAGAAAAATAATTACATACGTTTTTCACTAAGCTTGAATACAATTATGAACGCTGAATATAATTTTTTCTGAAAAATATACACAGATTTATAATAACTCATATGAATTACAAGTCTTACCGAATTTGTTTCCTTGCTATCAAAAATCACTTTTATATCATTGGGAAATTCTTGAACTGTGTTATTAGTTCGCCCACATCCTGGACCATTATAAATCATTTTGTTAGAATCGAGATTTGAAATTTCGAGAAGATCTTCTACGCATGGCAGTCCATATTGCTCAAGGGGTGAAATTCTGAAAAATATGTTGAAAAAAATCAATAATCTAACTTTTCTGAACTCACTTCATTTGAATAAAATGTGTAATTGTCCGTTTAATAACCCATTCACATTTCAATCCTTTCGTAAACTTTGCCGGTGGTTTAAGAGTATAATTTGTATTTCTCTCATTTAAAACAATTGCACCACCACATTTCGCGACTCCAACACTCACCACAAATCGATGACTATTTATTTTTTCATTTGTATGCAATTTCATCAACATAAAATTGCTTGATGAAAATATTGAAGAATGAATCCCTCTTCCACTATAAGTTCCAATAAGTTTCGATCTTTCTGATGGTCCATCTCGAATTTGCAAATAATCATTGGGGTTAGTAAGATCTGATTCTTCCATATCGAATTCTTCAAAGGTTAGCATAATTCGATGACTGTTTGGTGCGGCAAATTTATAAATACAAGAAGAGGAATGAGGAATGCTGAATGGATATTCTGGCGAGAAAATTGTTCTTGATCGATTTTCAGTTATATGAATTATATCCCCCGGGCATTCAATGAAAACTTCTCTAACAGTAATATTGAATCCTCGATTCTCAATATTTTCAGAAGAATAGGAAATGTTCACAGTGTTTGATGTAGTCACAAATGAAAATTGAGAATAATTTCCGCAATTTAGAACTTTTCTATCAATCTGAATTAAATGAAAAAATAAAATCAAATAAAAATCTTTCTTACTTGCAACCAATTTTCGCCTTCACAAATGTTTATATCAAAATCATCAATTGTCACATTGATTCTACGATTTTTCGATGAATGAAGAATCCAATTACAAGAAATATCTTCAGAAGCATCCAAATATGGTGGGCTTGAGATTGTATAGTCAAAAATGCCATCAGGAGATGAAATATCATAGTTTGAAATACCACATTCTGAAAAAGTAATACAAATGAGACTGAAAAAGAAGCAACACTTACTAAGCTTATATAGAAGTTTGAATCCTTTACCAGCCTCGAGATTCTCTTTTTCGTCATCTTCATCATCTTCATCTTCTTGTTCAGACGTGAATTGAATAGCGACCTTATCTTTCTGGCTATATTTCAATTCTTGGGGTAATTTGTGTTTTTGACAATATCTTTGGGTTCTGAAAAAAAAACCATTTTCGAAGCCAAAAATGTTATTTTATACCCTCCATTGACTTCAATTGTTATAAAATTCCGGAAACATGAATACACATAGTTGTTAAAATGCAAAAGTTCAAATTTGATTTCAAACGATGCCAAAGGTTGAAAATATTGCTCAAAATTCCAGCGACAATTTTTATTTGCTGCATATCCAGCTGTTCGATTTGGTGGAAATGGACTTGTAATTGTTTGCCATTCCCAAGTTGGTCTAACTATTGATACACAATCGGAATCGACAATTCTTGGAGTTTCAGTTGGCATTGTCAATTTCCTATGTTCATATGCATCTAAACATTTCCAATTGATTTTGAAGTCATCTTTAGGATTCATAACAACTTTTATATCGGCGCTTTCATGGTCATCGAAGATAAAGTTTTTATCTGGCGGTAGTCCTGTTAATGGAGCTCTGCTTTCATTTGATTCCGATCCCGTTACATCATTTCTTGAAGAAATTTGAATTGATGATCCTTCACTTAATGATACATGATGTGTCGTTATTTGGGCAGGCTGAAAGTTTTTCGAACATAAGAAAATTTATAAAATTCCTAACAATGGGGCTAGGACAGAAGTAAGTTTTTCATTTTTTTTTATTTTTGGACGCCCCATAAAGCTGTTATCATAAAAAAACTCACACTACACAACGAACTCCATGAAAATTCCTTTGGACCATCCAAAATCGGTGGTAAAAGTGTTCCTTCATATCCTTCCTTCGGATAACCACCCGCAACTTTTTCCATTTCCAAGTTCAGTGAATATTTGTTGTTCGACAAAAGATTTTTGGTATATTTGAGATGTATATATAGAGCAACTCCAGTGAATTTTTGATTTATTTCAGTTTCACATCCTCGGTAAAGCTTTTTTCCTGCAGAATTTGAGTCTCGAACTTCGATATATGAATCTGCGCAGTGATGTGTGTTTGGGAAATTGTCCGAACTGCAAAAATTTGTTTTTCAATTAAGTTTCTGAGTTTGACTAACGTGAGTTTAAGAGATACACTATTTCCAAGCGTGTTATTCAAAATCCATGTGCATTCTTTGGTTTGATCCAATTCAAAATCGATAATTGTATGTTCTCGAGTAATTGGTCCACAATCTGAGGTTGAAAAATATTATTTCTATAAATAAAATTTTAAAAAACTCACCCATCTGTGTAGAATATCTTATAATTGCAGTAGTTTTTGTTCTAATATCCAAAGCTTCAAAAACCATCGGACTTTCAGCTTTGAAATGTGAAATATGTTTCAAAGTTTTTGTCGATAAATCAATAATCGAACTATCCGCTGTGACGCGGAATTTCCCATCAATTTTTCCAGAATTTGTTATATTTTGTTGTTCTTCCAGAATTTCAAGACTTGCGTGAATCGGAAGCTTTGACAGAATTTGGATTTTACACGTTTCTCCGATTTCCAAGTCCATAAAAAATACTTGATTTTCTGCGGTTGCATGTATTGTACCTCCACAAACTCGTTTGATTTCTATTTTATATCCAGCCTTGAAAAACGTAATGAAATTTCTGATACATATGTTTTCAAAAAAGCTTACAAAATCGTTATGTCCGTCGTTTGGTTTCCAGGTGGCTCCATGAAATTCGATAAAAACATGATCAGAAAGCAATAGAGGATCGGAAACGAACGCATCAATTATTCTCCAGCTGAAAAAAAATGTAAAAACCTTAATTATCTTGAAATTACAGTAGCGACAAAAAATCGTTTTTTTTAGCCAAATTTAAACCTAACCTACACGCGAAAAAGGAAGAAAATAAGAAAAAAAAAAAGACTATAAAACAAACTATTTTTGAAAACATGAAGAGTAGAGGGAGATGCGATGTTAGAGACGTAGAGTAGATGAGAGAGAGGGAGTAGAAAAGAAAAAGAGAATTAGTGAGAGGAAGGTGACGTATATTGAAAATAATATATTTTTAAGAAGGAAATTGTGAGCAAGGAAAAAATGTGGTAGATTTTTTTAAATTATTTTTTCGGAAACTATGTATGTACAAAACTAGAATATTTTTGTCGGAACCGTTGTATTTTTCGCAATCACCTTTCTACTGTTTCAAACACTAGCTGTTGGTCTTTCTCTTTGTCCGGTAATTTAGTGATAGGTTCACTCATGTCAAAAGCACCAGTGAAATTCAATATTTTGATTTCAATTTGATGTCCTTCACTCGCCATAACTAATGATCTTGTTCTCACCGCAGATTCATAAATTTTTGGATAATTTGGACTATGAATTATAGTCTTTTTTTGATGATTCACTGTAAAAATAACAATATTTATTTGATACATAAGTTTCCAACTTACAATCAATTATATCTCCATACATATCATTCTTCTCTTTTTGTTTTATTTCCACTGTCGCTTTCAAAAATACTTCTTGATTATATTTGAATAATTTTCGATTTAGGATAATTTGAATAAAGGCTTCACTTGTATGCAATATATAAGGTATTAGCTTATTAGTTTGGCATAAAATGTGTCTTGGTCCGGAGGAATTTGATGATCCTAAATATATTTTTAATCCTGTAAAGTCCTCGGATTTTGTTTCGCAATTTTCATTATGTTGAACTTCAAATGATTCAATTGAAATTATGATTCTTTGATCAATCTCTGCTTTAATATGATATTGACATTCAAAATTATCGTATTCCAAATCGATATCAGTTTTTCGAATAATTATAGTTTGCGACGTAGAAATCTCTTCAACACATCCCAAAACATGATAATTTAACATAAACTTGTTTTCCGATTTTGATTCAGATTTATACGAAATCTTCATAGAATTATGTCGTGAAATGATTTCCTGTGGAATAAATAAATCGCAATATTTATGAATATTTGAACTTTGCAATCCTCCTTGAAGTGTATTATCTATTGTCGCGTTCAAAAAATTGGTTTCATCAATTTTCAAAACATTATCCAAACATTCTTGGCTCTCCATATCAATTCGATTTACAATGAATGTTTCGAAAGTTAGGATAACTCTATTACCAAGAGGAACTTCAATATTCCAACTGCAATCTTGATTTTCGAATGATTTTTCATCTTGATATCCTGGAGATTGAATAATTCCATAAGGTTTTTTCAATTGAATGTTTTTACAATCTGTGGTGAATTTCAGAATAAATCCGCTAACTTTTTGATTCAAATTAATATTTTGTAGATATTTGATATCAACCATTTCAGATTCGGAGATAATTGAGGGTAGATTTTGAGCTTGATGACAATAAACACCATGGTTTTGAACTTGTTGATGAAATTGTTCAGAAATCTGAAAAATTGTATTAACTCTCGCAGTCTCCTGAAAACCAACCTCCAATCTATTCCCAACACCAGATTCACATTTTTCCTCAGGATACCCATTTAATTCATCAATTTTCTCAATCGTCAAATTCACACGATTACCATGAGAAACTGCAATTTTCCAATCACAAGACACATTTCGATTCTCTTTGTGAGGATACTGTGGAGCTGACACAATTCCTTCATAACCTTCAAGTGTACTTCCACATCCAGCAATAATTTCATAATGAATATGGAAATATACAGATTCAGGTTCCGTCGATGTGTAGTATATTGTGGCTTCATTTGAAAATAATTTGAAATCTTGCCTTTGGTCTTCATTGTGGGTACAGAAATTTATTGATTTATTTGTATTTTTTCCATCGATTATTTGGAGAAGTGAAGTTGAACATGGTATAATTGCTCGGCGGATTTTTAAAACTATTTTTTGACCATGTTCAACAGCAATTTGATAAGTGCATTTTTTGAGGAAAGGATTTGTCAATACAATTATTCCACTTTTTTGATGATATGTTGCATCACACGTTGATTCAGTTTCTAAGAGTTCAATTCTACAAAAAAAATTTTCAAAAAAAAAAATTAGACTCGTTTTTTTAAACTAACCTTCCTTTGAAACCTCTTGCTATTGTATTCGAGGACATGAATTTCAAAGACAATCTTTCAGCAGTCAAAATTATTGGTGAACTTGTGAATGAACTTCCACATAAAGTTCTAACTTCTGAACTTGTATCAGAATTGTACAGAGTCAAATTTCCTTCCTCACAATTGTATGGAAGATCAAAATCATCAAAAGTGATTTTGAAAGTTTTGAGCTCACTAAAAGGATAAAAATAGCTACATTTAATGTTGGCCGGATAATTTCCAGGATATGATGGACTTTTGAATTCCGATTTTATTTGTCCTCCACAATCTTCAAAAAACATCAGGATTTTTTAATGATTATCCAGAACTCACCAATATTTTTGCTGCCATAGTCAAAAACCAATCCTCTAAATGCCTTGGTTCCATCGCTAACCACAGTAATTTTAACATTAAAAGTTTCACGAAAAACAAATTCTTGATTGTCGTTGAATGTTTCGTTTTTGCAATGAAATCGTTGGACAGTATTTTTATTTCTGTTTTCGATTTGAATGTAATTTGTAGGATTTGGATTATTGCAATCAGTATTCATCAGGATTTTTTTGAATCTAAACAAAAAATATTGATACGTAAAAAAATTGCTCTGCTTTTATATTTTCTCACTGACGTTATATTAATCACATGTTTTTTGTGAGCTTGCACATAATATACACAAGTTCCAGCTTTCAAACTAGTTGGAAAATTCCAAGTTTTCACAATTCCATTGCCAGACAATTTTTGATAACATTCAATTTTATACTTGATGCGAAATCCTTTTCCTTGAATCGTTTTATTCGATCGAAAACTAATCAAAAGATTTGCTTTTGGGACAAGTATTGGGTATAAATAGGGCTTTCCGCATAGTTCCTTATAAAAACTTCCATCTTCATGAAACACAGTCAATTTGTCGCTAGAGCACTGTTGAACAATAATATAATCAATATCATTCACTGAATCTTCACCATGAAAATTGGATATCCTTGTAACATTTTTTCTCTCAAGTTTAGAATAACGTTTTGAAGGAATATCAAGAAGTTCAAAATTTAGATTTATAGCGATGTCAGTTCTGTTGGCATTTTCTGGGTTTCCCTGAACTTTCCAATCCCGGCGAGAACAAGGAGGATATAAACTTCCATAATTTGGTGATTCAATATATCCTGATTCTTCTACAAGTACGGTGCTCACAATTTCTTTTGAATCACAATCAAACATCTCAATATCATCAACAAATCTGAATTTCATCGAAAATCCACCAGATTTGTTATAAAATTCAGATTCGAACACATGAAAGAGTACTGTTAAAAATGATCCGGTAGTTTTATAGGTTTTTGAAGAAGTGATATTTTTACAGGCTTGCATTATAACTGGGTCGCGCGATGCAGATATGCCATCATGAAGTTCTAATTTATTCATTTCACAGTCTCTTGTATCCATTCGCATTTTAGGAATCGTTATTTCAATAGCTTTACCTTGTGGTGCAGAAATAAACCATTCACAAACAATATCTGATTTAAAACCAGGAACAACAAGTGGGTGCGCAGAACTTTTTGTGCGATATCCACAGTCTAAATTGTATTTTTATTTCGGCTATACCGAACCCTTCAAAAAAAATCTTACCGCTTTTATCAACTGTGTAAGTTCCAGAAAATGTTCCTTCGTAACCTTCGTATTTTAAAAATGCGTGTGTTGTTGAGAGAGTTATATTATGTTCGAGAACTGGAGCCTGAAAATTAATTTTTATGAATTTCCTGATAGATTTTTCAATTTGACTTCGCGAGTCTCATAAAAATTTTAAAACTCACATCTGGAGCTTCTCCACACCAAGATTTCAACAAAGGATAGTTCTCATTTGGTCCATCGTATAACTTAAAAAAACGTGTTTCAGATTTTGAACATATATTTTTTTACTTACAAGAAGTCTAGAATTAGCATCCCGACATCCAGTAGAATTATCCTTAAATCCCGAAAACATTGAAAACTTGATTTTCAAAACCGAATTTGGCTCATCTATTCGGAAATACATATTCTTAATGTTATAAACACCTTTTTCATTAATCTGTTTTTCGAAAATCCCAGATAGTTCGGTAAAATGTTCATCATAATCAGTTTCATGATTTTCGCAATATTTTCCGAAAAAATGTTTGTTACATTTACAGTGAGCAACATCATTATGGATCAAACATTTTCCATTTTCACAATAGTGTTGAGCACATGGGGTAAGCTTCAAGATGAAAATACATAAATTCAACATTTCAAAAATTCTCACAAACTCACATGTTCACATCTCTCTCCAAAAGCAACAGATTCACATACACATTTGATATTTGTATCATTTATCACAGTACAAGTTCCAAACAGTGTACACGAATCATGCTGACATAAATCGTGTCGCTCGCAATCTCCCTCTTCATTTTCTTTTCCATTTCGACATACACAATCATAACCATCATTATTCAAAGAATTTGGATTTGCAAAACACTCATACTCATCATCACATGGGTTTGGTTTACAAGGATTTTTTGGAGTACATCCGGTTTTGCCGTCTCCAGTAGTTCCAGGCGGGCAAGAGTCACATTCATAGGATCCGGGTGAGTTACGACAAGTCACACCTTCGAAACAGGCATCTGTTTTTTCACATTCATTGATATCAACACATCCATCGTCACCCACTGAAAAAAGGTTAGGGTTAGGTAAGATTCAGATTTAAAACTAACTTCTATACCCCTTCGGACAACCATAACATTGATAAGATCCATCCAAATTAATACATTCAATTCCAATATGACAAGGATTTGTCAAACATTCATCAATATCAACACAAGTCGGATTATCCAGATCAGTGGATTTTTGAAATCCGTGATGACAATGACAATCGTATTTCGATTCTTGATCAATACAAGTTCCATGTGGTCCACAAAGATTATGAGTTGCTGAGCACGTCGAAACCGAAAATTCACATTTTGAACCATGAAAACCAGCATAGCATTTGCAGCTGGAATGAGAAAATTATTTGTTTTTTTGTCTGAAAATGTATTGACTTACGAGAAGCCATTCTTTTTATTCACACAAGTTCCATTATTTTGACATTGGTTTTCTTGAAGACATTCATCAACGTCATCTTCACAAAATTTACCCTAGAGAATAGAAATATGTAATATGAAAAAAAAACCTCGATGTTGAAACGTACCGAAAATTCATGAGGGCAGAGGCATAAAAATTGATTTCCAATTTTTGGAATACATTTTCCACCATTTTTACAATGATTTGAATCACAAGCATTGATTGTCAGATTTTTGATCAAGGGTCTGCAAAAAAATTCACATAAAATACAAAAGAAAAAACTCACGGTGTATCCACTCTAAGTTTTCTTAAATTCATCTCAGAGTTCTCAAATAGTTCATCATAATTCTTCTGCTCCTTGTGAAGTTCTGCTATCTCTTTGGCAATCAAGAAATGCTACAAGAATAGTTTTTATTTATCTAATTGTAAAGGTACAAAAAATGTCAAACCTCTTCTTTAAAATTACTACCATGTTCGTTTAATTTTGAGAGTACCCAATTATTGTGAATATAGTGTTTTATTTGATGTTTTGAGAAATTATCTACTTTTTTCGATAAATTGTAAATTGCTCGATAGCCATACTGAAAAAATTCAAAACTCTTGGCTGTACCAAAACTGTGATACTTACAAAGTAGTTGAATTTTAATAGATCTGTGTTATCGATGTAGATTTTCCCATCTCGCTTTGTTTTAAAATTGATGTTTTTGTTAAGACCTGCGTGAAAAATGATGTTTCTGTCTTCTGTTATAATTCGAGCTCTGAAAAAAATGATTATTTTCAGACTTTTGGATTAAAAAAATTTCGAAATGTCTGTATTTTTCCAAAAAATTACTCACCTTGGTTCATTTTCATCCACCAATTTCACTTCGCCAATAACATCTCTCACACAAAATAAAACGAAAAATAATGTTCCTATTTTTGGCTTCATTTTTCTTTTGCAAAAGTATAGCTAAAAGTTTCTAAATGATAGTCTAAAATTGTTTATATTTTCAGTTTTTTTCATTTGCAATATTTTCTGTTTATGTTTAGAATATAAATAAATTGATATGATTTGATATTGTATAATTAATTTGCCGAGGATCGATTTACCAAAGTCACAAATTTTATCTACAGAAAAATTCATTTCATATTTTAAATAATTAAAAAATCTCTGGTTCAAGAAGTTTATTCAATCAAGAGAAAATATCAGCAAATGTTTAATTTTGAGTAAAATATTTGTCGATACATTGTTTTTGATCCTTCTCCATGAAAACCGCAAATTCTTGATATTCCTTGGTGATTTCTAATCCGCAATATTTCTTCGAATTCGATATAAAACATCCATTCTTGCCCCAAATTTGATCACATCTGGGTGTGTCAAATCCCTTCAAAGAATTTTGACAAGTTACAACTTCATCATTATTTTTTTCTTGATCCAATTTGTTAGAACAGCTAGACATACGAAGTTCAAATTCCATAACTTCGACAAGTTTCTCAGTGAGTTGTTGTTCGATTCCTCGTAATTTTGGATTGATTTTCGAAAGTTCTTTGATACATTCTCCAAGAATTCGCAAATTTTCCTGTTTCATCGCTTTGATTTGATCATCGGTATAAACAATTCTATAGTTTCTCACAGTCCTTATGTAACATTCTTTCAAATTTGCCTCTCGAGTTTCTCCAGCATAATCCGAAAATGAGCCGAGTTCAGTTGAAAATACAAGAGCAGGAATGAAAAATAGAGAGAAAACAACTAGAAGCGTCATCTTAAAGTGAGCTCGGATCAAAAATTGTCTTTTGAGCTGCAGTTTTATACATAACATTTTCAGCAACACATGTGGAAAGGTCAAGGGAATTTATATTATTACAATTTTCTGTGGAAAAAATGGAGAGATAAAAGATTTTGTGAGCAATTCATTGTAATTCTGAAAAAAATAAGAGAAATTGAAACAAATGTATGACAAATGTTTCTGAATAAACTCTTTCATTAAACCCAAAAAAATAAAAATCAATATCCCGGACATTTAAACTCTTTTGCTTTGTAAAACTTCATCGCGCCATCAACTTTTTTCACTTGAAAATAAACATTGTATTTTTCTTTCAACAAAACTTCAATTTGCCATTCATAGTTTTCCTGAACTTCAATCGCATCAACAACAGTTGGTCGGTTGTCACGACGTGGAAAATCTATCATACATTCATAAAATTTCATATATCCACACGATTTGCAATATTCTGGAAGATTTGGGCAACCTTCAAAAAGGAAATTTTTATCGAAATATTCCATTAGTGAATATCCATCTTCGATCAAATCATCCCAAAAATATTCAAAATGTTGACGCATTTTCAAAAGTGGCGCGATATTTGTATAAACCGCATTAGGTTGTTTGGTGTTCGGGCAATTGTAGACAATCGCACTATCGATTTTATATCCACCCCAGAATTTTTCGACAGCATTGTAGCGTACATCAAAACCGATTCGTTTTCCATTTGTCAATTCAACATCGAAATATTTATGTGTCCATGTTCTTTCATATTTTATAGCTCTATCAACATGTGGGTTAGAAATGATATCTTTTTTGAATGCACTTTTAATTGTTGGCATGCTAGAATATCGTATATATCTTTCTAGAAAAGTGTAGCGATCATGGTATTTTAAATCGCAGTCAAGGAATCGAAAATCTGTGACAAAAAGATCGTGCAGTTCGTTTGATTTACTCATCTGCCACATTTGATCCAAAAACGCTCTCATTTCAATCATCATTTCCGTGTTTCCAGTTGAAATTGTATGAAAAACATTCTCCGAGAAAACTTGCAGGGGGGCGAAAAACAATAATAGAATCAACATTTTTTGAATTTTTTCAGCGCTCTGTGGTTTAAATGTGTGGGGAAAAATTGAACAAAGATTTTATGTTGTCTCGACAAGAAATGTGAGAATTCTTTTCTTCAAAACAATATTTTTTTGAAAAACTATTCAAAAAAAAATAGATCCAATAAAACTTTTGCGGGGGATCAGAGCATAAAAATTTATCAAAAAAATCTCAAAAAAAAACAATCAATTATAATTTTTGCATTGTTTTTGATCATTCATTGTTTTCATAACAATATTCACCAACTCTCTAGCATGATCCAAAGTGCAATATTTTCCAAAAACTGCCTCGTAGCATTTCTCCAAATCATTTCTGTCATTTTCACATTTTTTCATATCCCGAAAGTTCATCATCAAAAATAATTGATTTTTGCAATTTGGAATGAATTGCTTATAATTTTTTATATCTTCCAAGAAATTGATAGCACATTCGATAAAATAATTGCTGGCAACAAATTGATAAATTGGATATGTTCGTGCTAATTTTTGAAATAGAATATCTTCAAAGGAATTCTTGCCACCAGGACAATTTTGGACAACTTTACCACACTCTTCAGATTTTTCAGCAAGTTTCGCGGAATTTTCGACCACTAATTTGATGCTAGCATGATCTGAGGATTTGGGCAACGCTGATATTATCATTTTTTCGCATATTTCCAATTGTTTTATATTGCAGGTTGGGCTGCCATTGTTTACAAAGAAAATAATTGAAAGAATTGCAAAGAGTTTGAACATGATCAGAGAAAACATGTGATAGACTTGATAAAAATTGGGGGATTTTATATTTATTGCTTTTGTTACACTTTTTAGAAAGAAAACAAATTTGAAAAATACATAAATTGAACTCAAGAAGCGATGATGAATTATCCGAAAACGATGATCGAGTCAAAATTAAATTGTGCAGAAATTATTTTCGAATTAATTTCATAAAAAATACATATATACCGTTAAATCTGAAGGTGTTGCGAAATCACCAAAAAAATTTCTTTACTAAATTAGAGGCAAGTGGAGTGTTGTTTGAACAACATATTTTGGAGATAATTCATAATATGAAACTGAAGATGATTGAAAAAATTAGAAAAATAAATTATTTCTTCTTGTTTTTTTTAACTGGGAAACACCACATGTTTCAAGTGTTCATTTTTTTTCTGAAAAAATTGAACAGTTGACTCTTGATTTTTCATTTATGTTGCTATCAAATGCTAATAAAATTTTCTTTATTATTTTTACTAGAAATTTCTAGCCATGAAATTTTCAAGTTACCTGGCCAAAACTTCACATTTGATTCAAGGCAGTTTGCAGGATTTTTAAATGTGACAAATTCTAGGAGAATGTTTTATTGGTCAGTTTTTATTTTTGTTGGAAAACTAGCATTTAGAAAATCTAGGCTAGCTGAATCGGAAAACAATGTGACAACTGATCCTCTAATATTTTGGTTCAATGGTGGTCCTGGATGTTCCAGTTCAATTGGATTATTTTTCAATGGTCCTTTGAAATTGGAAAAAGAATTGAGTAAAAGGAAACATGTTTTATCAAAACTTGGATCAGTTGTATATATTGACACACCAAGTCCAGTTGGATTTTCATATTCTACTGATAAATCTGATCCAACTGATGATCAAATGACTGTTGAAGATAATTATAAAGCTGTCAAATTATTTTTAGAGGTGGGTTTTCGCTTTGACACAGTCAGGTATTACAGAGTTTGCCTGCAGTTTTGAAAAACACAAGAGCATTTTTGATCTACCTAGAATTCTATTTTTTTCAGGAATATCCCAAATTCCGGAATCACGAAGTTATTATAACCGGATATTCTTATGCTGGAATCTATATTCCGATGTTAGCTGGACAAATTATTGATAACAAGAAGGATTTCAATATTAATTTAACGGTTAATAATTTCTTGAATGTTCACAATTGAAAAATATTTTCAGAAAATAATTCTCGGCGCCCCATTTTTGAGCGACGAGTTGAATTTAAAAGCCCGTCTAGAATTCAGTTATGCACACGGTTTTATTGACGAAGAAGTTTATCGAAATTTACTCAAAAAATGCTGTGATAATAAAACATTAGAAGACTGTGATTCACAAAAAAATGACAATGAATGTGAGGATTTCAATGAATATACACGTAATCTTCCTCATCCTGAAATTGAACTTTATGACGTCAATAGAAAATGTGAAAACATGGAAATACATGAAGATCCAGAAAACGATCCGAAATCGTGTACATTTTCAGGGAAAGCTAAATTTGAAAATTATTTGAATCGAAAAGATACAAGAGAAATATTGCGAATTCCTGAAAAAGCTGGGAAATGGCAACTTTGTCAACCGCTGGAAAATTATAGATCGAGAAAGATTGAAATGGTCGAATATATCAAAAAAGCGATGAGAAATGATGTTAAAATTGTGCTATTTTATGGTGATGCGGATTTCGTTTGTCCCTTTTCAGAAGGACAAAAAGTTGTGGAAAGATTAGGAATTGAGGTAAGCTTTTTTTGTTGTTGAAAGTGATATTTTCAGTTTTCAGGAAATTGGAAATGGACTAATATCAACTAAAGATCAAAGAATCATTGGGAAATACACATCATACAAAAATCTGGATTTTTTAGTTTTCAAAAATGTTGGACACTCACTAGGAGTTCTATATCCAGAAATTGAATTTGAACTTCATCGAAAATTTTTCAATGATCAGAAGTTGGATGTTTTATGATAATGAAATTTTAATTGGATTCATTTTTGAAACAAAAAAACACTTTTTTCAGCAGATCTCTTATTATTTTTTAAGGAAAGTTCAACACATGTTTCCAAAGTTCATTTTCTCAAGCTGAAAAAAAACAAATGACTCTTGGTTTTTCATTTTTCAAGCAAAATGTTGCAAAAATTGTTCCTCTTTTTTGTTCTAGAAATTTCTAGCCATGAAATTTTCAAGTTACCCGGTCAGAATTTCACATTTGATTCAAGGCAGTTTGCAGGATTTTTAAATGTGACAAATTCTAGAAGAATGTTTTATTGGTCAGTTTTCATTTTCTTTGAAGCTTCGGAGCATTTAGATAATCTAGGCTAGCTGAATCGGAAAACAATGTGACAACAGATCCTATGTGACAACAGAGAATATCAATGTGACAACAGAGAATATTTTGGTTCAATGGTGGTCCCGGACGTTCATCATTAACTGGATTATTTTTGAATGGCCCTTTTGATTTGGATTCGAAAGGAAGAGAAATACGAAAGAAAAGTTTATCTTTTACAAAACTCGGATCAGTTGTATATATCGAATCACCAACTCCAGTTGGTTTCTCATATTCTACAAAAGACTCTCATCCAGTTGATGATCAAGGGACTGCTGATGATTATAAAGCTATACTATTATTTTTAGAAGTGAGTTTTGTTTTGAATATTTAAAATTAAAGTGATAGCGAGTTTTTAGGAATATCCAAAATTCAGGAATCATGAGATCTTTTTGACGGGCGTTTCCTATGCTGGAATGTATATTCCGATGTTGGTTAAGAAAATTATTGAAAGGAATCAAATTTTGAATATTAACTTGAAGGTTTGTGGATTTACAGAACTACTAGTTAGAATTCGAACACATGATCAGAAATCAGAATTCCGAAGAAAACTAATTGATCTTTTTCAGGGAATCGCTATTGGCGCAGCTTCTTTGTGTGACAAACTCAGTATAAAAGCTCGCTTTGAATACAGTTATACACATGGATTTCTAGACGAAGAAAAATATCAAAATATTCTTCGAGGATGTTGTGAAAACAAAAATTTGGATGAATGCAATATCTACAACGCTAGAAATAAACATTGTGTAAAGCTCAAAAATTATGCAAAAAATATTGCTCATTCTGAAATCAATATCTACAACGTCAATCAACAATGTGTAAACCCATGTAAATCAAAACACAGAGACAAAATAGCAGCTTATTTGAATCGTAAAGAAGTTCGAGAAACACTGAAAATTCCCGAAGAAGCTGGGAAATGGCATTCTTGTGATACTCTTGATCCATATATTGATCGACTTTTTGAAATGGATGAATATGTCAAAATTGCTATGAGAAATGATGTGAGAGTTTTGCTATTTTATGGAGATGCTGATATGGTTTGTCCTTTTATGATGGGTCAAAAATTTGTGGAAAGATTGGGAATTGAAGTGAGTTTTTAAAGATATTTTCATTTTCAAAATGTGTTTTTCCAATTTTTCAGGAAACTGGTAATGGATTTCTTACAACGAAAAATAAACAAATTATTGGAAAATACACCTCTTATTATAATTTGGACTTCCTAGTTTTCAAAAATGCGGGACATATATTAGGAGACACTCATCCTAAAATAGAATTTGAACTTCATCGGAAATTTTTCAGTAATCAAAAATTGAATGTTTTTTGAATATGAATTTTATACATTTTTTGCTGATTCCCATGGTCAGTTTGAAGATATTGCGAAATCACGAAAAAATTTCCGTTGCTAAATTGAAGGCAGGCGGTGTGTTGTTTGAGAACAATTTTTTCTTTCACACTTTTGTGAGAATAGGTTTAAAGATCTCTGTGTTTAACTTTAGACTTTTCAAAAATGAATGAAAGCTACTTTAAAATTGAATTGCATGATCTGAAACCGATCCTCCAAAAAATATTTGGTTTTCGGAAATTTTTTTTACTTAAAAATTTTAAGACTTACTTCAATCCAGATGTTTTCCAGAAAAAACTTCATAATATCCCTTCAAATAACCGGTTTCCATATTCATCATAAAATAGTCCTTCCGTATTCCTTCTCTATGATTGTTTTCGCATTTCCAGCAAACCAAATTTCCAGACTCAAAATGTGTCAAATTGCTCCATGTTGTCTGAAATTTATCATTTAACCCCCTTATTTTTTGAATTTCCAAACGAGAATGCATAAAAAATCAAACTTGATAGAAAATCGAGCAAAATTCGAATACACAAAAAAATGAATCTTGCGAAAACCGTTCTGTTAAAAAACAGGCAAGCGGAGTGTTGTTTGTGTTTTTCGAAACATTTCACATAAATATTCTTTGTTTGGTAGACGAGGACCAATTTTTTCTTGTTTTTCACTTGTTTTACTACTTTTTCAAAATTTTTTTTGTAGAGCCGATTTGAATTTCTGGATTTAGGAAATTTTTTTGAACTGGAGACAATTGTTATAATTTTTTTCGTATTTTACAGTGAAAATTAGATAAATTCTAAGAAAATCTCTGGTTTTGTTTGGAAAGATTATTTCCTAATTCTGAAAATAAAATTTTCAAAAAAGGAAAGGTTTTTTGTGCCTAGTGAGACGCTGAAATATAGTTTTTTATTAATTGTTAACTTCATTCAAACATAAAAAGCTCAAACACCTGCCTTTTACATTTTTGAACAAAAGACGCGCAAATTTGAATGTCACTCATTAAATTTTTTTCGAACAAAAAAATTAGATGTCTCATTAGTCTCATGTTTCATAATTAGCTTTATTCTTTATTGAAAAAATATAATTTCTAACAAATCCACCTAAAAATTGAATTTTTTTTATTTTTCTTCATTTTTATTCTTTTCTCAAAAAAAAAAGTTGTTTTTTGAATATCATTACACAGATAATTGTTTATACAAGAAAACGTTCACCATTCCTCATATCATATTTCTCTGGTAGAAAAAAACGAGCAGACAAAAATATTAGTCATCATCCTTCCCCTTTTTTACACCATTCTATTCATTTTTTTTCTTGGTCATTTGCCACCGATTTATATGATATATTGCGAAATGCATGGTTTTTTGGCCTAAATTTTTTTGATTTTGCGATTTTTATGTAGGATTTTCGATAGGGAATTTATGCATTTTGTCCTGGTTTTCAGAAAATTTAGAAACATCGAAATTTTTAACGTAAATTTATAATTTTGTTTTGTTTAAAAAATTGTATGCTTCATTTTCTTCACAAATTTCATGATAAATTGGTCTGAAAATATTTTAGAAAACTTTTCATTTAAAAGATTCAAATTAATTTTTTTGTTCATATTTTTTCAAATTTTATTTATCAATTATTGTTTATATTTATTTTTGAGCTCTCTTTTTTTCTTTGAATTACTTGTACTTTTTCTGGAAAAGAAAAGGAAAATTCGCGGTGCGATCAAGAAAATTCAGAATCAAAATAAATTCTGAATTTTTTAACCTTTAAGTATTATATCAATCGATTATTCTTCTGTGTATGTGTGCGTACTTTTTTTTAAATTTATTTTTTTTTCAATTTTTCTTATGTTTTTCATAATTTTCTTTCACGGCATGCTTTATTACGTATGAAAACGGAAGTAAAAAATTAAAATACGGAAGATACGGAAGATAAAAATATATTTTTAAAATTGAAGGAAGTTTCAAATTTCGGAATTGGAAACGTCGATTTTGCACAATAAAATTAAAGAACGATCAATTTGAAGATGAATCGCATGATCAATAGGAAAGTTTCGAACAATTGGGAAAGGAACACATCGAAAAATTTCAAACAACATAATGCGAATAGAAAAAGAAAGAGCATAATACTTGATCAAGAAAGTGATTCTGGTCATCAATCCTTCAATGAATGCCTACATTCAGAACCTGAAATCACGATGGTTGGTGACTTTCCTGCTGGCCGATTCACAAACTACCCTCCAATCAACCCAAGAAAAACAAGGGCCGATATTCAATGAAGGGTGAGGTTCAATGAGTGGAAAGTGTTATATTTTGATGAATATAATATTCTGGAAGGTGGGTTGTGATATCCCACAAAATATCCTGAAAAGAAGAGTGGAAGAAGCGCGAGGGAAGATCGAATCAAGACGAAGATAGATTCTGAAATGATGCCCTGAAGTAAATGAAGACATACGTGGATGGAGTACACTTCTAAAGTTAAAAAATGTGGATATCGTGCGAGAAAATGCGCGCCTTTAAAGGCGCATAAACTTTCAAAGCATATGAAAATTGCAAAACGACGAGAGAAGAAAAAGAGACTTCATGAGAAAGAGATGGTTGGTGACTTTTTATTGGCCAACTCACCTCAATTCAAAAAACCGCCTCCAATCAACCCAAGGAAAACATGGGCCGATATTCAATGAGTGTGAAAGAGATGGTTGGCGACTTTTCTGCTGGCCGATTCACAAGCAAAAGGAAAACAAGGGCCGAGGTTCAATGAGTGGAAAGTATTATATTTTGATGAATATAATATTCTGGGAGGTGGGTTGTGATATCCCACAAAATATCCTGAAAAGAAGAGTGGAAGAAATGCGACGGAAGATCAAATCAAAGAAGAAGATAGAGTCTGAAATGATGCCCTGAATCGAATGAAGACATACGTGGATAGATTGCGAATCGGAATCATTAATGAATGGAAAATATTATATTTCACAAATATAAAAAGCTGGGAGGCGCGCTTCAATAATCTTGAAGAAAAAGAAGGCACGCTAAGAATAGGAGTGCTATATTTTAATGAATATAAATTGCTGGAGCTTAGAATGCAAACCGGAATGATAAATTGAATGAAAAATATCTTATTTTTAAACGAATTGAAGAAATCAAAAGAATCGGGGAATTCTATGACAGAAAAGTGTCCTGAATCAAATGAAGACATACGTGGATGAATGGAAAATATTTTATTTCTACAAATATAAAAAGCTGGGAACTGTGCTCCAATAATCTTGAAGAAAAAGAAGGCACGCTAAGAATAGGAGTTATATATTTTAATGAATATAAATTGCTGGAGCTTAGAATGCAAACCGGAAACATAAATTGAATGAAAAATATTTTATTTTTAAACGAATTGAAGAAATCAGAAAGAATCGGAGAATTCTACGACAGAAAAGTGTCCTGAATCAAATGAAGACATACGTGGATGAATGGAAAATATTTTATTTCACAAACATAAAAAGCTGGGAGGTGTGCTCCAATAATCTTGAAGAAAAAGAAGGCACGCTAAGAATAGGAGTGATATATTTTAATGAATATAAATTGCTGGAGCTTAGAATGCAAACCGGAAACATAAATTGAATGAAAAATATTTCATATTTAAACGAATTGGAAAAATCAGAAAGAATCGGAGAATTTTACGACAGAAAAGTGTCCTGAATCAAATGAAGACATACGTGGATGAAACTCTCTGAAAGTGAAATAATCAATGAATGGAAAATATTTTATTTGGATAGAATATAAAATGGTAAGTGAAAAAATTCGATATTGGATCCTGAATGAATAATTCGACATCTTTTATAATTTTATAATAATTCATTATTTTTCTCTGTTCAAATAAATTTTTCTACCGCGTTTCTTTAATAATTTACATTAGTTTCATGTGAAAACCCAAAAGATTGATGTTCCGATAAAAAATCAAAGGTTGGTTTTGTTCTCTCAATGTCCGTTCAAATGAAGCATTTTATTTTTTTTCAGGTATAAATCAAAACTCGGAGGAGAAAAAAAAAGATTTTTATGGTATTTGAGAATCGTGACATGCTGAAAATAAAACCATAGGTACAGAAATTTTTGAAAGGTTAGTTGAGTAATTTTTTTTTTGAGAATTGGAATTTAAATATGAACATAAATTCAAATTTCCAAATACGAGTTTTTTACAGATTAACAATTCAATGAATCCAAGCTTCTGTCTTTTTTTTTGAGTTTTGAAAAAAAATGACGTTTTTCATATTGTATTTTATACCCCAATCAAGTTTTCTTAATTTTTAAAAAACTAATTAATTTTTTTTTCAAATAACATTATTTCTGACTTATTTTTTTCAAAATTTTTTTGTATCTGAATAGATGTGTCAGGTTTTTTATGTTAAAATTTTTTTTAATCTGAAAATTAGTTTCATTTTTTCCACGACTATTCAGAATTCTGAAAACTTTTTTTTTTGTCAAAATTTTTCCATGTTTTTTTCTATTGTTTTGGCACCCTGAATTTTGAAACTTCCAAATTTTCTGTATTTTTCCAAATGCTGTGAATTTTTTGAAACTCATCACTTTATGCCCCATTTTCCCCAGAACCCCTAAACTATGATTGTCTGTACCCTTGTCTTTCTCAACCTGCAAATATGCAAGAAAATTCAAAAAGGTTAGTTAAATTTAAAAAAAAAAATTGACTTCAAAAAATCTTTTTTTTTCAGATCTTCAACTCCAACATTCTACGATCAGAGTTGTAAATATTCAAAGAGAAATAAATGTCAAATTTAAAGGTAAGCAGAGTGTACATAGTAAATTGAAAACATTTTCGAGGCTGTACATAAAACGCGTTTTTATTTGTAACTCATTTTTAAGAAACATTTTTGATTTTATACCCAAATACCCAATTTTTTAGACTAAATCAGCAAATAACTATACTGTAACCTCAAATATAATTTTTTCAGGAATACCAGCTTCAACAATTTGCAAAAAAAATGATATTATCTGCAACAAGAATTCAAGTTATTCAATGAAAAATAAATCGATTTCGAAGGTAAGCTATTCAAGAAAAAAGGATTGTGAGTTGCCAAAAAAGTAGGAGAGACAATGTGAAATTGAGAGAGTGCAGACAGAAAAATTAGTTTTCTGTATTTTTTGTGCGAAAAATTAATCTGTCTGTCTGCACTCTCTCAATTTTACGTTGTCTCTACTCAAAAATAACGAACTGTATATTTTGTTTTTCGACGTTTTTCTGCACAGGAAAAATATGTTTTTTATTACAAAATATTAATCTGCATAGGCCCACAACACAATCTTACATTAGGGCTGGGAGATTTCAAAAATTGGTTTTTTTTTTCTTAATGTTTTCATCAACCCGTGTTTTTTTCAGGGAACTAGCATTTGAAAATGGACTGGTGTTGCATCAATTATGAATAGAAGAAGAATATTTGTGTTTGGCAATATCAAAATTTTCATCGGATGATAATTCAAAAGGTTGCAAAAATCTATGACTTTCTTCGTGTATGTAACCAACCAATATTCAATAACAAAAATCTGTTGATACAAGATGACGCTGCTCATTGAGCCTGAATGTGAGTTTATCATTTCTCCTCATTCACACATAAAAACTATAGTTTTTTTTAGAAAAGAATCCATGAAAATGTTGATTGGCAGCAATATTCTTCCTAAACATTTGGCGTATTTCAAAAAGTTGCAGGTTACAAATTTTTTCTTGTTCCATTTATGATTTGAAAATTTATTCATGTTGTTAAAAACCATTTGTTGTGAAGTTTAATACCTATATTTCTGTCTGTTAACTTAAAACTGTTGTACATATTTTCTTGTCAAAATTATTATGATTAATTTTAACCCCCCCCCCCCGAAATTCAAAATAAATACATATAGAAATGATTATGTTATAGGAACAGTTAATAATTTTCTATTGTTAAGGTTTTGTCAGTAATGATTCACATAATTAAAACATTTCAATTTTCTTTGGTTTTTTTTTCATAAATATTTTGATAACAAACTCTACAAAAAAAAATTTATTTTTAATAAATGTGTGAAATGTTTTTGACATCAACTCATTAGTAAGAGGGATATATGCCAAGGCAATTATTTTCGAAATTAAATTGTTTTCTTGTTATACTAATTTTATGATCTGAATTCGGATAAATCATCAAATCAAAGTCGATTTTTGCCTTGTGAAGTTTTTCAATCAATATTGCGCTATTTTGAAAATGTACATTATCATCAGCCATTCCATGTTGAAGTAAAAGTCTTGTAGATTTGAAATTCTCCAAATTATCTGTCAAATCCAAGTATTCATTTGCTGTTGCATTTCCCATATATGTCAAGGTGTACTCAATATCTGTAAAACGTTAAATTTTCTTTGCAAAAAAAACAATTACACTGCTCACGATAATAATTATAATTTGTCACAGGCGCTCCAGCAATTGCGCACTTGAACAATCCTTTTGGAGCTTGTTCCACTATTGATAATGCCATAACTCCACCATACGACCAACCTTCCACCAAAACTCTTCTTTCATCCAATATATCTGAATATTTTCTTAGAATATATTGAGTAACACTTATTTGATCTTGAGCATCAACAGTTCCGAGTCTTCCATAAATTGCTGATCGATATTTCCATCCTCGTCTTCCTGATCCTCTTCCATCTATGTATAATCTGGCAACCTGATTGTTTCGTGTTAAAAAATTTATTTCGTTTTCATCATTATCATTTTCTTTTGATTCCACTTCAAAAAACTCTGGTCCTCCATAAACATAAACATGCAGTGGAACTTTTTTGTTTTTTATGTTTTTAGGTAGAAATAGCTTATAAAGACCCTCATAACCATTACCAAGTGGAACTTTTCCGAAATGTAAAAAGTCGTTTGAATACAATTTTGGACATTTCACACATCTTGGTTTTTCATTTGAACCTAATTGCATTTCTAATGTATCATTGATGAAAGGTGTTCTTGAAAATGCATTGAAAGTTCTAAAAATTTCACATTTATTAAAAATATTGAATTTCAATCAACTTACACAGTGGTATCATTTATCTTAAACTTGTAGACATCATATGGTTGTCTCATTTCGAATCTCGGTTCTGATGATGGCTGAAAATATGAGCATATATCTATAGTGAAATCTAGAATAAGATAAACATACTTCATTCAACGGATAGCTAGCAATTTGTTGATAAGAATTTCCTTCATTTTCAAACTCGAGTGGTAACAATAAATAATATCTGTTTTGATGAATTTGACATGAATAGAACATGTAACTGATATATAATTTAGGACTAAATTTGTACTCAAACAATAATTGACATTCTGCGGTTTCAAAATCGCATGAAACAAAAACAAGTTCGTTCCAGAATTTGTTATTGAGTCGAATAAGAAATTTTTGTTTATCGTCGTCGATTTCATAAGTAGTGATTTCTTTTACGAAATATAAGGAACCACTAGAAAAATAAAATATTGTAGTAATCAAAAAGTCGAAATCAAAACTCACTTGTGATTTTTGAATTTTTCAAACGGAATTCTTTTCACAGTTTGTGTTTTCAAATTCCAAATTGATATTGTGTATGGTGGGATATCTTCAAACGGCTTCCAGTAGGGCTGTTGAACTACTTCCGGGTATGATTGTTTATCTTTATAGCTAAAAAATGAACTCATGAAAGCTAGGTAATGTTTACTTACAGATTCCAAGAAACATTTTTCACCAATCGCATATCAAAAGAAACATAAACAAGATAATTGGAATCATCTGACCACCAATAACCGTAATGAAAATCATTATAAAAACCCAAAAAGCCTTGCCAAAAATAATTTGCTTGATTAGGATCCACTTCAATTGGTTCAGATGTTCGATTTACGCGGAAAAATAATCGATGATTAAATATATATGCCTAAACTTCCAAATATTCATTGAAAATTCCTATGCCAACTCACTTCTTCGTCGCGACCATTTGTTACATTATATGAGACTTCATCATCTGCAAAAATGCCGATAGCAGCAACAGTGAGAAAAATTGACAGAATTCTCATAATGTGTCATCTTTTCAAATCAAAATGGTTGTTTTATAGAAATGTTTCCGTGTTCTCTATTGTTGTAGAGTTGTCTACCAATAATTCTCATCATTTTGGAATTTGACCTTTCTCTACATATTGTTTCATAAAAACTCTGATTTTCCTGTTCCATAGAAGTTCTCAAAAATCTAACAATTGAGATCAAAGATCTTGGAATTTTGAACTGCATTTCATTCTGGATGATTACCTTAATAAATTTGTCAAGAAGAAATTTTGAAAAGGCATTGCAGGTTTAGAAGGCATCTTAAAAATCAAATTTTAACCTTTTGTCATATTTATAACAACTAGAATTTTTTGTTCTATAGAAATGTATTGTTAAAATTTATGTATAAAAACCAATCTTATCGATAAACTCATAACTTTTAAAAAATGTTGATTTTTCTGATATTTCTAGTTCCATTTTCCCTTGCTGGTGAAATCAAAAAATCTTCCAGGATTGAATTTTGAATTAAATTTCAAGCAATATTCGGGATATTTGAATGTTACAGATACAGAAAGTCTACACTATTGGTAAAATTTGTGAGAAAAAATAAAAAAAATAATTTTGAAAAAAATTTCAGGTTTATGGAATCACAAAATAATCCAGCTACTGATCCTTTGCTCTTCTGGTTTAATGGAGGACCTGGTTGTTCTTCATTAATGGGAGCAGTTTCGGAAATTGGACCATTTTTCCTAAATCAAGATGGTGAAACTTTCCAAAAAAATGAGTATTCGTGGAATAAAAACGCATCGATTGTTTTTATCGAGTCTCCAGCGGCTGTTGGATACTCTTACACTACAAATGATCATTTTCAAACTGATGATTATCTAAATTCTCTGGATAATTATCAAGCTATCAAAGAGTTTTTTATTGTAAGTGGTACTTATTAAAACTTTAAAAATAAGTAAATTGAAATACATAGGAACATCCAAGTTTCCGAAATCATTCACTATTTCTTACCGGCGAATCATATGGTGGAATATATTTGCCAATGCTGGCTGAGAGAATAATTGATGGGCAACACGATTATCCAATCAATCTTCAAGGAGTCGCTATTGGAAATGGAATAGTTGATTGGGACTTAGAACGTGTAACTATCATTGAATATTTATATGGGCATGGATTTATTGGCGATTCAGAATGGAAAAAGCACAAATCTTGTTTGTTGAATAACGAAGTTGAAGTATGCTCAGGGATGTTTCATTTATTAAGGCCTTATGAAAACACAATTGATCCTTATGACATCTCCTGCGATCCAACGGACCAAATAAAAACTCCGAATAATCCTATCGTTGCCATGATGTCTTTGAAAACCCGATTCAAAAAACAAATACGCGTTGAAAAAAGAAAGCAACACTAATGAAACAATAGTTTCCGCGTGTATTAATTATGTTACGCCGTTGGAAAATTATTTCAATAAACAAGAAGTTAGAGAAGCTCTCCACATTTCCTCAAACTCTGGGATCTGGGAAACTTGTTCACAATCGATCAAATACAATATGTCACACAATTCAGTTTATGAACAGGTGAAGAAAATGGTGTCTAATAATGTTCGCACTCTACTTTATTATGGTGACATGGACACTATTTGCAATTTTCTAATGGGTCAACAGTTTTCCGCGAATCTTGGATTACCGGTATACATGATTTTTTTCAAAAAAAATATGTCATTGTTTTTTTTTATTTCAGTTGATCGAGGATAAGAAAGAATGGCTGTATAAAAGTCTAAATGGTGGTTCAAAAACTGAGTACAAAAATTTGACATTTTTGACGATTCGTGGAGCTGGTCATATGGCGCCTCGAAATAAACCTGCAAAAATGCTCCATGTTATTCAAAATTTCATTGCAAACACGGAAATTTGAATCTAGCAGATAATGTGTGATTTAAAAACAATCAATAAAGTTTTTGTACACTTTTTTTTAAATAAAAATCTTCTCCAAAAATTGTAGTTAAGTTTGATTATTGAGATATTTTTTCATAAACTCATCAACTGGAAAAATTTTTCTAACAATCGAATTAATCACCGGCTCAACTATTCCATGAATGTTGCTTTCTAGAAATAAAGAAGTCGTGCAGAATTATTTTTTTTCGAAAGGTGCAGGGTTCCGAATTTCGCCAAGACCAAGTCGTTTGGCTTGTGGCTTAGGCTTGTTCATGGACTTGAAAAAAATATTTGACTGATTTTTGGCTTGCTTTTTTAATATATGCCCGTGATGCTTTTAATGATTATCTTTGTCTTTGTTTTTTTCAAGCTATAAGTTTTTAATATCGGCTTGTTCAAAAATTTTCTGGCTTGTTTGGCAAGCCAAGCCTAGCCCGGCTAGAACCGGAACCCTGTTCTACAGTGTTCCACAGAATCACAACATATATCAATTTTCCATATATTGATTCGAAAAAAAAACATGTTCTCTCACATACAGAAACAAATTTATCAAAATTTTCTATCAAACCATCCCCAGAATGTCGCAATGTCAAAAGAAATTTTTTTAGATGTCATAAATTTCCAACACAGAACTTTAATAGTCTTTTTCTCTAATAAAAATTATTTTTAAACGACAATAACTTTTTACTCCTGCAATTAGGACAAAATCTGACCACAAAATCGTGTTCAGCGTGTCAAAATCTATCGGAAATGATATATTTCATTTTAAAAATAAACATCCAGTTCAAATGTGAAACCAAATGCGATGCTCCTCTCGAAAAACATGAAACATTTATTAGCCATTCACTCTTGCTTTCTCACCGCCTTGGATGGCGCAGTCGGTAGAGCAGTCGATTAAAGACCCTGCCTGGAAAATCGAAATGACCAAGTTCGAACCCCGCCGGGGAAAAAATATTTTTGTTTTTTTTTTGCAAATTTTGTTTTTGACTAATGTCGACCTGCTGATCAACGTAGAATACTTTATTTTTGACCTAGACGTTCCTGTTACGAGTTATGTCTCACCCAGAAGTTCGAACCCCGGTGAATGTAAATTTTTCAAAGTTTTTTAAAATCTTGTTCCTCACTAATGTCGACCTGCTGATCAACGTAGAATACTTTATTTTTGACCTAGACGTTCCTGTTACGAGTTATGTCTCACCCAGAAGTTCGAACCCCGGTGAATGTAAATTTTTCAAAGTTTTTTTAAATTTTGTTCCTGACTAATATCGACCTGCTGATCAACGTAGAATACTTTATTTTTGACCTAGACGTTCCTGTTACGAGTTATGTCTCACCCAGAAGTTCGAACCGGAACCCTGGAAAGGTGATTCAAATTCAATTCTAAAACATTCGAAACAGAGTTTGAGATGTGAAAACTTCTCCTTTCAATTGAAAATTAATGGAAATCGTTTATAATAATATCAGTCAACCCCTTTCAAAAATATGTAAGCTCACAATCAGATTTGGATTTCAGACCCTATAATTTTCTAAATTGTTAGTTTAACAACCAAGATACAAGGAAAATGCACCGTTGCTCCGCCTTTTTTGCTCAAATTCATCTAGTTGTTTGATTTTGAAGGAGAATAAAAGGAATTATCGTGATGTGCACTTCTGTGCTGTGCTGGCACAGCCCAGCACCGCAGATGTGCCAGGCGCAGAGGTTTGATTTCAGCGATGATTAGAGGATGATGTGATGGGTACAAAAAACATGAACTTATGTGAAGATAATTTATGATTAGAAAATGTTAGACAAGTTATTCTTGGAAAACTGGTGAACATATGAATCATGAAAGTTCATAGTGACTTACAAGAACTTCAAAAACCATTTCTAACATTGGAATAACATAAGCGTGATATGTACAATAACATTCTAGAGATTTGAAAAATTTTAAGAGATGTTTGGATTTTTGTTCACCGTCAGCGAATTAAAATTCCTGAAATGTTTCAAAATAATCATTTTGAAACTCCTCAAAACTTTAGAAAATTATATTTCTCCAAATGTTTTATCAGTTTTTCATAAGCTCCAGGTTCAAAATTCTCCACCCCTTTTTTCCTGGTTCTTTCTGTTCCATCCCCAGATATTTTTTATTTCTATTTCTGTCAGATCAAACAACTAAATCGTATAGCTTGTTGGGCGGAGCTGTAGTTCTCAGAATTCAAATCGAAGTTTGGTCTTGAATGAAAGCAGTGATGTTTGTTGAAAATGTGACAAACAACCTAACTCATAATTAGCGTGTTAATGTTAGTGTGAAAAATGGAGCAAAGGCTAACTTGAGGTGATAAGAATGACTAATGATGTTCTAGAAGAAGATTATCTTGTTTTTGAAAAACGATTAGATGTGCTTATCCAGGATTGGAAATGCTTTTAATACATCTCACGTTTGAACATCACACTTTACGTTTGAAGAGAAAATGAATCAAGAAGGAAGATAAATTGTAAAAATTTCAAAGAGAATGGAATACAAATTCTTGTTTTTCTTATGAATCTTCACTGCAAAACAAAATTCGAAATTGCATCTACTATTTTCTAGCAAAACTTCTAGCCTGATTTCGTTCATATTCCCGAAAATTATTCTCCAATTGTTCCAAGAAATCAAAATTTTGCAAAAAAATAATTAATTAAAAATAAGAATTTTGTGGTGTCAAGACTTCAAATAAATGTAGTCTTACGGTACTACGATTTTCTAGAAGAAATTGTGAAAAACAACAACGTCAGCGGTTGATTTCTTGGAAAAATGAGTAAGATAATTCTGGAAATCTGGAAACTTTGGAAAATGTTAGATCAAAGGTGGAGTCTGACGAGGGAAGTGTGTTATGAGTCCCCGGAGATTTTCAATGAGACCTATGTTTTTTAGGTCAGTTTTTCACGCTGATAAAGCTCCTGTTTTCAGTTTTTGCTGAACGACATTCTGAAGACCCCAAAAATGAGCCAAAAGTTGAGAATTTCCTGAAAATCGCGTTTTTGGGAACCCATAACTCATGTTAGAAATTATTTTTATGAAAAACTGAATGCATCACGTTGTTCAGGAGGGTCGATTTACCAAAGTCACAAGTTTTGACAAAATTTTCCAAAAATTTCCAAATGTGCAATCCTGAGCCTATTTTCTGAGCCACAAAATTTTTTTCTGAAAAAGTATGGACTTACTAATCAAAAATTTGTGACTCTGGTAAATCGACCCTCCTGAACAACGTGATGCATTCAGTTTTTCATAAAAATAATTTCTAACATGAGTTATGGGTTCCCAAAAACGCGATTTTCAGGAAATTCTCAACTTTTGGCTCATTTTTGGGCTCTTCAGAGAGTCGTTCAGCAAAAACTGAAAACAGGAGCTTTATCAGCGTGAAAAACTGACCTAAAAAACATAGGTCTCATTGAAAATCTCCGGGGACTCATAACACACTTCCCTCGTGAGCAAATAATAAGTTGTGCTCATTTGAAAGAGCTTGTTCTAATTGGTACAACGATTTTTTTCCTGGGAGCTTCTCAAACATTAATTTCAACATTTTCGAAGTACAAAAAAAGAGTGAAACACCAATGGCTTGAAAGTTCAGCTTCATGAACAAAATTTTAAGAAATCAATTTCAGAAATTCACAGTAGCATAAAGTATATATAAATTATTGAAATTTGCATGGAATATTTTCCGTCTGAAAATCTAAGCAGAAAGCTCTGATGAGACCAAATGAATGATTTGTATTTTCTCGAATCTCAGCTTGATTTTTTCTCCTCCCACAAATCCCCCGCTGACAAGGAATGTCTGAAAAGTCAAATACATTCGAGAATATCCTATGAATAATGTGATTGTTTCAAAATCCTTCATTAAATTTTCAAAATTCCTTTTCCTATCAGAGTTCACCCAACATTCAACAGTGAAAAAATACGGATTTGTATCCAAATATTGTACCTTTGTTCCAGAAAAATCTGCTGACTATGAAAAACAACTCAAAGATTAACCAAGAATTCTCGAAAAAAATAAGGCAAAACCTCACAAAATTATTGTAGACTTCTGTAATGTCAAACCTTCTGAAAATTGAGACACTGTTAGCTGAACCTGAATGAGAACGACTTACAAAATTTCAGATCATCAAGAATATTTTGATACTATTTAAGGACCTTCTAAAACCACCATGGAATTTCCTTTTTTTCTCTGTTTTTTCTCTCGCTGGCAGCAAGAAGACTTGAAAAAGAACAGAAATTCGACGATATTTTTATGCTCGCGATAGTTTTCAGATGTCAGGACTGTATGTGTCTTTTGATTTGAAATTTTGTGAAGTTGTTGTTCATCATACAATATAGAATCTCGTAAAGTTTCAGGTCATGAAAAATCTTTTGAAGCCGATAAAAACAGTCTGGAAGTTGTCAATCGTATTTCACCAGAAACTTCTTGTAGGAATCTTGAATTTAAAAAAAATGTTTCCTTGAATATTGATTTAATTTTAGTCTTAATTTGAATGAAAAAAATCAAGTTTCTGTGAAGTACCGTAACTTACTACTGTAAGTATCAATTTTGTTGAAATTTTGAAAATCGATAACTCAACTAACATTATGAAGAGGGAAAAAATTTCAAACGATTTGAATTCGATTGAATGGTTGTTTTTCGGAAAATAGATTTATCTCTGATGTTTTTGTAAAACATGGGATGTGGGGTATCAAACGTCAGCAAATTCCCAGCGCATCGTGATCAGCGTATCCGAAAACCCTATAAACCACTGTTTCCGTCAAAAAATCGGATCATAGCAACAATTCTTCAATTTCACTGATATTTTCAGATTTTGACCCGCCCAATTGCTCTCACAGAGTTCTCTCCGTCTCTCGATCTTATCAAATCTGGGGCGGAGATTCAAAATTCGCTATAAAAATCAAAATCCATGGGTTGAATTCTCATTTTTATTCCAACAAAGCTTATTCTTGTAAGCAACTCAACTTCAAATTCTCTTCCAGGACTCCAAACCATGCGCAAAGCTGCTCTGTTGCTCTTCTGCATTGCCATTGGCATCAATGCTCATCAAGATGAGGATATCATTTGTCCATTCCATCGGACCGACCGATGGGAAAATTGCGTACGAAGCCAAGACTTGATCGAGGACTTTGATAGAAACATCGACCAGATGAACCTCAGACCAGATATCCGCACCCTCAATGCAACAACACATCAATTGGTAGAGGTGAGATTCTAAAGAATTCTATAGAAAACAAAAAATTTTTGATGATTTTTAGCAGCTCATGTGTTGCTATGAAGATGAATGCCTGAAAGAATGCGGTCTTGATGTCAACACACTTTTCCCAACTCCTGAAACCCTTACCAGAGCTCTCAAAAATGCGATTCCACTGTACCCTGCCTTTTTCTTGGTAATTTGAATGTTTTAAATTACAAAAATACAACTGATTCTTTTAGGAATATGATCCAGAAGAAGTTGCTGATATTTTGAATGGAGTTGCCACAGAAAAAATTGTGATGAACTGGAAAGTCAAATTCGCCCACTTGGTGCTCGTAGCACCTAAAGTTCTCAAACAACAACAAGCAATGGGAAAACTTGTCGATAGAGAATTTTAATTGATTTTTTGTGTTATTATGTCCCTCTATATTTAATCACTCCTCGAACCAAATTTATTCCCCTCAACCTAATTTAATCCTCTCGAAAAATTACACCCCTTTCTTCTTTATTTATGATTTTTTTTAATATGTATCAATAAATATTTAATCAAAAACCAAATTTTCTCCAAAATTGAATCTCAACAAAAAGAAAAGAAACTCTAATTGTCTGGCAATTCAACATTTTCAGAAAGGGAAGACGACTTCTCCGCTTGTCTAAACCTCGCTGCTTTAAAATAAAGCTGCGTTGATATTTTATCAGAGGGCAGAGAGTAGTGTATGTGAGAGATTTAGGAAGAAAAATTGGCTGGTTTCCCTGCTAATTTGTAATTTTCCATAAATGAGAACACGAATTTAAAAGGATTGTGAGAGAATTTTGAAAAATTTTAAAATTGCAATTTAAGTAATCGCTTTCCAGGCGTTGATTGGACCTTTTTTGAATGATTTTATCAATTTTAGAGCGAATATTTCTCAATTCTGAAGTGGTTCGAGATTCTGTACACGAAAAACAAAATTTCGATTTTTGTTGAAATTTTTTTGATTCTGTACACGAAAATCCAAATTTCGATTTTTGTTGAAATTTTTTTGATTCTATACACGAAAATCAAAATTTCGATTTTTGTTGAAATTTTTTTGATTCTGTACACGAAAGTTAAAATTTTCCAGTTAAGAATGTAGAATATTTCTGGACCATTAAAAAAAGAGGACTATTGTTCAATAACTAGAAAGAGAATGAAACAAAAATAAATAAAAAAAAATAATTCATTTTAATTCAAACAAAATTCATTCTTTCTCCAACTCGGCAATTTCTGCTTTCAATTTGGCCATAATCATATCTAGTTCACTGGTCTTCTTACTCTCCGGAAATAATTCGTATCCTCTCAAAATCGCTTTCAATTTCGGAAATTGTTCTTCTGGTTCTGGTTCTTGTTCCAGCGCTGCTCGAAGATTTGGATAAACTCTAAGAGCTGTAGTCGGATCCACACTGTGAAGATAGTACATTTGTTCTTCAGCAGTCAAGTCGCCAACTTTTGTTAAACCTTTCCCAGGAACATCTCTGAAAGTTTTTAGAAACGTCAAAATTACAAAATAAACTTACACTTCTAATTGCGAATGGTCATAGTCATCCAATTCCTGTAGTTCTCTCAAAATATTTGGTTGTAAATTTGTAATGATGATGATTTTCAAACTCACTTCAAAGTGAGCTTCGTCCATTGACTGCAAAAAACTCAAAACTGATTTGACAAGTTATTATCGGAATATATTTTAGAAATTAAAACTCACTGGAATTTCAAACGAGAAGAGAATTCTAAAACCATCGAATCTCTGAAAAACGTTTACCTGAGAATGAAACTCAAAAAATATGAAAACTCACATTGCTTTATCTGCTTCTTCTATTTCTGAAGATTCTGAAGAAGTCATTTTTAATCTATGTAGATGATAAATTTTCAGAACTGACTTGTAACCTTGTATTTATTGGAAAAATTTTCCTGAAAAAAAATATCATAAGACACTGATTTCATTGTCATAAATCAAAAATGACAAGTTTTTCTGAAATATTTTGAGATTTTTTGATTGATATATGTATGTAAAACTGAACTTTGGATGGGAACATGGATATTGAAAAAATATAAAAATACATATGAAAATTAACCTTTTTATAAAAACCCGTAAGTTCTCATTGGAAATTGTTCCGCACATTTTTTTACATTCTTCAGATATTTTAAAAATCATACCTAGCGGATTTAGGAAAATTGTTAAAATTTATTTGAACTCATCTTCATTTTTTTAACAGTGTTAAAATTTATCTTTTTTTTTTTAACAGTGTTAAAATTTATCTTTATTTTTTTTAACAGTGTTAAAATTTATTTTTATTTTTTTAACAGTGTTAAAATTTATTTTTATTTTTTTAACAGTGTTAAAATTTATTTTTATTTTTTTAACAGTGTTAAAATTTATCTTTGTTTTTTTAACAGTGTTAAAATTTATTTTTATTTTTTTTAACAGTGTTAAAATTTATTTTTATTTTTTTTAACAGTGTTAAAATTTATTTTTAATTTTTTTAACAGTGTTAAAATTGTTCTTTATTTTTTTAACAGTGTTAAAATTGTTCTTTATTTTTTTAACAGTGTTAAAAATTATTTTTATTTTTTTAACAGTGTTAAAAATTATTTTTATTTTTTTAACACTGTTAAAATTTATCTTTATTTTTTTAACAGTGTTAAAATTGTTCTTTATTTTTTTAACAGTGTTAAAATTGTTCTTTATTTTTTTAACAGTGTTAAAAATTATTTTTATTTTTTTAACACTGTTAAAATTTATCTTTATTTTTTTAACAGTGTTAAAATTTATCTTTATTTCTTAACAGTGTTAAAATTTATTTTAATTTTTTTAACAGTGTTAAAATTTTTCTTTAAAATTGATCTTTATTTTTTTAACACTGTAAAATTTAAATTGTATATAATTTTTCCGTGTTGCTTTATCAATATATTTTCGCCACAATCATTTTTTTTTGGAAAAGAAAAATTGATTTATTAGTTGTTTCCCAATTAATTAGTTCATAGTTTATTTTCCATAGTTTTAATTTCATTCAAATTTTAATTACCATAAGTATCGAATAATACGAGTTATATGACTTTTTAAATATGTATCTAAAATTATTCTGAAACGAGTTTCAGAAAATTTGAGAATAATTATTTCACTCAATTTTTCAGAAGACCAAATATTTTCCCAATTTGTTGTTTTTTTTTGTTTTTTTTTTAATTTTGTTTTATATTTGATATTTTCATTTTGCCATTTCCAGTATTCCCTACACAAAACTTTGAATTTCTTCTCTTTCTCTTTGTCTCTGATAAAACTCCACAGCCAAAAAAAAACGAGGAGAGCATCAACACACAAAATCTCTAACAACCTGCCTCTCTTCTCATGTTCTATAATGTGCCAGATTATAATCACAGGGAAGGCAGCTTCTGTTTTTCTCTGCGTCTCTTTCGCATATCATGTGAGCTCGTTGTACTATGAGCAGAAAGGCACTGGAAAGCACGGAATCGGCAGCGGGCAATTTTTTCAGCGCTGGAAATCAAACATCAACGTTTTCAGATTAGAAAAAATTTCCAAGAAGGTTCTGAAATCTGGAACTTGATTTTAAAAAATACTGTAAATTTTCGAATTGTTCATTTATAAAATAGATATTTACAAATACAAATGTCGTTCAGTCGTTCGCAAAAAAAAAAACAAATACAAATACAAAAATCAATAAATACAGATTATTCCTTGTCTGCAGGATGCAATTGTTTGATTGGTGTCAATTTAAAGCTCATATAACTTCTTTTCGCTTCAATTGATTTCTTGAAGTTTGTATCAGTATTATGAAGCCAGTCCAATAATCCCAATCCGAAGCACTCATTGAAGTATTTGTGATGATAATCGTGTGGTTCAGGAGATAGCATAAATGGAAAATGATAACCGGAGTGGGAAAATGTTGTTGACAAAACGGCAAACGTTGCCCACATCCATAGAGTTACCACGTGGCATTGACAGACAATTGAGCCGAGCATAACTGGGCTCAAATTACTGATCGCGTGTTCGAGAGGGTGAGCATAGACACTGGTGATTGCTGAATTTCTGGTTTAGATTTTCTTGAAATTCTAGAATTTTCTGAATTTCTAGAAGCTTATTTCCAGCCTAAAACTCACAAACAGGTGCGGTCCATTCATGATGTTTCTTATGAATATATTTGTAAATTCTAGGATGATGAAAAAGCCGATGAGTATAATAAAATCCAACTTCTTCAAAAAATATACAAATCGCTACATCACGAAGAATTTCAGTCCAAGAAAGGTAGTGTTGTGGAGAAACTGATGTCTGAAAATTGACAAAATGAAAATGGTACAAGTGTGATTTATCGAAAATGATGCACGTGATGTTATCAAATGTATCAAAGACCGAAACTTGATCAAGTTTCTCACATTCTTCTTATCACCTTTTTTGCATGCTGTTTAAATTAGTTGTCTAGACTTGCCATTTCTTTCTTTTGATGTGAAATTGAGATTTTAGATTTTAGATTTTTGTGCTAGGATATTGTGTTGAAATTTGAATTTCCCGCCAAAATTGAACTTGAAAAATTCAAATTTTTAGCTGAAATTTGGCAAATGCAAAAATCTTGGGAGATTTTTGATTTTTTTTTGACCTACCAAGATAGTTTGCTGGAATAAACCAAATGGCAGTGACAATTGGTCCAATAACAATTTGATTGAACAAAATAGTCTTGAGCGCTGACAAATATTTTCCAAGTGTAGGCTAAAACATGTGTTTTTTTATTTATTGACTCTAACGTCATTTTTTCCCGTACCTTTTTTTCATCTTGAATTTTGTATGGTTGAACCCAGGCAGGGTCCAACATATCGATTATGATGAAAAATGCGTTGAAAATCCAGAAAAAGGTATTGACAACTACAGTACCTGCGAAGACGCTGGAAAATTGGTGGATTTTTGAGAGAGAGAGACGTTTCTGATCTTTTTTGGTTCGCTTATCAATTTAGGGGTAACGTCAATCAATTTAAGTGTGTAATACCGATTTGGTAGTAAAATTTTGGTCGTAGTTTGAACTTTTTCAGAATTTTTATATTATTATTATTATTATTATCATTGATTTATAGATGTGTACAGTATTTTCGAAATAGTCACAATCATGATTCGTTCTACCCTAAATTCGTGTTTGATCCGATTGATTTGATAGCATAAGACACACAAATCAAGAAACCACATTTTGTTGGTTGTTGCAAAAATGACTTACTATATCTTGAAGTGATCACCTTCGAAATAATCATAGATTTTTTGATAGCCAGCCTCGAGCATTTTCTGAAAATGTATAGAATTTGAAACAAAAATGATTCATCGGGGGGAAAATAGAAAATAATGATTGAACATTTTCGAAAAACTTATTTTAATGTTTTTTTTTTTGAGGACGATATGTTTCGTAACAAAAAATTGTTTTATGTGAAAAAAGATTTTCTGAAATTGTTTTCATATGAGTCACAATTTGACCCAGACATTCAAAAATCCAAAAATCTGCCTCGTTTCTCTGTGTGTCTCCAATACTATACTCTCTAACTACCTTCCTCTTGTTCTCTATAAATGTCTGGTTTCTCTACGTCTCTCATAACCTGTCCAGACTCTTCCTCTGTCTTTTCTTTTCTTGAGCTGTATCGTTTTCCATACATATTTTTAGATGTAGATCAAAAACTACTTTAGTCTAAAATTTGAAAAAGTTTTGAGCAGCCATAAATTTGATGTAGGGGTTTTATGCCTCATCTCAACAATTTTTCGGAATGTTCACTATCTGTTTTCCAGAACCCTTGAGCCCTAATCAAAAGCTGATCGCAATTAATCAAAATATAATCTTAACAAATCAAGATCTCAATTTTTACACCTTGTTTCCGCTGACTGCCTAACGTCTCTTCCAAATGCCCACTATCTATCTTGACTGTCCCAAAAAGATCCTACTGTATTCAACTTCTCTTCGCCCTCATTCTATCTAAATTCTCTCACACCAGTAGATCGCACAGTGTTTTTTTTTTTGGCTAACTTCTTCCCCTGAGCCCTTCAACTAACCTGTTTATTATTTTCTCGCTACTGCTAGAATATAATCACAGAATTCTAGATAAGTATTGACTATACAGTACTTTTGGCCAGGGTATTTATACCCAACACACGCATTTTGCATGTCAAAAAGATAACTGTAGCCAGAGGCGGAGTCAAGACCACTCTTTCAACGCCATCAACTAAACTCTAGTTGATGACGACAACCAATCCGGGTGAGACTAGACTGTATTTTTTTTTGTTTAGGGTAGCTAGTGTTATCAAATTGTTGAATGATAATTTTTCTTTGTTTTTTCTCTTGAAACAATTGTCCCGGGAACATGGTTTTTGGTGTTGAAAATAAACAAATGAGGAAAATGTGACTCGAGGAGTAGTGTTTTTGAATGTGGTAGACTGTGTAGCCAAAAAACTTTTTTGTTTGTAGCTCACGAAAAATGGAAATGGTTATCTCATTTGATAATGAACAATATTCTCGAGCGTCCATGGCCTCTAAAAATGTATTTCGGTATATTATCACTTTCTGCGTGAAAAACAATACATTAAATTTTATTTATTGGAAAATTGGTTTCATAAAGTTAGGTTCTTGAGCTAAAACCAGCGAGTTTTTTGTTTTTCATTACAGGTCTGGTCAGAATCGGAATTTCCGAATTTCTTTCCGACCAACCCTGCTTCATTGTCAAAAGTTTCCTGTGCTGTAAAGATTTTCAAATTTTTTATCCACATGTTTTGCTTCTGATTCTCACATTCAGTATTTTCAAAATCGCGTACACTTTTATTGATCTGTCTTAAATTTATTGATTACTTGTTCAGAAACTCTTTCAAGATCAGTTTTTTGTGATATGTTCAGTATCAACTTCTGTGTGTTTAAAAAAAGTAAGAATTTTCAAAGTTTTGCTCTTTAACCGCCATACTTTTGAGAGTTTGAGAAAGAATTCAATGATAAACATTATTTGCGAATATAGCGCAATTCAAAAATTGACCTACTTTTTCAGAATAGGTAATATTGAAAAAAATATTTTAGGGTCAAAAATGAATTTTGAATTTTTATTTCAATCAACCTCTGAGCAAAACGCATGTGAATTGAAATTTTTAGGTTGGGACAATATGGAGATTTTATTATTTTTAAATAAAGTAAGCAAAAATATGAGAAATCCACCGCTGTTTTCTAGACTCAAGAATAATTTCGTAATGTTTTCATTATGAATTTAATTTTGCACCCAACATCCAAAATTCACTAATAGAGCAGACAAAAATTAGATACACAGAGAAAACGACGTGTGAAACCCCGATTTTTTCAACAAAACTTCCACGTCAAGCTACCAATCTCTTGTGTCTTCAGAAAAGGGGCGGAGCCTTTTTCTTGGGTTACTGTAAATCATCGAATCTCTTCAGAGAAACATCATGAACATTTTTTTGTCATTTTGAAACACACGTTTTTCGAAAATATTTGCACTTTACATTTTTGTGATCAAAAAATGTCTGTGTCCAGTGAAAGTCTAGACGTGTTTTTTTTTGTAACAATGATCAGACTTTTGAAAAATTTTGAAATGATGATATTTGTGAGGACGCTTTCAAATTACAAAAATTTTGTTTTTTTTTAAATTTTATTTGTTTGATTTCTGAAAGGTGTTTGACGCCAAAAAAATCCCTAAAAATAATCATTTTCCCTTCAAAAAACCATGATTTTTCCCATTTGCAGACACTCCCAAACTACAGTATCCTGTCCTGTCAACGTTTTTTTTTTCGAACATCAAATTTTTCGTTGACAGCTATTTGCTTATCTTTTTTATTGGGGAAAATCAAAGAAAAAACCGGGGGAAAATGACAGATTGGCTACAGTAGTCTAGAAGAAATGCGAAATTTTCAAAACTAGACACTAGTTTTTGTTTTTAGAACAAAGTTGGTGGAACAAAGTTGAAAAACAAAATTAAATGTTGATAAGAAATAGGGCAATAAACTTTGGGAATCAAAAACAACCAACTTTTTAAGATGCAAAATTGAAGAAAAAATCATCGAACATTTTTTTGTGGACTTCTAGAATGAAGATTTTCTGTAACTTTAGCAGTGCAATTACAAACCTCTAAAAAATCCTACAGTTCATAACTCGCTCTAAACATAGTTATGACGTGGCAAAGTTGCTACTACTGCTAAAAATCGATTGCTTCCGGTACTGTAATCCATTTTAGAGACAAATTTTTTGAATTCTAATTTGATAGCATTGTTCAGCGAAATCGATTTGGTGAGTTCAATTTTTTTGATTCTTGGAAAAAAAATTCTCCAATTTTTCAAATAGACAGCCCAATTAGATTTCAAAAATATTGTCACTAGAATGAATTACAGTACCCAAAAAGTCCGATTTTTAACTGTGGTGGCAACTTTGCCACATCATATGATCTAGAGAAACATCGGAAACCCAGTCATTTCCGAATTGAGTTTTAAAAAACTTTGATATGAATTCTTTGTAGAATGGTTCAAATAATCAGTTTAGATTGTTTTTAAAAAATTTCACCAAATTTCCAGATTTTTTAATTTTCAGATTTTCTGGATGGTCTTACAGAATGAGCCTTGTAGGCAATGAAAATTGATGATAGTGGAGACTTAAAATATATTTTTATTTTTTCAACAATTTTCTGAAATTTGTGAAAATATCCTAAAAATTGATATATTGAATAGACTATTTTTCCCGCAAAGCTTTTTGAGGTCCAGTAACACTCCCTGAAAATTTAGCAACAAGATAACTAGTTTCCGATCGTATCTTTTTGCACAGTAGTGTAGGGTGAAACATTTTTGGAAACTTTAAATGATAAAATTTTGCATGAGCTCATTTTTCTCTTAAAGTATTTTTTCAGCTTCCAAGATGTCTGAAATATGCATCTCTATCATCAATTGAAAATTGATCCCACTCAAAAAAGTTTAGTCGGTTCAAAGTATCATGACATTCAGTCGAATCATCTTCGATACATCTTTTCTGATAAAACTCAGACTAGACTTTTGTTTCGTCCAAAAATACAACTTTTTCTGCATGGCACGCAAAATTACTTTTTATCATCAATTCTTTTTCGAGAATTTCGGCGATTCAAAGTACGAGAAAGTTTGTAGGTTGATCTTGACAGCAAAGACAAGATTGATAAAATGAAATACAGAAATGATATCTGGGGGGGGCATAACTACTCAAACCCAGTGCAGAATTTTTGTAGAAGCAAGAAGTTTTAAGGCACCAAACCTTTCCACAGTTTTTTTTCCAAAATTGTTTGAATTAAAAATTTATAAGTAGCTCCCATGAAGAATTGAACCCACACTTTCAAACTAATAACCGATACTTCAACCTCCTGAGCTACGTGTATATCCAAATAATTCTTTAAAATTTCACAATTCGGAAGTCAGTCACAAAATCGTTGATTTTCTGACCACCAGACACTTCTTATCTGAATGATAATAATCATTTTTCCAAAATTTTTTTCAGGTAAAAAAAAGGCTAATAAATTTTCGATTATCAGCCAGAATTTATGTGTATATTTTGGACTACCAGGTAAATAATATTCGAATTTTTTGATTATAAATTTGGAGGGAGGGGGGCTGACAAGATAGTCTTTTTCAGGATCGATATTGACATGTGTAAATTCTGGAAAAAAACTCTGGAGAAGACTTGGAGCATGAAAAAAAAACTTTTCTCATTGTCAAAGTTTACAGTTTTTTTCATAAATAATTTCAGAAGCTTATAAAAAAAAATTTCAAAAACTACACTGAAGTCTATTCATTCCAAAGAACTAATTTTTATGCTCTGCAATAAATTCTTGTTTTTTTTTTTTGAAATTTTGATTCTCAATTCAACCATAAAACATTATTTTTCTACTTTAATAAAAGAATTCTTCAAAAAAAATGGCCTATGTGATAACTCCCCAAAATAACACATGTTTATCAACAGATACTTCTTCAGAATTCTGGAAATATCTGAAAATGTGCATCCAGCTCTCCTATATTATTCCATTCACTTTGATTTATCTCAAATTCATCGTAGATGTTTTTCTTGCAAATAAAAAAAGTGTGACATATTCTGACACTTTTTTTCAAACTTCATGTCGTTGATGGCGTTGCGGTATGAAAACATATGATTTTTTTTTGAAAATAAAAATTTAAAACCAGAGATTTACAGAGTATTGGATTCATATTAATTGAATTTCCACTTTATCGAATAATGAATTATATAACTTCTTATTGTGAATTTATGATAAATCTTTTTGAAAAGCCGAGTTATGGGTTAACGCCATTTTATTATTTTCGAATATTTTTTCAATTTTTGAAAATCATTTCAACTGTTACCCTATGTGCTAATCGATTTACAAGTGTTTTCAAACCTACAAAGCATACACAGGTGAGAAATTCTATGAGGTTTTGAAAATTTATTATTTTCAGGGCTGGAAAATCTATCTCTGTCATGTTGTAATTTCCGAAATCCTCATCTCCGCGCTATTTTCTACACCAATCTTAACTGGACCCTCCTTCATCTATATTCATCAAAATCAAGCGCAACTAAATTATATCCACACAATTCCATATTTTCGAATCACATCTTTCAGAATATTTCTAATGGTTTCATCATTGTTTTTCATAATTTTGTCGCTCTTCATTACTCTTTCAAAAATCTCAAAACTCTCTGCAAACATGAGAAAATTGGAGATTTCCATGATTATGTCAACAATTTTCCTATCTCTCGGATTTGTTTTCCAACTCATTCTATCAATTCTAGTTGTAACTGTTCCAGAAGATTTTACTTTAGCACATCCAGATATATTTTGGTGGTTTTTAATTGCCAATCAACTTGCATGTGATTATTATATGATTAGTGGCCCAATTGTTCTGATTATTTTTAATAGAAATATTCGAGAATCAATATTTCGATGCTGCTCGAAACCAAGAAAACCATCACGCGCACAAGTGAACACATTAACTGGATAATTCAAATAATCAACTTGTGACTTCACACTTCACTTAACTCAAAGCTTTAGCTTCATTACAAAAAATTTAATAAAATTATTTTGCACATGTGAAAAGCTGTTACCTAGAATAAATGAAAAATAATGTTGAAAATAATTGAAATCAAAAAAACATAGCTGGAAGAAGCATTGATTCTAGAAGCTTTGAAAAATTCTTGAATAACTTGGTACATTTCAAGAGGTCTGGTTTTGGCAGCAGAATGTCCAGCTCCACGAACAGTTATGAAGGTCAGATTACTGTAGACTGTTTTGTAGCCAGCAGCAATTTTGTTGACAAACCAAGGCTCTTTTGCGCTGATTTTCTGAAATGATCAAGTTTCTTGTAATCCTGCCATGAGATTTTTGGGATTTTTAAAAATTCAAACATTTTTTGGACCAAAAATTCAAGCTGAAATTACAGAAAAAACTGGAATTTCAGATTTTATTTAAACTCTGGATACAATTCAATTATTTTCAAATTTGCTAAAATTTAAAAAATTGCTTTTCTACTTTTTTTCGAAAGGTTTGACTCCAATTTCAAAAAACCAAAGAAATTTATTCAAATTTCTATATCTCAAAAATTTGGAATTTAAGGAACTTTTTTCCGATTCTGAAAGGATCTGTTTTCAGATCTCATTTTCATTCCCAACTAACCGTAATATTAAGCTTCGCAACAAATTGTTGTCCCATAAGAAAATCGCAAACTTTATCCTGATCCCCATAAAACAGCAAAGTTTTCACACCCGCCGCAACAATTTTCAAAAAATATTCACTCATATCATCTTTCTCTTTTTTATATATACCATGATCAATCATTGCCATATTACAGTAATGAAATTGGGGAGCTTCTGAAGGAATAAATAATGCTTCTCGAACATTGTCATCTAAATAATATTCAGCAATTTTTTTCAGTTTTTGGTAGTTATTGCAATCAGGAAACATGTCTTCTTCATTTTTTCGATTATAGCATTTTTGAGAAATATCATAGTCAAAAAGAACCATTGGTTTTCCCATCTCTTTCATTTCTTGACAATACGAATTTCTTAAATCAATCTCGCATGTTTCAATATTCCCCTTACAACATCCATTCACCAATCTTTTATATACCCGTTCTGAAACCAATCCATGATGATAACTGTAGAATAACGAAGTTCTTGGCTGAATTTTCAAATTCACAGCTCCATTTCCAATTGCTATACCCTTCAGATTTATTGGATAATCTTTTTGTCCGTCGATAATTCGAGTGGCTAACATTGGTATATAGATTCCGGCATAAGATTCACCAGTGAGGAATAGTTCATGGTTACGGTAACTTGGGAATTCCTAAAAGTTCAATTATCTGGTTCTTTAGTTATGCATGGGTTTTCAGAGATTTCGCAATACTTTTTTCCCAAGAGAACTTTTTTCTCAAAATGACTCCCCTACCTTTAAAAATAATTTGACAGCCTCATAATTCTCATCCGCAGTCAACTCATCATTTGTCGTAATATTCCCATCAGTAGAATATGAGAATCCAGTTCCAGCTGGACTTGAAAGATAAACAATATTAGCCATTCGATTCCAAGTATGCTCATTTCTGCGGAAAGTTTCATTTACATCAGGATTCGCAAAAAGAAATGGGCCGTTGTTATCAGAAAGTCCAATGATGGATGAGCAACCGGGACCACCTTCAAACCAGAAGACGAGAGGATCTACGGAGGGAGTGTTTTGCGATTCAACGAACCTGGAAATGGGAAGATTTGGGTGTAACGTTGAAATTGAAAACTTTGAATTCTCAAAATTCAGAATTCCACTTTAAATTTAAGAATATTTTCTCTTTTTAAGTTGATAAAAAATTTCCCCTAACTCACCAATAATGTAGCCTATGAGTTTCCGAAACATTCAAATATCCCGAAAAATGTCTAGAATAAACCTTGAAATTCAGTCCAGGCAATTTCTTAATTTCATCAGCTAGAATAACAGATAAAAATAAAAATATGGCAAAACTAAACTTCATCATCATATTTCAATTGTTGTATAGCTAGATGATTGAAGAAAGAAGAAACATTCCAAAGGCAATTAATAAAAAAGAGTTTTTAGACGAACTTCTTCTTTTTCTGACTGAAAAAAGTTAACAGATGAGGCACACATGAGGACGACTTTTTTCTCTGCTTGAAAAGAAAAAGAACATTGGCTTCGTTATTTTGCTAGAGGAATGGGATAGGATTATTTTTCGAAAAGACACATTTGGAACGGCGGCTGCACTTTTATAGGCAAGCTGAAAAATGTAAGAACGGCGCAAAAAATGCATGAATATACATACATACATAAAGAAATAAAGAAATTTCGAATGAATATAATTGACCTTTGGGTTTGGAGCAATTAATCTCACTCTATTTTTTATTCTCTTGCAAAATCGACATTTTGTGTCAAATACATAAATCATAAGGTTCAATCAAGAGAACGTTCACAATTTTCAGCATTCTGCAAAGGGAAAAATGAAATTCAAAATTTTCAGATTTCTGAGGTGTTTTTTTTTAGTATTTTGACAATATTGTGAGAACAAACCATGTCTAAAAGAAAAAAATTGAAAAACATTTTTTTAATGTTTTGGAAGCCTGCACGATATTCTGCAGATCTGGAAGGCATAGGATACAATTTTGAGAGTCTAAATATTTTCAAAGCCTGGTTTAAGTTCCATGAAGTGATTCTGACCAAGTTTTTTAAAATTAAAATTTATTTTTAAAATTATTTTTGTGAGCCGGGCATTCACTTTAAAGTTACCTTTATCAAAATTGCTGATTATGGAAAAGGGAACTTGAAATCACAGTTCCTATATCAAATAATGTATTCAATTTTTTACAGAAAACTTTTTTTTTTCAGATTCTGAATGAAAATGATTCATAAACTGTTTTTTCTCTCCCAAAACAATTTCTTTTTCAATTCTCTCCTTTCCTTTCCCTCTCCCAAAAAAACCAACAAAAATGTCTGTTTTTCTTTTCGTCTCCTCTCTCTCATACATAATGCATCAAACGCGCTCCACCGACCGTCCCTGCGTTGTTTTTATTTTCTCTCCAACAGAAAACTAAATTTTATAAACATTTTCGTTGACTTCTTGATTGGTACATACATTTTCGATTGATAATGTATCAAATGGTGGATTTTGGCGATGAAGTTGAGGTGGCTCAGCAGGAGATTTATGTGAGTTTTTTTTTGTTGGAAATTGTGAAATTATCTTACTTTTTGTTTCAGGAAGATTACTATGAAGAGGATCCCGATCAGCCGCCAGTGTTAGATTCGCACGCTTCAGTTTCATATGAAGCTCATGAGGAATATTACGAAGAGCCGCCACGCAAACGCAAAGTTTATGATGAGATTTTCGAAGAAGAGGATGGTTTGAAATATATGGGAATTCCGGATTATGATCCAGAAGAATTTGAGCACACATTGCCGGAAGAAGAAGGCATGCCATATTGTGATATTTGTGAACGAGTTATCAAATCTTGGAATTCGTATGAATATCATATGTTGAGCAAACATTTGAACTATAAACCATTTAGATGTTTGATTTGTGGAAAGGATCATGAATTTCATACGGAGGATGAGGGCAGATATCATATGAGAATGATTCATGCAAATGTTAAGGATACACCGGTGAGTAGTTTTTGTTGTGAAACACCTAGGCAATTTCTTAAATAAAATTTAAATTGAAAAATACACCCATGTTTCTGTACAGTTTTTCACGCTCACGCTGAAAAATACCCCGTTTTCAGTTTTGCTGAGCGACTCTCTGGAGAGCCCAAAAATTAACCGAAAACCTCGTTTTTGAGAGCCCTTAACTCATGTTACAAAATATTTTATCAAAAACAGTGTACAGGGCGATGTTCAAGAAGGTTGATTTTGTGACTTTGGTAAATCGACCCCGCTGATCAACGTCATGCATTCGGTTTTTCATAGATTCTATCTCTAACATGAGTTATGGGCTCTCAAAACCACTTTTTCTCTTTTTGGCTCATCAAAGAGTCGCTCAGGAAAAACTAAAAACAGGATTTTTCTCAGCGTGAAAAACTGTACAGAAACATCTATGTCTCATCGAAAATTTCCGGGGACTGGTCCCACACTTTCCTTGTTAGCATCCAGATTTTGTAAAATTTTTTATAACTTTGTATAATTCAAGATGTCTAGATTTTTGAAAACAGCTATTTTTTTTATAATTCCGAAAAGATTCTCACGTTTTCCTCCTATTACCTCCCCAAATCTCTATTTTCCAGCTCATCAAAGTATACGATCGTGAAAAAGATGCTCAAATGCTCCATCTCTTCGAGAACGTCATGAGAATGCGAGACGAATCGGATGGTCTCAGCCAAATTGTGAACGATGTGAATGATCTGGAAAACAGTCTTCAAATGCCAAAGTTTCAAAAAATGAAATTTTGTCTGCCAATGTCGGTTTTGGAAGCGACGTGAGTTTTTTTTTTGAAAATATATGAGAATGAATGTTCCAAAACAAATTAAATTCCAGAATCCATAAAGAAGTCGAGGTCCAATGCCAAATCACAGCAGCAGACGACAAATTCCAAAATCAACAAATGCGTGCGAACCAAAAATCCTCGGATTGGCGTAGACAAGCTGAACGTGTTTATCAACTTGAAGATGGGGAGGTAATCGAAGATGAGATTGAAGAAGAAGAAGAAGCTGAAAAAGTGTCTCATCAATCGGAAATGTTGGTTTTCACTGCAAAAGTTGAAGCAGACGCTGAGCAAAAAGCTCAAGTCATGATGGAAAATCAAGCGGGGCCAAGTGATCGTCATTATTGTGCGGAAGAATTGGATGACAATGTTTTATCCTAATTGGTATTATTGATTTTTTCGTTTTCTTCGATACCTTTTTTTTGTTACAAGTAATGTACAATTTTCACTTATATCTGTGTTTTTGTTCTTGAATTTTGCCAAAGCGTTGAATCGCTTTTTTGATATTTCAACAAATTATATAATTTTCCAAATGAGTTAAGGTTGTTCTTGTTTAGGGTTAAAATGTCAGCACTGCGAAAAATTGTCCAACGACAATTGTTTCAAAAAGATGACGAGAGAATTCAGGCGATTGTGAATGTAGCGAAATTGGATGGCAAGAAGAAGAAACATCAAACGTTGCTGTGTTTAGCAGGTAAGATTTGGGGATTAGAGAAAATTTATCGTAATTGAGGTCAATTTGAATCGGTTTTTGATAGTTCACAGTTCTTAAAAGGTGGATGAGCAAAAAGTGGACTCGAAACCACCATATTTGATCATTGACCGGTTAAACCGCACTTTTAATTTCGAGTTTAACGGTATATGATCAGAAATGGTAGTTGAATCATATAAAGTGAGCTCGAAAGAGCCACCTGTTCCTTTCAACTATCTAACACCTTTTCATATATGAGGAGTTAGGAAAGTTGCCAAGAAAAGGTAGATGAGCAAAAAAAAGTGGACTCGAAACCACCATTTCTAGTTGTTCAGTACTTATATCTATGTATCTAAATTTCGGATAAAAGTCTGAAGAACTAGAAATGGTAGTTGAATCAAAAAATGTGAGCTCAAAAGAGCCACCTCTTCTTGACTAGTTATTTATACCTTTCTGAATACCAGGAATAAAATAAAATGTCAAGAAAAGGTGGATGAGCAAAAAGTGGACTCGAAACCACCATTTCTGACCAGTTACCGGATAAACCACAATCGTTATTCTGGGATTATCGGAAAGAGATCAGAAACGGTAGCTGGATCATAAAGTGAGCTCAAAAGAGCCACCTCTTTTTGACTTCTTATTTATACCTTTTTGTGTACTAGGAATAAAATAAGATGTCAAGAAAAGGTGGATGAGCAAATAAAAAGATGACTCAAACCATCTTCTCTGCACAGATTCTTGATTAACCAATTTTCAAATTGTATGGTAAAATCTAAGAACTGTTCCAGAAAAGATAGTTGAATAAAAGTGGACTCGAAACCACCACTTCTGATAACTGATGAAGTATACCTCTTTTGTTTTTTGGGATTACTCAAAAGTTATCAGAAACGGTAGTTGAATCGGGAAAAGTGAGCTCAAAAGAGCCACCTGTACTCGATATACTATTCAATACCTTTTCAAATACTAGGAATTGAGATAGATAACAAGAAAAAGTGGATGAGCAAAAAAAGTGGACTCGAAACCACCATTTCTGACCAGTTACCGGATAAACCGCAATTGTTATTCCGGGATTATCGGAAAGAGATCAGAAATGGTAGTCGAATCATAAAGTGAGCTCAGAAGAGCCACCTCTTCTTGACTAGTTATTTATACCTTTCTGAATACCAGGAATAAAATAAGATGTCAAGAAAAAGTGGATGAGCAAATGAAAAGATGGCTCAAACCATCTTCTCTGCACAGATTCTTGATTAACCACTTTTCAAATTCAATGGTAAAATCTAAGAACTGTTCAGAAAAGATAGTCGAACAAAAAAGTGGATTCAAAACCACCAGTTCTGACTGCTAATGAAGTAAACCTCTTTATTTTTGGATTACTTAAAAGCTTTCAGAATTGGTAGTTGAATCAGGGAAAGTGAGCTCGAAAGAACCACCTTTTCTTGACATTTAGCTTATACCTTTTTGTATACTAGGAATAGAATAAAATGTCAAGAAAAGATGGATGAGCAAATGGAAAGATGGCTCAAACCATCTTCTCTGCACAGCTTCTTGTTTAACCACTTTTCGAATTTTATGGTAAAACCTAAGAACTGTTCAGAAAAGATAGTTGAACAAAAAGTGGTTTCAAAACCACCATTTCTGATAACTGATGAAGTATACCTCTTTTGTTTTTGGTATTACTCAAAAGCTATCAGAAATGGTAGATGAATCTAGGAAAGTGAGCTCGAAAGAGCCACCTCTTCTCGATATACTATTCAATACCTTTTCAATTACCAGGAATTGAGATAGATAACAAGAAAAGGTGGGTGAGCAAAAAGTGGACTCAAAACCACCATTTCTGACCAGTTACCGGATAAACCACAATTGTAATTTCGGGATTATCGGAAAGAGATCAGAAATGGTAGTTGAATCATATAAAGTGAGCTCGAAAGAGCCACCTGTTCTTTTCAACTATCTAACACCTTTTCATATACGAGGAGTTAGGAAAGTTGACAAGAAAAGGTAGATGAGCAAAAAAGTGGACTCGAAACCACCATTTCTAGTTGTTCAGTACTTATATCTATCTAATTTTCGGATAAAAGTCTGAAGAACTAGAAATGGTAGTTGAATCGGAAAGCTCGAAAGAGCCACCTCTTCTTGACTAGTTATTTATACCTTTCTGAATACCAGGAATAAAATAATATGTCAAGAAAAGGTGGATGAGCAAATAAAAAGATGGCTCAAACCATCTTCTCTGCTCAGATTCTCGATTAACCACTTTTCAAATTCAATGGTAAAATCTGAGAACTGTTCAGAGAAGATAGTAGAACAAAAAGTGGACTCAAAACCACCATTTCTGACTGCTAATGAAGTAAACCTCATCCGTTTATGGTTAAATTCAAAAGCGATCAGAAATGGTAGTTGAATCGGGAAACGTCAGCTCAAAAGAGCCACCTGTTCTCGATATACTATTCAATACCTTTTCAAATACTAGGAATTGAAATAGATAACAAGAAAAGGTGGATGAGCAAAAAGTGGACTCAAAACCACCATTTCTGACCAGTTACCGGATAAACCACAATTTCTATTTCGGGATTATCGGAAAGAGATCAGAAATGGTAGTTGAATCGAAAAATGTGAGCTCAAAAGAGCCACCTGTTCCTTTCAACTATCTAACACCTTTTCGTATACTAGGAGTTAGGAAAGTTGCCAAGAAAGGGTGGATGAGCAAAAAAAAAGTGGACTCGAAACCACCATTTCTAGTTGTTCAGTACTTATATCTATCTAATTTTCGGATAAAAGTCTGAAGAACTAGAAATGGTAGTTGAATCGGAAAACGTGAGCTCAAAAGAGCCACCTCTTCTTGACTAGTTATTTATACCTTTTTGTATTCCAGGAATAAAATAAGATGTCAAGAGAAGGTGGATGAGCAAATGAAAAGATGGCTCAAACCATCTTCTCTGCTCAGATTCTTGATTAACCACTTTTCAAAATCAATGGTAAAATCTGAGAACTGTTCAGAGAAGATAGTTGAGCTGATTCAGAAAACTGAATGATAATTGCTTCCTACAGTCTGCTTTTATATGGTCCAAAAAGGGGAGGAGACTTGATAAAAGTGGGCGGAGCTTGGATGATCCAATAACATCTGTTAATTTTGACACCTGTGTTATTATTGGGAAACACGAGGTGTTAAAAAAATGATAGCGGCAATTCACAAATAGGTGTGAACGCGTGTAAAATGGGAATGTTCGGAAATCCGGTAACAGGTGGTGTTTTGGGAATATGGGGAAAGAATGCTGTAACATTATTTTTTAGCTTGACTGGAAAAAAACATGAATATTTCAGTTACCATCGAGCATCCAATCGCAGTTCGTCTATATTTCGTGAAAGGTGAAAAAGATGACACATTCAAGAAGAAGGATCGATTCAATCTTCGAGAAATTCGAGAAATCGATGGGATTAATCCGAAAAGATCTACACCCGAATTTCACATTACAATCGGTGATCGACAATATGTGATTCTTGCAAATTCAGCTGATGAAAAGGATGATTTCATCCGTGAACTCTACAAACTTTCATCACAATATTTACCAATTCAAATGCCCGATTTTTGTAATGTATCAATTCCATTGGTTGAATCAGAAACATCGATTATTCCCATTGAACTTCCAGATGGTGATATTGCAATGCAAAGTGATTATCAACCAATTACAACAAAAGAGGATATGGATTTTCGAAAATTGTTGGGTCGTGCTGATTTGACAATTGGAGAAGCGCATAAGTTTGCGGAAATGCTCACGGAGCAATTGCAGAATCTTGATGGCGCTAATATTGTGTCAATGATGGCTAGTGAGAATAGTGTGAATCAGTTGTTGGCGAATATTGATCAAGCTCTTGAAGGCGTTGAACTTGTTGAGAAGGAATTGGATAGTTGCGATAATATTTTGGCAGTGAGTTTGTACTTGAAGTTTCAAGTGAAACGCAGAACAATTTTTTTTTAAATTTTCTGTCAGAAAATTGAAAAACTTTCACTTCGAAATAAGATTTTGAAATTTTTCTACCGACTAATCAAGTTCATGACTTCAAAACTGAAATATTCCAGAAAATCAAATTCTTTTAATAAAATCCTATTTTCAGTTTGTCCGCAACAGCATTGAACTCATCGAGGAAAAAGATTCGCTCTCTGTTGTCGAGCGGCGAAACAAGCAGCGCCTTAACGATGAACTCATCGCATTCGAAAAATCACTTCAAGCTGTAACTGCCAGTCATATTGATACACTAAAACAGGCGAATTTCAGCAACCCGGAGAGGTAATTTTCGATTTCTGAAAATGTATTCCTAAATATAAGTTTTCCAGTGTTCAAAAATGCACAGACGCTGCTCGCGCTGTTGCTCAATTTTGGCATGGACGAATCGCGAAACCGATGCTTCAAATGAAAGCGTATCAAGATCGAAATAATGAGTTGGGTGTGATTGATGGATTTGTTGATCGATTGATGTCACATTTGTCGGCGTTGTTCTCGAATTTGGTGAGTTGATTTGTTGTGGAAATTAATTATGAATCTGTCTGAAAATCTAGAGTTTTTGAGAAAAAGTCTGAAATTGAATCGTTTTTGGACAGAATTTTTAAAGGTGGAGTCCGAGCAAAATTAAGTTGTGCTCATTTGAAAGAGCATGTTCTAATTAGTACAATCCTCGAAGGATGTTTTCTGGAAGCTTCTCAAACATTAAATCCAAGCTACAGTACTTATGAACTTTTTCACTTTTACAGCCATTTTGCACGGTGTTTCATTGATTTTTCGAACTTTAAAAGTCCAAAAGTCGAGATGTTCTGTAGTTTGGAACTGTCAATTCCAATTTTTTTCGAAAATGTGTCAATTTTAACCAGGAGACAGACTTTTGAATTTAAACTGATTCAAATAAATCGATTTTTGTGTCAGACTTTGATTTAGATCCAAAACTACATATGGCACTCTAATTTTTTAAAAAATTTTCCAGAACGATCTCTCGCTTGACCAAGAATGGCACGAATTGTGTATCCCAAAACAATCTCAACGATTCCGAGCTCTCTCACCACTTTCCGACCTCATCCATTGGCTCAAAACAAATCGCCCAAAAGCATATACAATCAGTCTTCAACGATATATGGATTCGACAAACATGCTCTACAAACGACTTTTTGACAATTTTTTTGAGACTTTGATCAGCAAAGTTCCAAAAGCTAATGAGAAACGGAACAGTGAGTCGAAATGGGAAAAAACATGTGAGTACCAAATAATTTCAGCGTCGGCAACAGTTTCTTCGAAATCTAGCGATAATCAAAGTTTTATGAGCGTTGCCAGCGACGTCGACACTGATACTTTGCCCCAACTTATCGAAACTGTTCTCGCTGAACTCTCGGCAGTCATTGATGCCGAACAAAAATTTGTTGTCCGATTTTTTCACATCAATTCGGATTTGTTGGCACAACTCGAGACGATTTCGACTGGTTCGGGTGATAGTTCGAGTTTGGGTGGACGGAATATTGAGCGACATATGAATGAGCAAGTTCGACAAGTGATGGGTGCACTTTTTGAGAGTTTGAATGTTCATTTGGACAATTTTTGTCGAGCGATTTGTAGGAATAATCCGAGGTTTGTGAATCTCCAGATTCTATAAGTTCAGATTCTACCAAATATGTAAAAAAAAATATAAATTTCATAAAAAATTTGCAATATCCAGACTCTCTCTCATTTCCAGCAATGTTCTTCTGCTCTTCGTGATCATCTCCAAAAAAGTGTTGGTCCCTCAAGACCCCGGAACTTATTTCTCAATCACCTTTGGAAGTTTGGTTGTGCTCATCAAAAGACAATTTGATAATTTTATAGTGAGCTGCCCCTTCTCCCCATCCCCCAACTCTTCATATTTCAGAGCCTCGAATGTCAACAATACTCTGAAGTTCGAATCACAAAAAGAACACGTATCGGAATTTTGCCATCGATTGCCAGATTTTCGGCATTTGTCAAAGAGAGCTGAAACGATTTTTGTGAACACGGAACGTCGAACGGATCTTGAGAAAGCGTATTATCATTTGTGCCGTGCGATTTGTGATGGGATTCAGAGAGCGGCGGCGAATCCGAATAGCAAATCGCCACCATCGGTTGTCAAGTTTGAGAATTTTCATCAACTTTATTGTGAGTTTTTTTTTTAATTGGAAAATGGATTCTGAAATTTCCGAATTTCCAGTAACTCTCTCCGAGCTCAAAATCGTTTGCCTTGACCAACAACGAAAAGACGCAAAAGCCCTTAAAGAAGAGCACATTGATGCGTTTGTCAAAGAATATATGGGACGTCCGCTTGAAAAAATTCAAACATTCTTCGATGCTGTCAACAATGCAATTGAATTGCGTGGAGTGAAAGCCGAAGAAATTAGTTATCAACAACAATTTAGTCGAATCGAGTTGAAAAAAGTGATTTCACAATATCCGGGCAAAGAAGTCAAGAAAGGACTCGAGCAATTGTATAAGAAGATTGAGAAGAACTTGATTGATAATTCATCACTTCTTCAAGTTGTTTGGCGTGATATGCAGGTAAATTATTGATTTTTCTTCTGGCATCGATAAAAAATTGTTTTTTTTCCAGGAACAATTCATCAAACAATTATTGGAATACAACAAATTGATTGCAATGTGCTATCCTGGATCAAAAATTGAGCTCGAAGTTTCGACTGACAATGTTCTTCAATTTTTCTCCGAAATTGCTCAACAACATTGATAGATAACATTTTTATTTGATACACTTTTTTATTTTTCTCGAAACTTACTGTGAAATGATTGCTTATGATTGATATACCCACGGGTTATTGTGCTAATAAATATATTTATATTGCTTTTTGAATTGAAATTCACAATCAGAAATTCTGATGGAACTATACTTGATTTATCAAAAAAAAAACTTCCCAAACTAAAGTTAATAAATCTTTGAGAACAATTTTTGTTCTCCAATTTCAGCAAATTGCAACATTTTGTTGCCATATCAAAAAGAAACTTATCACTTGTTACATTTTGTTACACCGCTCTCTCTCATCAGTTTTCCAGACTGAAGAAAACCATGAAACCGTTATTTTATTTCTTGTTTTTTTCAGTTTTTGCGCTGTGTTTTAGTGATGAATATGGTGGGTTCAAAAACATTGAATCTCTTGAACCCTAGACGTTCAATATTTCAGAAGTTCTGTTGGAAAATCAGCAAAAGTTATCAAAATTCCTTTTCGACGAAGAAAAATACGACAAAGAAATGGCGCCATTCCCCGATGATTCTTCGCAATATTTCATCAAAAAACCTTGGAATTATACTCTAGACATTATTCGGCTCAAATTAATTGATGTTGATGAGCCAAAAGAGCAGATAACGGTAATTTTGCAAATGATGCAGACGTGGAATGATCGAAGATTGGCGTGGAAAAAAGAAGATTTTGGGAATATAACTGGAATTTATACGAGATTGGAAAAAGTTTGGTCGCCACCATTTATTGCGTTTGGAGCGTAAGTTAGAATTTTTTGAGCTTCGGGAAAATATGAAATTTCTTTAACTTCAGAAGCTCAAATCAGATTGTTTTACAGAAGTGAAGTGGTGGAACATCGCGATCAGAATCATCGAATGGTCAAAGTTTTTGAAAATGGCACAATTAACGCGCATATTCCATTGAAAATCACAAGCAATTGTAAAATGGATCTGACAAATTTTCCATTCGACACTCATATTTGTGATATTCGTGCAGGACTTCCGGAATACAATTCAACTCAATTCAATATCAATATTTGGTTATCCGATGATATTTTGAATTCCTGTCTTTTAGGAAATGCAGCATGGGATATAGTCGATAGTAGCTGCGGGCAAGAGCATGTTCGAACCAAAGATGGATATTTTGATGACACAAAAATGGGCGTCGTAAAACTTATGATTAAACGGAATGCCTTGTACTATTTATACATGATTGTTCTTCCAATATTTATCATAAATTCCATATCAATTGCTGGAGTTTTTCTTAAAGATACCGAAAAAATGGATAGATTCACAATTGGGTTAACTCATATCATGACAATGACTTTTATCTTGGCTTTAATTGCTGATAATCTACCAAAAAGTGAACAAATCCCGCTTTTGGGTAGATATATCATTTTTGGACTTTGCACTATGATTGTAGCATTGACATTCTCAACGTATTTAAAGAAGATTTCCGCGTTTTTTGGGGAAAAATTGAAGAGCACGAGAAGTTCGTTCGGGTGAGTTTTCAGAAAGTTTTTGGGAAAAATCTCATTTTCCAGCCAACGCCTCCGTCGATTCATTGGTTCACCACTTCGCATCAGTTGCATCATCATTTTTCAAATTATAAATGCCTTAGCCGTTCTATTTTTGATCTATCGATTTTTCGCTTTCGAATATGAATATGGCATTGAAAATTGTGTAGCGACACCAAAAACAATGGATGTGATAGCAGAACATTTCATGGAGAATGGTTTTGATTAGAAATAAAATGAAATAATTTTTTATGGTTTTTTGTTGGTTTCCATGATTGGACTTCATGAAGATTTTTGGACATTTCAAAAAAACTTTTCAAAATCATACATAAATTCTCCAAAATTTGATCAGTTGTTGATAAATAAAAACAATTGTGGAAAAAAAAACCCGGATAGGAAGTGAAAGTGTTGCACTGATACGATGCGATCAAAATCGAAATCAAGAATGCTGCTTTGGAGGGCGGTCGAAACCCTTTCACTTTTCTCCCTGGGTCATTTTATCTCGATGACCTTATTATAATCATCATCCTGCTTTTCATTTTGTATATTCATCCCTTCATTTTTCTTTTCTAGGAGGCTTCATCTTCAATTTAGCGGAAAATTATGACAAGGTTGATTGTGTTGGCGCTCGTCGTCGCTAGTTTTATTCCTGCAATTTTTGCCAGTTATTGTGGACAATCCGCAATCCCTTTCACTTTTCAAGTAAGTTCTTTTTTCTTTTTTCGCGCCTCAAAAAAATGAGCTTATTTCCAGGTGCTCCGCTCAGGCCACCCAGTTTTAGGATGTGCTCGTCCAAAATGTTTCGGATGGACTGCAAATGGAACACGCGCTGGAGATTCAGCCCAATTTTATAGAGTTGCTGGAAAAGAAGATGGATATTTGAGAAGATCTGATCAATTTATCAAGCCACCAAGCAAAAATGCCAATTTTGTGCCACAAATTGCTGTGAGTTTGGGGGAAATTTCATTTTCTGAAAAAACAGGATAAAAATAGTCAGTTAAAGATTTCAGATCAGTTTCAGATCTAGATTCTATCTAGGTTTCAAAAAAAAATGAATATTTTTAGTGATGATTCTGGTTACAGTATTGAATTTTTGTGAAATTGGTTTCAGAATATATTCAACTGAATTTTTTCATCACTGAATCACAAATCACAAATAAACTCCAAACCTAAACGAAATTCAACACAATTCAAAATTTTCAATGAAAATGTCGCCCTGAAAATCCCAAAATTTCAGATCTGCTCTGACGACTACAAATCCGCGACCTGCGAAGAAGGTGAATGGGTCGGAGGTCTTACACCACAATCAGATCCATTCGCAACACAAGTTCAAATGAGATGTTGTAGCTATCAAGTGCTCATCAATGCTCAAGATCGTGGAAGAGCCACTGTCAAACAAGGTCAATTAGTTGTCGGAGGAGAAGTTCTCGAAAATGGTCGATTAGTAGCTTTTGATTATATTTCAAACGTTCAAAAAGAGGTCGGCAATAATGGAACGTAAGTTTTTGAAGAGGAAAAATTCTAGAGTCTTACATAAGTTTGTAGAATTGTGTACTATGCAACCATCAAACGTATGCCATGTTTCGATGAAGAAGAGCAAGTGAAAGAGACTATTGTGAACGCTGGAGCTGCTGTAATCCAGCAACAAAAACCTATTGAAACTATTGTGAACAACCAAGCTGTTCCACAAATTCCACAAGTCCCACAACAAGTTCCAACCAACCCAATCTATGGTAACGGTGTTCAAAATTATGGGCAATTTGCTCAACAAGGATACGGAGTTGCTCAACAACAACAACAAGTTTATCAAGGATATCCAGGTTATCAGCAACAAGTTCAACAACAACAAGTTCCATATTACCAAGATCCATTGGCTCAAATGTTCCAACAACAGCAAGCTCAACAAGCTCAGCAAGCTGCTCAACTCGGATACACTCCACTTCCACCATTCCCACCTCAAATGTTCCCACAACCTGGTCTAGCCCCAGTTCCAGTCCCAGTTGCTGCTGTTCCAGTGCAATTATCATCCACCGTACCACCAATGACACTTCCGAAATTGGAAGATCTTCCAAAACTTCAAATTCCAAGTGTTGAAGATGTTGAGCAAGTTATTCCACCAGTTCAAAGAGCTATTTTGACAAGTGTTGCTAAATTCTTTGGAGTACTGTAGATAACATTTTTTTTTGTATTTTGAAATTACTATAACCAAAGCTCGTACTAATAATGAACAAATTAATAATAATAAATTGTGAATTTTCAACATTTTTTGAAACAGTAAGAAAAAATACCAGGTGTTAAGTACATATTTTCGGAAAAACAATCAGGATTCATTGTTGAATGTATTTATTTCTCACGTTTGTTTTTCTCAAAATTTCCAAATTATCCCTGTTTCATTGTGTTTGAAATGAATTGCTGTGGGGAATTTTTCCATTTATTTTCTGGGAATCTTGGGATTTTTTCAAAACAAAACTTGAAATTTTAATCACCAGCTCCACCATATTTATTTTTCAGAGTTATTCACCCTCCAAAACAGAAGTAACACCCTCCAAAACAGAAGTGTGGGCTCTTATAGATATTTTTAATCATAAGAAATTCCTAGATTTCTCTCCACGATTAGTCTTTTTTCTCGCAAAACAAAGTGCATATTCCTCTTTGTCTCAACACATACCAAAAGCTGGTGAAAAGAAAAGAGAGAGGCACAAAAAATGGCGCCAAAATTGATTGATTCGCATTTAGTTAGAGAGAAAATGAATAGAAATGTGACATTGGTTTTTGTTGCGCAATATTCATTTTGAACAAAAATACACGGGTTTTAGGTGGGAATGTTTTGAAAAACTTTACTCCCAATTTTGTTCTAGACAGAGCAGAAAAATCAAATCACCGATTTTTATCTTAAAATCTTTTATTTTCATGAAAAATAAAGTTTCAGATATTCCTCAGCAAGCTTCTAAACGAAAAAACTCGGGCCGATTTTTTTTTGAAAAAACTCTGGCCGATTTTTTTTTGAAAAAACTCGGGTCGATTTTTTTTTGAAAAAAGTTTTTTTTGAAAAAACTCGGGCCGATTTTTTTCATCCAACGAAAAAACTCGGGCCGATTTTTTTGAAAAAACTCGGGCCGATTTTTTTCATCCAACGAAAAAACTCGGGCCGATTTTTTTAAAAAAAAACTCGGGCCGATTTTTTTGAAAAACTCGGGCCGATTTTTTTTGAAAAAACTCGGGCCGATTTTTTGAAAAACTCGGGCCGATTTTTTTTTTGAAAAAACTCGGGCCGATTTTTTCATCCAACGAAAAAACTCGGGCCGATTTTTTTTGAAAAAACTCGGGCCGATTTTTTTTCATCCAACGAAAAAACTCGGGCCGATTTTTTCATCCAACGAAAAAATTCGGGCCGATTTTTTTGAAAAAACTCGGGCCGATTTTTTTTTGAAAAAACTCGGGCCGATTTTTTTCATCCAACGAAAAAACTCGGGCCGATTTTTTTCATCCAACGAAAAAATTCGGGCCGATTTTTTTTCTGAAAAAACTCGGGCCAATTTTTTTAAAAACTCGGGCCGATTTTTTTGAAAAAACTCGGGCCGATTTTTTTTTGAAAAAACTCGGGCCGATTTTTTTTGAAAAAACTCGGGCCGATTTTTTTGAAAAAACTCGGGCCGATTTTTTTGAAAAATCTCGGGCCAATTTTTTTTTGAAAAAACTCGGGCCGATTTTTTCATCCAACGAAAAAACTCGGGCCGATTTTTTTTTGAAAAAACTCGGGCCGATTTTTTGTTTTGAAAAAACTCGGGCCGATTTTTTTTTGAAAAAACTCGGGCCGATTTTTTTTCATCCAACGAAAAAACTCGGGCCGATTTTTTTCATCCAACGAAAAAATTCGGGCCGATTTTTTTTTGAAAAAACTCGGGCCGATTTTTTTTTGAAAAAACTCGGGCCGATTTTTTTTTTTCATCCAACGAAAAAACTCGGGCCGATTTTTTTCATCCAACGAAAAAATTCGGGCCGATTTTTTTTCTGAAAAAACTCGGGCCAATTTTTTTTTTAAAAACTCGGGCCGATTTTTTTTTGAAAAAACTCGGGCCGATTTTTTTTTGAAAAAACTCGGGCCGATTTTTTTTTGAAAAAACTCGGGCCGATTTTTTGAAAAAACTCGGGCCGATTTTTTTTGAAAAAACTCGGGCCGATTTTTTTGAAAAATCTCGGGCCAATTTTTTTTTGAAAAAACTCGGGCCGATTTTTTTCATCCAACGAAAAAACTCGGGCCGATTTTTTTTGAAAAAACTCGGGCCGATTTTTGTTTTGAAAAAACTCGGGCCGATTTTTTTGAAAAAACTCGGGCCGATTTTTTCATCCAACGAAAAAACTCGGGCCGATTTTTTTTTTTGAAAAAACTCGGGCCGATTTTTTGAAAAAACTCGGGCCGATTTTTTTTTTTGAAAAAACTCGGGCCGATTTTTTTGAAAAAACTCGGGCCGATTTTTTTGAAAAATCTCGGGCCAATTTTTTTTTGAAAAAACTCGGGCCGATTTTTTTCATCCAACGAAAAAACTCGGGCCGATTTTTTTTGAAAAAACTCGGGCCGATTTTTGTTTTGAAAAAACTCGGGCCGATTTTTTTTTGAAAAAACTCGGGCCGATTTTTTCATCCAACGAAAAACTCGGGCCGATTTTTTTTTGAAAAAACTCGGGCCGATTTTTTTGAAAAAACTCGGGCCGATTTTTTTTTGAAAAAACTCGGGCCGATTTTTTTTTGAAAAAACTCGGGCCTTTTTATTTATATTTTTATTTTTATGAGTCAATTTTGGCAATTTTTGAACTTTTGAGAGCCCAGAATTTGGCTTTGAGATCTAAAATTTTTAGAGTGTTCTTATGACCCCAAAACTGGTCCCTGTCCATGGATAAAATTTCATCAAGATTTGAAGTTTTGAGTAAAAAAGGTTCCTTGTTGTGAGTCATCTTTTCCCCTAACTTCTACCGTAATCTTTTTTGCACGGTAAATAATAGTTTTAGTTTCCCATGAACTTTATGCGATACAAATGTCACTCCATTCTTTTGTTTTTCTTGTGTCTACTTGTTTCCTACTAAACTATTTTTGTGACACTTTTCTTTTTTTCCTCACATTTTTGTGGCTTGCTACTATTTTTTCAATCAATTTAATTTTTTCAGGGCTTACAACCAAATTCGATCAATATGAAAATCATCAAGTTTACTCTCAAACACTCCTTCATTGACCGGGTTGGTTGATATTGAATTTATGAAGGTAGAATTATTTTTTCAGAGATCTCTTAGCAATATCTGTCACGAACAACAATGCTGTTATTGCCAAGACAATCGCAAAAGATCGCAATTGATTCGCGTGCCAAAAAAAAATGTTGAGATTTTGGAATGGATAAGAGTTCACGGGCCAAAGTTTGCGAAATGTGTTCGACTTTATCCAAGAGGCTTGGTTTGCAGAAATCATTTTTTGAAGAAATGGAAGTGTCCGGAAAAGGAGGTGGTGAGTAAACCCGATATTTCTAAATTCTTTTGAATTATTTTTAAAATTCTCTAATTTAAGCCAAGTCCAAATGACGCTGATGACGACGACATTGAGGTAATCTCGCATCACAAATTCTCAATCCCAATCACTGTTCCGAAACCAAAAACAGTCAGAGAGCAATTCGACTGCAAAAAGAACGAGGTATTTTCATTCTTCTTCCACTCACATTCAGACAAAAATCACGAGATTTTCAGAAACCGTGCCGCATTTGCGAAGATATCAAAGATATTTCCGAGATGTCGGAAATCCCCGAACCACCCATGGTTCGAAAATGGAAGATGACGAAAAAAGAGGAGTTCATAAAATCGCTGTCTGAACGTCCAGGGCCACATTATTTGTGCACCATTCATTTGGCAGATTTGGAAGCGGAATAAGTTGTTGCTCATGTTTGTTAAGGGTGTTTATTGTACCTCAAATCCCTTCAGTTACTTTTTGTTAATAAAAAATTTTTGTTAAAAATTGAATTTTTTTTTCTTATTCATACTTCTGAAAACTTGCAGACTTTTATTTAAAATTCTCTAAAATTCTAAAACGTTTTTCTACATTTGCAAACTCTTTTTATTCTACTTTTGCGTATGTTCTTGAACAAAATCAATTCCAAGAAAAAAACAGCAAAAAATAAAGGAAAGGATGAAAGTGCGCCCTATTGACAAACGTTGCAATGCGGACACTCTCTCAAACATGTGTGTGTGTGTGTTTGTTTTTTGTTGCCCATCATTTTTTTTTCAGTTTTCGTGTGTTTGTGTTTTTTGGACTTTTTTTTTAAATTTTGATTTAATTTCTTTTTTCATTGGGAAAATCGATTATTTCTTGACTACTAATCGAAATTGGATAAAAAGTAACCCAAGAGATTCCGTCTGGTTCTGAAAAAATCAATAAATATTTTCAGAACTTGTTGAAAATCCTAAAACACGCTCATGTTTTTTCAATTTTTATAACCTGTTGTTTCTGAAATTGGAAATTCTAGAAGAATCTAGTTTTCTCCCAAGCCCTTCTATGTCTTCCCAAAAGTCTATAAGAAGCAAACCGTTCCCTTCCCACCTTATCTGGTTTCTGTTTTCTCTCCACCCTACTCAATTACACGTGTTATTTTCAAATAAGGTGCGAATCTCCACGCCCCCCTAGTTGCTTTCTTGGTTTATTTTATTGGCGTTGGTGTGTTGTTTATTTTTTTTAGGTTTCAAGATATTTTCTGATAATTGTAGTTCTTTTTAAAACACAATGTTCTCCTCTGAACTTGATGTTTTTGCAGCCAATCGTCATGGGACAGTTGTTTTGTGACGTCGACGACGACAACATTGAATATGTCTACAACACGGCAGTTTTCAAGGAGATGGCATTTTGTTATAAAGGTGCTGGAGGAGATTTGTTGAGAAGATGGTTGGTGAACAAAATGTTTATGGCAAAAATCAATGATGCTCCAACTAGGCGTTCCGAGCAACTTGCAAGAGATGCGGAGGTTAGGGTTTCAAAAAAATTAATCCAATCATATATTTTTTTTCAGAATGCTGACAATGCTCAAGAAGCATCTCACCAGGAAATTCCAACTGCAAGTGATGATCAGAAAGATAGTTTTATTGATTTTATGGAGGGACTTGCGAAACAAGAGGATTCAGACAGAAATCAAGGAGGAAATTCTGTTAATTATTTGGAAGAACTTGCCAAGCTTGTTGAAAAACACGAGGTTAGTAAAATACACAACAGTTATTCTTCAATCATCATCAATTCAAACTTCAATTTTTTCAGAAAGTCGCTGAAGATTCCGCAAGCGTCGCTGTTTCTCCAAGCCGCAAACGTAAAGCAACAACATGTGCTGAATATGAGATCGAAGCCAAACGACGCAGATGAGCCTTTCGCAAATGTCCCTTTAATCAAATCTGACATATATTTATTCCAATCACATTTTCATCCCCCACACGTGTATTTGATTATCCACGAGTAATATTGTTTTGTACGAGTATCGATGTAACCTTTTCATAATCAAATAAAATCGTCATTTATTGATCCGTTGTTTTTTTTTCTCAATTTCAGGAAAAATATTTTCAGATAGTTTTGATTTTGTTCAAAAAAATCGATGAAATTTGTGTTTTTTGTCTCGTTTTCTCTGCGTCTCTCTCTCTCCACTCACAATGTGATAAACAAAACTCCGCCACACATATGCCTCTAGTTTAGTGCAATATATTTGCTGATGACGATTCACTTTTTCTCCAGTTTCCATTTTTCTTGTGTTTTTCTCGTTTTCTCTGCGTCTCTCTCTCTATACTCACACTGTGATAAACAATACTCCGCCACACATATGCCTCTAGTTTAGTGCAATATATTTGCTGATGACGATTCACTTTTTCTCTAGTTTCCTATTTTCTTGTGTTTTCGTCTCGTTTTCTCTGCGTCTCTCTCTCTATATACTCACAATGTGATAAACAAAACTCCGCCACAAATATGCCTTCAGTTTAGTGCAATATATTTGCTGATGACAATTCACTTTTTCTCTAGTTTCCATTTTTCTTGTTTTTTTGTCTCGTTTTCTCTGCGTCTCTCTCTCTATACTCACACTGTGATAAACAATACTCCACCATACATATGCCTCTAGTTTAGTGCAATATATTTGCTGATGACGATTCACTTTTTCTCTAGTTTCCTATTTTCTTGTGTTTTTCTCTCGTTTTCTCTGCGTCTCTCTCTCTCTCCACTTACAATGTGATAAACAATACTCCGCCACACATATGCCTCTAGTTTAGTCCAATATATTTGCTGATGACAATTCACTTTTTCTCTAGTTTCCATTTTTCTTGTTTTTTGTCTCGTTTTCTCTGCGTCTCTCTCTCTATACTCACACTGTGATAAACAATATTCCGCCACACATATGCCTCCAGTTTAGTCTAATATATTTGCTGATGACGATTCACTTTTTCTCTAGTTTCCATTTTTCTTGTTTTTTTGTCTCGTTTTCTCTGCGTCTCTCTCTCTATCTCAACTCACAGTGTGATAAACAAAACTCCGCCACACATATGCCTCTAGTTTAGTGCAATATATTTGCTGATGACGATTCACTTTTTCTCTAGTTTCCAATTTTCTTGTGTTTTTCTCTCGTTTTCTCTGCGTCTCTCTCTTTCTATCTCTGCGTCTCTCTCTCTCTATATTGTGATAAACAATATTCCGCCACACATATGCCTCCAGTTTAGTCCAATTTGTTTGCTGATGACAATTCACTTTTTCTCTAGTTTTTACCTTTTATTATTTTTTTGCATTTTCGGTTGGATGAAACCTAATTTATCATCTTTTCCCTTTGTTGTATAGTTTACTGTTTTCCTGTGTTTTCTCTTCGTTTTTTTATTACATAATTCCAAATTTTATCAAATCGATCTCATATTCAAAATGTACTTTTTCAAAATTATTTCTTTCAGCCTAGCATGGATCAACAATTTTGCGATATTAGCAACGATCAAATCCAATACATCTATCATACTGCGCTGTTGAAAGACTTGGATTTGCCTCCTGCGAAGTGGATAAAAGGAGATTCGTTTCGAAGATGTGTTGTTAATCAAATGTTCATCGACAAAATGACTCGAATCATATACGGATGTCGCAAGGAAGAAGATTCTGTTGCTATATGTCGAGCAGAAGCGCCTAGCCAAGATCATCTCGCCAATCAAAAAAGTCCAATTCCAGAAGAGCAAGGATCTCCAAGCAGTTCAAAGGGACAAGGATCTCCAAGCAGTTCAAAGGGACAAGGATCTCCAAGCAGTTCAAAGGGAAAGACGAGTTATTTCAAACGCATCGAAAGATTGATGAAAGAGCGCGGGGTTAGTCAAAATTAAATAACAAACATTTTTCAGTCGGTTTCATTGTTCAATTTTCAGCAAAACTATAAAAATGCCGTTGCTCCAATTTTCTACCACACCGAAGTCGCCCCCAAACGCCGCAAATAGTCTACCAACTCATGTTTCTACCAGTTTTTCGCCGTATATTTGCACGCGATTATCAAATATCTTATAATCATTCAATTTTGTTACATGTTTTATTGATTCCAACCACATTTTATCCCCCACACGTGTATTTTATTATCCACGAGTAATAATGTTTTCCTACGAGTATCAATGTAACCTTTTCATATTCAAATAAAATCGTCATTTATTGATTATTTTTGTTTAAAACTTTGATTTCAAGTTTTTTGTCTTGAGTCTCTTACATCATATGTTATCGAATTTTGCTCTTTAGTATCAAAAACTGAGCAGTTATCAATATGTCACATTTTTATGAATAACATCCACTCGATGAATTAAACCTTGCATGAACTGCAAAATAAAAAGAGATCGGTGACAGTTCAGGAACATCGTTGTATCTCGCATCCACATGAACACACTTGATATCATCTCTTTGAGGGTATTCACAAAAGTGCGGGCCTGAACAAGGAACTGGGGGAGCTCCAGCGTACATGTGTGTATAGAATTTGAATCAATAAAAACAAAAGGCTCCTTTCTTGCCAAAACACCTAGTTTTTGAGAAGAGTTTGTCATCAGGTGTCTGTCTTTACTACCTTTTTGGTGACGTAATTTTTGTTGCTCAATTTTCTCCTAATACTGGAAGTTTTTTCATATACATAACTTGCAGAAAACCGTAAAGAAACTTTTGAATTTAAAATGAAATACGTCTTTTGAACAAGTTCAGAAAAATTGAAAGTTTTGAATCTGATAAATTTTTGTTCAGCCAGCATCTACAAAAAAACTATAGATTTTTTTCCAACCTCAGAAACCAAAATATCAGTAAAAACTTTCCCATATTGATACTTTTTCCAAAAACAAACGTGCCAATTCACACATTTTTTCCGGCCCCTTTTCCTATCACAAAAAAATCAATAAAAAGGAAACCGCTCCTTTCTTGCCAAAACACCAAGTTTCTGGGAAGAGGGTGTGTCTGTTATCTCTCAATAACACATGTTATTTTTTGGAAATTGGTGGGCGTAACTTAAGAGAGCACTCGCACCTGTCATTTTTTTAGTAATTTGTTTATTTTTTATTGGTGCCTTTGTTAGTTTTGGCTGTTTCTTTTAATTTAATTGTTGTACTATTTCCTTACTTTGATTACATAATTCAAAAATGTTTCAGATTGAAATGGGTCATTTGTTCGCTGATGTTCCCGACGAACACGTTGAATACTGCTATGATATTGCTATGATGAAAAAAGCTGGATTCAATTACAAACGAATCGGTGGAGATTTGCATAGAAGAGTGTTGCTGAACAAGAAATTTGTGGCGAAAATTGAAAAAGTATCGGATCAATATTTGACCGATCATTATGCTCAAAAAGCTGAAGAAGAGAGAAAGGTGAGTTTTTATAATGGAATTGCGAACAACATTGATAATTTTTCATAATCAAATAAATATTATCAATCAAATAATTTTCCAGAATCGTGAAACCACGGAAGCTGCTCGGAGATTGGAAATGGAGCGAAAAGCTTCGGAAGAAAGAGCTGAAGCTGTTCGAATATTGGAGTTGGAGAAAAGAGCCTTGGAGGAAAAAGCTATTGAAAAATATAGAAAAAGTCGACGTAATAAACGAAAATCGATGCCGAAGAAACATCAACTTCCCGCCAAAAAACAAAAATAGGCCAGTTAACCTTCATTAACACTATTAAAAATTACAGTCACTTCTTACGAGTATTATTCATTGTTCATATCGTTTATTATTATTAGTAATTTTCAAAAACAAAATGTAAATAAACCGTCATTACTTCAAAACAACTGTTTTCTGTTTTTTGAGGACTCAACTTTCAGAAAAATTTTCAGCCATTTATTTTAAGGTCGATGAGAACAGATAAATTCAGACAAATATCACGTTTGAAAATATTTAGACGTGACCTCTGGATTTAAATGATCTATGCCTAGGTGAACTTTTTTGACACTGTTTTAACAATCCCATGAGCAATATTGATTTTTTTTTTCATTTTCCCATAAAACGATTTCTTTCATAGCCTTATCAATGACTCATTTGGATTTTGATTTTGGCCAATTTTTTGATTTCCAAAAAACATAACATCAGGACCGCCCCTTTCCTCTTTTTCTTACATTTAGTTGTTTCATGTTTGCGCCAAAATGTATTTCTTTTTTGAAAAAATAAAAACTCCTGTGTTTTAGTTTTTCCGTTGACCCCCGTCCCAAAAATAAGAATCAAGTTGGCTGGTATTTTCGTTGCCCCGATTTACCTAATTTTTGTCCGGATAGGCGGCTTAAAACTAGGTCTTTAATTCTTGTGTACCCTGTTCATAATCTCGTTGGTCCGTAGACCAACTGACTGATCGGCCTGTAATCCCATGAGCCAGATTGTCTGTTACCCAATTTTCCCAGGGATTTTGATTTTTAATTGAATAGTTCTTTGTTTTGGTCAGCCAAATCCCATGTTTTTTTTGTTTCAAAATGAATCATATTAATCAGAATCCCATGAGCAAATCGATGTTCACATTTTCCCATAAAACATTTTTTTCATTTTCTTATCAATCACTCATTTGGATTTCGATTTTGCCCAATTTTTTGTTTTTTTTTTCAAAAAAAAACATTAATATCATTTTCGCTGATGGCTTTTTTTCCTTCTATTTGTTTTAGTTTATTTTGAACAGCTTTCTCTAACATAACATTTACGAACTTCAAATTTCAGAAAATGAATGTTGTTGAATTTGCGACCGAAGCAATCATTTTGTTCAATGACGACCAATATATCAACAAAGAAGTTGAGAATATTTTGAAAGCTGGAATGTCCGGGCATAATTTTGTATTCCGAGTCAAATGGAGAGGAATTTCAGAAACATCTTGGCATTGTGAAGATCTATTCACCACGAAGGAAAATAAATCAATGTTGGACGAATTCAAATCAAAAAACTTCTATCCAGCAAATCTCATCATCAAACATTTGAAAAGTTCTGACAACTTGTTTTATGCGGATTATGTGCCCATGAATCGTGAGCCTGAATCACTTTCATATTTTCAAATTAATGATCAAAATCGCCGCATGGATCATTTAGATATGTTGCACGATGAGCAAGTGTAAGTAATTTTTAACGTGAGATCATAATTTTGAAGCATACATAGTTTTTTTTACAGGCAACTTCGAAACGGGTCACCAAGAGATCGATGCACGGGACACAGCGAATATCGATTTGCACATTTTGGAGAAATGGAGAGAAATTTGAATGGGAGAGTGGATCAACAATGGGATAGAGCTGGAAGTTAGTTTTTTTTCGTGGGACTTTTCTAACCATCTAGATTTATATGTTTTACATTTCATGTAATCCGATGTGAATTTTCCAGAAGCATTGGTTTCATGCAACAACAATTACTTATTTGTCAAATTCTCTTCACGCGGATATTTAGTTGAAACTTTAGTCAACAAAATCACAAATAATTTTCCATCCATGACAAATGATTTGTCAGCTGATGTTTGGAGAGTGTTCCAGTATAACCGTCAGAAAATCTCAGATTTTCAACTCAAATGTCGAGCCCGTGAATATTTGCTGAACAAGATCAATCATATTCTCGAGGTTACTGAAACTGGGCTATTCGGCAAATTGAGCATCGTAGGTTCAACTGTAAATAATTGTGGTACAAGATACTCGGATTTGGATTTGAACTTGAGACTTCCCCCATCGATCATAAAGCAAAGAGGGTAAGCTATAAATTTTGAAAAAAAAACATCACTAACAAGATTTTTTCAGGAAGAAACTTGAACTGTTCGAAACATTCCAAAGATATTTCCAAAGAGATCATCGTATTGATACAGGATCCATTGAAGTCATCCGTGCTCGAGTGAATTTGATGAAGTTCAAAATTTTCCAAGAAAATCACACTTTTGTTGTTGATTTGACAATCAATAATAGCGAAGGTGAAACCAATTCGCATTTCGTTCATTATATGGCAAAGTAGGTTTTTTTTGGAATCTGAATTTATTTTGAAATCCCCAATTCCAGAATCGACATTCGATTCCCAGCGTTGGTCGTGGTTTTGAAAAAATGGGCAAGAGCTCATAACATTCTCGATGCTCGCGATGGTTCCCTCAACTCATATAGTATCGTTCTTATGACAATTCATTTCTTTCAATCTGGAGTTCGTCCAGCGATTTTTCCAAATATTCAATCATTGTTCCCTCAAAAATTCAGTAAACTACTTCAGCATCAAGAAATTCTTTATACTGGTGATATCATTGCTGATTTACCGTATATGGAACCGAATAATTTGTCGATGGGTGAGCTTGTGATGCGCTGGTTTTTCTATTATGATGGATTTGATTTTGCTACTTATAGTATTAATGTCAGAAATGGAGGTGTTACTAAAAGGTTGGTTATTTTCGATTAGCAAAAAATGAACTACATTCTTGAATATTTTAGAACCCGCTCCCATTCCGAAATGCACATACAAGATCCATTTTTCCACAAAAACGCAGCTAGGTAAGAAATTTCCAGAATCTCCGTTGTCAACCAATGAATTTCAGCTGTGTTCATCGGTTGGAAAAAATAAAACGCGCGATCTCATTTGGCTCGGATATGTGTCAAAACAACAACTTCAAACTCGATGACATTTTCTGATTATTAGCAAAATTTGCTTGGCTTTAATTGAAATGACCTTTTATTTTTCTGGTGCAAATAAATTTATCAACAAATAAATAACAAGCATAAAAATCTACAGTTCAATTTTTCGTTTTTCAGAAACGATTCCGAAAAAATCGGAAGGTCTTGGTTTACTTGTTGTATAATCGCGATCCCGTTTGACGATGTGTGAAAATGTAGAAACACAGTTTCCAATAAATAAATCGGATCTAGCGAGAATGGCTAGAGAAATGTAGGGGTCATCTTGAGCTTGGCGGATTGCTGTGATCTGAAAATTCTATGAATAAAAATTAAAATTAAAATAAAATCACAATACCTCATATGGCTTTAATGCCTCATTGATCTCATCAATCATATGATCTTTATCACTTGCAACAAATACAGATTTGGCGCCAATTTTTCCGACTTGATCAATAATTTGATTCAGAATTGTTTGCTTGCTTGCCGCGCATATTTCTTTGGTTATTGTTCCTCGGTGATGATTTTCTCCCAAACATTGTTCGGATGCGAATATTGGTCGATTTTTTTCGACGTCGAGGTGTTCACATACTCTGGCCTAACAAAAAAACGTATGAGTTTTAATTTATCAATGTGATATCGCAGATTCAGGAATACAATTTTTAAATAATCGAAATTCCAGAACCAAATTTCAACGTTCCATAAAAAATCTGAAATCTTTTCCCAAAAAATTCTAAATCCTCACTAACCCAATCCCCATCATTTCTCAAGTGTATGCCAATAAACGGAGTGACCAAATTATTTGAAATAAATTTCTTGGCACTTTCAGTAATTCTTGATGTCCATCTCAAATATTTTTGAATTTGCCAAGTTTTTGATTTTGATGGGGAAAACCGCAGGAGCACTTGAGAATGCCAAAACTGGATATTCAGAAGATGGATATCTGAAAACATTTTTTAAAAGTTAATATAAATCTGAATGTGAATAAAAAAAACACCAACTTCTCAATCCATGCTCTTCTTGCTCCAAGAACATTCAAATCATAGCCTCCTGGAATATCGCCAAAAAATTGATCACTCACAAATTCCACATTCAAATGATTCCAATATGGTCCAAAGGGACTTCCTTCTTTTGGATGACATCCGGGTTTAGCGGATTTTTCGAAAATCGATTGTCTTGGTGACCAACAGAATGATGTGCGGTTTTGAGGTGGCCATAAAGTTGGCATCAGGTTTTTGGTGAATTCGGTGGTGGTGATGACTTTGGTGAATTTGGCGACTTGCGAGAATTGGAAGAGATGCTCGAAGGGAATCAGTTTCTGGAAAATTATTTTTATTTTTATTATTTTCAGAGGATTTCAGAACTAGTCTTTTTGAAATCAAAAGGATTTTTCGTTTTTTAAAATTTAGATTCCTTCTCTTTTCAGATCAAAATCTAGAGAAATTTATATTCGGATATTTTTCGAAAACCCAAATTATTTGTCGATGAATTTTCTAAATCCAAATATATAATTAAAATATTTTCGGCTCCTTGTAATTAATATTTTTATTTTGCAGGCTCTTGCACCTGTTTGTCACCTCCTTTCTCAAAAAAAGGCGTGGTCTATTTTGCAAGATCTTATTCATTTTCTTCGAAAAATGTTGGAAAACATGTTCGACAATGTGCCAGATGAATTATTACTCCAACTTTTCAGATATGTAAGTTTGCTATTCACATACATATATGTAAGAAGTAAAAATGAATTTCAGATTGATTTCAAAGATTTTGAAAAATTGGAAACAGAATTCAATCCTTTGCACAAAGCGATAGCAAAAAGTATACGTGATGAAATCCATTTTGTGTGCAATGCAACAATCGATTATTTCGATGAGAATTTGACTCTAACCATTCGTTCACATCGCGAAAATTCGAATCCAAAAACAATTTTGTTATCCGATTGGGAAAACAAGGTTAAAGATTTGGAATGTGAAATGTTAACGATCAAAACCGATAGGGATATTCCAATGGATCTCATGAATCAAATTCTAAAATTTGAATCAATCAGTGATCTTCATTATACCGGTCCACGAATCAGTGATGAGATGTTATATCGATTCGATGGTGCAATTAACGTTGAATTTTCTATTGTTGTTAATGAATGGCCTCCAAACTATAGTGGACCTCCTAGATTGCGTGATATTGAGATTCTTAATGATATTAATAGTTTTGAAGATGTTATTGATCTTATAAATCGTGAAGTTTGTATTACTCTTCACATGACTTGTGAAACACTGGTAAACACTATGGATACATTGTCGGTGGGTAGTTTTTTAATATGTAATATAATTTTCAACAATTTTTTTTCAGAAAATTGTTCCTGACTTTGCTTATTATGCTGATTGGAGATTTAAAATCAGCAATGTCCCTCCGGAATATAAAGATGAACCATTCGAAACGTTCATTAACGAAATACGTAAAAACATCACAATCTACACTCGCAAAAATAGTTTGAAGCGGACCATATCCTATAGCGTTTTATGGGATGAAGAGCCATGGATTATCGAAGATACTAGCGCAAATGTCTAGGCTAAATTTTTTTCTGATACAATATCAGATACATTTTATTTTTGGAATTCATTTTTCTAGTGTTAATGCAATTTGTACTTTATTTTTGGTTTATATAATAATAATAAAATGAATATTTTGAAATTTGAGCCAGGTGGATTAAGCTGGGTAATTATTCTCACCTGGTTTTAATCTTCTTTTGATCTTAATTCGTTTCTAATTACAGAGGGTTTTTGAGAAGATTATGGTGAAAAATCTAAAGCACACGCGTGGCCTAAAAACCAAGAAAAAAACTAGTCCACCAAAAAAAAATCCCTAATTTTTGAATACTTTCAAAATGATTTTCTTCAAGAAAAAAACTCACCACATTCGGATGTTCATATTGAATAAAATTTGGCAAAACCAGCGTCCTATCCAAATTTTTGGCAAATTGCAAAACACCAAGCAATTGATCTACTTGATTTCCAAACCTTCCCATACATGGGCAAAAAATGATGTAACCATTTGGATCACTTTCAATTGTCTGGGAGCTTTTGAGAACTCCGAAAGTGAGCAGGAAAATCGTAATAGTATTAGGGTTCATATTAAAGGTGCATCTAGAAAAAATGAAAAAAGATAAGAACCGTTTTTATTTGTTTGGGATGGCTTGGCTTTTTTATTGATTTTTCTGTTGGAAAAGTAAAATATACTTTTAATGTTAGTAATAAAAGATACATGCTTGTGTTAGACAAATTTCAAAATTCTTGAAAAATTCGGAAAAAAAAATAGATTTATGAAATGAAAAGTAGAACCCGTGTATGGTCATTCAAGAAAAAAAAGGAAACATAAAATATGTAATTTTTGGGGGGACCAGAAATGGCAAGAGAAGAAAAAGGGGGAACAGGTGACTTTTAGAGAACAATAAGGACAAAGACTAGGAAAAATAAAAGAGCACTGAGCACGATGATCATTTTGCATTGACTTGAGTCTGGAAAATATTGATTTTAGGCTTGTGGATGGGGGGGGGGGGCTTGAAATTTTTGTGGAAAATATTTTTTATCTTAAAATAATTGAATTCGGATTTGAAAATCTAAACTATGTATTATTTTTTTGAAATAGAATTATTTCCTATTTTTTTTATTTCCCAATGAAAATGACACGCTGAAAATACAAAAACTTGTACGTGTTCCTTTTTTTTCGATTATTCTTTGCACATTTTCTCATAAAAATTAAGTTGCCTACATGAAATGCGCAAGCCGACCGACAGCTGGCGCATTTCTATGAGCATGTTGAAAATATTTTGGATTTCGCAATATCCAACAAAGAAAATCAAACTGGAACCGGAAAATGTGGAATAAGATTATATGTATGTACATGGAATGTTCAAAATTCTTTTAAAAAAATCTATTTCGGGAATGTTCCCAATAAAAAAAACATTTCTAAACTCACCATCCTCCAAATGCGTCAATTTTGCCATTTTCTTCATCACCGCATCCAGCTTCGAATCCACCCGATCCATATCTTGTCCAAGTTCATCTAACATTCTAAACACAACAGAACTAGATCGAGATAATTTTCATAAAACTCACATTGCTTGATGATCCAGCTCTTCTCCAATTCTCGAACTCATCCCTCTCAACGTTCTCACCGAGTTTCCAACCATCTCAAGCTCATCGTCTTGATCTCGAATAATTTGCTGAAATCGTTTTTCGTTGATCAAATGGTTTTTTTTTTGAAAAACTATACCTCTTGCCGCTCTAAAAGTTGTGCATGTGAGCTAGGAGTTTCTGCAAACTCATCCTCGTTCAATTTCGAATATTTGTAGCTCATCTAAAAATGTTTTTTTTTTGTTATTTTCCAGACAACTCTGTTAGATATTTCAAAAAAGTTATGATAACTTATTTTGGAAGCCAAGAGGAAAATTATTATATTTAAAAAAAAACCGGATTTATTTGTGAGAGGAAGAAGAAAAAAAATTAAAAAATATATCACCAATATTAGTAAAAAATATGTCAGCTCGAAAAACCCGTTGATAGGAAACAAATCTATCTACAAATAAAAATCAGAAACTTCTCATTTTTTATCAATCATTCGCATTTCGGAAATCGGAATTTTGAGCACTGATCCCATTGCTTTCAGAATCGGTTTACTTGGCATACTCGGGGAATTCATTGAGTGAAGAAATTGTGTGAAAATGTTGCGGAGATAGTCGATCTCACTGGTAGAGGAGAGCATTTGAAGTTTTCCTGGGAAGAATATTGATTTTTAAAATTGAACTCTGAAAGGGAACTTGAAAATTTGAAAATGAACTACAATCTCAATTTTTGGTCCCATCCTATAATTAGGTCCTCAAAAAAAATTCACAATAAGTTTTTTTGAGTTTCGAAGACTTATTTTAGTTGAGGGGATCCTAATTCAATTTAACAAATTCTGTGAATCAAAAAAAATTCAGAGTACAAAATTTCAATGCGTATTTTTTATACTCAAGAAAAAAATGATACCTTCAAGTGCTCGAACTTTCTCAGTCATCTCTTCACTTCTGGCAACAGATTCCAATTGTCTTGTCATTGCAACTTGCTCATTTTCACGCAGCCTCACTTCCAAATCCAGCAATTGTTTACTGAAAAATCAGAGAAACTTTTAAACCTATCCAGAAAATATAATACTTACCGTAACTCTTGAATATCAAACTCTTTCTTGGTCAGCTGATTTTCATAATAAACATTTTTCGAATCCGGATCATTTGGCACATTTGCGTTGCTTTCTCGATCATCTTGTGAGAAAGTGCGGCTTCTACGGAAGCTTGCTGGATCATCTTCATGTCCCGAATTCCTATTATGTTTACTGATCTTCCTCGGCTTCTCCATTTTCTCATTTCGAAAATTGACCAACATTTTGCGGAAAGCCTCGATTTCTCGATCACGAGCATCGATTTCTTCGTGTGCACGGATTCGTTGTTTTGAAACTTCAGACTTCATCTCATCCGTTTTAGATACCTCAATTTTCAAATCATCTTTGAGTTTTCGAATAGTTTCAAGATTTTTAGTCAGCGACTCTTCCTTGGCTTCCAAATCGGCTTCAAGTTTTCTTTGGAATTTTTCAGAATCTTGAATCTTCTCGGCAAGTCTCTCAACTTCTGTAGATTTTTGCGTTATCGATTTTTCAAGTTTCAAAACTTGATGCTCCAAAATTTTGACTTGATCAGATTTGGAGTTCTCGGCTTTAGCTTCTTCGATCAAAATCATAACTTCGTTAAAAACAGCAGGGCAGAGAAATTCTGGAAAAATGGTTTTCAGAAATCTGAATTGAAAAACTTTTTTTTAGACTCACCTAGAACATCTTCATTATCCTCCTTAAACTTCTCAAATTCTTCACTCATTAAATCCACAAAACACATGGCCTCAGGAGTCGTACTCTTGCATCTTTCCATCTGTTCCAATCGCTCCTTCAGAAAAACATTCTCCCCTTTCAAAACTGTTAGAAATCCAGAGAGTTCCGATATCTCGTTCTCTTTTTCATCACATCTCTGACTTAGAATGCGAATTTGCTCTTCAAGTTTAGTGATTCGAAAATCATCTTCTTCAAGAACAACATGATTTTTCTGTAGATGTGTCTTTGCAATTTCATCTTCATGTGATTTCTTTTGATCAAGTTGAAGTGATGCAAATTTCCTCTCTAAATATATACTTCGACCATGTGCATCTTCATATAATTTTTTGAATTGTTCACGTTCCTCTTCTAGTCGTTTTATTATATTCTCATATTTTTTCTCATCGTTTTCTTTTGTGATTTCTTCGAGTTGTTGCAACTTTTTCTCATATTTTTTATTCAAGCCAATCTCTTTTTTCAGTCGAAGTTCAAGTTCAGCAATTTGTACATTTTCTGATCCTTCGGATTTGTGAGTGGGAGTTTGTTGGGTTACGTTTTGAGCTTCAGCCAGACGTTTTTTAAGTTCCGTGTTTTCTTTCTGGAAAAAAGTATAGTTTTTTAGAAATTGAATTTAATTTTGGCCTTAAATATTTGATGAACTTTAATTTTTAAAGAAAACCTAACTTTTTTGACAATCCTTGAATTCGAGAGCAAGCTAAACTCTGCGTGGGCCTAATTCTTTCAAAAAAAATTTGAAACAGCAATATTTTTACATGAAAAATTTCAATCCAAATTTTTTCCCACACCTCCCCCATAAAAACTCACAATAACTGTAGTTCTTGCCAAAACCAACGCCGATTCTTTCGACTGAAATTCCTTTGTCAATAGTCCAACCTTTTGCTTGAGTTGTTCGATTTCACTAGCTCCTGCCTTAATTTCAGCGCATGCGAATCCAGCGATAATATTTGCCAAATTCTCTTTTTCTGTCTTCAACACTTTGCAACTCTCCACAGCTACTAAAAAAATCAATAAATCATTTCGAGCGTCCCAATTAAAAACAAACCTCTCAAATTTCTTTCATAGAGTGCCAATTTTTGTCTTTCCGCATGTAATTCGCCAGCTAGTCTATCTACAGTGCTCATTTACTGAAAACAAATTTTTTATTCGGAAAAAAAATCAATAAAATCCGTGGAAAAATGTGGAAAAACCGGTTTATTGAAAATATATACAGGGCAAGAAAAAAAAAAGAAATTTTTGTTTGATGAGAAAAAAAGATTGGCAGAAATGATGTGTATGGCTTGCTGCTAAACAACGGGTAAGCGGAGTGTTGTAAAACATGAGATGACAGGGATGCAAATTTTCTGCTTGTTTGTTTGTTGATTAGTGAATGGAAAGAGAAGGAGTATCGATTTTTGGACACATTTTTGGGGGATTTTGAAAATATACGTTTTTAGTTTGACCTCGAAAATTAATTTTCAGTGAAAATCATTTTTCAGAGAACTTTAATTTCCAGAAAAATCTGAAACTTTGATTTTTCAAGAAAAAAATGTTTTTAAATGAAATAAAATTTCAAAAATCTTTGAAAAATTGATAAATAAAGCCCACTTTTAAAATTGAATCAGTAAAGCTGAACTTGATGTAAATTGTCTGAAAATAGGTTTTTGAGTAGGGTAAAGCTTGAATTTCAGCTTCTGCTATCATTTTGAGCTAAAGCTTTATCCCAGAAGCTGTTATCAGTGATTATCAATGAAATTTCAAAGAAGAAAATGATGTTAATACAAATTTCTAATAAATTTGTCAAAAACCATAAGTTCCCTCGTCCTTCACACTATTTCGCAAACTTCAACACCTGGAATGTCATAGATAGAGAGGAAAAAATATTTTTCTATAAAATGATTGCGAAATAGTTGAAGAGCTGGCAAATTTTTCAGAAATTAGTTTTAAAATTTAAAAATTCTGCAAACATTTTGAGAATTTCTAAAAAAAAGTTTACATATAGCACTAATTTTTCAAATACTTTATTCAAAATAAGATAATTTAGAATACGTAATACAATAAATAAAATGAAGTTTATATATTTTCAGATTATCAAATGGGTATTTGAGGGGATATATGAATGTTTTAGGATGAAGAGAATAATATAGAAGTTAAAATATTTCGAAGGTCTTTAAAAGTTTTTGTAAACATTTAGTGAAAAGGGGACATTCTTGAATGAATAAGGATCGTTGAAAAATAAAAAATGGAAACTTTGAAAACTTCAATAATTTTTTTTTTTAAACTTTGAAAACTTCAATAATTATAGTCCCATTCGTCGTCGGACGTGTTTGCAATCAAAAAAACACTAAAGGTGATATCATCTGATTTATGGTCGATGAAATGTACGACATCCTTGAAGCATGTTTGAACCATTTCCTCAAATTCTTGGCAGATCACCTTTCTGGGATAATATCCGATATGTCCATGGATGTTAAAATGCCACTCAGAGATCAGTTCCACATTGCTAAGTTGCTGCAAAACATCCGCACTGCCGAGCAACGCCAACCATGTGACTTCAAGATAAACATCAGGAACCGTTTTCATAACTTCCACAACATCTTCAAGGTCTCCGAGTGGAACCAAAACATTGAGTGAACCCATTTTTCTAGTTCCAGCCATTCCGGGAGTCCATTTTTCCACCTCAACTTCAAGTCTAAATCCAGTCGCATCATTCAAACGATCCAAGATCTCTTTTGTGATTGTTTTTCCAGAATATTGAAGAATATTGATCGATTTGGCGATCAGAATTTGATTCAAAAGATCCATTGAGAGTTCTTCATCAGTTTGAATTTCGAAGTTGGCACAATCCGCATTTTCAAATACTATTCTCCATTCTTCCAATGGAACTTCTCTTGAAGTTTCTTCCGACAAATCAGTTGATTTGACAGTCAGTGTAACATCTTTGTTCTTGATGACGATTTTGGCGTCGCATTTTGGTCCAGCAATGTTTATCAGCTCTTTTTTGAAAGTCTCGTCCATAAATGGATGGACCCGTCCGAGTTTTTGAGGAGCTTCGTAATCAAGCTAAAATAGTTTGAATTAAAAACTGAAAGTGAGAAGAAAAACTTACAATTTGAAAAATTGCCGAGATCAATTCACTTGGCAAAGTGCCGATTGGATCAGACATTTTTTGTAGAAAATTCAATGTCTAAATCAGATTTTGAATAAAATGATAATTCCTTGGTGAAAATCTTGGCCCCTCCTATTTTTTGCCACGTTTTCTGGTTCAATTGAACACGTGCGCGGCCTTGTACCCAGGTGGTGTGGAAAAATACAATGAAGAGTTTCGCAAAATGTTCCTTAATGGGGTTATGTTACAGTAATCTGCTATCAGGTGGGCGATATTGTTTTGCAAAGTGCATTGAGGAGATTGGTCTAGGAGTACGGTATTTCGGGAAAGTTTTTGTTTTGGGAAGATGGATTCGAATTTTTCAAAATTTTTCCAGATTCTTGGTTTCAAAGTCAACCTTGCGAATAAAAACATGAACTACATATTTTATTTTCTGAAATTGTGTTTTTAAGAATTCTGATTATAAATATACATATTCTGAAACTATTTCAGATCTGGAATATCGAAAAAATGTCGAATTTTTTGAGTGTTTTTTGAATTTGAAGAAATAGTTCTGAAAAATGGCTTCATCAGAATTTTGATTTTTGAAAAGTGAATTATTTTTTAAAACCAAATTAGCGAAACATTTTTCAAATTTCAGACCGCTTGGAAAATTATTCTCCAAAAATACTGATTTGATAATACTGAAAACGCTCCTGGTTTCAGAAATTCCCATAAATTTCTAGGAGCTCTATTCTGGAGTTCTCGAATGTGGCGAAGAGCACTATCCAAGTTATAAAAGGACTCACAGAAGGTTTTGAGAATTTTTCTTCTCTTGTGAATTTTTCCCAGTTTCTTAAAGTCCTCCCAATGTCAACAAAACCAATCAAATCAGATAAAGTTCCTTATCAATCAAATCCCAATGTTTTTTGATCTCCCAAAAAAGTCAATGTTTTCCTATTCATTTTTTTCCCCATTTCGGTCTCGCTTCTCCTCTCATTTTTCCACTTGCATTAAATACAAACGAACCGAAGAATCAAAAAAAACCTCCCCTCATTCAAAAAAGTGGAAACTTTCACCTTCCAAACCACATCTATCATTCAATGAAATGAAATGAATAAAAATAAATGAACGATTTTTTGGGTGGTTTACATGTTTTTGAATTTTTTTGTTGTTGGAAAACTAAAAAATTTGATGTTTGTAATCATTTTTTTTTTCGAAAAAATGTACAAATTGCGATATTTCAATTCATTCAACCAAAAAATCATACTAGTTTTGTTTGCGCATCAAAAAATATTGCGGGAAAAATATTTTTGTTGATTTTATTTTACACCTATTTTTTTGTGATCTGATCGCTACATATTTTTTTATAACTCTGTTTTTTTCCACAACTTCAAAAAATCAAAACTCTAGAAATTTTCAAGTATGATTCATTGTTTGTTGATGAGTCACGATTTTTCTGTAAAAAATGAAAACGGAGAAAAAAGTTGTTTGATATATGTATATGTATGTATATGTATATTGTTTGTAAGGGTGGTTTTGTTGCATTTTTGAGAGGGCTACTGTATTTTTGAAATGTTTTTTTGTATTCTGAAATTTTTGAGAGACATTTTTTTAAAAAGAAATTTGAGTTTCAAAAAATTTGAAAGGAATACTCAACTTTCAGTGAAAAATGCATCGAGTTGCAGCAATAACTTTTTATTTCAAAAATATTTAGCGAAAATTCTTCAGGCTATTCTAAAATGTTCAGAAAGCTAGAATTTTGAGACTTCTGATTCAGAGAAACTTATCGAAAATACATTACTAAATTTTTATCGTTTACACGATGATGAATTTTTTCAGGACATATAAAATTTTCCTGTAAATTTATAATTTCAAAAGCACTTTCATGTCCAATGTTCAAATTTTCATCTTCAAAAAATGCAATAAAATATTTTTATTTCCCAACCTTTTTTATGACCGAAAACCAAAAGTTCAAAATTTTAGAAAGTTTCTGTTACTGTAAATTTTTTGAATAAAAACATGTTGGTCATTTTACCCAAAATTTTCATTTTACAATCAAAAACAATTTGATCCACGCCCAAAATCCTCTTCTCTCCTCTCCCCATTAATTTCTCCAAAACCTTCCTTACCAAAAAAAATCCGGGTGTTACCATTTCTTATCTCTCTATGTTTTTTGCTGTTTCAATCTTCCAACACATTTTCATCGCCTTAATTGATTACTCACCCCATCTTAATCATCTTCAATGTTCATGTTCACTTTTTTTTTCGTTCTGTCAACTAACCGACCTCCACACCCACTCATTTCTTTTCCGAAAAATAATAGCGAGAAAAAACAGACTTTTCTCAAACACGCCCAAAAATTTTATTTATAATAATAAATGGTAAAATGTTATTTAGGTCAGGTAGTGTTGATTGACTAGTACTACTCGATTTGAACCACCTGGGTTTTGGCGCGAGACATTTTTTTGTTGAAGGTTTGGTTTAGGGTTTGATTAAGTTAAGGAATTTCGAATGAACTTTTTTTTCAATTTCAGAATTCGAAAATTCTCTGAAATTCTCAGTGAACTGTAATTTTCCGATAAAAACTCACAGAAACTTTTCTAGAATAATCTTCTGATCTACAGAATGCTGAAAAAAAAGTTTCAAATTCTTTCCTGATCTACTGAATTTGGAATTTTGAAAAAATTGTCTTTGTAGTATCCAAAAAAGTTCCTCTATCTCTGAATTAACTACCCAAAACTAGACCAGTTATGTAAATTCCCTTCCACTCCCCAAATTCTCTTCTCCATCGTTCAAACCCAAAAATTCTATACATATTTATAAATAAATTGTCTCCTCTCCCAAAATTGCACTTATCAATTGGTTTTATTTCTATGTATACCATTTCCACATGCGATGTTTCGTAAAGTATGATTTTCCGCCGCTGATAACTTTTTGCTGCTGATGCAAATTTCCTTTTTCATTTCAAAGAAACTATAGTTTTTCCTAGTCCTGGTTTGAGTAAAAAAAAACAAGCAATTAGTATTGGAAGAAAAAACAAGGTCAATTTTTTTGGGAGGAGGACACACCCTGTTCAAGTGGTAATTTATTGATTTTTTGTTTGAAAAAAGGTTTGGGCCAAGCCCAGTTCATAAAGAATTTATTCGAAAGTTGGACAATCCAATTTTTATTCAAAAATTCTTATTTTTTCCAGAAGGGTCTCTTAAATGAAGTCAAATTCAAAATCTTTTGACCTTCCAAAGATTTTTGATCTACTAAAATAATACAGTAATATTTAAAAGTTCGTCAAAAAACTCATAGTCAAAGAAAAAAACGCTAATTAAGCAAGCAAATAAGCGCAAGCCGCGCGACAAAACTCGTCTTTCCTCATTTCCCCTGAACTTTTTTTTCCATTCTTCTTGCCCTGTTTCGATCCGAAAAACATATATTTGCCTCGCCTCTGGCAAAGGGCAACCAGAAAAGACAAATTTTCTCGCAAGCCAAACGGTAAACGTTCTCATTTTTCATTTCATTTCCTATTCACTAATTCTTTTTTTTTTGTGTAAAGTTAGTTTTTTTTATTTTGAACAAAAATGTACAAGTGTTAGTTTGAGAAGATTATGATTTATTATCTGTTCAGTCGTTTTTTTTGGCGGGTTGTCGAAAACAAGTTTTTTTTATCTATCTGAAAATTAAAGTTTTTTGGAAGAAAACGAAGATTAGGTGAGGTTTTGGGATGTTTATTAGTATGACGTGGCAGATTTTTTGGAATTGTAAATTGTTGATTTTTCTTGAACCTCAAGTTTTTAAGGTTTTTTAAGAACTTTTTTTCCAGAGTTTTGCAACGTCATAGCTTCAAATTACTTTAAATTCTTGAAATTCACAAGAAAAAAATGACCAAAAAATTCTCACACGTCATTTTTTCCCTTCTCAAAAAACCTCTGCTTTATCAATGATTCATAAAAATAATTAGGAATTATATAATTCACCTGAAAAACTAATTTTATCATTTGATTTTTATTTTTTTCAGTTTCCGGTTTCAAAAAACCTACAGTATTTTTTTTTCTCGCCCCAAAAAGATGAGTTCCTTATGACGTCTTGCTCATAGCGAAATCAAATCAAATTAAACGTTTTATTTTTTGATTTCATCTTTCCCGAGTCATAAAAATCTAGTACACTTCTTAATATATAAATGTACAGAAATGTACACAATAGAAAGGTCACTCACTTTTGTTTTAGTCCGGCGCCGTTTTTGGTCTTATCAGAAGGCGAGTTTGGGGCTGTCGAAACAAACTGCTGATAAAAACCTAAACCTCAAGTCGTTGTACAGTTTTCATTTTAGTTCTCATGTTTGGTGCACTTTTTTGTCTCATTTTTTCTTTTTCGTAAATCTTTTTATTTCTAACAAAATAACATTTTTTCTAGAAAAAAAACAGCAACAAAAAATGACCAACGAGACTCAAGAAGAGACCCCAATTGTGAAATTGCGTGGAGCAAAAAATGGCTCGACAAATGTGAATGCTCAGGCTCATTCAGCTCTTGCACGTGGAATTGAGGCGCTTAACGAGGGTGAATTTACCGAGGAAACTGAAGAGATTCGAAAACTTGATACTCAACTTGATCATCTTAATGATTATATGTCAAGAATGGAAGAGAGACTTAAGGTAACTTATATTTTAAAAGAAAACAAGAATAATTTTTGAAAATTTAGGCGCACAACGATCGTATGATGGAAACATTGAAGCAACAAAAAGAGGAGCGTGAAAAACGTCGTCGAAGTTTCCACGAACGAATGTCTCAAAGTCAATCGGAAGATCAAGAATTCAAAGAGCAAATGAAAAACATTTTGAAGCGAGTGCAATCGGTGAAAAAGACCTGAACAAGCATCCACCTAATTTGTTTTTTTTTCTGGAAAATCTCGCACACTTTCATTTTGTCTCGAACCATTCAATTATTTCTTGTAAATTTATGTCACCTATTACTTATTTTCAGCAACTTTATTTTTGCCCAAAATAAAATATGCACTTTGAAATTTGGGAATACATTGAGACTCTTTTTACGAGCACAGTAATGAGCCAAAAGGTTAAAAATTTCATTTTTTTTTTGGAAAATGTTGTTCGGTGAATTTTTGTTGCAAATTATTCAAAAAATATAACATGAGCTTTCAAAATAGCGGTTCTCAGAAAATTCAATCCCAATTTTCCCCCTTCAAATATGTACATATTTTTTGAAATGCTCATCAATAGTGCATAATTTATCATATCCGCTGTTCATTAATTCGAATCATAGTTTTGTCTAGACCCCCGCAATTATCAAATCAAATGATGAATCGAATGTTTATCCTCTCCGAATGTGATGTGTTATTGTTATTGTTGCATGAATCTGACGACGAATAAGGAAAATGCGCAGTTATTTCAAGCTTCAGCTGTTCATTGTGTCGAAAAATACATAACCGTGATTTGTCATCTAATGAGGAATGAGGAAAAGAAATCAAGTGTTCAGGCGGAATTGTAGACAAGTGAAAATACAAACTTTTTATGAATGACGTCTGGGAAATTTACAAAAATAAAAAAATTAATGAGATTGAGAGATGGTCAGAACATTTCTGATTTAGGTGATTTATTACGAAATTTTCTCGACTCTCTGCAGAAAACAAATAAGTTTCAGCTTTTGATCACCGAATATGTATGTGCCGAACTGTGAAATGAATCATTTTGATCAGAATTTTGGAATTATGGAAGAATTCTGGAATTTGGAAATTCATGTTGAAAATCGGAATTTTGACAAATTTATGTGACTTCTCTCTCTGATTTGAAAAATCAATATTGTGAAAATATAAATCAGATTGATAAATATTTTGTCTTGCAAACGAGATATACGGTGAATTTAAGAATTTCATACAAGCTTCAGAACGTTCTCAAGAACAGTACGATCAGGTTCATCTCTGAGGCTGCCCTCTCATATGATCTGCAAGATCCAAATATCAAGATTTGTTATGAATCATTATACTGTAGTTTACAAACGATTTTCAAGTTACGAATTGTTTAAAACGTTATATTTTTATCCAGACTCTTGTAACAACAGGTTCATTCATCTTTTTTAATTTCCAAAATGTTTCCCAAGAGGAAGTTAATTAACACCAAATAGTTTTTTTAATCCATCAGCAAAAAACTCCAAAACTCCCATACGATCACATGACTTCAATTCCACTCCAAAACCCTCCGAACATGTTTCCACCCCCGCATATTTCAATTAATAAATTATGCAAGGCAAATATTTTCAAGGTCCAAGATCTGTCTGTCTTTTTTCTTGTCCCTAAAAAATAAATTGCGTGACAAATTTTCGCTCCCGAAATATACATATAAAAATCACCAAATGAAGAAAAAAAAAGTAATGATCCTATTGAAAAGTACTCTTCTCTTCTTACTCATCTTACTAGATCCATTAGTCAAAAAAAAAGCTTTTCAAAAAAAAACCACGTCATCAAATTGCATTTTTTTTCTAATTCGAATAATAGTTGATTTCCTAAAAAGTCAAGTCATATGAGCTGCTTCGTTAATATGAGCAATGATGTGATGTGATGTGATTTGTTTTATTGGTCCACTGAATCTAACATTAAAACACACCGATTTTTTTGGAGCATCTACAGTATGTATTGAATTTGTGTGAGAGAGAGAAGTGTGCTATTTATGACTGAAGTCGCATTTTTTGTAGGTAGTTTGGGTGTTTTTCGAGTCAGGTACAAAAATTATATGACTTTTAGACGCTGTCTGGATTGAGAAAACAGCTGAACTTGTTTTTGGCAAGCAGCCAAGATTGGGAGAAGTTGATTTTCTGAAAGATTATGAGTTTAGGAAGCTTGGGAACATGGAAAAATGAAGTTTTTCAGAACTCCAAAGGAACTCTAAATTTGACTGAAAATTTCAAAACTTCTGGAAAAAGTCAACACTTCCTGATCTCTAAAAAAAATTCCAGCCACCCCCACTTGTGTTTTTTTTTTCTCAAAAAATCATAGCTTGGCACAGGTGAATTTTCTTAAATATAAGATCAAAATTTGATTTGGAAATTGAAAATAAATAAACAAACACGAGACTTCCGGGTACATAAAACCTCTGGAATTTTTGTCAAAAATTTTGAAGCGCTCGAGTGAATTTCTGAAATTCCAGAAACAATCCAGATAAAATAAAAATTATGTGAGTTCTGAAAATTCAGAAAACATGATTTCATATCAACTCAAAAGATTCTATTTTCTGTTTGTTTACATGCACTTTAAACATTTTTGCATAATCAAAAACCAGCTGCTAAAAAGTACTTTAACAAAAAATCGAGTACAAAAAATGTACTTTTTTTCTTTCTCAAGTCACAAAACACACAAAAACTGTTCAAAAAATGTTTATTTTCTCTGTATTTGCAAAAAAAAATGAATAAATAATTTAGAGGCTTAGGCTTAGCCATGGGGTTTTTCGAAGAATAGGAGAAGAGATCAGGAAAGGTGCAAAAACTAATCTAAAAAAGTGCAAATCAAGCAAAAAAAAAAAAGGAAAACGTCGTGTGTGGTCGATACCTATTCGGTTGAATTTCGGCCTAACAAGAAAGGTGACGAGATAAGCAAGGGCAAATAGGGATGGGGGAAAATGAGAAGGGGTTAAAAAGGAACAGGGGAGTATCTACAAGGGGAGTTCTGGGGATCAGATCCCTAATTAGAATGTCAATTGATTTTCTTGATCGTTGAGGTAATTTTCAAGGGTTTTTCCATTGTAATAAACATTCTCCTTCCGATTGCATCGATCACCAACACAGCAGCAGAATCCGATTTTTCTCTTGTGGATGTTCATAAGACACATTGGAGAAGCGGTACATTGTGATGCAAGTTCCTGAAAAATATAGCGTAAGTTTCAGGATAAAAAGTGTAGAACATACCCGCTGATAACTGTAACATCCTTGAACAATTTCATCATTGACAACATCGTAGATCGCAAGACAAGCTGGCATCGCATCGGAACCTCGTTGCATTGGACATCTGATGTTTCTCGATCTCGAACTGACAGTTGAATTGAACTCGACACATTTCACATAGATCCGACCATGTCGATCAGTTCCATAGATGCTTTTATCAAAGATGATGTCGTGTTTTTGATTTTCTCTGAAAAAATGTTTCGAATGAGTTCACCTAACTTTTGAACTAACCTATCAATCATATCCAAAAATCCTTCATATTCCTCCTGTTTCTCAAATTGTACAACAGTTGAGGTGACTGTCAAGACAAACGCAAAGATGATCAAGAGAGCAGACATAATTTTCAGTAGCCGCGGAGAGAGTTCTGCAATATATAATATATATATACATATCCGATTCTGGAGCGTGGTGGAGCAAAACAAGCTCCGCCCACAAGTCTATAAATACAGAAACAGCTGAGTTTTTGTGGACGGAGCTTGGAAGAGTTCAGGTAAATGAGAAATGAAAATCTTCTGGGATTTCTGTAAAAGTGGGCGGGGCTAATCAAAAATATTTAGAACTGTTGTAAAAGTGTGCCCTAATTGCAGAAAATAATTTCGAGAACCAAGAATTCATAAAATGAAATTCTGAAATCTGGGCGGAGCCAAAAAATAATCAGAAAAATATCCCAGACTTCTAAATCTTATGGCGATGGGCGGAGCTTGAGCTTGACTATTCCAAAAAATAGGCGGAGCCAGAAACAGTTTTTTTCTACTTCTTCTATTTTTTTTGTATCACATGTCATAGCTACAGTATCCTGATGCAAGCATACTAAAAAAAAGACCACCCATATACATTCTGCAAAAATGCTCAACAGAAAAAGTGTGTGTTTCCGTTTCATCCAGGCTAGACATTAGTTTTTGCTGCCATCCGGAAGCCAGCGAGGCGCAACAGCTGATTATTTAGTGGTGGTGATTTCAACACATAAAAAAAATATCAGACATATCAGACATATGCAAGAGAGAACAAACAACAAACATTTTTTTTTCTTCAAACAACACCGGCAGCAGAAAATAAATGGCTAGACAGACACATAAAAGGTGTGTGGTTTTTTATTAGTGAACAAAAAAAGATGAACTTTTTTCACCGGTTTTCTTCTTGAAACATCTGATCTTCTTTTTCTGATAGCGTCTAGACAGGTAGAAAAGGTCACTCAAGAGAAGTTCAGGGTAACAAAGTAAACAAAAAAGGTGATTTTTCAACATTCCAATTGAAAAATCTATGACAATAATTCGGGTGAAATCTATTTTTAATGAAAAACTAGTTTTTTTGGTCATGATTTCTCGAACTATTGATATCGCGATTAATTGATTCGGGAAGTTGATGATCAAGGTTTTTTGTTTTTTCGTTTGGTCTTGAGATTATATGTAGACTAGAGATAATGGGAGTTGAATTCGGGCTTCCGAAAATTTGACCGGTACTGAGGAATTCTCGTGGAACTATTTTAAGATTATTTTTTTGAATATTTCTGGATTTCAGCATTATATTCTCTAATTCATCGCTGAAAATAAGTAGCTCATAACTCATGTTAGAGATGCTTAAATGAATGACGTTGTTCAGGATGGTCGATTTACTAAAGTCACAGAATTTTTCAGAAATTTTAAAATTTCAATTTTCAGAAAAAACTGAAAAAATGTCTCATTTTCAATCTCCCATGACTGGTCACGCTCTAGAAATCCAGACTCAATTGGAAATTTTCAAAAGATCCATAATAACTACCGTACTCAGCCAGGAAAAAAACCCATCAAAGTGCTAATTTCCAGCTGATTTTTTCAATGATTCTCAGATCGACTTGTCAAAAAGTACCGCTGAACTTTTTGTCAGCCCCAGACTTAATGACGAAAATAAGATTACTGTAAATCCTAGAGTCATCTAAAAATAGAGTGACCTGAAAATGACGTGTCATTGTTTTTTGACTCGAGTCAAGTCAATTCAATTCATCAAAAATGCAGGGGGATCTCCTCTCATTCCTCTTTGCAATATAATTAATATGATCGCAGTGAAAAAATTTGCGGCTCTGCTCTCTTCCTTTTCTTATTTTGAAATTGGCTTTTGTTTTTTCTTACTCTTTTATTCTTTTTTAATTTTTTTATCTTTGCATTCTTTCATTTCCGAGAGCTGGAAATGACATAATAAAATAATTGGGCTCAGAGAGGAATGTGAGGTAATTTCCTGCACAAAGTTTGCTTTTTTTTTTGTTCTTTCCGATGCATAGACAATTGATAGCGACAAAAAGTTACGTATGAAAACAGGAAACGGAAATTGGTTTCGGAAATAATTAAACGATTTTGGAAGTCCAAGTGTTCAGGGTGCATGCATACCCAGTGATGATAAAGGGAATTTGAAAAGTTCTAGATATTTGGGGAGCGATTTTTTTTAAATTACAGTATCCTCGAAAAACTCCTGATGATGTTAAAGTAAATCCAGAACTACAGTATCATCATCTCAACTTCATAAGTACAGCAGCATTTTTTTAATTGAAGAACTAAGTTGAGCAAACAATGTAGTCAACATCTACAGTAATCCAAAGGAACCTACAGTAACCTGGAAACATCAAAAGAAACCTACAGTAATCCATAAAGGCCATGCTACCGTATCCCAATTTTCAGATTCAAAAAAGCTACAATAAATAGAGATGTTTCAGAAATTCCTTTCTACAGTACTCCAAAAAACATCCAAAAAACCAAAACTAATATTTTTTTCTATGTAGACTACATTAATAAATACATTTTCAAATGAAAAACCTACAGTACTTTCAAACGAAACGGAAAACAAGCAAACATTCCTATTTTAAGAATGAGTTCTGAAAAAGCACACACATTCAGAAAAAGCGACAGAGAGCAAAAAAAACTTAATTCGTGATCGACAACAAAATGAAGTGCGACGAAAATTGTCTGGTCTAAAAATAATTCAGATATTTCTAATTTTAGACTATTTTTCGACGCCTTCTTTTTTTTCAAAGACAACTAGGAGACAAGAGAACCTGAAAGTTCTGAGGACTGAAGAATCTGAAAATTTTCAGACATGTTCATTTTCAGCCACGCCCATTTTCGATCTCTTCGGTCTGGACACGCCCCCCCCCTCAATATTTTCTGAAATTGTTCTGGATGCTCGAAAACATGTCTAATTTGTCATTTTCTGGAGCACACAAAAAAAATATGAAAAATTGGCTGTAAAAATGCAGTTTGGGTTATGGGTTTCGAGAAAAATGAGAAATTTTTGTAGATCATGTGTTTACGTCATTGAATATCGAACTACAAATTTTGTATTATACAGTGGCAGAGTCAGAGTTGACTTCTTGACTCTTTTTTTTTTGAGTCGTAGAAATTAGAGGGGTTTTGGCGAGAAACAAGAAATGTAAGAAAAATCAATATTTTTTTGATCAGGTATGGATTTTCTGGAAATCTTCTGTGCTAAAGAACTTTGTTATGACTTCAAGAATTCAACAATTCACCTAAAACCTCTTAACTTTGTTCAGGTTTTCGAAAAGTTCAGATTCTCTGAAATTATTCCTAGAATTCTGGAAGGCTTCAAAAACATTCCAAAAAAGTCTTTCTATTTTTTCATTCAGACATGATTTGTTCTCAAAATGTTCTCAAAATACTCATCTTCAAAAATCTGAAATATTCAGATTATACTTGTTTTTCAGACAAAATTTCTAAACCTAAAAAATCCTTTTCTTTTTTTCGCCTTATGTCATTTTAATCTCCAAGATCTATCGAACGTGAATTTCTAAAGTCACAAAAAACACAAAGATCAATTTCAAAAAAAATTCTTCATTTATTTAACCTTGATGAGTTCTTTAAAAAACACATTTCCAGACAAACAAAAAAAAATTCATACAACATACAACCTGAGTACAATTGTTGTCTAGTCCCAATTTTATTACGTAAGCTATTTTTTTGTCCAGAAAAACATAAACAACATCAAAAAAGTTCAAAAGTTGTATATTTTTAGATTTCCTCCGCGTTTTCCCACAATTATAATTTTCAGACAGACTTTCACACAATTAAACTAATTAATTCCGATTTTTGGAATTTAGAACTCTATGTATACACATAATTGCTCTTCGTGGGAAAAATTGAGAAAAAAAATTCAATTTTTCAGCTGAACAATTTTCTAAAACCCTACAGTATTCTTTTCAGAATGTACAAAGTGCAAGGAATAATCTTTTTAGAATTTGAGAAAGAATGAAAAAAAAGAATGAAAAGAAAAACAAAATTAATCAGGATTTTGAGAACTTTCCATTCTTCAGACAGTTTAAGAATAATCCTAGAACTTTTGAACGCAATTTGAATCTAAATCTAAATCCCATTTTTTTTCAAAACAAGTTTTCAGATACAAAAGAATTATGAAATTTCAAAAGTGTTTAAAATTCTATCAGTGATTAGGGAAAAGCTTGAATTTCAGCATTTAGTTCGATACCAGCGCGTCGAGTTTTCTTATTTTTCAAAAGCCCTTATAACCTAAGAAACCTTTGACGCAAAAAGGAATTTTCTAATGAACTAATTTTTTTCAAAAAATCAGAAAACGTAGCTTGTTTGTGTTTGCAAAACAAAAAAAATAGTTCAAAAGTCAGGGTTGTTTTTCTCTGTTTTTGTAGTTTTAAAATTGTCTGGAAAATGTATCAGAAATCACAATATTTCTATTTTTGAAGTGTACGGATCATTTTATAGGGCTAATAAATCAAATGAGAAACTGGGGATGCAATTATTTATTCACAAAAGACTACTTAGGCCAAGGCTTACAGTATGTATTAGGCTAGGTTCAGGAAAAAAAATCAAAAATTGAAACTTTTTTGGAATTGAACAGGTTATGAATTGAAAAAAAATATGAAAAATGATCAAAACTTTTTTTGTTAACAAAAAAACCATTGAACAACACAAAACAAAAAACAAAGTCCAAAATTTCATCAGAAACCTAATTACAAAATGTGAGAAAGACGAGACTTATGACGCGGAGAATATACAACTTTGAAATTTCATTTTTCTCGATGCAAAAATGTTTGAGAACATCAGGTTCCAAAACAGACTGGTAGTTCTTTCAATTTTCTAATACTAGGAAACACACTTTTACGATTATAACATTTTCCAAAATTTCAGAAATGTCAGTAAAATTATACTCGAAAAAACACAAAATAATGGGGGAAAATCAAAATTCACTACGCTGGGAACATTTTCAGTTTTGAGGGTAAAGATTCCGAAGTTATTCAAGCACTAATTTTGTGGCTTTTTCTTGGTCACCCATAACAAAAAATTCTAGAAATCTGTTTCAGCTTCATTTGATCATTTCCCCCGAAGCTTCAAATTCTTTAGAACATTCTGAGCTCAAAATAAATTTTACATTGGCCAAAAATCCTTTATTCATGACAGACATCTAATCCAAACATTGTGGGTGTTTCATCGAGATCAAAACCTAGACAAACACCTCCAAAAAAAAAAATTCGGCTCACCCGTTCATAATCTTTTTGTTATTCTCTCTCAAATTCTTTGTGCTCATTAACATTTCCAAAAATGTCACATCACATCAATTGTCTCGTGTTCAGTTTCTTTTGTTTGACATACATGTATTTTTTTTGTCAAAAATTATGAGGGTGCCCAGATAATCTGGGCGACGGATTAAAACAAAAATTATTTTTTTTGTTATTATTATGGAGATACAAATGTTGCGTCAAAGTTCGAGGGCTAATGAAAACATATCGGAAATTGGAGAGAGATAAGCTAAATTAATAATAGGAAATGATATTTCCGAATGATCTACTAGGGTGGTCTAGAACATCAATTATAATCATATTATTATGTATGGAATAGATCACATTTCCGGAGAAAAGTTCAGAATGTCTAGATGTTCTAGACAAAAATAATTTTCAGAATCTTTTAGTCACTTTATACCCGGGACCTGTAATTAGAAAAGTAAATTTTTGATCTACAAGAGTAATCTAGAACATCAAGATGATATTTCGAAAAAAGTAAAATTTCCGCTAGCTCAAAATATTTTCAGAACTTTTGAAAAATTCTGGAATTCTATAACTGATCTAACAAAAAATGAGCAGAAAGCGTGAAAATTTTTGCTTTTTCTGATCAAAAAGATGATCCAAGATATTTCTGAAGAAAAATAAAAAAATTAAAATGAAAAATGAAAAAAGAAGTTTGGTTGCATGATGTGTGACGTTTTCTAGTTTCGCTGATAGATGACTCAAAAAAGAGTCGGAAAAAAAGTGGGTCAGGTCAACTGCAACAATAATAATTTAATAATAATAGCACAACTAGAAAAACGAGAAAAAGAAGGAAACAAAAACTACAATTGTCACATTAAAAATTCAACGTTTGTCTGCAGAAGAAGAAGAAAAAACGTCATTTTTGTACTTGGCAAATTTTTTTTTGGAAGAAAACTTGACATTTTTGTTTTTCCGGGTAGTTTTCAATAAACAAGTGACATTTTTGAGGCAAATTTATTTTTGCTGGATTTTTTTTGCTCTTGAAAGCATCGCTAACTATAGTGTAGTTCGAAACTAAAAAAAATATAAATTTTTATGCAAACCATAAACTTTATTTTCTAGTTATGAAACTACAGTACCCAGAACAATTTTGAGAGGAGCTATAAATTTTTTTGGGACTTATGAATGTGTTTATATTCTGTGAAATGAACTTGAATGTAGTTTAGAATTGAAAAACTTTTGTTGCTCAGAACTTTAAAGTCATCAATTTTTTTGTACATATTTTCTAGTTATGAAACTACAGTATCTAGAAATTTTAACTCTGCAAAACTGAGGGATTTTTAGATTTTTCAAAAATACTTCTAGACTTCCACTGTTTCAAAAATAAAAAAAACAATTATTTTTTGCAACGTTCTTTGTAGTTTGAAACTTCTAACCGCTTCCTGGAAACAATAAAGTCCAATTAATTTTTGATGTCATTCAGTTGAGCTGGTGAATTGGAATTAAATAAAATGAGCTACAGTAGCCCAGAAAATAATTGTTGAAGCGTAGTAATTTTTTAAAGGGGTTTTTAATCTAATGAAAATGTATTCTCACGTTTCCGTAGAATTTCGTGGGCTCAAAAAGTACACTCTGAAGTTCGAGACTTGTTATAACTTCCTTATTTTTCTCATATGCACATCAGGATCAACCGTAGTGATCTCTAAAACAGAGTTCAAAATCCAACTAGCTAAATCCACGCAATCAAAATCTTTAATCTGCACACAAAAATTTGCTCATCAACATGTTGTTTTCTGGTCTATTTTTTCCCAAATCCGCCAGACATTGTAGTTATCCAATGTCTCAAAAATCCTATTTTTTGGCTCTAAACTTGCGATAATCTTCAAATCTGTTTACAACAAACTATTACTATGTATACTCCAAAAAACACTGCAAAAATCGGGGATTTTTCGTGGGATAAAATGAGATAAGATGAGCAAAAAATAAATATTCATTTGAAAACCGGGGATTTTTTCAGTTTAGGCTTGAACACCTACAAGTTCAGCGGGTAATTCGGCTTTTGGATGTTTGCTTTCGAAATGTTGCTTGTAGGTTTTTGGATCAGGCATCATACTCTGCAAAAAATTGGCTCAGAGATTCGCTGGCCAGCTCGCCACCAGATCGCTGCGGCCACCTGGAAACCGCATGGCCGCCAGGTCGCCTTGAGTTTTCCGGCGACGTGGCCTGTGTGTTTTAAATCCTGGAAAGCTGGCAAGACGGTGGTTTGTACTCAAAACACTGCATTTTCTACTGTTTTTTCACTTCATAAGGTTTCAAGTGCTGCGAAAAAACAGAAAATGAGCCAATTTGTTCGAAAATGCCTCAATTCACAAGTTTTTCAGACATTTTCATGAAAATTCATTTTGACGTGGCGAAGTGGCCACCACATGGTAGCCATGTGGGCTTGACCTAGCCAGGGCTTGGCCACCTTGCCAGCGAAAAAAAACCGGGCGACATGGTTTTCATGTGGTTCCCAGGTCAGCCAGCCTCCCCACCTGGTGGCGAGCTGGCCAGCGAATCTCTGAGGGGTTTCGAGAGAAAAAATGAAGAAAAACTTACCATGCAGACTGTGCATTTGTGGTGAAGTGAAGCTGCAGCGGCTGTTTTTTGGTCGCTTCCCTGAATATAGTTTTTGAAATTCATAATCAAATCAAATTTTTTTAAACATTTTCATTTCCATTGAAAAAAAAAAGCCAAATATCTTTCAAAAAAATTAATTTACAGTAGTTTTTCTGAAATTGTTTTCTCAAATATTTTAAAATTTTAATTCCGGAAAAAATTCAGTTTTATCAATTCTTGTTTCAAATTCCAAAATTCTTCAAAAAACTCACTCCTTTCTTCATTTTCGCCTGTTTTTCAGCATTTCTTTGTTGTGACAATGCTTTTTGATGTCCACGTGCCATTTTTGTTTTTCTGGAAAAAAAATCAATAAATTTGTTTTCATTGAACAAATGAGAATAATGAGAAGAAAAAGACGAACTGTCAGAAAAAATAAACGAGATCAAAGATTAGAGAGAAGAGACGCAGACAGATATCACGAACCCGTTTTTTCTCCATCTTCATTCACTTTTTTTTGCGCATTTTTTGGAAGACAATAGAAAGGAGATAACTGGTAGAAAACTGGCATTTTAATGTAAGATTTTTTACTTTTTTCAACTACCATCACAGAAATAAAAATGAAAAACATCTGAATGTTCTGGAGCACTTGGTTGAGAGCTCGAGTAAAAACGAAACGTGCAGCTGAAAATTATGATATTACGAAAATTCGATAACAAAAAGCTTAACAATGTTCGTGTTCTTTATTTTATCAGAGATATTTTTACATGCTCGCGTTGTGAATATCCTTGATTTATTTTTTTTCGGAAGATTGAAAATTTATTTAGTTTTGAAAATTTTTTTTGAAAATTTCATTGTTCAAAATTCCAGGAATAAATAATAAAAACTTGTCATGAATTTTCATAGATGAATCATCAACACAATAGCTGACAGTATTCAATTGTTGAAACATATTTGAATAATTTTTTGTTTCTAGAGCACAATTAAAGATTGTTTCAATTGAATTTTCAAAAAACAATAGAAATATTTAACAGTATTTAAGAGAAATGAAGAATTCCAGAAAAATAAAAGAATTCATTCTGAATAATGAAATCATTTTTAATTCTCCTGATTCCCTTAGTTGCTGGCAACTATAATATTCTCGAAATTCTGGAAAGCAACATCGATGACAATATTGATCCATGTGACGACTTCTATCGACATGTTTGTGCAAAGAATCGTAAAGATGTTCCCACTTGGCTAGATTATATGGAGGGTGAATATGCAAAAGAGTTAGAGAAACTTGCGAGAGAATCTGTTTCTGGAGAATTGATTGAATTGTATAAGGCTATAGAAAGACTTGGATCTCAAGGGCTGTCCGACGGTTTTGAAAAGAGACTATCAAAATTATATTTCGAAAAATGTGAATCAAACAAAACTGAAGCCTATGAATTTCTTAGGACTTTGGAAAGATTGTTTGATATAAAAGAAAATGGTGAATGTTATGGTTTCTACTGTTTCTCAAATTTAGCTTTGGATTCAAATTGTTCAAGAGCAGCTAAAACTTTAAAAAGAGGAGTTCTTCTACCCACATATGTTATGTATCTCAAGAAAAGTTATCATTTTGGAAATGTCAGCAAAGTATGGAAAAATGGTTTGAGTAGCCTTTGGGTAGTGAAACATAGAGATGAAGTAAAACAAATTGTCGATATGTTTCAGTTTTTCAAAAAAGAGTTATTGAATGAAATTGAAAAAACTCCTTGGTTATTAAACTCGAATACAATGGAAATATTTAAAAATATCACTTCTCAAATGCGTATCTCACTTCCGGAAGAGAAAATTGAGAAAACGATCGTCAATATTAAAAATGCCAAAATTAAATATGACGAATGTCTCAACAATTTCAAAATTCTTGGTGAAGACTATTTGTCTGAAGCATGTATAATACTAGCTGTGCCAGAAATAGAGGATTATAATCTGGCGATGGTGAATGCACAAAATGCTCATCCTTATGTCATTATTCATAATACATTTTTGGCATTGTTAGCTGATAAAGGATCAATTGCTTTGAAATATGGAACTGTTGGTTCAGCTTTGGCACATGAAATGGGACATTCGATTATTGTTAGAGATTTGACTGATGGGTTCTATCCATATTATTCGGAAAAAATTAATCCGTGTATTCAAAATCAGTTTAATAAGACTTGCAGTATTTATAAAGAGGTTGGTTCAAAAATGTGAAAAACTGATAGTGATAAAATTGCAGGCGGATTGCGTTGTTACTGACAAGCAACTTGATGACAACGGATCTGATGTGTTCGGATTTCCATTTGCATTTGAAAGATTGAAACAAATCATGGGAGATGAAGTATACGTGAGTTTAATGATTTCATTTGGAATCAACCTGATTCAATAATTCCAGCAAAAAATCCCCGAATCAACCCGTGACCTTACTCATGCAAAAGCATTTTTCCACCTCGTTTACGGAATCGGATGTCGAAGAAATGATGTTGCTCCCATTATCGGTGATATTTTTCATGGAACTAACAATATTCGAATCAATGCTGGAGTGATTCAAAGTCCAGAATTTGAAAAAAGTTTTCAATTGCTCGAAAAATAGTCGAATGGTTAAATCGAGAACTGAAATTTGTTATGTTGTTGGGGAAAATGCACCGCAAAATTGATATGAATATATTTTGGGAAATGTTTTTTTTTTGGATAAAGTTATTTCTGGTGGCTAAAATTCAATTTCCCCAATACTTTTCCAATGCTAGAATTATTTTGTTTTTCAAAATTGTTGTTTCATCAGCCTTCTTGATCAAAAGGCAGCTCCCGACAAAGTTTAATAATTTTTTTTCGAAAAAAAATGAACAAATCTTTATCAATCGAACGCCCGCAATATTACATTTTGTTCAATATAAAAAAGCTCATTCTATTTCATTCTACACAGCTTTTTATTCTCTATTTTTCTATTGTTGGTATTGATTCTACATGATGCAACGATTGCGAATCGAATGTTTTGAATAGAGTTCGATTCCCGGTCGATGCATCATGTGGAAAATACCTTGAATTTTGAGTAGATCGAAAAATGCTATTCTTTCTTCTTCTCAAAAATATGGAGATTCCCAAAAAAAATAAATCAATATAATTTTATTTTTCAATTTCTCACATGTCTAGACTCCACTTTAAAACCATCAAGCCTTTCCCATTTCTTCTAATTTCAAAAACAAAATTTCATGATTTTCATCCATCTCATATTCATTTCCACCCTATTTTCCACCATTTCAACAATCACTAAAAAAGAAGACAATGAAAAGTTTGCTAGTTACATGATATTTGAGCTCAATCATATCATTAAAAGTATGGATATCACTTTATTCCGCCACCATTTTTCAAATCCGTACACAATTCATTGGTGTAATAACGTGATGGAACCACAAACAACTGTTCTAACTATTGATGACAATTTTGAATATCCTTATGGAGCAGAAAGATTTTTTGGACTCGGATTGGTTGCTTTGAATCCAGTGTTTTATGACAATGGAACATTTCAATTTGAAAGTTATGGATTCCATCATAATACAACTATTGAGATGATTCGTATTGATAAAAGTCCATTTTGGAAATATCATTCTGAAAAAAGAAGAATGTGCCATGATAAACTTTATGAGTAACAATTTGATTGTTTTTTGGGGTTTCAAATAAATATTTTTATTGGGGAATTTGAAGATTTGATAATTTTTTATTCAATATAATGTAACAAGAATTGTTGAATTGTTTATTTTGAAAATGGCACAGGCGGAAAATAGTTTGATATTTTTTGTTTAGAATTTGTTTCATGAAATTGAAATTTGATAGTTCAAAAAAGTACGATATGAAAAGAAAGATTCAAAAATAAATCAAATAAACATTTTCAATTATAATTTTGAAAAGAATGATGGAATCAAAATTACTGATAGTTGTGTCTCAAGAAAAAATAGGAGAAGGTTGCAACGAAAAATTAGACTTCTAGAAAACTTACATTCAGAAAAATCCAAAAATAGCATACTGAAACCTTATAAAAATTCAAAAACGACAGCAAGCTCGTGTTTGCGAACAATTTAAGAGCAACTTTAAAAATTTCTTACATTTAGCTCAGCCTGATGAAACTTTTTTTCAATGTTTTTAGATTTCTACCCATTCACATTGGGAGAAACCTTCAAATTTTCATTGCGAATCTCCACTTCCAAAAAAATGCTCACTTCAAAAATGCCGATAAATAAACAGTTTGATGATTTGGTTGTTTACAATTTCACCCATGAAATTCAATAGTTCGGAAAATACGATATGAAGAAAAAAGTGCTCAAATAAACATTTGCAATTAATCATTTCAAATTGTACAAACAATTTCAGAAGCTTGCAATGAAATTATTATTATTCATACTTGTTTTTATATTACTGTTTCAACCAGGAGAGCTGAAAAATCAAAGAAAGTAAGAGAAGATTTACTTTTTGGAAAAAACATTTTTTTAATAAAAAAATTCAGACATGCGGTAATGCTAACCGAAAATGGAAATATATTTTTTCAAGCTGGTCTTGAGGGAAACATATCATTTATACCGCATGGCGGAAGTATTTTCATCGGAAAAACTGATTTGTTAAATTTACCACCAATCGTAAGACACAACTAAATTTTTCAAAAAAAATCACAACAAAAAATTTCAGGAAGAGTTCGAAGAGCAAGGAAAACGAATTGAAGCACTTGAAAGATATTATAAATTTTTGAACGAATTTGATCTTTCTGGACAATTCAGAATACTCGAAGGAAAGGCTGAATTTTTGAAAAAACATGTAGGATTCTCCCAAATTTTCAGCAAAAAAATCAAAAATTTTCAGAACAAACACATAGAAGAATCTCTCCCTGAACTCACTGAATATATGGAAGAATCTTTGAAAGAGGATGCTGACATCGAGAGAGAACTTTTGGAGTTGGACAAGCAAATAACGTAATTTTTTTAGAAATTTTTTTTTCAGAATTTAAATTGAAAAAAAAACGTTGTTTCAGGAGAATTGAGAACATTGTGAATAAAGATTATTGTGAAGAGGATAGACCGTGTAAAAATGGAGCAACTTGTGTGCCAAATGGTATTTTAAAATATGTTTGCTTGTGTTTGAAAGGATTTGAGGTAAGTTCAAAGCCTACTGGAATTCTTGGATTTTTTTTGAGAATTTCAGAAAAATTAAAGCTCAACATTTCCAGGGAGAAAACTGTGAGAGTGACATCAACGAATGTGATTTCATCAAAAACACTGATCTAGAATGTCAAAATAATGGAACTTGTGTGAACACACCTGGATCTTATCAGTTAGTTTCAATTTTCCAAAAACATAAATATTCACTGTTTTTCAGGTGTAACTGCGCTGACAATTTCTTCGGACCATTATGCAATTCAACAGCCCCAATTTGTTCTCCTTCTTCAAATCTTTGTGGTCCAAATGGTTATTGCATTGAAAAAGCTGACTTGAAATCGTATACTTGTAGTTGTGATCATGGTTATCGGAAAACTGAAGATATCAGAAATCCAACTTGTGTTGATGTGAATGAATGTTCGAGTAATCCGTGTAGTCCAGGGATCGAGTGTGTGAATATTCCAGGATCATATTTTTGTCATGGATGTCCGATTGGATTCAAAAGTGGGTTCACAAATCTAGATCAGGGCTAATTTAGAAATTTGTAATATATTTAAATTTTGAATGCGGTGTCCAAACTAAAAAAAATAAAAACAAAAAATGCGAAAATATATCGTCCAAAGTCTAGCTGTCTGCGTCTCACGAATATACACACTGTTTATCTGTTTCGTGTCTGCGTCTCTCGAATATACACATTATTTCTCTGTTATATAAGGCGAGCTTTGGACGATATATTCTCGCCTTTTTTGCTTTATTTTTTACATTGAACATCGCAGAATGTTCGAATAAATTATGATTTTTTAGTGAGTGAGAATGGCTGTGTTGACATCGATGAATGCAAAACCCGCCACAATCCCTGCGATCCTCTAGTCGAATGTCGCAACTTGATCGGATCATATGAATGTTCACCATGCCCGATTGGATATTCTGGTGATAGTCGCAGAAGATGCTCGAAAATTGACCCATGTTTCAATAATAATTGTCCAGAATCAGCAAAATGTATAACCAGTGATCATATTTTGAATCCAGATGGCTATGTTTGTGTGTGCCCTCGGGGATATTATGGGGAGCGCAGAGAGAATTCGACAATTTTAGGAGAATGTGTGAAATCAAGCAATTATGCGTGTGAAAATGAACCTTGTGCAAATGGTGCAAGTTGTTATGTGAGAAATTTCAAGTTACCCCAAATCTATTTTTTTTAAAAACCTTTTTTTTTTCAGTCTTATCCAAATGACACATATTCTTGCGTTTGTGTTCCTGGTTACATTGGAAAAAATTGCGAAAAAATTTCACCCTGTTATCTCAATTCAAAATGTGGAAATAACGGCGATTGTAAAGTGATCGATGATGACAATTTCATTTGTCAATGTCATAATTTCTTCTTCGGAGAATATTGTGAATATCAGGAAGATTCTTTCGATCATCACATAACAGATCTAAATGGAAGATATTCGTTCAATATTTATATTCCACCTGGATCTCGTAAACAAGTCAGAAATTTGTATTTTGATGCTTATCACAGTGATAAGATGCTTCATGTGCAATTCATAACGTTTTATGGATTTGATATGATGGAACATGGAGCAACAAATTGCACCAAGACATTGGGAAATTTGACGGTTTTTGATGGTCCGAGAGATGGATATACTCAAATTGCCGTTTTTTGTGGTGATCGAGAAGGGCCAAAGGTTTGAGAGAAAAATTAATTGGGTTGAGCAGTTTGAATTTCAGGGGCCTGAATCTGAGCCAATTTTATTCACAACATCTTTGGGATTGATTAGATTTGAAGGTGTTAGTGGAAATTATTCAATCAGATATTGGGTTAAAGAAAGAGGTGACGATAGACTCCAGTTACAAAAATCAAGCTAAAAGGATTTTTTTTCAGAGTGTGGTTTCCGTTCAACAAGACCTTTTGGAGAACTCATTATCCCAGATTATAATACAACTAAAAATTGTAAATGGACAATCACAGCTCCTTCATCTAAAGTTATAGAAATATCAGTTCCGAATTACGAATTCTATGCATCTCGGTGTATACAAAATCAACTGAAAATTTTTGAAAACTTTAAATATGATGAGTATTCAAGAATCTTGTTGGAGTGTCAAAAACTTGATGCATATAAGTATCGATCTACTGGACCAATTGTGAATGTTGTATTTGTGGTCCCTAGAAAACCAGATAAATTAGTGACTGGTTTCTCAATTAGTTATAGAATTGTTGAACCGGAAACACGATGTGGCTTCGATATTTTCAATGATAAACATGATCCAAGTTTTTCTGGAATTATCAAATATCCCGATTTCAATGGTTTATATCCTCCTCTTACAACTTGCACTTGGAGAATTGGAAGTGCTGGGAAAAATGAGATGAGAAGTGATTTCTCATTGAAGCTCACTGTGGTATCTGTGGATATTCCATCGGAACAAATAGGGGATTCGGTTGGCGAAATGTGTACAACAGATTATCTTCGAATTTATCCTGATGATCCAAAATATATGAGTGAATTTTGTGATCTAATTACACCATTTGAGCAGCGTGACATTGGCCATAATATTATGCTTCAATTTCATTCCGATGAGACAATTCAAGGAAAAGGATTTGAAATTGAATATGAAGTCAACTGCGGGAAAACAATTGTTGTTCCTAACGCTTTTAGAAGTTTTAATTATCCGTTTGGTGGAAATACTGGATCTTGCAGTTATTCTATATCTGGTTTTTATAGACAACCTTTTGTGATGATTATGTGAGTTTCAAAAACATTACTGGATGATTCAAAACCTGTGAATACATATTTAATATCATAAGTTAGCCTAACTTTTTAATTTCAAAGTCTCTCGTTGTCGAATCCCTCTTCGCCAGAAGAACAATGATTTACTATTATTGTCTTGCCGTAGAAAAAAAAAATCAAAAAAAATTTTTTTTTGACTCGCTCGCAGACAAAAACATTCAAAAGTTTTAAGTTATCCTAACTGTCTAACCCCTCCTCACCCTGCACACTATTTCTCTAATGTTCACCTGCAAAGCTAGAGGAAAAAATATTTTTTTTGAAAAATTATTGCGAAATTCTTGAATTGAATGAAAATTATAAATTTTTTTCAGTTTCAAAGACATTCGCCTGGATATTTTATCAAATGAAGATTGTCTTTCTTCCAATGAACACAGTGATTATCCAAACTATGTTGAAATCGATGGTCATAAATATTTTTGTGAAAAAGATCTCTTCAAAACCGGAAATACAATGTATATCAATTCTCATACATCAATAAATGTGGTTTCCGATGGCAATCCAGATTTTAAAGGAATTTCCGTGGAAGTTCGTGAAACTGATGACGGTAAATCATGCAGCATTTTTTAAAAATATCTAATAAGGAATTTTTAGGTTGTGGTGGTCATTTCAGTGGTCCCGGTCATTTTGCCACTCCAAATTTTCCAGAAAAATATGGAAAATCAAAAAAATGTGTCTTTGTTATACAACCAATAAATAATCAGCGATTATCGATTGAATTCAAGACTTTTGATGTTGGTGTGAAAACTGGAGAGAAATGTTTGGGAGATCGTTTGGAGCTGCTAGATTTTCATTCAACGATTCCATTTATATCGTTGTGCGGCTATGAAATTCCTGAAAGACTTGAGATTGATGAAAAAAGAAAATTTGTTTTCACGGCGAATGATCAAACAAATATGACTTCGAAGGGTTTTATAGCAGAGTGAGAAGTTTGAAAAAAATTCGAATAGACAACTTTTAAAAGCAATAAATTTGCTCGATTTTTTCGTTTCTTTAAGTTACTTGTTTTCGACAAAAAAAAACAAAAAATAAAAATAAAACAACGATACTCCGCGTGACCCTGCGCTCACACAATCCCGGCAATTTTTTTATTATTTTCAAACGAGGGTTTTTTATTTTTTATTTTTTTTAATTGAAAAAAAAACTGTTTTTGCAGATATTTTGAAAATACATTAAAAAAAAACTGATATTTAGCCTCTTTGAGCCGTAACTTTTTCTTTAAAAAACCAAAAAAAAACCATGTTTTTTTCAGAATCACCATCATCCAATCACCAACTGTGATTCAAGAATTCAACCATACACTTTCCTCTGGATCTATTGACTTCAGAAACACCGCTAACCAGCACATTCAACAAATTCATCACATCAAGGTTCAAACCGGTTTTCAAATAATTTTCAGACTTGATTTCAATATAGTCACCTGCAAATCATTCACATTATTCATCATCGATGATCAAGATTCTTCAATTTTGTACAAATCCGAATGTGAAAGTTCAAATCTACCAGTTGTTTATTCATCCGGAAATATTGCTACTGTTAACATTTCAATTAATGGCGATGGTGTTACAAGGCTTTCATATCAACAGTATTTGGGAAATTGTGGGGAGATTCATGGATATCGAGGAGCAATCTCAACACCGAGATATCCAAATATTCCCGAAGGACAGTGTCAGTGGGATATTTCAGTTGCTGATGGTAATCGTGTTAAAGTTAATGTGATTTTCGAAGTGAAATGTTCAAATGAAGGACCATTTTTAGATGTGTGTATACATTTTACAGTACAGTTTTTTGAAAAATATATTTTTCAGTTTATCGAAACAACCTTCGATGAAAAATGGTCGCATGCAACATATTGTGCAGATTCTATTCCACATCCATCAACAACTTCAATCAAATCTAATCATCTTCAATTGAAATACAGACCAAACAAAAAGAAGAGTGAACTGAATTCAGCATTTCTTGTTTATTATGAAACAAATTGTCAAAATGTGGAATTAATTGAAAGTTTCGGGTCAATTCAATCTCCAGGATATCCTGATGAAGAAATTGACAATCAAAGTTGTGATTGGAGAATTAGAGTGCCGCTTGGGAATCGGATTGAAGTTCATGTTCAGGAATTTGTTATGGATGGTTGTAGGCTGAGTTATTTAGAGGTAAGATTTGGAAAATTGAAAAATGATGTTTTTGAGTCAAAGAGAAAACAAATTTTCAGGTTTCTGGAATGTCTCATGCCATCCTCGATGATTGTTCAAATGAAACAAATATTTCAAAATTCTGTGATTCAACAAAACCGAAAATAATCCTCTCCACTTCCAATGTGCTCAATATAACTTATCAAACAGCATATGAAACATCAAATCGTTTTTGGATAAAATATTCGACAATTGGATGTGTTGAAAATATTTATAATTCAAGAGATATCATAATCAAGTTGGATGATGTAAACAGTGATGAATTTGAATGTCAATATTGGATTCATACCGAACCTGGAAAGAAGATTCTTGTCACCATTAATGAATTCAATTATAAGCCAGAAGATGAAAATTGTATTTATCGACCTGATAGGAGTTCAGATTATAAAGGTTTTGTGTGGTTCCAAGAGATCTCAAAAATCCCAGAAGTTCAATTATGTGAACCAGTTTCGAATTATACATTTGAATCACATATGGATAAAATATTTTTGAAAATGAGGTTGAGCAAAACTCATATCAAAGGATCTACAGTTTTAAATGCCACTGTTAGAATTGTTGATGAAGTCGAGAATGATCCTTGCAATGCGGTTGTAAAAATCACCGATTATTTGGAGCATCGTGTAACAAGTCCAAATTATCCTCATCTTTTCCCACCTGGTATTCATTGTACTTGGAAGTATATGGTTGATGAAGGATATCATTTGGAAATCATTTTTGAAGAATTGAACACTCTAAACACTTCTGATCTTCGTGGTAATGATTGTGCTGCAGAATTGATGGGAGAAATTGATTTGTATAAAGATTCTGACAAGTGAGTTTTAGTAAAAAAAATCTTTATTTAAAAAAAATAATTTTTCAGATCCCTTTCAAATCGAATATCATCAACATGCCAATTCGAAGTTGATGAACCTTACGCGATTCTTTCGAATACTTCGATCTTAAAATTTTCCAATGAGATTTCAATAAATCCACTAATCAATGAAACAGTGGGATTCGTGGCGAGTTTTAGAAGAATATGTGGAGGAATTTTTGAAAGCAAGGGTTTCAATTCAAGATTTTCTGTCCATCTTGATGATACATGTATTATAACATTCAAGAATTCAGATGAATCAGGTTAGAATTTTTGAAAACTCTAATATGTATTTCATAATTTTTTGCAGCGGGCTCAATGATCTATGCGAAACTCGAATCAATATCTTTCCACAAAGGCCAATACTACTATGTGATTGACAGTGGCCCAAAAGAATCGATCGATTTTCTGCGTGATGGTCCTTGGGAATTCAAAGCACATAGATATATTGCTTTTCATTTTTTGGAGAATTCGGGGAAAATACTCACATTCACATTTGGGCCAGAAAAAACAAGTTAGTTTTGAATTTTGAATAATCCAATAATATTCCTAGGTTGTGGTGGTGAACTGCTTGATCAACAAAGCATTGTTGAGATCTTATCCAAAGATCATCCAAAATCAAAAGCTCTTCATTGCACTTGGGATATCAATAGTAGCCCTGGAAATCATATTGAACTCAATTTGAAGTACGTTGACCTACCTTTTTATTAAAATATAAAAAAAATATATTGCAGTTTACATCAAAATCCAACTGCCCTCGTGAATTGTAGTGATAATAATTACATCGAAATTTATGACAAGACATCGAATAAGATTCTTCCGATATCTTGTGATTCCAAACAAAAATTCGAAGCTGAAAGTTTGAAAGTCACTTTGCGGTATATTCCCGATGAATTTTCAAATGGTCCGAATATCCGTTTTGATTATGAGAAAGTTGGAGGAGGTGAGACGAATTCGAGAATTATTAGCCCGCCTATACCAAGATCAAATGATGAGAAGGAATATGAATGGGTTGTTCGAGTTGATGATGAGAAAATGGTAAGTTTATAGTAGCAACTAAAACATTTTTAATAAAAACCTCCCATTCAGAACGGAATCCTGATCAAAGTCTCAAATTCATATTTTGCCAAAAACTCCAAGCTCGAATTCTCCGAAGTTTTCGACAATGGCGAAAATGGCTCTCCAGACTATATGTTCAATCATAAAAATCAGCAAGATCAAGAGTTTATTCTAACATATCTCAATGTGAAAATTCGAGCGAGAATCATCGAAGAAGATGATTTCAAAATCACCTGGGAACCTGTTCCAAAACCAAGTGATTCTGAAAATATTCCCAGCAATTTAATTCTTCCGAAATGTAATGGGCAATTAACACCAAGCTTCACTACACAATCGATTATTCGACCCGTCGGAGAACATCGATGTGTTTGGACAATCGTGAATCCATCAATATATGGAATATCTGTGAAGTTGAAGAATTTTATCTTGGGTTCGGGTGAAAATCTGAATTCTGTCTTGTGTGTTAGTGAATATTTGGAATTTTTTGTCGATGGAAAAAAGTTAGTTTTTTTTTTAAATTCATTGTCGAAACATTTTTCTGCAGTTATGGCAAAAATCGGCTTTGTCGTGAAGATTACGAAATACCAGAAACCCTTTTTGACTTCAAAAAATACAACAAAATCGAGATAGTTTACACATCAATTGGTGAACCATCTGAACGGGATTTTGTGATTCAATATCAATCGATATGTCAAATTGAAGCAAAAATCGATGGACATTTGATTTTGAGTCATCCGATCATAGAATCTAAAGATGAATTAGATTGTACTTATCGAATCAAATCGAAAAATCGCAAGAAGAATTTGGTGGTCACTGCTACAAAAATTGATATGCAACTCTGTGATCAAAATAACTCTTTGACAATTGTGAGTTTTATGTTTTATGAAGGTGTGCCCGAATATTTCGCAATAATTCTTGTAAAAATATATTTTCACTCTCCGTCTATGACTTTGCAGATGTAAGCGTTGAAAAAAATAGAGTGGGGAGAGAAGAGAGATTAGACACTTAGAGTAGTTTTGAAAATTACACGTACTTCTAACAAAAAAATCAAATGTTTTACAGCGAGATTACCATCACTGGCAATCAGAATCTTTCGACTTCTGCATAAATTCTTCTACGAAAATCTTCGAAAGTGGATCATTAATTCACATTGATTTCAAAACAACAACTCCTCAAGTTCAACATTTCCAAATCCGAATTGAGGAAAAAATTGTGGATTGCTCAGATGAAACATATAGATTGACAAATGACATTCCATTCAAGATAATCAATTCGCCAAATTTTCCGAATAGCATCCCACAAGGTTTGAACTGCAAATATCCAATAACAGTTCCACATGGAAAACGAGTTATGCTTTCGTTTGATCCGGATAATTTTGATCTGGCAGTATCTGGAAATGGAAGATATATCCTTCCATCAGAGTAAACTTTTATTTAAAAAATTGAGAAAGTTTTTTTTTTAATTTTCAGTGATCATTTGATGGTCTACGATGGAATTTCTGAAAACGATCGAGTTATTGGAAAATATAAAGGTCACCATGCTCCATCAACAATTTTCTCCACTTCCAATTCAATGTTAATTCTTCTGCATACTGAACATGGACCAATAAGCCAACGATTTATTGCAAATGTATCGATTGCAACTTGTGGTGGGACAATAGTTGTCAAAGATTCGGAAACGATTTCCATCAAATCACCAGAGTTCCGAGCTGGAAGGAATAACTCTTGTCAATGGAATGTCGTAGGGTTGCACAGTCATATGTTGGATGTTAGGTGGGTTTTCTGAATGCGAACATTATGAAAATTCACAATTTGATCTCAAAAAATTGGATATTTTCAGAGTCAGCAAGTATGAGAATCTCGATTGCAAGAAAGACAAACTTCTCATCCATGATGGAAATTCAACTGCAGATCTTTTGCTACCTATGGTTTGTAAAGTGGACTTGGAATACGAAACAAGTTTTTCAAGTCAAATCACAATTTCAAGCTTTTTGGTATGATTTTTCTTTTGAAAACAAAAAAAAACTCTTTACTATGTATTCAGGAAAGCCATGGAAGTTTCGAAATTTTGGTAAAATTGAGTGAAAGAGGTTGTGGTGGTGACATCACCAATGATTCTGGTGAAATCTTTGCTCCAGGTTATCCAAATCGTCTTTTGCCACGTGTAAAATGCGTTTGGAATCTTCGAGCTGAAATTGGATTTGTCTACGATCTCAAATTCAAATTCATCGACACCACTGAATATTCTCCCGATTGCTATGGAAATTTATGGGTTGGTTGATATTTTTTCTGGAAAACAAACATGAAAACAAATCATTTTATTTTTAGTTGCTGGAACGGTATGACCCGATTTCCGTCCTGAATTCTCATCGTGGAAATGGATTTTGTGTAGATAAAAGTGTTTTACAAACATCAACAGATAGTTCAGTATTGTTGTATGATGATGATATGAGCAGACATCTTCAATATCGACCGGGAAATTCGGGAACATTTTCGCCATTTTTGATTGAATATACAAAGGTAGGATTGGGAATGAGAATTTTTTTCTTTTTTCAAAAGCCTCTAGCTGTCTGAACCCTCTTCACTCTCCCCATATATTCTCTTATTTTCACACCTGCAAAGTCATAGACATAGAGGAGAAATATTTTTTGAAAACTTATTGCGAAATATTTTGGAATCAAAGGAAAATTATTTTTTCAGGTTCAAAACAACAATTGTTCGAAATTGATCACCTCCAACTATTCCTTCAACTCGACAAATTCTGAATGCAGTAAGGATGAAAATATTTTTATTAAATTTCAAATCTATGTTTTTTACAGAAGCAATTCACTTGAAAATCAAAAATTCCGATGAAAGTTCCACAGTAGTTTTGACAGCTCGTGATCCTAAAAATGAAAAAGGATGGTGTTATGGAGAAAATTATGTTGTTCAGAGTAAGATTTGTCAATATTTTTTAATGAAAAATTAAGCCAAACTTTATTTAAGCGAATGCTCCGATTCAATACTACCAGAAAACGTGTCAAGGAATGCACCCATCGCGAACATTTTTATTTATAAATGATGAAATCGATGTTTTTGCCAAGTTTGGAAAATTTTATTTTGATATTGTTTATTATGGTAGAATAATTTTCAAACAATTTTCATAAGTCCCATCAACAATTTTCAGATTGCGGTGGACTTATCAAATCTCCAAATTCTGGACAAATCATGGGATCGAAAAATTCAACATGTTTATGGCTTTTGGAAGCTCCGGAAAATATGAAAATCAAATTAATCATCAAGGAATTGGAGATTGAACATTTATCAAAAGATTGCAAGACTGGATTGAAAATTGGTGAAGGAAATGAAGCGAAACTCAATGTTATTCAAGATCTATGCACTTCTCTTGAGAACGAAAGTTTTGAAGTTACTTCAAGATCTAGACATCTACAAGTTCAGTGGCAATGTGATCTTCAAAATTGTGAATTTGTTATGGAATATGAATTTATTGGTGCAGAAGATACTTGTGGTTTTTCAACTTCTGAAATGGAGGGTGTGATTCATCTTGAGAAATATGAACCAAATCAGAATTGTGTTTGGAATATTCAAGTTCCTGAAATGCATCATATCAAATTCACATATCAAGAGATGAATCTAGAAGACTCGAAAAATTGTGTTGAAGATCGACTGGAATTTCAAGAAAAAGTTGATTCTGAAACTGACACAAATATTCATTGCGGAAAAGGTTTACCAATCCCACATGAAACATCGTCAAATTTTGCAATGTTCAATTTCACTGCCGGTTCTCGAAATAATTCAAATCTTATCATAAAAGGAGGATTCAAAATCTATTGGGAAGCAATCTGTGGACAAGTTTTGACATCTTCAGAGGGTGTTATTCACTCCCCAGATTATCCGTATTATCCAAATATTGATCAAAAGTGTGGATATGTTATCAAAGGAAACACTATTGATTTGGATTTAGATTTAATTAATCTTGGCATGTCGGATTATATTGAAATCATCGATTCTTCTTTGAAAGTTTTCTTAAATATTACTGGTCGTAGTTATTACTGGGATAATATCGGAACCTCTCAACGAGTTAAAGGTCCAATAGAAATAATATTCAACAAACATTTCGTCAAATATCGTGAAACTACTAGCCACAAATCTTTCAAAGGATTCAAAATAAAATATCAAGTTGTGACATGGGGTGGAGAGTTGGATGCCACCAATTTTATTGAACAAATTGAAAGTCCTGATTTTGAGAATATTCAAAAAATCAATTATGAATGCTTATGGAAAATATATTCTACTTCCGAAAGAGATTTTGTATTAGACAGCGTAGGTTAAAATTTATTTAACTGGCAATTTTTTTATTTTATAGTTTGGCCCTTCATCTCCTGTTCCAAAAGATTGTGGAAAGAACATGTTGGAAATTCTGGATGAGAATAAGACATTGATCAGAAAAGAATGTAGCGAAAAAGGTTGGAGTAAAATGTGAGTTAGGAAACTGTGAATTATTTTGGGAGTAAGAAAATTTCCTAAAAAATTGATGGAAATTATGATTCACCTATCAGTTTTAAGGCTGAAAATTATGCTTATTTTTTTAATCATAACCTGAAATTATTCCAATTTTCTTTTTCAAAAGCCTCTAGCTGTCTGAACCCTCTTCGCTCTCCCCATTATTTCTCTAAATTTCACATCATAGACACAGAGTAAAAAAATATTTTTGATAAAATGATTGCGAAATTTTATATGAAATATTGAACGCACTAACCACACTTGGCGAGAGAGTGTCCCAAAATTTTTGTGCAGCGTGAAAATTTTTTCAGAATAAAAATTGTGAAGCTTGAAACTTTGAATTTTTTTGAATATTTTCATCAAAATCCGCTGAAAATCAATAACTTTTTCGTGAAAAAATGTGCAGTGAAATGAAAAAAATCTTTAAAATTTTTATTAGCTTCCCGCCCAAATCGAAATTTTGGTTTGGGCGGGAATTTTTATTTGAAAAATTATCCTTTTTGGACACGTCTCGTCAGGCGTGGCACTAACTAAAATAGAAAATTTCAGAAGAATTCCTGGCCCGCAATTCTTCATAAAATTCACAATCAATGACCCAACAATTGTCCCATTCCAACTGAACATTCTTCCAATTTTACCCGCAAATTGTGACCAAGTTTTGATTGCTTCTACTGACAATTGGAATGTGATAACGCCACCAACAAACCACTCGCTGGCTATAAATCAATGTGTCTGGAGAATAAATGCAAATGCTGATGAAAAAATAAGAATAAAATATGGAAAAAATGGATGTGGAAAACTCGTTGGAAAATCGTTGAAAGAAATTGAGGATCAGAAGAAATATTTGTTTTCATTGAATGAGAAATGCGATGGAGACAATGAGGTTGATGTTGTTATGGAAGATAATCCATTATTTTTGGTATATCAAGATAATCTGCTGATTAGGAAAGAATTCAACATTTCCTATATTGCAGTGAAAACAGGTAAAAAACCAGAAACATTTTTTTCTGATTTTTAAAAATCTCAGCTTCTCAAAATCTCCACCTCATTGCCACCAATTCTATTCAAACCATCAACTTGAATTCGACACAATTACAATCTCACAGTCATAAAATAAATATTGAAGAACCGACGAATCAACCAATATATTTTGATATAAAAATTCAAGGACAGATTTGTTTGACGATTTCAAATCTCGGAAATCCAATACAATGTGAATATCGTTTTTGCTCTTCAAAAAATCAACTTTCTGGCAAAATCTGCGCGTCTGGTGAATATGTTTCATCATCAAATGATATTGATATCACAACTTTTCCAAATGGAGCAGAAAATGAGTTGAACATCAAATTTCATGTTATTGATTGTGAGTTTCGAAATCTGAACCACTTTTTTTTTCAAAAATCTAACATTAAATTTTGCAGTCTGTAATCGTACAATAAATATTACTCAACATTTTGCTGGATCTTTGGAAAGTTCAAAAAAACCTTTTTGTTCTACAAAACTGATTGGAGAGAGACAAATGCTTTTGGTTTTCGAGGAACTTCAGATGAATTCTACAAGTTGTGATCTTCAAATTTTCTCAGGTAATGGAGAAAAATTGGAAGCTGAAGTTTGTTCGACAATGATTCCAGATGCAATTTTGGGCAGTAATCTTACAGTAAGTCGAAAAAATCAATAAAGTTTCTCTACGCCTATCATTTTTTTTTTCATATTGTCTCAAAATCCGAATCAGTTCAATACAAAGCGTCATATTTTTCTGTTTGGAGTCAAGAAAGTGATCACATTATATTTTTCGAAAACAGCGATCCACAAGGAATAATAAACAGCTTTAAATTTACACCAAATATTAGACAAAGGTCAGTTTTTTCAGAAATTCCTAATTGCACAACATTTTTTTTTCAGATTTATGATAACTCCACATAACAGAAAACAATGTACTTTAACTTTTATGCATTTCACAATTCAAAAATGTGAACCAACAAGTGAGTTTATTTTTTGAATTACAGAACATTAATTGTATTTTTCTCTGCGAGATTTCAGGTTTGACAATCAAACTACGTTCAAAAAATGGAGAAAGAATAATGGCATTTTGTGAATTACCGAAGAACCCAATAATAACCGATGAACCAGAAGGATTTGAAATATATTTCGATCCTTCGATAACTTCAAATGACGACAGCTTCAGAATTCAATGGAAATGTGAATAGGTGTCATGTGAAAAAAGTGTTGAATGTTCGCTTCGTCAAATTTATGATAACTTTGTTGTGCATTTTTGTACTTGAGTTGTCAGAATAAAGTTATTATTGCAGGCAAAAAAAACTGACAGATGTGGAAAATTATCGATTTTTCGAATTTTCTTTTGGTTTCTTGCATGATTTCGTTGTTTCTATTTATCGGGTACAAAAGTTGAGAATTTAGAACCAGACAAAGTTAACACATATTTCTTGATGGGTTGAAAATTTTGGAACGCACTTTTCTGGCAGGTTTTTTAAGGTTGATTTCGAATCTATTGAAAGTTTTATTAGCTATGTACATTATGTATGTATAAATCAATTATTTGGAGGAGGAGCAGCAGCAGGGTCCATCGCGTGTCTTGTTGTGCTCATAAATTGCAAAGATCGATCACTTATCCGATTTACTTTTTTAAAACATGGAAAAAATTTCAAACAGCAACAACATTTTGCAAATAACATCTTAAGTCGTTTGAAATTGGCAATTGTATATGTAAATGGAAAAATCAAATTGATACTTGTCGAATTACTACAAATAAAATTTTTGAAAATGTCATCTCGACTATCATTTTCAACTCGAATGAAATAAATTACCAAAGCTGCAATATATTTAAGAATGAAAGAAAAAACTAATGGTAAGTTCTGATAAATAATGGATAACTCGGCTTTTTTTCGAGTTTCTGATAAAATATGACGGTTTTTGTGAATTATGAAGAACGTTAGAACGAAAAATAACAATGTGATTGATAAACTTAGTAGTTCAGGAAAAATGTTAATATACAGTCCGGTTTCGTATGAAAAATGAAATAAAGAACCGTTACAAGGATTAGAAGGAACAGAAATTAGTTGAAAAAGTGGGCAATGACCGGTTAAGCAAATAGGTATCAAAATGTCGGGAAAAATCATTCGTATATAATTGAGAATGACGAAACGAAACAACCATTTTCCTTGAACGAATTTGACTAATTTTACAATATCCGCAATAATAACAAATCTCTGAAATGCTATTAATAAGATAAATCCGCTGTCTGAAAGATCAAACGGTAGGAGAAAAATGTAAATAAAAACCATCACAAAAATATTTGGATAGAAAATTAACAAAATCAAAAGTAAGAAGGCGCTCGTAGAGCTTAGTGTTGTTAATATAATATAAACAAAAATCCATTTATAAATTGGATAAATCAGTGATTTTTTGTCTTCTTCGGGAGTTGTTAGAAATAAATAAAAATATGGTATATTCATGAGCAGTAAAAAGACTGAATATAATGCATAAATGGGGTTATTTTCATAATCTCTCTTCTCGAAAAGAAATTGTGAGCCCATTTTTTTGAAAATGAAGAAAATTTGAAATCTGAATGTGAGAGAAATTATCTTTAATAAGTAGTTTGAAGCTTTGTTCTGAAATGCCAATCTGTGTTTTGGAGACAACCTAAAATTATTTTTTTGAAAATGTCAGTCGGAAATAATTTTGGACTAAAAGCTACCGATATTGAGGAACACTTTTCGAAAAAATCTACATATGATTTTGATGTCCGTGAAATTCTATTCAAAGAGTTCGTGAATTTCGCGTTAATTTCAAATGAACATGCAAGTTCGGGATGAAAACTTAGAATACGAAAAATCCCTACTTCTCTAAGATTTCATTTCAAATTTCTATGAAATATTCAGACAAACTAGGGGCTGTTAGCCCCCAGGCGTAACAGTCTTCTTATTATTTCAGTTCCGTTTTTTTTCTGTGATTATTTTCAATTTTCTGTGGAAAACAAATTCATGAAAAATTTCAAGTTTTTTGATAAAAAAAATGACTTGTGGCAAAAAAAACTCGGGCCGAATTTTTTGAAAAAACTCGGGACGATTTTTTTTTGAAAAAACTCGCTCGGGAAAAGAACCGCAACTTACCGCAACAGTGGCAGCATTTGTCGCAGCGCTGCGGCAATTTGTCGCAACACATGCGCCGGAGTTGCGCCCATTTCCGCAACAGTTCACGCAACAGTTGTGAGTTTTGTCGCAACTCCGGCGCATGTGTTGCAACAAAAAAAATGCTGCAGCGATGCGACAAATTGCCGCAGCGCTGCGACAAATGCTGCCACAATTGCGGTTCTTTTCCCGAGGCGGGCCGATTTTTTTCAAAAAAAAAAAAAAAATAATGGGCCGATTTTTTTTTCACCCAACAAAAAAACTCGGACCGATGTTTTTTTTGAAAAAACTCGGGCCGATTTTTTTCACCCAACAGAAAAAACTCGGGCCGATTTTTTTCAAAAAAAAAAAAAAATAATGGGCCGATTTTTTTCACCCAACAAAAAAACTCGGACCGATTTTTTTTTTGAAAAACTCGGGCCGATTTTTTTTTTGAAAATTTTTATCATTGCAAAAAAATCAACCCGAAAAATATACATAAATATTTGACAAATAAGATCAAAAGTTGATGCTTGATTTATACGAGTTTCTTCTTTGATGGAAATTTTCATCAGCTGCCACATTTTGTGGGAATTTCATTCGCATTCGACGACGATTTAGACGACTTCCAGGCCAACACCAGCAATACAATCCGATGAACACTGGAAATTTCGGATTTACATTAATTTGGACTGAAATTGTTATTGTACTAATATTTAAGTTAAAAATTTGGTCAGTTTGGTTTTTCACAGCCGGAAACTTGGAAATTATATTGATAAGAGTTTTTAATAAACAATAAATGCCAAGCAACAAAGAAACATTATTTTGACAGTTTTTATCGTCAAACTGTAATTTGTTCCAATAAAAAAAATGCATTACTTTTTTTTTATTAAAAATTCCTAACCAATAATACCAAATAAACAAATCAATTTACTGAACTGTTGATCTAAAATAAACATTTCCTGTCAAAAAATGTTTGAAAAAATGTCACCTCATAAGAACTTCCTGTTTAAAAAATATAAACTTACATATAAACAAAACAATACAAGCAAAACAAGATCCAATCAAAATTCCATCATGAATCGGATATTGACAACAAGATGGTTGGCCGAAGAATGTGCAACAATATTTCAAATATTCCGGGTCTGAAGGTCCGGGACACATTGCAGGGTATGCTGAAAACGTTTTCAATGAAGAAAGGAACGTTTTTAATTGTTCGGGAAAACACGTCATTTCATTTATTGAACTTTTTTTTAGAAGGAAAGTCTTTTGATGTTCCCCCCTGAAATAAAATGAGACTAGGTGGAATCAACTACATATTGATAGGTAAGAAAAAGCCCAACGGGATTAAGGAAATAAAAATCTATTTCAGGAGTTACGGTAACTCCTCAAATTTTGAGACAAAAAAGCCTATGATTTCAAAAAATCGTAGTTTGGCTCAAAGTTAACGAAAATGATCGGTCAAAAATGCATTTTGATGCTGAAGTGCTCAATTTTTTAGTTAAATGGCGCTTGTAATCTCAAAAAATTTTTCAAAATGAAAATTTTTCAAAAAATGACCCCTTTCTCAAAATGTTGAAATTTCACCTCAAAAACGCTACGAGGGAAGAACGACGTCCGACGTACCGAGTTCTACGTCAAAAATTACGTATATTGACATATTTAAATCTAATATCTACCGACCTTTTAACCTGGGAAAAAAATGATTTCAAAATTTTTCACACAAAAAATCATGTTTTCTCAGAATAAAATCATATTTTTGAAACAGTAATCTTTATTTCTTTGTTATTTTTTGCTCAAAACATATTTTCTGATTGTTTTTCACCTTTTTGTATGATTTCTGAAAAATTAAAAAATTTCAGATTTTTATATCATCGATTTTGAACCACTTCGAAAATTAAAAATCAATTATAGTTCGATGATAGAAGTTAGGGACTTTTTTGGACGCATCACATCTTTTTTTGCACCTGGGAAAAACACTTTTAATAATATATCTGAACTTCCAATTCCCAGATGAAAAAAATCGTCTTGAGAAAAAATGGCAAGAATTATTTAATGAAACAACTTTTATCGATAATTTTTTCAAAGGTCTCTGAAATTGTCCATTGACAGATATATTATTAAAAGTGTTTTTCCCAGGTGCAAAAAAAGATGTGATGCGTCCAAAAAAGTCCTTAACTTCTATCATCGTACTATAATTGATTTTCAATTTTCGAAGTGGTTCAAAATCGATGATATAAAAATCTGAAATTTTTTAATTTTTCAGAAATCATACAAAAAGGTGAAAAACAATCAGAAAATATGTTTTGAGCAAAAAATAACAAAGAAATAAAGATTACTGTTTCAAAAATATGATTTTATTCTGAGAAAACATGATTTTTTGTGTGAAAAATTTTGAAATCATTTTTTTCCCAGGTTAAAAGGTCGGTAGATATTATATTTAAATATGTCAATATACGTAATTTTTGACGTAGAACTCGGTACGTCGGACGTCGTTCTTCCCTCGTAGCGTTTTTGAGGTGAAATTTCAACATTTTGAGAAAGGGGTCATTTTTTGAAAAATTTTCATTTTGAAAAATTTTTTGAGATTACGAGCGCCATTTAACTAAAAAATTGAGCACTTCAGCATCAAAATGCATTTTTGACCGATCATTTTCGTTAACTTTGAGCCAAACTACGATTTTTTGAAATCATAGGCTTTTTTGTCTCAAAATTTGAGGAGTTACCGTAACTCCTGAAATAGATTTTTATTTCCTTAATCCCGTTGGGCTTTTTCTTACCTATCAATATGTAGTTGATTCCACCTAGTCTCATTTTATTTCAGGGGGGAACATCAAAAGACTTTCCTTCTTAGAAAAAAAATATTTTGTGAATATTTGAATGTCGATTTTGTGTTTGAAAATGAAAAATGAAAAAGTTAAACTTCACAGATCATTGTTCATAGAAAAAAGAACATTTATATAAGGTTCAGAAAATTTCAAAATAACCGAGGACCTAGTTGAAATTTCAAAATCTATGGTGAGATTTCAAAATAATAACAATTTTATATGTCAGAATTTTACCAAGACTGTAAATTGTTGAAATTCCGCAAAAATAATATGTTTTGAAATTTTCTACAACGAAATTTTTCAAAATTGCAGCTTACTGAAGAATGCTTTTCTGATTTAATTTTCATCAAAATTCCGGGCTAAATTTTCATAAGAAAAATAAAAAAAATGAAAACTCACGATATCCATTTTCACACCAGCCACCAATTTGTCGTTTTTTGATAAAATGTCCAAAAATCTCCATTCCTGTCCAACCAAAAAATAAATGAAAACAAAAAAGAAATTGATAAAAAGGAGTGGTTGAATGCGGAAGATGTCGAGTTAGTTGCTAAGTAAATAAACCCCACACCTAAGAAAAACAATATTATTGATTTTTTGTGCCAATAAGGATATTTTCTGGCAAAAATGAAGATGAGAATCGAAATAAATAAATATTTTTATGAATTTTCGCGATTGAAAAAAAATCAAAATTAAATCACAATAAAAAACATTCACAGAGGCGACCTATCAGTAAAAGGGGGGTGAAAAATTAAGTAAATTTGAACCTGTAAATTGTTTAAAAAATCATCATGAATTTTAAGGCATGTTTTCTTGAATCACAATTTGCTTAACTATAAATATATAAAATTTAATTTTAAAATAAATATATGAATAAATAAAAAAAAACGAAGAGAGCAATTTTTGTCTGACAATTTAGCACAATTTTCTGTTTGGGTACCCGTAGCCGAAAAAAAATATATAAGAAAAATTTTGGAGTCTATAAATATCCGCTACTCCAGCGTAATAGATTGGTGCGTTTCATTTTGTTGAGTTTTTTGGCAGATGGTCCAAGTTGTGGTGAATTGCCGTTGGCGACTTGTCCGTTGGCGTCGCGTTTTCTGCAAACAATTTTATGTTCCAGAATTTCGCAATCATTTTCTTGAAAATATTTTTTACTCTCTGTCTATGACTCTGCAGGTGTGAAATTTCACAAAAACATTGTGAAGAGTGAAGAGAGTGTTAGACAACTAGAGAAAGATTAATGAAAATATTACATAAATTTTGCTTTGGAACAAAATTGAGCCCAAGAATCACTATAAATTTCTGGTTTATCGTATTTTCTAGATCGTACTTTTTAAAATTCCTAAATTAAAAAGCAGTAGTACTGTAGGTTCACAGATTCAGACGAAGTAAGTTTGATTCTGATTTTGAAAAATTCTGAATGAAACCCTAATCTTAAAAATATATCTGCTATAGTTCAAGTAAAGTGCCATGTTTAGTTTTTGAGTTCGAGAAAAAAATCACCAAAACCCAAGTATCTTCAACGCTCACCTCAACAACAAATTCAACATTGGCGACGTCGGATCGGGAGCCATCGCATAAAACGGATTACAATTATCGGGCAATACCAATTCCCCGCCACGTGGCAACAATTGTATCAATTGATAATGATTCTTGTCATCTTCCAGTAAATGTTTCTCAAGTGCTCGAGCAATCAATTGCGGCATTCGATCACTATTCTCAATCTGCAAAAAACAAAACATGAATAAGATATTTTGCTGTGAAATGCTATACCTTGATACATTTATAATTGGCGCCATCAGTGGTTTGAAGATCATCATCAAGTCCAACTCTAGCCAGATAAAATTGATTTTGCGCAGCGTTTGCACCATTTGCAGATAACGACGAGGAAGAGGAGCATGTTGAACCATCACTGCCTTTTTTCTGATGACTAAAACTTTTCGATTCGAAAGCTTCAGCTAGACGAGTTCGAATTGGTGTTGCACTTCGAGACAGCGATTGAGTTCCGCTCTGAAAAATCAAACATCAGGAATCTGATCATCTACTGAAGCCTGCCAAGCTTACCGTTGCATCAGCACTAGTTCTTGTCGAAATCGATGTATTGACTTCTTGCAGCGAAGATTCGCCACTTTTACTGCGACTGTGTCCATAGGGGAAGATGCTTGATGGTGTGAATTCACTGCCTGGAACTTGAATTGGATTTTTTGGGGAGTTAGGCTAAATTTGTAGAATTTCGCAATAGTTTTTCATCATATTTTTTAAAAACTCTATGTTTATATTCATTAAATTTTTTATTTTTTCTTTCCATTTTCTGTCCACCATAACCAACCAAAATATTAAAAATAAAAACAAATAAAAATATCAAAATCCAGCTCTTTCTAGCTCTCGTATTGGTTTCGGGTTCTTGGGTTTCTAACACATTTAACTGAAATTTTCACATTCCAACCTTTTCAATGGATTGGGATCGTAGTCTTTTAGCAAATCCAAATATCTATAACAAATTCAAACCTTTTACATTTTTTTTCAATCAACAAGCAACTAAACCTAGTCCACCCAACATATCCGTCATATTTTTGTTCTGTTTTGTTTCTATTTATACTCCTCACACCCCCCCCCCCCTTCCTTTTTTATTTTAAAATCTCTACTACCTTTTCGCATGATCTCACTTTTTTTTTCTTCTATTTTCTAATTTTTGCTCAAGCTAACATTTATAGTCAGCAACAAACTGTGTCATATAATTATCTACGTTTTTGAAATTACATTTGTAATTTGTCTTCTTCTTTCTGACGGTGTTCTTCCAATGTCGTAAATAAATTAAATTAATGTCTATGACCCAACAGGTGTGAAAGTCTGTAGAGAGCGAGGAGAGTGTTAGACAACTGCAGAAAAAATGAAGAAAATTTTGGGATTTTTTCAGGTTTTTGGTTCTCAGAATCAGAATCTGAGAAAGAATCAGAATTAATATTTTTCAAAACTCAAAAAACTCACCACCACCCCATGAAACATTCGAACTCGACGGCGTATTATTATTGGCTGATCTTGGAATCGTCGAAGTTCCAGACAATGGAACTGGTCCAGGTGGTCCACCATCCAATCGTCCATCAATCCAATCTTCACATTGAAGTCCAGAATCTCGTGACAATTGTGGAATTGTTGTGGCTTCGGAGCTTTCAGTGTTGATTGATGGGATTTGTGAATTGGTTGATGATGAATAGGAGTTTGAGTGTTGATGATGCCAAGAAGTGTTGGAGTTGTCTTCGGAGTTTCGAGCCGAGTTGAAGAGACGTGAGAGGGTGGAGCTGGAAAAAATGTGCTGAAATCTAGCTCAATTTAATCAAAAAATTCAGTAGGTTTCTAAAGTGAATTCAAAAAAAAAAATAAATAAAAATAAAACTGACTTTTTAACCGGTGCACTTTGCGAAGCATTGCTCAAAATGCTCGTGTTAATTCTCGACGACGACAAATCCGGCGTCGATGTGACTGGCGGCTTCTCAACTTCAATACTCCGATTAAAACATTCATTCTCATTCAAGCATGGCAAAAAATGGAACCACGCGCAAAACATTCGATCCATCGGAATATTATAGGCTCTGGCTGCTGATTGGAAGAGCCGGAGTTTTGCCAACACTTCAAATTCTTTTCGTCGCTTATCGAAATTGATCAAATTATCAGGATTATAATCCGGTGTGCTTTCATCAATCATCGCTAAATCGGTCAAAAAGTTTCCAAGATACGGAACAGTTCCCTGACATTCTGCTAAATTCACATCACTTTTAGTCCTGCGACAATTTTGAATAAGTTGCGGCCTTCGAAGTGGTGATGATTTTGCAGTCCCTTCCTGCTCCAAAATTTTCCTAGCCGTTCCCTGATCTCCATCCTCATCAGTTTCATAAATCGATGAGAGTTCTCGAAACTGATTCATTGCTCGAGACGAAACAAGATTCCAAGCGGATCGAAGTCGATGAACTGGTTCAGATTGTAAACTAGACAGGACAGCTTTGAGGGATGAGAAGTTTTTGAGAGCTCGTAATTCTCGAGCAATATCGATCCATTTTGAGATGATTTTTGCTCGATATTCTGGACGACAATCGGGTAAAACTATACTTGTCATAACTCGTTGGGATACCGAATTGAATTGATCGATTGTTGCTTTGACTGTGTAGACGCGTTCTCCGGCGGTTCGTCGTTTTGACCAAACACAACCTTGGCATTGGTGAATCAGTAGCTCTTTGAACAGCGCCTGAAAATTAGAAGGAATTATTTTAGATGTCTTAAGAGAAAATGAGATTTTGAAAATCATTATCAGAAAATTCCAAAATAAAAATATCCTCTCACCGCATCCCAAAACGTCAATTGTTCCGCAATTTGTACACAATTCTCTTTTCCAATATCAAACATTTTTGCACGTTCTTTCAAATTTGTTGGATAATCATTGGGATTGAATCCGATATTCTCAACAAATTGTCGAATACTTGGCAAAGCTGTAATCATTCCACCGTTCTCGTAAATTCGCTTGAAACGCTCTCGTTGTTTGCGCGATTTTGTGCAAAGTTCGTTGAGTTTGTTGCGCACACCAAAATCGTAGAGACAACTGAGCATTGCGAAATCTTTTTCCGGGTCATAGAAATCTTCGGGAAATGTTTCCAGCCAACACATGATGATTTGACGGATTGAGCTGGAAAATGTAATTTTTTTTAAGTTAAATCAGATTTTTTTTTTGATTTTCAGAATGGGGAAAAAGTATGTTTGGACTAAAAAATCCTGAATTTCAGAGAAAAACTTCAAGCTCATCAGGGATCTTGAGTTTCTTGCCCAAAAATTTAGTGAAGGCTTACATATTCAGACTTGAACAATCCAGATATATAGATAGGCCTGAAGGTTTGATTGGGCTTAAAGAATCTCAGATTTCAGGCCTGGAAACTAGGTTTATCAAAGCTAGAATAATTCAGGATTTCAGACCATAAAAATCAGGCTTTTCTATGCTTGAACAATCCGGAATTGTAGGCCCGAAAATCTAGGCTTGAATAATTCAGGATTTCAGGCCTGAAGCCAAGTTTTATCTAGACCAGATAAATTCAGGATTTCAGGCCAAACATCTAGGCTTTCTGAGGCTTGGATAACCCAATATTTCAGATCACAAATCTAGAATTATTAGGCTGAAAATCCGGAGTTCCAGGCCATAAAAATTAGGCTTTTCTAGCCTTCAACGATCCGGAATTATAGGCCCAAAAATCTGGGCTTGAATAATTCAGAATTTCAGGCCTGAAATCAAGTTTTATCTAGGCCAGATGAATTCAGGATTTCAGGCCAAACAACTAGGCTTTCTGAGGCTCGTAAAACTCAATATTTCAGACCAAAAATCTAGAATTTCAGGCCAAAAAAATAGCCGGGTGAATATTTTTCAAACCCAACTTTTTTCCAGAAAAAAACTCACTTTTGTACAAGAAGAGCCGATGTGCTGCCATTAATCTCATTTTCCAATGCTTCATATCTTTGTAGCAAGCTGCAATAAAAAATTATGAATAATTATGAGAGAGCACACAAAAAGAGGAGGGTGTCAGACAAAAAAAAAATATGAAACAACAGGTGTCGCTTTCAAAGGCGCATAACAAACTTACCATTCGAGTACTGTAGGCGCTTCGGTGAACGCTCGATAAGTGGTGAAGAACAAATTAAAGTGTCGCGAATCCATCATATCGTCTCCGCCGACCAAACAATCCTGGAGAAATTGAGAAAAATAATTATAATACAAAAATGTGGCGCCAACTCACCACTAATCGTTCAACAGTTCCCGCTTTCACCACTTTCTCCTTGACCGATTCCCATTCCAAATGATCGGCGCCATTCGCCGACATCTCGCTGGTTTCGGCACTTCTCGGCTGATCCGGATCAATTGCACGGTAGCGCTGAAAATAAATGCGTTTGGAAAAAGAATCGGTTATTTGTTTTCCCTAGATTATTGCTCATTTTAAACTAACCAAACGCCTTGGCAAACTTCTTGAAAATCTATCAAAAAACATTTTCAGAAAAACAGAAAGACAATTTGAGCTTCCGCTTGATAAGATATAATTCTTGATGTTATTTTTTTAATAGAAAAATATTGTGTTTATTATGATGAAACGAAGAATAAATATGTGAATAGAATAAGCGAATTTTTACAACACACGGCTTGGAATATTTTGGAACATGTGTTGCTCGGCGAGCAAAAAACCAAAAAACCTATAGATGAAAAAATGAGAGAGAGAGATGAGTCATTTGTGAGAGTTTTCTGAACTTTTGGAAAAAAATTACAATTTCGATTTTGAAATTTTGAATTTGATTTTTTTCAGGATCTCTTCTAGTAGCTTCCTAAAGACTTTTCAAAAAACAGAGACCAAACTGAATTTAAAAAAAAACCACCCGAAAGAAAATGAAAATGTATCCGAAAAGTCAATAAAGGCACCTTGAGTTTTTTGAGCAAAATATAGGAGAGCTCATCTTCTAGCAAATAAATTAGCAGTCGAATTGTACGTTTCATTTGGGCCGCCATATTTTTTGTGTTGTGTTATTGATAACACACACACAAAAATGTATGTATAAGAATGGGGGGAAAAACGAAAAAGAGTTCTTTATGACTCATACTATACACAGTTTATATTGTTTGCCTTTTTTGGAACATTTTTTCTCGTGTGGGAAATAAGAAAGGGGAAATTCGATAAAAATGTTCATGTTTATGGGAAAAAATGACTGTTTCAGTGAACTAGGTCAATTGGAATTTCCACTTAAAAACGTAAATGTGAAACAATTTTCTTGAAATTGTAATTGTTTTTGGTTGGATTTTTCCAGGAGGGAGAAAAACTGGAAAAGTGGAGACCAACTAGGAAATAATGTGTTTATTCTGAAAAAATTATGGGTTTTCTACTAATCTCTTTGGATGTGGGTGTTCTTGAAATTTTTTTTTTTTTGGAACAGAAAACAACTTTTGGGTGGTCTACTGATTTTGTCGCACCACGATGTTTCAACAAAATGTCAGAAAAATTCACAATGTGTTCTACTTGGGTGGTCTAATTTGAAAATCGGTTCTCGAAAACCAGAACTAAATCTCACATTCAGAAATTGAGAGATTCAAGAGTTTTTGAAAGAAAATATCAGAAAACATCCTGATTGTGGTCCTGATTATTCTCCCAGATGTTCTATAGTTTATTTTCTTGAATTGAAGAAAAAACTGTAAAAAGTACATCCAGATGTTAAAAAATCTGTAGATGTTCAAATAGAAAAAATCCGGGTGGTCTATCACCCAGGTGGGATACAGTAATCTCAAAAATCTGTAGAAAGTACATCCAGATGTTAAAAAATCTGTAGATGTTCAAATCGAAAACATCCGGGTGGTCTATCACCCAGGTGGGTACAGTAATCTCAAAATCTGTAAAAAGTACATCCAGATGTTCAAAAATCTGTAGATGTTCAATTTGGAAAAAATCTGGGTGGTCTATCACCCAGGTGGGTACAGTATCTGAATGAAATTCTAAAAAGAACATCCAGATGTTCAAAAATCTGTAGATATTTAATTTTTCTTCAAATACCTCGGATCCACAATGAACAATGAAGGATCCATGGAAGACGAAGTTAAAGCCCGAGTATCATCCACATGGCTCAAATGGAAATCGTGTTCGGGATTCATGTGTGACAAGAAGATCAAACCGCACATAAAGGGGAGATTCTACAAGGCTGCAATTCGACCAGTGGCCCTCTACGGATGCGAAACGTGGCCAACCTCAAAGAATACTGAACAGAAAATCGCAACGACTGAAATGAGAATCCTCAGGTGGAGCAACGGATTTACGCTGCTGGACAAGAAGAAAAACGAGGATGTTCTGGAAATGGTGGCAGTCCGAAAAATTCGAGATAAGATGGAAGAAAGCAGATTGAGATGGTTTGGACACGTGAGAAGAGCGGAAGCAGATTCAGTGATCAGATTGGCAGAAGCCTATGAATGCGAAGGAAAACGAGGCCGCGGAAAACCCAAACTGCGATATAAGGATACTATAAACACTGATATGAGAACCAACAAAATATCAGAAACCGATGCAATGGACCGTATAAAATGGAGACAGATGATCAAAAGAGCAGACCCCAAACCGGGAAATATGCCAAGATGAAGAAGATTTAATTTTATCAACAAAAAAAATCCGGGTGGTCACCCAGGTGGGTACAGTATCTGAGTAAACTTCTAAAAAGTACATCCAGATGTTCAAAAATCTGTAGATGTTCAATTTTATCAACAAAAAAAATCCGGGTGGTCACTCAGGTGGGTACAGTATCTGAATGAAATTGTAAAAAGTACATCCAGATGTGCGAAATCTGTGGATGTTCAATTTTATCGAAAAAAAAATCCGGGTGGTCTATCACCCAGGTGGCTTACAGTAATCTCAAAGAATTTTTAAGAAGTACATCCAGATGTTCAGAAAAATCTGCACTTTCTCAAACTGAACAAAACCTGGGTGGTTTATGATCCAAATCTTCTACAGTAACTCAAAAAAAATGTAAAAATTTGTTCACAGGTGAAACAAAATCTAAAGTTCAAGCTACAGTAATATTTTTAGCTATCAAAACAAGCACTGCACTTGTCAAAATTATTTTACAAAAACAACCTTATCTCTCTCAACCAAACTTTTTGCCAAAAAAAAACAAATTTTCAAAAAATTCACCGTCATAATAATAAAAAGTTGATCATCTTTTGTATAAACATTTTGCGATTTATGAAAAATCGCATCTGACGGCATTTTAGGTGGCGAATAAAAATGTGTGGATAGAAACCGTGTCATTTCCAGACAAAAAAAATTCAGAAAAAAATCAATAAATAAGAACTCTATAGTAATAGTAATAATAATAATAATATTAAAAATAAATAGGTTTTCCTTCCTTTTTTGGTTGGCTGCAACCAAAACCAACCAACGAAAAAAAAACGATTGACTTTCACTTTTCCGCGGGCAGGAGGTAGAAAAATGCCTTCTTAATATGCCCAAAAATGAGGGAAAGTTGGTTTTCTCTTCTTCAAATTTATTCGCCCGCTTTTCAAATGTATGTAAGTGTGTTTGTATGCTATGTTTCTCTCTATGTGTGTGTGTCAAATCAAATCGAATTCAATTTGAATTGATAAGAAAGAGAAAACTGATGAGACAAGTTTTTTGGTGTACTTTTTCCAGCTGTTTTTGTTTGTGGCTTGAAATAAATTCGGGTTCAAATCTCAAGAATCACAAAATATTTTTCTTACAAGAGAAATTTTGATGTTCGAGTTAGAACATCTACCACACATGTAAAAGATTATAGGGTTTATCTAGACCACCCACGAAGTTATCTAACGAAGCTAAACCATCTCAAAGTATCATTTCTAGACCACCCACGAAGAATTCTTGAGAAAAATTCAGTTTGCTGGAAATTTAATTTGAACAAAGACCACCCACAAAGATTAGGTTTCCACGGGGGTTTACGAAATTCCGAAAAGATTATCTTAGACCACCCACAAAGCTTACTGGAACCCGTCTAGAAAATTCCCAAAACTCACACTCGAGTCCACGGCGTATTGTCTGACAAGCACGGGAATTTTTGAAGGTCTTCTAGCTACTAGATACAGCATTTTTCTTCCACTTTTGTTTTTCAAAATCAGAATTCAGATCGGAATAAAATAGAAATGAAAATGATCCAAAATTGTTCACAAAATTCCTAGCCACGCCTATTTGCACCTGTTTTTGGTTAAACCACAGATGTTCCCAAAAAATAGTTAGGATAAGTAGAACACGTGTGACCTAATTTTAGAAAATACAAAAAATACAAGAAAATGTTGACCAAGAAGACGAAGCAAAAGAAATTCGCCTTTGCAATAAACATCAATCTCGTTCTGACTAATTGTAAACATTTTCATTTTTCATGTGTTTTTTTTTTCATATTTTCATTTTCTCACAAGAAAAAATTCAGAGAGGAAGCGAAAAAATATAAATAAAAGCTGTATGATGATGTCAGAAGGAAACAAAAATTTCAAAAAAAAAATCGTGTGAAAAAAAGATGAGAAAAAACATTGACCACACACATAATATGGGTCAGTTGGACTTTTTATGAGGGTTTAATCGGATTTTACAAATGCAGACAATGAAAATGACAAAAACTAAGAGAACCACATGATTTTTAATTTTTTTTTTTGAATAAAAAAAAGTGAATTTCGTTACTAAAATTTAGGCTCATAGTGAAAGGGGGTATTGATTATTTTTTGAAAATTGAAATTGTATTTATTTGAATACAAGGAAAATATATATAGTTTTCTCACGGGTATTTATTCATAAATTTAGAGTTAAGAGAAAAAATATATTGATTTTTAAATACGAATTTGAAACTCGTAGGAAAATCATCAAAAACTCAATTCCAAAAATTAAAATTACAACTACATTCTGAATTTGTTATAAATGAGAACTGTGAAAATTCAAGAGCAATTTAAGATATGAAAAATTTAAGAAAATTCTCGAAAAAATTTTCAAATTTCAAGGAGAGCAATGAAAATCTGAAATTGAAGTCAATTTCAAAATATTGAAACTTAAAAAAAATTAAAGTGAAAAATCTGGGCTCCAAAAGTAAAAAACACATTTTTATTCGTCTTGAAGGAACTGTTCTCAAGATTCTCAAACCCCTGAAATCCACCAAAAAATATTCTAGAATTCCAAAACATCAAAAATCAAATTTTCACCTTGACTACAGGCTCATCTTTCTATGTATTTTTCAGCCGAAAAATATAGTTATGATTCATTGTATAATATGAGTACAGGGTGCGCCATAAATACGTGGACAGCTATAATTCAATATTATTTTCAAATTTAGAACAGTTTTTGTATATCGTTTTTAAAATACTTAATTAGGTCCCTAACAAGTAAATTAAAACCAATATCTCTTAGTTTGGTCGATTCTGCGACTTGGGAAATCTTGTAGAACTTCGGGGAAAATTTCATCACGGCACGCTGCCATTTGTCGGAAATATTGTCCCAATACTTGAAAACTAGGTTCTGTATAGTCTAAATACATGATTGGAGGTTTACCTAGAACCTTTCCGATAACTAATTTGAAAGGAATTATGCAATGGGTTCGTTTCTGACAAAAATAACATCAATTTAAAAACGTTGCTCAAATCGAAAAAATTGTTTCTCAACAGCGATTTTGGGAGATTTTATCTTTTATTGTGCACTGTGATTGGCTGGAGCACTTGATGTTTGTTATCGAGGTTGATTTTCATTCTTAGGTACATATGTTAGTCCAGAAATACATTTATTTCAACTTTACTCCCGATTTTGACCCCAAAATCAATGGAGATCAATGATTTCTCCCAATGAAGCAGACAGTTCCAAAAACCTCCACCCAAACTTGGTGTGAGACATGGTGGACAATTTTATATTTTTTCTTGGCTTCTTGGGACTCTCTGACAACCCATCAAACATTCTACAACTTAAATGAAGACTTCGCAACAAAAATAATTCCATCCAAAAATAGCGAGACCACTTTTTCATTGTTTTGCGTGCCGTGATGAAATTTTTCCCGAAGTTCTACAAGATTTCCTAGGTCGCAGAATCGACCAAACTAAGAGATATTGGTTTTAATTTACTTGTTAGGGACCTAATTAAGTATTTTAAAAACGATATACAAAAAACTGTTCTAAATTTGAAAATAATATTAAATTATAGCTGTCCACGTATTTATGGCGCACCCTGTAATAACTTTTTTCGCATCAAAAAAACCCAACCTACCATTCTTCTCATTTTTCGTTTCATTTTCATAGCTACAAATACAAAAAAAATGTGTAATGAAAAAAAACGGATAACAATTTTCCATATTTATTTATATGAATTTAGGTCATCTAGATTTCCAAACTGATCTACTTTTTAGTATTCTAATCAAATTCAAAAAATCTTTCCCCTGTGTAATTTTTTCTACCAAAAAAAAATAAACTAACCGGAACTCCCTCATATCCTTGCGGCGGAACATATCGAACCTTGCGTAAATAAACGGCAAAAACTGCGTCCGCGTGTTTTTCGTCGCCCCAATAACGAGAAGTCATCACTTTTGAGGTGGCAAATTCGAAAATATCGTGTACTTTCCTAATTTTTTTCTTGATTTGTACTCGATTTTTCTAACCCGTCATACCCTGGAAAAATGTTTGGATTTGGATTTGGGAAAGAGAAATTCTGAAAAAGAATTTTTAGGAGAAGGTCGATAATGAAGACATGAAAAAAACAACAAAAATAATGGGTAAAAAGATTGATTGAGAAGATGACATCGAATGAAAATGTGAACAGACGATTGGGGCAAAAAAAAAACAAAATCGAAGGTCACTGATTTTTTTTCGAGGTGTCTTCTTTTCATCTATTAATTATTTAAATTTAACACAATTTTTTTTTATTTCTTCAGGAGTTTTGGGGTTAAAAAAGTCAAGATTTCAAGGGACCTTCCACAATTCACGCACACAGAAATCAAAACTCAAAATCGAAAAATGAAACATAATAAATTTGATGAAATTTATAAAATGTGCGGGGTTAGTTTACCAGAAAAATGTTGCAGTTTCTATAAACAATTTTCTGGTTTTGTTGCGTCATTTTGCAACAATTTATTTATTAGAAAAAAAGAGAAGCAAATTGGTTGAAAAAAATAAAAGGAAGCAGAAGCGAAAGCAAAAAAAATTTAATTGTTCAAAAATCGAAGAAACTGATTGTGAGAGAAACAATAATGGTGGGAAAGTTATAAGGAAGTATTTTTACAGGAGGAAATGCTGGAATTTAACGCTGAAATTTACAGCAGAAATTCTTGAATTTAGAAATATTTGAAGCTTTAGAAAATTAAAAGAACGTGAAGAGGGAAAAAATAAGAGCTGTTGGAATTCAAAACTAGAAATTGAGGGCTAACAACTTACTGTGGGAAAAAATGTTATCAGATTCGGATTGAAAATGAAAAATTCTAGAATTTTGAACTTCGGAAAACCAAAAGATCAATTCACATTCAAGAACAGTAACACCAAATGAATTGAAAAAAATTTGATTCCAAAAAGAATAATCAGAAATCATGTGGTCAAAAGCAATGGCTCAAATTTCATGATCAAATTGTTTTTTTTTCTCTCTCTCATTCTGCAAAAATTGTTGCGACTTCAAATAATTCTTAATTGAAAGTGGGATGGGATTTTTTAAAATTAAATTAGAAAGAAAAAATCTGGCTGGAATTTTTCAAAACAAAAATCAAAGAAAACCCAAAAGTAGAACTGAAAATTTAGAAAATAGAACAGTATCCTTGTTGAACATAAATCAAAAAGATTTTTGGTGACTTGATAAACTCAACAGAAAATTGCCGAAATCAGGAGATTTTGAGAAAATTGATCGAAGAAGCCTTGAATAAACTTTAGGCTTGAGTTAAAGCCCCGAAACAACATCAGATATAGAATTTTCATAAATTTAGAATTTAATATTCAGTTTTTGAAGTTCTCGCAGAAAAAATTGGAAAAAAATAAGAAAAAATGATTTCTCAATTCTCAGAAATGTTTGCAAAAATTTTTCCTGGAACAAAATAAAAAAGGCTAAAAAATTTTCAGACAAAGAATCTACCAGTAAACATCACAAGTATTTGAATCCACAGGCTAAATTCAAACTAAAAAATCACCAAGAACTGCAAAAAATCTACAAATCTATCAAAAATTCCGGAAAAAAAAATCAAGGAAAACGCCAGTTTTTCTCTTCTAAAAATCCACGATTATATCCAAAAAAAAATCAATCCAGCAAAAACCCAAACCAGGAAAAAAACAAGAAAAAAACATAGAGAGAAAAAAACAGTTAGGTGGGGGAAATGAGAAAAAAAGAAAAAAGAACAGGAGTAGATAATATGTACAAAAGAGTGTGAGAGACGAAGAGGAAATTATTGTTATTATTTTTTTTTCCTGTTCACTTGGTGTGTTTAGTGCGAGTGACCTTCGTGTCTGCCTCTCCTCTTTACAGGGTGATATTATTGCGCATGATGAGGAAAAGAAATGAAATGAAAAGACAAATTGAAAATGAAATAAAATAAGATCAAACTGGTAAGATATACATGTTGTTTTTTTTATTAGCTATAATAGAATAATATTACTCTGTTGATTGTTATTATTATTATTACTGTGTATAGCTGCTAACTAGTTAGTTAGGATTAGCGAACAGCAACAAAAAAACGAGGAAGAAGATGGGAAGAGAAAGTAATCGGCTTGTTGAAATTGATGAGAATTGACGTGTTGGAATTTAAGGAATTGCTAATGTAAGATCCGAGGAACTGTGTAATTGGAGATGGATGTTTTTTTGAGAGGGAAGTTTAGATTTTTGAAACTGAAATTTTTTTTTCAAAATTAGTGGGAAACTTCAATATTTTTGAAAACCCTAGATAGAAAATTGATATTTCAGATTCTAGAGAATATAGACTTTGAAAAGCATTTTATGAGAAACAGGAAATTATTTGATTTTTTTAAAATAGAAATTACTTAGATTTCAGTAAGAGTTCTAACATACATAAATATAATAAATAAGATTTTTGTGATGTTTAAAAACTCGTTTGTAATTTTTCAAAATTATTTCTGAATGTGAGAATTTTTGAAAAAAAAACGTTAACAATAAGTTTCAACGTAAGTTAACAGCAACAACTTTTTTTTTCAGAAACATTAATTGAAATTAAACAATATTAATTGATTAAGAATAATGAAAGCATTTTTTTTCTAAATCCACAGCTAATTTTCAAAAACAAAAATGAGATGATTTTTCTTGGGATTAGAAAAATTGGATTGCGCAATACTTCAGAAATGAAAAAAAAAACAAATTGCATAAAAAAGGTAAAATGAATCATGTGTACAAATATCATTTGGTAATAAAAATAATTTACAAGAACCTTCTAGTTTTCTTGATCTCCAGAAGAAAATACCCTTGACGGTGGAATTCCAAAAAGACGACGGAGACCAAAAATTTGAACAAAAAGAAGTTCTCGAACACCTAACAATCATTCATTCTAATCTAAGGGACCACCCACTGTGATAATGAAAAGAGTAATAAAAATAGGAAAGGTTATTTGTGCGAAAAATAAACAACATTTACATATAATTTTTGGTCAAAGAGGATTTTTGGATTTCACAAAAAATTCCAAACATCACAAAAGCTGTCGAAACAAGCCGGCAGCAAAAAAAATGTGTTCTGTCGTTTCTACCCGCCTTGCGGCAATAACAACAAACTCAAACAACTAAAATTCTTGGATCAACACTCCTCTACATCTCTGACCTTTTGTCTAATCGTCTGCTTCTGACTTGAAATGAAATGGAAAAATAAACATAAAAGCATAATGATAATAGAAGGAGCTCACATCAGATGACAGCTTGATTTGTCAACAAATAGGTTCCGGTCGGTTGACTAACGGTGTGCACAAAAAATGTTTCAATTTCCAAAAATATTTGGGAACTTATGAACAAAATTGTTGCAAATCTGACCAAAATCAATAAAACATGAATAAATAAATATTTTTTCCAACAGAAATAATGAATTCAATGTATTCAAATTTGAATAAAAGATTATTTTTGCAAAGGATTATTTATTTTTTAATTTTTTGAAAAAAAATTTATTTAAAAAAAAGAATTACAGACCGCCTAGACAGGAAAAACAATACGTACATATTCAGCAAAAAAAGTGCACGACTGGTTTGTCAAGTGGCTCAGTGAGCACAGAAAAAAACCGAAGAAGCTTGGAACTGTCATATATGTATTTTGTACATCAAGAAAAAGAAGAAGAAGAAGGAAAAGAGACGCGCGCGCGGTCAATGTGTACAGAGCAATCGAACAAACAATCAGCATCATGCGGGAGACGAAGCAAAAATTTCGCATTCAAAACGAAAAAAACTGGAGATTGAATGAATAGGCGGAACGGGAAAGGGTTGGAACCAAAAGGTTGAAAATGTTAGGTGAAATTTCAACATTTTTAGATATTGTGGAAAATTTTAGGTTCAAAAATTTTTTCAAGATTACAAGTGGCTTTAAGCTGAAAACATGAGCAATTTCGCATCAAAATTCTTTTTTGACCGAGCATTTTCGTTAACTTTGAGCTAAACGACGATTTTTTTAAATCATAGGTGGGAACATCAAAAGACTTTCCTTCTGAAAATCAATCTTGTGTAATTAGAGAAATTAAATTTTCTTGAAAAATGTGTTTTTTTTTCGTAAAATAAAATTTTGCTCAAAATCTTGAATTTGTAAGATCTACATGAATTTCACTAAACGGGAAGAATTGAAAATGTTAGCTCTCGATCTTTGTTTTGGAATTTTGAGCACGGTCTCTTTTTTAAAAATTTTGTACAATATTTCTGGATACTTTTGAACAAGTGTAATATGGAAATTTCAAATAAATGAAAAATTATTTTAAAAAGTTCTCATGTATCCCATATGACCACTGTTTTCAATAGAAAAAAATGTTTTGAAAAACGAATTCCGGAAAATTCTGAAAGAGATAAGTTTCTATAAAAAAAATACTTTTTATATTTTATTTTTTCGAGAGAGTTGAGACTGTGAAGATGGTCTCAGAAGATGGCCCCCTAATTCACGAAAATTTAGAAAATCAAAATTTTCAATTTTCCCACATATTTTTATCCCGTTGTTTTCATCCAATAAGCTTCAAAGACCACGCCCATTTTCAGAGAAGCAAATTTTTTTTCAACCTTAAAAAATTCAAACTGTGATTTTTTCCCGCCAAAAAGTTTATTTAACAAAAGAAAAAAAATGGAAAATTTGAAACAATAATTGAATTTGAATGAGAAAAAACTGAAAAACATATTGAACATTAGGAAAAAAACAAGGATGAAAAAGTACACGGCTCAAAAAACTGGCAAGAGAATACAATTGAAAATCAGAAATCAAAAGGAATATCAAAATAGGAAGAAGCTTTGTGAAAAAAAATCTAAAAGGGTTTGGAAAGGCACAAAAAAAACAACAAAGTCACCGTGGAAGAATGTATATAAAAAAATCAAAATCGAAAGTTTCGAGAACAAAATAAATTGACTACAAGGGTTTTGAACTACATATTGGGAAAAGAAAAGGCACGTTGATCGAAAAACACTACTAGGAAAATTTGGCGGGAAAATACTAAACAACATCGAGATCAACTTGTGCCATGGGGGTTCTGTGAAAAAATTATTTGTCATCTGGAAACTGATTTATGCGAACTCACAAGGATATGTTCCCACTAATAGCGTGGATCATTGAAGTCGGCTTGGAAAACATGGAATTCTCCATTTTCATTGATTCCAATGAACTGAAAATACATATTTTGATGAGAAAGCTACAAAAAATGAAATTTCTTACGATCATCAAGTTGTTCAAACGAATTCGATAGAATCCTGGAAACAAAGCATTCGAGTAGAGAAGATAAGCGTCATTCAAATCGTTCCAGTCCAAATAACGAATGAATTGCGAATCATCATCATCTTCTCTTTCGTTGCCCTCCTGGGGAATTATATGGTCGTTTGCGATTGGATATGGACCACGATAGCCAGCCGGTAGTCTTTGGGACACAACTGAATCGTTGTCATCGGTGTCTGTATCATCTCCATGATTTGATCGAGCACGATTGTTCAAGAAGTATGCATCTTGAACATCAAAAGGAAACGGTTGGACTACTGGTTCCCACAGATTGCGGTAAACAAACGTGAAAAAGCGGGGAATAACGTTTCCCATCTGAAAATCAACAATAAGAAGATCTGAGGAAAATGAAGCACAGTTTTATCAACAGAAGCAACAAAAAACTCCACATTACACAGTTACGCAACAACACAAAAAAATAAGAAAAGGCAAAATTTTGGTGCAAGCGCGTGACAGGATAAACACAAAAAAGTGTACATGTGTGAGGCAGAAAAAGGGGAAAACAGGAGTTCTACATGTGTTAAAGTAAAGGGGCGGTCCAGATGTCAAGAAAAAAAAATTTCGCCTCGAGACCCATCGGAGAAAATCGAGCTAACAGCTAACAAGGCAATAGATCAAAACTTGAGCAAAAATGCTCAACTTAGCACATTTCGCTGGACAATAAAATTCAGAATATCTTTATCTAGAAAGTATACCTATTTCGATTTATTTCTGAAGGTTAGGCATCCAATTTTTGAAAATTTCGAGCTCCGGGAAAAATTGGGATAAGGGTTTTTTTTAGAAATAAACATCTATGCAAAGCAAGAACTTTCGAAAATCAGAAAAATCACACAACACAGCCTAAGAAACAAAATGAATGAAGAAATGAATAGAATTTTGGCATGAGGCGTAGTCGCTATTCAAAAACAGAAGTTATACAGATGTTTGGAAAAAGGGGCGGGGCTATTAACTATAAGCAGGGAAAGCGTGACACTATTGAAAAAAACACGAGTTGTACAGATGTTTGTGAAAAAGAGGCGGTACTGATGTCAAGAAAAATAGATATTTCAAGGAAAACAGGAGTTGTACATGTGTTGAAGAAAAAGATGTATTGAACAATTTTCGCTGCGAGATCCATCAGGGAAAATCGATATATGTTGATATTAGTCATGATTTTGTATTCTACAGAAAACAATAAGTCAAGCAAAAATGCTCAACTTAGCAAATTTCGCTGGACAATAAAACTCAGAACATCTTTATCTAGAAAGTATACCTATTTCGATTTATTTCTGAAGATTAGACATTTGATTTTTGGAAATTTTGAGCTCCGGGAAAAATTGGAATAAAGTTTTTTTTTAGAAATAAACATCTTTTGCAAATCAAAAAAATCACACAACACAGTCTAGAAAACAAAATGAATGAAAAAAATGAATAAAATTTTGTGATATTCAAAAACAGAAGTTATACAGATGTTTGTGAAAAAGAGGCGGTACTGATGTCAAGAAAAATATATATTATTTAGGAAAACAGGAGTTGTACATGTGTTAAAGAAAAATATGTATTGAACGATTTTTGCTGCGAGATCCATCGGGGAAAATCGATTTTTGTTGATATTAGTCATGATTTCACATTCTACAGAAAACAATAAGTCAAGGAAAAATGTTCAATTTACAATACTTCGTAAGACAATACAATTCAAAATATCTTTATCTAGAAAGTATACATATTTCTGAAGGCTAGACATCTAATTTTTGAAATTTTTGAGCTCTGGGAAAAATGGGATAAGGGTTTTTTCTAGAAATAAACATCTATGCAAATCAGAAAAATCACAAAACACAGCCTAGAAAACAGTAGAAATGAAAAAATGAAAAGAATATTGGCATGAGCCGTAGTCGCTATTCAAAAACAGAAGTTATACAGATGTTTGTGAAAAGGGGCGGGGCTGATGTCAAAAAAAACAAAATCGCTGCGAGACCATATTTTTGAGAAAATCAATATTCCTTTAACATGAGTCATTGGAATATTGTCTAAAAAATCAAGATAAATATCAGAACACGCAGCTTCTGACGTTCAAGACAGAATAAAATAAAAAAAGGGGAAATAACTTTGGCGCAAGAAACCCTACTCGCTATTGAAGAAAACAGAAGATATACAGATGTTTGTGAAAAGGGGCGAGGCTGATGTCAAGAAAATAACAAAATCGCTGCAAGACCATATTTTTGAGAAAATCAATATTCCTTTAACATGAGTCATTGGAATATTGTCTAAAAAATCAAGATAAATATCAGAACACGCAGCTTCTGACGTTCAAGACAGAATAAAATAAAAAAAGGGGAAATAACTTTGGCGCAAGAAACCCTACTCGCTATTGAAGAAAACAGAAGATATACAGATGTTTGTGAAAAGGGGCGGGGCTGATGTCAAGAAAAAGAACAAAATCGCTGCGAGACCATATTTTTGAGAAAATCGATATTCCTTTAATGAGTCATTCAGATATGGTCCAAAAACCTACATGAAAAGCAGAGCACACAGCTTCAGACTTCGGAGATACATAGAAGAAAATAAAAAAAAAGGGAAAAAGTTCGGCGCAAGGAGCCCTACTCGCTATTGAGGAAAACACAGAAGCTATACAGATGTTTGTGAAAAGGGGCGGTGCTGATGTCAAGAAAAAATAACAAAATCGCTGCGAGACCTAAATTTTGAGAAAATCAATATTCCTTTAACATGAGTCATTCGGAATATGGTCTAAACAATCAAGATCATAACACACACCTTCTACCTAAGGCAACCGAATAAAATTAAAAAAAAGGAAAGAAGTTTTGGCGCGAACGCGTGACACTATTGAAAACACAGAAGCAATACAGATGTTTGTGAAAAAGAGGCGGTGCCTATGTCAAAGAAAAAAATAAAATCGCTGTGAGACCAATCTTTTGAGAAAATCGATATTCCTTTAACATGAGTCATTGGAAAATGGTCTAAAAAATCTGGATAAAAAGCAGAGCACACAGCTTCAGACTTCGGAGATAGAAGAAAATTAAAAAAAAAGGGAAAAAGTTCTGCGCAAGGAGCCCTACTGATGAAAACACAGAAGTTGTACAGATGTTTGTGAAAAGGGGCGGTGCCAGTGTCAAGAAAAAAGAAAAAAATCGCTGCGAGACCACATTTTTGAGAAAATCGATATTCCTTTAACATGAGGAATGATTTTTTTTTCTTTTTTCGATGAAATAAAAAACTTAGTCTCCAAAAAAATTTAACTGCACTGAAAAGCTTCTGAATTACGCAACAGAATGAATGTTTTCAAATATAAGTAAATAACCTTGTGGTAAACACGTGTCACGACTGAATAACAACAACCACATCTACAGGTGTTTGGGAAAAATAGAGCGATTCTGGTGTAGAAAACAGGGTTCCAACTAAAAAAAAAATCAAGAAAATCAATATTATTCAACACAAAAACTTTCGGCGCGACTTTTATCCAACAATTAGTCATTTTGTTGGAGACGGGCTTTTTGGGGAGATACTTTTCCTCTAACATGAGTCATGTATGGTTAGAGATAGATGGTTTATAGAACTTTAACTATGGAAATAAGGGTTTAAAAATTTCTAAAGAAGTGAGACCACCCACGAAGCTTCTGATTCAATTAGGCCTGAGCGTGTATATAAATCATATGTGGCTTACATTTTTCTGGATGAGGTTGATTTTCAAAAAGACCACCCACGAAGCCTATGCTGTAAATCGCTTTAAACTCGAACCATTGAAAAAAATAATCACGAGACCGAGACAAATTTGAAAAATACGAAATTTTTGAACGACCTTAGCTTTTCACCCAAACTCACATTGCGCAACAAGCGCCCAGACAAAAGAAAATGTACTTGAGGAAAAAAGGGGCGGCTTCAACGTCTCAAATATTTTTCTCTTTCACAAATCGATAATGTTCGACACAATATTTTGGCGCCGTTCGAATAATTTGTTGAATGAGTTTTTGGGAATTGTCTTTCCTCTAATATGAGTCATATCTGGTGGTCGTTTTTTTTATTGATTCACTGTCCAGAAGTTACTTTTTTCGTCGTTTATTATAAAAGGAATGAAAACAAAATCGAAAATTAAAAAAATTAAAAAGCAACTTATTTGTGAAAAATAATAGATTCTAGATTTCATCATCTTCGTCTTCCGAGATACCGTCATAAACACGATCAATCTCTTGCTCGATATTGAAAACGTCGTCAATATTCTCGGCAGCAATCAATTCGCGAATTCGACGTCTTGTCATGAAATCAGCAAGAAAGTTGTCCAAACTTACATTTCTACGAATGCCAGGTTGAACTTCTGGTTCATCTGCAGGTTCTGCATCATTGATGTGGTCGTTAAGTTCCAGATCTCCGAAGATTGGTGGCTAAAAAACGATCCAAAAATTTTTAAAGCAAAATCGGTGAACTCACAAAATTGAAAATCTCATCAAATCTTAAAACTCGAAGTTCTTGCTCTGGAGCCAAGAAATTCAACAAATTATTATTGTCCTCGGCGCGGGGAAAAATATCAAATTGAGCATTCTCTTCAAGAATATCATTCCAAAACGCTCCTAAAATCCGATCGTCAATATCCACTTCTGATTCGCTTTCCCATATAATTCCATTTTCATCCTCTGAATTGATTTCCACTTCACTTTCTTCTTCTTGATCATCCTCCACATCATCTTCTTCGTCACTTGAGATATCATCGAAGATCAGTTCGCGAGGTGCCCAAGGATCTGGTATAACCTAAAAATAGCCCGTTTTGATGGCCTGAAATTAGGCCCGACTTACCAACAAGACACTGAATAACATCCACATGGAAGAAGCATCAGCCATGCTGAAACAAAAAATTGTATGTATGAAAAATATATGCAGTGAAAAAGTTTTTGATAACGAAATAAATTGTCCAATCTCAAAATCAAAACAAAAAATGAAAAATTTTTGTGGGAGCGCGGCAATGCCAAAGGCACAAATGAAAACAAAATAGATGTGTGCGAGATGAGGAGAGCGGTTGAGATATTTTGGAAAATTGATTGCGATTTTAACACAAAACATGATTGTGAAAAAAATGGCACAGATTTTCGCTAACATGAGTCATCCAGAGAATATTTTTTTGTGAATCTTGCCTCACTTGTCCAAACATTCAAGCCGACTCTCCCTATCATTTCTAGAAGTTGCCGATGTTTATTGCAAAATGAAAAATTGTTTTTTTTTAAGTTCCAACACAATTTCTCGATTTCTCAATATTCAATTAGAATATAAGTTTAATCGCATTTGTGAATCAATTCAACTGAAGAAGAAAAAAATCGCGATTTTGGTATTCGGAGCCAGGAGCCTGAAGAGAATCAGCGCACGGTCATTTCTTGTATCAAAAATAGTCAAGATGTGTTGTTTTTTGTTCCCGTTAATTTCATAAAAGTCCCCAAACTCTCACATTGTTTTGCATACATATCAAGTTTTCCAATACCAAATGTGCTCTGTCATTCATTGATAGAAAACAAATTTTGAGCACGACACAACATTGTCGAACACATAAGTTTTTTTTCACAATTTTCGAATATTTTTATTATTTATTTAACTCAAAACATAAATCTATTGATAAATTAATTGATAATGGAAAATGCAAAAATTATATCGGGTGCGGAGTAAATTTGAAGAAATATCGGGATTTGACGAAGACGAGCATTTAGTCAATTGTAATTGGATTCTGTTGCGATCCTTCCAAATGGGCATCATCGATTGGATTTTTAGATCCTTTAACATTGTCACCATCAATTTTGCGCATCGTTTTTTCAGCACACGTTTCTCCATTGATTTTGTTGTTGTTATCGATAGTGTTGACACGGACGGGTGAAGTCGACACGGATGGATGAAGTGGCGGTATTTTGGCACGATTATCCTTTGGCCGAGAAAATTGCAGCGGTCCATTGAATTTGACATCCAACCCTGCGTTGACTTGTCTCTCCAAATATTTGGGAAGTCTGTGCGGCTTCTGAAAATTTTTAATTGATACACTCTCAAAATCGTCAAGAAAATAAACTCACGGTCTTTTTGAGCGGCGCACACATTGGCGCATAGTGTTGACGAACAACAGATTGTTTTGCCATCGGCGAACAAGGTTACCTGTAAAAAAACAAAGTTTATTCAAATCATAACTTTCCGTTGAAAATGAGCAAAACAATTTAGATAAAGAACAAAAAGCTATCCCATTTGAAAGGATAAAAGGAGATACCAAATGTTTCATATTCAAGTCAAAATAAAATAATTTTATCACAAAATTTCTCGAATCCCAAAAAAAATAATGCAACACAACACGAAAAAAAACAACTGCAAAGACAAATGAGGAAGGGGGGGGGGAAGAATAGGAAGGGTGGTCAAAATTATTTTTTGTATGCGGTCATTTTTTATTGATCAAAAAATTTTAATTCTTCAGATGTGTTTGTTTTCGTTTCTGATGGTAGTATTGGACAAAAATCAAAAATCCGTTTTTTTTTTTCAGATTTTCAACTTTCTAGAAATGTCACTTGGGATTTTTTTAAATGGTGATATTTGGGTGATAATTGATTTTTATTTATACACTACCAACCCAACACATTTTTAAGATTTTCCATTATGATCTTCATAGTTGACCCGATGTTGTCGTAGATCTTGATTTCAGTAACACCCTGAACTTCAAAACATTGTCCAAATTCACGTCAAAAAAATGTCAAAAAACGTAAGTTTTCTGAATGTTATAATTTTTCCTAATTGTTAAAAACCCCATACTTTTCCTATTAGACTCACTTCAACAATTCCCAGATTTCCTGTATCTTTTTAGTATCTTAAATTTGTTATTTTTCATTTTATTTCATTCTCCGCCTACTTTTTCTGCGCAAACACACCAAAAACTGGCGCATTTTCTGCACCTGATGGGCATTCCCCCCTTTTTCTTGTATACGTTATCTGTTTATGTTGTTGTTTTATGTTTTTTTCGAGTAACTAACTTGTTGCCGTTTTCCATTTTTTTTTTGATTTTCAGATGATTTTATTTCTAATTAATGTCACTCTAACACTACGAAGTTTGAATTTCTAATTATCTGAAAATAATATTGAAAGATTATGCAGTATGTGTACAATTACAACTTCTTTTCGTAATTCATGAAACTTGTTGTTTGTTTAAATTTCTGATAATAAAAAGTTTTATTTTGCAGGTAAAGCCCATTTATACGCCAACGTCTTTGCCTAAAGACACGCTTCTCATCAATTTGTCAAAGGAGTTTATCTATGTTTCTATGAATATTCGCGTCATTCGATAATTGGAACCGTCACCTGATTGTAAGTGTAAGCAATTGTATTTAGAAGATAAACTGAAAAAATTTATATCGCAACGTTTGAGTTTGAGTTGAAAAAAAATCAATGTTCGAATTAAAATTATTTTATGAACGCAAATTATTGAAATAGCTCCACCTGGGAACGTTTTTCCAACTGTTTGTTTGAGTCCGTTATAAAATTTGAAGAAAAACAACTTTCTCAAACAAATCAGATATTTTCCAGTTTCGCACACCAACTCACTTTTCAAATTGGCCATCACACTCATTTCTGGGCGCGGATTTTGTTGTGCACCACCTCTTCATCACTGCGGATTTGTACCAATTGTATTTTATAATACAAGGTGTGTTTTAACGGACTCATACACATATACTTTTGAAAAAATAACAAAATTCACATGGTTCAGCTTTTTTTGCAACAAAAAAAACTAAAATTTCACGCATTTTCATATTGTCAGAATATAACAGTCAATTTTTTTGAGTCCGAAACAAAATTTGAAAAACAAACGATTTTCAAAAATAATTCAGATATTTTTCAGAGTCGAGTTTGAATCGTGGTCATCGTCGCACAATCGAACAAACTTTGCCAATTTTTTTGCCGGTATAAAATTTGAAGAAAAACAACTTTCTCAAACAAATCAGATATTTTTCAGTTTCGCACACCAACTGTTCAAATTGACCATCACAATTATTTGTGGGTGCGGATTGTTTTGCGAAAAGTAGCATTTTCGATCATACACGACCTCTTCATCATTGTGGATTTGTACCAATAGTATTTTATAATACAAGGTGTGTTTTAACAGACTCATACACATATACTTTTGAAAAAAATAACGAAATTCACAAGGTTCAGCTTTTTTTTGCAACAAAACAAACTAAAAAATGTTGTTTAGCTTATGTGAGAAAGTTAATTACTCCATTTCACGCATTTTTTATATTGTCAGAATATAACAGACAAATTTTTGAGTACGTTGCAAAATTTGAAAAACAAACGACTTTCAAAAATAATTCAGATATTTTTCAGAGTCGAGTTTGAATCGTGGTTTTCTTCATTCATCATCGCACAATCGAACAAAGTTTGCCAATTTTTCGCCGAAAACCGTAGTGGATTTGATTTTGGTTTGGAAAGGTTTGGTTCAATAATTTTTCCAAAAAATTTTCCGAGCACAAAATTTGAAAATATAGCCAAAAGGCGTAGTTCATAAAAACTGAAAAAAAAACGCTTTCTCCAAATCAATTTTTCGAAATTCTGTTTGAATTCGGAGTTTAAAGTCAAGAAAAAAAGTAATCATAATAATTTTTTATCAAAAATAGAAACAACGAAAAATATAGCGCAGCTTCAAAAGAATTAAACTTTTTTTCAGATGAGCCAGCCTACTGATTCTGTTCAACAGTATTCTGTTTGTTTCACCGATATCCCCCCAGAAATGCGACAGGAGATTTTGAATAAAATGTCGGCTCTGGAACGGCACGTGTTCTCGAGATGTTCTAAACAAGCTTATTTCGATGTCTCGCGAAACGAGCATTACATCAAAACGTTGCGGTTGAAACGAATTTCCAAATCGAAATTTGAAATCTCGCTGGATTTTGAGGATAAATATTGCGTCAAACACTTTCACATAAAACATATGCCAATTATCGATCGATTTTTGTTAAAATCAGCGAGAAGTTTGGAAAGTCTGAAATTAACTGAGAATAAGAACTTAATTTGGACAACTCCACCTCTCACATTTTTTAAGTTACGAAATGTTGTGTTAACAACAAAACGAGTGAACGCCATTCTGTTGAAGATCAAAACACGGGTTGCACTTAATTCATTAGCCGTGAATCCAGGCTTTCGTGGGGAATCGGTTGATGTCTCAATCACAAAGGTAATTTCAATATCAAATCAGATTGTTCAATAAACACATTTACTTCTTCAGATTAAAGAAGTGATGGATTCCATCTCGATGCCGAGTTGCAACTTGTTATACGAAAATTTAAAAATGTTGAGAGCGTCACATGTACGAATGGGATTGGTGGACACAAATTCCGATCGTTTGCTTGATTATTTGAGGAGCTGGAGAGAAAGACATGTCGAAAATTCGCTCCAAAGACTTTATTTACATTTACACAAAGAAATGCAAATTGATGAAATTCGTCGTCGATTGGAAATTGTTGGAGATCCATTGAGGTGATCAGTTTTTCATTTTCTAAATAATTCAGCGTGTGGAGTGTTGAGAACGAAGAGCATATTGAAAAATATGTATTTTACGATTTTTGAGGTTTTGCAGCCAAAATTTGTCAGGAATTTGAGAGATAGAAAACAATATTTAAAAAAAAACTATTATACAATGTGTTGTGTTCTCGGAATTCTTTTACCTTTGTTAGTTTTATTTAAACGCAAAAGCAAAACATTGTTTAGAGAGCATGAAACCTTAGAGAAAGTAAACAAAATAAAATCAAATCAAGAAACAAATGATGTCTTACACTTTGGATTTTTGAAAGTTAAAAATAACAGTTGAGAATTTCAACTTTTTGACAAACAAAAACAACTGTTTTTTTAAATTTGCCCACTTTCTACGAAAGAATGCCAAGATAATTACATTTTACAGATTCCAAATTGCCATTCCACACACTCATCATCCACAAACCGAGTTCTATGTGCAGTTTGGACACAATAGGATGTTTGGATCCGCCAACATTGATATCAATGTCATAATTTTCGCTCGAAAACGAATTTTTGAGCCTTCTCTCGAAAACCCACTTTTTAGAATTTCTCCAGATGTTTTTGACCGCTGATCCAGTACAAACTAGTCGATTATCACAGTTATAATTTGGCCATTGAACATTCTTTCTTTTTTTCCATTTTTATACGATTTTATCCAAACTTTTACCTTGTATACATAATTCTGTTGGTCCAATCACTGTTTTCACTGTTTTTTTCTATCTTACATGTATATTGTTACTGTGAACAGCAGACTTCATGTTATTTTTTGCAACGAAAATTTTCCCCGTTTTTTTTCCAATCAAACATCTTTATGATTTTCCGGTCTCAAATTTTTTCAAATCCAATTTGTATTGTTTGTTTATTTCTCTAACCGTTCACAAATGAATGAAAATGTGTGAATTTTTATACATGAATAGAATTAGAAACAATATGTCGGCAACTGAAAAAATGTATTTGTTTTCCGAATTGAGAAATACAATGTTTCTTTATATACTTGGCATGTAGTACCTCTGAAAAACATGCACATCTTTGGATTTGTTTTCCTGGTGAAAATCCGACGAGTGAGTAAATTGAATGAGAACAAAAAGAATTCTATAGAAAACAGTTGTAAAAAGGAGACATGTTTATTAATAGCAATCAATATTCGAAAACATTACGGGGCACAAAAAAAAAGATCTTTGTTAAATTGTTAAGATAAAAATATGGTTAGGATCCAATTTGTACAGATGATAATGTGCTTCAAAGTCCTGGAGCATTTTAAATAGCAGTTGTGGAAGTTTCCTCTTCAATTTTTGGTTTATCCGATTGAGATTCTGTGAAAGTATTCCCAATATCATCAATCAAATCTTCTAGCTCGTCAGCTTCTTCGACCACTACAGTTTTTTCCTTCATGCTCTTTGCAGAATTTTTACGATCCAAACAGTATTTGAGAAGATTGGAAGGGATTCGTGATGATTCCTTTTTGGCTCTTCGCTTTTCCAAATATTCCTTGGCCTCTTTTTCATCTTCTTTTGAATATTTCGCTTTTCCAAGTTGGGTTTTGGCTAATTGGGCTGGAAGATAAGATGGCAAGCGATGGCTTTTCTGAAAAAATTGGAATTTTATAACTTTCTATATTTTTATTTTCATCAACTCACAGTTTTCAGCAAAGGTTGACAAATTGGCTGAAAATTTCTTCGACGATATTGCTCCTTGAATGGAGATGGCTGATGATTTTTTGAGTTGGAAGAAGTTTCCATTTTTAACCCTAAAATTATTATATTATATACAAATTTGGCAATGAAATGTTGAATTGAAATTAAAACATCCAAAAAAGTTGAAAAAAAAAATTTTTTTTGAATTGGCAATCACATAAAAAATCAAAATAAAATATCATTGTCTTAATATTTTCTCGGAGACAGAATGAAACAAAGTTGCGCCTGCTTTTCGAACTTTTTTCATTGAAATCACCTGGATTTTAGTTATTTTTTTGGGGAAAATTCAGCTTGGGCGGTTTTTTTCCGAAACATTTTCAGATAAGTGTTCGAATTTTCAGGTTTCAGGGTCTTGTGTGAGAACTTTTGGAACAAAGTCTGAAAAAAAGTTTTTATATGAATAAAAATAAGAAAACGTATGATTTTTTCTGTTTTGGCACCAACATTTATGTACATTTTGATTGGTTCCTCTTTATATTTTTGTTAATTTTGATAATTCTGACGTCATGGTGAAATTATTTCGAGGATTTTTGAATTTCAAAATTCTAGAACGTATGACAGAAAAACTAAGGAAAATCAGGAGGGTCCGGCTGAAATCATAAAAGGTCCTGGTGATTTTTTTTACTTATCAGATCCCCGATTCCTCGTACACAGAAGATTTCTAATGTTTCAATTTCAAAAATTCACTAATCATGTGAACATTAAAGATCCAGTTTTCTATTTTAACAATCCAGTCAGATTATAAAATACAACAGTAATCGAATTTCTGATTTTTTTTCATCAATCAGCATGTTTTTCCAATTATATTTCCAAAATAACTCAGCATATCTTGAAAAAATTTAAACATTTCACGTCTTTTGAAAAAACAAATTCTCGAAATTCAATTAAAGCCTGTTTCTGTACAGTTTTTTACGCTGAGAAAGCCAAAAAGCAGGGAAATGTGAAGAGAATTTTCTGAAAATCGCGGTTTTGAGGGTCAGTTACTCATGTTAGAAAATATTTTATCAAAAACAGAGTACAGGGCGATGTTCAGATGTCAAAGATTTTGACAAAATGTTCAAATGTGCAACCTTTTTTCTCTTCAAAACACGCCAGCTCCTTTTTCAAAAATAAAGTTCATAGAAATCGAATTGCGCTAAAATCAGAAAAAAAAAACAACATAAAAAATAATTCTTCAAAAAATTAATATCTTCTATCAGTTGAGGTAATTTGTGTTCGATTTTGTTCAAAAACTTGATAGCTTGGTGTAGCATATTGTGGTTTTTGGAGTTGTTGTGGATGGGAGAGGATTTGCGAGTGAGCAGCGTCAAGAATATCATTGTGGGCTCTAGAAATTTGGGTTTTCTGTGAATTTCTTCTATACTGATTTTCTTACCTGGATAATGTGTTATCGTATCCAATTAAAATTCCTTCAGAATTACGTTGCATTTCCTGGAAGTTTTTTGATAAAAAAAATAAAACTAAAATAACTGAAGACAACAAAATATACAAATTTATTATAAACACTCTCAAAAAACATGCTTGAACTGAAAAAAAATGGGTTAGTTAGGGTATCTTGGGCTATGATAATTTCCATTGGAATAAGAAGAATTAGTATTTCCATTCAAATTGCCAACATTCACACTAACATTGAATCCCTTTGTTGGTTGAATATCAATTGTCTCGTTCATTCCGTGAAGTCCGACAAAAATCTTGTAAATCCAAGCGCCAATGATTGCACCAATCAATGCGCCAACAATTGGAATCCAGAAATAATAACCGTTTGCGCTGAACACTTCCCAACCATATCCGGCGCAGAGGCAGAATACACGTGGTCCAAAATCGCGAGCTGGATTGATGGCGAATCCACCATTAGCTCCAAATGTCATAGCGACCTGGAAGAGTGTCAATTTCCGGTGCCCTCAGATAGAAGTTCCTCACCATAGTCATGATACTTCCAGCCAAAACTGGAACACATCCATCAGGGATCTTGTGCCGCTTATCGGTGATCAAGCAAACCAATCCAGAGAGAAGGGCAGTTCCGATAATCTGAAATTTTTTAAAATCAATTCCCGTTCCAATGTTTCCAAAAATAAATAAATTCTGTATTGATATCAAATTTAATCAATCAAAATTGATGCGAGTGATTTTTTGAAGGTTATGACTTGATGTTAAAAGATCACAAACCTGATCTAACAAACTTCCCCAAACCGACATATGTTCTGATGGGAATGTGGTGAACAATCCAGCGGTTGCTTGGAGCCCGGTAACTTGACGAATACCACCATCAAGTTTCCATAAGTCATCTGAACAAAACATCTCTATTGAGTACTAGAAACCTTTCCGAAACTTACCATGATGTCCAAAATATGCCACAGCTGCTCCAAGGAAAGCTCCGATAAGTTGAGCAATAGTGTATGGGATGATTTTCCAGCTTGGAAGATTGCCAAGGATGGATTGGGCGATTGAGATAGCTGGATTCAAATGCGCTCCGGAGACACTGGCGGCGAGATAGACGGCAAACATGAATCCGATTCCCCAAGCAATATGGCAGGATGTTGAATTTCCACCGGTGGCTACCGCTGATTGGATGTTTGCAGCATTTCCGATGAGCTGCAACATTTTAGAGTTTTTTTTGTGAAATATTCTTCTTAAAATCCTAATCAAATTTGATTTTTAAAATTCTGCAAAATCCCAAAACTTAGAAACTAGAAACTTCCAAAGTCAGAACTTTATTCTATAAATATTCAGAATCAATTTTTTTCAGAATCGAATTGAAAACTAAAATACTGTAGTAATTGAAGAAATTGAAAAAATGTGGTTTTGATTATTTCAAAACTTCATTTTTTAAAAAGGTTTATTTATCAGATCCAGAAATTATAAATTACAATTATGCGGATCTGAAATTCAAAAAAATCCTCTGAATCGAAAAATCCAAAAAAATAACCCGACTCACCAACAAAAAGAAGGTTCCAATAATTTCAGCCAACAATTCTCGCGCAAATTGTTGATCCTCAATTCTCAGCGCATTCGCCAATTTATCTTGAATAACTCCCATGTTTCTTTTTCTCGAAAATCTTTTCTACACAAATCTGAAGAAAAACTTGATGGTCAAAGGCGATTTTTATACATGGGGCCGGAAAAGGTGGGAGGAGCCCTGCGAAAAATCTGTGTTTTCAACTGAAAGAAAGATGAAAAAATGTTGGTTGAATCATACACAAAGTAGTATAGTACTGTAGCGGTGGCGGGGGGAATTATGATAATTTTGGATGGAATTTTGATGAGGTGTTGCAAAATTTTTGGTTTTCAAACTTGTCAAAACCGGGGAGCGCAGGAAATTTTGGGGAAAACTGACCATGACTCATGTTAGATCGAGAACAGTTTTTTTGTTTGTGACGTATTGGATTAATTAGGCCACTGTTAGTCAAAGAGATTTCCCTTTTTTTGAGGTAGTGAAAGCCATTGGGAGAAATTAGCAAGGAATTGTTGGGAGATTATTTTTTGAATTCTAATATATAGTCAAACTTTGTGATTTTTTCTGAAAATGTTCGTTAAAAAGTTTATAGTTCCAAAAACCTATCCTGAAATATTTAATTCCAAAAAGTGATACAAAATCCAACGGCCCTCCTCTGATTTTCAACATTTCTCAAAAATCAACCCAAGTTCCTTTCCGGTGCGTAAAAAAAAACATTCCTGTCCCTGGCATGCCATAAAAAATGCGCCTAATTCGATGTTGTTGATGACCGTAACCTAACTTTTTTTTATTATTCGAGTTTTTTTGGGAAGGAAGAAAAACAAATTAACGAGGAGGCCACTTGACTGGAAACGTATGTATGTATGTAACAATTACCCCGCGAGGGCAAGAGGATTCTTTTCAGTTTTAAAATTTTCAGGGAGTTATATCAAGTTGAATTTTTTTTTAATGGAGTCGAGAAAATGTGTACCCGTAGGTTCAAGTCTATCTTGTGACTACTTTTTTCAAAATAAACTTTCAAGAAAAAAAGGAAGTGGTTACAAAAATCAAACAATTCTTAGAAATCATCTTATCATTACCAATCTTGATAAATAACCTTCAAAAATATCTATTGTTAGAACAACACCAGAAAAAAATCAAAGAAGAGAAAAGACAATTTTTAAAAAACAGGGAAATGGTTTTTGTTTTGTTCTCCATTCAGTCACTGAATTATAAAGACAAAAACATTTTTATTTACAAATTGTTTGTTCATTTATTTTTTGAAAAAAAATGTTTCGAAGAAATTCAGAGATGCGGAAAATCAGGAAGTTTGGATTATTGAGTCAAGTTTTGAAACTACAAATTTTCTAGGGAAAACAATTTGAAAAAAAACCGGATTTTTTTTTGAAATATGGTCAAACTCTGTAATTATTTTATGCGTATGATTCCGACGAATTTTGCTAGGATTTTTAACAAAATTCTGAAATTTTGGGGATTAATTTAATATAAAAAATGCATTGGAAATTTGAATTGTGGTCCCTTTTGGTATTTAAAAATAATATATTTTGCTCTTATTCAATAATTTCGTACAAAAACATTTTCAATATTTTTTTGAACAAAATAAGTTTTCCGGAAGTTTTTACCTTCACAAACAGATGATAAGAATATTTATCAGTATTTATTTCATTTCATCACGCCTGTATTCCACTCTTACTGTTCAAAAACATGTTTGAATTTCTGAAACTTCCTCCTGAAATCCGAATGATGATTATAAATCGAATGCATCCAGTAGATCTCTTCAATTTGAAAAAATGCTCGAAATTGTGCTCCGAAGAAGTGAAAAATTCAAAAAATTATTGTTTTGGATTACTATGGGACAATTCGAATGATTATTTTATTGAGTTGAAAATGTATTTTTTCGATTATTCTTATGAAAATTCCATTAAATTTTGGAAAAATCGCAATTTTATTCAAAAGTTTTTTGCGAGACGGAATATACGAAAAGCGCAAGATTTATTCAGAAAAAAATTGATAAGATATAAGCGAACCGTCAAAAACATCTGGATTCGTGGAGATTTTTTTGGAATTGACGAAGAAAATATGAAATTTCTCAAATTGGAATCATTAAAAATTGAAGACTTGCAACCCGAAACTTTATTTGATGTTCAGAAGTTTTTATCACAAACAATAAAAAATCGATTGGAAGCTTTGGAACTTTCAAGATGCAAGTATTTAGCTAGATTGAATATTCAAGAAATTTATAATATTCGAGATTATCTTAAAATCGATTTCGAATTGAATCCTCAACAATTTCAAGCATTGATTGCAAAAAATATTACAATACCAATCGGAAAATTGAAATACGAAGACATTATTGAATTCATAGAATCATGGAGAAACGGAAAACGTGAAATTCAAAAATGCGTACTTTATTTCAAAGAACCTCAAGAATTTTCTGACGTTGAACAACTTTTCTATAATATTTTTCGAACAAAAAACATCAGGTAAGTTCATTAGAAAACTGTTTTGAATATTATAATTTTGCAGATTCGGAAACATTCAACACAAATCAAGGACAAACAAAGCGTTGAGCATTGAAGCGATCGGAATTTCCGATTGTTATGGAATTTTGATGGAATGCGACGCAGTGTTTTGAGATGTTACTGAACTGTAATTTTCCTGTCAATATTTCTCTGTAAACCGCCCAAAAAAACACATTTTTTTCAAAATAACATTTTTATTTGTGGATACAAAACAAAAACAACATGAATTTCAACATCAACCCCGCAAGAGGTTAACATTGAACCCACACACAAGAATCTTGCGATTTAGATGACTCCGATCTTGTTGGCAACATCGAGAGCATCGTAGTCAGCGCTCAAACGAACGTAGGCCTTCTTTTGTTGGAGTGGTGTGATCAAAGTGTTGACTTTGAGCGCTTTCACGTTGTAGAGCTTGAAGACGGCTTGTTTGATTTGATTTTTGTTGGCGTTGACGTCGACGATGAAGACCAAGGTGTTGTGATCTTCAATCTTCTTCATGGCCGATTCAGTGGTCAATGGGTGTTGGATGGTTTTGTAGGCATCCAATTTTGGGATGGCTGGCGCAGATTTGCGGGCAAATCTGGAAAAATTCTGAAATTATCTCAGAAATATCCCGCGGAAAAATGCAAACCTTGGGTTTCTGGCCAAACGGAGGGTCTTTGGACGACGGAAGTGGACGGATGTGCGCACTTGTTTGCGGTGAGTGGTGTTTCCACCCTTGACGACCTTCTTCTTGGCGTCGACAGCCTTGGCGACTTTGGCGGACTTGACTGGTGCCTTGGTTGGTGCCATTTTTTTCCTTTTACCCTACAAAAAAAGATTATATGTGGGAGGGGGACGGGTATAAATCAAAGATATATCACGGCTTATGAAACCGGTAATTTAAAATAAATATTTAAAAAAAAATCAATCAATAATTAATTATTATTATTACACTTTGCAAGGCACATAGAGATCTCCTGAAAACATTTGAAAAACTCGTAGAATAAAATTAGGGTTAGTAAGTGAAAGAAAATTTTGATGTTAGAATTGGGGGCGCAAAATGGTCCCTAGAAAAAAAATATAAATACATTCAAGAAAATATACAACTTTAGACATTGGTCAACCGGGACCTTGTTCGTTCCGAAGTCGAAGGCGCGCTAGCCACCGAATATTCCACCAATTGATGTCGTTCACGTTTTTGCTCTTGTTCCTCATGCTCCGCAAAAACCATATAACCAAATGCACCAGCTAGAACAATCAAGAGAGCGATGATCACCACACCAACTCCAGTGATCCACTTGAATACAGTAATCTCCCTACGGTATGCCACATTCTCTGGGGAGAATGTTGTGGTCATGTAGTTGACGAGAAGAGGGATGTAATCATTCCAGAATGCTACACTCTCATATCTATAGTCTCTTGCCATGGTTCCTGGGATCTTCCAATCTTCTGGATTTGAGTAGTTGAAATTCATATACCAATGTCGGCGAGGTTGATAGGCATCCCAACTACCATCGTAGAGGAAGTTCGGGTTTCTGGAGAAATTAAATGGGTTTTCAGAAATTCTTTCTCATGTCAAACTCACTGATAATATGCAAATCGTCTGAAGATGTTGGAAAATGTTCTGCTCGCATTTCTATCCATATCCGTAAAATTCACCCCCTTCAAATCTAGCGGCCTCAATTCATCGGATAAATATGGATAACCGAAGAGCATATAAAGATCACAATCATGACAAACTCCCATCCAATCAGGAATCAATTGAAGATTTGGGTGATCTCGACTCATATTATAATTATTGACATATTGAAATACTCGACTTCCTGAAGCACTATGAAGATCAGCCGATAATTGCATAGGCGCTGTATAATATGTGTCAGTTGCGAGTTGCACGAAATTCTCTTTGATTGCCCAGGTATCAGCGCGATCTGGCCAGAAGGTGTATCTTGAGAGGATTGCTTCAGCGGTAGCTTCTCGATTCATTGTGTAATTGTGACGGAAACAATATTCAATCACAAATGATTTCATATATTCCGGATCGACGTGATGAAAATCAAGGAATTCTCCAAGTCTCCGATCTTCTAGCACAACTTCAGCACCATCTTGAGCATTCATACCAATGAGCAATGGGACTGGTGAGATGATTGAAGTCTCGCCGCTCGGTGCATTCATCAGAATCCAAAGTGGATTTCCTGGCAGATATTTACCATCAACAGTTGGCATGAAGAGATATCGATTATAATTGATTGGCACAGTAATAGTTCCATAGATGATATCATTTGTAGATCGAGTCAAAATACAATCCCAAACATGTTGCGGCACAGTTTGTGAACATCCAAGATATCTTCCTAGCTTTATTGTGTTGTTAAAAGCTAACGCAGGCATCCCAATGTATGAGTGATATGAAACTTCTGCGCCAGACATCATAGCTGCAGATCGGAAAAGATTTTTCGAGTATGGTGTTTGCATGTGATATCCAATTGAAGCTGCTCCAGCATCATGTCCAACTACGGTAACTGCTTGAGGATCACCTCCGAAATTTGCGATATGATCTCGAACAAACTCCAAGGCCAATCGCTGATCTTGAAGTCCGTAATTACCAGAATCGGAATCTCCAAGACTCATGAATCCGAAAGCTCCTAGTCGATAATTTACTGTGACTACCACCATTCCTCTTGAGGCGAGACCATGAGCCGGCCAATCATTTGCACTTCCAGTTTGAAAATTTCCACCGTGGAAAAATACGACGACCGGGTATTGTTGTTGCGCATTTCTAGAGATCTATAAAAAAAAATATTCAGTTTAGTTTGCTACGTGGGTGGTCTTACATCTGGTGAGAAGATGTTGAGGTACAAACAATCTTCATCAACTATAAATGGATATGGGTGATCGATGAATGGCGAAGGGCGTTTCTCAACATCCTGTGCACAAGTTGCAGCAAAATTGAAAGCTAGAAATGGTTGTTTGCCAGGGAACACTGTGATTTGTTGAGGTGGCTGAAAACGTTAGATTAAAATTTGGAAACTTGTTTCTAGAAGCCTCCACTCACCTTAAATCTCCTTTGACTGGTTGGTGGTTCTGCATACGGAACTCCAAGAAACGTGAAGACTGTGATGTTGTTTTTGGGGAGTAGAGGGTTTGGATCGAAATGAGTTCCATCTTTGGGTAGTTCTTCTGTTGGATCTTTGTTGATTGTCCATGGCACATTTTCAACAAGAACTTCTTTGCCGACGATATCTCCTAGCGGAAGTCTGACGAGCACTTCGTCTTTGTTTAGGCCCTAGAAATAGGAAAGATTGTAATGTTTCATGGGAATTTAGAAAATTAATCTAGAATCTTAAATTACTAGAAACCAAAATTTGAATTAATAAAACTGAAAAAGCCTTTGGCTGTTCAGAACATTTGAAAATTCCTGAAGTGTTTTCTTATCCTCAAGTTTTTTCACTGAAAAAGAAACCCCTGAAAGCCTAAACTTCAAAAATGCAGAATTTTAGGCCAAAAAATATATTAAATTTTCGTTCCTCAACATCTTCAAATTTAATTTATAACATCTTCCAATATCTCATCCCTAAACCATTTATAAAATTTAAACAAATATTGAAAACTGAAAATTAAAATTATCGATTGATAAATCCTAAAAATTTTCCAAGTCCTAAATTACTCTTTTAAAAATATTAGCCTGAAAATCTTTCAGAAATACAAGAACTGCTTTGAAGATTTTAATTTCTATTCTGAAAACCATTTTAGAAAATTTTAAAAATCACAAAATAAAAATTTACCTGCCGATGTGGTTCTTCAGTTGTCGATTCGCCAAATGGGTCCCATAAATTAATAGGTCGTGTAGGTGGTTCGATAAACTGTGCATTGATACCAGCGCAAATCCAAAATATTCGAACCCAAAGGCTAACCATCAAAGCAGGGCGCGTCAAATTTTAGGAGAAAATCACTAAAAAAAAGAAATATGAAAAATTTAGGGGAAAAAAGAAGAGAAAGACGCACACGCTGACTACGGTATTTGCTTATAGCAAACAAAGATTGAGAGAAGGGGAGGAAGGGAAGCGCGTTGAGACACAATTTGCAATAGAGCGCGTTTGATGTGCTTGACTTGTGTGTGTTAGGGCACGCGCTCTATTTATCTCTCATTTTTTTCGCTCTTTCCTTTTTTCTTCTTTTTTTCAACATGGTATTTTTTATGTTTCCAATTTTTTCCATGACAGAGTTTGCACATCGGATTTATTTATTGATTGATTTGGTTTTTGAACTTGACTACGGTCGTTTTCAACAGAACATTTCAGAGTTTTTGTATGTTTTAGCTAGAAAATTTTAATTTTTACGATTAATTAGTCTTGCAATTAATTGTGTATAGAGAAACCATATTTTTTTAGGATTATTGTTACAAAATATAAGGTTTCATTTTTCCTCTCTTTCAAACCAACCATAATCTATCTTCATTTTCCTCCATTTCCCATTCTTTTCGCTTCCAAATTTCACTTTGTCACAGCAAAAAAATGGCGTCCGACAATTTACGGGATGCGGAAGAAGGTCAACAGCAGCAGCAGCGACATGTTCCGCCGGAAAACGAATCAAAAAAGGGTCAACATCTCTACAATGTTCTTGGCATTCAGAAGAACGCCACCGAAGATGAGATTAAGAAGTGAGTGATTTTATTGATTGATTTTTATGAGAAAGGTTTTGGGACTCTGCCAAAAATGTTTGGGTTTGATAAGAGAGTTGAATTTATTTATTTATTTTATTCAAATGAAGAAAACAAATAGAAATTTTGAATGAGATGAGTCATAGGGGAGAAATTTTTCTGCTTGTATTGATTTGAAAAGGGGTGAGAAATATTTATGAACGCTCTTTGAAGTTTTTGCGGGGGAAAATTATAGATTACAAGATTTTCGGATAGAAATAGGTTGATTTTAATTATAGTTTAGAGATTTAATTATAGAGTTTTTAGAAATTGAGAATATTGTAAACAATTACGAGAAGTTCTAGAACAAATCATGATTTTTCAAAATCTTGAACTTGTGGCTCAAAATCTAAAAGGATTCTGGATTTCTGAAAATCGTAGGATATATTTAGAAATTATTTTCAAAAATTTTTAACAAGGCTTAATCTGAAACTGTTGGAGCTATTAATTTTTGTTAATTCCAGAAAATTATTTACATTTCTGGAACCTTCGGTACTTCTGGAAATTGTAATTCCAGATGAAAGCTCTCGATTAAAATATTGTCTGAAATTCCAAATTGATCATTTTTTGATCAGAATAACATATATCGTGTTTTATGTAGGTAGTCCAGTTCACAAGGATTATAGAAAATTTATGCAATTTTCTCTCTCTCTCTCTCAAAAATAAAAATGAGTTCGAACCTTCACGGTTTTCAAATAATATGAAAAATCTGTGCGTAAATAGATCCCAATTTTTTTCTGAAAAGAAATTTCAAATCAATAAATTTTCAGAGCATACCGTAAACTGGCGCTTCGTTATCATCCGGACAAAAATCTCGATGGTGATCCAGAAAAAACCGAGATGTTCAAAGAGATCAACTACGCCAATGGTGTGCTATCGAATCCAAAAAAGCGAAAAGTTTATGATGAAATGGGCGACACTGGTTTGAAATTGATGGAACAGTTTGGTGAAGATGAGAAGATTTTACAATGGATGTTGAAGCCGTGGTTCAAATGGACATTCTTCGCGTTCGGATTGCTCACTTGTGGTTTCTTCTTCTGCTGTTGCGGATGCATGTGTTGTTGCTCGTGTTGCTGCAACTTCTGTTGTGGAAAGTATAAACCTAAAGATGAAGATGGATTCGATGAAACTGGAAGTTCATCAGACCACGATCCAGACGTCATCACCACACAACCATCACCTTCACCAACTACCACAACCCTGACACCAGATGCTGATTCATCGTCGTCGACGCCACCGCCAGTTGTGATTGCGATGCCTCCACCTCCAACATCTTCATCGACAGCATACGGGTCCGTTGAAACTAGTGCCTAATCAAAATGATAATGTGATATTATTGTACTTTTTAAAATATTTGGTTTTTTTTTGATGATAAAAAAATGCTCATTCACTTTTCCCCAAAATTCGCCCAAAAATTTATTCGGTTATGATTCTTCTTTTTTTGTTGTTAAATTTATCGAAAAACCATGAAAAAATAAATATGTTCAAGGATTATTTGGGAGTTTCTTTTGTGGAATTCTATGATTAACACGATCTGATGTTCGAAAAGTTTGTTGAAATACCTTGTTGAGGTGATGACGTAGTCTCATATTTTTCAGCGGGAAAACTTTTTGAGATGAAAAGGTCACAAACTTTTCTGCTCCTGTCGCGAAATCTTTTTTGTTTTTTTTTTTTGAATAAGTCCCAAATACATTTTTGAATTTAACAAAAAACCAGAGAATCACCAGCTTTCATGGTGTGTTTCGTGACTTCTAATCGATTCCTTTCGTCATTTTCCAATAGAAAACTTGTTGAAAATCACTAAAAATGCTTGGAATCGCCCGAAATTTCAGATTTAGGTTATAAAATTTGAACATATATGCTTACTAATGAAAAATGACATAGAGAAAAACATTTTTGTTCGAAATTGGACAAGAAATTGTTTAAAGAAATCTAAATACTGTGGAAATTTAGTTTAAAGAAAAATGTTTTTCGAGAAAAACATCTTCAGAAAATAAATGTTTGAATTGTGTGATTAGTAAAAATTAAATAACCTATTTCTCATTGAAAATAAACGTTTTTTCAACAAAACAAAACAAAATCATAACAAGCCCCGCCCACTTTTCATGCAAAAAATAGAGACGCGCATAGCCTGTTTTTTGTCGGCGCACGCAAAAGAATAAGAGGGGAGACACTTTTGTTAATGTTGATGCTCTTTCACTACTTCTTGTATCCAAAAAAAAATCAAAAGAAAAACAGTGCAAGTTTGGCTTTTGTAATACAATAATCTTTTTTGTTACTGTTTAACAGTGTCAAAAGGATTTTTGTAATACAGAAACCTTTCTTGTATTTGCGAAAAAGGGGGAAATCTAACATGAACATTTTAAGATTTGAAAAACTTGAAGGAATTTGCTTTAACAATAAACTGGAGATTGATTTACTCATAAATCGTATTCAATTTTTTTCTAAAAGCTGTTGATTTATATTTTCCACAATAGAAGTTACGAATAAAAACAATTACAAAAATTACACAAAATGCTTGGAATCGCTTGAACTTTCAGATTTAGGTTATAAAACATGAACATATATGTTTACTAATGCAAAATGACATAGAGAAAAACATTTTTGTTCGAAATTGGACAAGAAATCCTTTAAAAAATCTAAATACTGCGGAAATTAAGTTTGAAAGAAAATTTTTTGAGGAAAAACATCTTCAGAAAATGAATGTTTGAATTGTGTGATTAGTAAAAATTAAATAAGCTATTTCTCATTAAAAATAAACGTTTTTTCAACAAAACAAAACAAAATCATAACAAGCCCCGCCCACTTTGCATGCAAAACATAGAGACGCGCATAGCCTGTTTGTTGTCGGCGCGCGCAAAAGAATAAGAGGGGAGACACTTTTGTTAATGTTGATGCTCTTTCACTACTTCTTGTATCCAAAAAAAAACAAAAGAAAAACAGTGCAAGTTTGGCTTTTGTAATACAATAATCTTTTTTGTTACTGTTTAACAGTGTCAAAAGGATTTTTGTAATACAGAAACCTTTCTTGTATTTGCGAAAAAGGGGGAAATCTAACATGATCATTTTAAGATTTGAAAAACTTGCTATAACAATAAGCTGAAAATTGATTTACTCATAAATCGTATTCAACATTCTTTCTAACATCTGTTGATTTATATTTTTCACAACAGAAGTTACAAATAACACATTTCATTATTCAAATTCATCCGTTCATATTCATATAAATTATAAAACATAAGTAAAACACAAATCAGTTGAGATCAAGCCCGTGACAAATGAAATATATAAAGCTCTGACAAGACATTTTGTTTTGAATATACATTTTTATAAGACTTTGCTGCGAACTCGGAAAAGACTGTCGGATATGGCTGGTGTCAAAACTGGCAAGTTCCATGGTTGCGGGATCAAGAAATTGAGCGCCCAGTTTTTACCAAATACCAATCGAAATCTTTCACCAATGTTTTCCCTGAAAAACAATATTTGGTGTTTATTTTTTGATTCGAAAAAAAAATCTCACCCATCCCCATTAAAAGTTGCTCGAACTGTCAGATGGTGATATTCATACATAGTGTAGCCATGGACAGTGTAGTAAACCTGAAAAAATTTATTGATTTTTGGATTTGATCACCTTCTTACCTGCATTCCAAAAAATCCTCCAGCAGTCACTAAAGCAGCGAAAGCAAAGGAGAAAATTGTAGAGAATACGGCTTGGACAAAAGATGCGTAGCCAAAAACCCAGCGACCAATTGCGATTGGACCAAGATAGTAGAGAAAACCGAAGGGGTACCTGGAGAAATATATTTTTAAAAATGCGAATTCCTACACATTTGAGTTTCTAAATATTTTTCCATAATTACAAAAATTTTCGAAAAATTTTTTTTTTGGAAATTATGATTTCACGCCCGAATCAAAATTTTGATTTGGGCGGGAGAGAATTTTTGAAAAAAATTTTTGTAATGATGAAAAAATATTTAGAAACTCAAATTAGCAAAAATAAAAACTTCTTACAAAAAACGTCTCTCAACAACTTGTAACTTTCCAGATTCTGAGTTTCTAGAGTTCTAACTTTATCATATTATTTTGAAAATTGAGAATAGGATTTTTCTAGAATCTGAAGGATCTTCTAGATTTTTCTAAAAGAGAACATATGAAAAATATTCAGATTTTCAAAATTATAATTATAACATCTGTAGATATTATTATTCATTTTGTTAGACTAAAATTCAATTCTGAAAAAACTCACCAATAATAAACCTGTGTATTCAAGTAGAAAAACAAATGCGGCAATGCCACAGCCAAACCAATTGTACACCAAAACAAGAAAACCATAAAATATCGTTGATTTCCAAGTCCAACACAAGCTCCGGTTACAAAACAATGATGGTCCTTCCGTAAAACGCACATTTTACATAGTGGACAGTGGTGAGATCTGAAATGAGTTTTATTGACTGATTTTTTTTGTATTAACAAATAAATATTGGAAAAGTTTGTGTATACAAATGAGTCATGTTGTGTTCGAGCTAGAGATTTTTGAGGACTTTTTAAAAATAAATGTACATACCTTTGCGGAGCTTCTCGATTACAAGTAAAGCAAAACTTGCTGCCACTCTCATCAGTTGGCTCATAATTCAAATGATCTTCGACAGTTGGTTGTCCCGTCAAATATTCATATTCCAAGGGTTGCGCCTCATTTTCTTCTGCATACGATCGCAAATCTGCGACACAACTTTGACGATGCCAATGAGTTACAGAATTGTATCGAGAATAATAGATGAAGCAGAGAAGATTGATTGCGATTTGGAAGACGATGAATTTGGCGAAAAGGACCAGCATTTCGAGGGAAGCTCCATCATCGTACATCTGGAAAGATTTAGGTTTAGGATTTTTCATTTGAAAAAAAGCTGGGTAGGATCTGAAAACTTTAGATTTTCCCCAGCAAAAAAACTCACCATTTCAGCAATCACATGAACACATGCATAATAAATAGCGCATAACATAATAGCCACAATAATCGATCCACCCCAATTGATAAAAAACTCGCCAAGAACCGCCAATTTGCGGTTAACCGCAGCGAGTCCCATTTTGGCGGATAGAACAACTTTCAGTGAACTTTAAAAACCGAAAGAGATGCTCAGAAATGCATTGGAAGAAACGCCAATAATGCACACACAGAAACATTTGACTTGACGCGCATATGAGGAGGAGGAGAGAGTGTGTGAAAAAGAGGAGGGTGTGAGGAGAGGAGAGGAGAGGAAAACTCTGACATAAGGGAAATGGGTTTTCAAACATGGGGAACACTACTAAAATTGAAATTTTTCAGTGTTAAAAAACAAACCAGGAAATATAAGAACAATAAATAAAGGAACAAAAAAACTGAAATTTTTTTTTTAAAAAGTAAAAAAAATTTAGTTGAAAAAAGATAAAATTTAGTTTTTAATTTTTCCAGAATAAATTTTTGTGCACTTGAATATTAAGAATATGTTTTGAAAATTAAATTCACTATAATTTTCCATTCGATTTGAAGCTTGGCTAAATTTCAGGAAAACTATAAATGTTTTTTTCAGATCCAAAAAGTTTTTTCTACAGAATCGGGGAGCTGGAAAATAGGAAATATCATTGCAACAATATATTTTTTAAAAATTGAAATTTGTTGGCTTCGAAATTTGAATATTCCGTTAAAAATTCCAATCCCATTCCAATCCCAAACAAGAACAATTATTGATGAGGTGTGAAAATGTATACATATCCCATGTTATTTCTTTGGGAAGTTTCGGTGTTTATTTGAGAATAAATAGGTGCTAAATTGGTGACGATCTCAGTTAATTACAAGATAATAATTTGAAGGTTTATTGTTTTTGGCACACTTTAATTTTTTTTTCTAATGTGACTGTTGTTTTTGTATAAATTTTTTCCAGATTTTTTCTAATCAATTAAAAATTATTTCCAAGAGCTCTTCAAATATCGCACATTTTCACCCACTTTCAAAAAAAGGTGTCAAGTTTTTTCTAATTCTTAAAAATTGACATGTTTCCTGTCACTTCCGTTTTTTCCAACCTACAAAATAAAATCATATAACCTTCCTTATCAAAGAAATTGTGATTTTCTGGCGCCAAGTATTTTTTTTTTCAAATCATAACTGTTTTATCTGAAATATTCTGATAAGCAGGGCCTGGTTTTGGCGCCAAGAGAATTGAATTTTCTTTTTCCTTCTCAGCCTAGCAATTCTGATGAATAATCTTTTGTTTCAACAAAAAAAGAACATGTGGGAATTTTTGGCGCCAAAACCTGGAGAAAAATTTTGTTTCACCCAACTTTTAGAATATGATGTTTTAGAAGAAATTACTGGGTTATTGTATTTTAGAAAAAGTTATAAATATCTTTTTGTTTTTGAAAATTAAATCTTATAGCTTCTTTACATTCAGAATCCAATCTGTTTGAATTCTCGAATTCTGTAAATTTCAGAATTTTCTAGAAGGGTTTGGAAATCTTCAGATTTTTCCTGAAACTCTAATTTTTCAAATCTTCTGCTACAGTACATTATTTCCCGCAACATTGTCTATCAAAAAAGCACTTCTCAATTTCCTTCTCTAATCCAATAAAACCCGCAATTGTTTTCGTCTCATTTGAATAGGTGTCATAAACAACAAGTAATAACCCTTCAAATATCCGCCTTCTATAGTAGCTTCCCAAAAATCCACCCCCACACACAAAAATATTTTTGTTGTATACACCACACCATAAAAAACTGTGGTGTTACCTAACCTTAGCTCACCGGCTCTGTTTCTTTTGATCTTCTTCAAAGTACCGCCCCTTTTCTTGTCCCCCACGCGCAAATTCTTTTGGATTATTATTATTCTCTCGTCGTTTTTCTCCTTCCTTTTTTAGTGGAATGAATGTAATACCATCTGTTTGATGAGTCTGTGCGGGCCCATGTTTATTATGGTGAAAAAATGAATGTTGATTGGCTTGGCTTACTTATTTTTTTGATTTTTATTGTTCTGTCAGATTTTTTTAGTAGGGCAGGTTTTTTTGAGGTTTCTGATTTTTTTTATCTTACAATCGGTTTTTTTTACTTTTTTTGGATAAATGACAACAATTTTTTCTGAATTTGTGCAGTTCTTGGTTTTCTTAAATTTCTAGGGTTTTGTATTATTTTATTCCAAGTTTTATAGAATTATTCGAACGGGAACTGTATATGTTTTAGTTATCTAAACTTCGCACGTTTTTGTAATAACTTGGGACTGAAATCTGAATATTCTGTAAAATTTAAAATTTTCAAAATATAATTCGATACTTTTCATTCCAAAGAAGAAACATAAACCCGTGTTTTTATATTTATTCTTTCCTAAACAACACCTGGTAAATTCACAGCCGTGAGAAAAAGTACACAAATCATCCTAGACTCCTTTTTTTCTGAAATTTCCATAAATCCAATTTACTCATGTGTGAATTTTTTAAATTCAAATTGACGAGTCCAAAAATTGACACCTGACTTTTATATTTACTGTCAAAAACATCTGTTTTTCTGTTGTTTTTTTTTTTGAAAATTTGGATAAATTCAAGAGCCAGTTTTCGGGATTTCCGTTTATTTTTGATTTAGAGGTTGAAAATAATTTTTTTTTGAAAGGAAACACGTGGGGTTTTTTCAAACATCTGGTCATTCAATCTGCATATTGAACTTCTTTTTTGGCTGTTTTTGAACATTTTTTTGTTAATTTTGAAAATTGAATTTTTTTTGTTGATTTTCAGAATGCTATCTCACTGGGAGCACTGAAAATTATGCGAGTTTACTTTTAAAAAATTGGGCCAATTCGGAATTTTTATTTAAAAATTAAACGGGGTCCGGAAAAATTCTGATGCTTTGATTCAGACTTAAAAATCCAATAAGAATACTCCCAAATTCCCGATGCCAAAAATATATTCTCGTTATTTTTTATCACATCACAGAAAAAAGGGTAGCCAGCTACCGTTCCTCATTTGAATAATTTTTATTGTTCTTCTTCTCTCTCTCTCTCCTCTGTACACAATATGTAATTGTGTACTTTCTTACACAACCAAATTGATATGAATCATCATTTCTTATCGCATTTTGGAGCCAACCAAAAAATAAAAAAAATTCCTCGTTTTTTCTGACGGTCACATAAAATTATCGATTTGATTTGTTCCCGTTTTTTTTGTTCGCGGTTCGGTGGCATCAAAAAGAAACATGATTCACTTCTTTTTTCTTGTTGTTGATTTTTTTGACTTTCTGTAACTTACTATTTTTTTTGTAAACCTTCTAGCAAGAAAGCATAAATTTCTCTAGAAAAAAATAAAAATATGTTAATTTCCCATCATTTATTCCACCTGCTCCTCATTTATCTTTTGCCACCAAAAATTCCCACCAAAATATATTTTTCATTGCTCGGGAAAATCCATTTTTTCTCATCTTTTTTTTGAGGTGTGAAAATATATAGGTGTGAAATTTTGGCCACGCCCCCACTTTTTTGAAGGGGGCGGGTGAAACTTTTCGAAATTTTTCTATTTTTGATTTATCCTAACTGTACGATTTCTCTTCTCGTTTTTATTTTTGAAACTGTTTTTTTTAAGTGTATGTTTTTCAGATGAAAACCCTGGTACTTCTACTAACTCTACCAGCTCTAATAACACCTTCGGATCCCATCATCTCATCGACCACAGAAGTTACCACAACTCCAAAGCCTTCAACACTGGTGAGTTTTTTCTGGGGTTTTTTTTTTGAAAACAAATTTGGCAAGCTTCCCAAAAAAAATTAAACCAAGAAAAAATAATAATAAATCAAAGTTTACGACGCGTCTTTGTTTGTTTAACCTTTTTTTTCAAAAAAAAAACAGATGGTCCAAGAAACTTTTTTTGTTGTTGAAACCCAAAATTTTCTCAAAACCCTAAAAAAAATTTCCGGAATTAATCCATCAGCGGCAAAGTCTTTTCATCTTTTTGATTGATTATATCAGAAAAAATGTGTTCCACTTGTCAAAAAAGGTGTGTGTGAATGAGTAAAAGAGAAAACAGCAGGAGACACAAGTCATGACGCAATCAGATATTTTTTCTTTGAAAAGTGTGAAAAATATCTGGGAGGGGGGGGTACTGTAGATTTGAAGATCTAACTGGAAATTTAAAGGAGCACAGTAACCTTAATCTTATCTTCAGACTTTGAAGTGTAAAAATCGTATAGTGAAAAATAAAAACAATTTTCATAGGAGCAACATTTTTTGAAGCCTACAGTACTTCAAACATTAAATCTCGGGATAACTTTTCAGAAATTTATATTTTGAAGATTACTGTAGCTCATAAGGAATTCAACTACAGTATCTTTAAAAACAAACAAAAAAATTGATCTCATAATTCTTGATAAATCTACAAAATTTTTCCAGAAGCCATGTGTATGCCACGTGTCAGCACATCTAAAAACCGCCGAGCAAGAGCTCCGAGATGAAATCAAAATCACACAAACTCGCTTAATCGACCCAGTTCGAACAGCAATGGGATTTGCGATGAGTAAGTTATCCTAAGTCACGAAATTTTCTCATTCCAACTTTTTCCAGGCGAGAAACAATCATTGCTAGATTTCGGAAAATTTCTGACTTTCCGCGATGTCACCAAAAATCATCCAACTTTGATGGAGAACACCGAATTCGTTGGGGATTTTGAGGAGTTCTACAAGACTGTTGGCAAATTTTTATTGTCTGAAAAACCGTATTCATCAGCTGGAATCAAACATGAGATTAGTATGGCGATGAGTTATTTTATGAAGAAGACACTGGCACAAAGTTTTTTGTGTTTGGCGGTTGGAAAATGTCGAACTGTTCCGCTGGATTTTATGATGTGTATGGATACGATTACAAATTGGGAACTTTATTTTGGTGATTCTTCAAGAAAAGCGGCAAATCAGTGAGTTTCTAGGGCTAGAAAAATTCTGAAAATTTTCAAATATTTTCAGCTTGGCTGAATCCATCTACCGCTATCGAAAAATGGAATCCATTATTGAAGAACTTCACACCCAACTGATGAATTCGACAAAAATGCCACTTTCACAAAATTGTCTATCAAAATATATTGAAATGACAATGTGTAATTGTACTGAAGTTTGCGGGTGAGTATTTTCAGATTTAATTTAGTTTTTAGGCTGAAAATAATTTCAGATCTACTTGCGTTGATAGAATGGAAATGTGTTTTTCGGATTTTATGAGCGATTGGTCGGCAAAACTTTTGGTTTTGAAATCGATGACTTCTGGACCTGGAATTTTGACTAGTTTTATGAGAGTGAGTTATTTTTTGGGATTCAGCTGAAAAAAATGACATAAGCTTTCATGAACTATAATATTTTTCTTTCGAAAAAATCCAGAAAATTTCTAGAATCCAAATTATTTCCGGTGCCAAAAACACAAAGTCCTTTTTTTCTGTTTTTTTTCATACACAATCCAGTTTTTTCTGGAACTCCGGCGAGAAAAATCCAAAAGATTTTTTTACACTAATTCAATTTGCAGTACTTTTATTTTTGATACAAAAAACAAAAAGAATTTTTTTCAGAAAAAAAGTTTTTGGCTAAAAAAATGTACAAAACCAAATGAGCCATTGAAATGAAATGACATTTTCTAGAAAATTTGTATTCAGAAGAAAGTTCAATTTTTCAATTTTCAGAAAAAAAATGCACTAGGAGTTAGTTTCAGAACTGAAAAATGTTCAATATTTTTTGAAAATCAGATTTTCTGCATCTGAAAATTGAATTTACACTAATCTGGAAAATTTTTGAAGTTTGAGGTTTGAACTAGGAATCAGACATGAATGTAATTATTTTGATCCCACACAAAAATCCAAATTTCATAATCAAAAATAAATAAAAAATATTTTCAAACAATCTTTTAAGATTTTAAAAAATTTTAAAAATTTTCCAGAAAATTTCCTTGTCCAAATAAAATTATTGAAAAAAAGTTTATTTCAAAATTAAACGTTTCTGAAAACACTTATACAGTAACCCCCGAATTTTTCCAGCTACGTCGCTCAATCCTCGACTCGATCCAACTGCTCGTCGAACGAAAATCCCCTCTCTACGCCGAGCACATGACAGCTCAATGCGGAGCAATTGGCGATATTTTCATCCACCCCAAAAAGCAGCATTTCGTCCTCCCAAAAAAGCCGGCCAAATATAATTCACAAGCGGAACGTGCCGCCAAAGAGGTATTTTTTTTGTTGGCGAAAATATTTTTTATAACCCATTATTCTCCGTTTTTTTTAGCTTCAACTATCCGTTAAAACGTGGGAAAAAATGAGCCGACAAATTTGCAACTCTTCGTCCGTTTTTGGAACTATTAAAGGAAATTTTGAAAAAAATTGCACAATTGGCACACATTCTCCAGTAATGGTCGGAAAATCAAGGTTGGTTTTTTTGTATTTTGAAATTTTCAAAACGTCGAATGATAAAATGGAAAAACCTGTCATAAATGAGAATGTCAATCAAGAAAGATTAAAAAATGTTTTGAATTTTTTTGTTGATTTTTTGAGCGGGAAAAGAATTTTTGAGAATTGAAAATGAAAAATCTGAAAATTTTTCTAGCTCCTAACAGAATTTTTTTTTTGAAAAAAAACATCCGAAACCACAAATTGCAAATGAGAATTTGTTCCCGCCAAAAAATCACCCATAAACTTTTTCTAATCTGAGCAATCATCTCCGTAACCTTGAGTCGTAAATCTCCCCCTCCCCTACCTATTCCGGGGTGAAAATTAATTCACATTTCATTCAGAATTTATGACCATCACCAAAAATGTTTCCAAAAAAAAAAAATTTTGTTAACTTTCCAAAAAATTTGGTGTCACTTTGCACTATTACATCTGTGTCCGCGGCGGTTTCTTTTGAAAGTGTCAAAATTAGAAACAAAAAACGAAAGTGCAACTATTTTCTGACCAGTCATTTTTTGGTACTTACACTTCTTAGTGACACCTGGATCATCTTAAGGTGTTGGAAAAAGATGATGTTCTTCTAATTACTGTGTTTACTACTATAAAATAGCATGACAAAACAAAACATCTGCATGTGCACTTATTATTATTAGTCATCATAATACAGACAGATGTCGTAGTAAAAGTTGTAAAATTTTCTACTTTTCCTTGTCAGGAAAGAAAATTGAGTGAAGGAGTAAAAATAATGAGCAGAGGATAATTAAATTTTTCGAAAAAGTCACTCAAAAATAATTTTCACTACACAATTACTATTTTTATTTTCTCAAACTTTTGAATTTAGCCTAACTCTGAAAATCTCCCCATAGTGAAAAATAGTGAAAAAAAACATTCATTGCTGAAAAAATTCTCTCAAAAAAACCAGCAAAAATTAGCATGTCCCTCAAATTAGAGAGTGTGCATTTTGAGGAGGGTGCGCAGAGAAAAGGGGAGGGATGGGGGCGGAGCCTTGTTTCGTCGGGGCAGATCACTCTCCTCTTCGTTTTGCCGTTTCCCTCATTTTGATTCTATAAAAGAATTTTTGGTGTTTGGAACGGATAGAAAACAAAAAACATGAGGCGATTGCTCATCTTATATATAAATCTGATATTTGGTGCTATTTTGGCTGGCTGTTATTCACAATATTCTTTCAGCATTGAAGAAGGATTGCCACCAATTACCAAGGATGTGAGACCAAGACCTATGGTGAGTTTTTTTTTTGGGTTTACTTTTTAGGGGTAGTCAACTTGACTTAGCCTAACTAAATGAGCTAAGATTAGGCTTGGAATTGAATGAGAAATTATGCAAAGCCTTTTGGTCTCAAGTGAATAATGAGTTAGGCTAAATCATAGTTTTTGGAAATTAGGCTTAGATTAGGCTGATTTCTAGCCTTTAGAAATTTCTAGGCTAAAACCAAGTAAAACAAATTTTTTGAGCAGCGAGAGATTCAATTAAAAGTACAAACTTGAGCCATTTTCCCTTGAGAGCAAAAAAAATTCTGAATTTTTTGTGGGCTTTCAAAACTTTTCCCTACCCAATTAGTTCTCGAATTCCGAAAGCAAGGTTTTCTGAAAATTCTTTTCAATTTTATCGAAAATTTTGGATCCTCCCTCCCTCTCTTTTATACATTTCTTGCTAAATGACCTTGTTTCACCCTTTTCATTCCGGGATTTTTTGCTACTTGTTTCGCGCTCAACCCGAAAAAGAAAGGTCCGTAATCCCCTCTTCTTTCACACAAAAAGCAACAAAAAAATGAGTGTCGCCGACGTTTTTTGTGTGTGAGCGTCGGCAAAAAGTACATAAATGATGCTCTTGGGAGTTGACAATAGGAAAATCTTCTACGTCGAAATATGATTTTTCGAATTTGGAATCAAAAAAGCCCACCTGCGTTTTTTCTGCTCGCCAGGCAGGCAGAAGGTGTAAAACAAATAGGCTTCGGCTATTACCTCGACTTATGCAAACACATTTTTGTCTTAGCCTAACTCATGTTTAGTAGTAGTATATATAATATTTATTTTCATTCATTTATATATATATATATATATATATTCGCATTGTTGACACAAATACTTGTGAAATATGCATAATTAGGTTAGAAGGCTTGCAGGGTAAATTTTGATTCTTGGTTTTTTTTTCTATAAAAATCTTGGTTAGAGATCCAATAATTTTGAGAGGTCCCGAGAATTCCAAAGTTCTCAATACAAAAAATATTCATTCCAGATCGAGGCGATGGAAAAAGAGCGTTTGAAAAAGTTGGAAGCCATGAAAAATCCGCCAGAATATTCTGGAAACGGGCCAAATTGGGATGATGAAGGTGACGACGATGAATTCGAATCTTCAGCCTCTGGTGCGCCACCACAAATAATCGATAATTCTCATTCGCCAAAAGCAATTATTGGTGAGTTTTTCTTCTTTTTTTTGTGCTGACTCATGAACCTTTATGAATCATCGAACAAAAAGATTTTGTTTTGAACAATTTTTTTCAAAACAGTTTTTTTTTCAGAAGAAGAAGTTGCCAGAGAAGAGATCACCGAAATTTCATCATCCAGATGTCATACTGTAGTCTCCCTTCTCATCTCTACAGTACTCCTTTATCTTCTCTCAACGTGATCTGCTTGAGATTTTTGGATTTTTTCGTAGGCCTTAGTCATGTTTTCTCGTGTCCCGATTTTAATTTTCCACTTGGCGGGTGATTATTAGGAAATTTCATTTTTCTCAATATTTTTCCGGGTAGTCTTTTTTTTCATGTATTTTTGTTAGGGTTTTTGTGCCATCTGTCCTTTTTTTCTATGTGTCACTTTTTTGCTCGTTTTTTTTTTTCAATAATAATTTTTACGATAATAATAACAATAATAACGATTTTGAGATTTGATGATGAAATAATAAATGTATTATTTATTTTTACAACGTGCAATTTTGATGTTACAAAAAATCCAATCATTTTTTGAAAAAAAAAAATAATCTTTGGAGGGGTCTGAAAAAATGACTCACCAATAATTGCTATCAATATATCAAAGGCTCAAGATTTGAATTCATCATCGCCACCTTCATCATCCTAAGACTCAATCACAAAATACTCCTGCGGTTTTTTATGGCTTTCAATTTTTTTTCTCAGGTTTGGAACAAAACATTTATTTGACATTCAGAAAACTTTTGAAAGTGGAATTTTTCTTGATATAATTTTTGATGAATCAGCCTAGAACTCTGAAGGTTGAGTTTCAAAACTTCAAATTGTATTCATCATGAAACAATGTTCTGCAGTCCGATTAAAAATGTAGACTTTTTATTACTTATTTTCAGATAAAAATAACTAGTTTCAGTTAGAGATAAAATCATTTCAAATAAGTTGACCCTTCTCTTGATGGCCAGTTTTTCACGAATTAGTCACGCTGGTCCCAAAAATGTTCACAGAACAGTTTCAGTTATTCAAACTACCACAATCGTTTTTTGAAAAAAAATTGATCAAAAAAATTATTATGTTATTTGTTTTTACACTGTGCTAAATTAATAGACGCACAAAAATCCAATCACTTTACAAAATAACATTTGATGCGTCAGAAAAATACCATTTTGAACATTAAATATTTTTGAGCTCACCTACAGTAATCATTTTTATTTTTTCTAAACTGTGCAAAATCTGTATTATCATCATTTTTTTCCAAAGCACACAAACAGTGTAATCGTAATAGAACTGAAAAAGCTTTGAGGATTCTTTATTATTATTACAGTGCAAGAATTTTGATATTACAACAAGAAAACGAGAAAATATGAAAAGAACTTTCGAAGTCCAACTAAAATTTTACAAATTCAACATCCAATTCGAAAGTCAGAATCTCGGACGGGTGAATATAGTAGTATCCATCGTCTGTTTTCTCAGAACTTGTTGTATTTCGATTTGCTCCAAGTTGGAGCTGTCTGGCGTGAAGAATATTGAAATTTGTAAAAATATTCTGAAAAACGATATGCTAATTGGAACAAATTGTCAAGATGCAAATACCTCTAGTTGGAAACTCTGGGTATTTGCATATTTGGACAAATTATCCGAGTTATGGAAAATATGCTCGACTCTCATCAAAAGCTTTTTGCCATTCCATCTTTCCAAAGTCAACAAATTGAACCAAGCAGGAAGATCTTTATTCAGTCCCGAATATTTGCTTGCTCCAAAATTTGCTCCAAACGCAATCAAAGGCTCATGGAACTTTTCCAAAACTAAAGGTCTCAACATATCAGCAGAATCTTTCAAATTTCCAAAGAATACAGTATGCTTGCCGGTCGCTACGAGACCTTTTCCATTCTTTCCAGGTTCATCTAATGCTTCTTCTACTCCAAAATGATCGTCGTAAAAACATCGGCGATGGATCTAGGATAATACAGTGAATCAGAAAAGTTTTTAAAACTTACCATGATATCAACAACACCATCGGATCCAGAAGTCATACCCTGTGCACGATCTGTCAAAATACTGAACTGATTTCTGGAGTCTTTGATATACCCGAAACTTGTGATTGGATAATAATTTCCAGCAACTGGCTCGTCATTAGAATATACAAAAGAAGTGGCTTCGCGATTTCTGAAAAAGTGGTTTTTTTTTGGTTTTGAAAAAAATTGAACTTACTTTCTACGCAAAACCTGACGCCCGTTTGAGTCAGTGTAGAAAACTTGCTCGTTTTTGATACCAGTGATGAATCTTGTGACGATTTCTTTAGTGATTGGGTTTCTGAAAAACATCTGTAGACAAGATGTTCAAAATGATAGAAAAAATACCTATCCTCTTTTGGAATCGGGCCAACAGTCCATTCAAATTCAATATATTTCTTCGTTGCTGGCAATCTGATTGTTTGAAAAACCCAAGGTGAAATAATCTGTCTGGCTTCTGCAATCACATTTCCTTGAACAATCTCAACTTTGATACGATCCCTGAACTCAATTGGATTTTGATTGCTTGGACGGAAAATATATGCTCCAGAGGGTTGTGAGTCATTTGAGTTTGTGCCCTCATAATACAAGAATTTTTGTTGAAGCTTGTGCATTTCACCAGTTTCTTTGTCGTAAACACTTTCAACCAATCCAGAATCGTCGAATTTCACTAACAAATATTGATTTTCAATTTTATTTTTCTTCACCTCTTTGACAGAATTCTTTGATAAATAATTTTCAGTATTTGAAGTTTTGGTAACATTAATTGTTGTGAATCCAAGAGCAGGAACTTCTAGATAAACATGAAGTTCATAAGGAGCACGATTGCGATCTTTTAGCGTATCAATATTGAAAGTTTTCACAACTTCAAAATTGACATCTTTCGAATTCACGAGTCCTAATTTCTGCGACCAAACTGGAATTCTAATTGGTCCTTTGTAAATCTTCGAGTTCGAGTTGAAAACAGTTGCACTAAATTGAGCACTCTTACTGTGCTCACAAATGGTTTCATTGATCAGATGACAAATTTTGAAGCCATCAGTTGTGACCTGAGTTTTGGCCATGTAATCCGATATCACGGTTTCAACTTCGGAAATACCTCGATGAAGTTGCTTGGCGTAATCACGAGTGACGTTTTCTTTGGCAGTCCCGCTGAATTAATTCAAAATTTTGAAATTCTTTCTATCAAACTCACGTTACTGCATCATGATGTTGACAAAGAGCCGAAGCTTTTCTCGAAATCAAAACATCTGAATCATCTTCAGGTCCAAGATTTCCAATCGCATCTAACTGTTTAGATAGCTGAAAAAATTTCCTGATCTTTATCAATCCTGAAAAATCAATCCTGAAATACCTGCAAAATCTGACTAGCTTTTCTGATCATTCCTTTAAAAGTCGGGCGACTTGTAAAATATCCAGTCCAATAGCTATGTTTTGCCGATGCATATGGGAAAAAATCATCAGATTTTCTAGTTATTTTACTCATAAAAGCAGGAGATTTGACTGCATTTGAATAGCAAGTTGGGGTTGAGTAGATCACTTTAACTTTTCTCCACGGCTCAGCATTCACATATTTTATCAGTTTATCAAGGTTACTGTACCAAGAATTTGCATTTGTATATTGAAAATCGCTACCCATCAGAAGCATCACATGATTGTGTTTTTGATGTGCAGCTTGATTTTTAACATGAGCAACGAATTTTTCAACTTTTTCTGCAACATTGAATTCTTCTAAATTTATATTATCCATAATCGGGTCATCTCCACAAAGCGCATCCCAACAGAATCCTTCAGGAGGTCCATAATTATCTTGAAAAAATGCGCCGGTGAAAATATTGGAAGCAATATCTTCAGAAGCTTGCCAGACAAATTCTAATGTCTTATTTTTGAGGCGCAATTCTTTCTCAAGATAATGAATTCTGGCAAAATAAAGATTACTGTATCCCATTTGAGAATAGATGTTTGCCATCTCTTTCGAATGACCAAATGGATCAATTTGCCAGCCAGTTTGTGGTTTTCCGCATTCACCGAAAATTTGTTCCAATTTTTGAAGTCCGAGTGTCATTTGATCTATGATATCGACGTAGTGTGAAGCAGCTTCATCGTTCTGAACCCAACCTCCTCCGATGATTTCGATTTGACCTGGGAAAAAACGAAAAACTGTAATTAGAAGTGACGGAGAAGTTTTAAATAGAATTTAGCCTTTCCAAACTCACCATTTTTCACCAATTTCTGCAACTGATGCTTATCAAAATCACTATTACTATCATACCATCTCCAAAGGAAGCCAGTTTCCGCAAAACTAAATTTCCTCTCCGGATTTTTCAGCAATTCATCAATCACAGTATTGTAGATGTATTGAACTCCAACAGGGACAAGATCAGGGCGTGCTGAAAAAATTGGAATTGTTCGTTTTTAGAAAAGAAAACACATACCACCATAATAATATTGATCAACAGTTTTGATCCAACCGAGATCATCATGAGTGTGAGGAATTAAATGAGCTGTAATCCATTCAGAATCTTTGGCGGGCTGTTGGCAGGTCTGAAAATTAAAAAAATCGATAAAAAATCGAGCCCTGGGGAACTCACATTCCACGAACAATCCTGCGCAGAATTTTGAAATAACACCAAAAAATAAAATAGAAGAACAATCATTCAAAAGATAGTTTTGTAATATTTGAAATGACCACACAATTGGGTCAGTGTTTATCACTTTTATGATAAAAAATAGCTATCAAAATAAACAAATGCTAAATAAACAAAACAAACTATCAGGTTACTGTAGGAAAAAAATGGTATAATGGTTTTGGTTTAAAAATAGATGGAATGTTTGGTGAGATCAAACCATCAAATTTGATTTTATAGTATTTTTTTCAGAACTGATGTTGAGAATGAAATCACTGGAATATCTAGAAAAAATACGTTTGAATTTGATAAACAAGTTTCAAACTCAAAAAATATCCCGGTGTAAAATACAAATCGATTTGAATCTTGCACTCGATGAGGTCATCATCCAATTTTTCGAAATAATTTACAGAATCTCTAGTTTTTTGTGATAATTATACTCGAACTATTTAACTTTTTCAATCTGTGTTCATAAATTTCATCTTAATTTTCTGTGCTTTTTTTTCAATTAAGTACATAAATTTGTTTCTTCTTTTTCCCATTTCATTTTTACTCATACTTTTCATACCTCAAACGCACTCCAACAACAAACAAAAGCAAAGCAAAAAAAAAATAGTGGGAGAAATGATAAATTATATCCAGTCGCCAAATTTTTCTCATTTTTTGTCGCCACACACACAAAAAGTCAGTTTTAGCGCCGCGTGCGTGTGTTCGTTTGCCAAAGGCTTTGTGACCAGGATTAAAAGACACTCAATTCATGACTTTCCATTTTTTTCGAGTTGTCTTGAAAAATAAAAAAAAGGTTTTTTTTTTGACTGACAGATTCTTGGAAAATAGGACTTATAATTGGTTTTGACGGATGGTACTTTATTTTTTGAAATTTTGGAATTCAGAATATTTTCAAAAAAAAAGTTGAATTTTTTCTGAGAAGAAATTCCAGATAAAATTATTATTTACATTAGAAGTCACAAAAATTATTTTCATCACCAGGAAGAATCCAATTTGTATCTTTGTTACAAAATATGATTTTTCTATTTCATACAAAACACAGAATGAATATTTATATTTTTCCATTTTCATGAATTCTGGGACCTTTAAAATTGACTTGGGATCACCAATTTTTCCTGAACCACCCACACTTTTTCTTCCCAAAATAATTGTTCATTTGATTTTGTGGCCTAATGGTCATCTAGATAAACATCTCGTGCTCAAAAATTAGTACACCTCATAATTTATAATTAGTTTTTTCTCACTTATTTCCCATTTCTTCAACACCAATTGTCGACTGATTTATTGTCATTTATTTATAAATATTTTCAGTTCTTTCTCACTTTATTTCAAGTAAGAAATTTTTGTTGGACTCAAAAATATTCCATTTTTTGTTTGGGTTATTATTGTCGTTTTTGATAGGATCACATTACCTCTTTCAGTTGTTTTTTTTTTTTTGAAAAAAAATGAAGGGAAAATGTGGTTTGAATTTTTGAAAATTATTTTTTTTGTTTGTTGTTTGAAAACATATTTTTTCTTAAAGAGTGCATTACTTTTATTAAAAATCAAAAATCCATAGAACTGATATTTGAAAAAAATTAGTTTCCGGGCTGAAATTTTTTTGAAAAAATTCTTGATTTACGTAACTTCAAGACGTAGAGTTCTAATTTCTTCTAGACCATACAAAAATCTTACGATTTTTAATAAATAGGTAATGATGTTATTTTTCATGTCACATAGAAACCCTCATTCCTGTTATCCAAACAAAAAAAACGCGAAGAAAAATCTGAAAGCAAATAATATGAAGATGTCAAGTAGGATTCGTGTTATTTTTTGTTCAACTTACTTACTCATGTTCCCACTTTTTTCCCGATGTCACGAAAAAAATTGTCTAGTAGTAGATATTGAGAAAAAATGTGTGCGGAGGGAGGGGGAAATATATAAGGTCAGTCAAGCGTTGTTTTTTTTTATTTTCGTATTATGTATTATCCTTGGTGAATTGTGAATATTATAATTTTTTGTGTTTTATATCTTTCTTCTGCTTCATTGTGTGTGTGCGTGTGTTTCGCGGAGCTCTCGATTATTATGTCCATCAGGAAGAACTCAATTATATTCATTTTTAGTTTTTTCTCTTTTTTCTAGATGAAGTTTGGGCGGTTTCAGGGTTTGATCTACACTTTCCAAGTGGGTTTTTGTGATATTTTTTGCATATGATTGTTTTGTTTTAAAAATTTCGAAGAAAATTTAATTTTTCAATTTAATTTCTAGCGAATAGAACCTTTTTTTAGGAAAAAAATAGATAATAAACTCTCCCAATCTCTGATTTTTTCTTTAGAATTTTTCAGATCTCGGAAATTTTCCCAACAAAACACACGGAACTATTCTTTTGCTCTTAAAACAATGTAGTTCATCAGGAATGTATGAATCTATTTTTATTTCGATTTTTTTCTAGCTCCGAACTTTGCAATTCTTATTTGTTCCTACAAAGTTCTAGTATTTTTTGAAATGATGTTTTCTTTAAAAAAATCTGAATATGCTTTTAATTGCGCGCATTTTGAATAAAAATAAAAAAGTTCATATTTTCCATATCTTGAAATGAAATCAACGAAGCTTGAAATCAAGCACTTTTGATTGCCACAACTCAACAAAAAACTTGTCACTTTTTAATATAATAAATAATTCCTCATTTTTGCACTTTCTAGGCTTTAAAAGGCTTAGGCTTCGCATTGTTTATAACATTTGTGCATATTTTTTTTTCGAAAAAAATTGAAAAATTGAGCATTAAAAATTGAATTAAATTGAATAAATGAAAAACAATTATTCTTTTTGCAAGTGTTGGAACTTTTTATTGAAAAATTTTACTTTTTGTTTGGCAATTTTCAAAATTGTTCCGCTTTTTTTTTCAAAATTCTTTTGTCCTTCTTCTTTAGCCCAGAGGTCAAAAGTTTAATTTTTCTCAATTGTTGACGTACCATTTTTGTAAACAATTTTCAGATTTGTAAAAAAAATAAGTTTTTTTCAGCTGCCTCCAGCTTCGCATTAAAGGCTTCATAGATATTATAGGTTAGTTTTTTCTCTCATTTTTTGTAGAAAAAACAATTTCTGACAGAACGATTAATCGTTCTTCTAATAACATTACATTATTCATTTTGGCGCCAAAAAAAAACATAATAAATTTTGCCTCATTTTTCTTTGGTTTTCCAGCTCATTCCGTCGAATGTTTTTGAATGATTCTACTATTTTTTGTGATTCTGATCGTTGATTCAGAATTATTGAATTCAGAAGGTGTCATCAAAGAAGATTTAGATCTAGAGGTGGGTTTTGGGAAGTTTTCTTGAATCGGCTGAACATGTTTTGAGATTCGTAAATTTCAGAAATTATTCTTATGAAGTACTTTAATCAATACTTATTTTGTAAAAAAACAAGTTCTGAAAAATTCTAAAATTAACATTTTTATACCATAATTAAAAGTTGTGACGTAACAAAAATTAATTGGGCTATTAATGAAGTTATTTTCAACATTAGTTAGCCTTGAGTACTGTAAATTTTTCAGGTCACTAATTGATTTTTCTTTGTCAGATCAAAAAACATATCTAGAAACTTCAAAATTTCAGCCGGTTCCAGAAAAAATCTCCCACTCTTTCATATGAAAATGTTCGCAAAATTTTCAGAGTTATTACTGGAAATTATACCTTCAGAATAACAATATCCTGACAGAACTCAGAGAGCGATATAAAGAGGTTTTGTGAAATGAAAAGCATGTTTTCTCCCACTCACCCACTTCTCTAACGCTTTCTGAAATACCTGCTAAAAATCAATATTTCTGAAAATCCATTTTTTTTTCAGCAAAACAAAATATTCCCGTTGACACGTCCAACAAAAACTCCAACAACGTCGGCTACAAAAAAGTTTGCAATTGAAGATGATAATGGAAACTGTACAACGGATAAAGTGATTATTGAGAGATTATTGTCAAACTATAAAGATCATAGAACACCTTCTGAATCTGGAGTTATTGTATGGATTGAGGTGAGAAATTTGGCGAGACCACCCACAAAGCTAGAAAAACTTTCTTGAAGGTGTGGGTGCAAGAAGTCAATTCAGTCAACGAGATCACCAGTGACTTCGACATGGACATCTATGTCACTGAACTTTGGGTCGACACCGCTCTCCGTTATGAAAATCAAGACCCCTGCAAATACAATTTGAGTCTTAATTCTGAAATTCTCGATCAAATCTGGAAACCAAACACAGTTTTTATCAATTCAAAATCTGCAAATATTCACAAAAGCCCTTTCAAAAATGTTTTTCTAATGATTTATCCAAACGGAACAGTTTGGGTTAATTATCGAGTTCAAGTTAAAGGACCATGCTCGATGGATTTTAGGTACATGTGTTAGAATTTTGAATCGTCAAAAACATCATTTTTTTTTCCAGTGCCTTCCCTATGGATCGTCAATCATGCCACCTGACTTTAGAATCCTTCAGCTATAACAATCAAGAAGTCAACATGCAGTGGATAAACTGGACGCAGCCTTTATCTTTGATGAAAGAGGAAATTGTGCTACCTGATTTTGTTCTAACCAATTATTCGACTTCGTTAAAACAGGAGGTTACTGTAGTTTTCGAATCACAATTAATTGATAATAGATTTTTGTAGACTTACCCAGCTGGTATTTGGAATGAGTTGACGATGACTTTTGTGTTCAGCAGAAGATATGGGTGGTATATTTTTCAAGCTTATATTCCGACTTATTTGACTATTTTTATCAGGTTTGTTATTTTTTTTTGGAATTTTTTTTTGTGAAAATTCACTCATTCAAAGTTTGATTCTGGAAAATTGTTCCTTTGACCGGAAAAAAATGAATCAAAATTCAGATTCCCCATAAATTTTCAAGTTTCTGAAAAAAGATTCCATTCCAGCTGGATCAGTTTTTGCCTGGGTCCCAAAATGATTCCCGCTCGAACAATGTTAGGTGTCAACTCTTTGCTAGCGCTCACTTTTCAATTTGGAAATATCATGAGAAATCTACCGCGTGTCAGTTATGTTAAAGCCCTTGGTAAGAACCCACGTTTTTTTTCCAGAAAGAAAACATTCTCTAAAAATTTCAGATGTTTGGATGCTTGTCTGTTTGACATTTGTCTTCTCATCCCTTCTAGAACTAGCAATTATTGGATCAATGGGTGCTCGATCGGAAAATCAGCAAAATCAAAAATCGGACGAATCGCCTGGTGAAGAAAAAGTGATTGGTGAGGTGAATTGTGGTGCGCAATTAATGATGACACCGCCAAATTGTCCAAATTCGCCGAGGATTTGTCGAAATCATGTTCCTGAAGGAACACATTCGCATGCTTTCAAGAATTACGGGTCTACAGGTATGGAAATGGATAATTGTGAGTTTTCCAGAAAAAAGAGCCTAGACCACCCACACACTTTCCGGATAATCTTCATACAATTCAGGGATTAAGATTGTTTTTTTAAATTAAAGCTACCCACAAAGTTTTTTTTCTGATTTTTGAACCCCCAGAAAATTTCTATTTTTTCTGCACAAAAATATTATTAACTACACAAAAAGTTAATGAGTTTTTGAAAATTTTCTGTTTTGCGGGATATTTTTCAACAAGACCACCCACGATGAAATTCGAGATTACCCTACAAAGCAATTTCTAGAATCTTCAACACCCACGAAGTTTTTTTTTTTTGAATTCCCATAGATCTATAAATAAGTCTTCTGAACTTTACATATTTTTTTTGATAAACATACATAGACCACCCACGAAGCTATTTATTTTTATCACTCAAAGACCACCCACCATTCCAGATTCTGATCCGCGGATGAGAAAACGTTTAATATTAACAACGAGTGGATCCATATCACATGCTCCAAATACAAATCGAGCAGCTGAAAAAGTGCTTCTTCTCGATGGGTTAGAAGAAACACAATTTTCACATGTCGAAACCAAATTCAGTTCTTTCAAAGCTACCAAGGTTACACCCTCTTCCAAATACATTAGACCACCCATATTGTTTTCCAGATTCTCCCAAGTTGGACAACTGAAGATATCGATCGATTATCAATGATCATGTTTCCAGGATTGTTCACCGTCTTCAATGTTATTTACTGGAGCTACTACCTCAGTATCAATAAATAAAAAGAAAAGATCACCAATTATTTTTTGTCTCTCTTGAAAAAAAAAACGTGCCTACTTTCTCACATTTTGTATATCAAATTGTATAAAATTACTTTCTCACCAATTATTTTTTACTTTTTTTTTTTCTAACGCGAAAAATGAGAACAAATTATTTTTTCCAGAACGAGAAAGAGCAAGGGTTCGTTTTTCAACGGTGAAAAAGGACCTCCTAGTCTTTTTTTTCTGGCTTCTTGAAAGCGAGACCTCATTTATTCTCGAAAACGATCATCGAATCATAATAAATTAGTGTTCAGGGGAAACGAAATGTGCTGAAGACGTCAAGGAAAAGGTTTAGTTAGATAGGATTGTGCGCAGGATTTTTCAAGGAAATAATTGGCTTATGACGTGGAAGGCACAATACTCTGAATTTTTTAAGAAACCCCTCCTTGAAAGCCCAGAGATGTTCGCCACTCCTTGACAACCACAAAATCGTCTTAAGGCACGGCAGCTTGAAAGCTTCAAAACTGTTCTAAGCAATCACCCCTTGGCAGCCCAGAGACTCTCAAGGCCACGCTCCTTGAGAGGCCAATAATGTTCCCAAGGCGCCGCTCCTTGACAACTCAGTATTATTCTCAAAGCGTTGCTCCTTCACAGACCAAAATTTCTGTTCAGTGATGTAGAAAAAAATAGTGCAATTTTTGAAGAAAAAATTATCGAAACTTGCTTGACGAAGCTAATTTCATGACGTAGAGAAATCGAAAATCATTATAATTTTTTTTTTGATTTGAGGGCTCAGCTCGAAAATACTTAATTTTTTTTTCAAAAATTATCATTCAATTGCTCGGCTTAATGTTAGAGAATTTCGAATTCTCAGTTGGAATTTTTCATAGAACATTTTCTGCCAAAATCGCATCCCAAAGATCATCCAATTTCAGATTCTTTTAATTTTTTCTTTCATTTCCCCCCAAAAAAACTAAATTATTCTGATCTTTGACACAAAGAATCGTAGAAAAATTGCTATATTTATTCATATTTTCCCAAAGATGAGCTCACTTCTTCTTTTTTTTCTTCTTCTTCTTCTGAAGAAGAAGTCAATTTTTGTCACTTATTCAATGGCAAAAACAGCCTCATTATTACTCTCTCCCCGTTTTTTCTACTCTACTCTACTCTCAAATATAGAAAAAAAAAGATGAATAATCGATGTGTGACGGAGGTTGAAAAGGAGAAAAAACCGAACGTTTTTTTCAAGCAAGTAAAGAGAAAAAAAGAGTGAAAAGGTGAACTTTTTTGTTGTTCTGGAAGAAAAAAATCGCTTTTCAATAGAACGAAAAGGAAATGTTTCTAATTGGAGAAATGTTGGTTAGTTTTCTGAACTTCCGTGTGTTATTTAGTTATTTGTGAACAATTTCCGGAATTTCAAATTTCCTGGTGGCATTTGCATTTGCATTTGCATTTGCATTTTTCTTCCAGGTAGATTTTTTTTAATATTTTGTTATTAGAAAAAAAAAGTCAATCACAAAATATGTGGCTTTTCAATTCTATTCTAACAGAAAGAAACATTTTTGTCTCTCTTTCTCTGAAAAAATAATAAACATTGGAATTTTTTTTTCAAAAAGTTTTTTGGTTTCATAGAAATAGAAAAAATATGATTCATAAAATCATTTTTTCTCTTTTTTTATCATGTGAAAACAAATCCTATTTTCTGAAAATCAACGATTAAAAATATGAAATAACAATTTTTTTTCGATTTTTTTCTGAATTTCAAATTTTCTTTTAATAAGCTTTTCTTCTAAAAAAAATCCTCATAAATTTTCAAGTTTCTGAAAAAATTAAAAATAAAACAACACCATTTTTCACATAAAAACTTTAAAACAGTGAAATTTTTAATTTTGAAAAAAAAAAATCTCACTGTTTCAAAATTTCAACATTAAAAATTCGGTTAAACATTTTCTCAATGTCAAACGGTGAAAAAAAAACAATTCCAGCTGGTTTGATCTAAGATTTGGAATATTTATAGGCCTTATTCTAGACTTCAACTAGATTTTTTGGGCCCAAATCCGAATCTTACCAAGGCCCGAATGTGAAGCCAAATCTACTCTCGATTTTTTTTTTGAAAATATTTTCATTTTCCCAACAACAAAAATGTCCTGTGACACGTTCTATTGTTTTTTCCCAAAACAAAAATTGTCCTTTCTCTGTTCGTAAAATCGCAACAAATAAGATTTCCAGTCCTGAACTTCACCTTTTCAAAAAAAGAATTTTCAGACCAGAAAATTTCGTCAGCACTTCATATCTCAAATTTCCACTTGAACTTTTACCAAAAGTATTCCAGGTAGCCTACCTCCCCTGCGTCTCTAGTCATCTCTGCCTCTCTCGCTCTCTCTCTCTCTTAAAGACCTCCCTTAGAAAATGGGGCGTGTCGTTTCAGATCCTGAGCTTTTCCCCCTTCTATGTATGTATTTTTTCCGTTTCTTCGTTTTTGCCGCGCAAAAAGTGTCTCCACCCCTCTTTAGCTTTTTCTCTCTCGTTGCCATTTTTTTTCACATACATACATACATACATACTTGTCGTTTTTGGTTAAGTTGTTTTAGATAGGAGGTGGAGCAGAATGAAATTTCGGGATTTTCCTCTCTCTCTCCCCCCGACTTTTTTTTGTTGTGTTGTGTATAGTTGGATATATTATATTTATTAGTCATCTTTTTGTTATTTTCCTCATGTTTGTTGCCAAAACTTTTTTTATTATTTTTATTTTCTTTCAGAAAAAACTTGGAACAAACAAGAAGCGCTGGATCTGAATCCTGAAGCCCTTTCGACTTCCAGTTCCAACCCCAATTTCAATTCCAACTTCCATCCGGAAAAAATGTGGCTGTGGACTTCGTCGCTGAATTTTGTGCTAGCCATTCTACAACTTGGATTCAATTTGCTGGTTTTGCTTGCTGTGGCTTCGGATCGGAGACTTCATACAAACATTCATCTTTTGTCAACAAGTTTGTGGGTTTGCAATAGTATCACGGCTATTGTCACTATTTTCTTCTCGTTGAATCCGGCACAATGTTTGGAATCGCAGTGTTCAAGTTTGAAGGTGGGTTTGGGGAGCGGGACACAATTTTGTAGTGACCTTTTCAGACAGAATCCTGAGTTTCAGATTCCTGAAGATTGAAATCAAGAGTTCAAAGCTCTATGGAATTTCAGAAATCAAAAAATTTTCAAATTTCAATTCACAACTTTCCACATCAAAAATATTCAAGGTTTCGAATTTTCAAACCCCAAAAAAGTCCTTCTGATTTCCCCGTAGACAGTGACTAACTAACTACCTTGTGACAATGATTCAATGAGAAAAAGTGTGACGTGGCAAGAAAAAAAGTTGTTTGAGTAGATCGAAACTTTTTTTCAAAAAAAAAATCATGAGATACGGTAGCAGGTGGGAAACTTGCCTGAAATTTAGATTTTATGGAGTGGTGGGAAACTTTTTGAACAATTATAATTTTTGGATTTTCCGTGGAAACGTTCAGAACTTCCGGCTTGAGATAAGATTAGAGAGGATTTGGGATTTTTTTTAGAAATACATAAACTGTGAAAATACTTCCAGGTGGACGTCTTTGGGGTACTGTAGCGCAAAAAAGAGCTGCTGAGCCCTTGAATTAGTTGATTATACTAAAAATAAAAAATAATGTCCAGCATCTCATGTTTTCCATTTTTGTTTTCGTGTTTGTTTCATTCATTTTCCCCTTGTCCTCAATCAGATTGAGCACAAATGAGAAAAACAGAGCAAGAAAATCTCATTATTTCCGTTTCACATGTTCTTTTTCTTCTTCGTATTCAAAAAAACGATGATTACTGCATTCGACATTCGATGAATGAACAAAAAAAAAGTTTTTTTTTTATTTTTCGAAAAAAAAAATGAAATTGTAGGAAACATTTGAGTCACGCACCATTGAGCAAAATACACGGAAAAAAAGAAAAAAAAAAAGTTTTTCCATGGGAAGACAACAATTTTCTGGATCCCTGGAAAATATTGCATTTATATCTGGTAGCTAGGTGATCTATGGAAACCTGGAATTTATTCATATTCCCATTTAGATTCAGAACCTTTGCTGTTTCATCTCATCGATTCTCAAAAACAGGGAAAAAGGGAAAAAAATAGAATAGAATAATTAGCGAGATGAATATCATTTTGATGGATTGTGAATACGTAAATGACATGTTGAAAAGAACAGAGCATGAAAAAATGCGGAATGAGAGTTTTTTGAGATAAAGGAAATTTGAACCTTGATTTTGAGAATGTGTTGATGAATGAATAATTGCTTAATTGAATTATGACGTTTTAGGTAATCAGAGCTGAAAATTTTGACAAGATGCTTTCATTTTTGAATGAAAAAGAGAGGGGTTTTGGAAAACTGAAAATTCATAGTTTTAATTCTGAAAATCTGTCCATAAATAAATAAATCTTCTACCGTATCCATTTCAGGTTTTCAACTATAAATTTTACGCAGAAAATTTATAGCTTCAATTTTAAAAAAGCTATAATTTTTTTCAAATCCCGAAATCAAAACAATAAATTTTCCAGGTTGACGGAAGACAAGCTCGATCATTTGCCGAACTTGAAAAATTCCCAGCGTTGACTACTGCCATTCTATTGAACTCTACAATCAGTCTTTTGACATTGCTCACAATTGGTTTTGTTCATGCTTTAGCTCGTCATAATTATCATCTTTCTAGGTGAGTTTTGCGAATTTCAAATCTAACATGAGCAATTGCATTGAAAAATGAATGCTCCTTTAAAAAATGAATGCTTCTAAAGATTCAGAGTTCAAATGCTCAAGACAATAGGCATTGTTTGAAATAGTGCATTCTCTTATTCATTTTTTCAGACAAGAATTTCAAGCTTTCCTCATCTTCCCCTTCCACATAAAAGTTCAAAGTGTGTAGAAAAATCTCCATAATTGACTCTGAGTGCAGCGGAACGAGCACTCAAGTGCTTTTCCTAAAACTTTCTCCTCTCCTCTTCTCACATTGAGCTCAGTCAGCTCAATTCAAATCGAAGTGAGCACAAAAAAGGCGGCAAAAATGTCACATTTTTCTATTCATCTTCTAGTAGTAAAAAAATACGAGAAGAAGAAAAAAAAACAACAAGAAAAAGAAAAAAGTCAAAGTCTCTCGAGATTTTCATTAGTTAGGAAGCAGCAAAAAAAAACGAGATGCGGGGATTTTTTTTGAAAAACAAAACAAAAAAGGGTTTTTGTTCTTGAGTTGCAGAAATCTAGATTTCTTCTAGAAAAATGTTGCGAAGAGTAAAAATCAGATAATTAGATTAGTCAGCGAGGTAATTGAACAATTTTGTGACGTCTGAAAATATTCTGTTCTAGACAGAAAAAAATCTATAGATTTTCGGATTATCAAAATGTTAATCCACTTTGGGATTTCAGAAAATTGATTTTTCAAAATTGACAAATAAAAATCGGAGAAGATGAATTTTAGAAAACGGGAAATTTTTCCCTCTAACGATGAAGCCTTCTAAAAGATTCTGAAGCTTTCTGACTTCTGAAGTCCCCCCTAAACCTAAAAATAAATTATTTTTGCAGATCCCAACTTTCGCGTCTCATTGGTTCAACCTGGCTCCTTGTCACCCTTCTCCTTCTCTCCGATTTCTTCCTCATCCGTCTCTCCAAATCCTTCGTCCTCGCTGTTCCATTCCATCTCGCTCTTCTCAGCGTTTTCCTCGTCCTCAATCTCATCATCCATCCTCTCAATCTCATCCAACTTATCATAACTCAACGATTGAGCCCTGAAATCAACACGCAATCTGCAAAATTGATGAAAGACTGTGCGACCGCTTCCCTTTGGTTGTTATTGAATAGCTTATCTTTTATCATCATTTTTATGATGGTTGCTTGGGAAAGTCGCGAAAAGGTGGGTGTTTTTTGAAAACATTTTGTTTGAAATTGATACTTTGCAGGGAGATCAAACCTACAGTATCATGGGGATTGAAGTGGCTGCGTTCAGCGTTCATTGCGTTGCGAATCCATTGATTGCGGTGATTCGTGATAGACAATTGGAGAGAAGCTTGACTCGCATTGTTATGAGAAACAAACGGTAAGAGATAGACTAAATTGGTTTTTCGATTTCACTTCTGGAATTTAACTTCTGGAGAATGAAGTTGATGGAAATCAGGTTTCAGGCCGGTTAAATTCTAAAAATCAAGAATATTTTAATGTAGAATCTCAAGAGCCTAAATTTAATCAACTCTAAAAATGTTGGCTTAAATTTCAGTACGGACTCTTTTTCAAAAACTAGACTATAGTTCCAGACCGAATTTTCTCAAATTCGCCGGGCTCATTTCATAGAGGATTTCAAGGACTATATAAAATGATCCAAAAATCAAATTCAGAAAGATTTTGGCTGAAATTATGAACTGAAATTACTAGCTCAATCTAGTTCAAGCTTGGATTTTAGAAATTCCTAAAATGAACAAGTGGCTCATTCAAAAGAAATTTCCAAGAGGATTCTGAAATTGAATTCAGAAAAGTTTTGGCTGAAAATGTGGACTTTTCAAAAACTCCTGGAGACCACCCACAAAGAAAAACCCCAAAAAATCAACAATTTTCAGCCCACGTACAAATCACGAAGAACATTTGATCATCGCCTTGATGCGTGATCCCCCACCGCCATACACTGAATAATTTTTTTTGTTTTTTTTTTCAATCTACACACTTTTTTTCTGACCAAATTCATGTTTTTTCTTGTCTTCTTCTCCTAAATTTTGTTTCCTTTTACACACATCACATCGATTTTTCTTGTCTTCTACGGATTCTGAATTTCTCCAAATTCATCCCCCCACCATTTTTTGTCATTTATCATTTTTAGTAAACTGGTAGATCTTGATACATTTTTTCTGATTTGATATTACTATTACTATTTTGTATGGAACAAGTGTTAAATAAAAAATTATCTGCAAAAAATGTGAAAAATGTCAAGAAATTTTGAAAAATTGAACTTCTGGCGAAAAATAATTTTTGTCCAGATGTTTTTCATATATAAAACAATAAAACATTGATTTTTTTTTTCAATAATTTTTCTATAGTAAAAGTTTTCAAGGTAGATCAAGTGCCAGTGAGCACATCTATGAAATTTTTGCGATTTTTTGGTGAGTCAAGATCTCAATTTATAAAGTTCAGCAAGGAAATCTATAAAAGTTCAACTTTGAAAAAATCTACAACCAATTTTCTCAACACATTGACAATGGGAAAAGTGCAAAATATCCATTTTCCCAACCGTCCTGAATAGGTTTTTTCCTTTCCACACGTTCTCACAGCTGCGCTTACATTTAAACAATTTTTTTGAATAGACCCAACCCATTAACAAAATTTCCCAAGGTCCTAGGTTTTGGAAACAGTTTTTTCCTTCACATTCCTTCAAAAAAAATGTTTTTGCAATTTTTTTCAAAAAAAAAATCGTTCGTTATTTTTTTTATTAAACTTTGATTTTTTTCTTAAAAATGTTCTGCTTCAATTTTTTTCAATTTCATTTCAGTTTTCGTACATTTTTATCTGTATTTTTGTTTTTTCAGGAATGACCGACTCGCCACCGCGTTTCTTGCGTATGGACGCAAAGGTGAGCGCAAAATCTGGAAAAAAAATATGTCTAAAATTAATTTTGTTTCAGACACTTTTCATAACTCTTTGCATCTCTAATATTATTGGTGATGTTTTCGAAATATTCAATGGTCGACATTTTCAATTGTTGGTGTGGACTTCGTGTATTTTGGAAGTTATGACATTGATTGGTGTTCTGACAAACAATGTTACATGTCTCAAGAGAACTGTATTCTTCGCGGTGAGATGGACATTTCGAAAACACATACCTAACTTCAAATTTACAGCTCATCAACATCATCTTCTATGGCGTTCTAATCTTCATCGTTCCAATTTCAATGGCTGCGATTTTTGCAAGCGGATATAATCAAGCACCGGTTCAAATCTGGACCGCAGAAGGATTTTATCGAACAACTCCACAAGAAGAAATCGATGCTCGTTTGGCTCTTGGATTGCTCTATGGATTTGCTGCTGAACTTGGAATGGCTTTCTTGTTGCTTGTCTCGTATGCCAAATATATTTTGGTGAAACGTATTTATGTTTATGCCAAGGATACAAATGCTCCAACTCCAGTTTATACCAGTGTTTGAGTTCACTTTGTGATTTTTTTTAAAGTTAAAATGTGTTTCATTTCAGTAAACCTGCTCAATTTTTCAATAAAGTTTTTCTCTCAACCCTGTGAAAATCCATATTTCATGTCCAAAACTTCCGTTCGCCAGACCTATGAATAAAAAAACAGACACAGGGACTAATTATGTCTACGTTTCTCAGGTTTTCACACTCTCTTGTTTTGGCAAGGTGTCTCGATTAGGGTCATAAAAACGATGTTGTGAGTTATTTCTTCGTCGAATATGTTGAATTTTTATTTTGTTTGAAGATGTCGAAGGTCGATTCTATTGTTTTTACATAATTTTATTTTAAGGTCACTGTGCTTTTCATCATTTTGAATATTTTTTGAACACTTTTTCAGAAAAAAATTTCAAAATTGAATAATTTTTAAAATGATTTATTCAAAATTGACAAAAATCTCCCAGGGAAACTAAAATAATATTTCTTAAATTTTTGTTTAATATTTTAGGATTTGTGATATGAGATTCGAAAAAGTCTTTGTATATATTTTGTTTGCAAATGTTCCCTATTTGACATAACCCTAAAATGAATACTTCCCAAATTGAACCAATTGATATTCCAAATCACATAATCTTTTCTTATCACACAAAACATAGCTATTTTATTAGTTAACAAGTTTCACAACTTTTAATGACTCACTAAACAAACATTTAGTCAAATATAGAAAAATTTGTGATTCTTTTTATTGTTTTTTATGTATTGTTGAGCAAAAACTACTGTACTTTTAGTGTTCTAAAAATTTTAATTAAAGTATCCAGGATCTTTTTTTTTTTTGAAACGAAATTCTAAAATAAGCAATTTTTTTCACAAATACAAAACGTAATCCAAAAAAAATTGAAGCTACATTTCTAATTTGTACGTATAAAAAAATATTCAAATTTCTTCAAAACTACAGTACTCTTATTCATTTAAAAATGTTTTGACTTTGAAAAAAAAAACGCAACACTGAATATTTTATTGTCATGCTGCAAACGCGCTCCATCCAAAAAACACACATACACAAAAAATGTGTGTGTGTTGTCAGGAAAAAACGCGTCTCTTCTCTTCTTTTTTTGCTTCGCCCCATCTTTTTGCCATTTTTTGTCTCGTTTTATTGTCCGAAAAGACAGACACTACTAATTTTTGTGTCTCTCTCCGAAAAAAAAAATTGGATTGATTTTCTTGTTTCAAAATTTTTGGCTATTCGATTTTTCTTATCATCTGTGTGTGAGATAGACAAAGATCTAGGACAAGTTTTGTGTTTCCCATAATAATTTTTGACCAAAAAATTAATTAATAAGGTGATTTTTATTCAAAAAAAAAAATATTTGAAACATTTTTTTCCTCTTATCAAAATATTATTTCTGAACTCTATGACTCTCTTATCTATAATGTTTTTATCAAATTTTTATTTTAGTCCAAAAATAATTGGTATATTTTTCAGGCGCCCAATGTTTTGGTGGTGGGATTCGAAATATTGGTTGCCACGTGGCGTCACGTGGGAGGCGATGACCAACAAAACGGCGCCAATTGGGTCAATTTATCCAAATTTTCACGATTTGTCATATTTGCTGATTACTGGTGTTGCATTGATTGTGAGTTTTTTCACGCCAATTTTTTTTCAGAACGATTAAAAAATTTTTTTTTTAGGTTTATCGTCTTGTTTTTGAAAACTATATTTTTGTCCCAGCTGCATATTTTTTGAGCCGCAAAAATCCGCCAGAGACTAGACGTAAGTTTTTTAGTTTGAATGAATTGAAAATGCAAAAAAATTGGAGGGGAAATGAAATTGGATATTTTGAATGAAGAATTTTTGAAAAGTGGTAGAGAATTCAGGAAATTTCACAAGGAACTTTAGAATCAGGAGAATCTGAATGTGATAAATTCTGAAAACTGGAAACGGATTTCAAGGCATTGGTTTTTGAAAATCTCATTTCACATGAAAAAATCTAGTTTTGAACACAGCCCGCTGGCAAAATATTAAATTTCAAATTTCCGAATGAAAAAATTGTTTTAGAATTTTTAAATGTTCTTTTTAAAATCTCTAAATTCAAATTTCTGATGAACTAAAATAAAAATCTGAGAGTTCGATAGATTTGGGCCAATTTTTCGAGAATCCTTGAAAAACCAATATTTCTTGAAAATCGGTACCAAAATTAATTACAAAATTTTTTGGAAAATGAAATTTTTTCAGAAAATGAAATTTTACAAAATTCTATTCAAAATGACTTTTCAAATATCAGACTAATTTTCCAGAAGAAATGTTGGATCGTGAGAAAAAATACAGTCGAATGGCCGAATGTGCAATGAGATGTTTATATTATTTGATCTCATTTTCCAGCGGGTAAGTTTTTTTTTATCAAAATTCAACTCAACATTTTTTTCTCAGATTATACCTAGTGTCTCATGAATCACATCTCTATGATATCACCGAATGTTGGAAAAACTGGCCATTTCATCCGATTCCAAAACCAATCGCCTGGTTTTATTATATTCAAGGAGGATTTTATATCTCATTGATTTTTGGGTAGGATTTTGTAGATCATAAAACAGACTTCAAATCAATTTTTCACGTTCAGAATCCTATTCCTTGACGCAAAACGCAGTGACTTCTATCAAATGCTCACACATCATTTCATCACATTGTTACTTATCGGAACTTCGTGGACAATGAATATGGTTCGAGTTGGAACACTAATTCTGGTCAGCCACGATGCTGTTGATATTTTAATGTGAGTTTTTGATTGGAATTCATCAAAGTTATCAAAACTTGAAAAACCAAAGTTTTACCAATGAATCGGAAATTTGATTTTGATGTTCTATGAATAACAAAGTGGAAAATTCATCTATTTCCGGTATAAATTTGCAGATTTGAAATGTCGGGAAATATTCAGATTGTAAAAGAATATGTTGGGGGAAAACTTTAGAATTTTTAGCTTCACAATTATTTCAAAAATATTTAATCTAGAATTTTTATTTATTTAAAGGGGGATAGGAGTTACGGAAACTATGTAATTCAAAGGCATCTTGAAAAGCACTGAAATATTTAGGAAAAAAATCTAGCTTTTGTGATGTCCAGGTTTCTGTTAGTTTTTTTTTTGAATCTGTGACAATCCCAAAAGTTCTGAAAAATGAATTCTTCTTGAAAAATTTTTCATTCAAGATAAATTTGAATTCACATGAAGAATGTTTTCTTGAATTTTTCTAAAAAAATTTTAAATAAAAAATGAATAAAATTTAAAATCAGAGAGATTCAAAAACAAAAAAATTATGAATATTTCGCAATATAAGTAATATTCAAATTATTTTCTCAATGCTCTGTGTCTCTGACTAACCTAGAAAAAAAGAGTGTGCAAGAAAAAGAGGTGATAGAGAAAGAGAAAATCCACAATCAGCTAATTTTTCCAGCGATCTCGCCAAACTCTTCCGCTATGAACAAATGGAAACATGCCTCTCCATCACATTCGCCGGTGTTCTCCTCGTTTGGGTCCTGACACGATTGGTATACTTTCCATTTGTTGTCATCCGATCGGTTTGGTTCGATGCTCCGGCTTTGATTCAAGAAGATTATGTTTGGATGAATTTTGGACAACAACCGATGGCTCCACGGTTTATCATGATTTTGTTGACCGCTCTTTTGGTGCTACACATTTTCTGGTGCTATATTTTGTTCAAGGTGAGGGTTTGGGGAACTTTTTTGTTGGGAAACGAAAAAAATTGTTGTGTTTGTGAAAAAATATAATGAGAGAATATGGAATTGTCTGAAGTTTTAAAGATTAAAATTTTAAAAATATGAAATTAAATTTTCCAAAAATTTCCCATCATCTCATATCATTCCAGATTGCCTACGATTCAATAAACGAAGGAGTTCTCGACGATCTTCGTGAAGATTTCGACGAAGTCTCAAAATGTAATCGTGAAAAAGCTCAAGAAAACTCTAGGAAAAATAAGGACGACTAAAATCAACCAATCAATTGTTGTGCAGGTTATTTGCTTTCTAGAAATTATTGTTTTTGTTACCTTCTAGACCATTTTTTTTTCTAATTTTGCCTCCACATTCCACTAATGCTCATATTTTTGTACCCTGACCAAACAAAACAAACCCAGTATTAATTTTTTGGACTCAACTTGCCTCAATTATTTATTGATTATGAAATATTATCGTTTTTTTTTGATTTCAGAAAAATACATCCAGTATTTTAATTCAGAAAATTGTCAGGGGAAACCAAAGTATTTCGCAATAATATTCAAAAAATATTTTGATACTCTGTGTCTCTGACAGAAAGAGAGAGAGAGAGTAATTGGGAAAATAATGTGTGGGATATGGAGGTGACAGAGAAGAGAGACAGAGAAAATTTGAAATTGAAAAATATTTCACTGGGAAGTCTAGCTTCAATCACAATATTTGAAAAATCTAACATTTTTTCATCAAAAATACTGAATTTTTGAACTTGCCACTGAATTTTTGAACTTCTAGTCACTGAAAGTCAATAAAAGATTGTCTGAAATTTGTTTCAGACTGGATTTTTCAGGGATCATCCTTGGCCGATCTTCATTATTCCCCCACATTCCATGAAAAAAATAATCCTTGTTCGATAAGTTTTACCAGATTTTTCAAAATCAGCTTGAAAATCAAGAAGTTCTCCAAACTTTTCAGGAAAAACAGAAAAACAATGTCCCTGCAATAAAAACTTTTATCACCTGCGTCTCTCTTGGAAAAACTAAACACATAATTTTCTCTCAGCGTCTCCACAAAATGCCACAATCCACAGACCCGTTTGAATGTCGGTTAGTTGAAAAAAATAACAGACTGCAGAAAATTGATAGATTCGGTTTTAACCCAGTTACTCAAGGTAATTCGGAGTTCCGACCTTTCGAAAGAAAGTGTCGACTAACTTGAATTTTTGGATTCTAGCTTCATCGGGGTATCCGGTGTGGCAAAAATGTCTTATGTCATAAAATGCCGAATGAATACTTTTGCTTTGATGAAATTGGGAATTGATTGTCTTGTGGAATGATACAGATTTTTTGAAAATTCTAGAGGAGTTTTGAATTCACCTGATAAATATTGATGTTACATTAAAAACCCAACACATTTCCTTGTTTTTTGAGTTAACAAAAACTATTTCTTCTTACATACTTTGGTTCGTTAATCAGTACTTTGTGTATTTTCCGACTTTTTCAAAAAAAAGTGAGTAAATAGAAAAGCAATTTTTGATCTCTCAGAAAAAATAACCCAAAAAATCTATTTCATCGAAAATAAAATCATCACAAGATTGTTTCAGACTGTCTGCATCACAAGAAGATTTTTGCGTGGTCGTTAATTTTTTGATAAAATGTGAGAATCTAATCAATCAAAAGTGCGAAAAAATACTTACGACAAGAATAGGTATGACCGATAAATAGCAGCAAAAAAACCTTTTATTTTTTATGACGTTTTTTTTTAGGTTTTTGTTCAATTTCCGGAGATTGTTATTCTTTTATCATGTTTTTTTCAGAACTTTTTTGTTTAATTTTTTAATCAATAAACTTATACAGGGTGGATTTATATACCTCAAACTTTAAAAACCGAATTGAACATTTGATCTACGATAGTTTGATCCGAGTAAAATTATAGATACAAATTTGAGAAAGAAAAGTTTGCTGTGATTATTGATGACGTAGAAAATTTTAATTTAAAAATTCAAAAAAACACAAGGAGTATTTGTCTAAAAAATCAAAAATCAAAGAAAAAACAAAACAAAAAAGGTTGCAAAACAATCCAACTTGCAAATTTTCGCGCCCAAAATACAATAGACCATCCATCACAAACAAATCTGTGCAAATATCGTACTTTCTTCTCAAATTTCTGTTCATACTCTTTTTTTTTTATTTTATCGAGTCGTTCTTTAGTTTAATTTATTTTGATATCTTCTTGGGTGGTCCATTAATTTTGACATAGACATTACATTTTATGAATTATTCAAATTGAACAGTTCTTTGAAAATGCTTTCTGATCTTCAAAAATCTCAATTCTCATTATTTTATTTTTTTTGCGAATCAAGTTTCTGTAATTCGATCATTTTAAAACTATTAAAATATAGCCGAAATTTTTCTACTTGGGTGGTCCACCAGACACAATCCCCATTCTAGTTAAGGATCCAAAGTCCATGTTTGTACATACACGGAATTCACACTTTGTATTTATTAATCAAACATCCATTGTCTATTTGATCTCAAACTATATTCATTGAAATAGAGTCTAGTTTGAGGCCTTTAGCAAATAATTTTTGATTTTATTTCTTGTGTGGTCGGTGGTAATGAAGATTTATATTATGTATGTTTTAAATTACACTTGTTTCGATGCTTTTTCTGAATTTTTTGTTTCAAATTTAGAAAAAAAAATAGCTGTAGACTTGTGGTTTTTTATCACAAATGTCCTAAAAACCATCATAGCTGATCAATCATTTTATAAACACTTTCACTATTCGAAAAGTCTAGTATTTTTTGCACTGATCCATAGCATACATTATTGATTTTCTGCTTTTTCATCTTGGGTGGTCCAGAATTTCTGAATACCAAGGTATTTTCTTCTTGGGTGGTCCAGAATTTCTTGAGCAACAATTATTTTTCTCTAATTTCATAATAAAATGATAAAAAAAAAAATACTTAAAAAATACTTAAAACTTCTTGTGGAGGTGATTTTTTCAAAGAAACGTTAGACTTTTTATCATTTTTGGCCCAAAAAACAACGTAGCCGATCAATCATTTTTCAAACACTTTTTCTGAAAGTACGGTAGGTTTTTTTCTTGGATTTCTGGTTTCGTTGATTGTTTTCTAGCGGTCTAGGGAAGTATTTTTTTTGGATGAAAAAGTAGAGTTAACACAACTATTTATCGTAACTTCAACGAAATTTTATCACATCAGTAAAAAAAATTCTTATAAATCCTGATGCTGTTCAAAAGTTTTAAAACATGAATCAAGAAGAATCTAAGCAATTCTGTAATGTAAAATCTTATTGTTGAGGTGAAGGATTAAAGTTAAGGTGAAATCTTTTTGTTAAGTTACATATAATGAGATGTTTCTTCGTGGGTGGTCCAAACAGAACATAATGTAGCTTCACAACTGTAGAAGTTGTAGCCGGATTGTTTTTAGTTTCTGATTCTTATCTTTATTTTCCTACAGTATTCTTGAAAAAAACTTTCATACATACCTGGCTGAAAAGCTACCTGATCAATCATTTTTTTTTCAAAAAACTGTATTTATTTTGTCTATTCGGAAAAGACAGTAGTTTTTTGATCAGGTGTTTTTTTCAGAAAAGCAGATGTTGACCAAAAAATCATTTCTAATTTCCACAAAAATAAATATTTCAAGGAACTTTGTAGTATGAAAAAAAATTCAAGTTATTTCCCTGGGGGATCCAGGGTGACAAATAATTTTTATTAAAAAATATTATTTCAGTGACAACTTTTTGATTTTTTTATAGTCTAAAAAATGTGAGCCAATTTTCTTGTTTACGAACATTTTGGCATTGTTATGTGTGCTCTGGAAAAACATTCTGCTTTTTGGTGTCGGGAGTAATTTTTATTCAATAATATCTCCTAAATTCCAAAAATTCTAAATTACCGTACCACATTTTTATTCAAACAAAGAAAAGGTGTGACTATTTATCATGTCTGGGACAAAATAAATCGACTCTAATCAATCATTTTTGTTTAAGAACTTTTTTATTGTCTGTTCCAAAAGTACAGTAGATTTTTTTTCTAGGATTCTTTGTTTGATAACGCTATTTTTATTGTTTATAAGAATTTCTTCTTGGGTGGTCTGAGGCTGAATTTTCAAGTTTAAGATCTAATGAATATGTAGAATCTCCGACTGAAGCCAAACAAAAATGTGTGTATTTTTATCATAGGTGGTCCAAGAAAAAATCGAAACCAAATCCTATCAATCATTCATTTTTGTTTAAGACCACTTTTTTTTGGAAAATACAGTAGTTTTTTGTTGTTTTAATAGGTCGAAGTCTTCTTATTCGTGGGTTGGCCAAAAAGTGATCAGCCCATTTTTCGTCGACTATAAATTCTAGGCTTTGTATTTACTTTGATTCCAAATTTATTGGTCTACGATACAGTACTTTTCTACTGTATTCTTGATAAGATTTTCTTTATTCTGAAATATAGTTTTGAACTTGAAGTATCTAATTTTCAAGTCTAGAAATCTGAAAAAAAAATTTTCAATCTTCGCGCCAATAAAAACTAGTTTTTATCTCGAGTTACGTCAATTTCAGAATATAATCTATTTATAACAAATCTACTTTTATTATTTTTCAAAATTAGGTATTTTTCTTCATGGGTGGTCCAATTTCACAAAAAAAACTGACTCACTCACAAAAAAACAACATTTTTTTTGTCAAAAAATGTATATTTTTATTTTTTAAATTTGTTCCGCTTGGTTTCCTTCTCCATCAATTTTCCAAGTCTATAATTTGGAGAAAAAAATGCATTTTTTCAGGAAAACATGCAGAAGAATCAGAAGCCCAAAGTGCAAGCGAGATTTGAGTTGCTTCCAGGTGAGTTGATCCAATTCAGAAAAATATTTAAAGCAAAAAAATTCATCAACGAAAAAAAAAACAACAGCCATTAGCAGAAAAATGTTCAGCAGCTTCCTGGACTGCGCGGAAAAAAAATAAATTGCGATGAGAGATAAAGAGAGTGCAGAGAAGCAGACAGAGAGAGTGGATAAATGGATGTAGATACAACAACAACATGAATTTTCGAGGAAAAAAAGAAAAGAAGCGCTGTTTTGTTGTGTGTCTCTTCTTTTTTGTTCAAAACGAAACGAAATTCCAATTTTCCTCCCATCCAAGTAGGTCATTTTTGCGTTCGCGTCGATTTTGATTTCGATTTTATTTTATTTTACTTTTCTTTTCATTCTGATCTTCATGTATATTATAGAAATAATATATATGTTATTTGTCTGCGTCGGGAAAAATTTCACTTTTTCATTTTCACTTTGAAAAAAAAACGATTTTCTTTTATATTCAGATCAGTTAGAAGAAGTTGGTTATAGACGGGTTTTTTCTTTAGTGAGAAGAATTGAATGATCAGATAACGGATAGCTTTTTTTTGATGATGTGATGTTCGTTTGATTCAATTTGTATTTTCTGAAGACATTTTGTCTGATTACTTTTTTTTTTCAATTGGAATTTTTTTTCCAGACTTTTTCATTGTCTAGAATTTTTTTTAACAATAAGTCGAAGTTGGTTTGATTATTTTTAGGTCAGGAATAGGTTAAAATTCAATTTTCACAAATCTTCCAATTTGTAAAGCTCTAAAAAATCTTATGAAAAAATCTTTTTTTTTCTGAAGTCTTCTGAAAAACTTCATAACTCCTTCAAAAAAATCCACAATTTGGTTGAAAAGTTTTTTTTGTGTCGCAAAATTTTTCGATACTCATGCAAATTCAATTTTTCGTGCGTGTCTGTTGGTTTTTTTTTCATGCAACACGTTTTTTGGAAACTTTTTTTTTTGAAAAAAAATCACATTTTGTTTTCTGAATTTTGTCTTTGATCACAGAATAAATTTTTAATTAAAATATTTTTTGGATAATCCTGAACCCTTTTTCTGCTGCTCTTACAAATGATTTCTGTGGTTCCAAAAATGTGTCAATTTTATATTTTGATTTGAAATTTTTCAAATTTTCAAAAACATGTGAATCAAAAAAATTCCATCACAAACCACATTCAAAACAAAGTACATGACAAATTATAATTCATACCGGAAATATATCGTTTATAATTTTTTTCAAACAATCGCATGTTATTTTGAACTCTACACGTGGTTGATTTTTTTCTAGCAGAATTCAGAATACCACCGGTATTTTTTGCAAGAGATTATTTACTCAATATTGAATTACATGCTTCCGACTAATGTTGGTCTATAATCTAAGATTTTATGGATCTGTGTAATTATTCTGTTTTTGTGGGAGAATTTTTTTCAGTAGTTTAGTTTATGATTTTTCTGTAATCTCACAGGGTCTCAATGATCAATAATGGAATCAAAGATTTCATATTTTTTCGAATCACATTAAATTTATAAAAATGAACGTTCCGCATTTTTCATTGATTTTTTGGAATTTTTTGAAAACCTTTTTTTCACTCAAATTATTGTGAAGATCAAAAATATTTTGAACTTCAATATTTTTCAACCTTTTGAAAACAATGATTATTATTCTTCAATCTTATTATTTCTATTGAATTTTTGAATGATCAAAAATGTTCTTTGAAAAACTTCATTCAAGAAATCAAATATTTCGGATGACATTGAAATTATAAAAAGAAATGTTTGTTGTGTTTTCCCATCGATTTTTCGGAATTAAAAAATTATTCCAAATTGACAATCATTGGTTTTTATCATATTTATAGATTGATCACGAAGGGAATATTTTTCCGAAAACGTTCAAAATTTTCTAAATGTTCTATTTTTTTTAAACTTGTAACCTATTATTATTTGAAAACTTTCCTCGTGATTGAAAAATGTTCTCTGAAATACTTGATTCAAAAATCAAATCAGAAAGAACGTTCAGGTTTTTCGAGATTTTTTATACATTGTTTTTTTTGAAACTGAACTTCAACTTTTTCAGAATCTTTAGTTTTTTAAGATCTGTTATTAATTTTCTAATCTCATAATTGAGATTTGTAAACTATGATTATTGAAAAATACCCTTCTAAAGCTATCAAGCAAAATCAACGAATTGTTTTTCGGGTTTTGAGAAAATCAGAAACCAGATAAAATTTACCAAAACATCAGGCACAAAGTATTTTTTGAAAATATTTTCAACTCAAGTTTTTTTTAGAAAATGAATTTCAGCTGCTGTTCATTTTTATTGTTAGACAAAATCTAATATTTTCTAAAAATTTCTTGAACTACCTGGTACAAGGTTCATCTCCCACATTTTCTCAATATCACCTCATAAATATTTCATCTTCCAAAAAAACATTCCTGTCAACTTTTACCTTCTAATTAATCATGTCATGCTGAAAATGTTCTTCAACTTTACATTTTTCAGTAAAACCCAACCTAATTAATTATCATCTGCAATTTCTTTCACATTTTTCAACAAACGATCAAAAAACGTCTATCACACCAGCTGTTTCAAATCTCTCCCACTTTTTTTTCCATTTGTCCGTTCCGTTCCTTTTCAATAACAAAGTGAAAGTAAAAGTTGAACCACATATTCTTATTACTCATATTATGTCTTACATATATGTATAACAAAAAAAAATGATTTCTATTTATTTACATAAATATTTAGGTTACACCAAAAAAACATCACCATATAGATTATTTTTATCACATTTTCTTTGTTATGGTGCTACACCAAAAAATTATCATATTTGTAGTTTTCCATACTATATTTTTTCTTATTTTATCTATTGATGATTGGTGTACTGTAGAAACCACCATTTTTCGAAAAATATTCTGTCCGAACTCGAGTCCCGCCCACTATTTGTTCTCAAAACGTTTATCATTTTTTTCAGATCGACAAATGGGTGAGAAGACCGAGGAGGAAACATCATTTGGAAATCGGTTTTTTCGACCGAAACGTCTACAATGGCTCGCCAATTTTGCACCATTTATGGTGATTCTATGCGCCAATGGTTTTTTGCAAGGTGCAGTTGTGAATGGATTAGTTAGCACAAGTATTAGTTCAATTGAGAAGAGGTTTAAATTATCATCACAACAGTCGGGATTGTTTGCGGCGACTTATGATGTTTTTGTTACTGTTATGTTGTTACCACTTGCGATTTATTCGATGAAAAGTGAGTTGTGAGAACTTGAAATTTTAATATTCACTAGAGATTTAGATCAATTCCAAATCTGAATGAAGATTCCTAAAAAAAACAACATTTTTAGGTTCAAAAATGTTCGAATTTAACAAATTATAAATTTTTTCGAAATTTTGATTACAAAACCTTTTCGGCAGGTTTCCAAAATATTTGTTATTATCAAAGTAAAAAAATGACAAAAAAAGAGAGACCATAAATTCAAATCCCAATTTTCCGAAGTACGGTATTGGGTCTCGCAACGACTGGTAGAAACACCGTACTTGTGAAGAGTGTCATTTGAATTTCTAGACTCCGTTTTTTTGCGACACACATCATTGTTCTGTTCAAAAACAATTTAGAGCAAAAACTGTCAGCTGACCTGAGAAATTTTGAAAAACAATTTTTCGAAAAGTTTTTTATACAAAAAAAACATGACTCATTCAACCATAATTTTTCCAGTCAACAAAGTCAAAGCGATCGGTTATGGAATGCTTTTCGTCGCAGTCGGCTCTCTTCTCACAGTCCTTCCCGAATTCCTCGCTGGTCCCTACGAAGCCGGAGCTCTTCGATCAACAATGTGCAGCAAAACGGGAGCAAATGATACAGTTTGTGTGGATGAGATTAAGCACACAAATGTTATTGCACAATATTTCCAAATCAATCCGTCTTACATGTTTTTGTTGTTATCACAAGCATTGATTGGAATTGGAGCAAGTCCACTTTTTACATATGGTTTTACGTGCGTTGATGAGTTTGATGCTCACGAGAGGACTGGAAAAAATATGGGTAAGTTGGAGTAGATCAAAAATAATATCACAACTTATTGATTCTCCCAAAAACCTTAAAAATTCCAGCATACTACATGTCAGCCACCACAATTGGTCCAGCAGTTGCTTTTATTGGAGGTGGAGCCGCTTTATCACTGTGGGGTGATTTTGCTCGAACAAATCCTGAAGAGTAAGTGAATTTCATGCCTCGAACATTTTGAAAAATCATTTTTTGATCTAGTATTTTTTTTTGAAGCTTGGGGATTCAACATTCTGAAGATCCTCGATGGATTGGCGCTTGGTGGGTCGGATTTCTGATTTGTGGAGTGTTGTCTCTATTCTCCGCCATACCATTAACAATGTTCCCAAGAAAATTGAAAGGTATATCGCAAGCAGTTTCAATTTGTATTTAAAAAAAATAATTTTTCAGACACAACACTCAGAAAAAAGCACGATGTTCATCAAACCGATGTTTCATTGAACAAAGATTTTTCAAATGAGAACAATGAATTTCTCAAAATTTTCTGGATGTTGTTGAAAAATCCAACTGTTATTTGTATTATTTGGATGCAAACTGCTGAATCGATGTTAATGAATGGATATATCACCTTTATTCCGAAATTGTTGGAAACACTTTTCGGATATTCAAGTGGAATGTCGAGTGCAATTACGGGTAAGTTTTGGGGGAAGCTTAGCAATCTAAAGAATTTATAACCCGTGATTTTTTTGGGTACGTGCTAAAACCAGAAAGAAATTTCAAGGTTACATATTGGGCAAAAAAAATTTTCTAATGGTTTCAGCTGTTGGAACACCTGGGGCCCAAAGAATGTTTGAAATGTTCTACGCTTTTTTTGAACAGCAATGGGACCTTCACAAGGGGACCTTTTTTGGAATAACTTGAAAATGTGTGTTTGGAATAACTTAAAAATATGCTATGAAGGTTGGAAAATTCTCAAATTTTATATCAGCAAATTTATTCAATTATTCTAGATTTTAGATTTTCAGATTTTCTGAATTTTTGAATATCACTGATACGTGCTAAAAGAAATTTCAAGGTTACATATTGGGCAAAAAAAATTCCTAATGTTTCAGCTGTTGGCACACCTGGGGCCCAAAGAATGTTCGAACGGTTTTTTTTTGAACAGCTATGAAATCTTCACAAGGGGTTTTTTTCGGGGTCACTTGAAAACTGACAAAGGTTTTACACAAAATGTACCTCTGAAGGTTTGAAAATCAAAAAATTCTGAATTAGAATGAAAGTTGAAACAGAGGAAAAGTTGAAACAGCTGAATTAGAGTAAAATTTGAAACCCTTGTGATTTCCTGAATGAAAACTGGACGCTTGATTTTTTCATACAATTTTAGATTTTGTAAACTCAGAACATGTGAATTTCAAATGTTAAATCTGACCTCTAAAGGCTACAGAATATCGCAGCTTCTCAGATCTCCGAAAATTCCAAACTCTAGCCACATTTTCAGGTGCCCTTGTTGTTCCAATCGGAGTTTTCGGAAGTCTAGTCGGAGGTTATATCTCAAAACATTTCAAAAACCGCTTCCGTCCCTCAATGTACTCTGTCATCGGCTTCACAATCTTGGCTGCACTTTTCAGTGGATGTCTACTCATCAAATGTGAACAAATCGATTTAGTTGGCGTCAATTATGATAATCAAAAGTGAGTTCATGGCCGTTGTACCAAAGAGCAAAAAATGAAAGATGAAACAAAAAATAAAATAAACAAACAACTGTGTAACAGGGAACTGTTTTGACAAGATTATTGTTTTCAGATTGATTTTTTTTCTTTGTGAAAAAACACAGGGGTTTGATAAAAAAGTGCATTCGGGAAATGTTACCCCAAATTCCGAACTTAATTCAAAATTCTTCAGATTAACAGAATTCGGAGTTTCTGGCCAATGCAACACAGATTGTCACTGTAATCACGCTTTCAACCCAGTTTGTGCAACCGATTCAAAACTCTCCTTCCTTTCTCCGTGTCACGCAGGATGTTCTGATTCTCCAAGTGTCAAAATCGGAGCAACAAATTGGACAAGTTGTGCATGTTCGAGCAACAAAAATGGGCTTTTACAAAAAGGTTTTTGCCCAGTCGGATGTTTTTGGGAAAAATGTATTTTCTTTGTGCTATTTTCTATTATGGCATTCTGTATTTTTGTGACTGCTCCAATTATGCAAAGTGCTAGTGTTCGAGTGGTTCATTTCAAACATCGTGATCATTTTATGTGTTTCGGATGGCTTTGGATGAGGATTTGTGGAAGTATTCCGGGTGCATTGTTGTTTGGATATATTATTGATTCGAAATGTTTGTTTTGGCAAAAAGATTGTGATGGAAGTAAATGCCAATATTATGATGCTGAAGAACTTGGTTTTTCGTTTTTCATTTTTAGTGAGTTATTTTTTTGAAAAACCCTCGCTTTTCTCTAAAAAAAACCCTAAAATTCTCCTTCCAGCTGTCGTCGTCAAAGCAATATGTGTGGTCCTTCTTCTAATCGCCGCCAAATCCTACAATGAGCAAGACCACCCAGAAGAAGACTCAAACAAAAGTTCAGCAAGAAGTGCTGAATCAGTCAGCATGTCATTCAGAAAGGTTTTGCATCACTAGAAATCCTTTACTCAAAAATTGTGTTTTTTTTTGCAGAAAATTGCCACCGATATGCCATCAAGCACTGTAGTTTATTAATTATAATTTTTCTATGAAAAATATTTTCACTTTGTGTTTCTAGTGTGTATTTTTGTAACTGTGATTGCATGTTTCTCTTCCAAAAAATTCGAATTTTTCTGTTTGCCTTTTAGAAATCCATTTCGGGTATAAAAATTTATTTTTTTTTTGTCATACAATGTAAAAAAAACAAGATAAATAAAACATATATATAATAATTACACACACATTAACATTTACATACATACATAGATAAATAGATATTCTACAGATTTTTGGCGCGAAAAAGAAATTAATTAATTCATATTGACTTATGCAACGTTTTACATATAATTTTTATGTGTTTCTGCTTCTGTTTCGAATCCGGTTTTGTTTTTCGTTGTGGAAATAAATTTCGAAATTTCGCATTATCATTCTAATTATTATGATTATATCATTTCTTCGATTATCGCATGTTTTATGGATAATAAAATAATAAAAATAATGCTAAAAATTTACTTTATTATTTTATTATTCAAAGTGATTTTTCAATTTTCTTGTATTTTTTATCTCGTTTTCTCTCTCCACTCGAAGCGTAACAAACAAAACTCCGCCACACGTATGCCTCCAGTTTAGTGCAGTCTATTTGCTGATGACGATTCACTTTTTCTCTAGTTTCCATGTTTTATAGTGATTTTTGAATTTTCTTGTGTTTTTTGTATGCGACACTTTCTGGATTTTACTTTTTTTTCATTGTATTTTTTGGAGAAATGGGAAAAACTAGAATTATTATTTTTTTTTCGATAAGAATTTTGAAGAAATCACACAAGTCAGAAGATGTGATAAAATATAGAATTATTCTTTCCGCGTTGTGATTTTTTTGTCACCTCATTGTCATACTTTTTTACCGTATTCTTTGTTGAGTTTTTCCCGAAGTCCCAGGCGAAAAAATTTTGAAATAGATTTTCAACTTTCAAAATTGATGGCCTGATGATTTATTGATTTTGACTCAAATTTCATGAAACACTTTTCCTTTTTTTGTAGATATTTCAAAATTATTTGAACTTTCATCACTAGTTTGAAAATCGGATTCTGGGATTTAAAAAAATGAATTTTCAAATTTTGAACTCACAATCAAAAATATTTTCAGAAAGTTATTTTCTTTCTTCATATTTTCCGACCTTTTGTGTAGACTACATTTTTATTTATCAAATGTACATAAAACACTTCCTCTACCTCTACCCAAGTATAGTTGAACTTTTTATATTTTGATTTCCATCTACACAGGTCATATCACACAAGCTAGAATCTAGCAAGGTGTGATGATAAAAAACTCCAAAAAAATGATATCACCATATTTTTGTCACAAAAATCCACCGTTATATAAATTCGCCTAATTTCATTTTTTCTTATTTGTTTTCATTTTTTTTTGCAACAGTTTTTCCTCTCTTGTCATTTTTTACACTCTTGGATTAACCAATTAGTAAAAGTAAGGTGTTCTTTAGTTTTTTTTGTTTGTTCGTTTTTTTGCAAATGAAAAAATTAATTAGGAAAGCTTTTTTACCCCTTATAATTAGAAAAATCCTATTGTTAATGATTGATTGAAGGTGATTTTTCAAACTTTTTTCTTTTCGCCGGAAGAGAATTGAAACAGTAATTTGTTTATTTATTTATGAAAGTGATTAATTTTTCCCCCCTAAACTATCTCATTTTTTAGTAAAACCATTTCATCAGAAACAATTTGTCACCGGAAAACTTCCAATTTGATATGGGTTTCTATCTATGAGTAAGCATAAGAAGTACTGTAGATTATTATCATTTCATTCAATTTCATTTCATTTTATTTCGGTTCTCGTTTGATAAGCCTAACCCTTTTTACACAGTTTTTATTATTATTTTTTCTCTGCAAATACTTTGGAAATCAAAAAAGGTGAAAGAATTTTGAAAATGCCTGAACAGGTGTGCGCAGATGAATCATCCGTCCGCAAAATGATGAATGGGTGATCTTTGAGGTTTTCTTGATGAAAGTAAGCTTGCGAAATATGTATCCATTATGCTGATGACTGTTTTTGGGTAACACCTTTGTGGATCAAGAGATCAGATGAGATTGTTTGAAATATTTTAGAACTAGACATTTTTGATCTTACAATTAAATGATGTTCAACAATAATTTCTAGAAACTTTGCGAAATCAGAATTTTATATTAGAAAAACTTTGATTCGGATGTTTAAATTCATTTCAGTAGTAGTAATTTTTCAAAACTCAAACATCAGATGCCAAACTAAATTCTGAATTTAGAAAACTTCTATATTATTAGAATCCTAGCCTGGATATTGAAAATTATTGGGATTTTCCAAATTAGGAAACAAAAATCTAGAAACTTATCATTTTTTTCCAAAAAAATCAGTATTTTTTCAAATTATTCAGGTTTTAAAACATATTAAGAGGGGGAGGTAGGTTCCTAAGTTCTTGATGAAATTGAACTTCCAAAGTTCAATTCCAGAATTTTTCAAGCTTTCAACGCTCAATCATAGGCTTCTTTCTGAATTTCTCTGTTTTTAAATTCAAATTTGAAATTTAAAAATGAAAAAATTTATGACTCAAAATTTCCTAAACCCAACACTGTTTCATTTCTCAAAAACCTTTTATGAAAAAATAAACAAACATTACGAAATCCCGCCAAAAACAATGTCTATCCTAGTCATTTTACACACACACACTCCATATTACCACACCCTAATTCACAGATTAGTCATTCAATTTCATTTTCATAATCTTCATGTTTCTCACTCACTCTAATTATTACATCTACATATTTAGTTTACACAATTCCGGTCATTAACAAATGAAACACTAATAATTTTTTAAAGTGATTTTAACGTCGTTAAGGACCTAAAGGCTCTATTGTTTCCCTCATTTCCACCTCATAAAACATTTCCAGCTTGCTAGAAAAATCTGTCAATCATACATAAAATACTGCCGGTTTGTTGCAAGTCAAAAAAAAAAGTGGCGCAGTAACAATTCAGCTTCATCATCATCATCATATTTCTCGTTGCCGCCGCGCAGTTTTTTTTTGTCAAAGCTCCGCCCATTTTTGCCCTCCTTTTGTATTTTTTTTGACATTATATATGCATAATGTCTTTTATTTGCTTACCTTTTTTTGTTCTCCGATGATGCTTCCGGTGAATTTTATCGAGACATTTTGCACGTGCCGCGATTTGTTTTTTTTTGGCAAAAAGATGTTGTTTTTTTTAGTGGGTACTGTAGTTTGTATTGTCTATAGGAAAATGTGGTTTATGTTCGTGTTCAAACCTTATTTGATGAATAGTGACTCGACTTAACTCTTTGGGTTACTGTAATTAAAGATCTTAAAAATATCTTTGGCGTTGTTAATTCTTAGAATTAGAGCTTCTATATCTAGTTATTTTTAATTCTGACTACAGTAACCTAATAGTACTGTGTCTAACTGCACTTCATAGTTTTATAGTTCTGTTTACAGAAAAATCTAAATAGGGAGTTTACAACTTCTTCAAGTTTCAGTATTTTCTACAAAGGGTTACTGTATTTAGATATTTTTAAATTGACCACCTAGTTAATTAACCTGTCATTCATTGAACTCCAGATGTTTTTCATCAAAAATACGGTACCCACATCAGAAAACCTGACATGAGAAGTCTGTTTCACAATATTACCGTACCTGGACCACCCAGTTGACTAGCATCTACTATAAACTCACTGATTTACAGTACGATAATGTTGATTACAGCAAGAAAATCAAAAATAAAGTGTTTGAGTCATCAAAAAGGTTCCCAAGTTCCAAAAATTCTCCCATTGTCACCCCTGATTCATCACAACCAGGACTAATTAATTAATAATCAACCCATCAAACCTCACATAATACCACCCAGTTCATAAACTATATTCATCAAACCCTCCTTGTCAGTCAGTCACGCCTTTTTCCTCCCTTTCTCATTGTCCTCTTTTTTTTGCAAGCAATCAGTTGCAAAAGTATCAATTTCTTCTTTATTTTCAGCCAGCTAGTTTTTGTTTTTGCCCTGCCCATGTCTAGAAAACTGTTACTTTTTATTTCACTTTTCATTTTCAATAAAATAAAATAAATAATAATTTTCAAATAAATGGTAAATTAGCCGCTTCAACAATAACAACACTTATTGTTTTTCAAAAGTTACGGTTTCAGAATTAGAGATCTTCAATTTTTTGCTGAAAAAAATGAAAATAAAAAAAATATTTTCCTTTTGAATTGTTATTATCAATTAGTGTCTCACTCTCGAAAAATACGACTTCCGGTAGCTTTTTTCAATTTCTTCTTTTTCATTTTACTGTTTCATCGCTAATTTTGTTGTTATCGCCCAAAAAAGTTTTGTTTCCTACTGTAATTTTTTTGCAGACAATCAACATGATTAAGAGGATACCGTACCTCTCGATGTTCATTTTATTGCTCATTTTATTCGATGCTGCGTTTGCGCGACAAAAGTGAGTTTCACTTTTATGTTGTATGTTAGTTTAACGACATAATGGGAGGAAAAGGGACACTATAAAAAAATACTGTGTATCGGGTCAATCATAAAACAGTTTTTTTTTTTGAAATCAAAGATGAAAATTTCAGGTTTATGGTGAGGAAGGGTGGAAGATTGGATAGATTACATAAGAAAACCACACATGATTGGGCTCACGCTGCTCATAAATATCGATCTGGAAAAAGGTAAGATACATTGGGTTACTGTAGTTTTTTTTAATTTGTCCAAGAAATTTCTGGAATCATTCTAATCATAGTTCTGATAATCTAAATTTTTTCATATTCACTCACACGAGATATACATAGTAGGCTTGCAGTTCTCAGGCTACAGTAGGCTTTGCAGTAGAGTTTGGAGCTACAGTAGTCTTTGCAGAAGAGTTCGGGGCTACAGTATGCTTTGCAGTTTTCAAGGTACAGTAGGCTTCGCAGTTCTGGATAGAACTAGACTTCACAGTTTCAGAGATTCAGTGAGCTTTGCAGTGATTTTAAGGGCTACAGTAGGCTCTCTAGGTTTCTGAAAGCTACCGTAGGCTTTTCAAAAGGTTTTAGGGTTACGGTAGGCTTTGCAGTTTGATCAGGCTACAGTAGGATTTGCAGTTTTCAAATTTTGAAATTTTCAAATTTTGTGAAACCTCTACATTTCAATCTCCCCATAATTTTTTTTTCCGAAATTTCTACTCAATTTTTTTTTCTGAAAATTTCACCCACGTCATCCCTATGAATAATTTTCAAAAATGAAGGTTTCCTGTTTTTCACAAATTCTAATTATTTTCCAAAGAAAAAAGTAAGAAAAAGTGCAAAGTTTGATTATGAGCTCACAAAAAAATAATAATTAAAAATCTCAAATTTCTTTCAGACATAAACGCCGCCGTCATTACCGTGACGGAACATTCCGCGTCGACAACATTTTAGCGCAAATGGATTCATTTGTCCGCCCACGATTTGGTCGATCCGTCAAATGGTCAGAAGTTTCGTTGTCTCCCACGCGATAAGTGAAAGAAGACAAAAAAATTTAGCCCGATCCCTTGAGATTTTATTTTTTGAAACAACGCGTGTCAAAATGTTTGTATGTAAAGATGACGTTTTTTGATCCCTAACTCAACACAGAAAAGCTTTATCAATCAAACTTGCCTTACCCCCTTTTTTCACTCTTTTTGTACCCAAACTCACATCAAATTCATTCTTTAAAATGAGCAATTGAGATCATTTTTCTTTTTTTTTCTCTCTTTCATTTCATATTTTTTCACATTCGAATAAATAAAATATTTATTTTTCTTGACTTTGATAACTCTTGACTTTGATTGCATGACGAAATCGAAAATTGCAGAGATGAAAAAAATGACAAAAAAAATAAATAAGATTTTTAATCGAAAAAACTGCGCGCTCAAGTGCAATTTTTGTTTATATGTGTTTGTGTTTTGAAATGAAAAAAAAAAACTTTTGAATTTTTCTAGTCACAGGTCGTTTTCGTTTATTTTTCTCAAATTTAAAGATCAGTAGAAGATCCAGAAAGCCTAGTGTCCGCCCCTATACATTCCAAGTGTCAAGGATCAGCGCCGAGATATCTACTCTAACAAGATTCCGCGCCTTGATAGCTTCCATTTCATGTTGATGAGCCAAGAGAGCACTGCGTGTATGAATCATTAGCCGACCTGAGAAGACGCGCGTCTAGAGAACCTATCTGGCTAGGAATCGCGCCTTGAGAGTTTCCATGCCAAGTGGCTGTGCCTAGATAATTCAATTGTAAAGGATCAGCTCCTAGAAAAGCTTTTCAGCAAGGAGAAACGCCTTGAGAAATATCATGTCAAGGATCAGAACCTAAAGAAGATTTAAAGAAAGGAGCAACGCCTTGAGAAATCCCATGTCAAGTAGCTGAACCAGGATAGCCTAACTTTTTAATAGTCGCGCCGAGAGAGCCACTTGGGAACTTTGAAAAATTGAAATTTGGTTTTTTTTTTCGAAATTTCAACGGTTCAGTCAAAATCGGTTTCTAGTCAAAAAAAATTCAGTGTTTCTGCTTCCCCCAAAAGAAAAAACAACAAAGAAATACATCATTTTTCATTATAATGTGAATTGAAGTTTCTTATACATACATTTCCTTTTTTTTTCGTTTTCCAAAAAAAAAAATTTTTGGTACTTTTTGAATATAAAATGACGTGAGATGAAAATGCACGCGATTTATTCAGAAAATTGTTTATTCCTCGGAAAAATTCCCATTATTAACTGATTTTTTCAACTTCCTCGATCTCATAAAAAATGTTTTTTGTTGGAGTTAATGTGGTTTATTGGAAAAATTGGAACAATTAAAAATGGATACAGTAGCTTTTGGAATTTTTCTGGAAAATTTTTTTTTGGGTTTCAAGCAAAATTCTCTGCAACAAATTATGTAGGTTTTCTGGTTCTCTAAAACGTTTTTTTTTAATTTTGAGCCGGTAAGTTGAGCAAGTATTTTTGAGCTCATGATTTTGAGCCACCATTTTTGAGCCGGTAAGAACCGGATCTCAAAATTCCAAATCCGCACCAAAACACACTCTGCAAAAATTCCTCCGAATTGTACAAAGCTACCGTAATCTTCAAAAATGTGCGGATTAAAAATGCGCTGCTCAAAAAATTTCCATATCGTATCTCCATAGCTCTAACTAATTTCCAATTCTAAAAACACGTATTTTTCCATGGCGAGAAAAAAAAACACTTTTTTTCCCCTTCTCTTTTTTCCTGTAGGCGGAGCTCGCCGAACACTTTTTCATTTATCCATGTCATTTTTCCAAGCACCTGAGACCCCCATCCAAAATTGAATTCGGGTGGGGTGAAAACTATTATTTCAGTTTCAGTTCTCGAAAAATCTCAACTTGCTTCTTTCTGCCTGACATCATTTTTTTCATTTTCATTTCATGAAAAAAATTTATTTATATGTATATATTTTTTATTTCATCTCTAAATTATCGCTTCGGGTTATTTATTTTTGCTGCTCACATCGTATAGGAACTTTTAATAATCTGAAATAATATTTGCTTATTTTTCATTTCGAAATTAATTGCCCTCCGGCTGTTTTTAGGTATATAAAACGTCGAGTTTCGACCCGTGTGGCGCTTATTTTTTCGGTGAAACAAGAAAAACAATGATGAGAGCTGCTTTCGTTTTGGTTATCGTTTGCTTGGCTGCCGTTTTCGCTCAATATGATGATATCAGGTACTGAAAACATTTTTGATGTAGATATATAAATCACAATGTTTTCAGCAATGAAAAACGGGCTATGCGAAACGCGTTGGTCAGATTTGGACGTGCATCTGGAGGTATGAGAAACGCTATGGTTCGGTTCGGAAAACGTTCGGCAGCACTAGAAGATGAGGAAGAATATGTGAGCCCATTGGCTGGCAAACGTAACGGAGCACCACAACCATTTGGTGAGTTTTGAGCACAGAATTTTGGATGAAATCTGAACTCCCTGTTTCGGAAATGTAGTAGCCCTTTAAAAAATCCCACTCAAAACGACTACAGTACCTCATTTCTTTTCGAAAAATCCTCCAAATTTTTGCAGTCCGCTTCGGTCGATCAGGACAAATCGATCATATGCACGATATTTTGTCAACGATTCAAAAATTGCAATTCGCCGGAAACTAAAAACCTTTCCTCCCAAAGCGTCTTCAAATTTTTCCCCCTCCCCAAAAATCGTCCAAAATGTGTGTGTGTGTGTCTAAAAAAAACAAGATCTGAAAAATTTGAAATCCTAGAAATCTTTTATTGTGGTTTTTCTCTCGTGGTATATTATTGATTATTTTTATTGTGTATTTTTGTTTGTGGAAATGACAATAATAATAATTATAATGATAAAATAAAAGGCGTCGTTGAAAATACCTGGGTGGTCTTTTTTTTTTGAAATAAACTACACATGAATGTTGCGTGTTTGTGTATTTTGGACTTTTTTCTTTTTTGTTGATCTAATCCTCATTTTAATGAGATGACTACATGATGATCCATTATAGAAGGAATGAGATGAAAAAGTGCAATTTTATTTTTTGGAAACAAAATTCAACGAATTGGTTGGTAAAGCATTGGGTTAATTGTGACAAATTTTGTATTTAATTTTGGAATCCCGTCAAACATGTCACGTGAAATATAGCCGAAGTCGTCCCAAAGTCGCTGATTGAAAAGTGCTACTCTGGAAAATGTATAAATTCATAATGAGTTGGAGATCTCGAGGCTCTTTAGGCTCTATAGGCTGTCCAGGCTCTCTAGGCTCTCTAAACTCTCTAGGCTCTCTAGGCTCTCTAAACTCTCTAGGCTCTCTAGGCTCTCTAGCCTCTCTAGCCTCTCTAGCCTCTCTAACCTCTCTAACCTCCCTAGCCTCTCTAGCCTCTCTAGCCTCTCTAGCCTCTCTAGCCCCTCTAGTCTCTCTAGAATCTCTACACACCTTCCACCAACAAGCGAGTTGATAAATCCAACATATCCTTTTCTCACAGCTCTTGGCTCAATCACAATATTCCATAAAACATAACCAGTTGATATTGCGTACAAAATCAATTCACCGTGTTTGATTTTCGGAAGATATCCGCGATCCACCAAATCGAAATATAGTGTCTGAAAAGTATTTGTGTTCTGAACTTTCAATGAGATGGGGAAAATTCCAAAAATCATTGTAAAGGGCAAATATTTATTGCATATTCATGTGTTTTTTTCTAGATTCCTTAGCGACAAGCGAAATCGCACATGTAGAAAAAATGTTTTGGAATTGCAGATTTTTTATGCATATTCTAGTAGTGTTCGTTTTGGATTCATGGGATCAAAATTATTCGAAAAAAAAATCTGAACTTGTCTGACATCAAGGATTCATCACTTTTGGCAGTTCTCCGAATTGTTTCCAGGTGCATTTTCAAAAATATCACTTTCAAAAAATCAACCAAAATCTAGGAAGTGACATTTCGAAAAGTTTGTAATAGAGTTTATTTCCGATAGAATTGGAAAATTTCAGGGAAAAAAAAGTTTCCGGAAATACAAGCTTTCAAAATATCAAGAATAATTATGGAATTGCAATTTTTTTTAGATAATTTTTAATTGTGAGAATATTTGAGAACTTGCAAAACATATTTTAGACTAGAAGGAGACTTTTATTTGAAAATCGTGACTGAAATTCTGAAATTATTTGACAATTTTAATTGAAACTACCGTAGTTTTTCTGGAAATTCAAAACTTATACCAAACTTTGATTAATCTCACAAGATTCTCTCAAAGTTTGAAAGATCAAAAGTCATATTTTCGGCTCGCCCCTCAAAAGTGAAACATTTTCAAAACTCATAAATCATTTCATAAACATTTTTTTTCAAAATACACATTCTCACATATTTTCATCTTGAAAAACTTGGGGTCCCAAAAGCTATTGGGTTTTAGTGCACCTCTAGAAAATCCATGATTTTTTTCTAGAAAAAAATGAAAATTTTTTCAACAACCATTTCTTCTCGAAAAAAATCTTCGGATATTTTTATATTCCAGAAGAGCCCTAAAGATTTGATCTTTTTTTTTATTAAAAATTCAAAAATCCCTCCCTTTATCCCCACCTCAATAGCTTTCCATAAACAATACATTGCAATACTGACTGTTGGATAAACATACATTGAACTTGCCGCAAGTCCAGCAGCAATAATATTCGAAAAAACTGGATTCACATTTTTCACCCGATTCAATGAACATCTCACAGCATTGAAAATCAACGGTAAACTTCCAGTGAACAATGGTATTTTCATATTTTGAACAGATCCTAGGAGAGCTATCAATTTCAGCGGGTTCGAGAAAATCAATCGATAATTTTTCAATAGTGTCAACGCGGAACTGGCCACCAAACCGATGCCAAAATTTTTGGTGAAGCTCTGAAAATTGTTTTTTTTTTGAGAAAAAAAACTTTCAGGAGTTTTGTACCTCTACAGAATGACTGACACATGAATCGGCGTGTTGGCAGAGTTCAGTCTTCTCATATTTTTTGCGTAAGTTTTCTAGAAAACTTTTGAAATCTGTTGGCACTTTTTTGATGTCGATAACGTTTTCAGTGACATTGGCTTTGAGTGCAAAGCTGGAAATAAATTGGATTCAAATTTTCAAAAATTCCTAGATTTCTCCTAACTTCATAAATCCATTAAGTGACTTTGGCAATCTTCCAACACAATTCAAATACGAAAAAATCATCAATCCCATCGCAAACGGCACACATTCTCCACCATAATACATTTTCGTCACACCATGATTCGCCAAATGACGATAAAAAGTCTCGGATGCCAAATTTGTCAAATAAAGTGCCAAAGCAGGTCTGCGCGTTTTCTTCTCAAGAAAAACCGAAAGACCAGAAGCAACAATTGAAGAAATCAAACCCATTGAATACGGTGAGAAAAATCCAAGCCAGTGTCGAAATCGACAAAGGAAAAATAGATAAAGTGACATGTTTGTGACTAGGAATACTGTTGATTGAACCACGTCCAATGTGAATTTTTTCCAGTTGATTTTGTCAACTCGGCCACGTTTTGAGACTAGATTTGTGAGGAGGTAGAAACTGGCATATGTTTTGAGCGCGAAACGTAATGCACCGGGAATTGCATCCTGGAAAAAAAATGTTTTTTTTTTGAAAAAAATATTTGAAAATTTTGTGATTTGTGATATAATCTTGTGTACAATTTTTTAATTTTAAAATATTGATAATAAACTATTTTTCAACTAAAATACTTTTATAAAATCTCAACACAAAAATTCCCTGAAAAGAAAAACATATTTTCATTCAGAACTTTAATAGCATTTAGCTTTTGGGTTCAAAAAATCTGAAATTTGTGAGCTCCCAAAAGATATATAGGCCAAGCTCTGAGCTCTCAAAATTCCAAAATTGGCTTATGAAAGTTATCATAACTCAACTCACGATAATTTTTTGTGAAAATTATCGCATTTGAGTCAGACAAAGTCAGCGATATATTTGATTTTGAATTTTCGATTTTTGAAAAATTGTTTCAAATTTCATCCCTCCCAACAAAACTCACCATAATCGCCATATTACAATCAGGATTCCATGTGTGTATAGTTTCATAACAATTTGTTGTCAAAACTGGTTGACCCAAAGAATATGCCAATTTTGATAAATTTCCCATTCTGCTCCTGAAAATTGAATTCTCAATCTATGATTTTTTTTGAACCGGGAAGGGTTTGCTATCTCGAAAAATCATAAATAACAAAATTATCAGTTTTAGACAGCGGGCAGAGGAAAAAAAGGGATTTTGGGTTCATAAAACAATCATTTTTTTCAAAAATAATTCTTTGAAGTCTTGGAACATAAAATTATTTATTTTTAGTAGAAAAAATCACACCATTTTTGATTGATAAAAACACATGTTCCATTGGACAAAATTATTTTTTAAAAATAAAATTTTTCTAACCGAAAAAATTCGAACTCTAAAAAAACAAAAAATAAAATACCACGTGATAAAATTGAGATAATAATTAAAACATACACATATTCAAAAAAAAACGAAAGAAAAAAAAACACAAGTTGTATGTTTTTTGTCTGCGTCTCTTCTATTTTGTTGTTGTCTTATCATACACCACTTTGTAGTCCAATTGGAGAAGAAAAATAGAGAAAGAAGAAGAAGAAGAAGGTATGGAAAATGATAATAACATGGCAAAAAATGAAAGAAAATTATCTTTTTTTGTGATTATTCAAAACAACCAAACTATACTGATACATTTTTACAAAAGGTGAATGTTTTTATGTTCCTTTGCTGTTATTTTGGTTTGGATAAGAAAAAATATTTTAGGAATGGAAAGGTTTAAAATATTGTTCCAAATGATTTCATTTAAAGAACATAGATTTAAAAATGATTATAACTCATTTCACAAAAAAATCAGCTTCAGGTTGTCTATAACATCAGACAATTCTAATCTTCTCCTGAAAATTTCAGTCTACCAAACTACTTTTATAAACATGATAAGACAACGTATGGAATTAAATTTATCACAAAATAAACACATTTCAAGCTCTACTTTTTTTCTGAAAAAAAAATTGTCTAGATATTTTTCCCACTCTTATCAATATTCTCAATTTCAATGTGCTTGGAAATTTGCGATGCCACGTTTTTTCAAAATTAGAATTCAGAAAAAATATGAAAAATTGTGAAGCCGACAACGTAGCTGAAAATTTCAGTTTTGAAAAAAAAACTCTGATGCTTTGACAGCATTTTTTTAGCTTGAAATGCAATTTTTTCCTGCTTGAAATACAATTTTTCCGGATTTTTTGCAGATTGGACAATAAGAAAAAAACTTCAAAATTTTTGTTTTTAGAATATTTTTTCTGTGAATCTTCAACTCTCCAACTATTTGTCATCTTTTTTCTACAAAGAACTCAATTTATGTGTTCTAATCTTTCTGATTTCTTGATAAAACGTCATGGAAATTTTGAATAATCATTCAAGTTTCTGATAAACTTTCCCATTTTATTTTTTTTCAAACTTTAAAAAATGCTATTCAATTTTATATTTTTCGCCGTATTAGTTAGCTCAACTACTGCTCAAAATTTATACAAGTATATTAGTTTTTCGAATCCATTATCTGAAAGTGATGCGGAAGCTGTTTGCCAACAACAATGTGGACATCTTGCATCAATTCATTCCTACAATGAGAACTCAAATGTTGCAGATTTCAGTTTTCCGAGCAGTTACAACTATTTCCGAATTGGTTTGAAATATCAAAACAATACAAATGTGTGGACTGATGGCACAGATTTCGATTATTCAAATATCGGTTATCAAAATTCAAATTTCGGAAACTGCTACAGTTTCTCAATCAAAAGTGACGTTGTCGCAGCGGGAAAATGGATCAGCAGCAGATGTGACACTCCCCTCCCATTTGTATGCAAAGTTCCCATCGGAGCATGTGTAACAACTCCAACCCCAACAATCACTCCAAGTCAATGTTCAGGCCCACAATTTGCCGAAAACGACGCCTATTTTTTCTCTCCAAATTACCCAATAACATATGCTGGTGACAGTCAGGATTGCACATATATTTTCAGCACTCCAAAAAATACAATCGCATCGATTTCATTCAATGAATTTCAGCTTGATGATTATTCAACTATTGAACTTTTTAATGAAATTGAGGATCCAAGCCCAGTCAGAACTTTTGATAGCAGCAACACTGCTAATGGTTTATACAACTCCACTTCAAATACAATGAAAATAGTTTTCCGCTCATTTTTAGTTCCGGATAAGAAAACATATCGATGGGTTGCTCATTTACAAACCACCAATTATTCGCCAAATGTTTCAACTACAGCTGTTCCAACTACAACTAAATTGCTTTCATCAACCACAACTGCAATGGTCAGCGCATGTGGTCCAAGTAGATATTTCGTTCCGAACACCGATATTTTCTATCCATATATGAATGGGATCCATCCAGTAAATCAATTCTGTACATACAGTGTTTCAACATCTTTTGGGAATAGGTGAGGGAATTTTGTATTAGCAGCCTCGAGATTGACCAAAATTCTGATCTCATCTCAAGTTCTTTCAGAATCGCTCTCAATGTTTCCTATATATTTATGGAGCAAGATAGCCATTTGATTGTTTATGATGGAGCATCAACAACAGCAAGCGAGATTTTATTTTTGAAAGGTCCTGGAACATTCCAAAATGTTCCCGAAGTCAGAAGTTCGTCAAGCCATATGTTATTGTTTTTCAACACTTATTCGGTTTATGATAATTTTTCTTCGCGTGTCACATCGATTTGAATTTTGACTAATAATTTATAACCGGTCAACAAAATGCAATATCACAGACAAATAATTACAGATAAATATGTATAAAAATGTTTTTTTCACAGTGAAAATTTCACTCCTCCTGATCTTCATCCAAAATTCTTTGCTCATCATCTCGAAGTTCTCTCCGACTTCTTTCTCCAATTTTAAATGGCGCCAAGGAAATCATAATAATTGCAGCGAGCACCAAACATGCTCCAGGGACAAAAACCATTATTCTACGGTAGAAAATCACGCAGGCTTCATGGGGTTTTGAAGAGCTGAAATTGGAATTGGTAATATTTGAAAAAAAAAAAAAGAAAACACTCACTCGCAAGTTGGATTCCATAACTCGATAACTTGATATGCAACTCCATTCGCAAGTTTGTCCAGAAAACTCATTGCTCCATAGACAAATGCACCACTTTCCTGAAGAAAAAACATTTTGTTAAAAAAAACATTTTAAAAATCTCTCACCGTGTTCCTGTTAATCAAGTCCGCAGTTATCGATAAACTTGTAATCAACAATATCGCTTGAGCAATTCCAATCCCAACTGCCAATCCAAAAATCTTCCATCCAGGTAGATCAAAAAGCATCGCGGTACACGATAATAATCCCGCTAAAAGTCCGACCCAGTAAATGACTTTCTTCGAAATTCCGCCGATTTTTGGATGACTATTGATAATTGAAACAGTAAATGATGAAAGATATGAAATCATTGGAAGAATCGCAACGTATTTCTGAAAAATATTAATTTTCAAAAAAAAAAGTAAATATTCAAATGAAACCAACCTTTTCACAATTTTGAGTTGAGGTAATATAAAATGGAAAATAGACTTGTGACACATTGATATATAACCTGGATAACATATAAAGCAAAGCAATTTGATAGAATTGCATATATCCAAACCAGCTGGTCCACTGCATTCTAGCCAATTCTGAAGCGTCTGATGAGAATGAGTTCAATCGACTGTGTCGGCGTCGATTTTCAGGCTCTCGGGTGAAAATGTGGAAGATCAAGGAGACGATGATACCAAGTCCGACAGCGAGGAGAGCGGCTAACTGGAAAAATTTGGATTCTAGAAGTTGAGGATCATTTTTCTTGCACATATTTAAAATGTTCATTAATTTTCAGATTTCTAAACATTTCCACTTATCGTGTTTTTTGCGAATGATCATTGTACATGAAAAATTGGATCAGTTTCAGCAAAAAATGTTTTACCAGGTTTGACATTTTTCAAATCAGAAATATTTTTTTTTAATTTTTGTGTCAGATATTGATTGATTCTTTTAAATTTATTATTTCCAAACATTTATTCCTCACCCTAAAATGTCCAAAATCCCAAGGTCCAATAGAAGAATGTCCAGTGGATTCCGAAAGCAACCAGGCCAACGTGAAAAACACCGAAAGATTAGCAATCACGCTAAATGCATATCTCAATGAATTCATAGTTGATCGACTTGATGGAACTGATGATAATTCTGGAATCAGGGCAAGGTGTGAGATCTGGAAAACATTTTTCTGATGTGAGAAGCTCAAAAAGTATCTAACCTGCACAGATGCCCATCCAAATTGAAAGACCATAATGAATGGGACAAACCAAAGAACTTCAAACCATTCTGAAGTTGTAGATTTGCACAGAAAACATTTGTTAAATATAAATGGGAAGGATATTGATACCAAAATTGAGCCTGAAAGTGTTTTACTTTAAAAATATGTTTCAAATTCAAACATACCGATCAGATGCCACGACAATCGTCGACCAATTTTCTCAAAACATGAGGGAAGAATATTTGAATCACTAAAAATTCCAACAAGCGGGGTAGAAATGCCGTCCGTGACCTGAGAAAAATTGGAATTCTATAGAAAAACATAATTTAAATAAAACTGTCACCTGTCCAATTAACATGAGCAATCCGGCTCGACTACTTCGGAATTTTAAAACTTTTTCCATGTATATCATGAGATAGGTGAACCACATACTAGCACATAAATCATTGTAGAAATGGCCGACTCCTGAAAATTGGAGCTAGGATTTTTTTGAGGTTTTGAAAATTCAGAAGTTGAGAAAATCAACTAGCGAAATTCAATTTTTCAAAATCATTTTTCATTGTTTTCCATGTTCAAAAACTAATTTCCGAATTCAATATAACTATGCCAGTGTTGAGAAATTTTCAGCAGATTTTAAATTTTAAAATTTTAATTTTTTCTTTTTCAACTTGTGAAAAAATTCAGCGATCACATTTATTTTTTTTAAACAATTTTGAAATTATTTAAAAAATAATTTTTTAGCAGATTTTATTGAAAATTTAATTTTTTTTTTAATTTTAAATATTCCCCAGAAAAACTCACCAAACGCCACTTTTTTGGCAAACGAAATATCATGATCATCTCGACTTCTTCTAGTTCCCTGGAAAAATTCTGCAGTTTCATTTTTTCAAAAATAATTTTTTCAACCCACCACTTGTCGAACATCTTCTCTAACTTGTATCACTTCATCATCAGCAGCGTTCATTTATTTCTTGAGAAAAAAAAGTTGCGATTCCAAAAAAAAATAAAAGCAGACAACGAAAAAAGAAAAGCGAGAGAGTTCGTCAAATAAAGTGTGTGCGCGAGAGAAAAAGGAAAAATATATGGAACAAAACATCGAATAATGTTTATTTTATTTTATTTCGTGTTCAAAAGCGCAAAGCGGACAGAGGGAAAGTTGATATTCGGGTCAGGAATTGATTATTGATTGATTCTTATTTTAGAATCAGATGACAGAAGAGTTAGAGAATTTGTTTATAAAAATACATTGTGTACATATTTTACTACCCCAAAATGTAACGTTTTCCAAACTTTTTGGTATATCAAAAAGTAAATTTGAGTGGGAACAAGTTAATCAATCGCATTGTTAGTTGAATTCAAAATATAAGGTTGTTATTTTCTTTAAGCCAAAATCTACAATTGCGACAAGTTGAAATTGAAAATCTTTTTATTCCAACGTTTCGACGTATAACGTCATCATCAGGGATAATACTGAAAAAATAAAATGGGTTATTTACAATGTATAAGTTACAAATTTTTGAAATAAACTTAAAAAACCAAAAAACTCGAAAACCGACAAAAAATAAAATAAACCTGCTAAAGTGCGGGTAGGCGGAGTGTTGTTAGTACTTTAGGAGAATTTTATTCTTTTGATTTATTTTTTATTGTGAAATTGAAATTGAAATGAATTTAGATGAGAATTTGTGTTTTTGATGTTAGTTAGAAAGAATTTGGTATTTGGATTGTTCCAAGCCTTGTGATCATATCCGAGAGTTCCTCTTTATTGTTTAATGAAGGATTGTGATGTTTTATCAAAACCCCTTCTCTGATCTTCCGAATATTAGTATTGCGTTCGACTTCCAGAATATCAACATCAATCACCAAAGCCACCATGTTTTTCCTTAGAATGTTTTGCCCAAACACTCGAACTATAAGACTTAGTCATAGGTTTATTGCAGGCACGTCTGTGTTCCGCAAACCTAGACTCAAAAGGTCGGCCTGTTTCTCCAATATAAAATTCCCCGCAGTCACATGTGATTTTATAAATTACGCCTTTCACATTACATTTTCCTATTCCGAATTTTTCACAGATTCTACAGTCACGATGATTGCAGGTAGATTCGAAACATCTGTTTTTGACCAAGATATCTTTAAGTGACCTCCCTTTGAGTTCAACCACTTGTGTATCCAGTTCAAATTCTTTCAGAATGTTCCGAATCCGTTTCGTGACCATATCACCCATGAAAGGAATAGTCATAATACAATGATCTACATTGGTTTGAACGGATACTCGTTTTTGATAGAAAGGTCTATTAGATTTTTGTTTAGAAATATTGTATCCGTTTTTTTGTTGGAATAAAAAGATTTTCAATTTCAACTTGTCGCAATTGTAGATTTTGGCTTAAAGAAAATAACAACCTTATATTTTGAATATATCAAAAAGATTTTTCAACTTTTTTTTTGAATTTCGCGACCCCATAAAATACTCACACAGTTAACTGATGTACGCACAAAAGAAGGCCGATTTTCGAACAAGAAAAGATTCAAGAGAGAGTGGTATATGGGATTTTATAGCTCTTAGAGTTATGAGAACATATTTTGAAATATTTAGACAATATTGGGAAATATTTACTTCTTCGAATATTATTTTCACAACAAAAAAAATAAACAACCATATTAAATCTTTCTATCGGGCATCTCCTCCAAAAAATTACACTCGATTAGTCAAACAACATTTTTGCTAATGGTGAGAGGAAGAGAATTAGAGAAAAATGTAATAATTTCAAAAATTTGTAAATCTGGAAGAGCTTCCAGTTTTACAAATGCGAGTCAAATTTCAAGATTTTAGGCTTAAAATGATTGCAATTCATTTGTTGAGCATTTATTGAGTACTGTCTAAAGAAAATATTATTTTTTTGATCAACTTTTTTTTGGTCAAAAATTTGTAAATCTGGAAGCTCTTCCAGTTTTACAAATTCATCATTATCGAGCCAAATTTCAAGATTTCAGGCTTAAAATGATTGCAATTCATTTAGTGAGCATTTGAAATAAATGAGAAGACTGTTATGTCTGGGGCTAACAGACCCTGTGACCAGTTAAAAAACTTTCCATTATTTATTCTTCATAATGAACCTTTTCGATAAATTCCTCAAACTATCATGAGAAAAAATTTAAATTTGCAAAAATTATTTTTTTTTACAAATTTGGATCCCTTGACAGATAATTTGCAGATATTTCAGAACAAATTGGAAAAAACAATGGTCTTAGATGAATTTCTGGATACAGTTAGGAAAACAACAAATGTGAAAAAACCGTCTCGCCTGAGGTGAATGAATGGAGGGAACAAAAAGTTCTTGACTTCGTATCTGTCCACACAACAAATCACAAGAAATGACAAAAGAATTTCTTTGAAAGAGCGCCGAAGTTATAATTGATCAACATCGGCGAAAATGTTGAATTTGAAAAATCAAACACCTTTTCAAGATGTAAACGAGAAGAGATTCTCAACGATACAAAGTCAGAGAGCAATGTGAATTATTTCTAGTTTGAAATTGAGGACACGTTTTATAGATAACAATATTTATTATAACTAGGAAAGAAAATGAAAATAAGGAGCCGTAGATCGTTGGAGGGTGGTGGTGTTGGCGTTGGCGTTGGCGGCGGCGGCGGCGGTGGCGGCGGCGGCGAGATGGCTGCGGCGAGGAGAGAAGGAGGGGGCGGGAGAGCAGCACACTCATGTGTGGTCTGAAAAAAATATTCATTATTTCTATACATTTGAATTTCAAAATAAATGAACTTACCTAGGTGCAATACCTCTCCCACAACATGAGCATGCGGCTCTCATAACGAGTCCGCGCGGCTACCGGCTCGTCTCCAATTGGAACTGGGGCACGCTGAAAAAAAAACACAATTTTCGTCACTTAATTGACAAAATCACGTCGATTGACGGTATGTGTCTTTTTTGTAAAATTTTCATATTTTGAAAGCGGTTTTTTAATTTTCAACAATTTTTATGGTTTGTAAATTCACTTCATGTATACTTTGAAAGAAGGAAACATAAAAACTCGAATTTTCAAGAATGCACAAGAAAGTTTTAGAAAGTTACTTCAACTCGATTCAGAAATAGAACACAAAAAAATAAGGGAGTGACAAGGTGTTTTTCTCATCCACTCTCTCACTTTTGTGTGTTCTCTGTATGAATTTTAGAGAAAACTCTTCATACTTTGGTCTTGAAATCCCAAAAAAAACTCACAACCGGGAACCGCCCTCCTTGCTCCGCGACGCGAGCCAGTTGCTCGCGCCTCGCCGCCTCTTCTTGCCGATCTCGCATCCAATTCTCCAACATTCTACGGACTCCTCTATGAAATGCGTCTGGCATGGCTATGGTTTCTGAAAACAAATTGTATTTTGTTGAGAATTGTGCAACAAACATTCGAAATAAAAAACGAAGAAAAAACACAAAATAGTGTAGTCCGGCACCCGATTACCTTTTGTACAACTCTACATTTTCATCAAATTATCAGACGAGAAAAAATAACATGAAAAAACGGGGGAGGAGAAATTATGAGTTGATTATTGACAAGCCAATAGAAGAAGGTGAGAGAGAAAAGAGAGGAGGGTATTAGAGAAACAAAGACAATGACTGTATAAAGGTAAGAATTTTGATAATTTGTTAATTGAAAAGTTTGAAGTAATATGAAAAAGAGCAATGATTGATTTCAAGAAGAAAGAATGTAAGAAAATGGATCTGAAGATACAACAAGAATATAAAAAACTATGGTTCTTATCTAGTGTTTTTAAAAATTTCAACAAGAAGCAAAGTATCCATTAATAAACTATGAGAAATGTGGAAATGAAGCAAGTAGAAAAAGAAAATGGAAATTAAACGTGTAACTTCTCATTTTCAGAACCTATGAGTGCGAATACAAGAAATATCGTTTCAAAAAACGTTAGAACACATTCGCTTCATAGCAATCTGCGTCAACAACTGTAACCAGAAAAGACTGTATACACATTCAAGAGCAAAACAAAGAAAACCGAGAAAAAAAATCAAAAAAACCCGGAGGGAGGGGGGAACGATGCATATCGATTATTAGCCAAATGGAGAAGGGGAGAGATAAACTAGTGATAGAGGGTGTAGAGAAAGAAAGACAACGCACTGTGTCGGGGAAAAAAAGGAAGAGAAGATAGGATAATTTGCTAATTGAAAAAGAGCAATTATAGAACGATGTATATCAAGGATTGATTTCAAGATACAACAAAAATGTAAAAAACTATATCCATGTAGAAAATCTTTAAAAATAATGGTTCTGATTCAGTGTTTATTTCTAAATTGCTTCTTGTTGAAATGTTTAAAAACATTTCTTTTTTTTTGAGAACAGGTAATTGGGAGCATTGACATAAGAAAAAACAAGAAAAATGACTATGAGAAATAGGAAAATGAAGCAAATAGAAAAAGAAAATGACAATTAAACTTGTATCTTCCTATTTTCAGAACATGTCAGTGCGAATACAAGGAATATCGTTTCAAAAAACGTAGAGAGATCTGCGTCAACAACTGTAACCAGAAGATGTATCACATATCTACATCAACCTGCAGCACGTCTGCGGAAATAAATCGAGCAAAACAAAAAAGCCCGAGAAAAAAAAATCAAAAAACACCCGGAGGGAGGGGGGAACGATGCATATTGATTATTAGCCAAATGGGGAAGAGGAGAGATAAACTAGTGATAGAGGGTATAGAGAAAGAAAGACAACGTGTCGAGAAAAAAGGAAGAAAAAGAAGATTTATAATTTGCTATTTGAAAAAAATTGAAATAAGACGAAAAAGTGCAATGATTGATTTCAAGAAGAAAGCGTGTAAGAAAATGGATCTGAAGATACAACAAGAATGTAAAAAACTATATACATGCAGAAAATTTTTAGAAAAAATGGTTCTGATTATTTAGTGTTTTTGAACAACAAGAAGCAAAGCATCCATTAATTTTGTTTGAATTCATGAAGAAGCGCAAATCAGAAATCATTCGAGGATCATTTTTCAGCAAAAAAACATAAGAGGACAATAATGAAGAGAAGAAAATGACGGTGTGATATAGAATAAAGACGGAAGAAAAATGAATAATGTAATTTTCAATATTCTCGACTAGCGATCGAAAATACGACAATCCTCATTTTAGAAAACGTTGAAACAACTTGGCGAAGTATTCATTGATTTTGTGACACGCTGGTGCAGATTTTCAGCATTTCCAGCAGATTTTTGACAACAGGTAATTGGGAGGTAAACGTATAGGTATTCCCGTTATTCAAGCGCCTAGGAGGTTAGGAAACTGCGGCATAAGAAAAAATAGAAAACATGACTATGAGATATGTGGAAATGAAGCAAGTAGAAAAAGTAAATAACAATTAAACTTGTAACTTTCCATTTTCAGAACCTGTGAGTGCGAATAGAAGAAATATCGTTTCAAAAAACTTTAGAACGAACTCGCTTTATAGAGAACTGCGTCTACAACTGCAACCAGAAAAAAAATGTAACCACATTCAAGAGCAAAACAAAAAAACCCGAGAAAAAAATCAAAAAACACCCGGAGGGAAGGGGGAACGATGCATATTGATTATTAGCCAAATGGGGAAGAGGAGAGATAAACTAGTGATGGAGGGTATAGAGAAAGAAAGACAACGCACTGTGTCGGGAAAAAAGGAAGAAAAAAGAAAGATTGATAATTTGCTATTTGAATAAGTTAGAATAATAGACAAAACTGAATGAACAGTTTTTGATTACGATGCGTTTGCGTACGTAGCTTGAGCCCAGGACATTGGTTTAGCTACGCAATGAGTTTTTTTCTTGTTCCAGTCGCTCTAGGAATTTTTCTATTTTTAACAAATGAAAAGAAAAATCTCCCGTTTTCGAAAATTGAAAATCGAAAACTTTTTCTAAATTAATTTGATAATCCAAAATATCTTGAATAAAAAAATTTCATATGACCAGGAATGCAAAAAAAACCAAAAAATCCAATATTAAAGAATAATTGGAGCAGCAACATATTGAGCAACTCCACAAGCATTCACACCACGAGCCAATCGCATATATCCACCTTCTCCCCAACTTTTACTCCATGAATTTTTGACAATCCAATATGGTTGTGATCTTTCGACACCGTAACCAACGATTGTCATAGCATGTGCACCTGTTGATCTTGTTTGACAATCTTGAGATGAAGGATTAAAGATTCCAGAACGATAGCTGAACATTGATTTGATCACATTCATATGAAATGTTACTGGGCCAATTCTGGATACCCATTCTGCTATGAAGTCTTCATTTTGCTGAAGTTGCCCATAATCATCAATGAATACACGTCTCTGGAAGTGGAATCTTATTATTTTGATCTGAAAATGTGTACTTACAGATTTGGTATCTAGACGACATTGATGAGTTTCATGTCCTTGGTATGGATAATCGTCTTCAGTTTCAAGCCCCTTTCTTTTGACAAACTCCATAGCATATAGTGGAACTCCACCGTTACATCCATGACTACGTGAATCACAATCAACCATTTCCTGTTCAGACAATTCCACCAAATATCGTCTTCTGATTGCAAATTGTGATTCAATAGCTGCTGTAGCTGCAAACGCCCAACAAGATCCGCATTGTCCCTGATTTTTGACCGATGTCACCACTCCATAATGTCTCCAATCAAATGAAGCTGGCCGAGATTCTCCTTCTTGATAAAGTTGTTTATGAATTCGTGCAGTTTCATTTCTGATTTTTATTTGAGGCACAATGGTTTTCAACTCGAAGTTTGTCCGATCTGTGAAGTGATTGACGTCAAAATCAACACCAGGGTTTCTGAATTAAAAAAAAAACGTATATCTATCTTTGCTAATTTCACAAGAACAACTCACTTTCTTTCTTCCTCCTCAAATTCCCTCACATTTTCCCTGAAAATGCTCAATCGATATTCAAGTTCTTCAGGAGTCTCATAACTTCTGTTGAATTTGACCAAGAAATCATTGAACATTTTTTGATATCGATCAATTTCTCCAACATTTTCCCGGCGTTCAATCAGTAATTGAATCGTAAAAACAAGTGTGAGAATCAAAACAGCATACAATAAACATTTCAACCATTTTGACCGGCTGAAAATCAAACTTCTATATGATTTTTTTTCAAAATTAAAAAAAAACAAACAGGAAAAACTTACATTTTTCTGTCCTCATCATATTCGCTGAGCAAATAAATAGGCTCATTCTTTTTGAGAGATTCGCTCTTCACCACTGTTGGACTAACCATTTTCTATCCATCTCAAACAAAAACAGTGTTATTTATATAGGTTTCACTGAAGATCAACATTTTTTAAATACTGCGCATATTGTGAAATGTTATCTCATCTCGATTATTTTGTTTACTTGCTGTTTTGAACCTTTTTGATAATGAATCATCAGATATTGTTCATGTTTTTTTTTGTTTTCAGATAACTTCAGTAGAAGTTTTTGTTATGGCCACTGGTGATCATTTTTTTTAAGCTCATTTTTGCAACAAGAGCATAAAGAGAAACTAGCAACAGGAGATTTATAACATTTTTTGAGCTATAACATCTGAAAGAAATTATTTCACAATATTATCTATGTACATTTGTATATGAACATTTTAATTTTATTAAAATAAAATCAGCAATTTCAAAACAATGAAATTAATTTATCAAGACAAGTTTCCTCCTTATTTTCAACAAAAACCAGCGCATCAAGCATTTGTTTCGAAAATTCGAATCCACATGTTTTTTTCCAAAGTGAAATCAAGCATACATCTTTGTCCCATGAATAATCACACAAATCAAATCTGAGATCTCGAGATTTGCATTCAGAACGTTCTTTTCTAGCTTGAAGTCTCACTTTCCTTTCACAATACACCTTTTTCATTTGAAACTCAATTAATTTAATCGATTGTTCAGTGAGTTGATTTTGGTCTGCTTTAACTTTTAGATTGAATTTCGCAATTTTGTTCAAACATTTTTCACAAACCAGTAATGTTAAATTTCAAAGAAAACTTTCCCAAGATGATTCATTCTTTTCTCTCATTCAAAATGTGGAATTTCGAAATTTTCAGTCATGATTTCAAAACTTTCCCATTTCCATATGATATTTACACACAAACATAAATATTTTCCCAAAGTTAGTAACTCTCTTCCTCCTTCCTCCATGTATATTTTTACGCCAGATTAAAAAAAAATACACTCGAAAAAAGATATTGAATAAATAACCGAGGAGGTCGGGGGGTGTCATCAAAAAATAAATAAAAATTCATCATCATCTTAAAAATATACACACGCACAAAATCAAATATGGTAAAGCAAATTTTTGTCATTCGACGAGAAAATATGTCACATCATCATCACGCTCCTATTTTGAACACTGCCATTTTATTACTTTTGGTTATTTTGACAGGAGTTGGAACTTTTACAGCTTGTGAGTTCTAATTTTGAGACGAGTTTTTCCAATGGTCAAAATCTCGGGTCGACAGAAAAAATTGGTAGTACTGAAAAAAGTTCAAGTGAATCTAACTGTATTTTTATATTTTTCTGAATTTATGTTTTTTTCGGGTAAAAACTAGGGCTCAAAAGTTACGTTGAAATTTAAAAAAAAATTCGAAAATCAAGTCGCTAATGAACATTTTTTTAATAGGAAATTTTTTTGAGAACATTATTTTGTGAATTTTTCTGAAGTTCAAATTTTGGGGGTCTAAATATCATTTAGGGCCCCCGTATAAGATTAACCCCAGAAGAAGGTTCCAATCCAAAAACAAGGCCGCAAATATGGCCCCCGCCCATTTCTCTCCAATTCCCATCTACATATTTTCAGACTGGGGAACCGGCACAACAAACCACATTGGAATCTATCAATGGGGTACCGCTGAAGGTCCCGAAGTTTTTAATAATGGACCAGCTTGGATGAAATGGGTTGTAGTTTGTCAATTGATCGCTTTCAGTTTGGAACTTCTATTTTTGCTTTTGGCGATTCCAGCAATGTAATCTCACTGTTTTCTGCAAAAAATTACCAATCGGATTTTAATTTTTTCCAGAATTTTCCGAAAAATGCTGCCAGTTCACGCGTTCTCCACAGGAATCGCATTTTTGATTTTGCTATTCCTTACAATTGCATTGGTGACATTTGCGGTGAATGTGGGAAGCTACACAGCACTTCACGATAATTTCAAAGTAGGGGTTTCCTAATTATTGACTTGATTTTGTGAAAAAATCCATATTTTCAGCTTGGGTGGTCTTGGTATGTTTCTCTTTCTGCTGCTATTTTTGCATTCTTCTTATTTTTGTCAACTTCTGCATCAACCGGATATGGAGCTTATCATCAATACAGATAAATTTTGACATTTTTTTTTCTGAATAAACTTCAAATTCGTGCGATCCCTGCAATATGTCCTTGATATTTTGAGTTTTGTTTTGTTGATTTAAATTAAGAAGGTTAGATAATGATCTCTGAAACACATTTCTCTAACACCATGACGGTTACAGTAACTTGAAAATTATCTGAATTGAAATCTTGAGAGAACAAGAATGCCTAGAGAGAATAAGAATGTATGTGAAGTATTCTAGATCAAAATTTGGTAAAAGATAAAAATTCATGAAATCTTAATTTTCAAAAATTAACAATCGATGAAACTTTCATCGTGATACTTCTTTGAATTTGTGTTCTCATACAACTTGGAGTTATTGCTTTACGGTAAGGCGGATGGACAAAAATAATCGATATTGTTGTAAGACTTCCATGAAATGAGAATAAGATGAATACAAGATTGTTGATGGCTGGAAAATTTGGTCTTTAACGTCAGTTTTCTGTTTTTTTTGTGAAAGGGAATGTAGTTTTCAAAATTTTTGAGAAATATGAAAATTTTTAAAAAATTAGTTTAAAATTTGAACCTACTGTGAAAACTTATGGAAACTGAATTTAAAAAATTTTTGATTCAGAACATTTGAAAAATCTGGATAAAACAACTTTGCAGACAAAATTCGGACTAGAAAAAAATGAAAACTGGTCAGACTCTTCGACAGAACCGTACCTTGATTGAAATAGAACATCGAGCAGCTAAAAATAATATAACACATTGGAAAAGAAATGACAATAACTGGTATTGAGCATTGTATACAAATCAAAACAAAAAACTTGTTTTGCATTCTTTTCGTATTCGAAGATAGATTTTTGCTTTTATGTTGAAAATAAAGTTTATAAACTGTGCCAAAAGCGAAAAACGCGCATTGTAAAAATATGAACATATACATAGCCATCATTGTCATTCCATTTTCAAAACTATCCAAAGATGCAACATATATCGGTGCAGTATGAATATACTCCGGGAGATTTGGTGGGAGCATTTCATATAGAACTATTTTTCGAGCTGATTCTTGTTCAGGGCTTTTTAAAAATTGCACATAAAGAATGCAATTGGAATATATCATATTGAAGATATAAATGATTATATGATTTTTGAAACTTGAGCCAGGTTTTGACATGCAGCTGAAACGATTTTCTAGAATTCCACTGAGTGAGCAACCGACTCCAATCATTAATTCAATAATAACAATTGTTTGATATTTCATACTCATTCCAAAATCAAATAAAATACCTAAAGGATATCCAGATAATGTTGGAAATAATACATAAGGTATTGTGGCAAAAGTTAATCCAAAATCAAGAAGTAAACCCCAAACACAGCATTGGATCATAGAAGATTTCACATATTTCATTTTTGAAGGTGTACAAAAAATTACACAATAGAAACCGATAATATGAATGGGGATTTCGATGATACATAGAGAATGAAGTGATAATTTTAGAAATTCTGGAGAGTCAAAATATGTCCAACGCATTTTGTTAACAAATATATGTAAACATGAATTGTAGAGTAGAAAATTTTGTGGAAATTTTCACCTGGATTGTGTGATAGATATTCACAAAACTTCAAAAACCAAGCTCTAGTAGCAACTGAATAATTTTGTAAATGAGGTTCGGCTTATAAAAATAGTTTGAGTTATGAATAAAAAATGGTTTATAGTTAAAATTGTGAGTTATTTTCAGATTCAACAAAGTTACTTCAAATCAGTTTCCGGAAACAAAAACCAAATATCAAAATTTTTTTTTCAAACCCTGTTATTAGAAAATTATTCCTTCATATATTTTTCTTGTTTTTTTCACACAATGAACATTTTTCCCTAACAATATTTGCTTTATTGTAAAATTTCCAAGAACTTCTAATAAACTTTTCGGTAACATAGAAATTTGCACCTGTAATGTTATCCAACTTGTTTCAATGAACTTCATTTTTCAAACTATCTTCATAAAAACAATAATTATGAAGTTTCAATCTTTTCCAAACGATGAAGCTTGCGGTCCCATTTTCCTTTTCAAACAACTTGGTAGAATTGCATTTCGATAAGGTGAATGCACAAAAATAATCGATATTGTTGTTAGAATTCCGTGAAATGAGAATAAAATAAATGCAAGGTTGTTGAGTGCTGAAAATAACAATATTGGGAAATTCAAATTCAGAAGTTTTATTCTGATCACACAATTTTGTTAGAATAATGTTTTTCGTTCAAAATTTGGCGAAAATTTTATCTACCCATACGGAAAAAAGTAATTTTATTTCCATTTTTGAACTCTCTGGATGTAGGGTACATTGAACACCCCTCCGCCAGACATACCTTGATTAAAATAAAAAGTTGAGCAGCTGAAAATAATATAACAAAGTGGAAAAGCAATAACGAACAATGGTATCGAACACTGTATACAAATCAAAACAAAAAACTTGTTTTGCATTTTTCTAGTACTCGATGATAGAATTTTGTTAATTTGCTGACAATAAAGTTTGTAGACTGTGCCAAACGCAAAAAACATGCATTGCAATAATAAAAACGTGTACATCGCTAGAATCGTCATTCCCATTTGAAAACTATTCAAAGATAGCACAAATATTGGAGAAGTGTAGTAGTAATCAGGAAGGTTTTGAGGGAGAAGCTCGTATAAAACTTTGTATCGAGCTTTTTCTTGATTTGGGAAATCGAGAAAAACTAAATATATGATAACGTTAGTGTAGAAAAATTTAATATGTAGATGATTATATGATTTTTCAAACTTGAAGTTGGTCTAGTGATGCAAGTATAACGATTTTCGAGAATCCCAATAATTGAGCAACCAACACCAATCAGTAACTCAATTATCAAAAAAGTTTGATATTTCACACTCATTCCTAAGCTGGTTAAAATTCCCAATGGATATCCAGATATAGTTGGGAGTAACACATAAGGAATTGTAGCAAAAGTGAGGCCAAAATCGAGAAGAACACCCCAAACACAACATTGGATCATTGAGGATTTCACATATTTCATTTTTGAAGGTGTACAAAAAATAACACAATAGAAACCGAGAAGATGAATTGGAACTTCGAGAATACTTAGAAAATGAAGAAAATTTCTGAGAAACTCTGGTGAGTCAAAGTAACTCCACGACATTTTCACTTAATTTAATTTAATTTTTATGAATGTTTTTAAGCAATGAAATTATAAGTGGGAAGTTGCACCTGACTTGTTCGATGAAAGTTAAAAGTTCATAAATTATTTGAAAAATTCTGCTGTTAAATTGTTCTTTGGAATAGGGTTAACTTAACAAATTCAAAAAAAACCTCTGTTAAAGTCCCTTTTTGTTTCACTATTCTAGAAACAACTCTAGATTTTGATCTAAACTGAAAAAATTAATAGGACAAATACCGCAACACTTTTTGAATATATTCGGAGATCATCAAATCTACAGTAATTCAGCGGCATTTTGTGTTTCACTTGAAAAATATCTGAATTTTGATCTATAATTTTTTTGAACTTATCTAGAAATTATGAGGTCACCGCAACAATCTCTGAATTTTTTGGGAAATCATCAAAACTACCATAATCCTACGATGTTTTTATGATTTCTGTTTCACAAAAACTATCTAATTTTTTTATCTATATTTTTTTGAACTTATCTAGAAATTATGAGGTCAAATACCGCAACAGTCTCTGTTTTTTTTTGGGAAATCGTCAAAACTACCGCGACGTTTTTTAGAATCCCGTTTTGCAGGGAACCCCCAGCTTTCAATCTGAAAATGTTTTGAAGTGTTTCTTGAAAACAATGAAGTCAAGCATTGCTGAAAAAAACGAAAACATGGTTGATTCCAACTTTTCCAAAAAAAAAATTAATTTCCTAGTTGATTTACCTTTCTTATCAAAACTATAGTTTTACAAGTAGATTATACTTTTGAAAATAACAAATTTCGAAGCTTTTCAAAGGACACCCCTTTTATTCTTCCAAATGTTATAAAAAATGAATAAAAAAAATGAAAAAGAAATAAATTAAATTTTAAAATGTGTGCAATGACGAAACAAACACATTTTTGAGAGTGCGACATGCAATTTTTATCAATGGGGCGCACTTCCATTGTTGCTTTTATTTTCTTTTTTTTTGTTTTTTTTTAAACTAGTATACTCTTCGTGAAGTAGTTGGAGAGAATTCTCAGGGTTCCCAACTGTTATAATTTTGATGTGATCTATTCTCAAAGTCAGAATGAGGGGGGGGGGTTCCCGTTTTGAAGAAAAACCCCCTGAAGTTACAATAAGCGTGTTAGATGTTCCAAAAATTGCAGCGCTCAAACCCTCAAAAAAAAGAAATAAATAAATAAAAATTCACAAATACTTCTACCGTACCCCTCATCAAAGGCGCACACAATTTTTCTCCCGTGTCTCGCGACGCGCGTTGATTTTTCAAAAACGAAGCGGTGTTTGCACATTATTGAAGGAAACATTTAATGTGACGCCAAATTTTCAGTGATTTCGTTTTTTATAAGGGGAGGATTTTTCATTCACCTATTTTTTGTTGTTTTCCCATGAATTTAAATGGTACTCATTGTAAAATTCATATTTCCCCATTTGTCTAGTGAAGGTGTCATAATTCAAGTTGATTTTTGATAGTTTTACACTAAAACTGGTGCTCAGAAGGCCATTTTATGGGAAAATGTAGTTTCTTGAATATTTCTTACTTCAAAGAAATATACAACTTTTAAAACAGAGTGTCAGACTGCACCAATATCTTGATTTTGCCTACGTTTCTTTCGATAAATTTGCTCGATTTTTCCGATTTTTTATCCGCTTTCCTAGGATTCTTGATTTCAAAAAACAAAAAAAAAATAAAAGTAAAACAACAAGACTCCGCGTGACACTGCGCTCACACAATCGCGGCAAGTTTTTTTATTTTCAAACGAAGGTTTTTTATTTTTTTTTCTTTTGCTCCAAAAAAGGTTTAGAGTAGGTTTTGAAAGTTCTTTCTTTGCTGATGTGTTAAAAATAGTATGAAGAACGTAATTCTGGTCTGTTTTGAACCGTAGCTCAAAAATTGTATATTTCTTAAAAAGTATATTGATTTTACTCATTTCTACTTTACAGGAAACTCGTCAGCGAAATGGTGGAAGTATCGGAACAAACAACGAGGAAAATGTTGATCAAATGATTCTGAATTTTGAGGAGAACCGGAGAAAATGTGAGTTTTTTTGAGATTTTGGGAAAATTTAAGGTTCTGAGTTTTATGCAAATTACACTAATACATTTGCGATTTCCAAAAAAAAGGTTTTTTTCTCTAAACGTCTCTCAAATATTTCGTCGTTGTCGTTGTCGTAGCTAGTTACGTCCTCACTGTCATCAAAATCCCTCGTATGAATCGTATTTCATGATTCTAAAATAAAATTAGATTTTGATCTAATAATTTTTTCTGAGGTCAATTACCGAAAAGATCTGTGTAAAATCATTGAAACTACAGTATAACTCGGTGCCAGTCTTGTTTTGTTAATTCTTTCAGAAAAAAAACACGAGATTTTGATCTATTTTTAGGTTTTTTGAACTTATCTAGCAAAAATTATGAGGTCGAATACCACAGAATTTTGGGGGAAGATCAACGAAACTACGGTTGTATGACATCACTTCAGTCGTGTTAGACTAGAATTCGATCTTATTTTTATTTTTCAAACTTATCTGAAAACTATACCGCAACGATCTTTTTGTTTTGAGAAATCATCGAAACAACAAAAAATACTCCAAAATAATTTCTATTGAACCTTGACTTGTTGATTAAAATTTCTAGAAAAATTAGATTTCAATCTATAATTGTTTGAACTTATCCAAAAACCTTTGAGGCCAATGGCAACTTTTTTAAAAATGATTTTTCTATACATTAGCTACAGCACCTACTAAGTTTTAATGTCAATCAATATTTTTTGAAAACTGCACTTTGGTAGATGGCAATCTATGAAAACTAGCATTTAGAAAAGCCATGAAAATTGAAAAGATAGGCATCTATCATAATTCAGTTTTCAAATAACCTTCAAATTCTTTTGTAGACGTGTGTAGATTGAGCAATTTTTATTAGAAACTTTTGCGAAAAATTGAATATCTGGATATAAGACTATATCAGTTATTGAAATTCATTGAACTTCAAGAAACATGCATTTTTCTAGCTGATTATTTTATTGATCAAGAAACCCTGAAACTTCCTGTTTCACCGCTTTTATTCTCAAAACAAACCAAATTCAAAGTTCTTTCTTTCTCCCATTCAGACACTCTGTCCTTCAAATTCGGTCCCTTTTCAAATGTTAGATGATACTTGTTGATATCCTTGAATTTTGCTTCACTGTAAACTGATTCAAATTGCCAACATTGTTCAAAAGATGGTTATCTTTCTATGAAAATTTGTATGGAGTGGGATTATATCTTGATTTTTTTGTCGTAGACTTGGCTAATTCCGCCAGTTGGCAAATATGAAAGTGAAGTGTGATCTTTTGGACTTTTGGAATCTTGTTTGAAAATTATTCTATTGAAAATCTCTTTGAACTTATTTTTTATTAAATAATCAAAAAGAAGAGAATTCAATGTTGAATTTAATAATTCTAATTGTGAAAAAAAATGCTTGAAGTCTCGAAGTTAATTTTTCGGAAAATTCGAAATATTTTGTTCTGGTTTCAAATAATGGACCGCCAATTGGCGAGCTCAGAAAACCCCTAAAATAATCTTAATTTTGTTCTCTCTCATTACCCCAAGGAAAATGCTCTCAATTTCTCTATTAACCTACAAATAAATTCATTCATCTGTGCATTAACAATACATATTATCGGGTCACGATCAGTCTCATGACTTTTGAAAGTCCACTAAAATTACAGTAACCTAATTAGAAATATGTTGCTTGTTCAAGAAACTAATTAGAACATCTAATTAGATGTTCATCTAGTTGAGAACCGTTTCAATTTCCAATTTAATTTGTAGTTTTTCTATTAACCTACAAACAAAATTCATTCATGTGTGCATTAACAACATACAAATAGAAATAATCTTGATTTATCAAACTCGAATTTGAACTTCTGGAAAATAGTTCAATTATGTATGTAGAATTCATCTAGTTGAAAACTCGAAAAATATCTACCAAACATTGCTCCACAGTTTTAATTTGTGCTCTTTCTCCCCAAAGCAAAATCAGATCATTATGAAGGTAGAGTAAAATATTTTTCAAATCCCCCAAAAAATTTTCGAAAATTCCGTTATTCACGATACCATCGCCCTACAAGAATAACCCATGACTTCCGCGTCAAATGAACTACGGTGTCTCTTTTAAAATCATAGAATCTTTGAAAAAAACTTTTCTCAAAAGATTTCCATCTAGCGGATTAAAAATCAATTGATGCTCTGTGTCAATTTGTTTTCCAAAGAATATTCCAGGAAAAGTAAAACGGAAAGTCAGATAATTTCCGGAAATATTTTTGAAAAATTCAAATGTTGAATTTCAGCCTTGCATTGGTTGTAAAACTTATTTTCACCTGGAATTTGACCATTTTTAATTGAAATTAAATTGAATTTGAGACGTTTTCAGTTCCAAAAATAATCTTTTCATACTGGTTGTCCCAACACCCATTTTCTAATATCTCAAATCCCCAATAACCTTTGAAAAAATTCGAACTCTCATCAAATTTATTTACGATACCATCGGCCTTTGAGAAACTACAGTCAATTGACGGTTTCTTTTTTGAAACCGTCACTTGTTTATCTCTTTTTGCAAGGAAACCAAAAAACATTTGAAGAATTCCATCTAACAGATGAAACATTGAATGAATCAAAGGATCAACAAGAAAAATGAACTACATAATAGTGCTCCACTATATCTTTTCAGCTTTTTTTCAAGCTGGGTTGTTTTGAATAGCGAAGATTTTCCAAGCACAAACAAGCCTTAAAATTTTTGTATCCAAGTCCCTTTTAAAAATTGTCTAGTGAATATTTCCAATACATCCGGCTCACAATCTGTCTTGTCACTTCGAACTTTATCAAAGTTACAGTAACTGAACAGTGTTTTTTATAAACTGTGTGATCGCGTCGTTCATTTTCAAAGATCTCTATCTAATTCAGCTGAAGACTACAATTCATGCGATTTTCTTTTGAAAATTGAATTGTCATGCTTTCAAAAATTCATAAATATACACATAAGACAAAATAAATAAACATATCACATTAAAATCAATATCCTGGTGGAAGTCTTGGAAGTGGACAATGTTCACAAGATCCTTTAAGCCCTTGTGGCCCAACAGGCCCACGAGATCCTTTCGGTCCTTCTTTCCCATCTGGTCCAGGTAACCCGGTATCTCCTTGAAGTCCTGGTGCACCCTGAGGCCCTGGCAATCCATCAAGTCCTCGCGCTCCTCTTTCTCCAGGCACTCCAGTTGGCCCGGGTGGGCCTGCTGGTCCAGCAGGCCCCGCAACCATAATAACTCTTCCATCCTCTCCCTTCGGACCTTTTGGTCCAGGCCTTCCCTGGTCTTCCAGTCGGTCCTTGTGGCCCAGCCATTCCAGGCTCACCCTTCTTTCCATCTTGCCCTTGAAGCCCCGGACTTCCTCGAGGCCCATTTGGTCCCTTTTGACCTGGAAATCCTGGTGGTCCCGGTGGCCCAGGTGAGCAGATAATACATGGTTCTGGCGCGATACCAAGTGGTGGAAGTAGCACACCATCTTTTCCCTGTGGACCATCAAGACCAGGTTTTCCATCGATTCCGTCAAGCCCATCATCTCCCGGTGGCCCAGCTGGTCCAACAGGTCCCTGTTGACAAGTACAACCTAAAATTTGTAGTCTTATTATGATCACAAAATTGATGTTAACTTACAAGATGGTTGGAACTCTTCAATCGCCGCATTTTTGTACGAATCTCCACCTCCACCTCCAGTTGCACCATATCCACTTGGTGGCAACGGTGGAGGTCCAACTTGTGGAGCTGGTGGATAAGTATTATCACGCTTATCAAACCATTGCCCAAAACTCCATTCACGTTTTTGACGTGAAGCTGAGCTTGGCCCACGTTTGCCACGTGTCAAAATGTTGTCAACGGAGAGAACTTCAACCCAGAGATCGCGAGATTTTGTCTGGAAATTTGGAATATATGTTTTTTTGAACTTTAGCTAAATTCGCCACTCACTCTACAAAAATCAATTTCATCATTCATATGAGATTGCAAAGTCTGAACACAATTATAAATCAAAGGAAGCATACAAACCGATGCAAAAACGATAAATGTAGAAACCACAACCTGAAATGAAATTTGAATTTTATTTCACAAAAAAATTTTTTTCTCAAAAATAAACTCACCGAAAAAAATGCAGTCTTTTTGATTCGTTCAGTTTCCAATAGCAAATCATTGTCAGCTTTTTTCTGATCCATGATTCAAACGAAAACCAAAAAAAAATAATATGAAAATGAGCGCAAGACTTGCTTTTTATATATCCATCCATCCGGGAAGGTGTCCAACTGTGAGCCAATCCGGTCCTAGATCTTTACTGATCAAAAATTGCCGATGGCCCATTATTCTAATTAGATTCAAATCTGTCTCTTTGAGGATTATACATACATGAATATACAGAAGTTATGTGAAAACTAAAGATATGTAAATTTCAACTGGTTTTCCGGGGAAATCAAAAACAGGAAGATGTTTATCTTATTTTGGGATTTTTTTTTTAGATATTGTAATATTTTTTTTCATATGGTAATTTTGTATGGGAGGGAGAACTTGGATGTCTTTGTTTGATAGAAATTCAGGATTCAGTATTGTTTTTTACTCAAAACCTGAAACTAAAGGAATTCCTGGCAATTTTATGAAGTTTGAGAAAAGTGTAATCAATTTTTCTGAAACACACAGTTTTTTGTGAATACCAAAAATTTATTTTCAAATTCTTCACCAAACATTTAAAATATCTTATTTGAAATCTCGAAATTTGAAAAATAAAAAACTTCCATCGTCCTTCAAAACTTTGTGAAAACGTCACTTTATTTTTGTTTTATAATTTTTATTGATTTTCTCAAATTACTGTAAGTTTTTCATATTCAGAATTTTTTTTAAATATAAAATACTGCCAGACATTTTTTCAAAGTTCAAAGAACATTTAAAAACAGGGGCTAGAGCAATTTTGTTTGTTAACAATAACAATTCCATAGAAAAAAAATCAAAAATCCATGTTTCCAAAAAAAAGAGATCAAAAATCACTAGCTTTTCATGATCAATGAAAAATGTTTGGCCAAACTAGATTTTAAATTCACATGATTTTATTAATGACTATCCTGTAATCATCTCCGGAGACTCTTTTCTAATTTCAGTGAGCAAAACTATTTTCTAGTTTTATAAAATGTTATTTTCATTTAATTTTTCATCAAAAACGCTTTCCTGTTTTGATTTTTCTCATCTTTTCTCAAAGCAATCTGAAGTTCCTCTTTTGAACTTATGCTATCTCTAGATCTTTTAGGTCACCGTTTTGCAAAATCGTCCTTTTTCTCATATTCGATATATATGCAAACTAAAAAGAAAATGTGAAAGATAAAATCAACAAATCCCATTTTCCAAAAATCTAGAAGTTCTATGAAAGCCCCTTTTTTCTTCAAATCGAAAAATAACGATTTCTGAAACTTGGAACCGATGTGTTATTAAATGTAGTATAACCGGCAAAACCCTTCAATTAAGACATAATGACAGGAAATCAAACTACACTCATTTTCTGACTAATTTATATGTATTTTTGAAAATGTTTTTGTGTTCTGATCAAGGGGAAAAGCTGAATTTTTTGAACCAAGTCTAGAAAAATACAATATTTTTTAAATGTTTCTCTTTGGCCAACATAAAGTGAACCTTGACCACTTGAACTATTTAATGTACACACATAAATATTTTTGTAGATTGCTGACATTTAAAAGAAAATCTAGATAAAATTGAACGAATCTGTGAGAACGTTTGATTTCTTGAGCCTACGGGATGATCGCAATTTGCCCTTCTTGATCAGAATTTCGATTTTGCTTCCGACACTTTTTTGGAAGTTCTAATGTTCGGAAAAATGAAAAAGTATACACCGTACTTCCTGGTTTCAAAGTAGGAACATAAATTTCGTGACCAACTTCATTTTCTGTCCAGACTTCCTTTGAACTTCGAACGTTGTTCGAAAAAATCTAGATCAAAATTATTGACCTGGAAATAATGAACTGTAAAGTCTTGATTCGTTTTTAAATGAGAAATTCTAACAATCTGACTAGATTGCACTTTCTTCCAGTGAAATCATTTCAAAAATTTTTGATTTTTTAATCTTTTAAGGGTTAGACTACTTTACCTAGACTGAAAAATCTAGATAAAAAATATACAACCTTGCAAATCTACAAAAAACTGTTTTCTGAACACTTGACACTTTTTGTGGCGAGGAAAACAAATTCCACGAGTCAGAAAAAATACAATAACTGAAAATCTTGATAAAAATATGCAACCTTGTGAAGAAAACATTTATCCGACGCTTGGAATACTTTAGGAAAACTTGATTCTCCAAGAATATTCCAGAATATCATAACCCCTATAAGAATTTCGAATTTTTTCAAATCCATGCTATATGCACATTATAAAATCAAAAAAAAATTAATAGCTTTTCAAAGATCTCTATAGTTCTGACAGAGAAAAACAATATTAATCTCTTCACGTATTTTTTTCAAAATCATTTGTGATCTCTCGAAAAGCGGATAAAGTTCAAAAATGGAAAAAAGTCTGGCTCAGAATTTTAATTTACATAATTGAAATTTGAATTTGAATTTGAATCTATTTACACTTTTCTGATATTTTTATAGATAGAAAAAATCAAAAAAAAATTTATATTTTATTCTGAGAGATCAAAGGAGCCGACAAAGTGTATTTTTGTTTTCTTTTGGGATTTTGGATTCAATGTTATCTTGTGTTCCACTAAAAATCAGAAATAAGAAGAAAATTACAAATATGCTGTCCAAAAACTTTTTATTAAGATTTTATCCTTTGCAAAACATGCGGGACTCATGACTGATTCTTTTTTCGATTTAATGAATGAAGTCAGTCAGAAGATGTTTCTGGATAAAAACGAAAAACTGGGAATTGGATTTGGAACAGAATCAGATCTTTTTGAGAAGCTGTTTCGATCAGTTTTTTTTATCTAGAAAATGAGGAGGATGTAGAAATATTGATAACCATTTGAAAAGTAGAAGAAAAGGTCATTTCAAAATATCAGAGACTGTAGTATTTTTAGAATTTCATACATTCACATTTGATTTTTCACTCCAAAACAATCCATTTCTAGCAAAGAAAACCTAGTGTTCATATTCACGAGCCCACTGATTCAGTCAGCTTAAATTCTCCCTAAATTCTAGTTATGAAAGTCAGAAAAAAACTAGTTAAGATTCCAAATCTCAAATGTTTTTCCGCTCCACAAACACAATCCGGGCGTGTTTAGCATCCTGATCTTGTGTTTCGATTTGAGTCAGAAGATCTAACCAACAAGATAACGTGCGCAGAAAAAAAACTCGAAAACATTCATTCCAATTCATTCATTCATTCATTCTGAACTTCAAAGTGTTTCTCATTTTCTTTTAAAAAAATACTAGAAGACTATATAAAAAATGCATACTTTGGACTATTTCAAATTTGCTGAAGCCAGGTAAATATTTTCAGAGGGTTTTCAATATTGTTAAAGTTTTTATTTGGGGTTTTGAAAGAAGTTCTGATTTTTGGTAAAGTTTGTGATTTTCAAAAATAAAATTGAAACTTATTCATTTGGTTCTTTATGAAACAGTAAATAAAATAACTCTTGAAATCTCAAGAAATGGAAAATACCTATAAACTTAATATTGTGAACTAGAGAATTCTAGTAACTAATTTTTTTATTTTACAAAACTTGAAAATTTTCGAAATACCAAAACCCGAAATAGCCTTTTGTGAAATATTTTGAATAAAATCTTCGAATTCAATTTTTTTTCAAATTTTGTAGTCGTTTTTAAAATACTCTCGTATAGTTAACATGAGTCAAAATCAAAAATTACATTACCATTTTCTTGCTAGCTATATTTAGACCAATATTTTTTACCGTAAGTTCAGTGTGAACTTTTGCATCTTCTGACTTCTCGAACTCTCTAACGACAAAAATGAGAGGCAAATCAGATAATCCCAAACCTTTTCAAAACACATTCAAAAAATCAACGATTTCTTGAACACATTTCTTCTCGTCACGACCTAACAAAAAACATTCCTAGTCGCGGCATAATAAAAACACTAAAAAAATAGTTTGTTATTCGTCTAATGCAAACTTATCGTTTTTGAGAATCTCACGAACAAACTTGATCAACCTTCAAAGTTCTCTTCTAATTCGTTTATGGTCCTAAAAAATTTATTCTAGAAGGCCTCGAAAAACTTGAATCAATTTCAGAAAGTTTCGGGAAGACCTAAATTATTTTCAAGAGCCTGAATAAATTCCGAAAGGCCTAGATTCTAGAAAGCCCAAGTTCTAGAAAGCCTTGATTAGACTCCAGAAAGTCTGTAGATGGTCTGAATAAATTTTAGAAAGCATGAATAATATTCAAAATTTTGTAGATTTTTTCCTATGACTAAAATATTATTCTAATAACCTTGATGGCTTTTTGAATTCACTCTTGAGTTACATGAAAATGACGTTTCAAAAATTGTTACTGCAAAATGAATTGTATTAGCTGATTACAATCTACTCTGTTCGTAAAATTGACATCATTCAGTTTGTTGGCAAAACACACTTTTTTGAGACGTTAATCAAAAGTCGTGTTCGTCAAATATCAATTCTAGACAACATACATAATTGTGTTCTTCTCCTCATTTTTGTCTTTGATCACTATTTTTTTTTGTCTGTTTTTGTTGATAAGAAAGAGTCTTGTCTTCCTTGTCTTGTCTGGCATTCGCCTCATTTTCCTCATCAATCTACAAATTTTTGTAGTTTTGTAAAAAAAAAAGTCTGTAATTCTGAAAATCTTGATCTATATAATTACATGTTACTATTTTCTAGTCATTGTGTTTTGATAAGCACAAGCAATTAAATGTGGGATAGAGATCAGAAAAAAAGTGATGGCAAAGATTTGCACCTGCACTATTTTTTAAAAGTTCATCGAAATTGAATTATATCCATATTTTTTTCAAAGAAAAATTTCTTCAAAAACAAAAAAAAATGTTGTGAAATTTACCGTATTCCCATATCTATTTTCAAAAATCTTTTGATGTTAATTCTTGGTGTTTTATTTTTTCGAAGAAGGAAGTAAACAATGTTTAGAGGTTACAGTAATCTGAACTTTTTTGGTTTGAATACAATTTCGAACACCGATATTAAGAATAAGTGAGCACACGCTGTGCTATACGAAATATAAAATTCTTTGAAATATTAGCATGTTCTGTTCAAAGAATGATAAAGCTCAGAGTTTCAGCATTGCTCATGGTAATTTTCTCCGTGGAATCTCTGAAGTAATCTATTTCTGTATCGTTCCATGTTTAATTGAAAAATACCGTAGGCTACTTCAAAAAGTTTTTATCCACAATACCAAATTATAAATCATCTATATTCTAATATTTTTCCAATTGCAAGGATTTTAGGGTTACCGTAACTTCTAGATAATTTTTTTACAATTTGAAATCTTGAGTACAATTGTCTCATAATAAAAATAAATAAGGTTAGTAACTTAACCTTTTTTGAAACATTTAGAAATTTATATCATCCAAAAATTGGCAAAAACTTCTCCAAGAGAACTTACAGTAATTTCTAGCATTTTTTAAGGGTAGTTTTCTGGATAGTAGAATAAAAAAATATTCTGAATTATGAGAATTTACTAACCTTATTTACTTTCCTTGTAATTCAAGAATATTTATTACCTGTACTAAAACGGTATTACAAATAGAAAAAAAAATCTACAGTACTTTATATTTTTCACTTCTCTCTCTCTCTCTTTCCGTCATTTTGATAGGAAAACATCAGTGAACAGAATCGAACACACAACACAATATTTTTTGCATCTGCTATTTTCTTCTTCATTCATTCATTCATTCTTATCATTATGTTGTCCCAAAATGATTTCCTTGTCTATTCGCTTCTCCCCTTTTTTGCGACCCCCCGCTACTCTAGATCAAACTATACACTTTATATGATCTCCCCCCCGTATTTATTTATTTGTGTGTTTTATTGTTATGATCATCATTATGTATTCTTATTCTTGCATATGTACACACGTACATATTGCAAGAAGGGAGATGATACATGTATAAGAAAAATATGATTATTTTTTCTTTATATGATGTCTGTGTACAAATATACGCATTCATATATGCATGTATATATTTTGATTTTTTGGACAGGTTGAATCAAACATATCTATGTTGTTGCATCTTTTTAGTCTTGCGAGAAAATCTAGATTTACGGATGGATGGGTGGAATTTGATTTTTTGATTTATTCCTGGATTTTGTCGGGTAGTTTTGAGGACAGGATTGAGCAGTTGCGGTTCTACATTCAAGTTTCGAAATTATTTTAAGATACGCTTCGAAAATTCTCCTTTGAAAATTTTCTAGAACACAAATCCTTACAAAAGCCCATTTATTATCCAGATTTTTTTGTGAATGCTTTGAAGTTTCCATTTTCAAATCGACAAAGTTCTGAAATATTTTTCTCCAAATTTCTTGATGTCTAAAATTTGCACTTCTGATCTTTTTCGAAAATTCAAGTTTATGTATGTTCCTTCTTCTTTTTCCAACCTAGAAACACCTATCCAAAATTTTTGAAAATCAGTATTTTTCATCTATCCCGAAAAATGTCCTGAATACCCAGATTTCATTCAAGTTTGTGTTTCATCTTCTTCTTCTTCTTCTTCTCACCTAGAGTGTCGTCAGCTATTCAAAAAACAAGATAATATTTCTGACCTATTCCGAAAATCTTTTCTGTTCTTCGCAACAAAAACCGTCTTGAACGAAAAATCTTCATTTCAATTCATTTCACAAATCAAAAACAGAACGAGACGAAATCAAAATAAAACCCCGGCAAGAAGACTAGCAAGCAAAAAAAAACAAGATATGACCGACTACAAATTATTCGAATTTGGCTAGGTACATACACAAACACATTCTCTTCTTCTTCTTCTTTTCTTATTCTTCTCATTTTTCTTCTCAGATCTCTGATCTGATTGTTCTTCTCTTCTTCGCAGATGTCTTTAACCACCCATGAGAAAAATCCTTCTTACTTTTTTATTTTACCAAACAGTATATGGAAAATTATGGAAGGGGGAGGGGTATATGTGAAATGTATCCAAAAAAGGCAAAAAAAAATACGAAGAGGAGGAGGGAGGGAGGCGCGGTCGAAACACAAAATGGGCGGAGTCTAGCGCCAATGTGTCTATCCGATGTCCTTCATGTGTTTTTGTTTGGAATTGTTGTATTTGTAAATGATCTGCCGATGCTTGTTCTGAAAAAATAATATTTTGTTTTCATATTTTGATCTACCTAAAATCAAGATTTGATCTACCTGTACCTTTCCAAATTCAAATTTTCCAGGCGTATGCTTGACATTGTGTCAGCTCCAGCCACCCAGCTACTATTCTATACTACTACCAACAATCATCTCAACACATATCCTCAACATTATCAATTTGTTTCGCCACAAAAACTGTATCCCAATCAATCGTCGGTTTCAACAACACCATCACCTTCTTATGATGGCTCGGAATCGCCAAAGTCTTCGGTGAGTTTATTGATTTTTTTTATTTGAATATTTTTTTGCATATTTTTTTTAAAAATAATTTTGAAAATGTTCATAGTCCAATTTTTTCATAGAAAAATTTTATATTGTAAATTTTTTTGTTCAAAAAATTTGATATTAAAACCTCTCTTACTTGAAACATTATTGAAACAAAAACATTTTTTTTTTTAGATATTTTCAAAAATTTCTGAATTTATTTTGGAAAATTTGAAAAATTCATCCAGACAAACAAACAAATCCGTGTGTTTTGTTTTGTTAAATTGAGTTTTGGTGTAATGTGTTATGCAAATTTCTCAAAAACAGGTGATTTTCAATGAATGAAACCACCCTCGCTTAAATTTTACTAAAAAATTTTTGATTAAAAATCATAACACAAAATAAAAATCGCAAATATTCGCCAATCTCTGCGATTTTCTTTATCAGAAACCTGTTCGTTACTGATCTCTGTGTAAGATAAGCCATTGGCATCAATCAGGTTCCTTTAGATTTTTCTTACCTGCGCAAAATTTGGCGACGAATATTGTCTATCTCTTTTCTCTCTCTGATATTTCCACAGTTTAATCTACTGATCTTATCTATCAATATATCTAGTCTTATTTCTCTATTCATTCTTCATTCTCCAAACTAGAATCTAGTTTTCTTCATATCACCAGTTTTCCATGGGTTCATTATTTTATTACATATATGTAAACAATACTTTTTTCCAGGTAGCCGTGTCAGCAAGCAAAGAGCGCCGAATATTTGATCTACCTTGTGCAATTTGTGCGTGTCCAGCGACTGGCTATCATTACAATGTAAGTTTTAATTAGCTAATTAGAAGAAGATGACGATTTCGGTTCGGTTCCACATAATTATTTATATTTTATGGCTTTTTTTTGAATGACTGTGTATGGTTTGATCAAACTACAATTTTTTGAAGGTCGCACTTTGTTTTTAAAGGGGGAATTGTGTTTTTTATAAGAACACAATGGGAGAAATAAAATAGATGATACTGTAATAATTTAGTAAGTATAGCAAACCAAAATTTTGTACCCCATTAATTTCCAGGTAGCCTCCTGCAATGGTTGTAAAACATTTTTCCGCCGCTGCGTCTTGTCAAAAAGCGTATTCCGATGCATCCGAAACGACTCAAAATGTCTCGTTGATCCCCGACAATATAATGACGGTACGATCTTTTTTTGGTCTTTGTTTTGGCCACTATTTTGTTTTCGATCGATCAGTTTTTTGAACTATATACATATATTTTCCAGGCACTCGAATCAAATGTCGAAGTTGTCGATTGGAACGATGTGTTCAACAAGGGATGCGGAAAGAGGGTACGGTAGAAAATATAGTACATCCAAATCAAGTTGTTCTTTAATTTCAGCAGTAACTTCTGGATATCTTGGATCATCTTCGGATAGCAAAACATCTGTAAACCCAAGCCCTGTATGTTGAACATGTGATCTCAATTGATAAACAGTAATTTTTCAGGTCGTATCAGCTGAATTGCAGAGTCTCAAAGAATGCTACAAAAGTATAAGTCGTCTAAGGTGAGTTTTATCATTCTCGAAAAAAAATGGGGCGAAAAAAAACTTCCTTGTCGAGAGAATTTGTCTGATAAGCGAAGAGAAAAAAAGAGATGGTTTTTGAAACGTTCATGATCAAAAACAAATTTTGCGATAAAAGAAAGAAGACACAAAACTTTATCTACGAGAGAAATTTTTTTTCAGAAACTCGAAAATATCTCTGGATGAACTAGACACCGATTTGGAGACTTTGCTAACATCGATTGATGGACCAGAGGTAATTTTTATACAGAAATTATTTTACAACAAAAATTTTTGTTTCAAAATACAAAAAAATATATGGAAAATTGTTATTCCCCTCTAGAAAATCACCTATTGCTCATGTTAAAAGATTCCTCCAAAAAAACATTGAAACATATTTTTCAAAATCAAACTTTTCAATTTCTCCCCCTCCTCAAAAAAATGTGTGTTTTTTGTCCAAAGCCCAACAAAAATTGCAATAAAATTGAAACATCGGTTTACGCTTTTAAAGTTCAATTGCCGACCAAATATTTGAACTCAAATCGGTTTGTTCTAGTGCAGTTGTATTTTGCTTTGAAATACACCCCGTATGTAAACAAATAATGAAGCAAAAATTGAAATTTTGCTGCAAACAATACAATACATTTTTGTTCTTTTGTTTTTTGATCTACATATTTCTTTATTTGTTCAATTTCAATTTTCAGAAAGAGGATATCGAAAATGCGGATTATAGCAATTTCAAGCGGGATTTGCCTGAATGGCTCACAATTGATCTCATTTGCTCCATTGAACTTGCCAAACAATTTATAGATTTTGATAAATTCTCAACTTCGGATAAATTAGAAGTCTTGAGAAGTTCATGTTTCACAATTGCTATTGCGTTTCAAGCAATTGAAAGTTATTTCAAAAATCAGAAGAAAATTATCATGCCAGATGGAACTGATATTGTTGAAAACTTCAAAAGCAGCTCTTCAGAGTGAGTTTTCTTCATATCTTTCTGGATTGATTGTTTAATTTAAAAAAAATCAATAATTATAGTGAATATCACCAAATGTTTGTCTCAATTATGGATCCACTTCATCGAGAACAATTCACATTGGAAGAACTTATTTTAGCACTTCAACTTATGTTTTACACAGTTGGTGAGTGAAAAATGAATGCTCAACCATGCAAATGTTGATGTTTAACTTAATTTTTGAACTTTTTGAACATCATTAAGATTTTTTTTGAGTTTTGATTTTTGTTCTCGAGGTTGTTACAAACATCTAGACATAAGAAGATTCTATTTTCTAACTTTATTGACACAAAGTTCAGAGATGCGTTAATATCAGATTCTACTTTGTTTCAATTAACTTCGGACATCGGAATGAGATATTTTAGAGGTCTTTTGTGAACTTCAGGGATTTCTAGAAAATGCTTCAATTGTTGTCTTTTGGGAATCCATTATAAAAAATGTAATTATATTAAAAATGTATTCGTCAGAAAATTTTTTATTATGAATTCTTCAAGAAATCTATCAACTGTGAAATTAGAAAAAAAACCTTTTCTTCAAATTCAAAATTCCATTTTTCAGCCATTCCTTACAACCTCTCCGACGCTGGAAAATCGCAACTCGACGAATCGATTCAAATCAGCATGCAAAACTTGATGTTCTACTTGATCAATCAAAAACCAGACCAAAAACAATCCAATGTCAAGTTTACATCAAGATATGCATCTATAATGGCGCTCAACGAAACTTTCATTAAAATAAGCGGAATTCATAGTGAGTAAAAATAATTTTCAAACACAAAAAAAACACATTTGAAAATTTCAGAACAAAAAATGCGGGAAGCTGATGCTCATCGACAAAAATTCCGCGATTTTCTCATCGAGCAACTCGTTTTTGATTTTCGCGGAACAAAATAATTTGCGGTTTTTCACAAAACAAAATGTCATATGTATTTTTATCATTCTTTCTCATATTATTACTCAGAGTCTTGATTTTGCGGGTTTTTATGTAATATTTATTATTTATTGAAATGAAACTATTTTTGATTTTTTCCAGAAAAAAAATGCACTTCAAAAACAAGGTTAACAAACAACATAACACAAGTGTAAATAAACATTTGGAAAAATTTTCAGACAAAAAATTAGTTCTTGATTTGCAGGAAATACAATTTGGAAAAAAACTCATTCAGGGAACTTTTTCATTCAAAATATTGAGAATTGTAGAAGATGTGAGAAAAAACTGAAAATGATAGCTAGAATCCACAAAGTACAATATAATCTGTAAAATTTTGAAAAATATCAACCACAGTGTGTGATTTAGTACCGCAAATATATAAACCTGTCAGAATTTTTCAAATTATTCTGGTAGATCAAAAATATGTTTTTCTAATTCTCTTCAATTTGAATGATTCCGGAGAACTTTGAAGTATTCCCATTCTCTATTTTATTTTATTTTATTTTATTGAAGATCACTACCAAACTGATTTCCCAGAAAAAAATTCCCTAACATCTTGATCAAACAATCCGTGACAAAAATCACTAACCCCCTAATTGTTTCAAAAAACTTTCATTTTCACACCAAACTGTTCTCTTGAATCAATCAAATAAAATTTAGTTTAACTGATATCATGTTATGACTTTCAATGAAAAAACCTATGGGAACAGATTTCAAACACTGTGTTTTGATCATATCTTCTTTTCCATCGTGTAAAACCTGTTTTCTGGAACCTTCTGGAACCTAACTACCCAATAAAATTAGATCTAAAAACAATCATCATGAATATAAAATAATACATGTTTTAATTGTAAATTAAAATGGAATGTTCTTTGGACTTGCAAACATTTTTCAAAGAAAAATATGTGTTTTTGAGTGACATCTTTATGAAAATTTTATTGGACGAACACAATCTCTTATCAACCAAAAAAGGTCAATTTTTTAATGTTTTTATTTTCAATTTTTTTTGAATATTGAAACAGAAACAAATTTGCAGAAAAATGTCGAATATTTTGATAATTGGAAACGGAGGTCGGGAAAATGCTCTGGCTTGGAAGATTTTGCAATCTGAAAATCTTGGTGAACTTTTTGTTGCTCCTGGAAATGCCGGAACTCAAGGACACAATATTGGTATGTTTTTCAAGGAAAGAATTTTGAACAAGTTTAAATTTTAATCCCGGTTTTCAAAATAAAAAAAAATCTTCAATCTTCAGATCTCGACATCACAAACTTCCCAGTCATCTCTGAATTCTGCAAACTTCACCAAATCACTTTGGTTATTATTGGTCCAGAAGTTCCACTTTCCGAAGGCATAACTGATTTTCTGACTGCTGAAATCGAATCAATCAAAATATTTGGTCCTACAAAAACTGGAGCACTTTTGGAGTCTTCAAAAATCTATTCGAAAAATTTCATGAGAGAGTTTCAAATTCCAACAGCAGATTTTCATGTTATTCAAAATCAAGAAGAACTTGACAACTTTTTTGAAAAGTGAGATTTATAAAGAATTTGAGTGTTTCATCAATCAATCAATACATTTTCAGAGAGAACCTTTGGGGTTCTGAAATTGTCATCAAGGCTGATGGTCTAGCATCCGGAAAAGGCGTAATTATTCCGGATTCTGAAGCGGAGGCTAAACATTTGGCAACTTCTATGCTGAATGGAACACTGGTTGGTGATTCAGGAAAACAATTATTGATTGAAAGAAAGTTGGAGGGATATGAAGTTTCGGTAAGTCTCCGTGAGAATTTTTATTTGAAACATACATTGTATGTACATAGTTTTTCAGGCGTTGGCATTTGTAGATGGTGTGACATTTTCAAGAATGCCGTTAGTTAGAGATCACAAAAGACTTTTGGAGAATGATTTGGGACCTAACACAGGTTCTTATTTCAAATTCAAAATCTTCAAATAGTTTTAATAAAAGTTATTTCTAGGTGGAATGGGAGTGATTGCTCCAGTTTATGTGCCAAAATCAATCGATTCTCAAATTGATGAAGTTTTTCGAAAAACTTTGGAAGGTCTAAGGAAGAGAGGAATAAATTATTGTGGAGTACTGTATGCTGGATTTCTAGTAACTTCAGATGATGTTGCGAATCTTCTTGAATTTAATTGTCGATTCGGCGACCCGGAAACACAGGTGAGTTTTGGTTATCGAAGCGATTCTTTCGATAAAATCAACTGCTCATGTGTTTTGAATTGTTTTCCACTCAATCCCAAAGTCAGAAAACTAGACTAGTTAATTTTAGATCTTGATGCGATTGTTGGAAACCGATTTACTAGATGCTATGCATAATTGTGTCGCTCGAAAATTATCTCAAACCGAAATCACATGGTCAAATAACTTTGGATGTGGAGTTGTTTTGGCGACTAGAAACTATCCGAAATCGGGAGAAATTGGAACAGAAGTTGAATGTGAGCAGAATTGGAAGGGGTGAATTAGGAATCGGGTCAGGGAATTTTAGTTTGAGCTCTGATATCGGCTCGATTTTTATTGATATGAATTATGAGATGTCTGTAGTGGATTAGAACTTTCAAATTGTAGAAATCGCACAATTCTGTATCAGACCAAAAATCGAGATAAGTGTGGAAATCCTGAAAATCTGATTTTGGGTCCCGAAAAATGTCGGATGTTGAAATTCGTTTTGAAAAAATCTACAAGTCTGAAAAGAATTTTTTACTGTTTGTCTTGAAAACCCTTGATTTTCTCGAAAACCCTCTATTTTCATACAAAATTCCCATTTTTCCAGATCTTCCAGAAAACACAAATTCCACAGTAATCTTCCACGCTGGCACCCAGATCTCTCCTTCCACCAAGAAACTCGAAACCTCCGGAGGTCGCATTTTTTGCGTCACATCCATTACCAACACATTGAATGATGCTAGAAACATCGCGAATAGCGCCGCAGATTCAATAAAATTCCGAGGAAAACAGTGGCGAAAAGATATTGGTGTGAAAAATAAGCGAAATACCTTGTCATATGGTGCAAGCGGTGTGAATATTGATGAAGGAAATCAATTTGTGGAGGATATTAAAAGTCTTGTGAAGAAAACGTTGAAGCCTGGAGCGGGACAGGTTTGTTTTTGTTTTTGAATCAATAAAATTGGCGGGTACCCGGGTACCCGCCAATTTTATTGATTCTTTATTCCATAGATCAAAAAAAATAGATTTCACAAAAATACTATCACTCCCTCGGATCAAACCATCTATTCAGCGAATAACAAAGATCGCAACTTTGATAAAAATAAATAAAACCCCCCGAGATAAAACTAGACTTTTGTCAGATCGGCGGTTTCGGTGCTGTCCTTGATCTTGCGGACTCGGGTTTCTCAAACGATTCACAACTCGTTGTTGGAATTGATGGGGTTGGAACGAAAATCGAGATTGCGACAGAACTCAATAACTTCAATCAAATTGGATATGATGTTGTTGGAATGTGTGTGAATGATGTGATTTGTCATTGCGCAAAACCGTTGGCTTTTTTGGATTATTATGTTTGTGGCGAATTGAATAGACATCAGGCTACTGAAGTTTTGAAGAGTATTTCGAGTGCTTGCATCGAAGCGGGATGCTCATTAATTGGTGGCGAAACTGCCGAAATGCCTGGGGTTTATGGAGCAGATCAATGGGATTTAGCAGGGTGTGCGATTGCCTGTCGTGAAAAATCCTGGCCAGCATTACCACTTTCCAATGAGATTAGAGAAGGTGATTTGATCCTAGGGATACCAAGTAATGGACTTCATTCCAATGGTTTTTCACTGGCTAGAAAAGTTCTGAAAGTTAACAATATTTCATATTCGGATAATGTTCCTTGGGAAGAGAATGTAAAGTTTGGAGAAATATTACTTCGAGGAACACGATTATATGTGAGTGATATATTGGAGCATTTGAAAAACGGAATTGTGAAAGGATGTGCACATATTACTGGTGGAGGACTCGTTGAAAATGCTACAAGAGTATTGAAAAAATCTCAACAAGTAACAATGGAGATTGATTTATCCAGCTGGAAACTTCCAGAGCTTTTCAATTTTTTGGCGACTTCAGGACCAGTTGAAACATCTGAAATGATTCGAACTTTTAATTGTGGAATTGGAATGGTATTGGTTGTTGGTAGTGAACATCTCGAAACGGTTTCGAAGATTTCGGATGTCATGAAAATTGGAAAAGTTACAAATTGGAAAGGAGAACAAATCAAGTTTAGAAATATGGAGAGTTTTGTGGATCGAAGTGGATTTTTTGTTGAGAAAAAAGAGGCTGGAAGAAAAGTTCGAGTTGCTGTTTTGATTTCTGGAACTGGGTCGAATATGAGGAAGCTGATTGAGAGAGCAGAGCAAACTGATAGTAATTGTGAGGTGGGTTGAATTTTTTTTAGAATCCATCAGACAAATGTCTCCCGTTTTCAGGTGGTACTAGTTGTATCTAACAAACCAGACGCTCTTGGCCTTGAAATTGCTAGATCTTTCAACACCGCAACTCGAGTCAACCCTCACACATCAGACAGAATATCTGGAGATTTAAAACTTGTCAAAATTCTTCAAGATTTTGGCGTCGAACTCATTTGCTTGGCAGGTTATATGAGAATCTTGAGTGGAGAATTTGTGAAACATTTCCCATCTCGAATTATAAATATACATCCATCACTTCTTCCCGCGTTCAAAGGAGCTCATGCTTTACAAGATGCTCTTGAATTTGGTGTCAAGGTTGTTGGATGCACTTCACATTTTGTGGATGTAGGTTGAAGTTTGAGATTTTTTAATTTTGTTTTTGAAACTTTTCAGGAACTTATTGATCATGGCCCAATTATTTATCAGAAATCTATTGAAGTTGAAGAATCTGATAACATCGAGACAATTCGCGCGAAAATCCAGAAAGCTGAACATATATTATTCCCGAATTCGATGATAGAAGTGGCCAAGAGAATTTTGAATAAGGAGATTTGAATAACTTAATTTTGAAATAAAAAAATATAAAAATAAAAATTTTTTTCTATGAAACAAGTTCCAAACGATAAAACAAACGACTACAAAACAAACAAAAATGTGTCAAAAACGCGCCAAATTAGTGAAGGAGTGCATGATAAATTAAGAATAAATAAATAAATATGAAAGAATAAACAAACACAATTTTGACAGATATGTATCCTTTTCAATCATAATCATAGATATAAGCTTACCGAAAATTCTATTTTCTTTTTTTTTTTTTGAGAAAAAAACCTGGAATGGATTCATCAGCTGAATATACTCTTGATATATTTGCACAAAGTTCTGTAATTTTTATCGCGTTTTTAATTGTGATGAGTGTTGTTGTCGTTGCTTATCGGTAAGTTTAAGATTTTTTTGACAAAACAAAAATGATGAGCAAAAATTAATCTCATTAAAAATTTTGAAAACAAAATAAAGTCTCAAACACCATGTTTTTGGAGATTTTTAGGAGATATTGAAATTGAAATTTTAAAATCAAAGTTTCCAAACTCAAATAATTCTGATTCTGAGATAATATAGCTCTCAATTCAGGCTCACAGACTTGTTGAATATATTTTTACCTCTGGGATTTTCTCTTTAATTGATGAGAAAACAAAAATGCAAAACATGTTATTCTCATGTCAGTGTCTACCTATTTTTGAAAAAAATCAGAAAATCTCAAGCGGTATTATTTTTTAATTTCTGAAGTCTTGTAGTCTTTTTTTTCCGAATTCCTAGTTGTTTATTCTCACTTCTGACTTTGAAATTCAAACTTTTCAAATTTCAAAATAACAATCATTCATCTGACATTAAACATTTGCAAATCAAATCAGTGTTTTCTTGATCATAATGTTCGTCTGGAGAAAAATCCCTTTCCCATTTCTCGAAAAAAACATTTGTCAGCTAACAATCATCCAAACATAATCACTATTTACAGATGTATGCAGAGAACATAGCAATTTTTCATCATTGCCAGAAAAAAGAAAAAAATCCACCAGAAATTATCAATAATCTTCGAAGACTTACAAGAAGAAGCCCTTTTTTTATCACGTAATATTTTATTTTTGTGTCATTTTTTCTTCGAGACGAGATGATTTTGTTTTTGTATTTATGAACATTTGTACTTCTTTTACGCACCTCGTTTTTTCGTGGTTGCACTTTCTCAGAAGATTTTTTGATTTTTTCCAAGAAAAAACCATTTTCAAAAAATTTTATGATCTGGAACATCTTGTTGGAAAATCACAATAAAATGAAATTTTATTTGGTTCTTCATTTTCCAGGTGAAAAAATTATGTTTTTTTGTTTTTTTTTTTGGATTTTTCAGGGTTACTGTATTTTGGAAAACCAGTGATGCTTATATAAAATTAGGAAGAAATCATTTTTTTTTTTTGAAAAATTCAGAAATTCATATTTTTTCCATAATTACTTTGCTCAACAAATCAAAATTTGAAAAACTATGAATAAATTGTTCAGGTGAAAAATTCAATTTCTCACATTTATTATGAGTTTTTAGTGTTTGAAAACTTCGGGTTCAATTTATTTTTTAATTGTGAAAGCCTTTTGGAAATCAACAACACAATCTTCTAGAACTCGATAAGCTGATCTAAATTCTTATATTTTTGTAGATGAGCAGATTTTCAGACTGTTTTTCCTGTTTTGTAAACCTGTTATCCCCATCTTGTCAAAAAAAGCTCATATTATATTGTACAAATCACAGAAAATTCTTCATAAACCTCACAAAATTTCTAATAAAACCCTGAAAAGTTCAAGCAAATTGTCCAACCTACAATTATCCAACAATGAACCCTCTAATTTCACTTTATCTCAATATTTCTCCCCCATCTTATTTTCTTCCGATTCTTCTAAAAAGCTTCCAATATTCCTTCGGAAAATTGTTTGTTATACAGTAAGATACAGTAAGAGAACTGTGTAAAAATGCGTCGAAAATCAATAAACACAACTTCTGAGTGAGTTATTGGGGAGAAGCCATATTGTTTTCTTTTTTCAGCGCTAACTAACTAAACTAATGAGAATCAGGGCCAGAAATACGAAAATAATATAAATAATAATAAAATTGTGTCTCTTTTTTTTTGCTGCCATGACGACAATTATCAGTGCACTGAAAATTTCGCGCAGGCTTGCCGCAACCCCCATTTTTTAATCAGCTAAATCTCTGTGAATATCACAACATTTTTCTTTCTCTTGCCTGAGGTCTTTTCTTCATCATCATCGATGTGTTGTTGTCTTATGAGATTTTTATTTTTTCAGAAAAATGGCTGAAAAAATTACGAGCATCTCCCAAGGTGATGGATTCAATCCGAATGACGTAAAATATAAGGCTTGTTGTTGTCATTCGAAAACTTTTACGATTATTGTGGGGATCTTGGAAATTTTTACAATTTGTTTTATTCTAGTTGCAGGTTTGTTCAAATACGTGAATTGCTTGAAAAGCCAGAGTTTTCTGGACTAATTTAGCCTAACTTGCAGAAAAATATGGCCTGTAGATTTTCGAATTTTCAGGGCCAATTTTCAGATCATTACTTGGCTTATTCAGGTTTGAGAAACTCTGAAAATTTCAAGCTTCAGAGTTTCAGGTTAAAATTAGGCTTATTCAGGCCCGAAAAAATTCAAAAATATTAGTCCGTATTCATGCTCTAAAATTCTGAACTTGTAGACTCAAAACCTAGGCTATTTCAAGCCGAGAACATCCAATTTTACAGATTTTTTGGGCTCAAAATGTCAAAACTTCAGGCCAAGAAACTAGGTTTTTCAGGCTCGAAAAACTAAAAATTCTTCAACAGAGGCCTAGTGAGGTTCCAAAATATTCAGGCTTTGAAAATCCGTAATTTCAGACAAAAAATTAGACTAATTAAGGCCGGAAACTTCCATGTTCACAATTATTTTTTGGCTAAAAATCTCAAAACTACAGACCAGATAACTAGGCTTATCCGGCCCCAACAAGTCTGAATTTTCAGGCCTTATTTAGGCCAAAAAGTCAACATTTTTAAATCCAATTCTCACAATCAATCTTTTCAGTTCTACCCGACCTGAATTCTCGAATTTGTGAAAATTCTGGAATTGACAACACCAATTCCACCATCATCGATCCTGAAGAATATGAAGAATATAAAAGAAAGTGAGTTCTTCTCAAAACTAGAACTGAAAACTATGTAACTGGAAATTACAGCAGCACCGATATTCGAAATATTGTTTTTATTCATAACATACTTTGTAAAGTGAATATTTTATTTTTGATTTGGGCAATTTTGCAAATTGTGGTCATTAATATGATGTTTTATGGGATTAAAACGATTCGTTTCATACTTTTTATACCGCATTTAATTTTTCGGTGAGTTTTGGGGGGTTTTGTGTGATTCCAGATTCCCTCAAAATCTTTTCCGAAAGTGTTCCAAGCATGTTTTCCTCCGAAGTTTTGTGATCAACGAAATCAACAGAAACCAATCAAATCTTAGTGTCCGATCAAATTCAATTTTCAACATCACTTTTCGAGTCAGGAAAATTGTAGTCAAAGAACTTCCTTCCAACTTATTGATTTTTTATTTTCAATTTTCCCAAAAAAAAATAATAATCAAAGTTCAATTTCCGTTATGCAAATTAATTTCCCTATAACCAATCATTAAAAATCGTATATTTAAAAAAATCAGGAATTGGTCGAAAAATAACCTGGATATTGTACAAAATTCAGTATGATTTTCAAGAAATGTCATTTTCTTGCGAAACCTTTTGGTGAGGTCAAAATTAGCTGACTAGACATCATCCTGAATGAGATCTGAGAACAGCAGTGTTCAAAAATTCAAATCTTAATTTTGCAAATTGAAATATATCGTTACCAGAGCACAATCTGTTGAAAACTTTTTTGAAAAAAATCTAGAAATCAGGCTGGACGTCTAAAAATCGTGTTTTTCTTGCAAAAATGATAAAAAATTAGCTTATGACGTTCAGAAATTGTGATTTTCAAGAGGAACTTTTTTTGAGTAGACTTGAAAATCACCCCGACATTTGAAAAATCAGGAAAATTCCAAAGAGACCAGTGTTCTTCCAGATTTGGCTGCACTGTTCTTCTTGGCGTCATTCAAACCTGGATCATATTTATTATAAGTGACGGTCATGTTGAGGCAGGTCCATATGTCACAACTGCTTGTTTTCTATCAGCTATGATTGGATTCTGGTTATATGCAACATGGATTGAAATCAGATGTGCTCATTTCATCAAACGATCAAAAGATACTGGATTTAGTATTAGTGTTGCAAGACCGATTGCTCCAGCTACTGTTTCGCTTAGTGAACGAGAAGGACCACAGCCGGTATTTAAAATATTCCAAATGGAGTTGCCTAAACGAATTTTCCAGATCCCGATCCGCCAACTCCCACCACTTCGCCACCCAAGACCGCAATATGAACCATCACCTAATATCACTCTGCCATCATCTACTCTTACTACCAGTTTTTCCACACGGAAAATTGAGGATTGAATTCAATAGTCTTTATATATACATTTTTCTTGAGAATAATGAACTCATTTTTGGAAAATTTTTGAATGCAGGTGCAATATTAAAAATAAACTGAAAGAACAGATGATGTGATTTTTGTTTTTGTTTTTTTCTTCGTATAAATTTCGAGACAAAAAAGAAAAGTTGATTTTTGTTCTCAGAACGATCAAAGTACACATCGCTGTTCCCATTGAAAAATGAAACTAGTTTTTTCAAAATTTGAATAGTTAGATGTTTTTTGTTGATTTTTTGATCTATGTACGAAATCGTACAGTACAAAAAAAATTTCCCACATACATATGCGCCTTGAATTATATAAAATGTGTGTGTAGTTTTCGTAGAAATTTCCATTTTCTGAACTTTATTTACAACTATAATTACACGGGAAATAAAAAAAAATTAATTTCCGTAAAAAAAGTACAGATGAAATTTGGTTCAATACATAGGTTGAAAATCAACATAGAATAAATATATATAATATAATTTGGTAAAACTTAAAGTTTGAATAATTTTTTTTATTAAATCAGTAGAAACGTATAATTTGTGACATGTTTCATGATTCAAGAAATCAACAGAAAACTTTGTAGCCAATTTGAATTTGGCAGAATCTGAAAGAAAGGGTACAAAAAATCTATCAAAGCTCTGATTTTTGGATTTGCCACGTCAGATCAGATCGAGATCGCTAACCACTCTGCCATCCGGTGTTATTTTTCTTGCCCGCAAATGTTTGACATATGAAACAATGAGAAATATGGCGCATTTTCGATGGTGAAAAACTCGTCTTGGGTGCAATTGTGGCAATTTTTGAAAACGAATTCGAGATCAGCGAGTTCGAATCTATATGTGTACCAAGTCTCATTAAAAGTTTATTCCGGGACCTTATACACTTCCCTTGTCAGATACCAGGATTAGGGCCAATTTAAACCCTAAAAATGTTACTCTAGTTTTGTTCCCAAATTTTTTTTAAACTTCGTCCAATAGAAAAATTGTCACTATCAACATTGAAGAACCGAGAGAGTGTGTGTTCTAGAGAGAGCAGCTGATAGTCAGAGAAAATGTGTCCCTTCTAGATTAATGAATGAATGAATTTTTATTATAGAAAAATGTTCAGGTCAGCAAATGTAAACACTCTGAAAAAAAGTTTGGTAAGCTTTTGTGTATTCATTGAGAAATTAGACATAGCTTCTGAAACTAGAGATGAAAATGATGATAAGTTATGAATAAAAATTTTGAGGCTCCATAAAAATTTATTTAAATTTTTTTTCCATTTTTTTTTCAAATTTTCACATCCGAAGTTCAATATAGTTTGCTTAATCAAACTATTTTCATTCAAACTTTTCCATCAATTTTCACAACTAAAGATCGCGTTTTCTCTCACACACTATCTATCAAAAACTAGGCATTTTAACGACCGAAAAAGAAACGTTCTCACTAACCAACAAAAAAAAGAAAAAAAAATTGTTTTTTTTTCAGAAAAGATAACCCATGTCAACGAAATGGTTTCAGCGAACAACCCCTTTTTGAAACAGTAAAAAGTTTTCATTCAGTTTTGTTTGGAAAATGTTCGAGTTTAATATCGATGAGACTACAGTAAGTTTTTATTTCAAATAATTATGAATCTGAAAATATTATGTTTGAATTCAGGTTGAGGATAAAATGAGACGATTGGTCTCATTCTTCACATCAACACCATATGAAGAAATTACACCGTAAGATTTGTTTTTTATAATTTTTATAAATCTCAATTTCCAATTTTCAGTGAATTCAACATTCAAACTGGTATCGATAAAGTTGAACGCAGTTATTTTTTGATGATGATGGCTGATGCTTTGAGTGTACATTTTGAAGTTCTTACTGATAGTTCGGATATTGAATCTGCAAACACTGTTCAAGATCTTATTGATCGAGTTAACAATGGTGGAAACTAAACTGTTACTAAAGTTAACAAGGGATTTTTTTTTGTTTGATTTGAATTTGACATTTAGAATGAATAGATTTTGCTTTTATTGGTATGAAAATCGAAAAGATTTTTTTGTTTCAAAATTTGAATTAGTTGACTGTTTGAAGATTTGATTTTTTTCAAAAACAATTCTTGAATTCTGAAATTTCTGTTATTTTCTAGAATCTCAATGTAAAGGACACACAAAACAATTTTGAGCACCTTGACTATGAAAATGAACCCTGAAACATCCCTCACACATTTTTCCCGAACACCACGAGGTAACGAAAAACTTTGTAAGAACACCCTGTTGAATATTCTATCAAAAGTATAATTTATAAATGCAACCTATCGCAAAATTACCATAATTTATCTCGTTCGTTTTCCTCTTTTTTTTGCACTTCCAAGACCACCCATAAGATCAAACCATGTTAGTTTTTGCTCCATGTATACTTCCAATTAATTTCTGCCGCAGACGCAGCCGCCGTTTTTTTTTGCCGATGTGACACTTATATAATGCTAATGACAGTTTTTTTTTTTGCTTTTCAGAGTTTGCGCCTTTGTTTTTTTGCTGCTGCTCCTTTCTTCCTGCTGAGCTGAGCACAAAAAGAGCATGTTGGGTATAATTATCGTGGGCCGCAATAATTAGGCCCATAAAGACATGTGATTTTTTGAGATTTATATATATTTTTGAGTGAAAAATAATGCGTTCTGCCTAATGGAAGGATGATGAGTTTCTACCGTACTACTACTTTATGTGTTTTGTGTGGGCTGAATTTGAACTTCTCTAAAAGCTTCCAAAATCCCATGAGAGCTTTTCAACTTTTGCCAAGATATCATCATCACAATTTTTTCTCATTCAAAAAACATAAAGAAAAAATACTTGAAGTCGAATTTTCTTCCAGTTTCAAATAAAAAAATAATTTTACGTTTGAAAAAAATTCATCACAAAAACTCATCCAAAAGTGTACTTGGCTGGGTGAAAAACAACATAATTCATCATGTTGTCCTTCTGTTCTGTGTTAAGAGCTCCAATTCATTCTGGCTCTTTCTTCTTCTTCTTCTTCTTTTCACTTCTGATGTGAATTCAATTGTATTCTAAATTAGTTTTCTCACTGTGGGATTTTACGATTTGTCAGGTATGGAGTTGGCGGAGGAGAAAATGAGTCATTAGTTTTTTTCTGGAGGCGTTCGCTTTTCTCCGCGTCTCTTATTCTTACATGATCTTGTATATGTTATGTGATTTGGAGTTGGGCAGAACAAGGAGTAGGCCAGTTTCAGATTGATTGATTTGGAATTGGGCCAGGTCAAGTCTAGTTTTCGATAAGATCAAGAGTAGTCAAGTTCTGAATTAGCTTAAGTCCATCTCGATTTCGAAGTCTAGTTTTGAGTTGGTCCAATATTTTTTTAGTTAGTTATAAATTCGATTTAGAGTCACGATCTCATTTTAAATATTTTACAAGAAAATACCATTTCTGGGAAATTCCGTAAAAATTAAAAATTTCGATTGGCCGATCTTCTGAACTTCATTCATAAATAAAATATCATAGATTTTTTCAGAATTTTTCTGGATTTAAGTATTTTTTTATCCCAATTTCCCAAGGTTCAAAGTCAAAGTGCATTTTCAATCTACATAAAAAAATAATCAAATTTGCCCACAAAATAACTTCATTTACAGAAGCCATCTCTTTCTCATTTTTGATTTTTTTCATCTATGTTTCTTGTATTTGGTCTCACACTGAATTCAAGAATACAAAAAATATGTAGTAAAATAATCTTTAATCTTAAAATTTTTGCTAGATACAAATCTAATTGTTATTTGATCCTCCACTTTATTTTAAGACATTAAATCAAGTCAAAAAACGGAAATGGTTCTAAATATTTACAAAAATTATTTTTTGGATGTCTGGTGTCACTCTGCGTCTCTAACACCATAAATCTCTCATTTTCCTATAGGTCACTTTTCTGAATGTTTCGATGACCTCTGCGTCTCTAACCTTTTTGTTTCGCTAATTGAAACGATAAGGATTTTTTGTCAGGAAACTCTGAATTTTTAATTTTTTTAGAGTGAGGCTCTAGAAAACTAACCCTCTGCATCTCTAACTTATCTCTGCTCGTCTAATTTTCTCCTCTCTGATTTCCCTGGCTTCTCTGTCTCTGGTACATTCTGCGTTTCTGACCTTCTCTCTGATTGTCCTCTCTTAAATATTTTGTAATACACTCTGCCTCTCTCATCTGAAAATTGCGATGACCTCACTCTGCTTCTCTAACTCTGAAATTGACCAATTCAATTACAACCCAAAAACCCAGCAAACCGGAAATTTGCCTCTCCCAGGTGTCCATGAATTCTTCTCAAAATGAAAGAAAAACTAAGAAAAAAATAAGGAGAATTTTGTTAGCCGAAGAGACACTCAATTAGTTGATTTATTTGCTCATGAAAGATGTCTTCGTTCCTTGTTTTTTTTTGGAGATCTCCCTCCCCGAGTTTTCTATGTGTGTGTGTGTTTTTTTTTCGTCTTCCAAAAAATTTCCTCTTTTGATTACTGGATTTATTCATTTATTTTTAAATATGTATATTTGGCTGGCCCTATTCCCATCCTGTTTTATGATTCATTGTTTGAAAAATAAGAAAAAGGGAAGCCTTTTGAAAATTCAAAACCAAAAGAAATCAAAAACCAAATTTCAATTCATTTTTATTTTTTTTTTGTGTGTGGCCACCCTGTCGAAAATGATAATGTATGTACAAAAATTTAAATCAGAGCCCCGCTTTTATTTATTTTTTGCTTGAGAAAAGAGTAGAGTAGGAATCACGTAAGTAAGTAGACAAAACAAATTATCTCTTTCTGTTTTCCTGAAAAAATATTTTTTTCTAGCCGCAAGTTTAGCTTTTTATTTTTCCTGGTTGCTTGTTGCTAAAGCAAATTTTGACATATTATGAATTTTAAATAAAAATATACATATATGAATTTCGTCTTCTTCTTCTTCTTCTTCAAAATAACCAGGGAGGGAGAAAAAACAAAAAATCCGCGTTCTCATTTTGCACTTGTCAAAAAGAGAGGACTTATAAAATATTTAAGGCACAGCCAAACGGGCCCTCCTATGAGGCGAGCAAGGGGGTACTGTAGGTTTGGCTCTTCAACGAGCCGAAAACAAACTTTTCTTTTAATTAAATAGAACCAGAGATGAATAATGGAACTATTATTCTTCTCTAAAGATGTTTTTCTTCTCCTTTTGCTGCTCTGCAGATAAAAATATATATTTCTTAAGAAAAAAAATGATGAACGGCAAATTTTCAATGTTATTATCAGCATTTCCTGAAACATCATTTTTTATTTTGTCACCTTTTTTCCGGCTTGATAGAAACATTTGGAAAAATCACATATGGGTGGTCTTTTTATTTAAAAATTTATATTTTATCTTTAGCTTTATGGGTGGTCCAATAGTTTCTGGGTGGTCTTTTGGACTGATTTCAATCATCAAAGCAGTATGGGTGGTCTAACAAGTTTTGTGTGTTTTCTTAAACCACTTTTTTGTGGTCTTATTGATTATTTACTTTAACTTTATGGGAGGTCCAAAATTTTTTGAATTCTGAAACTTTTCTACGTGGATAGTCTAAAAATTCAAAAAGAAACATTTGAGGTTCATTTTCCAAATGTCAGCTCATTTTTTTTCAAAAAATAATTTTTTTTGGTGTCCTACGATGAGCAACACAATAGTATTATCTTCGTGGGTGGTCTCGCATTTTTCATAATCATGTTGTTGAGCTCCGCTTAGCTCCGAAACAAACAAAAAATTGAAAGCCGCACACATTTTATTAGCTTGGATTATCCCCGAAGAACTATTAGGATTTTCGAAACTGCCCGAAACTCTCGTTCTCTTTTCGTTCTTGAACCAAACGTTTATCATTTCAAGAAAAATGACCTTTTTTGGCGCCAAAAAAATATTTTTTGAGGAGAAAAATTGTTTTACCTTTTTTTCGTCATCTCATGGGAATTTTTTCTTGGTTTTTTTTTCTTTTCGTCGCTCAATCAGACAAAGTTTGAATTTTCTCATATTTTAGAGTCTAGGTTTTCGGTTTTTTCAACAAAAAACGCCCTCTAATTTCAGTCTGCAAAATGTTTTGTTAATTGTTTCAAAGAACGTCATCATCATCGTTTCTTCGTGTGTGGTCGATCAAAGAAAAAACATGGTGCAAGAAAAAATAGAGTTCAAGGACTACCCAAGACAGAAAAAAGTGGAGGCGAAAAGCTTTCATTTTTCAGCCAAGCGGAATTTTTCCAATAATTTTTATTTCATTAAAAAAAAGAAATATTATAATATTTTTGTACTTTTTCGGAATATTTTTTCATTATACTTTTTATCAAAGATCGAACATTTTGGAACAGAAGTCAGAATGGCAAAAAAGTGTAACCTGATCTGGTTTTTTATTTAAAACCTCCAGGTTCTATTTTTTTTCGAAAGGACCTCCCAGTTTTTTCACTTTTCTGAATGTGAACGTTTTTTTTGAGACCGACCAGCTTCTTTTTTTCATCGAGCAATTTTGACCTACAAAACATAGCACAAGGTGAAACCCGTTTGAATGTCGGGCTTCAAATTACGTCTCGACCACCCTGTTTCTTCCCAACCATCCAATTCTTCCCAACCATCTTTCATTTTTTATTGAAGGCTTCCAAAGATCCGCTTCTAGCTTGAATAGAAGTCTAGACGTTTCTTCTAGCCAAAGTGGTTCTCTAGACTCGGGCTCTATAACAATGAGCTCTCTAGGCTTCGCTATTTGACTCCTAAGTTTTCTAGCAGCGCTTACTTGTCATTGAAGTTCTCACGACATCAATGCTAGCCAAAGTGGTTCTCAAGGCGCAGCTTCTTGCCAGAGTGACATTCTAGGTAGGGAACCCAGCCGAAGTTGTTCTCTAGGCGCGGCTCCTAGAATAATTAGCTATCTGTAGTCACCTACTTGTGAACCAGAGTATATAGCGACGGTTACTTATCAGAGGAGCTTATAAGGCGCAGCTCCTTTGTATGATATTTCTTCACCAGAACGTTTTGAAACAGATGTTCGATCTTTTCTCGAAAATCTCAAAAATCAGGCAATTTTCACAGTCATTATCTGTGTCTATATAATAATCAACCTACTGTAATTATAAATGTACGAAAAAGTGTGATAAATAATAATAGTGTGAAAATTCGGCCACTTTTTCTCATTTTTTTTTCTCTCCAATTTTCTCAGAAAATTCAAAGTTTTCCTTTTTTTTGTCTAAAACAAAGTTTTCAGTTAGAAGAACGCCGTGTTGTATGTGTCAATTTTTGCTGTGCTCAACACTAGAAAAACAGAGAGAGCAAAACTGAAATGGCGCAAATTGAATGAAACCTTTCGACATATGAGAGGAGAAAAAATACGAAGCTAGCGAGAAAAAAAACATAGAGGATGTGTTATTTTTGAACGCCGTGACAGCGAAAATATATCGAGTCATAGGGAATTTATTTATTTTTTTTGTTGCTTTCTTCTTCTGACTTTTTTCAAGACCACCTAGTTAAGTAACATTTCTGGACCACCCACGATTTTTTCCTGTTTTTGATGATCGGTGACAAGCTGGGTTTTTTTGGATCTATTCTGTTAAAGACCACCCAAGATGTTTGACGTGAACATGAATTCTAAAATTGGAAAAAAAAGAGTTTTTAGACCATCCACGAATTTATCAAGTTTTCTCTATTTTTTAATGAAATGTTTAGACCTCCCAGTCAATTTTCTAGACCACCCAAAAAGTTTTTAAATTTAAAAAATCATAATTTTTTCTATGAATCGACAAAGACCACCAATTCTTTCGAAATTTTCAATCACAATTTCAGACCACCCAGGAAGTTTTTCAAGCATCCATGCAGATGTCTTTGATTCTGAAAAAGTAACACCCAACGTTCGTCTATTTTTAAACAATTTTTCCAGATTGTTTAGATCAAACCAAAAATGATTTATATAAACAAAAGGTGTCTCTAATTTCCTTCCAGACCGCCCATCTGAAAATCTTTATAAACAGGAAGTGTTCGTAGGGATAACGAATAAGTGCATATTTTTTCAACTCTATAATTTTTGTACCTCCCAGTTAACCTATTCAGATTGGTTCTAGAAGACTTTCCAAATAATCTTCTTTCTGAACCACCTAGATTTTGATGTTTAGTGTTTCACATTCACTTTTGCCCTCTCTCTCTTTCTTTCTCAATTATGAATATTCAGTAGAAGCTTTTTCTCAGCCACGCCCACTTCAAAATCGCGCACTTTTCATTCTCATTTCATTATTTATTTTTCAGTCTCACTCAGTCTGAGCTTTTTCAGCCAAAATGAACGCGACGGACGTTGTCAATCTCTTCCATCGTCACCAAATCGAAAACAATTGCATGGCATGCTACGCCAAAATCTACACTATAATATTTGGTGCACTTTGGGGTGCAATCATCTCTGCTGGCATAATTGGCAACATCTTCATCATTTTTGTGATTCTTATGGACAAGAAATTGATGAGCTCATCGGTCAATCAATTTCTGTTGAACCTGGCGATCGCTGATCTTGGCAACCTCTTCTTCTGCACTCCCGATGTTTTGATGATTCTGATTGATCGTGCATGGATTCTCCCGGATTTCAGTTGCAACTTTGTGCGATTTCTTCAAGAATACTTCCTCTATGCTAGTGTCCTCCTACAGGTCTGTCAATTTTTCCCCTTGAAACCTGGCAACCCGATGTGCTCGATTAATTTTCTCTTCTGTTTCAGATGGCAATTGGAGTTGAACGATTTTTGGCTATTTGCTCACCGATGCGAATGCAACGATTCTCAACAAAGACTACGGTATTTCCAGGGGGGAAAGGATCTTTGTATGCAAAAAAATCTAGAATCCCTGTAATCTTTGTACATAATCCAGGTCAATCAAAACAAGATGTGATTTTATGATTTCTTGTAGACGTCATTGAATTTTTCTGAGAAAAAGTACCCAATAATTACAATTTTCTGAACTTTTGTCGATATCAAAATATTCCCAAATGGGGATAATTGACTGAGAAAACAAATATAAATGATGTGATTGTCTAATCAATCTCAAGAGGTTCTGAGTACTGTAGTCGTGGGATTACTGTAAATATTTTCCAGAAGTTGTGTTTTTCTCAATATCAATTATTTAGGTACAGTAGTTTACTTACAGTAACCAATCGTTAATCAAAGCTGTAATAATTAACCTTCTATAGTTGGGTTACTGTATGTTGGATACTGTAGATGAATTCGTAATAGCTCCCTTGCAAAGGTTACTGTATGAGGAATGTTATGAGTAGGCTACTGTAAATCAGTTACTGTAACTAGTTCAAATTAAATAATTAGTGGGTACTGTGGTTTGTCAAGATTACTGTAGGGCAGGAAAAACACTAATTTAAAAAAAGTATACTGTAGTTTTTCTCTTATTAATATATATTTCTCTCTAATTATCGAGCATTTTTTTGCAGAAACCTTTCAAAAATTCCCGAAAATCAAATCAAAATTTGCAGTTTCAGGTGCTGGTTCTTGGCGGTGTTTGGTGTGTCGCAGCGTGCTTTGCCTCTCCATATTTCCTCTTCCAAGGAATCTTGATTCATCGAAACTTCAAATATTGTGCCTGGAAAAAATTGCACAATCCATGGAAAGATTATTTCAAAAATTTCGAAGTCGTCGTCCTCTACGCTTTTCCATTGATCCTGTTAACCACTCTCTATTCAATCATGTGTCGAGTTCTTTGGGGAAATCGAGGTGAACAAAATATCGCGAATCAAAATCAACAAGAAGCGATTCTCAAACTGCGTCGGTCTGTCGTCAAGATGCTCATCATCTCAATGTTGCTCTATTTTCTCTGCTACACACCGATTCAAATTTTGCATCTTTTGAAATACGCGGCACCAATTTGGCTACGCCTTTTGTTGAATGGACTTTCATTTACAAGGTAATCCGTTTTTGCCGTGGGCAAAATACACAATGTTGCGAAAAATAATCCTTCCTGGATTTTTTTGCGAGGGAGAAAAGAACCAAAGATCAAGTTTGTATTTTTAGCTCTGCCAGCAACCCAATCGTCTACATAATCTGCTGCCGACATTTCCGCTTGCGCTTGCGCGATCTCCTTGCGTCAATCTCCAACTGTTGTTTCTGGATGTTCCCAAATATCGGAAGAACCGAATATGAATGTGTGGACGAGGCGATGACTACAAAACTCTCCAGAAGTCCATATGTGAGCTTCAGAAGTAGCAGAAGACAAACTTCTAGACATAATTTATCCACGCTTTTATAAATAATCGATTTTTTTGATAAACACTGATCTCTTTTTTTTTCTTGCCACCCGCTTTTTTGCCCCTTGTCACAATTTTTTGTTTCGGGTTTTTCTTATTATTTGAAAAAGCTTGAATTTTTGATAAAGATTGGATTAGTAAGAGTTTGTGAGATTATTTTCGATTTTCTCACGCAAATTGTGTTTTATTTGAAATCAGGATTTGCACGCAATTCGGTTCAATTTTTAAGGGAAAAGTGTTTGAGGAAGTTGAAAATTTCACATGGCTGATAATTTCTCAAAAGAGAGTTGGGCTAAAAATATGAGGGTCCGAGATTTTAGGATTCATTAATTAAAATTCTAGTGTCAGGTTGTGTAGCTTTCGATAATCAGTCGACTTTGGAAGATATAGATCCCCTCAAATGATCAAAACTCTGGAAAAAAAAAATCGGCCCGAGATTTTTCAAAAAAAAAATCGGCCTGAGATTTTCCAAAAAAAAAATCGACCCGAGATGTTCCAAAAAAAAATCGGCCCGAGATTTTCAAAAAAAAAAGTTACAGATTTGGAATAATCCAAAAATGTAAAAAAAAAATCGGCCCCAGATTTTCCAAAAAAAGTTACAGATTTGGAATAATCCAAAAATGTAAAAAAAATCGGCCCGAGATTTTTCAAAAAAAAAAGTTACAGATTTGGAATAATCCAAAAATGTAAAAAAATCGGCCCGAGATTTTTCAAAAAAAAATCGGCCCGAGATTTTCCAAAAAAAAAGTTACAGATTTGGAATAATCCAAAAATGTAAAAAAAAATCGGCCCGAGATTTTTCAAAAAAAAGTTACAGATTTGGAATAATCCAAAAATGTAAAAAAAAATCGGCCCGAGATTTTCCAAAAAAAAAAGTTACAGATTTGGAATAATCCAAAAATGTAAAAAAAATCGGCCCGAGATTTTCCAAAAAAAAAGTTACAGATTTGGAATAATCCAAAAATGTAAAAAAATCGGCCCGAGATTTTTCAAAAAAAAATCGGCCTGAGATTTTCCAAAAAAAAAGTTACAGATTTGGAATAATCCAAAAATGTAAAAAAAAATCGGCCCGAGATTTTCCAAAAAAAGTTACAGATTTGGAATAATCCAAAAATGTAAAAAAAAATCGGCCTGAGATTTTCCAAAAAAAAGTTACAGATTTGGAATAATCCAAAAATGTAAAAAAAAATCGGCCCGAGATTTTCCAAAAAAAGTTACAGATTTGGAATAATCCAAAAATGTAAAAAAAAATCGGGCCGAGATTTTTCAAAAAAAAGTTACAGATTTGGAATAATCCAAAAATGTAAAAAAAAATCGGCTCGAGATTTTTCAAAAAAAAAAGTTACAGATTTGGAATAATCCAAAAATGTAAAAAAAAATCGGCCCGAGATTTTCCAAAAAAAAAAGTTACAGATTTGGAATAATCCAAAAATGTAAAAAAAAATCGGCCCGAGATTTTTCAAAAAAAAAAGTTACAGATTTGGAATAATCCAAAAATGTAAAAAAATCGGCCCGAGATTTTTCAAAAAAAAATCGGCCCGAGATTTTTCAAAAAAAGTTACAGATTTGGAATAATCCAAAAATGTAAAAAAAAATCGGCCCGAGATTTTTCAAAAAAAAAATCGGCCCGAGATTTTTCAAAAAAAAAATCGGCCCGAGATTTTTCAAAAAAAGTTACAGATTTGGAATAATCCAAAAATGTAAAAAAAAATCGGCCCGAGATTTTCCAAAAAAAAGTTACAGATTTGGAATAATCCAAAAATGTAAAAAAAAATCGGCCCGAGATTTTTCAAAAAAAAAGTTACAGATTTGGAATAATCCAAAAATGTAAAAAAATCGGCCCGAGATTTTTCAAAAAAAAAATCGGCCCGAGATTTTTCAAAAAATTTTGACAAAAAAACCCGCCCGAATGAAAGGAAAGTGTTTGAGGAAGTTGAAAATTTCACATGGCTGATAATTTCTCAACAAAGAGTTGTGCTAAAAATATGAGGGTCCGGGGGGTTTAGGATTCATTAATTAAAATTCTAGTTTCAGGTTGTGTAGCTTCCGATAATCAGTCGACTTTGGAAGTTAAAGATCACCCCAAATGATCAAAACTCTGTAAAAAAAATCCAGATTGATTCCTGAACTTGGGAAATGCTGATCAAAATTTGAAATTTCAAAAAAAAAATCAATTTTCCGGATGATATGTAATTCAGAATTTACGAACTGAAAGAAAATTTTGATAAATTCATTCAAGAATCGAAATATTATTGGAAGCATTGGAAAACTTTGAAAAAAAATTTGAAAAATAATAAAATTATTCTTCGGATCTGTTTTTGGAGCTTGATCTTGGATGAGCCTTCGATTTCGATAAAATCTGTCCCTGCTTCTTGCCTCTGGTCTCCGAGTCTTTCTAAAATCAAATATTTTCATTTTCAGAAATTCATTCTCAACAAACCTCAATATTTTTGCAGAGTTGTTGACATTTTTCAACACTCTTCTCATAGTAATCCTTCTCATTGCCACATTTTTTGTTCGCAGAATTTGTGAGTTTGGAATCGTTGTTCCAAATCAATTTTTGCAAGTTTGAATACGATCTTACCATCTTCTGGAAAAATATATTATACATGTGTTGAAATAAAGAAAAATAAATGAAAATAGAAAAAAATCCGATATCATTAGAGACGCAGATTTTGTTATGGTAAAGAAATCACATGAGCAATATGAGTCATAGAAAACTGTTGTTTTAAACAAGAAATTTCGAAATAAAATCCCCACTTTTCTCCAACAAAACTTGGCCAATTTTTTAAAAGAATTTTTCTTTTACAGGTTGTCAAGTTCTTTTTCATACTTTTTTCAGAAAAAACCGGCAACTGAAAATTTTGATAGCTTGAAAAACTGTAAAACCACATTCTCTTGTCCAAGTTTTGTACAGTCTAGCAAATTCCAATCGATATTCTTTTTCTTCAACATTTTTTCAATCAAGTTGTTTTTGTCGAAAAAACTCCTTTCGAGATTTAAATTACTGTGAGAAACATTACGATTTTGCTAAGTTGTTTTTGTCAAAAAAAAAATAAATTCAAAATCCAAATTGATGTGAGAAACATTTTGATTTGTTTTTGTCAAATTATTAAAAAAAATAGGATATTGGCGTGTGAAATTTAATATAAAATGTGCATTTTCGACAAAAACAACCCAATTTTCTCGCAGACAGTAACTTCGAGGCTCCGCCTGCACGCTGGAAAATATAAATACGGTTGTCTACTTCTTGAATATCTATTTTTACTTGCTTTTTAGACAATTTTCTTTTCTTATTTTTTTTACAGAATGAATCTTACCTGGAAAATCTTGCTCTTTTTCGCGATCTTCCAAATCGTCGCCGCCTATGGTCGTGATAATGATGATAATAAATATCTTCAAATTTGCGAGGACAAGGATATTACCACTAATGACCAATATTTTTCATGCCTACTGAGAGAACTTGTGAGAGAGGGATTGCATCGCACAAAAAGCATTGTAACTCTTGCGAAAAGAATTTGGAAGCTTGATGGATCTCAAATTGGCAATAATACATTATTGATTTGTGTCAACAAAGATCTCAAAAACAAAACATCCTTGATGCACAGTGAAAACAACATGGTGTTTTACACTGGTTCTCAGGAGTTTTACAATTTCTGCCGCCAATTAGCTGATCCCTATTATTCATTTGATTCACAAGAACCTGGAGAGTTTATTAAGATCAAAATGGATTGTATGTGTTCTCGTGGAGAATTTACTGAAGTTTTTAATCATACAGTGTGAGTGAGATATTTTTATCCACTCAAAAAATTCCCTATATATTTTTCAGTCTCTTCATCGTGATGCTTGTAATACCTGCTCTCCTGCTGTGCATTTGTTGCCTATGCCACCAAATATGTGCGACAGAAAAGATTCACCCAAGACAAGAAATGCCAATGGTTTTGGTTAGAGGAATCGATAAACAACAAAACGATTCTGGTATTAATGTTTAATTTTTTTATGTATCTGTTTGCGTTCTCGGGGTTTGTGGGCCCTTAAGGCCCACTTTTTTTATTTGTATTCTTTTTGGGTTTTTGGGTTTTGTGGGCCCTTAAGGCCCACCTTTTTTTATATATCCTTGGGTTACTGTAGTGTTGGGTTTGAAATGACATGACGGTTTTATTTTTTATCATTTTTCAGCTGGCACTGAAAAAAAATAAAAAATAAAACAATGTAGAAATGTTCGCCCTGTTGTTGTATTTCTCAATTTTTATATGTTTGATCTAATAAAGTTTGAGAATGCAAATTTAATTTTGTTTGAAGATAATTTCAGGAAATTTTTGAGAATCAAAATGATGAAAGTGGTAATAAAATGTTTATTTACCACCATCCTTCACTTTAATAACAACATGAAAACGAATATCTTTTTGTGGAACTCGTCTCCAATGAGCTGGCGCAGTTTCCACCAAATTATTCATTGACATCGAATTTTTCTGGTTTGTAGAAGTTTGATTTGAATCTCTCTGCATAGTTTTTGGAGTCAAGAACTTAGGCTGGAAATCTACTCTGAAAATCAACAGAAACCATTGCAAGAAAAATTTAATTACCTGTTTGTAACTCCGTAGTACAAATTTTGATCCATTTTATTCATTTTATGAGAAAAACAAATTGTATTTGAAATTTGTATTCGAATAAATGATTGAATAATTTGATATTTATATAAATTTTTTTAAACACCCACTGATTTTAAATTTAATAATTTGTGGGAATCTTGTTATTATTGAACATTTTTTGAAGTTTGATTGATGTTTTGTGGATTGCTCATATTATACATTCAAATAATTTATTTCACCACAAAAATGTTATACCCGTGTTTAAAAATATGAGGTTCTATTATGAAGTTTGTGCAAGTTCCTAAAAGCCATTTGATTTCCAGAATCCAAATCCAACGCATTTTGATATTCTTGAATCGCCAATTCTGGACGATTGAAACGTTGGTAGAGAACTCCTAGAAAAACATTTTTTGAAAAATATTAACATTAAGAAGTAAAAGAAGCTCACCTAAATTTGCTCGATATAAACTGGAATCAGGTTTCAAATGAATCGCAAATTTGATAAATCTCTCCGAATTTTCAAAATCATTTTTCTGCGCATAACAAGTTCCAACTTGCATATAAATATTGTTCACATTCGGAATATTTTTCAAAGCTTGAGTTCCAAATTTGATGACGTCATCACAAAGATTCAGAAAATCTAGGAGAACAAGAAGATTTGTCCAAGCTTGTGTATGTTTTTCATCGATTCTGAAAAAAAATCAATAAAGAACATTTAGATTTTTTTAAAATATGTACCTGACTGCGTTTTTCCAAGCTTCCAATGCTTCCTTTGCCCGATTTGTTTTCTGATATAAAATTCCTAAATTGAAATAACAATGTGGAGATTCTTTTCGTAGTTCAATAGACCTCAAAAACGAATTTTCAGATTCATTATATTTTCCCTGATGCATCTGTGATATTCCCAAATTCATCCAAGCTGCTGCAAAATTCGGGCGAATTCCAACGGCGCGAATCAAAAGCGTTTCTGCGGTTTTCGAGTCTCCCGAAGATTCCAAAATATTCCCCAAATTGTTCAAAGCTTGCTCATATTTCGGATTCAATTTCAACGCAGTCCAATATGATTTTTTCGAATTTTCAATGTCTCCAAGATCCCGCAACACTTTTGCAAGATTGTAATGGATTTTTGGATTCAATGGGCAGGTTTTCACATCCGCTGAATATAGCGATAATTCTGATCTCCAATGATTTGCACGATTCCAACTTCCAGATGCAGCAAGAAGCAAAATAATGAGTTCCAAGTTACCGAATTTTTTTTCAAAGGTACGGTAGATAATCGCACCAAAGACGCAGATTGTCAGAGATGGAAAATATAACACTCTTTCGGCTACAACGAAACCAACTGTGATGAAAATGTTGGAGGCTGGGAGAAATGTGGCTACTCCAAGGAAGATGAAGAATGCCAAGAATCTGGAAATAATTATGATGAATTTTTTGGAAGCTTTTCGTTTTTTTTTTCAATTTTCAACTGAGATTCTAGTTAATTTTGACTGAACTTGAAATATCATCATCGCCACGTCTTAAGAGCTTCTATTTCAAGTAGCAGAGTCTAGAAAGTTAATTTGACAAGGATCGGCGCTTAGAGAACTTAATTTTGAAGCAGTCTTGCCTAGGAAACCACGTTCTCAGGTCACTGAAGAACCTGATTTTCTTACATCCAGTGAACAATTCTGGCAATGAGTTTTGTCTAATTCTCAAGTAGCCGCGCCTAGAGAACCGCGTTCTTAAGTAGCCGCGCCGAAAAAATAGAGTTCTCAAGTAGCCACGCCTAGAGAACCGCGTTCTTAAGTAGCCGCGACTAGAAAACCGCGTTCTCAGGTAGCCGCGCCTAGACAACCACGTTCTCAAGTAGCCGCGCCTAGCGAACCGCGTTTTCAGGTTGCAGCGGCTAAAGAACCAAGTTCTCAAGTAGCCGCGCCTAGAGAACCGCGTTCTCAAGTAGCCTCGCCTAAAGAATTGATTTCTCCAGTAGCCGCGCCTAGAGAGTTGCAAAGTGTAAAAAAATTGTATGATATTTACTTTACCAGGCTAGAACTGTTTTCAAACGATCTTCATTTTAAAAATCTGGCATAATTTTCATCTCGATCCCCTCTTCCCTTTTCAAACTCACCGATTATCCCATCCTCTCTCAAACCCATTCCCCCTTCCTCCTCCAGCGCCACCAGCAACAGAAACAACGCATCCTATAATTATTTTCAGACCACCAATAGCAATAATTAAAACGAATGCAGGTGATAAAATGCGCCAATCTTTCCATCCATTAATTTGCTCAATTGCACCCATCGAATAGTCAAAGCATAAATTTGTCGGGTTCAAAAGTAGATACAAATTATATAGCCAGATATACGTGTGGTTGACTAATCTGAGCAATGGGTTTTCTATGAATGCGTTTGGATTGTCAGCAATTGTAAATTCCGCATTTTTAAAATTGTTGATTTTCAAGCGAAGCAGGATCAGAGCTCCGAGAAAGGCCATCTTGTTTTTGATTATCTGAGCAGATTTGGTATGGCTAGACGCCAGAAAATGGAAAAATATAGCGATTGGCTGAAAAAACACATTATTTAAATATGAACTCTCCTAAAAAACTTACCACTACAGTAATCCCCTGCTCCTTTGAAAACATTGAGAGAGTCACAAAAATATAAAATCTCGAACTTTCTAAATTTATCAACGCCAAAAGTCCAAACATTGTCATAAGCAATTCTGATCTACCCGTGATATTTGAGATCTGAAAAAAATAGAGTACTGTACTTATGTACATATGTAGATCAAAAAGTTTACCGCTTCTGTATGAATTGGATGTGCTGCAAATAACAAAGCTGTAGGGAGAGCCAAATTTTCGAGACCGGTTGAGAAAATATTTTCGATTTTCTTGACAAATTTGTAGATCAGACAAGTTACTAGAGAATGGAGAAATTGATTGATCAAATGATATCCGAAGGTGTGAAATCCATGAAGTTTGAAGTTCAGCCTGAAATATTTTTCTTCCTCGGAATGTTTCCCTTTGTCAATATTTTTTTTGAAACTCGTATAAGACAGATTAAAATTCATGTATAGTATACGAAAAAAGGTCATATTTCATTCGTCTTCACATATATTTGCATATGTCGTTGAGAAAAGTGTCATGTAATAAATCTCTCGCCTTTTTTGGCGTTTCGGAAAAAAAAACGAACAGCAAAAATTATACACCTGCACACATCTGGCGGCAAAATCCATCAACATAAATTATCTTTTGGGAAGGTATGGGGTACTGTAGTTTTGTGGATCTTTTTAGAAACTTGGTAAATCGAGATTGTTGATTTTCTGGACCACCTACGAAGATTTTTTTTGGTAATTTTTTAGTTCTGAATAAAAAAATGTTTTCTAGACCACCCAAGAAGAAAAACGTAGGAAATGTTTTTTGATTAATATATTTTGAACACGAATTATGCTTAAATATTAATTATCAGTAATTAATTATATCTTTCACGATTAGCTAACTAATGATGATCTTGGACCACCCAAGAAGCGTAGACCTTCTATATTTCCCATGATAAAATTAGACCTCCCAAGAAGCTTGGACCACCAATATGTATTTTCAAAATAATATCACAAGCTCTTATATTTATTCCGATTTCATGATAATCGTGAACCTCGCGAGAAGTTTCTTGTTTTCTCCTTAAACCACTCTCAAATAATTAGTCACCCCTCTCAATAACTGCTCTCTCAAAAGATGAACCGGATTACGATAGCAATTAATATTATGAGTTTCTTCTGCACTTCCTTCCTCCTTTTTTTTCTCCCATGACACCAATTTTGGGTGTGTGTGTGTGTGTGTTGACAAGGGTCGGGTTGAAATTAAACACAACAATTTTGTTTGCAGCTGCGAAATGCAATAAGATGAGAAGAAGAAGAAGCAATATATTTTTATTGAAACTGCGCTGCGAAGAAATTGAGGAGATAAATATATATTAGGTTTTTTTTCGAAGATGGATGGCGAAATTAAAAAATTGAATGACGGAAAATTAAATACGGGTTAAGGTTAGGTAAAAGGAGAAGAGAGTTTTTGAAACTTGGAAAAAATTAGGGAAAATAAGCTAGACAATTTTCATAGTTTTCCAGAGATATTTTTCATTAAAAATTTTTTTTTAAAGAAGCGTTGAGTTTTGAAAATAAAATTCATTTTCTGAAAAATGAAAAATAAAAAACGAATTTGAAATTAAAATTCTACATTTTCAGAGTCGCCAGGTTTTCAGTCGAATTTTCAAACTATATTCTGGCAAATAGAATATTTGACCTACATTCTAGCTTCAATCCGAAATTTTGTGTAAAACGAGAAATCTAGAAGATCAAAAAAATATTTTTGATAAATTTTTCAGTATTACGAGTAAAATTTCAAAATTCAGAACTATCATATATTTTCCAAATATTCTTCCCCAAGTTTTCTTCTCACATTTCTGCCCTATAACCAATCCAAACCACACACCATAAAACTCAACCCATATTTCTCTCCAATCTTAGTTAAGTTACTCCAAAAAAATTGGGCCCTTGAGAATATCCCCTCGTTTTTCTCATGTCTAATCGTTCCAAATCTTCAAAGCAAACAAAACAAACGCATTACTTATAAATTTGGGGTTGGGCAGCGAGAAAACATTCATAAATCTTCCAATGCTTACGCAATGACAGGAGAAATATGAGAAGATGTTCCCTTTTCCTACCACTTCTTCCCACTAAAACCACATCCGGCGTTAATGACAACCGCTTCCTATTTATTTTACTTTTTCCTAGAGGAAGAAGAAGAAGTCAGATGGTTGACAGATTTATGAAAAATGGTGTTGGTTGGAAAGAAATAAATATAATATAAACATTGGATATTTATTGCATTTTTTATTTGATTTCTAGAATTTTGGAGAGAAGATTAGTGGAAATCCAGGTTTCAAAAAGGAGTAAAATGTTCTAGAAAATTATTTTGATGCTAGAACTTGTTGTAAAACATTTTTGACTTGAGCCTAAGCTTTTGAAAATTAAAATTTCATCTGGGAACAGATTTCCAGCCTATCTTTAAGCTTGAAGAACCTTGAAACTTTCTTGTAAAACACTTTGGATTTGAGCTTAGGCTTCTGAAGATTCAATTCACAATTTTATAAAATTCCCCAAAGCTTAGGCTTCTGAAAATTAAACTTCTATCTGGAATTTTTTTTTAAATTTAAATAAAAAAATTAAAAATTAAATCTTGATTCTTGATTCTTGGCTCTGTAAAATTTTCATTCAAGCTCAAGCTCATGAGAATTATATCCCCACTTCTAGAAAATTCAGATTTTAAACTTAAGTTTCGCAAATTCCCAGAGGAATTACTACGTTTGCTAAATCATTTGGAAAAAATCCCCATCCCCTCCTCCATTCTCAAACCAAAAAAAACCATTCTCAAAATCACCACCGCATAACGAAAAACCCATAACATCCATATGTTTTCATCAAGAAGCCTCTCTCATTTTTCTTGTCAGAAAAAAAATTTGAATAAAATCGGCAATCTTCAAAAGCAACCCATTTAATCCTTCTCCTGCCTTTTTCCCTGTTTCATTTTCAAATTCATCTTTCCTTGTTCTAACTAATCTAACAAAAACATTTACGGCTCATTGACTTTTACACTACAACAAGAAAACTTTTTTTTCGGGCACAAAATGACTAGGAATAAGAACATTCAAAAAAATAGGCCCCAAAATACTCACCAAAAAGTAAAAGTTGTAATTGGTCGATAACTTTTGTGGCTCATCTGTGATTTTATCGGGTTCCCCCAGAAATCCCTCTCAAAAATCTCAAAAATCGAATCCTTTCCATTGACAATACGATTATTTTTCACGGTTTCAGCATCATCGAAAATGAAATCTCCGAAAATCGAGGGAAGATATGGAACAATAGAAAATAGCAGAATAATTGAATAGTTCCAAATTTCAGAAGACTTTATGATTTTCATTTTTGAATCTCATTCAAATCTGAAAAAAAAAATTCTATTGACATCAAAACCAAGAAGAAGAAAAAAAAATGATACTGAATCCCCTAAAAAAGGGCGGAGCCCAAAAGGAGGTGATGTTGTGACATAAATAAAAAAGGAGGAGAAAAAGGACATAGAGATGTGTATATTCATGAATATTCAACTTGAAGTAATCTCGGTGTCATTTATGTATTTATGCATGGAAAAAATGAATGGGTTTTCGAGTGTTCCTTTCGTGCGGTATTGGTCGGAAAGTGTTGGGAAATAATTACAAAAAAAAGACTGGGTGGTCCTTAACCTATTAAAAATTTGAATCAATGAGTCAGGGAAGAGTTGAGAACATTTAAAAAATCGCTAGTCTTTTTGAAAATGTATTTTCATCGTGGGTGGTCCTTAATGCGAACGTAAAAAATATAGAGAATATATCGTCCAAAGCTCGCCTTATATTCAAAATACAGAACAGAGAAACAGTGTGTATGTATGTTCGAGAGACGCAGACACGAAACAGAGAAATAGTGTGTATATTCGATAGACGCAGACAGCTAGACTTTAGACGATATATTTTCGCATTTTTTGTTATTTTTTTACTTTGGACAAAATGGCTAGTCTTTTTAAAACACAAAATGGCTAGTCTTTTTGAAAATGTATTTTCATTGTGGGTGGTCCTTAACTTATCCAAATTTGTAGTAATAAGTCAGGGAAGGACTTTGAGAACACTGAAAATCGCTAGTCTTTCTGAAATCGTGGGTGGTCTAGATTTTCTGAATAAAACTCTAGGTGGTCTTCTGAATCCTGCCACCCGACAAATTCTTCATAAATGGAAAATATAGGTGGTCTTTAATTAAAATTGAGTAAAATTTCACCTGCAGAATTGGGGTTGGATTTCTGGGCTATAATTATAAAATATACATTTTCTCTCAAGTTCTCATAACCTATATACTTATTTTCCAAAACAAAACTAACTAAAAGCCTTTGATAAACATGTCCATTTACAAAATTGGCAACTAATCGCCATTAAATGAAAAAAGTCAGACTAGAACCATATAATTAAAATGTACTTACATTTCTGGGTGGTCTCTTCTCTCACTCTCTCTCATCTTGGGTGGTCCTTTCTCTTCTTCTAAACCCGATTAACAACCCCACTCAAATTAAAATTAGTGTATGTCCCAAAGAAAAGATTCACTAACTCTATATATGAAACACGGAGGATTTGCTGTCTGCGCACAAAAGTCACTATTCATTCAGAAGATAATCTGATTTTGATGAATAAAAAAGATTCTGTGGGGGGCACAAAAAAAAGGAAAAGTCAGTGAAAAATGGAAAATTGAGGCGAATCAAATATGACAACAAACAAAAAGAGGCTAAACTAAACTTACACACCATTTCCTGCATTTTACTACTATTTTATTTTTATACTTTCTTTTTTTTGACTTTTTTTGGGGGAGATGCCTAAACTTTTGATGTGTCATGATGAATTATTCAGCGGTTGGAAGATGTGAGTGTTGAAGAGAAAAAATGTTTTGGAATCTGGAGAGTGGATGAGAAAATAGAGAAGTTACAGTAATTTAACACTCTTAAAATGTTGAAGATTATTTTTTAAGGTTGCAAAGAAAAGAGGTTAAGCTAAAGTGAAAAAGACAAAATGAAATATTCAACTTCGAAATTCACTTGATAACACAGTAACCCTGATTTAGGAAATTCAGGAGAAAAAATAAACTAAACTTGATAAAAATTACAAACAATTAATTAATTTGTGAATAATTTGAAAATTTATTACAAAGTAATTACAGTATCTAAGAAAACATTCAAACGTAAAATATAATTCAAAGAATCAAAAGTCCTACAGTACTTACAGAAATCACTGAAAACTAAAAAAAATCTGCAAGTTAAAATAAATCACTTCACACCATTCCAATGTTTATTTCCCGCCTCTCACCCCAAAAAAATGTCATCTACTCATTTTGCATAATAGACAGCGGGGTGAACACATGTCTTCCTTCTTGTGCCCCCCCCCCCTTTTTTTTACTCCAAATCCACTTGAGGAGAAATAACAAAACACTTTTGTTCTAACCAATAAAGACAACCCCACAGAAAAATAATGTGATGATTATTGTGCCCCGTCTGTTCTTATGTGTTCTGAAAAGACAAAAAAAACGTATGGAAAGAGTTTTGGCGCCAAATGACACACATGTTTTTTAATTCGAAATGACACATGTGTTTTTTTTTGGATTTGACAAAAAAATTGAATGAGAAAAATATGTTTGTTTTGTTTTGGCAAAGGTTAGAGGAAATTAGAAACGATTTTGTTAATGGGATTCTTCCTGTCAAGGTCGACACTCTCAAAGTATTGGATAAAAAATATTTATTGCACAAAAAATGTATGACTTACATCAGAAAAATGAGAAAAAAAACATTGTTAGGAATCACGGCGATGCTCATTTCCAGTCAATGATAGACGATTTGGTTGTGGTGAAACACTGCGTTCTGGAGAGCACGAGAGATTGAGCACTGATTTTCGACGAGGACCATGTCTGGAAAAATATGCGTCTCGGAGTTCGAAAACCTTATTTTTGTCTAAACTCTCTCAAATTCACGTTGTCTCTAATTTCAAATAGAAAAAAATATAAAATTTTTTTTTTGAATTTTAAAATTTCATAGCTTGTTAGAACCTATTTTTGCTGAAATTCAATAATTTCACATTGATCGGTAGGTAGAAATTAGTTGGAATCAAAAAATAAAAGTATTATTTCTATTGGGAATTTAGGATACAGTTGACCGGAAACCCTGCTTAATCTATGGAGTTTAGATAAGTCAAAAAACTAACTTTTTATCTGACAACCTTTCCAAACGATCCCATTCTTCTTGATATGTTTCATAAAGTTTTCTCGGATCTCTTCCATACATTTCTTTCTTCTCTCGGAACCTTTTAGGCACTGAAAAAAAAATCGAATTTTTTTTTCACTTCATAGAAATATTCTATGTACCTTTCTCCTCATTTTCCAATGGTTCTGATGAAGTAAAACAATTCTGTACAGTCTCATCTTCAAACGTTGTTGGTGGTTCGATTATAATTACACTTTCACACTTTGGTGCTTCAACTTCTCGACTATTCAATTCCACACGAAAATCATCGATTTTTTCAAACATTTTTTCTTGCGCTGATTGAAATGATTCATGTGATAGAGCTTGAAGAATCGGTTTTTTGATATCCAATTCATAAGCTGGCAAAGGTTTGGAGAATGTGGGGAATTTTGGAGCTTCTCGGGGTTCTCGTGATTCTCTAGAGTCTCTGCAAATATTTTTTTGTGTTGAAATTTTTTTTGAAAGATTCAGAAAATGTAAATTTTTATGATGATTGAAAAAATTTTCAAGAAAAACAAAAATAAAAAGTACAAAGTTTGTACTTTTTTTTCAAAAAAAGCCTAAAATTTTCAATTTCTAAATAGTTAGGATAACTCCAATTTGAAGAGTTCTATTTTCATGGTCAAATTCTAATAGTCCAAAATTTGAAGTTTACACATTTTCGCGGGTTTTTTTTAACAGTTGAAAAAGTGCGTCACGGTGTTTGCTTGCAATTTTTTTGAATTTTGAAAATCAATTTCACTGTTTTTTAATTGGGGGGAAACCCATATTTTCAAAATCTAGGATCAAATCCTAGACCTTCCCCCTTCTTACAATCTAAAAATAAACGGCTGATCTTCCCTTGGACTTGGTGGCGTCATTGGTGGTCTTGGTTGACACGGTGAATGAATAATCGATCTTGGTGATGGTTCCCTCGGTGGCTCATCATTCAAATCCTCCGGAGGTTCTCTTCCCTCTTGCATCGCAATCGTCCTCTCAACAACATTTTCCAAGTCCAACGCGTCGATCACCGATGGTTCGACGCCACATTTTTTTCCGACCGCGTGCAACAAATCACGAACTTTTAATCTGAAAATGATATATATTAGGAAGAATTCTAACAAAATTGCCTAGACAAATAAAATTACGTTTTTCCACCAAACCATATTTTGTTTTGCGCAACATTCTTCATCTTCTTTCCCCAATAGTGCAATTTTTTCATATATTCCGAGCCAATATCTACCGTGAACAAAAAAAAAATTAATTTTCATAAGTTAGGCTAACTTACTAATAGCAATAGTGGTGATCGCCAAGCCAATACAAACATAGAGAAAAGTAATGGGTAAAAATTCCACTCGAATCGGAACCAATTGTCCGAAATCGATTGCTGTGAGGCAGAGAAAATTGAAATATAAACCGTTGAAAAAATCAAGTTCCCCATTGAGAGCTGGGAGGAGGAGAGCTCCGACAGCAACGTATAAGAGGAAAACTGATAAGAGAGCTAGAGAGGTGACTTGGATTGAGGATTCTTTGTAGGCTTTGCCAGCTAGGGAGGCTTTTGACATTCGACGTTGTTGACGATATGCTTCGATCTGGGAAAATTGTGGGAATTATGAAGCTTTTTCGAAGATCAACTTCAAGATGTGTAATGTTTCTCAGATAAAACAAATTCTCTAGATTCCAACCCACCTTCCTCCTTGAATCCCCCGCAAAATTATTCAAGTATTGTCCAACATTAGCAATTATAATCATTGTAAACGGAATTCCACAAATCCCATAAATAATACAAAACATTCTGCCAGTAAATGTTATCGGAGCTATCCGATTATAACCCAAAGTGGTGACAATACCAAAACCATAAAGTGTAGCGGTCACAAAATTCCACTCACTTCTCTCATCTCTGCAAAAAAAATTTTAAAAAAATTAAAAAAAATTTATTGTTGCATACTTCTCTGCTTCAAAACAATCTGCAATTTTATTCGCAAGATTCATTCGAAATTGCACATTTGTGCTCCACGTTCCAATTCCAATTTTTGACAGAATTTGAGATGTGCAAGATGTCCGATTCTCTCTTTCTGCTCGCTTCATTTCAGCGTGAGCATCAGTTTCGATTCGATCAAAAATGAATCCTCCAATGAACGCATAAACCAGCACTAACATGAGCAATGAGCAATGTAGTGTGAATGGTTTAGCTTGCTATAAAAAATCAATATTTTTTTTTGAAAATCAGAAGGCCCTAGAAAAAATCAAACTTTGAATAGAACCTCAACCTCGAAAGCCTGCTTTTTACTTTGCAAATTGTGCATTTGTGCGAAGAGGAATTTTCTGGGGAAAAAAATAATTTATATGAAGCAAGTGAATTTTGAAAAAAAAAGTTGAGCTAAATCGAGTAAAATGTATCATTTTATTTTATGTAAATGACCAAAAACGAAATCCATCTATTTCTAATGCCGACAAATTTCTCGTCACATCTGCGACCTATTTTAAGTGCATTTTATTCATTGCTCAACTTCTACATATAGAAATTTTCAAAAATAAAAATAAGAATAAAAAAGTGTGAATAACAATTTTGCTCATTTTGAATATATAATTTTCATTTTTCTTGATAAAAATAAAATAATAGAAAAACAAGAGAGGAGAGACATTCATTTCATTTATATAATAAAATGAAGAAGGAGAAGCTAAAAAAAACAAAACACAACACAACCAAAAAAATGTTACCCGGACAAACCTCAAATTTTCGATGACGAATTAGTCGAACTAGAATTTGGATGAAGAACATCTGAAAAATAGACTGATTTGGGGAACAATTTGAGTGAGTTATCTGAAGTTGAAATAACACCAGTGCGATTAACCTTAGCTTTTGATATTCAAAAAAAAAACCGGAATAGAAATCGGAAAAAATATAAAGCCTACAGTATTACACTAAAATGTTAACTAAAAATATTATGTATTCAGAAAATTCCAATTCCTAGAAAAAAATATATTTTTTAGGAAAAAAATGAATTATCTTGAAATTTTAAAGTAATTTTTTAATGCATAGTTCAGAAGTCTGAAATAACATTCTTAAAAAATCGAAAATGTGAATTTTTTTCGCAGATTCTCTAGATCGAAAATTCTAGACTGACTGGAAAACGTCAAAAATCATAAACTACACAAGACAAAAAAATTTCTGGGCGGTCTTAAGAAAAAGAACTTTGACAAATAAATATTCGAAGAAAATAAACTTTCGAATTTTGTTTGTGAATAATTAGTGGGTGGTCTAAAAATTCAGAATTCTACTCATGTTTTAAATGCACAAAAACTGGATGGGTGGTCTATTTTAAAATAAGACTGGGTGGTATTTTGTTCATAATTGAATAATACAAAAAACACCAGAAAAAGAAACAAAAAATAATCTGTGAGCTCTTTTTTCCAGCAAAAAAATTCCAGTTCATTGAATTATCGGTTCGATTTTTGATGTTTACCAAAAAAAGAAGACGAAACAAAAAAATGTTTACAAATTCAAGCGAGAATTCCAATGAGCAAAAAACCAAGTTCAGTTGAAAAACCACTGGTTTTGCGAGGAGAATTCGCCGCAAAAAGGACACATATGGTGGCGCGCGGATTTTAATTTTTTGCGGGTACACAGAAAAAATTTATGGGGCCGGCTGAAAAGCAGCACACACATACACACACACACACAAATAAATAAATAGTGCAAATTCGGTTTTCTTTTCTATAGATGCATGTGTTTTTTAAAAGGTATGGATATTTTTCAGAATGATGAAAAGCTGAAAATCTTCAAGATTTTATATCTGTAAGCATATGTGTTTTATGGGATTTTCAGCATATGTTTAAAAATCTGTTTATTTAAAAAATATCCATTCATTTCAATAAAAATCTCTATTGTTTAATGATTTGCCCAACCAGCGACGAGAAAATGGCGCCAGTTAAAAGTCCCACCATAAGGGTGCATGCGGAAAGTTGAGCAGCAAATCGGGAAAGATGTGATGAAACCGCTCTGCAAAATCTTATTGATTGATGATTTTCTTGTGAAAACTCACTTTGGTGTATAACCCATCGCCAAACTGCTCAAATAACCATGGCTGAGAGACATAAGAATTCCAGCTGGCACAAAAATATCAGATGCTGAAAAAAAAAAGTTTTTTTGTGGTTTTTAAAAAAACTTTTTTTTATTTTGGAGAAACAACTTACACTTGAAATAAACTGGAATTTCTCGAGATTCTGATCGATAATTGCAAAAGAAGAACAATGGAATGAAAAAAGCGCGAGCAATGACAAAGTAGATCAAATATTTCGGACCGGGCTGGAAAATTTGAAATATGTTCAGGTTTTTAAAGGTTTGAAGAACATGTTTATCTTCCGGAATGATTATTTTTCTATCACATTCCAGATTTCTTTAATAATTCTTACCTTCTGAAACTTTGACGATAAAATAGCTCCAATAGTCGAGAACAAATTGAAAACCAAATAAGTCGTAATCAATGTATAAATATTATCATTATTCGACAAATACTTTTCCAAATACCCACTTCCAGATGGTTTGATTTGCGACATCATTGCCGGAAACATTGTGAGAGTTACAGCAAAACTAAACCAAATGTTGAATATTTGCACATAACATCCTTTGAAAGTTGTCCAAAGAATTGTGAGCGATGGTTTATGGGTGTCTGCTTTTTTACGAACTTCGATCCCTTTTTCATGATGATAATGATAAAAATCTTGTTTAGTGATTAGAAACAACGCAAATCCACAAATCACCAAAATTGCCAATGAGATTGAGAAATAAATAATTGCGGTAAGTTGAGGCACATTGTTAGCGACTGGAAAAAAAACCATTTTTGTTTTGTATGCAGGTGTGAAATTCCCAACTTACTCAAAGTAATTGCTAATGTTAAAATGGTGATTAAAAGTCCACAAACATTATTGCCAATCAATAAAGCGCTGGTGTATTTATGTGGAAAATCGGCAAAGACTCCGAAAATTGAGTTCTCATATAATCCATTGCTGAAATTGATTGACATAATGATGGCGAGCATTGTCCAGAAAAACCAAGCCATTCCTGGAAAAAATGATTTGAGGAAGGGAATTCAGCGTTCTACTCACCTTCTGGTGTCGGGTTGACAAAAATCACCAAAGCAAGAACTGCAGATACATTAATAAGATTGAACAAAACTGGCGCCAAAACTCGATAAATCAATGGTCCTCCAATGATCAAAAACAAATTAATAATATTGATCAAAGCGTTGGGTAATTGTGAAGCAATCGCCAAAGCGCTCATAAATTCATTGGAATACCAGGTAGCTGTATCATTTTGTTTGAACCAATATTTTTCAAAGTACTGCAAAAAATCAATTTTTGTTGTTTTCAAATCTGGAATATGTAAACCCACATCCGGTGCAATTGTGATGAACATATTCCACGGCATTAAAACACCAAAACCAACAATCATCACCAAACAAAACACAACATTTCCACGATCTTTTGGCCCTTCTTCACCATCATCTGAAACGGCATAATTCTCAAGACGAGTTGAGGAAACCATATCTGAAAAAATATTTTTTTTTATATTTCACGTGAGAAAAAACAAAACATTGCAATGACTAAACTAGAAAAAAATGAATGAGACAAGAGAAAAAAATAAATATGAAAGGTTTGACTCTGTGAGTGCTGTTCGCTGGAGCGCACTTGCGCAATTGACAAAAAAAAACAGTTTTTTGTTGGACGATTATGGAAAATAATACTGATATTAATAGTTGATGGAACGAATAAGAGATGAATCAAAATATTAAAAACATCCGTAAAATTGAATTGTGAGAATGGAACAGAAATTGAAAATTGAATGACTAAACAGTTTTTGCTATTTTTAACAATAAGAGGAACATTCTTTGTGTCTAAATATCAATGAAGCAACATTCTTTAATAATGAAAAATATACTCAAGTTTTCAAAAAAACTTGTGGGAACACAAACAAATTTATCAGTTAGTTGGAAATGACTTCTGTCGATCTAGAAAACGATCTAGAAAAAGTTTCTCTAAATTTAATGTAAATTAGGCTCTGAAAATTGGTTTGTTCGATGGATCACTTCTGCATTTCCAAGTCCCGAAAGAACTATAAAAATCAGTTCCACCCAATTTACAGCACGGGAACTTTGCTTTAATGAATTGTAAATTGAAATCGCAACAAATTTGTGTTTCGATAGACATCAGAAACCAGAAATCAACATGTTTCTATGAAAATTTGCTAATGTAATCTTATCAAATTGCAAAGAAATCTACTGTAGTTTGAGTCCGTTCAGTCTGGAATTGACAATTGAAAACAAGCTGAAAATGTTATAAGATCGAATTGCTTCTCTCTGTAAAATTCCAATTTTACAGGCTTTCTTACTTCGATTCGAAATATTTGAACTGGGTGCAAATTGTATCAAATTACAAACAGTGTTATTTTATAGATTACAATCAAATACACACACCTGAAAATAAAAAAAATCAAGCTTGAAAACCACATTTTTTTTTTCAAATTTCAAGCGAAGTTTTGAGAAACATGTGATAAACATTTGCATGAAATCTTTTTTATCTGGATTTTTGACCTAGAAACTCAAAAATCTCAATTGTGAGGCCAAGATCTAGAAACTCAAAAGCCTGATTCAAAAAAATATTAAAATGAATTTTCTACCCAGCATTTTTGAGCTGAAAAGCTAGATATCAAAATAAAAAAAAATGATAAGATCGGAACAGAAAAAAATCAAACTAATGATGAGAAATGAAATAAAAAACAATTAATTGGTGTGTCTGATGTTAATTCGATTTGTACATAGTTCTGGCTAGTTAGTAGAGAACAGAAAAACACACAAAATACAGTATTTTTATAAATTTTTCCATGATAAAAAAATTCCAGCAAAAATAAAAACTTTGAGCGTTTTTTGATGATATTCATAAATATAAAAAATGTCAGTCACATGAAAAATGTTTACTTTTCCACGACGGACAAATTTATTAGATGTTTTCTATCATCGAAAAAAAAGAAGATGAATAATATTTTAAGACTTTCCGGATTATTTCGTTTGACTAACTAATCCTTTTTTTTTGAAAAATTTGATTAAATGAGCATGGAAAAAAAAAGAATTTTATGACATTCACAGTTATAATTTATACTGTTTGAATTGTTCCAGCGATGTTGGATTTCGAATCGATGAGGCTTGTTTGACTGGATTTCCACTGATGATTTGTTTGACGGCGACTTCGACTTTTTTGCCACTTGATGTGTACTGAAAGATTGTTTTTGATTAGATATTTCTGAGAGGCTCAAAACATTATTTGAAAATCCAAGGTTTCTAGAAGCTCTAAAAATCTCACCGGAATATCATCCACAGGTAAAATCAAATTCGGCACATGTCTCGGCGACATATCCGACCTCAGCTTGGCCTTGATTTTTTGTTGAAGGTTTTGATCGAGAACTTGTCCAGGTGCCATTTTGACAAACAGCAAAACTTGTTCATCTTTACCTTCTTCGCTGAAAAACTTTACTGAATTTCACAGAAAGTCAACTCAAACTTACACTAATCGTCCAGCCACAATCGAGTCAGCAATTTCACGGAAAGTCTCAACAACTGAATAAATCTCAGCAGTTCCGATTCTCACTCCACCTCGATTCAACGTCGAATCCGATCTTCCCAACATCTCAACACCTCCAGTTTCATAATTGATTTTCACAAAATCACCATGCGCCCAGAAAGGTGGCAAGCGTGCAAAATAAGTGTCCCAATATTTGGTGCCTTCTGGGTCATTCAAGAAATGCGATGGCATTGATGGAAACGGTGTTACACATACCAATTCTCCTTGCTCATCGGATTTTGTGATTTCTTCATCTGAAATTTTCACAAAATTGTTTGTTGTTAAAATTAAATTCCTTTGCTTTTAAATTAGAAATTTATCAATTTTTATTTTTTAGATGTGATTTCTACCCAGATTCAATGCGTGGCTCCTTGATTTCTTGATTAACTAGCTCTCAAGGCGTGGCTCCTTGACAGATTGACTCTCAAGGAGTGGCTCCTAGACATTATGCCCCTCAAGCAACTTATTGACAGACTGACTTTCTAGGCGCGACTCCTAGCCAGACTGGTCTTCGAGGCGTAATTTCTTGATTGACTAGCTTTCAAGGCGTGGCTCCTTGACAGATTGACTCTCAAGGAATGGGTCCTAGACATTATGCCTCTCAAGCGACACCTTGACAGACTGATTTTCTAGGCGCGAGTCCTTGACAGACCTGTCTTCAAGACGTGATTTCTTGATTAACTAGCTCACAAGGCGTGGCTCCTTGACAGACCAGTCTTCAAGGCGTGATTCCTTGACAGACAAGTCATCAAGCCACCTTTAAAGACTGACTTTCTAGGCGCAACTCCCTAAGCGCAACAAAATAGCTCTCAAGGCGCGACTCCTAGCCAGACTGGTCTTCAAGGTGTGGCTCCTTGACAGATTGACCCTCAAGGAGTGGCTCCTTGACAGAGCCAGTCGTAGGTCCTAGCTCGTTAGAAGTTCAGAATTCCAAACTCACCATTAGCATCAACCGACTTCACATCCATACCCAAAAAGAAGCATTGACACTCTCCCGGTGTAATCGGCAACGAATGAACACCACCAACAAAACAGCCAATAATATCGGTTCCGCCAGAAATTGAGCCAATCAGGGCTCCGGGTGCAATATAAGTGTTAATATAAGTGAAACATTCTTTTTTGAGCGGTGAACCCGTTGAATAAACTGTCTGAATGTGCGATAAATCGTATTGATGTTCTGCAAAAAAGTTTATGAGGTTTGAAAAAATAGGGAGCTTTGGGAGGAGACTTACTAAAATCTATATGAAGTCTATAATACTCGTCGTAAATTTTTGCGCCCATTCCGATCATTGTGCACTTTGTGAGGGCTGCGATCTGGAAAAATTCTGGGGTTGATGTTCTAGTTCAAAAGATACTAACCTTAATTAGAATATGCGCATCAGGATCAAGAGGTGATTCATCAAAAAGAACCACAGAACCTTTAGAATATAAAAATGAAATCATCCAATTATACATCATCCATCCACAAGTTGTATAAAAGAACATTCGATCATTTTGCTTCGAGTTTCCTTGAATCAAATGTTCTTCAATATGTTTCAAAAGTGTTCCACCAACAGTATGAACCATAGCTTTTGGTATTCCAGTTGTTCCACTGCTAAACATCACAAATAACGGGTCACTGAATGGCACAGGTGTGTATTCAAATGGTGTTGATGCTTCCAAACTGCTCTTGAAGTCTTCAAAAGAGACGAATTTTTGTGATTCTTGATATTCCGAGATATTGAAATCCTTGAAACTTGATGTAACAACAATTTTCTCCAAGCTTGGAAGACCTTCGACAATTTGATTGATTTTTTCGGTTTGTGAGAAGATTTTTGTTTTGTATGAAATATTGTTGACAGTAAACATGATCTTTGGTTTGACTTGTCTGAATCGATCTAAAACACCAGCTGGTCCAAAATCAACAGATGCTGAACACCAAGCAGCACCAACTGCGGCTGATGCGAAAACCGCAACAAGAGTGTCGTAGGTGTTCGGAACATATCCGCAAACTGTGTCGCCTCTTCCGATTCCAAAATTTCGGAGGGAGGTTGCAATTCTATAGACATCTTCGCGGAGTTCAGCGAATGTGTGATTGGTGAGAGTGGAATCAATGGCTGGAAAAATTTATATGGTTTTTCAGACACTCCACTGAAAATCTATAAAAATCCCTACCCGCATTAATAACCGCAATATCTTCAGCATTTCCACGTTCAATCACATTTTCAGCATAATTCAAAGTCGATCCAGCAAACCATTTTGGACGTTCATTAATTTTCAAAGTTTTATCAATAGCTTGACTATATTTTTGGTGCAATTTCACATCGGCGAATTCAAGAAGCTCTTCCCAGAAGATATCGTAACTGTCACAGGAAAATCGATGAAATTCACGGTAGTCGGCTGGAAAAAAGAGGGTTGGGTTTTCATGAAAACTTTTACTGATTTTTTGGAAACTCTTGAAACCTTAGATCAGGAAATAAATTTCTGGAAAATCTTTGATATCAATTTTCAAATACAAAATTCAGAAATTGCCTGAAAGGCCATTTCACAAACTCACCAAACTTTTTATTGTATTTTTTCTCGATCAATTTTCTCAACATCAATTCCAATGTGTCTAAATTTGCAGGAGGTTTGTAGAAAATTGGCGCCGAATTGCCATTTCCATTTCCATTTCCATTTGATTGGTGAGTGACTTCAACTACTGTCATCTAAAAAACCAAGCTTCAAAAAAAGTACAGTCAAAAGTGAACTCAAAACACAACTAGACAAAAAGAGGTGATATAAAAAAAAAGGTTTCCCAGAAATTTTTATCAGTGGTGTGATTCAAATTAAAAACCGAAACCTTCAATGGCAGAAAAATCATCAGATAGATCAAACGTGAGAATTTTTCTTGTCAGAACTAAACAAAAAAAAAATAGAAAAAAGAAAAACGTTGCGGTCAATGCCAAATAACAATTTTGATAAGGATAGATTAAGAGAATAGCGTGAGAAATGGAGAGATTTTGAGATATTGGGGCAACGTGGGATGGATGATATAGATGATGGATCTTCGATTTCAAAAAATATAGATTCTAGATTGAAAATTGAAGCTTGAAATTGCAAAGATCTTTGATTGGTCATTTATTGGCTGGTGGGATAGATCAAATATCACTGATAAAAATGTGGGGGTTTGCTGATAATAAAAATGAGTTCAGAGAAGGGTTATTTGTGAAGTCTGGGGTTTTCTGATGGGAAATTAGGAAAGGTGATCTCTGGAGTTAGACCTAGAACTTTTAAATCTGAAATTTTCATTCATATTGAAAATGAAGTTGAGTTTTCTAATTTATGTTTTTTATAAAAAATTTCCTAATTTTTTTAAATTGCAAGATCATTTTCAAAAAAAAATCCTCAACATTTTTCTGAAAATAATAATTTTCAATTCTGAAAATATATCTCTCGTTCAATCCAGAAAATAAAAACTTTTCAGATCAAAACGAAATTCTCAAAATCTTTTCAATAAATAAACCCCGGAAGTTTATCATTCTCTCAACAAAAAAGCACAAAAACTACAAATATTTATAGAAAAATTTCAGAATCAAAACAAAAAGAACCACCCACGGAAAATCTGAAACACTTTCTCTATATAAAGCCAATTTTTTCACAACCAGAAGAACGAAGAAAAAACAAAAACACATAATAAAAAATATTTCCAAAAACAGACATCATCTTATTTCCATCTCAATATAAACAAGACAAATTCAATAAACAATCTCTACAGAGTCACGTGCTCTTCTAAAAAATTGGCTCGAAAACAATGAAAAATAAGAAACATTTTATACCTTTCAAAAACACGGCAAAAAATCGCCGCAAAAAAATAGTGCAAGTCGAGTGCGAGAGAATTAGAGATAAAAAGAGACAACAAGGTGAAAAGATGAAGGAGACTTGAGAAAATGCGCTCTGTTGCACACACTTTTTTGCATCATTTTTTTTCTCTTGCAAAGCGAAATTTCCATGTTTTTTTTCTTGGTGAAATAGAATGAATGAGAAAAAAGCGAAGAGATTGGGTAAAAAGATAAAATGCAGTGAAGTTGAAATTTTTGGAGAAAAACAAAGAAAATTGAATTTTTTGTTATTGAGAAATGTCTGGCTTGAAAAAAACTGGCAACACAAGAAAATAATGTTTTTGAAAAATGTATGGAAATCGAAAAAATAGTGGAATTTTATTCAAAAAATCATGCCATTGATGTCAATGAAGAAGGTTTACTGGTAGATTTAAAAAAAGAAAAAAATAGTGGCTCATTTTTCGAAAATCACCTTCCCAAGGTTTTCAAATTGAGAATTGATTAAATTTAAAATCAGATTCCCACATTCTAGAAACATTACATTAACAAATTCACAATGGAGTTTTGAAAAGACCAGTTGAAAATTATTACCAATCTGAAAATTGTGTTGTCCTGAAATAGTTTACATAAGTAGTCTATTTATCAGTAAGTAATAAAATTGGCCTGACTATTTTTCGATGCGCTTGGTGTTCTGATCGAATTAAAATTAAGAAAAGGTTGTTTGACATTAACACTTCCGGTACAAAATGAAAAAAATTATTTGAAGTTTCATAATCACGAAAAAATCTTTGAGAACATGAAATCCAGCAAGACTAAACTCTGGAAAATATTGAAAAAAAAGAAAAACAAGTTTCGCATTTCATCTAACCCTAGAATTTTAAATTCCCAAATCCCGAATGTAGTCTAGTTTCCACACTAACTCCAAATCATACTTCTAGAACAATATTTTCCCTCTTTCTTTCTCTCCCAAACTCTCAATTTCCCCACAATAAACATGACAATTTCCCAATTTCACTGATAGAAAAAAAGCATGCCGATATAGTTAATGCTTTCTGTTATCATCTAACCATTTCCACGTGTTCTCATTATTCTGGGCTATAAAAATTGCCGTGATCACTCATTTTATTTTTTGAATTTTTTGAATTTTTCTAATTAATAAAAATATTCTTAAATTATTATTTTTTCAGAATGAAGTTCGCAATCATCGCTATTTTGGCTATCTTGGCAGTTTTCACTTCGGCCGAATTTTTCGAATGTGAAATGTGTGAGATGGCTGTGAAAATTGTTGTTCCAATGCTAGGACAAGATACCAAAGATATTGAACAGGTAAAAATTGGGACCACATCGGAATCCCGTTCAGGCATCCTTAAAATGGACCCTGTCAAAATTTTTCAAATAAATTTCATTTTTCAGGCCGTCGATGCTGAATGCAAAAAGGAGTTCCACGCCATCCCATTCGCCACCCAAAAATGCAAAAAATTCGTCGACAGCAAACTTCAACCAATCATCAACGAGCTCGAAAATGGAACTGCTCCAAAAGACGTGTGCACCAAATTGACTATGTGCTAACTTTTTTTCTTTTTTGTCTCCACCAATAAAATTTTTTATTTCACAAACTCAAAGTCGCATGATTTCGTGATTACAAAAAAATTCTGATAACAATATTTTTGCCACGTGTTTTTTTCTAACAGTTTTTATGAGGGTATAAAAGAGAAGGAGCAAAATGATAAGTCGAAAATTAATTTTTTCGGAAAAAATGAAGTTCGTTATTTTATTGGTGTTGGCGTGCTTGGCTGTTTTCACCACCGCTGATTTGATCGAATGCCAAATGTGTGAAATGTCGGTGAAGATGGTTGTTCCGATGTTGGGAGAAGATACTAACACTATCAAGCAAGTAAGTCTGATTTTGATTTGAAGTTTCTGATTTCAAAAAATTATGTTTTCAAAACTTAGAATTTGAAATTTTATTTAGACTGCGCAATTTATTAAAATTAATTAACAATGAAAGTTAAAATTGAAATTCACAAAACGAAAATAACTTCTGAATTTTTTTAAACCCCCGACTAACCCTGAATCGACAAAACTGTCACATTCAGAACTCTAAATGCCTACAAAGCGGTTAGGGAAGTTCGTGAACTCTTTGAACGTCTGTAATTTTTCTGAAACCCCAAAAATCCCCACATTTCCAGTCCGTCGATGCTGAATGCAAAAAAGAGTTTCACGCCATCCCATTCGCCACCCAAAAATGCAAAAAATTCGTCGACGAAAAACTTCAACCAATCATCAACGAGCTCGAAAATGGAACTGCTCCAAAAGACGTGTGCAAAAAATTGAGCATGTGTTAAATTATTTTGAATCTGAATTAAAAAAAAAAGAACATCTCACAACACAATGAATTCATTTCTATCATTTCAACTACAGCAACATGGGGGGATAAATATGCGTATTTTTTTTGGATTTTTCGGGATTTTTTCAATTTTTTTGGGGGAAAGATGTTCTAAAGACTACCGAAAATTATTTTTTTTGGATTTTTTGATTTTTTTTTGCAAAAAATAAGATTTTTAGGAGAACGGGAGATCGGTAAAATTTCGGGAGATTTTTTTGAACGGCCTTAGAATTTTCAGAACAAAAAATTTTCAGCTACAGGTTTGCTAGGAAATTATTACGTTTCAAATTTTTGGAAAAAAGTCATCAATTAGCACATAGCTTCTTCTTCAATTACAATTTCATCTTCAACCATAATCTCTTCTTCAACAACAATTTCTTCTTCTTCAGTTTGAAGTGGAACTGTAGTTTCAGCTGGTTTCTCAACTTTTCCATTTTTGCGATTATTTCTAATCGGAACCATCTCAACTTCTTGAACTTGCTTCTTTTTGCAACATCTTCTCCAGAATCTCGGCTTCGCTTCAACATCCTCTTCTGGTTTTGGAATATGTTTAATAACCATGTTGTATCTTCTTCTACCATCTGGTGTATTTTGAACATTCACAGTGTACAATTCTTCTTTGGTGAAGATTTGTTTGGCGGTAAGTCGGAATTGTGCAGACATCCAGCAATAGATTGCAAATTGAGCTGGGGCAGAGAGCAAGAGACTCAAATTACGAAGTGGGATGATTCGATTGACAACATCAGGCCAGGCTTCAAATTTCATGACTTCGATGCGCAAGAGGAAGTTTCCAAGGTGAATGACGAATGCAGGGAATTCAAGGAGCAGGAACCAACCACAGACTAGGAAGAGCAATTTGTTGGTTGAGTTGATTTTACGACCACCACAGACTACAGTTGAATATTTTCTGGAAAAAAATAATTGTGAAAGGTTCTTGGGAAGTGAAATGTGTTTTTAAAATATTTCATTTGGACTTTCAAAGACCCTCTGAATTAAATCTGGGTCTTCTAAATTTTCCAAATCTATTTTTTACCTTGAACTTTGACCAACAATCGACATTTTCTTTTGTTCCGCACGCTTCATGCAAATAGCCAATTTGGCGGTGAAGAACTGCAAAAAAATGATATTCAAAATACCAGGTGAGTTTCCCTAACTCACAGTCAACAAAATGCATGGAACAAGATGGAAGAATGATCGAATCCAGAAGTTGATTTTGGTAAACATTTCAATTGTGATGAAATCGTAGACGAATGGGGTGTAGAACAAGAAATTGTCGACTTCTGTATGGTTCTCGAAGGTGATTGTTACGGTGACAATGTATCTCCCGAAGATTTCTGGGCAGATTGAGAGGAAGCACATCTGGAAAATTAATATTGAGAAAAATTCTACTCTGAAACTCCGATCTCAACTAACCGCATAGATTCCAAAAAGAACAATAAAAGTGATTCTCTTGCTGCAATATTTTGTGACCATGCTTGGCTCCGAGATGTATAAATATCTTTGAATGGCCAAGTATACAGTAACCCAGGAAGCCGATGAATGGAAAAACAATGGAAGAAATTTGAAGAGCCAAATGAATCCAACACATTTCAAATATTCCGGAATAACCAAAGAATCTTCAAGATTCGCGCTGTGAACTCGATAATGATGCTCACCAAAATCTTGAAGATACATTCCCATCGAATAATAATAAATTGCCCAGGATGATGAAGTGAGTCCGGTGAACAAATCATTGATGGAAATTGATATCAAGATATAATTGGTGGCGTTGCGAAGATGTTTGTGGAAGAGAATTGTTAACATGAAGATGTTGATGGTTGTTGAGAGGATGACAGTCGGTGGTAATGCGTAGCCATAGATTGGAAGCCCCCATCTCTGCTAATTTTGTTTTGGTTGATACATATTTCGAAATTGCAATTTTTCGACTTACCAATGGTATTATATCTGGGATTTGGAGCTTGGTGCAATGACCTTCCTCGTTCTGGAAAAAATGTTTTCAGATTTAGATTTTTTATTCAAAAAAAAAGATAGATTTCAGATTTTTCCTTCAACTTTCATGCGGTAAACATGCTTTTCTTCATCAGAGAATCGTGCTAAACGAAGGAAAATTTGTGGAATTCCAAAACTTACACAAACACGACAAATGGCTTTCAATGAAAGGTTCTGAAATATGGGTGTATTAGATCAGCCAAAGGTGTGTGATTGTTAGTGCCACAGTTCAAACTACATACATATTTTTGAAATTTCAAGGCATTTTACCAACGTAAGACAAATCGTACATATTCCCCCCGGGTTTGAGAACCACAAAATCCCCCATCCTTGATCTCCAGACTTCCTTGCGGGTTAATACATTTTCACATGCAGTGCTTTTGCTAAACTCTGTGCTGGGTGTTAAAAAAAGGACAAGCAATAATGAATGATGTAATTCGCCAAAATCTTCGTGAGATTCATTTTTCATGGCTGTTCGTTTTGATTTGTTGATTTTGCATATTTACACGCACACACAAGCAATATTTTTTCCCAGTTTTAGTTCTAAAACTTTCTCAAAATATTTCAAAGTTTCAGACAGACAAAACGAGTCCAAGTCGTTTGGAAATTTTACAAATCTAATCAAAAGTTTGTTTGAGAATTGAGTTATCCGAAAAAAACATGGAGGGAACATGTATTCAAATTTTTCCGATGATACATTTTTTTCAGATGTTTTGTAGTTGCTGGCAAGAATACTGTACTCCAAGAATTCACGTCATAAAAAACACAATTTCAACTTCAATTTTATTCAGATACGGTACATCTAACTTTGTTTCGAAATCATTCCATTTGGCAGAGAAACAAAGAGTCTGATAGAAGCTACCGTACTTTGGAGGACGAAGAATCTAGCGAAGTCAGAGCTGAAATTCAACACGTGAATTTCGCCAAGTCGCAATTTTTGATGGAGCCATAGAAACCAAGAGCCAATAGATGACGACATTTTTGATAGCCGAAAAATGTTGAAGCAGAACACATCACTTTGAACAGCTACAGTAATCCAGAATAATTGTGTTTTTTTGCTGTCTTTGATCTATGAAATGTTCTTCTTCCTCATAATATTTTTTCCCTCGATTAATTATTTTAATTGTTCCAATTATGACGATTCCCCCAGACTTTCCATAGATGTACCCTGGATAGAACCTCGTTCGTATATAATCAAAAAAAAAACAAAAAAAAACCGGGAAAAAAATTGAAAAATTCCAAAAAAGGACCAGCAAAACTAGGAAACTCATGAATATTTTATCTCGAAATTTATTCAGTTTTAGAAATGAACCGCAAGATTTTTTCTGAATGTGAATATATTCACTCATGACATTAGGAGCTCTTTAGAAAGCTTTTTAGAGAAGAGTTAGGCTAACTCAAAAAATAAACAACTTACAGCTATTTTATCGATGCGTGGATAGACGGAGATGTTGGCAAAGACCATACCATACATTTCATTGGCGTCACCATTGAAGCTTGCGATTGGAATAGCTGCCGTTGGAATAGTATAATTCGGATTTCTTTTAGGAGGGAAAACCGAGTTCGACATAGTGCACTGAAACTCAAACTGACTGAGAAGCTCCTGCTGCTGCTGAAAAAAATGGGCGGAGCTAAGCTTGACGAAAAACCGATGAGGGGAGAAAAGGGGGGGGGGCTTCTCAATTTTTCTCAACTAATTAACCGCCCCGTGTATCTATGTATGTATGAAATGTGAATGTGTGAGTGAATGTGTGTCCTTTTTTTTGAGAGAGCAAGCGCTCGAAATGGAAATACATGTGTTTGAAAGATGCAAAAAAATAACGTATACTGAATGAATTTTGGATGAGGATTTGTTGCTCGTGATTCTTTTTTGGAGCCAATTGTTTTTCGAGAAAAATGGATGGGAAATGTTGAAGACCACTGTGGTTTTTTTTGGGTGGGAGGATAAAAGTTGGAAAATATGCTTCGTGGGTGGTCGAATTCTGGAAAATTTTGGGAGAACATGAAACATCTTGGGTGGTCTAAGATTTGAAATTTTTTCTGGAAATCTTTCTAGATTTTTTTTGGAAGAAATTGGAACTTCTTCAAAATTGTTGAGCTGTTTGGATGATGAAATGTTAAAACTTCTTGGGTGGTCTAAATTTATTAATTTTTCTAAAAACTTTTTCTCAATTATGTAGATGGTCTAACCTTATGAACCTCTAGAGTAAGCTGAAAGTCAAAACTTCGTGGGTGGTCAAAATTTATTTGATTTTTCTAGTGGTATTATTTTTCTTAATTCCTTATGTTAGATATTCTAACCTTATGAACCTCTCGATTAAGCTGAAAGTCTAAACTTCGTGGGTGGTCTAAATTTATTTTATTTCTTTAGTGGTATGATTTTTCCTAATTCCTTAGATGGTCTAGGATTATAAACTTCTGTCTGTATCTTTTAAAAAACTTCGTGGGTGGTCTTATTCTTTAAATGTTCTGTGTGATCGTTTTCAGAAATATTTTTGAGCTAGTTTTTTCCATTTACTCTCTGGGTGGTACTATATTTCTAACTTCGTGCACTTTCTGATTTTGAAAATCTTCGTGGGTGGTCTTAATTTTAGAAATATGTAAGTTTCTGCTTGGGTGGTTAAATGATCTCTGAATGTGAAAAAAGTTTTAAAATTAAAAAAGTCACACAAGAGTCAAAAAATTCGATGAAAATTAGACGAACATTTTTCTCTTCCTTTTCAATATATGTCCTTGAAAAAATGCGAATTTTCATTTTATTCTGGAAAAAAAAAGAAATAATTGTATGTATATTGAAAAAATCGTCATTATTTATTAATCCGAATGAAGCAACCACATCTGTTTTCGCGGAATCAAATTTGGACCACCAATATTTCATGCGGTGTGGTCTAAAATTATTTGCCGTGCAAAATTGCTGGACATTTTTCATCGACTTAAAAAATTCCAGGGGAAGAATCCAGTTACAAAGAAACATCTCGAATTTTTTGCCCTGATCAAATCAAAATCAAATAAACAACGCGTATGATATAAGTGTTTGAGACAAATAAAAATCTCGACTTTCTTCAATAAAAATATTATTTTTTTTTGCTTTTACCTCATAATATCCTCTCATTTTCAATTCTATTATCCTCAATTATACATAATAACAATGCCGCTTAATGAAGAAGTTATTAATTGTGGTAAGTGCAGCAAATTTTTTTTTCCAGCTTTTTCCAGAAGTTCATTAATTTTTTAATCTACTTATGATACATAAGTAATAAAAAATGGGAAAAATGTACTCGTATAGTGTGCCTACAATTTTGGAAAATTTCTTGGAAAAAAATCCCTGAACTCTTGAGTTTCCAGAAGTTGCTCAATCTTCTCTGCTCCGTAAACGACTTGTTCAAAGTGAACTTTTGGCCACGTCACACAATTCGTTGGCAGAGGAAAAGTACCGTAGGTAAAACTTTATTTTCTGGAACAAAAATTGAACCAAAAGACCGTACTTTTTCGGGGAAATTAGTCAAATTTGAAACTGATATATAAATATTTACATGTTTAAAAAACACGTCAGAAAAGTGCGAAAAAATTGAACCAATTTTTCCCTCATTAAAAATACCGTATACGTTCTACCTCCTCCTGAAACGTCAGGAAAAATTGAACCAATTTTCTGCCCATTAAAAATACCGTACTCTTTTTCCTGAAAAGAAAATTAGTCAAATTTGAAACTGAATATGTACATACATAAATGTTCTATTTTTGAACTTTTTTTTTGCCGCGGCCAATTATTTTTTTTTTGCCTTCGGTCTTTTTAATGAGGGAAGTTTATAAGGAAAATGGGACTTTTTTCTTCTTTGGAATTTGAACGCTTCCAGTCTTTCAGCAAAAAAACAACCAAATAAATGAATGAATGAACATTCGATTTTTGAGGAGTTCGAATTAATGCTCAAATCCAATTAGACTTTGTGCACTAAAACCATTCATTACGAAACAAATTGTGTGTGGTCTTTTGTTTCAAGATTTTTTTTGGGGAGGAAATGGATGGGGTGCGAGTTGCTGAAAGGTTTTTCGACAGTTTTTTTTTGAGATTCAATTTGGGAAACACTTTGAGAACGAAGCAAACTTTGGAAATGGGGGGTTTTTGGACTACAAAAAAATGTTGTTGAAATCTGAAAATTTCCAGGGAAAACAAGTATGAATCATGTGCAATTTGAAAAACAGGGATTGAGAAAATCTACTATGTATTTGGAAGTAAATTATTATATATACAGAACTTCTGTAACAGAAGATCTCAAGTTCCTAAAATCAAATTAAATCGATTAAAAAACTTCAAGAACACCCTTAAATTATTTTTCAAAGTTCTTAAACTTCAAGAGAATACTCATATCTCTGCGCTTCACTATCTTCTCTGCAAAACATCTACTCTCCATCACCGCATCACCCAGATTGTGCCGACAAAAATATGTGTTGTCTAAATGTCCGTCGACAATCTTGTTGTGAAGCACCTTCAAAACATCATCATTCGACCCATTGCTGTGTTTTCTATGAGGTAAGAAGAAGAAAAAGCACAAAAAAAATTTCTCCGAAAAATCAGCAAGAGGAATAGAGAGCGGGAGAAAAAGAAACTGACCAACTGCTTTTTCGAATAACCGATTTTGAAGATGGGAAGAAAAAAAGAAATTGATAGCCTAGTGTATATTTTTTCGCAGGGAGCACGACACGTTTTGGAACTTTTTTTCGAAATTTCTTTTTGTTTCATGTTCTATATGATTTTAAGCAATTTGTTTTTAGGGTTTTATCAAAGATCTGAGGAATTTAATTCTAATTTTCCAATTCCTAAAGATTCTTATTTAAATTTTAGAATTTGTGAGTTTGGTATTTTTCAAAATAAAAATTATTCATTGGAAAAATTATTAGAAATTTGAAATTGTGATAAAAAACAATTTCAAGAGATTCTTGAAGATTTTCATAATTTCTGAACCTGAGATCTACAAAATCTTGAGTTTTTTTTTGAAACATTTTTGAAATTCTTTGTTTCCTATTGCGGTTTCCAAAGAAAAAATATAACTAAAAATGCGAAAATATATTGTCCAAAGTCTAACTGTCTGCGTCTCTCGAATATACACACTATTTCTCTGTTTCGTGTCTGCGTCTCTCGAATACACACACTATTTCTCTGTTATGTATTCCGAATATAAGGCGAGCTTTGTACAATATATTCTCGCCTGTTTTGCTACATTTTTTACTTTGGATATCGCATAAATACTTTTCTCTACATTGAAATTTGTCCAAAAAAAAACACAAAAAACTTCATTTTATCGCATTTCAAACCAAGTTTCAAATATGTTTCTAATTTTCATTAAATTCTTTGTTCTCTCACCTTTTTTCATTCAATTTCAAAAAGTTCATATCAACCCACAATTTTTCAAGTACATCTCATATAGTTTTCATTTTAGTTCAGTTTCTCATATTTATTTACCCTCCACGGGATCAAAGAAAATCTTTCATATTTATTCTATTTTTTCGTGATCAATTTTATTTTCCTTTATTTTTTTTTGTCAAATTCTCGTATAATTTTTTTCTTGTTTTTCAGTTTCAAAAAGGTTGTGCAATTTCGCAGGTTTTCTCTAGACAAATTCCGAGTGTCGGAATAATAAAATCATTTTTTATACGTATAATAATTTTCAATAAAAAATTTCATCATAATAATCAATAGGAAAAATGTTGGATTTATTCAGAACAGCAAAGGGAGAATCTAAACATGAAGTTGTAAGTGTTAACAGTTTTTTTTCTCATTTTTGTAGATAAAAAAGATCACGATCAGAGAACACAGAAAAACTTCAAGTCATTTTTTATAGAACGAAACAAATGCTTCGACTTCTTCTAACACTTGGTTGGCAAAAAAGAAACATTTTCGGGATACGGAAGAATGGAAGATTAAAAAGACTAGGATTTTGAAGAAATTACGAGCGTTATCAAAAATTAATTTGGCTATGGTGCTGTCTAGAATGCCGGTTAGTTTTTTTTGGGGATTTAGGGCTGAAATACAAAAAAATCACTGATGATTTGGGTTGAAAAATAGAATCACGGTCTCCAAAAGTTTACCAGAATTTCAAAAAAAAAATGTTCAACAGAGCAAATTTGATGTTTGGGGATTGGAAAGTGACCAAAACTATGTGATTTCTAAAAAAAACACAGTGTGCACATAATTCGGTCCTGCAGAAAATATCTTGCAAACACTGTCTTGGGCTAGAATTTAATTTAAATTTAAATTTAAATTATCTATTGAATATCAAATCCATGCTGAAATCCTCTTTTGATGTTTTTCACATTCATAATTTTCTGTCGAATTTTTTGTTCTGAAATTTTAAATTTTTCTGCAAACCTTTTCCGAAATTTTTTCTATTCAAATGCCGAAGAAATTCAATTTCGCTTTTTAACCCCAAGTTTTTCTTTCAAAAATCTTTGAAAAATCTATCTTTCAAATCTATTGAACTCATTTTTTATACTTCCAAGTTTCCTCATGTCCATGGGACGGATATTATCAATTTTTCAATTCATTTTGATGAATATTTTGAGTTTCCGGCATGGGTTTTCCGGGAAATGCATTATTCCTGATGACGAAAAATTTCTTGTTGAATTCTGCGAATTGTCAGATGCATTTTCCAATTTCCTGAAAGTTATTATTTGTGTTTGGTTAATTTGAATTTGAATTTTTTTTTGATTTTAGTTTCCAAAAATGAAGACTAAACTATTGAATTTGATAAATTTCTCAGTTTTTTCAGAAACAAAAATTTTGAGCTGAAAATTAATATCAAAGCTACAGAAATCTGAATGTGAGATGAAATTTTTCAAAATGTTCGAACTCTTGAAAAAAAATTTTCAATTCGGTAGAAATAATTTGTTTTTTCGCTATCATTTCCGACTGTAAAAAGGCTTCACAATCTCCGTTTTTCATTGATATTTTTCAAGTTCTAATCCAACTTATTGTTCCCCAATAAAGTGTCAAATCCTCCCATAGTTTTTTGCCTTCTCTTATTCTATGCCTTCTTTTCAATATCTCCCACACACAGCTGACGGTTTTATTTCTTTTTTCTCTTGATCACAAACAAACACACACAAAAAATGACAGCATGTGCTCAAAAACAAAGAATAGGAAAAAGAAGAAAAAAGTATCTTCTCCCTTCGTTTTTTTCATTTTTCATATACAATTTTTTGCCATCTCGTGAGCTTTTCTCTCATTTCCCGTGAGCTTTCTCATCGTTTCATTTCATTTCATTTCACACACATACAAAATTAAGTGTGAATTAGGTTTTTTGTTCGTTTTTTCTCTATTTGTGGTACATATTTCCAAAAATCTAAAAATCCAGAGATGACGGCGATCTACGATATGACACGCCGTGTCACAATGCACGATGTGAATGCTGATATAGACAACGATTATGACGATGAGAATGATGCGGATGTTAATGATTTTTTTGCGCCCGATAGTTCGCATAGATATCACAATCGTCAGCAATATGTTAGGATTTGGGGGGAACTATCTGGAAATTCAGCTTACCAAAAAAAAATTAGCAACATTTATTTTCGTTTCAAAACTTTCGTAATCAAATTGAATTTCTAAATTTTGTAGTAGATGTATAATTTTCTACCAAAAATCTGTAGATTTTTTCAAAATTTCTCTTCAATTTTTGCATTGCAAAACTGGGGTAACCGAAAATTAGAAACATCAATTGTCAGTAATTTTTTTTAGGAATCTGAAATTTAATAATTTAATTTGAAAATCATCTCAAAAAAGTTTTCAGAATTTGAGGAAAGTCATTAGAAACGAATTGTTTTTTGATTTTCTATTATTCACAAAAAATAATTTTCAGAAAAAAAGAACTTTCAGAATTCCAAAAATAACTCCAAATCTCAAAATTCTCCAAAACCTCCCTTTTTTCCAGACAATCGAAAAACTGCCCGACAAAGTTCTCCTTCACATCTTCCAATATTTATCAGCAAAACAAGTAAGTTATTCTAACTCCTAAACTTCCAACTCCCTCTCATCAGATTCTTCAAACCGGTCAAGTATGTAAACGTTGGCGCAGTGTTTCGTGCACACCAATGTTATGGCGATTTGTCTCATTTCGCCCAAATTATGGTGGAATTCAAGTGTCTCAAACCGGACAAGATCATTTTTTGCAACTTATTGGAACTAGATTTTCTGAATTGAGGATTTGTGAATTGGCGACTGATTTGATTACACCAAATGTTTTACATGAGCTTGGAAACAAGTGTCCGAAATTGCAATATTTAACGCTAGGTGGGTTAGACCACCCAAGAAGATTTATCAAAATGTTGTTCCAGATTTCTCAACTGCTATGCAACTTCACGATTTCACAGATTTGCAAACATTCCCATCTCGTTTAAAATCCCTCACACTTTGTTTGTCGGAAAACATTTTTCTTGAAGGATTCTTGAGAAAAGTTTACACTTTTATTTCTTCTGTTGAGACTTTACACATTATAGGTTTGAACAAAAACAGGAAAAAAAAACATCGATCTATGACATTTTTTTCAGGAACTTATGAGAAAGTGGAAGACGAAGAGGAAGAGGTTTATGAGACTGTGAATGTTTTCAAACTCAAGCAATTTTTACCGAATTTGAGGGTTGTGAATCTTTGGGGTGTTCCATTTATCACTGATGAACATGTTGATGCGATTTCTTCAAATTGTGCACATTTGGAATGTTTGTGTGTGAATTATTGTCCAAAGATTACTGGGTCTTGTTTGAAAAGTGTACTTCAACGGTGTCGAAAATTGAAGACACTGTTCCTAGCGCATACAAGTGAGTTAGGGGAAGTCAAATATTTTTCAAAAATTCATTCCTAATTTCTAGAACTCGACAGTAACATCATCAAGCAAGTCGAATGGGAAAAAACACGAATCGAAGAACTCGACGTCAAAGGTACTGAAATCACCTCTGAAGCCTTGATCAGTATCCTAACTCGACTGAGCCATCTCCGCTGGCTCGATGCCAGTTGGCTAGAAAATATGACTGATCAAGTTTTGGAAGCCTGGCAAAATTCAAATTCAATGGGCAGTTTGCAATTTCTCAATCTTGATACTTGTGATTCGATAAATGAACAAGCATTGGTGGATATGATTAAGAGGCATGGACATCAATTTCATGGTTTATGTTTGGGTGGGCAGCATAAGTTATTGGAGTATTTTTGGATGAATATGATTCCACAGTTGAAAAATATTAGGTGAGTTTGGAACATAATTTTTTTTAATTAGCAAAATTGATTTCTAATGTTAGCCTAAATTCTCTTTGTTTGTAAACAAAATGCATATACATAGACGAAGATAATCCTCGGAAATGTCAAATTTCCGATTATCAAGGAAATTTGTTTTCTAGAAAATGTTGCAATTTAAATTGATTTATGATCTTCGATATTTTTCAGAGTGCTAGTCATGGGAATCGCCGAAGATTGTTGTCCAAAAGTCGTCGCGAAAATCCACGTGGATCAATTTATCGATTGCATCGCCCAAAATTGTCCCAGACTAACTCGAATGGAAATTCGTTGGGACGATGAAACATTACGGTTTTCAGACAAATCTAGCAAATTTATCGATGTTTTGCGTATGAAATGTCTCATGTTACATGCAATAGTTCTTTCCGATGGTCAATATTATGAGCTTGTGAGAAGCAATTTTGAACGTGCCGATCGAATGAGTGTTGTCAGGTTTGTGAATTTTTGATCCTCTCTAAATCCCTAAAATTGGATTTTGTTACATTTTTCTGATAAGTGACTCATGGGATTAGTTCTGATTCTTACTCTTTGTGTTTTTTTTTCCAGAACAACTGAAATGTGTCGAACCGGACTTCTTCATTGCTCTCGATACTTTACACAACTTTTATTTAATTGATTGAAAAATAAACATTTTTTGAACTTGAAATGAAATTTTAAAAAATTAAAAAATAAAAAAAAATAGGGGATTTAATGAATACAATCTCTGGATTCTCCTGGATATTCACCAGCTAGTTGGATGGTTCCAGCATCGTAGGTTTTTGATGGATTTTTGCCGTGGGAAACATAGGCGTCTGGGATCTTGATTCCGAATTTGCGTTGGCATGGCTGGAAAAAAAGGTTTGTGAGGAGCGTGGGTGTTGAATCAGAGGGACTTTTTTTTCTAGGGGCGTGTGAACATGGATGATTATTAATCTTCCATATTGATTTTGAAACATTCTGAAAAATCTCAGATTCATCAAGTGAAATTGTATTTTCTCAACTTCAATGATATACAGAACTTTTATTTGAAAATTCTTGATCTGACAATTAATCTAGATCTTTGTAATTTCAACGCTGAACTCTCTGAGCTCCGTTCAAAAACCAAGAATCTGAAATCCCAAAATTCAAGGTGCTTCAGCTCTACTCATAAAACTCCAGAAAACGATCACATCCCTCTACAAACCTTGATTCCATCGTTGCAATCATGATAGATGTTCAATTTTGGGTCAATAGTGGTGTATTCCTTGGTCCATCCAGAAAGATGGAATTGTCCGTTAGCATCAGTAGTTCCAGAATCCATCAAATCATCCGAATCAGTTCTGTCAACATCCCACAATTTCACCAAGACACCAGCCGCTGGACGATCGTTGCAAATCAAACGTCCGGTAACCTGGAATTTTATTTTTCCAGATTTTTTATTTTTTATCATATGACTTGATGTGTCACTAATCTCTCTAGAACACATACACATATTCTGTGTGACTAATTCGTATTTTTTGTAAATGTCAATTATCGGATTAGTAAAATAGAAAATATGAAAAAACTCACCGCTGATGATTGATCGCGCCCAAACATCTCAATGGCACCAACAGCTCCCACCAAAAAGACAGCCAAAACAAACGATTTCATTCTGAATGAATCTCGAAGAAATGAGTTGAGTCAAGACAATTTTCAGGCTTAAAAACAATTGGATTGAGACAGAAACAGCTGTCAAATGATTTATCGAAACAAAATAGATATTGAGAAAACACACGTATTGATTAGAAAAAATGGATAGACAAGAAGAAACAAAATTCGCCAGGAGGGCGGGAAAACAATGAGTCATGGTCATACATTAGAATTTTTAATTTTCCCGTGAGTCATAGTCATACGATTGTTTCCTTGTTTTCAACTGCTGGCAGGCCTGGATTGCCGAAAAATGCGGTGATTATTCCTTCACTAACAAATAGGCCGCAGGAGAGTAAAGAGAAGATCTGGAAAATATGGATTGTGAGATATTTTTTTGAATTTGATCAAGAATTATTCATTGAAAATTGATAGCAGTTAGTAAATTCTAAGGAAAAATTTCCGGATTGTTTAATTTTTGTTTTATTTTTTATGTTTTTGAAAATCTGGGCCAATCGTATTTTTCATGATGACGTTGAAATCAAAAAAAAATTTTTTTCAATTCTGGAACCATGATTTTCCTCTTCAAAGTTCAAAGCTTTTTCCGTGAATTTCTTCCTGCCATATTGAAGTTAGGGTAATTCAGATTAAAAAAATTTAAGACTATTTTTTTTTCAAAAACTTATTTTCACATTAGATACTCAAAAACCAGCCATGGTTCCATCACTTTAAGTTGTAAAAACTTTTTTTCGCAATTTTTGTTCACCCAGCTAGAGTAGGAAGTGTGTTCTAATGCATTAGAATGCCAAAGTCTCAAATTTCAAAATTGTGTGTGTGTTGATTATTTTTCAACATGTTGGCGTCAAAAAGCATAACTTCAATGTTCATGAATTCTAAATTGGATTATCTCTTGTTTTTGACGCAAAATTCAGAGGCTTCATGAACTTTAGAAGTTCAAATTCTTGATCAAAAAGCCTACCCCTGCCAAAGCCCATCCATTGATCGCACATCCCGAGCTCATATCATCCAAATGGTATTGTGAAACATATTCATCCAACCATGGACACGTCGAATAATGCATCTCCAAGCCGAAAACAAAAAGTGTGAATGGAACTGCGCCAAAAGCATAACACATACACTGAAACCCCCAATTGTATGCTTACAAAAGAAAATTAAAAAATTAAAAAAAAAATAGAAAAATACCGTGATTTTGGGCGTGTTGATGTTGAAAATATAGAAAAATTGGAGGGAAACTGTGGAGAAGAGCAGGAAAATTGTGATACAGGCTGAGAAATATTGACCAGATAAATTGAGCATTCGGAAGGTTTCGGGTAACTCGTCCGTGTTTGGATCGTAGGTCCATTTGTTGGGAGAAAGCATTAGGTCCTGGAAAAATTTAAATTTGATTGTTATCGAAATTCAGATTTTTTAAATATTTTCGCTAGAAAGATTTTCAGATACTTTTTTTCCAAAGTTCCCATTTCAGTAGTTTCAAGTTTCAGAGTTTTTCAGATCCTTTTTTTAATTTTAATCATTTTCCTGTTGAATATTGTTAATTCTTTTTATCCTTGCATCAAAACCTTTTTCAATTAGAAAAATGTATCCCTAATTTTGTGAACAAGTTCCTAGAATCAATTCCCTCTTTAATAAAATTAATTCAAAATAAATGTCGTTCTTTGTGCTGGATTATACTAGACTAGACTTATCAAATTTTATTTGATTGCATAAACTTTATTTGAATTTTTTTCTTCATTGAAGAAATTTGAATTCGAAAGCATCCCATTTCCTTTTTTCCCCTTTAAATGTCAAAAATTAAAAATCAACAAGTGACAAAGTGAGAGTGACATCAGATTCTGAAACACCTCAATATTTACGTCAACATGAAATTAATTTTTCTAATTCCAAATAGTTTAATCCGATTTCAAATGTTTGGCTCACTAAATCTTTTTCTAAAAGTGCCCTTCATCGAAAAATACCTGATATCGATTCTCATTCTGGACTTGATATTTTCCGAATCCGGTGAAAATCAGGATGTTTATTAAAATGAGCAGCACCAAATTTGCAATTCTAATCGAAAATGTGATTTTTGTCGCGCTAACATCATCATTTCTTTGAGTTTCGACTTCCGACTCCAACGCTTGGGCTACCAAAATTAATCGATTCAAAGTTCCCGTCGAAACTTTTCTATCATTCTGGAAAAAAATGAAAAAATTCACAGAATCAGAACCTCAGAAGGATTCAGGAGTTCAGGAGTTAGGAGAAAAAACTTCTAGAAATCCCCCAAAAAATACCTCAAATTTTTCCTGTTTTTTTGATTTCGAAGAAGACACCGGAACACTCATTGTTCGACAAGCTCTCTGTAAAAATTTCAACTGGATAAATTTAAAAAATGTTGCTCACCTTGTTCACAATTTTCTCCATATTCGTGAATTCTTTGTCAATTGTCACTTGTTTTTTCATTTTTATCTGAAAAAATTTGAGAATTTTTTTTGAAAAAAAGAAAATATTTTTTGGAAGAAAATGAGAAAAATGATGTGAGGCTTGAGATTTTATAGAAGGAATTTTCTAATTGAACTTTGTGGGTACTGTAAGTGGCATTTTCTTAATTAGGAAATTGGGGAAGTCCAAAAAAATCCCAAGAGAAATATTTGCGTAATATTTTTCAAGTTATGACGTGGCGAAATTCAACTGTAGTTTTCATCCGGATTGAAATTTTGAATTTCAAAATCTTCTTGCCACGTCATAATCATAAAACTCCAAAAATAATCTTTTGAAAAAATTATCCTAGCTGAAAGCAGATTTGTTTTTATATAAAAAATTTTGCATGAATCCCTTGTGAACTTGAACTTTCCAATTAGAAAAGGTTAGACTACAGTACTCTTGAAAAGTACAAAAAATATTTTTGGAATATTTTTTGGCAAAAAATCTGAGAAAGAACAAAATAGTTAATAAAAAATTTGGTTAATAAATTTTTTAGATAATTTTCAAAATTGTTGAATTATTAAAATTTCCCAAAAAAATTCCAGAAAAAGAAGAAAACCTTGAAATTATTGTATGTAGTGTTCTTAATCATGGATGATTTCATTTTGATAATAATCCAGAAAGGATTATCTCAAAAACGAGCGAGTGAGAATGTTTTTTTTTCAAGAAATTCAAAGAAAAAAATCAAAAATGCTGTGATCTACAAATTTATAATGTGAGAATTTCCGATTTTGTTTTTCAAAATAAAATTCTTTTTTTTATTCATTTTTGAAAATGAAATAAAAAAAGAAGGTTCCAAGAAAAAGTAAGTCCTTAAAAGTTTCCCACGTTAAAAAAACAAAAAAAAAAACAATTTGTTAAATGAGACATGAAATTTGACCTTTTTAAAAACGAAACAAATATCACGTGTTGAAAAAATTCGAAAAAAAAATGAAATGAGCAATTGAAATCCTTCCCTTTCTCCCTCCCTAAAATGCGAGAGAAAGTGGATGGAAAATGGCTTCATCATAATTTGTTATTAAAAACAAAATCCCTAGCTGCTTTCTCATGCTAATCCTCAGATGTTTTATTTTTTTTACATACATTCATATATATATATTCACTCACCGGAGTGAGTGAGTGAAGAGTATAAGAAAAATGAAGAAAAAAATTATATGAGATTAATTTTTTCGGGAGGAGAAGAAGGAGGAGGAGTTTTTTTGAAATTTGCATACCTGTTTGTCTGAATCTCTAACATAAGACCCTAACTTCGAAGGTAAGAAAATTGGTAGCTGAAAATTGCTGGAACATCCAAAAGGTCAATCGGAAAAAAATGGTTTGAAAACGTCTTCCAAAACTAGTTGAGAGTTCAAGTGCCTCAAGACAACTTTACTTCAAATTAACAACTTCGTGAAATAAAATTCTCAATTTTCAAAACAGACAAAATTTTCACCATTTTTTGGTTTTTTTTGTATTTAAAATACATTTTTTCAAATAATTTCCGAATGTTTTCAATGAAAACAATAATATCAATCATCTCCAGAAAATGTGATAATTTGAAAAAAAAAACAATTTCCGATATTCAAAAACTCGTGGTTTTCTGAGCTCCGTTTTATTAAACTTTGAAAAAAATATTCGGAACGAGACCTAAAAAATGAATACAAAACAGTTTCAGTCACCAGGTTCAGATGTTTTTTTGGAGTATTTTTCTTCAAGCCTATTTACGTCCTGCTTACGACGTGAAAATAAAAAAAGTACTTTCCCTAAAAAATCTCTGTATCCCCCGAGGATTAATTAAAAAAAATTCCAGCAAAAAAAATAAAAATTCTGAAAAAAAGTGCGCGCTGGGGCAAAAGAAAAACGAGTATATAATACATGTGATCAATTTGCGACGAGATTTTCTCACTCACTCACTGAATTTTAAATGACATAATTAGATTTATTTACATTTCGGAGTTTCTATCGATTTTCGCTCATTGGAATTCTGCACTTATTCATTTAAATTTCCTTTTTTTTTATTTCTTGAAGAAAAAAAGTTTCAAGAATACATTTTTATTTTATATATCAAACATGTCATTTACATACAAAGTGTTTCAGATTTTCAAGAAAAAAAGGAAAAAATATTTAAATGTCGTTTTCATCGAAATGGGTACGGTGGTGACGAGCGTGGCTAGAAAAAATTGTAATTAATTTCAAAAATTTTAAGAAAAATTAAAAAAAAATCTTACCGACGAAGAGTCCAATCAACGCTGTTCAATTTTGGGATTCCTCCAACAACACCGCTTTCAATTCCACATTCATCAACACCACGGAGGATTCTGAAGAAACCATCCTCTCCCCAGTCGGTGTTCCATGAGTTGGCACAAGTCCAGTATGGAATTCCGTTTTCGACACCCCAGCCGACAAGTTTGACAGCGTGACCTCCACCGAGTTTTCCTCCGGTGTGCTGGAAGAAATATGGAGGATTGCTCATATTAAACATTTTTCAAATGTTTCAAAAGATCCGCCTCTTGATTTTTTTTTAGATTTTCCCCCAAATCCTAACTCACAACATAGACTCCTCCATCATAGTTCAAGAAATCTTCATAAACTTCAAAAGCAATTTCAAGTGGTCCATGAGTCATCAATTCTTTTTGAATCGCTTCAACATCATCTTTGACTCCATACGCCGAACTTCCATAGAATTTATCATCATTATATGATTTATCAGTGTATTTCGAGACGCATTGTTTCTCACATTTTGGTGTTGGATACAAATCATGTGGGCAGGGATCGAAATGTGTTTTCTTTGAATGATGTTCACACGGTGGGAATGGATATGGTTTGCAACCTTCGTTAGCTGTATAGTTTGATCCAGTCACAATTCCGGTTTTCACCCAATATTTCCAAGCGGCGAGTGGATCTCCGCCATCGCAACCGAATCCGCAAGATTTGCAGCAACTGAGAAGATCGTCGGCGGAGAGTGAGACTTGGATTTCGCCTTTTGATGCGATGCAAATACGATCAGACATTGCTTCGACAGCTCCGAAAGCCCAGCATGATCCTGGAAGGAATCATAAGATGTTGTTTTTGTTTGGGAAAGTGGAAAAAGATAAGCGGCGCGTGATGGCGCTGATAAATTACAGTAAAAAGGTCAATCAAGATAGTGAGCCAAAAATACATTTTTTTTTGAAGTATGTGATTATTGGTTATTGAAAAACATGTGAAAGATACTGTAGTTTTGTAATGTTTTTTTTTTCAAATTATTGATTGATTTTGACGAAAAATTGTAACCTTTTCAAAAAAAACTGGAATAATTATTGAAATTCAAATAGTTTCGGATCAATTTCAAATTAAAAGTTTCAAGCTGAAATTAAAGGACAGGGCTTCAATAGTTCTGAAAATCTTTGAAAATTTATCTAGAGCTGAAATTTTTCCGATTTTCTGAACATCCTTTTAAGCTGATTATTCAATTTCACAATTTTTACCAAAGCCATGAGAGCAAGTTTCAACAGAAAATTAATTCAGAATATTTCTAAAGACTTTCAAAATCACCCTTTCCCCATTCAAAAACCCACCACAACTCGATTGATCTCTAATGTTTCTCAAAGATTGACAATTTGGCCAGTTTTCACGAGAATCGAAATTCTCTGGAATCGCCATTTCTCGATCTTTGGTCGATGACAAATGTTGTTTGGCTTTTACAGAGAGTCTGACATGATTGACTCCCATCAAACCCCATTTTTTCTCTTTTGATTCTCCGTGATAATGAGAGAATCGGCGTTGTTTTTTGGCTGTCCAGTAGGATTGTTTCTCATTGACGTAGTCGATGAGATCGTCTCCTTCGAGTTTTTCGGCGTATGAACTGATTTCACGGTCACGGAATTGGTCTGAAATGAGTAGAATGATATGGGGAATGTGAATGTGGTGTTGAGAGCTTCAGATCTTTGCTTGATATAGTCAGAGAACCTTGGATTTTAACTTTTAGTGATTTTATTCACATTCTCAATAAATCAATTTTCAAAAATCTGAAAATTTTTAAATTCCTAACCTTGGAGCTTCAACCCCCTCCCCCCAAACTCACCTAAAACCGAGACAGTGTTATCCTCATCGCTGTCACAAACGCACAAAGCGCCGACCACAAAACAAGCCAAAAGCAGGAGATACTTCTAAAAAAAACCCAACCTCAAAATCAAAACCTTCTCCAAAAAGTGCACTTACCATATTCTCCAACAAAAGTTATGAAGTTAGAAGTGTTATCAGTTTAACCTGCCCGTTTTATAGTCAATTGTTTTGGTAAAAATAAGAATATTGATAAGAAGAGGTGTCCATCAACGGTTTTGAGTGTCATGAGAGGCTAGGTACCTGAGGGGGGACAAAAAACGAGAGGGGGGAATGTTTGATTTTAAGGTTGTTAGAATGTCAATCATGTTTGAACTTGACCTCAGAGGGAAATTTTATGGAAATGGGGTGATAACAAGTTTTGATTTGAGAAATTTTGAGGGGGGTTACAAGTCGATCTCAAAGCTGGAGTCTGAATGTGAGCAAAAATGAGTTGCTCATTTGAAACAGCATATTTTTATTAGCACAATCCACAAAGGATTTTTCCCGGAAGTTTCTCAAACATTAGTTTAAAAACTTTTTGAGTACGCAAAAACAGTTAGGCTTAAAAATATAGATGTCCAGTAGTTTGGAGCTGTATTTCTCTGTCAATTCCGATTTTTATTGAAATTGGCTTTTTTAACCAGGAGACAAAGTTTTGAAATGAAAGTAAAGCTTAAAGCTGATAAAAAAATTGAAAGAAGTTCAACTTTTTAAATGAAATTTAAAAATAATATTTTTCATACCAATTTGTTTCAGAAGTTTAGGCAAAAATGTTCATTGATTTTTTTTTAAATTTATATCTTGAAAATAAAAAAACCTTCAAGCCAAACTCCAATATTCCAAAAAAGCACAAAAAAAGCAGACACCATGAATCGAAAAAGTAATTTTAAAATACTCAAACATAAATATAACTTTTTTAAAAAATTATTATTTTTCATTCATCATAGAATCACAAACTGATTTTAAAAAATCGAATTTTCATTTTTCTCTGAAAATTATTTGTTAGAAAATTTTTTCTCCAAACTTGAATTTCATAATCAGACAAGATTTTTTACCAAAATTGTTTCCTAAATTATAGTTTCCATAGCAAAAATCTTGAAAAATCTTTTTTTTACTTAATTTTACTTGTTAGTGTCCACCAAAACACAATCCCAGTCCCTGTCAAACATATCTCTTTCTCTATCCCTCTCCCATTTCCCACTATTTCCTCTCCCCCTTTTATCAATATTCAAAAAGTCAACACTACACTCTATTATGACCTGTGCATGCGCACTCCACATGTTGTTTCTCCCCTTCTTCCCAAAAAAAACAGTTTACAAACAAAACTATTTTCTAGTTTGACCTGTCGAGTTGGCAACACAATCAATATGCACGCCGACATTTTTATATTACGTGCACTTCTTTATTTTTTGTTCGTTATTTTGGAGAGAGAAGGACAGTTGTTGTGCAAAACGAAAAAAAGATACATAGTTTTGGCGCACCAACGTTTTCCGTTTTTCTTCTGTTCTCTTTAGGTTTTATATTCATCAGACCACTTGTTTTTGCTTTGATTTGTTGGTGATAACCTTGAAATTTGTTAGTTGTAAGAAACATTTTGTTTCTAGAAAATATGTATTGATTAGACTGATTTAGCGAGCTTTGAGTGTGTTTCCAGATTGTTAGGTTTTTCAAATCTTTCACCAGTGCACGGTGTTTTTATAACAAAGAAAAAAACAAATCCATCTTTGGGCTACTTTTCTCAATGAAATGAAAATCGTTGCTAAAACTGTCTTTGAAGTTGATAGAACTGCAAATTTCTAGATTGGTATAATTTTTTTTAGAAACTTGAGTTAGCATTTGATAAAACTCAATTTTCGAATCAGCTAAGATTTCTGAAAACTATCGAGCTGTCATCACAGTGAACTACAATTTATCTGAAAATTCTTGCCATCTGTAAGTTATTTGTAGATTTTTGAAGTTTTAATTTTAAAAATAACCATATTATTGTTCTATTTTTCCACGTTTTGTTCTCAATTTGCCTCCCCCCCCCCCTTTGCTGAAAATCCCAAGCTCTTCTGTTTTTTCAAAACTTGTAACATTCTAGACCTAGAAATGAACATTGATCAATGGTGGTCAGATAAAACATTCTCTCTTCGTTATCTGTTTACAATTTCGATTCATTTCATTTCATTTTTTCCTAATATTTGCAGTTCCCTTCTTATTTTTTGATCTCCCCATTTTATAAGAAAGTTATATAACTATATAGACTTTCTGAACGGGCCTTGAGCCCCAAAACTACACTGTACTGACCCTTTTTGCAAAAGCAACACAAAAAGATGAAAATATCGACTTGCGGCCTTTTTTCTCTCTCACTCGTCCTTTCTTCTTTTCTTCTTTTTTTTTCTTCTCAACATTTTATTTTGCCAATTCTCACGCACTCACTTGTTTTACACGCAGTTTCTCAAATATTTTCTTGCAGATTTGGGTATGTTGTCCAGATCGATCCGTCAATTGGCCGCTCGGCCGGCGATTTTCCGCGGTGTTCTTCATGTAAGTTTTTTCTATATTTGCAGAAAAGAATTTTGTGAAAATAAACTGAAATTTTCAGCCAACAAGAGCCACCAGCTCGATTGCGCACACCATCAAAGTTGCCAAGAAAATCGATGAGACTCGTGAGAAGGCGCTTCTTGGTGGAGGTCAAAAACGTATCGATGCTCAACACAATCGAGTGAGTTTGGATTACAAACATTCTGTTCGGCACTTTGGCTAAGTCTGGAATTTTTTTCAACTCAATACTTCAAAACCTCGTAGAGCATTTGAACCTGAACCATTTGATCTACCAAAACCTAGACTATTTTGCTTCGAAATATTCCACTGATCAAAAATGATTGACTGGTTCAATTTGAAACATAATTTTTGAGAACTCCAACTTATCCTAGGCCCCGGAAAAAATTTGAGCTGAACTACCTCTTCAAAAACCAAAAATAATTTCTAAAAATTTACAGGGAAAATTGACTGCTCGCGAGCGCGTCGACTTGTTGCTCGACAAAAACACGTTCCGCGAATACGACATGTTTGCCGAGCATACCTGCAACGATTTCGGTATGCAAAAGGAGAAGTATGCCGGAGATTCGGTCGTCACTGGCCGTGGTCAAATCAACGGACGTACCGTGTTTGTCTTCTCGCAAGACTTTACCGTTTTCGGTGGATCCCTCTCATCGATCCACGCCAAGAAGATTGTCAAAATTATGCGTGAAGCCATGTTGGTTGGAGCGCCAGTCATTGGACTCAACGATTCCGGTGGTGCTAGAATCCAAGAAGGTGTTGAATCACTCGCCGGATACGCTGATATCTTCCAAGAGAATGTCTTGGCATCTGGAGTTGTCCCACAAATCTCATTGATCATGGGACCATGCGCCGGTGGAGCTGTCTACTCACCAGCTCTTACTGATTTCACATTCATGGTTCGTGATACATCATACTTGTTCATCACCGGTCCAGATGTTGTCAAAGCTGTTACCAATGAGGAAGTCACTCAAGAAGAATTGGGAGGAGCTAAGACTCATACTGTCACTTCGGGAGTTGCTTCTGGTGCTTTTGATAATGATGTTGATGCGTTGATGAGCATTAGAGAACTCTTCAATTATTTGCCATTGAGCAATCAAGATGCTTCTCCAATCCGTGCTGCTGAAGATCCATGGTAAGGTTTTGAAATCACATTTTTTGAAAATAAATGTTATTCTCACCCTATTATTTTTCCAGGGATCGTGAAGTTCCATCACTTGACACTGTTGTCCCACTCGAATCCACTGCCGCTTACAACATGAAAGATGTCATCCACGCTTTGGTTGATGAAGGAGACTTTTTCGAAATCCAACCAGATTACGCAAAGAATCTTGTCGTCGGATTTGCTCGTATGAATGGAAGAACCGTCGGAGTCGTTGGAAATAATCCAAAATTCGCTGCCGGATGTTTGGACATCAATTCATCTGTCAAAGGAGCCAGATTCGTTAGATTCTGTGATGCTTTCAACATCCCATTGATCACTCTTGTTGATGTTCCAGGATTCCTTCCAGGTACGATTACCGTATCTCCTCGATCTCAATAAAAAAATTTTTTTTTTCCAGGAACCTCGCAAGAATACGGTGGTATCATCCGTCACGGAGCTAAACTTCTCTACGCTTTTGCTGAAGCCACCGTTCCAAAAATCACCATCATCACCCGTAAAGCTTTTGGAGGAGCTTACGATGTTATGGCCTCGAAACATCTTCGCGGAGATATCAACTACGCCTGGCCAACTGCTGAAGTCGCTGTGATGGGAGCCAAGGGAGCCGTCTCGATCTTGTTTAGAAAGGACGCCAAGAATGCTGCTAAACACGAGGAAGACTACACTGAATTGTTCAGTAATCCATTCCCAGCTGCTGTCAGAGGTAAGCATATTTGCTGGTCCGATTCAGAAGATCCGAAGAATCTCATTCAAAAATTTTCCAGGCTTTGTTGACGACATTATTGTCCCATCTGAGACTCGTAAGAAGGTTTGCGAAGATTTGAACATGTTGGAGAGCAAACAATTGAAGAACCCATGGAAGAAGCATGGAAACATCCCACTCTAAATTTTTCTCTCCTTTTTTTTCTTAACTTGCCATTTGAAACGTGTTTTTCTCCAATTCAACGTATTTTTTTCTCATTCAACCCGGGGGAGGCCCCCACCCAATAGCCATTTACCACCCGTCGTATTCATTTTTTGTTTTCGTTTTTTTTTGAGACATAATTGTATTTATTCTGTATTATGAAATGTTTTATCACAAGTTTTAGGATGCTTGAAGTTTTACAGTTTTTCAGGAATTTGAAATTTTAAGAAAGGTTTTCGCACAAAGTGGTCTTTAAAGGCTTCGTGAGCGATTTTATTCAAAAGACCAGCCAAGAAGATTACGGATGTACAGGCTTTTTGGGAATTAGAAATTCTAGACCACCCTGCAAATAGAGTTTTTTCTAGAATTTTTGATTTCTAAAAAACCTCTCAAAAAATCGCCCAAAAAGTCTTCGAAGACCACCCAAGAAGATTAAGGATGTTTGAAATTTCACAGTTTTTTTTCTGGAATTGGAAAGATTAGGAAAGGGTTTAGAAGGTTTTGTAAAGCCTCTGAATTTTCTGGAACTGTTTCTTGAAGAAAATGATTTTTTTATTCTGGGATTAGGCTTCTTTCTTTTTTGATTTACCACAAAAGCCAGAAGAGAAAAATTATTCAAGAATTATTTAAAATTTTAGACGAAATTGCTTCTTAATTTTTCTTCAGAAACATCAGATTATTATTTTTCACACAAAAATTATAGACAAACCTTATTCATCGACTAATAAAGCATCCCAAATTCATTGGCTCTCTTATGCAAATATATCTACTGTAGATGATTTTTTGTTAGCACAACTGCTATGAAATATTTCCCGCCAATTTTATTTTTGTTTTCTTTTGTCCCCCTCACATTTGTATATTTTTATATGTATGTATGGTCAGGATGTTTCATTAGAACACTATGAGTTATAATCATCATCAGACTTCCTATATTCCATCGTATAGTTCAAATTCTGCGGCTCAAAATACTGGTGCAGCATATATGGCGAGACGTGGTTGGGAAGGTGTGGGTAATGTGGATAATTCGTTGACGTTTTCGTCAAAGTCCAGGTGAGTTTTGAGATTTTTTTAGTGCTCAAAAAGATTCTTGAAAATAGTTTTCAAAATTCACATTTTCAGTTCAAAACGCGTCTACATCACAGCGTTTATAATGCTCTCACTGCTCCTTCTAACAGCAATCATCATCATAATTTTATTCGCCGTTGGTGTCATTGGCCACCAAGACACCACAATCATCTCCCCGTCACCATTGAATCCGAATCCGAATCCGAATCCAGCACCCAATCAGAATCCAATTGTTCCTCAACAAGTTCTACAAACAAATTCAACATTTTCCGGAAGTTTTACTATTTTACGGCAAGCCAGCGAGATATTTGATTTGAAAAATACAAATACTTATTTTAGCAGTTTGAATTTGATACAAAATGCGGTGAGTGTCTAGACTTCTTCTAACAATTCCAAAATTTCCCATATTTTCTCAGATCGATAATATCATGGTCTCCTCAACCCTTCAACCATACGCCGCCAAAGCCACCATCACCAATCTGCAAAACGTCGGAAATGATCTAAACGTTCAATTTCGAATCGTCACCCAAACCAATGGTGCAGATCAAAACTTTATCGCCAATGTTTTGCGCTCAAATATTAATCGCATTGAAGGTCAACTTGGAGGAAATGCCCAAATCGATCCAAACAGTGTTTCGGTTTTGAGAATAACTTGATTTTTTTCGGGGGAAAGATTTTTTATTTGTTTGTAATTTATTATTATTGAAAAAGTTTACGGGTTGCTTTCAATGAATATTTTCTGAATATTTTTGTTTTTTTATAGAATTTGAAAATTCCCATCAAACAACGAGGTTCCAGGAAAAGCTTTAAGGCTTTTTAAAGCAAAATCTGAAGCCTTTCTAGAAATTGAAAAAATTCTGAATTTCAAATCCTTCCCAATGATTTTCCCCCGATCCCTTCATTCTGAATTTCTTCTTCATTCTGAACACAAAGTCTCTGAGTTTTCCTCAAGCCCTTCTATTGCGAAATCGCCAAAAAATTTCGTCCCTGACAACGACACTCCGCCTGCCTCTAGTTTAGCAGCGTCCCTGTCATCCCATATTTTTTCTTATTTTCTCATATATAAAAGAAGAAAAATGCCTCTTATCTTCTCATTTTTTTTTCGTTGTATTTTATTTTTAAATTCGGTCGTTTGAACTTCCTTGTTCTTTGTATGAGTGAACATATTTATGTTCCAAAAAAAAGTTTCCGCAAAAAAAATCTAGATTTTTCCCGTAGGTTTCGCAATTCATGAATCATTGTTGTTTGTCGATTTTTGTTTGTTTGCGCTGAGAAAAATAAAAACACACTTTTTCGTTCAGTCACTTTTTTCCCAATAAAATTATTGATATTTATTCAAAACAAAATATTTTTCATAACATTTTTTCAGATGGAAGTCACTAATTTGTCCACTGGTTTTGCTGATTTCGGGGAAATCTCACATAGCACAGATTTGCTGGTTGCTCAAGGCAAATTATGGCTCTTCAATTTGAATTGTGAGTTTATTGATTCTATTTTCGCCCACCAAAACCAATAATTTTTTAGTCAAAGATCAGCCAAATCTCCATTTCGGCAGCCATGTCGTCCACATCGGTTCCTATGTTCTCGTCTTCGATTTATCCTCAAAAACCTGGACCAAAATCGAATTCCCAGCAATCACAAACGAAGAAAATCTTGGCGAACAAATCTTCACACACAATGATCAAATTTATTTGATCCTCTACAAAAATTTTGGTGGATATTTGTTTGATTCGCTCTACAAGTTTAATGGATCTGGTTTTGAGAAACTCGAGAAATTCACACATCCAGCTGAAGTTTCCTTTGATTCTCAAATTCGAATCAGTTCTGTTAGTGCGAATGGATCAAGTTCGAATGGAGATGTTGTTCTGGTTTTGAATGGGCGGGGAATGGCGGTTTTCACTTTGAGAATCAGCGAGGATCAGGGATCAAATATTGAATTCATTGCTGAAGCTCATGAAGAACCTAGTCCGATGGTGAGTTTTTAAAAAAAAATTAAAAAAATATTTTTTACTGATTCAAATATTTTTCAGTCTGGAACTGCAACATCAGCAGCTGTCATCAACAACAACGCCATCATCTCCTACGGTGTTCACGGCTGTGGTTTCCGTTGGCAATCAAATGTCTTCACCAAAATTGATCTCTCAACCAAATCCGTTCAAGACATCCACTTTGACAGCGAAGATCATCCCCGTTTCTGTTTCAGCGGCGCAAGAACCACTAGCCTCAATTCAGCAAATGAATGGATTCATGCAGCTGGATCGATTCAAGTTGGAATGACTGGATCGAAATTCGATGGAAGTGTTTGGAAATTGACCAATATTTTGGGTGATTCTCCAAATTGGGTGCAAGTTCAAGGAGAATTGAGTGGCAAAATTGCAGTGGCAAATGGAAATGAGATTTGGACTGTGTCACCGGATAATGTTAATTATTATAAATTTTAATTAAGGGATGGTATTATATTGGTTGTGATTTTTTTTCTGGTCATAATAAATAATTTGAATTTTGAAGACAGATTTACTTTTTATTATAAATTTTTTAATCGATTCCGGCCCAATTCCAATAAGAAAATTGCATAAATTATCACTTTTTTTTAAAATATTCAAAAACCATCTATTTTTACCACAAAATTATTTCAAAACATTTTCCAGATTTTTCTCATTTTCCTTGTTCAAAAGATCAACCTACACATTTCTCTGCGTCTCTTCTTCTCTTCCCATTTTTTTGCCCCATAAAATGAACGTCCTCAACTCGAATTTCCTCGCCACTCAAAAAAGTCTAGTTTGAACTTCTTCCTGGTTTCTTCTCCATACTTTTTTTTCCAATAGACATTTCCTTGAAACAATCTTATCATGTTTTGAAACATTAACCGAAAAAAAAACCGCAGTGTTCTTCCAATCGATTTTTGGTCGCTGTTCGCTGCTACTTCCTTGTCTTCTCATTTTTCGTTCGTTTCGCTATAAAAATGTCACATTTAGGGCGTTTTCAATCACTATTTTTCTGTTCGAGATGGAACCAGAGTTTTTGGGACAAGGATATGGAAGCTTTGAAGAGTTGTACGACACTCATCATAGTGTGATTCTTGATGGCAAGGTTGTGTTGATCGGGCAGAAATGTGAGTTTTTGAAAAAATATGAATCTGAAAACACATTTTCAGACGTCGATCAAAAAGCACACAATTGGGGACATCGAATTGCTTACGCTGGAACTTATCTTCTCACTTTCGATCCAGAAACTAAAGAATGGACCAAGAAAGAGGTGAACTTCAGAATCTACTAGAAATTTAGAGAGATTTTTTGAAAATTCTCAATTCAGAAAAAAATCATAGATAGTTTGAGCAAAATCTAGTTTTTTTTTTCCAGTTCGATCAACTTTCCGACAAAGAAAACTACAACGAGATCATCTTCACCGCCAACAACAAACTCTTCATCCTTCTTGTCACCAACTTTGGTGCAATTCACTTCGAACGTCTTTTCGAATGGACTGGATCTTCTTGGTTCGAATTAGCCATGCAAAGAAATGTTGAAAAAGTTGAACAAGATCCAGCAATGAATGTTTATTGTTATCACATGCCTGGAACAACATCCGATGGCAAAAGTGTTTTCGTTTTCACTGATCAAGATGGAGCTTATCAAGTTTACACATTGGACACTCAAACAATGCAAGTTGATCATGCTCATACAGTTTCTGCCGAGAATAATCATATGGTTAGTTGAAGATGATGTGGAATTTGAAATTTTTAATTTATTTTCAGCGCGGAAAAGTGATCACTGGAGCAGTTCATGGAAACAAAGCTCTCCTCAGTATCGGAGTCAGCCAATGTGCATTCCGCTGGCAAAATCAAACATTCACCCTCGTCAATCTCGAAACCAACACCAGCGAAGAAATCAATATTGAAGGAGAATGGACAACATTGCCAAGATATTGTTACTCTGGACCATCTGCGGTTACAGTTAACCCAGAAACTGGTTCGTGGATTCTTGCTGCTGGTGTACTTCAAGTTGGAATGTGTGACAGTGAATATTATGGTGCTGTTTGGGCGTTGAAAAATGCGTTTGAGTCTGCGGGGAATGAATGGAAGGAAGTTCCAGGAACTGTTCCGGAAGGTATCACAATTGCTGATGGTGTTAATATTTATACTGTCACCAAGGAACAAGTCACTAAAATTATTTTGGAATCTGATTTGTAAAATTTTTTTGGTGTATGAATCGATTTTTCTAGAGATTTTGAAAATTAACTTGAAAAAAACAGGTATTCATTAATCCAAAAAAATCCTGGAAAAATATAATAGAGATATAAAAAAAATGATGAGCAAAAAATCAATAATTTAACTTCGAAAAAAAAACCTAATTAAATATCATCAACATTATCAACAACAATTTGTTTGTCAGAAAACCAAATCCTGTCAAATTCTCGTAGTTTTTCAGCATGATAAATCTCAATCCAGCACGGTGTGTCGGTAATTGTTTTTCGCGGGTAATCGCCAGCGAAACCTTTAGCTATTGAGAAACGGCAGATACAATGTGTCTGCAAAAATTTGATGTTCAGAAAAATTAAAATTTGAAAAAACTCACATGTAACTCATAAAAATCATCATTCAAAAATTTCTTGCGTTTTTCAAGCATGTTATCAAAATACTCCTCATCAAAAATAATAATTTCAGTTTGCTTCTTTCCTGGCTCATTTTTAAATCGATAAACCGTATTCCATACTTCACCATTCATCAAAGCTAATTGAGGGCATTGCAAAAATATTGAGCTTTCAGTTCGTAAAGTCATTTTCACTTTTTTGTTTTCACGTTGAACTAGAATTCCTGGACCAAATACGAATCGAACCACTGAGCATTTTGAGTATGATGTATGAATTGGAGGGAACGCGATTGACATTTGTCTGTCGGTCCAAGGTGCGACGAGACCATCGATTACGAATTCGGGTCTAGTTGAACAGAACATTCCACCAATCTGAAATCAAAATATGTATATAAGATTTTGTTTTGTAGAATTTTATAGAGTTTAGAAAATCTAGTTTTTTTCGGAATATTTTGGCCAATTTTATATTTTTAGAAAATTAAAATTTTAATAAACATAGAGCTCAGCAGTTAATCTTCATAGCATCGTCATCAGCTCGTCGAGTTTTATAAGACACAAAACCCACTCACTCTAACATTCTCCTCAAAATAATACGCAATAACCCAAACTTCATCCATATACGACGATCTTGGTGGTGGTGAAACTCTCCAAGAAAAATCATCAGGTTCACATCCGGGCATTGGATGAACTTCAATAATATCACTCTCATCTTCTGGCGGCTCGAATACATATGGAAGCGATTTTTGTGCCGGATTCGTTTCCCGATCATCATCGTTGCTATCTTCTTCGTGATCTAATCTTCTCGAGACATCGAAATTCGGAGCGTCGTCTTGTGTCCTTCAAAATTGAAATTTTTTTAAATAAACATTGTTTAGACTATTTTCTAGTGAGATACAGTAATTCCGTAAAAAAATCATGAATAGAAAATTCTGAAACTTAAGAAACTCACAAGTGATCTAATCCATAATAAGGTCTGCTTTTGAAAACTGGAACTGGCCCATCATAAACATCAAAAAATTGTCCTGGCTGAGAATACGATGGTCCGGGTTCGGAGAAATTTTGGCCAGGTTTCTGAGAATACGATGGCCCTGGTTCGGAGAAATTTTGGCCAGGTTTTTGAGAATACGATGGTCCTGGTTCGGAGAAATTTTGGCCAGGTTTTTGAGAATACGATGGTCCGGCGGGTTGCGAGGATTTATGGCCACGTTTTTGAGAATGCGATTGTCCTGGTTGTGAATACGACGGTCCGGGCTCGCTGAAGTTCTGGCCTGGTTTTTGAGAAGAATATGACGGTCCAGGTTGCGAGTATGATGGTCCTGGTTTTTGAGATCGAGATGAACCCGGCTGTGAATATGACGGCCCTGGTTGTGAAAAATGTTGACCCGGTTTCTGAGAGTATCCTGGCTGGGAATACGCTGGGGTTCCTTGATACGAAGGTTGCGATTGCATTTGCTTCGGAGCTTGTCCTCGAGAGCTCTTTTGTTTTCGAGTTGGAGCCTTGAAGGCGACTTCCATGTTTGGAGCTGGCAGTGGCTTTGGAGGCCCTGGGATTGCCGGTTGGAAAAAGGTAGGTACTTGAGAATATGGTGTTCCAGGTGTGCTTGATGGTGTCAAAACTGGCGTTTGAAAAAATGAAGTGTTAGCACTTGGCAGTTGAGCTGGGACAATTGCCTGTGAACTTGAAGGTGCCGGAATTTGAGTTTGAAAAAAATCAGGTCCTGGTGGAAATGAGCTCAGCAAATTGGGAAATCCTTGCGAGTTTATTGGCGGTGGAACTGGTAACGCTGACGCAGTTGCTTGAAGAAACGGTGCTAATGCAGTTTGTGTGCTAGGCAATCCTGGTATTTGTGAACTCGATGGTCCCGCCGTGGGGGGAACTTGAGCAAAATGAGCTTGAAGAAATGGCGCTGAGTTTGACAAACTTGGTAGTTGAGAATTCAATGGTCCCGGTGTGGAGGAAACTTGAGAAAACGCCGAGCCAGTAGCTTGAAGAAATGGTACTGTCGAAGGTTGTGTGCTAGGCAATCCTGGGATTTGTGAACTCGGTGGTCCCGCCATGGGAACTTGAGCAAAAGCTGATCCAGGAGCTTGTAAAAATGGTTGGCCTGGGATTTGTGTGTTAGGCAATCCAGGAATCAATGTAGAACTGGTTGAACCGAGTGGTTGGAATAGTGGTGCGCTAGACATCAATGGTATTTGGGAAGATGCTGGCCCAGTTGCTTGAAGAAATGGTGCTCCCGGAGCTTGAGGTAATGCTGGAATCTGTGGTCCTGCGGGAGCAACTGGAGCAAATGCAGAACCAGGTGCTTGAAAGAATGGTTGACCTGGAGTCTGTGTGATCGGCGGCAATTCTGACTCCGGGATAGAGCCCTCAGCAAAAGCTGAATTTGGTCCTCGGATATACGGTACTGGTGGGATTTGAAATTGTTCTTGTGGCGGTTGTCCTGGGATGAGATTCTGTTGTGATGGATTAAATGCTTGTCGGTAATCCATCGGTTCATCTGGTGGCATCGGAGCATCTGCTAGCCAATCATCCATCTCGTTTTTTTCTGAAAACCAAATTTTATAGCTACAATTTCCAGCTTATCCAAAAAACTCACTTTCAGACATTCTAATCGGCTACTTCCTACTTCACCCGCTAGAGCTTGATTTTCCAAGTTTCTGAAAAAAAAACATTTTGAAAAAAAAATAAGCAAGACAAAATCAATCGGTGGCAAAAGAGCGTGCGAATAACAAGAGACTTGGAGACAGATGTGAGAAAAGTGAGAGAGAGGGTATGAAATGGAATGAAAGATAGCGAAAATAGCAAATTTTCTGTGTTTTGTTCTAGCTAACGAGGAATGTGACAACAAAACAAAAAAAATGAGAAGAATAAGAAGAATAATAATATAAATGAATGGGTTGAGTGAATGAGTGATAGTTAATTGCGAATGTCTGTCTAGACACATTTATCAACAATGGTAGCGAGAAAAAATATTTGAATGGGTGGACAAAGAGGTGGGAGGAGCATAGAATTATAAAACTATCAAATATGACGCAGAAAGGTTACTGTAGGAACAGCAAAAATTGATATCCTAGATCAAAAATTCCGAATTTCAAAAAGGATTCTCACAACGGTTCCTTGACAGCTCTCATCTCTAGGCGTGACTGCTTGGAAAATAATATTTATAGGCGCGGATGCTTGGAACCCCTGGCCACGAGACTCGGCTACTTGGGAATCTAGGCGCATATGCTTGGAAAGTGTGTTCTTTAAGCGCGGCTGCTTGGACCACATAGCCTCTAGGCTTTGCTACATCAGAAAACGTTATGCCTACGCGCTGATCTCTAGGCGTGACTGCTTGGAAAATAAGATTTATAGGCGCGGATGCTTGAAACCCTTGGCCACTAGACTTGGCTACTTGGGAAGCTTGGAAAGCGTGTTTCTTAAGCGCGGTTTCTTGAAACCCATAGCCTCTAGGCTTTGCTACTTGCAGATCATCAGAAAACGTTATGTCTACGCGCAAATCTCTAGGCGATTTAATAAAATGCACAGCTATATTTTCTGAATTTTTACACGGATTAAAGATTGGTCTAATTCCTAGAAGCGCAAAATTATTTTTAGCAGACTGCAGCTGAAAAAAGTTGGCGTACTTTCATGTTTTTTTCTGAATATGAAAGAAAAAAATTTGAACCTAACAAAAACCAAACATAAAGTGGCTGGAAAAAGAGTTGATACCAAATTTTAGTTCCTCATGGTAATCAATTATTTTCGTAGCTATCTCGGTTGGCAAACATAAATTGTCAAAGATAATAAATTATATGAGCGTGGCACCGTGTTTCACAGTAGGTCAAAAATATCGCTATGAAAAATTGTTTATCATATTGTCTCAAATTTCCAAAAAAAAGTTCTTTAATTACCAATAAATATTTTTAATGATCATAAAAAAGTTTATTAATTACATTTCTCGATTCTAATTAATGGTAAGTTAAGACAAATTGAATGCTAGTTAGTTCATGATCATTTGTCTTATCAAGGTCGTTTCATTAGTAGCATTTTGCAGAACTTGGATGAAAGGAAATGATGACAAAAGGTTTCCAAGGAAAATTTGGGAATCTTTTGATTTATGAGGCCTTGACTTTTAGTTCCCACCAAAGAGAATATTATGCATGCAAAAAGAGCCCATCAAAGTTGATGTTTTATAATTGCCTCTATAATAAAAAAATAAAAAATAATTGTTTTTATGAGTCAAAAAGCAGCCTGTATTGTAAAAAAAGTGTAATAAAATATGAATTATACATTTGGCTGCAGCGAAACAAAAATTGAATTAAATATACGAGAGGAGAAAACCGCATATATTTTTTTGTATACAATTTATTGATAAAAAGTGCATTGTCGGTTTGTTGTGCAGTATTAACGAACAAAGAACTTTGATTGATGAGATAGGCAGGCAAAATTATTTTATATTTTTTTCAAATTTTTATCGCTAATGCTTGCGGTTTTATAGAAAATTTATTTTCATCAACATGGAATACTAAAAACAAAGAAGTTTTTGTTTGTTCAGAAAGCGCTAGAACATTATGACTAATTTTTTTGGTTGGAGAAGGAAGAGCCGGAAACAAATAGAACAATTATATAATCTAGAAAAATAATTTCCAAGACATAGAGAAGTCGATTGAAAAAACTAAAACTTTCCATATTTTTTGGCTAAGCCACCTCCGGAAAATCCGGGATTTTAGGATTTTCAAAGATAAATCGATCATCCTAAAAATTTCCCGACAATGATGTGACAATTTTTTCGAAAACCTGACCTTCACAAAAATGTTTTCTCATTTTTCGCTACAGACAAATCTATAGAAATCGGCTTCTCTTTCATGATTCAAAATAAGAGTCATTGAGAAAAAAGCGGCAAAAATTGCACTTTTAAACTTGCGCAAGAAGAATGGATGATTTGAAAAAAGTTAGAATATCGTTGACTACAAAACCGAAATCAAGATTTTCAGGAATCGCTGAAAGACATAACTAATATCTTATGAGAAAAATATGAGAAGAAAACGCATAAATTTTTGACAAACTCAAAAAAAAAAGAAATATTAACGAGCATATGTAACATTCAATTGGCTTCAATTTGGAATCAGAAAAAATTCTTTGAAAATTTTTTACAGAGCCTACGAAATGCAAGACTTCAATTAAATTTCTAACACAAAATATTGAAAAACAATACATTTCCATGAAAGTTTTTTTTTTCGAATGACGCGAACTTTATTGGTTTTTGAAACAGAAATTCGAGAAACATTTGATAAAGATCATCTTTGATTTTTGATCAATGAAAAATCATTGACAGTTTTTTAGCTGATCATAAAACGATTTGAAGTAATTGAAATTTGAATTTTGAAAAACAAAACTATACTCAAATTTGTTACATGCATTAAACAAATATGTGAACAGCTTTAATAATAAATCATATTTTATTATAGTTAAAAACATAGCTTTTAGTGAGATTATAAAATTCTATAGAATTTAAATGTAAAACATGTTATAACTATAGAAAGCCTACACAAATTGCATAGAAAAATGTGACAAGACTTTCTTTTTCTTAGAAACTCAGAATTTTGGTAACCTTTTCCAGAGACTATAATTAAATCTTAAAATTACAACGTTACAGAGAAATAGAAATATCGATTTCTTTGAAGAAAAAAATTGGGACTTCTATGAAAACTTTTGAAATTATTGAAATTGTTTCCAAGTTCATTAGGCTTTTGATTTATCATCCTTTGATTCAAAATTTCCAGCCCACGCTTTTTTCCAATACTCGTCAAACCCACGTCAAAATCACGAAAAAAACCTGACATGTTTCTCATTAATTTTCATCCAATTTCACGGCGACAATTTCCGAATTAAAAATTCAAAAAATTGAAATATCACCCTTTGTGAGACAACAGCCTTCAATTTCATTTTTTCATTTTTGAGCCAAGATGCAAGGTGTTCTAGAATTATTCTTTCAAGTCATTGGAATCATGGTAACTTAATTCTTTCATCAGGAGAATTTTTATTGTTACATATGTACATCGATAAAATATTTTCAGTGTGTGATAATTTATGGCGCCCAAATGGTCTGGTTCTTGATCTCAAAACCACTCAAAACACTTTGGGAATATTTTTCCGGTAAAGAAAATGATTGCGAGATGGATGAAGATGTTAGAAAATGGTTTATTGTTGAAAAATGTGGAGATCTCACTTATGTTAAACTTCGAAACTATGGAGAACTTGGGTTCATTGAGGTAAAATGTTCTGGAATTTATTTTGTTCTCAAAAAAAAAACTTTAATGTTCAGCGAAGTTACAAGAAGAAATTCTTCCTCTCAAAATTGTTGGACTACGGTAGATTGATGACTGAATTTATGACAAATTCGAGATTGGTTAGAGAATTGGAGAGAAGAGAATTTGATAATTCAGTAATCGAAAATGATGATTCTTATTCAGAAGTGAGTTTCTGATATACAAAAAAATTCTAGAGGAACATTTGACATATATTTTTTTAGGGTGAAGACAGTGACAACGACGAAGTTTGGGTTTAAATTTTTTATTTGCTGGAAAACTTACTGTTTTGTGTCGAACTTTGGAATAATAAAGCTTTTGTGGTGTTTTTCAATTTTATAATAAATAACAAAAATAGCCATTTCCTCTGGTAAATAAATATATGTAAAATAATTGGATATTCTCGACAGATTTCGAGATTCTGGTAATTCTAGATTGCACTTCTTGTTTTTGATGTGCAAAAACAAGCAAGCATTTTTGGGTGCTAAAAGTTTTGTAGATGAGAGGGATCTACAACTTTCCAAGGAAAAACTTTGATTTGACAGTTTGAAAAAATCAATTTTTTAGTGAAATTCGAATTTTTGAAATTGTTAATAACATATTTTTCAAAATTTCAGATCCCATCATATGTATAACAAATTTTCAGAAATTTTCGAATTTTTCAAAAAGTCGAATCATCTAGATACCGTATCTCTCTTTCCATATCACACTATTTTCCCAAAACACCACCTGTTACCGGATTTCCGAATATTCCCATTTGACATACGTTCACACCTATTTGTGAAACGCCGCTATCATGTTTTTAACACCTCGTGTTTCCCAATAATAAACAGGTGTTAAAATTAACAGATGTTATTGGATCATCCAAGCTCCGCCCACTTTTATCAAGTCTCCTCCCATTTTCGGACCATATAAAAGCAGACTGTAGGAAGCAATTATCATTCAGTTTTCTGAATCAGCTCGACTATCTTCTCTGAACAGTTCTCAGATTTTACCATAAAATGTGAAAAGTGGTTAATCAAGAATCTGTGCAGAGAAGATGGCTTGAGCCATCTTTTTATTTGCTCATCCACTTTTTCTTGACATTTTATTTTATTCCTGGTATTCAGAAAGGTATAAATAACTAGTCAAGAAGAGGTGGCTCTTTCGAGCTCACTTTATACGATTCACCTACCATTTCTGATCATTTTCCGATAATCCCGAAGAAATTAGTTAGGTTTATCCGGTCAATGATTAGAAATGGTGGTTTCGAGTCACTTTCTTTTTGCTCGTCCACCTTTTCTTGGCAACTTTCCTAACTCCTAGAATATAAAAAGGTGTTAGATAGTTGAAAGGAACAGGTGGCTCTTTTGAGCTCACTTTATGATTCAACTACCATTTCTGATAACTTTTGAGTAATACCAAAAACAAAAAAGGTATACTTCATCAGCTGTCAGAAATGGTGGTTTCGAGTCCACTTTTTGCTCATCAACCTTTTCTTGTTATCTATATCATTTCCTAGTATTTGAAAAGGTATTGAATAGTATATCAAGAACAGGTGGCTCCTTTGAGCCCACTTTTTACGATTCAACTACCATTTCTGATAGCTTTTGTGTAATCCAAAAATAGAGAGGTTTACTTCATTAGCAGTTAGACATGGTGGTTTTGAATCCACTTTTTCTTCTAACTATCTTTTCTGAACAGTTCTCAGATTTTACCATTAAATTTGAAAAGTGGTTAATCAAGAATCTGTGCAGAGAAGATGGTTTGAGCCATCTTTCCATTTGCTCATCCACCTTCTCTTGACTTCTTATTCTATTCCTGTTATACGAAAAGGTCAAAATAACCAGTCAAGAAGAGGTGGCCCTTTTGAGCTCACTTTATGATTCTACTACCATTTCTAATAGCTTTTGAGTGAAACCAAAACAATAAGGTTCATTCCATTAGCCATCAGAAATGGTGGTTTTGAATCCACTTTTTGTTTGACTACCTTTTAATTTGCTCACCCACATTCTTTTGACATCTTTTTTTACTCCTGATATATGAAAAGGTGTAAGTCTGATGTCAAGAAGACGTGGCTTTTTTGAGCTCATTTTTTTCGTTCACCTATGATTGTTAATTGTCAGTTTCTCAGATTTATGCACAATTGATCAACTTTGATTGAAAAATCATGGAATCTATGGTTTTTTGTATAGAACGTACTCAAAAAATTATATCTCCAAGAAATTCAATAAAATTAACACAAAAATCTTCATTATTTGCTTACATTTAGAAAACGGTTCCTTAGTAAACCACCCAGAACCAACTTTTTTTAGGCCTAGGTTTAGGTAAGTTTTTCTTTTTAACACTGTTAAAATACAAGAATTTGTGTTGTTGGATGACGTCGTCCCGCCCGAATGAAAATTTCGATTTGAGCGGGTAGCTGACAAAAATTGAAATTTTTATTTAAAAAAAAAGTCACAGATTTGGAATAATCGAAAAATGTAAAAAAGAAGTCGATGAGTTTCAACAAAAAAAAGTAACAGATTTGGAATAGGGTTTTCTTCAACATTTAGAAGTTTTGAAGATTTTCTTACTGTTTCGCCTAGGGGCACCGCCCCTAGGTCATAATTTTTAAAAAATTCTATTCGACAAAAAATATGAATAATCTTTGGCATGTAAGAGATACCCAAAAGTTGAAACAATAGCAATATAACAGTTGTATGTTATTTTTCGATGTGACAAACACATTTGTTTGCCACATTTTAAAGAACAAAGTCGAATATTTCATTTTGAATAAATTAACAGTAAACAATTTTCACAAGGTGAACCTGATTAAAATTTAGGAATTTCCCAGGAATTAACTTCTCCTGAATCTTTTTGAAATAACAAACTTATTATTTTTTTAGACAATTTATTTGAAAGAATAGTATCATGAAAAGAACAAAAAAAAGAAGATAAAAACGCGATTCTTAATACATTTACCAATGGAAAATATCAATTGTATGTCCGAAATGAACTTGTGGAATACGTGTTAACAAATTCCAAATGTGGATCGGGACTTTGTGGTCTTTCAATTCGAACAATTTCCTCGCTTATTTTGTCTGGTGCAATTCCAAATGTCCGGATTTTTTCCGTTTTGTAGTCATAAATGAAATATCTGAATCCAGAATAAGCTGGATGCAAATCTTCAAATTTGCTATAGAAGAACATATTCGGTTCATTTGGATGCGGAGCAACAAGTGAATGAATACAGATATGAGTTGGAATCGCAACGTTTTCATAAAATCCGTTTTGTGTGATCCACGAGTAAATTTGTCCATTCAAATAAATACCAGCCTTATTCGGTTCGTTGTAATGCAAACTGAAAAATAGCAAATTTTATTTGTAATAAAATGTTTTCCAAAAAAAACTTACTCAAGAACTTCAAGTTTTGTTAAATTACGAATCATGACTTCAACAATTATCGCTAACTTGCGTCTGTGTTGAATTCGAAGAGTTGTCAAATTTTCGAATCTTTGCAAAAAATGATTCATATCATAAAGCACCTCCTCATCGAAAATCAAATTTGTACATTTGACATTTTTGCACCAATCATCGCTCAATTTTCCGAATGCATTTAGCAAAGCATCGTGTCCATCTGCAGCAACTTTGATATCCAATGTGTGAATATTTTGAAGTTGGAAGAAATAATGCATATCTTCAGCAGCCATCAAGAATCTGAATTTGCATTCTTGACAAGTGTGTTTTGTCAATTCAACACACACAACTGTTTACTAAACAATGGAATTCAAAAGAGTCTGAAGATGCTCCAAATTTTTTTGCAATGTGTCGATGTATTCGTTCAGTTGGTCGGTGGGACTAACACGGAATTGTCGTTTTTTGAATCCAATTTCTAGCCCTTTAAGGAGGCCTTTAGTTGGATCAAATGGTTCACGAGCCAATTCGATCTTGTTTGAGAGATCCCACTTATCCAAATACACCTTTGCGATCTTCAACCAGGAGTTGTCGTCGTGTTGATTTTTCACAGCAGAATATTGTTTTTTCCATCCTTTGTGTGGAAAAGTTGTGATCAGTTCGCTTTTGATATCTGGATAAATCTTGAAATCGTTTGTAGGGGCAAAGTCAACAATTGCGGCGTGCTGTGTCCCTTTCCACCTTCCTAAAATCAATTATATTATAGTTTTCAGACTCTAAAACAAACCGCAGTTCTGTTCATGTAGATCAGAAATGAATAGGAGCACTCTAAGCATACTCAATTGAACAACGACATCCGCGCAAAGGCTGTTCCCATTAATAACGTTTTCAAGAAGCTCGAATCTGTCGTCCCATTGAGTAGCAATGTATCTGAAATATGCAAAGATGTATATGTATACGCAAAGCTGTAAAATCCTCACGTGCTTGTTTTGGTTCCAGTCGATATACAAGGAGGGATAATATGAGATTTGGGGCAGACACCGATTAATGCTAACAATTTATAGCAATAGAATTCGGAGACGTCCGGCACCTGTCCTGAGCTCGAGTCTTTTGGGCCATAATGATGGCATCTAAACAGAAAAGGATCTTGAATGAATGAATGGAAAACATACTTAATGTTGTACTTCGAAACCGAATCTTCTCCATGAATCTGTACAAACGCAAGTGTGTTCGTTGGCCTGCCTCCTAAGTCCGCGTCTCGTTCTTCGAAATAACAAATGAATTTGGAATCTTCATTTCCTCTCTTCTGATCATGGAGATTGTGGAAGTACTGCTCCGTCGCTTTACGAATCAATTCCACGTCACCATCGGTCCAAGCAGCGACTTTAGTATGATTCTGTCTTCGAAAGTTGTTGAATTGGGCGTAGACATTGAAGAATCCGCTTTTGGTTAAACGTTCGTGATGTTGGACAGCTTCTTTTGCGATTTCAACTTTGTCCGAGCGCTGCTTCAACACTAACTCAACACATTCTTTGTACTCGATCCACCATGGAAGATCAGCATGTTTCTGAAAATAAACAATTTTACAGAGCAATTTTACTAATTTTATTCAACTCGAGAGCAATTTTACAGAATCCGCTAGCTATGTATATAAAAATTAAGCACTTTTTGAATCTCAAAAATCGTCAAATTTACCCATGAAAAGATCTACATACGTATATCCAATAAAAACCTTTAATATAATTTTGGCTTACAATTAGTAATTTTGGCTTACAATTAATTGTTAGTAATGCTAAATGAACAAAAAAAATAATAAAAACACTTACGATCACAATCTCGTCGTCGTCCTTCACACCAATTTGTTTTAATGTAGACTTTAGCGATAAAATCTGCTTCCCGTTGTGATATAATTCTTGATAATTTTGATGAATAAACCAAAAGGAATTGATTGCCTCGCTCAACTCTTTGATTGTCGTCTAAAACAAACATTCAAATTAGTTAGAATATGATTGTTAAAAAACCTCATCAGTGAATGTTATTGGCTTCTGACGATGGGATACTCCGTTTTGATCTTGAAGAAGGAGAAGCAAACCTATTTCCATTGTTGTGGAACTGAAAAATAAAATAAAAACAATGATTATCATAGATGGAAAATCACGAAAACTATGCGAACTACAGACGAAAAAAAAGGTCTCTTTCCTATTCACAAAGGTTAATGCAAGAATGCGATGTTGGCAGTTTCTTGCCTTCCTCTGCGTCTCTGCACACGCGTCTCTGCCTTCCACTCTAGTCTAACGCGTTTGCGTGTGTTTAGTTCAACTCGGGCAAATGTGTGATTGTGCTTGGTCAAAGTGAGGAAGAGAAAAGAAGGTCACACAAAGAGAAAGAGAAATTACCAGAGTGAAGGTGTCACAAATATTGAGAGAACTGAAGACGAAAGAGAGAGTGGTCAATCTGTAAGATAACTCGACGAGTTTGGTCACACTCTAAACCTTGTCGAAGGTGCTGGCAAACAGGTATCGAACAGTGAAAGATGTGTTCACTGACCAAATATTTTATTATGTATGAGTAGAAAGATTCAAGACGGTATGCTGAAAAGGTAAGTCGAAAAGACCAAAGACTTTAAATAACTTTGAATAAGATATATTTCAGCAGGAAATGTTAAATGAGCAATCGAAATTCTGAGAAAAAAGTGTATGTAACGACTCGAAGAATCTTCTCCGGAAGGGGCGAAAAATGTAAAAATGAAGTCGATGAGTTTCAACAAAAAAAAGTAACAGATTTGGAATAATCGAAAAATGTAAAAATGAAGTCGATGAGTTTCAACAAAAAAAGTAACAGATTTGGAATAATCGAAAAATGTAAAAATGAAGTCGATGAGTTGGGACCTAAATGACACTTCCTCTCAGGCTTAGGCTTAGTAAGCCACCCAGAAGCAACTTTGAAGCTCAAAAATTGAAAGAAAATTTTTAACACTGTTAAAAAACAAGAATTTGTGTTGTTGGAAGACGTCATGTCGTCCGAATGACATATTCGATTTGAGCGGGTAGCTGACAAAAATTTAAATTTTTATTTTCGTGTAAAAAAAGTAACAGATTTGGAATAATCCAAAAATGTAAAAATGAAGTCGATGAGTTTCAAAGTCGACTACTGTAGGTGCCTTTAACAATATTTTTCCGGTGGGACGTTTTCCTCTACCACGACCCACTCGTCTGATAATTCGGGAATCTGAAAATAATTTATTTTTCGGATATGGGGCCAAAAAATAAAAATGGTAGCGTGTTTTTCCTACAAAAATCCTTACCTTTTCTAAGATTGCAGCAACCAAATCATTGAATGCGGTGTCGACGTTAACATTGTTTTTTGCCGATATTTCGTGAAATCTGAAATGTTCAAATTTTTGATTTTCGGATAAAATAGAAAACAAACTCACATCATTTGGTGATCTCGTGCAAGTCTTTCGCCTCTTTCTTTGCTCACAACTCTTTGAGCAGTCAAATCACATTTGTTTCCCACCAACATTTTCACCACATCTTTCGATGCTTGCTGAAAATTTTAGAAAAAATGGATTTCTGAGCCCAGGAGCTGAATCTTGACACAGAATATTCAATTTTTAGCTAAAAAAAACCCATCGTGTCAATTTTCCTTCATTTTTCCTTCAGAAACTCTTACGCTGCCAATCCGTCTTAACCATTCCTCAATATTATCAAAAGTTTCCTCGTCTGTAACATCATATACCAAAATTATTCCCTTTGCATGTCGACAATATGATGTTGAAAATGAAACGAAACGTTCGGACCCAATCGTATCCCTGCAAAAACAAACATTGTGCTTTTTTCTGTTGAAACCTGGATTTCTGATGAAAAATCGGAGTTTTGCAAATTTTCAGCTCAAAATATGTAATTTTTATGTTGATTTCCGAATTTCAAAATGTGACTTCTGATGTGATAAATTCTAAAAAATTCCATTTTCTGTAAACATTTTTAATTTCAGAAAAAAATCTCACCAAATTCCTAATTTGATTTTTTTTCCTTTCATCTCAATTGCCTTGACTTTGAAATCTAGATCTGAAATTACAAAAAATCGATAACTTTTTATGAAGAGATTTATTGCAGAATAAGCTGCGCTATTTTCACTCACGATTCCATGGAAAAATTTCCTCGAATGAGCCTTCGCAGAATCGATGATTAATGCTTGTTTTTCCGACGTTTGAATCTCCTATGAGCACTAATTTGAAGAACATATCATGTTCCATTTTTGGTCTGAAAATTGGAAAATGGTTGAATTTTGGGTCAACAAAGCGCTATTCACAGAGAGAATAGGAAAACATGAGGAACTGGATTAGGGTCAAGAGTTAAAAACTTAACAGAAAATAAGTTAACCAACGCGCCAACCCGTGTTTCGTCAACAATATTTATCAATTTTTTGACATTTTCAAAATAAAAACTATGTGAAGAAGATAACAAAAAATGTTCGTTTTCGCAAAAAAATGAAAAAATTGTTGTTCGACATAGAAAATACATCAATATTTGTTTGGAAATTGCGAAATCACTGCTAACCTTAAACTGACAAGAGAATTACATCAGCGTGATAACCGGTTTTGTAAAATGAGAAATATTATTTTATTGAACTTGATACGCTGTAGCTGTTGAAGTCCAAAAAAAAATTAAATGAAAAAAATGGTTCGAAACCCTCTTCTCTGAACAGATTCATAGTATACCACTTTACAAATTTCAGGGTAATACTTGAGAACTGCTTAGAAAAGAAAGTTGAACAAAAAGTGGATTCAAAACCACCATGCCTGACTGTTAATGAAGTAAACCTTTCTATTTTTGGATTACCCAAAATCAATCAGAAATGGTAGTTGAATCGTAAAAGGTGGGCTCAAAAGAGCCACCGTTTCCTGTTCTGTTATTCGATACCTTTTCATATACTAGGAATCGAGATAGAGAACAAGAAATGGTGGATGAGCTAAAAGTGGATTCAGAAACCACCATTTCTAATCATTGACCGGTTAAACCACAGATATTACTTCGGGATTAGCGGAAAATGATCAGAAATGGTAGTTGAATCGTAAAAAAGTGAGCTCGAAAGAGCCACCTGTTCTTGTTATACCATTCAATACCTTTTCAAATACTAGGAGTTAAGATAGATAACAAGAAAAGGTGGATGAGCAAAATAAAAGTGGATTCGAAACCACCATTTCTGACAGCTGATGAAGTATACCTATTTATTTTGGTATTACTCAAAAGTTATCAGAAATGGTAGTTGAATCATAAAAGGAGCTCAAAAGAGCCACCTGTTCCTTTCAACTATCTAACACCTTTTCATATACGAGGAGTTAGGAATGTTGACAAGAAAAGGTGGATTTCTGGTAAATAATTACTAGAATCGACTCATCGTTTGAATTTTAGTAGGAAATAACTAGAAATAGCGGTTGAATAGGAAAAATGTGAGCTCAAAAGAGCCACCTTTTCTTGGCAATTATTTAATTCCTTTTCATATACCAGGGTCTAAATAAATGTCAAGTAAAAGTGGATGAGCAAATTGAAAGATGGCTCAAACCATCTTCTCTAAACAAGTAATGTATACCTCTCTTTTTTCACGGGTAAACCAAAATCTTGTTCAGAAAAGATGGTTGAGCTGATTCAGAAAACTGAATGATTATTGCCCCCTGTTGTTTTCTTTTATATGGTCCGAAAAGGGGAGGAGACTTGATAAAAGTGGGCGGGGCTTGGATGGTCCAATAACATCTGGTAATTTTGACACCTCTTATTTTTCTGGGAACATGAGGTGTTAAGAATGATATTGATAGGTGTGAGATGATCAAAAACGGGATTGGTTTTAATTATGGGAAAATTGTAAACAATATTCTGGGAAACTTTTAATGGAAACGGTATAGTCGGGAAACAAAAATTGCAATAGAAAAATTGAAAACTTGGGCTCAAGCTCAGAATATGGTATAGGCTTAGGAATATGGTATAGGCCTGGGTTTGAAAAATACCCAAGACTTATTAGCTTTGTCACAAAGTTATTCAAATTTTCAGAGGTTTTGATCGGGTTTTTTTTTCAATTCAGTTTTATTTGATCGCTGCTTTCTTTCAAAATTCATTAAGTTTTTTGCAATATTTTACACGTTTTTTACACGTGACATTTTCTGAACCTTCCAATTTTTTTGAAACATCTTTTTTTCGAATCCAAAAAAAGCGATTAGAAATCAGAGTCCTCACATAAATTCAATTCCATAGTAAATGAAATTTATCAGAACTCAAAAAAACACGCGTTTTCTCTGGCGTCCAACATTTTTTCAGCTGTCGAAGTTTTCCTCAATTTATATAATTTACTCAATGAACTAAAACTTGTTATGAATACTACATTTATAATTCTCTCTGATATTTCAAGAACATGGACTGTGATTGCATCATTCTTCACTTGTTTTATATCTACAATCTTCAATTTTCTAGTAATTTATCTAATAAAAACAGAATCTCAAAAAGAGACAAAAGTCTTTCAAAATGCTGTGATCTATTCACAAATCAGTCTTTATATTCCTCAAACTTTTTGGGGGATTTGTTGCTGTGGAATTTCGTATCTCCCATTTCCTGCAATTCTATCACACGGAATATTAAAAAATATGTTGCCTTTTTTGGATTTCCGGTGGAATTTGGGGTGTATTGATTACATTTTATTTGCAATCATCTTTAATTTTACTCTTGGTTCGATTAAGTATAATTGTTCGACCAGAAAGTGTTTTCAATGTAAGAAATTGTGATTCCAATGAACATCAACTTTTTTTTCCAGTTCAAAAGATCAAGAATGACTGTATTTTTATTATTTTATACGATTTCACTAATATTATTTATGTCTTCATTGGCTAACAGCCTGAACTTTACTAAAGCATCAATGTTGAATATGTTAAATACAGTAATCAAAGTTCATGTCAATACTCTACCAAAATGTTTTTTTTTCAGAATTATCCTCGTTATTCACATATGATACACATTGAGGGTGTATTAATATTTTCGGATTTTACAGTTTTGAAATTTCTAATTTCTTCAATAACAATTTTCACAGCATTCATAATAATATCATACGGTTTTGTGCGATTTTTAATTTATTATGAATTGAAAATGCAAGTGAATAAAATGAGCAATCGACAACAAAAATATCACAAAAAAATTGCAAAAACCTCAGCTATTCATATTCTTATTCATTCTTCTAGTATGTCACTATATCTTTTATGGATCGTAATTTCGACATTCATTAGTTCACAGTGGAATACAATACGTGAGTTCACATATATTCAAAATACAAAAAAAATTGTTTTTTTTCTTTTCTTCTAGCGATAACTTCAACATTTCACACAATTTTCGTTGGTGCTCCAATTTTCGGAACAATTTATATGATTTCTATTAACCCAGCATATCTTCGACGGATTAAAGAACTTTCAAAATTTCAATTCTCATCCGAAAATAGAGCGGATCGTCGTATGTTCAAAGTTTCTATGATAACTTCATAGAAATTTCTGTTTTTGGTTTTTGAACCCAGAATGAACTTGGAGTTCAGATAACATTATTGGCTCAAAAACATAGTAGTCTAGAATATCAGCTGTGTTTTTTAACATGATTTGCGGCAACAGAGACGTTGGGGTCAAAGATCTTCAAGAATTTTTTTAAAAGTTCCTTGTTTTGAAATATTGTTTGTTCCTAATGCGATTTCGCATTATAATCAATAAAAAGTATAAATATAAATCATAACCAGAGTTGAAATTGAAAAATGATCCGACTTTTTCTCGCCATCTCCATCTTTCTTGCGATTGCTGTGAATGCAACAAGATTTGACGTCAGGCTAGAATTGATCTGTAACTTCCAGCAACAATGGCAATACTCGGCGTATTTCTATGAACACGATTTGATTTCGTGAGTTTTTTTGCAGCCCGCTAAAAATTTAAAATCATTCCAGACCAAGCGAAGGGATGCACACCACACCGGTTTACGGAAGCGTTCAACCAAGCTCAAGTTTTGCGGCTCAATTTGATTACAGTGAAGGCGATGGTATTGGCGACAACTATTATGAGCCTTTTTTGGCGTTAACACACACATGCACCGATACTGGCAGTCAAGCTACAGCCACTTTCTACTTGGGAACTGTTCCAGTTGACAGTGCTGGTGTTGTGATTCAGCGAAGATATTTAATTGATACAAGATGCGACGCATTTTTTTGTGTTTTGATTGACAAGCAACAATAATTGAATTTTTTGTTTTGTTTTTATGGTGGCAATAATAAATAGTTTTCTGAAATCTTCGATTTTTGGCTCCAGATAATCTGAAAATTCAGCACCACTTCCGTTATAAATTATATTTTATAATTCACAGTGCAGAAAAATATATGACAGAAAAAAGACCAAAAAAAAAAGAAGAAATACGAAAAAATGTTCAATCGGGAAAAATCGGAAGATGGACATGTACTAGTGAGGCATCGTATTAGGTGTTGTTTAAAACGTGAGAAAAAATTGATAATTGTTTTCAATTTGTCATTTCGAGATCCATCAGGTCACCTGGAACAATTTGATTTTCAGGTTTTGAAAAAAAATCAGCAGTTAGTATCCAGAAACATACCCTTTTGTTTGGTTGATAGTTGATTATTATTGTCTAGCGGTAAACATAAATTTGTGCTTGTCATTCGGTCCGATGATGATGTTGTTTCATATAAAGTTGAGGATGAAGATGTTGTTGATGAGGTTAGACTATTGTTGCCATTTTTCACATCTTCGGTTGGACTCTAGAATATTGGATTGACAATAATTAAGCGAAAATTAATTGAATTCTGGACACACATCAGATTTTCCAGAAACTACATAGAAACTTTAAAAAGATAATTTTTAAACCTAGTTCTTCAAATTTTCTATTTTCAAAGAAATCCGATACTGAAAGTATCTTGCTTCAAGTTTCGGTTAACATGAGCAATGCTTTTCTGCGTCTCGTAAATTCTCCTGATTCCTAGTTTCTGCAGATAAGATTGCTCATGTTTGATTGTATTCTACTGATATTTTAGAATAGTGAATTTTTTTCAATATCTGAAAAATATTTTTAGCTTTCTTCTCAAAAATTTGAAAAACTAGAATTTAAAAAATGTTTCCTTAAAACTTCCCTCAAGATCCTCTCACCTTCTTTCCAACAAAACACATAGTTTCCGGAACTGTCGAAGATCTTGTTGGCGCAATCAAACTCTCCTCAATAATTCCAGACAATTTATCAGCAAACGGGCTAGTTATACTAGTCACTGTAAACAAAATTGGTTTTTTTCAAAAATTATCTTTGATTTTTGAGTCACTACTGATCAAAAAAAATATATTTACATGAAAACAACTATCGGGGAAGCTCAATTTTTGTCATATATTTTTTGTTGAAAACAATATTTATAGTAAATGCTGAAAAAGTGTGAAAACCGTGCAAAAAACAACCAGCACAACATTGACAAAAAGCATGCGGAAAAACCGTGCTTGCGAAAAATTCAAAAAAAAAAAGATCACACAAACACAAAACCTACACTTTCCGATGCATAAAGGTTTCAAGTTAAGAGATGTGGGTCGAGCTGAAACATTTTGGGTCAGAACTGGGAGGATGTGAAATGTTAGTGACTGATTAGAAGAAGCTTGACATCAATCATCCAAATCGAGAAGAAGAGAAGTTTTTGGTTGAAAAGCTGTGATTAATTGGGGGAAGGTTTAGAGAAACAGTGAGTTTTTGAGGAAATCAAAGAAAAATTAGATGAAATTAAATTAAATAAGCGATTTGATTTTGTTTTTTACATGCTTTTTAGCAGTGCAGAAATAAAGTGCGGAACTTATTGATTTTTTTTTGTTTTGGAAAAATGTTTTCTAACCTGAGTAATGTCGAGAATTATATGAAATTTTTCTGATTATTCTTATCTATGTGAACTGTTTTTTGGTAATATTTTTCAATGAAGTTTTTGAAAATTCATGTAATAGGTTTTCAGAAACCCTTTTTTTCAATACATCGAGCGGACTTTCACATATAGATAGGAAAGAGTTAGAAGTAGAGTTAGTAAAGCAACATGTTCCATTTTCATCTGGACTTTGAAAAAAAAAATAAACTCACCCATTGAATTTGAAGACGATATAGACATTGGTGTATCGCTTCGCATATTTGGTGGCTAAACATTTTTGAAGATAAAAAATCTTTTCCTAATGAAAAAAAATCTCAAAATCTCACCTGTGAAAAATTGACAGTTTGTGAAGAAATCGCATTCGGTAGACTAACAGCTCGATTCATTCTCAATGAGGACATCGGAAGTCCAAAATTCTGAATCCTTGCCAATCGTTCTTTTTTTGTCAGCATATTTGTGATCGCGACTTCTTGTCGAAGTCTATCCAATTTCAACATGGATTCTACAGCTTGAATTGATTTGGTATAAGCTTCAATGTAGTTGAGAGTTTGCTCGTGATGTGTGGTTTCAGAAGTTGTTTCTTTTGCCGCCATCATTGCCAAAGAACTTCGATCTTCCATGTCTTGGGAGGATTTTGGAATATGAGCTACAATATCGTAGTGGAGACTTGTTCGATGAATAATCTCATTTCCTAACATTCTTTTGAACAATTTTTCAGTTAGGCTAGGTTTCTTGTAAATTTGCAAGCAGATTCTTTTGCGGAGCACAATATGCATTGGACAAGGGTGTGATAATCGAATCATAACTTTAACAATCGCATAAATCCTGTCGTTAGATCCAGAAGGAACATTGAGAGCCGCACTATCGTGAACGGAAGTGTCCCAAGAACAAGTGGCGATATGCTCTTTCTCGTCATATTTATGAATTGGTAACATCAACAGATTTCCTTCTGGCTCTAACGGAAGCATTGAATGTAATCCAGCAATTTTTGGGATATTTTCATCGCTGGTTAATTCGCCAGTCATATCATCCGAATTGAGATCAAGGAATAGAACAGGGATATGTTTTTCGACACCATCTGGAGCTATCCAATCACATGGGGCTCCTGGGATACACGAGTTTGGAGCTGGACATTCGACAGCTGTTCGTTCTTCGGTGAGAGCAACCCATTGTCCCATGAGAGAATGCTCACGATCGAGCTCTGCTTCGGATTTTCCGGATTTTGAGGAGAGCTGGAAATCGCGGGTTTTTCTTTGGAAAAAAATTACAACACTCCGCACTGCTTGTTGTTTAGCCATACGATTTTTTTTTTTGTATTTTTGAATTCGAAATTAAGAACCTGTATATGATTCTCTGAAATTCTGAATTAAATTCTTCAAATTATTTTTCAAATTAGAATTTGAAATCATACTTTACTTCCTAAAAAAATAATATTGTTTCGACAAGAAGATTTTTTATATTTTCCAAAAAAAAATATTACGACACTCCGCCAGTTTGCCTGCTCTTTAGCCTTGTTTTTTTTTTTTGAATTTCGCAATTCATTTGAAGTTTTAACTTTATTTATTGAAATTTTGAATTGTTTTCCTATCAGATTTCGTGAATTTAACCCATACTTCATAAGGCTAAAACTCTTAAAATCAGAAATTTTCGTATTTAATTCAATTTAGAAATCCTGTAAAACATTTTCCACTTACCGTATCTAATTGATGTTGCAAATAGAATTGTCTAGTTTTCAAAGCATGCGACCATTGTTTCCTGATTTTATCCAAATCCTCTTCTTGATAACTATCAATCGATCTTTGCTTCTCTCCACTTCCCGTATTCCCACCATTTTTCACCGACAAAATACCACCAATACTAACACTGCTAATTGAATCAATCGACAATGGTAAACCATCCATTTGAACTAGATTCACTCCAACAACAAGTCTTCGTTGTTGACCTTGTTTGAGTTGATAAATTCCACCGGTCGCAACATCTTCTTGTTGTCGAACTTCAACACTCGACCATTCACCATTCTCATTTAATTCTCGAATTTCAGTCCATAATTCAAGTCGTCGCGTCACTTCCATCCAACGATTTTGAAGTGTTTTACTCTTCTCATCAGTATCCAGCACGCGTTTTTCATGAAGATGCCCGCAAATTCGATGTCCCCAAACTTCAATCGATAATGCATCATCTCTCACATACTCCATAAATTCTTCAGTCACAACAACATTGAAATCTCGCTGATGCTCAAAGATCACAGTAGTTGGTTTGGTGGAAGAATCATTAGCTGGAGCAACGACTAGAAGTTCAGAAATGTTGAAGAATGAGTATTGACAGAAGACAAAGTTGGAGAGTTTTTCGGGGAGACCTGATGCTCGTTTTATGCGAACTCGACATGTGATGGTTTTTCCCAACATGCTTTCGCCGTCTTTGAAATCTTCGTCTTCTTCGGTATCGATGACGCGGAAGATTTGAACGTGGAGACGACCAGCAACTTCACCTTGTTGCGAGATTATTGGAACCTGCAATTCATCAGATGGGTTGAAGTATTGTAGATCTACTAACCTGATAATCCAATCTCAAATCATGAAACAAAACTTCCAAGAAAACATTGGCAACTCCAACAAGATTGTGATGTTCTTGACTCTCAAAAAACGGATCAATAATCAATGCAGATTGTTCAGGCAAACATTTCATCGGTGTTGTATGCGGTGTTCCATTTGTTGAAAAATCAGCAGATCTATTGAACCCATTAATCATATCATTGTATGTTTCACGCATATCAACAAGTCTAGATTCGAGTTGAGCAACTGTCCACATTTGACTTCCACTCATGCCTTCTCTTCTTACAACAATCACAGGCTCACAGACAAATTGTCCAGCTTTGATTTTGATTGGTCTGAGATTTGAGGCTGGGATCTGCAGGGTGACATCATATGTTGTTTGGCGTCTGGAGTTTTGGAGCTCGCGGGAGATTAGATTGGCTTCTCGAACCAAGGCATTTGCATGAATCACATCAGCTTTCAATCGTTTTAAAGATTCGGCAAACATTTCTTCTCTGAAAATTCAAAATAAAAAAAAACCTTTTATCTGAACGTGACTCACTTTCTCTGTGCCCAATAGAAAAACTTGCTCTTTACTGATTGTTTCGGATTTGCTGGAAATGGGAATGGTGGAAGTCCAGAAGGTGTTGTGACTGGCGTCGGCAGCCCAAATCCTGGTGTCATTGGTGTTGATGGTGTGAAGCCGCCAGCGGTGAGCGATTGAATATATTTTTCAAACGCTTCGTATTGTTGTTCGAGTGCCGCCTTTTTGTCTTCCTTGAAAAATAAAAGGATTACTGTGAGACGAAAGCAGGGAGAGTAATTAGTTAGGGATTATGTAGAGAATAGTATATTTTTCAGAAAATGTGGAATCTAGTTCCTAGGTTGAAAAACAGATGATTTTGAATGTTAGGGGTTTTCAAAATTTTATCTCCTATCTCTAATTTTAAGCCTTATCAAACTAACCTGATGTTTCAATGTGACACTTTCCATATATTGATCCACAGCCGAACTAATTGGATTCGCATCATTCACCTCGTGCCAAGCATCATTATAATCAAAGAGTGTACTATCTTCCATGATACTTTGATCCATATCAATAACTTTTGGACAATTTACTTTGAAGAAATGATTCATCCCAATCAACAATCGATTTCCATTCCGAAGCAAAACACGATCAGTGATTTGTTTTCCATTCACACAAATTCTACAATCACTATTAAATGGCGCAACAAATAGACGAAGTCGTCCAGCATATTCTTCAACTGTGAGTTTCGCATGTCGACGCATTACTCCAAGACCTCGAAGAACAATTGATGTTCTATCGGATTTATCCTTGTTGAGTTCAGAATTGGAGAGAGATAGGCCAGAATCACGACTGGTTTCTAGCTCTTCAGAATTTCCGATGATAGCTTGACCATTGATATAATAAACTAGAAGCTCATTCAAAGATGGATCAGCATTCATGTTCACCAAATAAAATCGATCCTTCTCCACTTTGATTCCACTGCTCTCAATTGAAATTCCAATTTCAGCCAAATCCTTTTGCCTCTCCTTGTTCAAAGTGTCAGTTTCTTTTAGTCTCTCCTCCCAAGATTTGTTCATCTGCTCAACAAGTCGCTCACTTTCAGCCAATCTTTCGCGGAGCTCTTGGGTTTCCTGGAAAATTTCGGAATTTTTCAAGTAATCTACTTGCTTAGCCTTCTGATTCTCACATTCAGAATATAGAAAATTGGATCGGAATTTTCATGAACCCAAAATCAGGAGGAAACCCTCAATCATCACTCACCGCATGTTCTTTTCGAGTTTGAGTAATTTGCATTCTCAAAGTCTCAACCTCTTCCCTCAACTCTCGAATAACTCTAGCATTCGGATCTTCATTAATAATCGCATGATTAACAATCTTCTTTGCTCGATCAGCATATCTCAATGTCGACAATGTTTCCTCATAATTATCAGCCGCTGGAGAAAGTGTGGCAATCATAATAGTCCGAGAATTTCCACCAAGAGAATCTTTGAGAAGCCATGTGAGAACTGAATCCCGATATGGGATGAATTTCTCCTTCTTGGAGTTTGCTGTTCGTTCAGCTAATGCTGATATCACCATTCCAAGAGTGGTCAAACTTTTATTGATATTTCCACCCTCTTCCAGGCGTTTACCAACAGCACCAGTTTTTCCAGCACGTTCACTTCCAGCTAAATCAACAAGTGAGATTTTGGCAACTTTTTCTCCACTGAAACCATTTTCCAAGTCATGCAAGGTTTGAGAAACAATAATACTGAAAACTGCGTGCGATCTTGAACTTTCAGCATTCATATTTGTTGCAGCAACAGTTCTAGATTTATTTCCCTCCTCTAAAAGATTTGAGATTTGTTCAAAAGAATTGACAGCCAGGATTGATAGTCCATCAACCATTGGTCCAAGAATCTTATGTTCTCGAACTTTCAAAGCTTTGCTTGATTTTTTGGGATCTAGAAGATCTCGGACTCTCTCATTATAGATTTCCATGTATGAAACTTCAACTTTGAAGGATAATGTGTCACTGGTTTGTTCACAGATTCGTTGGAAAATATCGTTGCAGACGCGTGGAATTATACCCGGTTGATCTGGTGTGCCCATCATTGTATAGGATTTGCCGGATCCTGAAAAATTATTAATAAATTCTAATTTATAAATGTGTTTTTTTTTTCTAAAATTCCCAAGATGCTCAAGCTCAATTTTTTTTAATTATCAGAGCAAATATCTCATGACGTAATAGAATTTAATGAAATTTCTTGATGTCAGATGATTTTTCAGCCCACAAAGTAAACATTGCTCCAATTTTTTCTCTTCAAAATCTACTGTAACCTTGAAAATATCTGGGGTCTATTCAAACTATTTTTAATGCTGGGAAAGTGCAGAAACCCTATTCAGAGAGGCTGAGAAAATGTATTTTTTCTACTTCAACCCATTTCTTATTGTTATTTTCTTGAGAAAATTTCAATTTTTTACCAAAAAGTTTTCCCACAAGCTTTTGAATCACCCACCTGTCTGGCCGTAGGCAAAAATACAAGCATTATAACCAGCGAAGGCATTCTCAACAACACCATTACCCAAATGATAGCACACTGTATCCTGTCCAGCAAAATCGCTCTGATTTGGATCAGTTGAACAGAACGAGTGATCGAATGTGAAGGTTTTGGTGTTTTTTCTGAACAAAAAATATATTTGAAACAAAAATCAAGAGCATAAGTAAACTCACTCTTCTATGGGGTGATGTAGAACGCATTGCTCATTTTTAATTTTGACAACGGATTTGGTTTTGAGGTCCAATTCACGTTTATTGAACGGTCTAACACGAATCGCAACTTTGACCGCGCTTCCCTCGTCGATTTTGCTTTCCATCATCGTTTTTTCAGCACACAAAATCGATTTTAGAACATCTGAAAATCACAAGATTTGAAAAAAAAGTTAAACAGGGAAAAATAAAAAAGAAAAAAAGTGCATATGAAATAGGAGAAGCGAAAAAAGGTCTTAACATAATCCCTAACCCTTGTTTTCTACATATTTTTTTTTGTGAAAGGACCAAAAAGTTTTAGCAAAAAAATGTTGAATGAATTTGGATAGGGAGGATAGAGAGAAGAGAATAATTAAAGTCGTAAAAAGTAGGCTCCGCCCCCTTTTTTTTTTCGCACTTTATATATTTGAAATAAGTATACATATCTTGTGACAAGAAGGGAAAGGCATAGTTTGGGGAGGAATTGAGAATAGAAGAGAATAGAAGGGGGTGACTAACTGTCGGCACTTTTTGGCCTACTTGGTGTCGGAAGTTGGTGAATCAGAAAGATAAGGGAGGTTGGGAAGGTTTTTGGGAACATTTAGAAATGTATCGAAAATAAAATTACTCGAAAAAAATAGAATTTCAGATTTTGTTGAGTCATCAGTTCCCAGAGTGAAATTTCGTTCAAAATTATTGGGAAAACATTTACAATATATTTTTTTAACTCGATGAAGAATAAAAAAAAAATAATAATTTTCTAAATCTTGAAGCTTTGATCATAAATTTTGATAATAATTTCACTGAAAAATTGTAACCCCTAATTATTTATTTCAAAAAATTAAAAAGCTTCGAAAATTATCTTAATCATAGTTTATTCTGTAATCAACAAGAATATAGAACTATTAAGATCAAACAATCAATCCTGATATTTGGAAAAATTGAAGTTCCTAACGTAAATATTCGATGTATCAAATTTTTCTCAAAAATGATGTCATTTTCTCTTCAAACTGTATATTTTTCAATACATACATATGTTAACACATGTCTGAAATTTTCAGAAAAACATTTTTTTTTTCAAGAAAATTTCAACAGATGTGTGTACCATACAGTGCCAAAATTATGCCCTTTTTTTTGAAAGTCAGAAAAGTACACATCTGCTTGGTTTATTAGGTAGGTACCATTTTGTGTCAATAAGAAAGTTATTGAGAAAAAAATGTGGCATTTTTTGGAAAAGGGATAACTGAATTTTCAGGGTAGTTTCTCAAAAAAAGGTGCTTCAGATTTTTAAAATAAAAATTTAAATAAAAGGCTCAAAAACCGGCTAGTTTTTACAGAAATTTAAAGGGACAAGGATTAAATGATGAGAAAATTTTGAATGTCCCAAGAATTTTTGAAGAAACAAGAATGAAAAAAAGCATAGATGGGCCGACGAAAAATTTGAAACTGAGCAAAAGAAACTTCATTTTCTCATTTGCAATTGATGAACATTTCGGTCCTCTCTTTTTTTTCCTTCTTCCTTTTTTCCCCAGTTTTTTCTGGGCATTCTTTTCTCTGTTAAAGCTATAAAGCACTTTTTTATTATGCATTTTGGTTAGGAATAGCTAATTTGTGATGTCTGAAATTCTCGAGAAATGTATGGAATTTTTCTTCGTTTTTTTGTTGGCTGAAAATTGGAATTGAGATAGAAATTGAAATTGAAATTCCATGCAGGGTTGAGAAAAAAAGGAAAAAACTTTGTTCGAAAATAAAATAAGAATGTCAAATTTTTTATCAGATAAGCCTCTAATCAGTGAAAACTAGTTGAAAATAATTTTCAAGAAAAAATTTCGCAATCACAAAAAAAATCAATCACAAATCGTGAAATCTCATCAAGATCTTTGCACTTTTCAAGTGTCAATTGATGATGAGAAAAAAAATGATGCGGATCTCATTGATAGCTCATTTTAAACTGAAAACTGACTGAAAAAAATGTAGGAAAAAAGGCAAATATTTCATAGAAAAGAATAGAACAGCAAAAAAAAGATATATGAGGGTGCACTTTTTTCGGACTTTGTTTCTTGGAAAAAATTATGCTTGGGTTTTTTTTCTGGGGAGATGTTGAGAGGAAAGGGCAGGGTGAGGGTAAATAGGAATTCCAGAAATTTTCAGAAATTCAAGAGAAAATTTGAAATCTCAAAGAAGATTCATTTTCTGAGCTGAATTTTAAGGATTTTTTCGAAAGAAATTTCAACTGACCCTGCCCTCTTTTTTTACTCCAAAAATTTTCACACCCCACACATCTACCAACAGAAAAAAAATCTCATCCCTCCGACAATTAGCGACACTTCTGTTTCGCCAACACAACAAAAAAATGATGCCAGCTGATACTAGTTTCTGACTAATCGTAAGCGCCAAAAAATTCGGAGAGAGAAAAAAATACATTTTTTTTGGAGCGACAAAAAAAAAAACAAAAATGGAATGGGTGGGGTGCTTCTTTTTTTTGGTTGATAATTAAATAAAGTGTGAGGGAGAGAATTTTTCAGGCCTTCTAGAAATCTAGAACCTCTGGTGCAAAAAAAATAAAATCAATGAAAAGAGATAGATATCTAGATCTAGAAGAGATATATATATACGAGATGAAAATGAAAAATGTAAAATAAAACGAAAACCGCATATCTCACACACAGACACAATTGGTGCACATCATTCATGCCAAAAAATCAATAAATCAAGTGGTTTTCGGAGGCGTTTTTTTTGGGCAACACGAGAAAAAATGATAAGAAAAGAACTGGGAGCACAAACAAAAAAAATGGCCACAAAAAATGTATGTGCTCATTGAGCAGCCAATTTGTTGTTCTCTCTTTTCTCCTCTCAAGTTTTTTTGTGTGTGTCACAAAAAACACCTGGGAAATGAGATTGAAATAGAAGTGTATTACAACTTTATTTTCAGAGCTCTTTCTGAAAATGTGCTCTTTTTTTTGTACAAAAAAAATTACAAACATTTTCCGGTTGAACGCTTTCAGGGTAATCTGATAAAAAAAAGTTGCGAAAATTTTTGTTTTCCAAAATATTTTTGACCAGTTCCAAACAACCAGGAAACTTTAAAAAAAATAATAATAAAATTTTGAGTTTTGCTCAAGATCAAATTACATACACATTTTCTGGATATTTGTTTTACCTTTGTTCTACAAATTGTGTGTACATAAATTGATAAAAATAGAGAGATGGGCAGACATTTTTTTTTGAGAATCACTGGATGGTTTTTGAGACTTGAAACATGAAACAGGTGTATTTTTGGATAACTTTGCAGAACAATTGAATTTTTATGAGGTTTTTTCAGGTTTTTTTATAAAAAGATCCTTGAAAACGTTTCAAATAATTTCTATTTCTTCGAGAAACTCTAAAATGTTTTTGCGAAATCTCTGAACCACAAAATTGTTTCAAGAAATTTTGAAATAATTTTTTGGGAAATTGAAAAACTATTGTGAGTTTCAATTTTTCTCATATTAAAAATGTAATTGGGATGTTTTGATCTTCAAATTTTTTTGATAAAAAAAACATTATTGGCTATAATTTTCTTAAAATGATTTTTTGATCTACATATTTCAAGGTAAATATTGCACTTTAAATTTGAAAATTAACTACAGGATTCGAAAATTTAAAACTAACTTTGTCCCCAAACCTCTGAAATCCAAAGCTCCTAAGCTCCCAAAGATTCCCAAACTCCCAAAAATGTTAAATGTCTCCGGAAAAATAAAACAGAGCCCCATCTGCTTTTTCTCATGTTCTTCCCTAAAAAGAAAAAGACCACATCGATAAAAAACCGATGTGGTCTCTCCGAAAAAAAAAATCTTACTGTAAATAAAAAAGTGACACCATCAAAATCTCAACAAAAAATGTCACATTTGATTGTTTTCCCATTTTTCTCGCTCGGCTTGGAAAAAAGCTCGAAAAAAGATGAGAACGTCGAAAAAAGAAGCGAAAAGCAAAAAAATAATGAAATTCCGGCAGAAATTCTGTGTGTGTGACAAATAGAAACAGCAAAAAAGCAAGACAACATATATAGATACTGACTGACTGAAAAAGAAGATTTTTGATTTTTTTTTCTCGAAACCAAAATGAAAAAAAAATGGGTGAAGAGGATGAGGAGGAGGAAGACATCAAACAAACAAAAGCGACAAAAATGAGACGTTTTTGGGGTGGTGGATGAATGTGATGATGATTGAAGACACACAAAATAGTATATACATACATACATTTTGGGTTGTTTGACGAAATTGGATTTTTTGTGGTGTCTAAATTGACTTTTGATTTATTTTTGGCACTAATTTGAAAATTAATGAGAATTTGGAGGATTATTTGAAAACAAGAGGGGTTTCAACAGGAAATTGAGAAATTTTGAGAAAAAAATACATTCCAAATACAAATTTTGAAAGGATTACTGTAGTTTTCAAATTTTTAGGAATACTTCTAGCCGCAGATTCCCCCAGGTTTCAAGGGTTACTGTATTTTTTCAGGGACAATGACTACATTTTGGTTTTGAGTACTATAGTTATATATTTTGAAATAAAAATATTTCTGGGTTCTGTTATCTACAGTAATGTATAGTTTTCTTCCCAATATAGTAATCAACAAAAAAATCTTTGACTACAGTAACCCAAAAATAAATGAGATCACAGAAACCACAGTAATCCAAAACTGCTTCTACCGTAATTCAAATCTCGGACCACTAAAATGAATAGAGAAGTTCATAGCAAAAAATCTAGAAGTTCAGAATCTACAGTACCCCAAAGTTTACAGTAATATGAGAATATTTACTACCAATACCAATAATGAAATCTAGAAAAAGTGTAGAAATCCAAAAGTTACAGTAACCCAGAAGATTCATGAAACTTCTTCCAAAAAGAAATTTAGTAGTTTTCAGAAAAAAAATCGCGATACGAAAAAATGTGTGAAAATGATCAAAATAAACAAGAAAAAATAAATTTGAAGAGCGAGGCACAAAACGAAGCGCGCCTTTTTTGACACATTTTCATTTCATTTGACAGCTCTTCGGCTTGGCTAAAAAGAAAGTGACACATTTCAGTGCACAAAATCGAATTATGTTCATGTACTACGTATTTGAGACAATATATATTTTGACGTCAAC